ACCGCTAGCTAGCCGTATAATAATCGTAGGCTAAATACTATAATAAGGCCTATACCCCGAAATTATACAAAGTCGGGGACTAAGTACTACTCTCTACGAAGAACCTAAAGCTACGGCTCCCGTCGAGGAAAATGTCGCCTAAGTTTAAGGGTCTATTCCGTATCCTCGATACTATAGGTACGTAGGCGTACCGCCTAGCGATACCTACTAAATATTCGAGAATCTATAACGTATTCTACGTATCTCTACTAGAACTATAGTATAAGCGCGACGCCGTACAACCGGCGGAACGTATACCTATCGTACTCGAAGTAGACGGTAATAATAAATAGGAGGTCGAGAAAGTAACTAGCTCTAGGAAGAGGAAGGGTTAGAGGTAATACCTCGTAAAATAGTAGGGCTAGCTAGATAACTATAATAGTTAGGAGCCCGAAGGCTACCTAGAGTACTTATAAGACCTAATTAATACCTACTAGGAATAAGCGAAGCGTAGGCGTAACGTATAAAACATACAGAATAATTCTTATTTATTATACAAATATACGAAAAGAAATACTAAGGAATTACGGCCCGTAGGCTTAGCGTAGTAGAAGCTTACTCGCCCTCCCTATCGTCCTTACTAGGACCGATTAGGGAAGGAGTACCTTTATCCTTACCTAGGAACCGAGATATACTAAGGTCTATACCTACCGCCGTATAACGGTCGTCGATACTCTTAAGGAGCGTAGGCGGATTAATAGTATTACGGTATTCGTCTTAGTTAATACTTAAAGATACGAAACGCTATAGACGATTAGTAAGTATTACGAATACGTACTATATACGAGAAGTATAGGGATAGTATACTTACCGTAGCCGTAAGCTAGGTTAAGCTCTCTAGATAGGCGCGAATACGCTAGATATCGAGGGACGTAACGTCGCCTAGACCGCTACTACTAAACGTAACGGACGCGCGACGCTTACGCGCCGACGACGTAACGTCGCCTATAACCTTGTCGGTAGCGAGCTAGTACTCGGTAAGGTCTTAGCGCAGGCGGTTATTACGCGTACCGAATACGTTACGCAAACTAGTATCGCTATCGCTAGTACGAGTACTATCCTTATTTAATTCTAGAAGGCTCTCCGTATACGCTTTATATACTTCGATAGTACGGTTAAACTAAGGAACGACTTAGGATATAAGTAATAGATACTTCTTACGGCCCTTAGTATAGCGCTAGTAGCTCTTAGGAGGGTTAACCTTACGGTTATACTTAGTACCTATAACGAGTTAGCTACTATTAATAGGCGTACCGTAAGGGGAACCCTTATAGGTATTACTAAGGTAGATATAATACTTATTATAAGTATTAGTATAAGCCTAGGCGTTATTACTAATCTTGAGAGCGCCTTACTAGCGCGTACGCTCCTCTAGCGTTAAGCCGTCGTCGCGAAGGTAAGCTAGTACATAGTAGCGATATTTATAAGTATTCTTATCTAGGGCTACGGTACTTAGGTACGCCGCTAGCTAGTCGACCTAGAACTACGTACGCGCCGTATACGTATAGCCTATATTAGTTAACTCTTCTATAGAACGCTAATCGTTCTTACTAATCTCTCTACCGGATACTATAGGCGTACCGTATATAGTAGGCGCCGGGGCAGCCTAAGAACGAGTACGGGCGCGAACAGCTAGGCGGGACTAAGATATATTAGTTACGATACGTAGGCGGTACGTGTATGTATATACTACGTATCGTTAATAGTAAGCGTACGGACAGCTTCGTAAGCAAAGTTATTTAAATTAAAAGATAAGGAAAAGAAAAGAATAAGAAACAAGCTTACCGGCGACGACACTACCTATATATATATACGTACGACCTACGTAGCGCGCGCGTACCCTAACAATAGCTATTATTACTATACGACTAGCCTCTACAATAGTAATAATACTAACAAGTAATAATAAAAAATAAGGATCTTAGAGCTAGCCGTAAGTACGGCCCGACGCCTCTAAACGGACTAAAGACGCTATAATAGCGCGCCGTAAGTAGAGTATTATCGCCCCGGCAAACTAAACTAAGCGTACCTTGCGGCAAACTTCTACGTACCGAGCCCTCGGGCCCCTATAAGTTTCAGGTATATTATACTAGCCGTACAAGCCCTACGATTACCGATTGTAGCGTACGCGTACGATAGTAACTACGCTAACTACAACTGCTATAACGTAATAACCTCTACCTCGCTAGGTAAAAAATAACTACCTGTACGTAATATAGGCTACAGCCGCGCGAAGTAGCTCCTATAGAGCGCCGGCGAGACGTACTACGGTTAAAGTAACGTACAACTCCCCGCAACTATAGACGAGGACGTCTATCTAGAGGGGAGGGTAATTGTAAAGAACGGATCTAGGATCTAGAGCCGTATACTATAGATTACCTAACTTTCTAGTTAGGTAACCTATAGCCGGCTTTATATATTATACGACCCGTATACGTATAGTATTGGGGTAGTAATTAGTCTTAATACGACTACTACCCTTAGTAGCTAGTACCTCTGTACGCTACTATATATAACTACTCTTACAAGAGTATAAGAAGATAAAGATATTAGTATAGGTTTAATTACATAGCTTTTAGCTATTAGATAGTATAGTTTAATAAGTAAAGATAATATAAACTTTTAAAGAAAGAAGAATTTAAAGTAGTACCTTTAAAGAGCTATTAATTAAAATAGAAGAAATAATAACTAGGAGAATAGTTTCTTAGAAAGAAGCCGTAAGTATAAATAAGTAATAACTAAAATTTATAAGATTATTAAGTATTTCAAATTTCTTTATATAGTTAGTAATAAAAATAGTCTTAAGCTTTAATACTATATAGGAGTATTATAAATAAAGAAATAAGTAATATATTATAAGTTTATTATTAATAGTTTAGTTAATTCTTATTAGTAGATTTAAGTTTTTTCCCTTTTTTAAATTAAGTACTTTATACTAATTAGTAGAGAATAAATAAAAATTAACTTTTAAGAAATTTAATAGAACTTAAAGTTACTTAAAAGATTATATATTTTAAAATAATTTTTTTAGTTTGAATTAAATTAAATTAAAGATCTATCTATATAAATAGATATATAGCTCTTTTCTTTATATATTACTTTATACTCTATTACGGTACCCTCCGAGGAAGACGAAGGGTCGTCTTCCTCGTTACCGCCGGCTATACTTACCCGTAATTACGACTGTCTAAGTCGCCTTAGATAGTCGTAGTTACTATAGCCGGCGGAGTTAGATACGACATATTATTTCGAAGTGCATAGTAGTTAGTTATTTAATCAACCTTTTTCACAGAATACGTCTTAACTATACAACATACTCTCTTATCTTAATATAATAGTCTATATCTTTATATTCAATTTCTAGTTCTAAAGAAGTAGGCCTTCTAACAAACTAATATTTAATCTAGTTTCTAATATAAGTTATTTTAGTCTAAGTAATTTTATCCTATATATAAGGGGAGTTATTTCTATTTTATTATTATCTTCGCTCTAAGTAAGAGTCTTAGAATATATAGAAAGTCTCGCTTGTTAAGACTAAACCTTTAAAAGAATATATTATTATTATAGTTTATTATTCTGTCTCTTTATTTACCTAGTAAGCTATAACTTTTTTCCTCCTACTTACTTAAATCTCTCTAGTCTTTTAAAGTAGCTTTTAAAGTAAATAAAAAAGCTTCCTTAGGAGTAGAGATATCGAAATTATATCGTATAATTTTCGGGCCTTGTAAAGTAATTTTCTAAAATACTCTCTTTACTTATTTCGTAATCTAAAAAGTTACTTACTTTACTTATTTAATATATATTTATTAATTTATCCTATTTCCTTCCTAAATAGAAGGCTATTATATTACTAACTACTTAGTACTTATATAATTGAACGCTTATAGATATTAGTATATATTAATTTTTATATTTCGTATTTAACTCGCTACGCTACTTTATAGTAAGTAAGAGGTATCTCTAGGGGTATAGATAGCTTATTTAGCGATTTAGAGTTCTTTAGATTTCTTAGAGTAATTTCCTAAAGTTAAGTTTTCTTTAGATTTCTTAGAGTAATTTTCTAAAGTTAAGTTCTAGAAAGGTTATATTATTTACTACTTAGTACTTATATTACTTATATATAAGAGTCGAAGCCTATTTAAAACGTTAATTCCTTATAAATCTTCTAAAAGCTTAATCTTTCTACTAGACTTATCTATAAATTATATTAAAGAAGATTATTATTAATTATCTTGTTTATATTTTTAATTTCTTTACTTTAGCTAGTAAACTCTTTAAGGTAATACTAAAGGCTCTATTTCTTTAATTATTTTTTACCCTTCTAGAATATAATTCTTTTATAATTAATAAGAGCCTCCTAAAATTCTTATAATAATTTATTAATCTATATTTATCTCTTAATATTATACTATCTTAAAGGTATAGAGCTAACTTATTTAACCCTAATTAGTATTTCTATAGTCTTATACTCTCTACTAAATTCAAATTAACATCCTACTCTAAAGCTCCTTTTAAAGAGTATACCTACTTATAAATTACTTCTCTAGCTACTCGAGCTAATAAGTACTTACTATTATTTAATATTAAGTTTTAATAAGATAGGCTAAAACTGTATATAGACTATAGATAGTGTTAGACTATAGAATTACTTAGGGGTAGGATATATAACTTATATAGCTTTTAGGTTTTTAAAATACTAAAAACAGCTTAATCTATACTAGAGTTCTATAAAATACTTTAAACTAGAAATTTTATTTTTTATATCTCTATAGTAACTTCTTAATTAGACTTAAGCAGCTTTACTTAGTTTAAAGAACCTTTTTAAATTTTAAATTAAAGGAGATAAAGGAAAAGCTTACTAAGAAAAATAAAGTAATAATATATTTAGAAAGAATTAAAGAATAGCTAACAGTAATGTACTTATTAGGAGTCTAGCGCTTCGAAGCGAGACTTCCTATATAGGAGGAAAACAGTATATATACGTAAATATATAAAATAGGTTAAAACCGCGAGTTAGGCATTCGAAGAGTAACAGGAGTTAAGAGACCGCTCCTATCTAATCGCTGCTTAGGCTCTCCGCCTGCTAGCCCCGGTAATATACTACGATGATTCCGCTCAAGTACAGTACTCTTCACCATAGTGCTAGATATAAGAGACGGAACGCCACTTGTGGCATTCTGAGTTGTAGCCTTTTTGCGTTGATTAGGCCCAAAGATGAATAAGTTGTCGTTGGCTCGAGGCGCGCCATATTCAGGCATACAGCGCAGCTCCATATTCTCTCTGAATAAGCTAGCACATCGTTGCGCCGTTCTGGCTATTGTCGATTGGTCCCAACCGGTCGTGGCTGCTAAAGCCAAAATTTCGCTCCAGTCACGACAGGCCAGCTCCCGAGGTTTGAGATGCGATCGCGTCAGATTTGAGTGACGCGCACCAGACAGTGCTGAACTTGTCTTTGTTCGTCTGGGAGAACGGTTACTTTGATCGGCCCCAATTCTCCTTTTCCTATCATTGACTACGCTGTCAGGGTTCAAAGGTTCTTCTCTGCAGCGGGCAAAGCTCTCTCGGCAACCTTTGCGACTTCGATGCAATGCATCCAGCAAAGAGTTCACCTTTTTCAAGCACTCTCGCAATGACGGCCTGGCGATGGTTGCTGCGAGACTGTCGTCAAGCAGGATCGATGGCTCCGGCAATGATGCAGGTAGATGAAAGACTTCAGCCCCGTCTGCGTGGCCAGAGTTCCCCGATTTGGTGAGAGCATCTCCCTCGGCGTCGGAATCATCGTCTGTGGAACTGTCGTCGCTCATGGAAGACGAGCCATCCTGCCAGAGGACCGTGTCCGAAGCTGCTGAAGCCTCGCCGTGTTCGCCAGTACGATACAGTTGCGCTGGTCGTATTTGAGTAGTCTTTATTGATATCTTAGCATTTCCGCTACTTGTGCTCCTTTGCTGTAAATTTTGTTGAGCTTGGCGAAGGATTTGAGCTTCGAGCTCTTCGAGAAGATGACGGCTTGGGAGCCAAGGTTCGCGATGATACCACATTGCCAGCTCGCTCTTCTCTTCTTCATACTGATCCTCATGCCAGAAGGTCGGCGCGCCCCAAACTTCCCGGCGTCGTGGTACTTCGTCTGGCCGCATTGGCCAGGCTGTCCATCGAGGAGCCGGTCGAAATGGCATCTTCTCGTCTTCGACAGTATCAACCCAAAGATTCTTAGGTACGTGAGCCAGGTAACGAGTATCGTGGGTGAGGGACTGGCCACGCTTCTTCAGCATATGGGCATTGTAGAGGTGCTTGCCGAGATCGCCACAATCGGCTTGGACCAATGTCGCAGCTAATTCACGTATTGGTTGAGTGTAGTTTTTCCAGGTCCTATCTGGGCCATAAAAGCGGCCCGGACGCTGTGGTCCGCTGGGCTCAGCCGGCGAAACTTCATCCATAGAACCATGATCGCCCGTCGACGATCCCTCGCCGTTGGGTGACGATTGTGACATGACGAGAAATACATGCGCCAGCCCCTGCGCTATGAACGGTACGGCATTTCTTGCGGCGCTGCCAGTGGAATTCTCGGATTACATCAACCTGCTTGTCTGAAGGCTTGATGAGATGCTTTGGCTACATGAACAGCATCGCTCGCAGTTGCGGACTGCACTAAGGTCCCGGTAAGCTCAGAATACGGGTATCATAGCAGATGTGGTCACAAGTATGGCGCAGACAAAACATGACAACCTTATTAAGGGCTGCTCGTTCTGTGCATGCAAATTTGTTGTGGATTTTGCTTGGGTACAACTACTCTTATGCACGGTTTGGATGATAGTCGATGTACTGTACGCAGGCATGCGGTGAAGTGCTTTGTGGCCCGCAGTCACAAAAAATTGTGCCGTAAATAGAAAGCTGCTGACTGATCCTGGCCTTGCAGCTCGATTTGTGCACACCTGGACAAGAACTATCTATGCATGCAGGTGCCCAGATTTGCCCGCTGTGCCCGCTGCGCTGTCCCGTGATCATACAACGCCGCAATACCTAGTACTTTTATGACACTTTTTTATTTCCTCACTTTGATGTGTCGGCAATAACCTTGCTGGTGTACCGATAACCTACATCACCTGCGTCGCCCGTGCAAAAGCGCGACCAACCCACTTCCACTCACATTATTGCGGGAAACCACGGACGTTGCAACTACCTCACAACAGCGCACTGATCGCGACTGACACTTCACTCATTTGCTTGCCAACCAACATTCGCGCACACTTGGCGTCGACTCATCATCACCGTTGACCTCAAACTCTCGGCTGCCCAACTTCAAACACTTCACTCAAACCCACACCGCTGAGGAATATATCACGATGGCGGATGCAAAGTCGTCGGAGCCGGTACCTCTTGACACCATTCCAGTCTCGCCCAACGGCCCAATGACCGATGCCACCAACGGCGCCACCAATGGCGACAAGGTCGTCACGGTCTTCGATGATCCAGCCAACTTCAACGTGAAGCATCAATTGCAGCATGTCTGGACCCTGTGGTTCACCAAGCCACCAAACGGCAAGCAGGATTGGAACGAGCTCCTCAAGGAAGTCATCAGCTTCAACAGCGTCGAAGAGTTCTGGGGAATCTACGTATGTCATATGCTTTCACGAGCTGTCGCAAGCAAAAATGACCTCTTGACCTCAGCGCCCACCACTGACTCATATATCACAGAACAACATCACCCCTGCTTCCGAGCTCGCGCAGAAATCCGACTACCACCTCTTCAAATCTGGCGTGCGACCAGAGTGGGAGGACCCGCAGAACAAGCACGGTGGACGTTGGCACTACACTTTCAAAAACGGCAAGGCGAACGACGAGGTCTGGTTGAACATCATGCTGGCTGCCATTGGTGAGATGCTTGAGGACGAGCCTGACAGCGAGATCATGGGAGTGGTCATCAACATTCGTAAGGCGTTCTGGCGTGTAGGTCTTTGGACGCGCACCGCCGGTCAGCCTCCAAAGGGTCGCAAAGACGAAGGCGCGGATCGTGAGGAGGGCAAACGGCGCCTCGAGCGTATCGGCCGGCGCTTCAAAGAGATCTTGAAACTTCCCCCACAAGAGCAGATTGAGTTCAGCGGGCACGCTGATTCGGCTCACCAGGGTAGCAGTCGCGCCAAGGCCAAGTACTCGGTTTAACGATGGCTTTAATGACGAATCGCTCGGCACTTTATTCGATGATGAAGATGCTGCGATAATGTGCCGTGGTCTAATGACTGAACAGTATTAGTGCATAAGCATTTTTGCTTGAGGAACGCAGTATGATATGTTTTGAAGGAGGTAGAATCAGTGGCCCTCCAGGGAAAGGTGCGTTGGAGCAAACAAAGGCGTGGCAGTCTGCACTCCCAAGCATTTCAGAAACGAGCTCGGGAGAGGCGAAATTCTTCTGCCAACCGTACGTCGAAAACATGCATGTGTTATCAAGCTTTTGACCCAACAGAGTATCGTTATCGGTGCAATCATTCAAGCAAGTTGGTCCCGCTTGGCCCTCGCTCAGCCAGCAGTCACATCCACTTTCGAATTATTAAATCATCGCTGGCACGGCAGCTGCGACAGCAACTGTTTCTTGAGACACGCCGCGGCGTAGGCTAAACGCTACGGGTCGTCTCACCCAGGAGGACCCCAGGGCGCGGCGGCGTCGGCGACCCGATGTGCGCATTCCAGAGTTGATCAGGATCTGTTCATCAAGAGCGATCAAGAGAAGAAACGGAGGTGGAGTGCCACGCTGCGGCTGTGGCTGCGATGAACATGGAGCTTGCATTTATTGGAAGACATAGCCACTTGAGGGCTCACGTCAGTGAGGTGAGGGAAGAGTATGGCAATCGTCAATCGTGATCTGACGACTTTTTGCGTCCTTCACGATTTGTGTGATTGTCAGGCAGATACAATGAACTTTTCTCAAGTTGATCGCTCCGACCTTTGACTCCTTGCATTGATACCCAGAATTTAGCCTAACCCAACAGAGTCGGCTTTCGGCTTTCAACAAGATCCACATAGGTCCGCGGCGCGAGGATGGTCATATTCAAGACATTTCGCCCACCGCTGGACATCAGTGAGTGAGGTACATACAACTCATTCCACGGTAGGACAACGTGCAATGCCGCAGTGCAGGATGACGGCGACGACATGCAGCGTCACAGGGCCAAGTCAGACCTTCCATAAGCAAATCTTGTTCTCCATCCACATGCACGGACTTACGTCCGCCATCATAACCATTATTACTTACCAATCCACCAATAGGCACTGCCATGTGAACGTATTGCTGTGGCTGTAGAGCTCTCATTGTGCAGCCTCGTGCTAACTTCACATCTGTCGAAGTGTTCTCGGCCTTCATTGATGACATTTATCGTCTGGGCAAGTGACCCGCTTCGACCTCGCAGGCAATCATGCACAGAATCGCCATTGGTTCAGTGTACGCACTCGGAAGTATCAGCATCGTTGCCTCATCCGTGAAGAAAGATCACCACCAGCGCCACCGCCGCCACCACCGCCGCTGCCGCCGTGCACACCGTTATCGCCCATGTTCGCCTGCACTGTGAAGAGAGCAACAATAGCCGGGGTCGCTTTGTGGACACGCTACAAAACGAATACCACGATGATCGCTTGTGCATGCCAGATCATCAATTCACCGGGGAAGATCCCTCCCACCAACGATGTATGTATGGCCCAGGTGGGAAAAGAAGTGGAATCTGAAGGTATGTACATTACAAGGTCACACAGAGCTTCGGTCATTATTCATCATTCGTACCCTACTCGCCAGCTGAGGGACGAAAGTGACACATGCAATACACACACCTACCTACACACACACACACATACACACACACATCTCCCGTGGGAACTTGTTGGTACTTGATCTCTGCGCTGTCCTTACTTGCTACCTGCCGACCGAGGCATGTTCACATCCACCTGTACCACATTGTAGCTGTCTCTGTCTCTCTTACACACATCCATCACCACCTCTTCCTCTCCTTCTCTCTCTCCCTCTCCCTCCTCTCCTCTCCTTCTTTCCTCCTTCTCCTCTACCTCTACCACTATGCTCCTTGAACGCTATCGTATCGTGTCCTCTCATCATATTCGTGCAACTGTCTGAACACTGGTCCACCTCACGGGAATAAGCCACAGCCATCATACTAGCTCTACCATCACAAAAAACCCACGGGCCAAGACATGAGTTCCCACTTCTTCGCTGAACCGACCGACCTCCACCTCCGCTATTCTCAGATGCCTTACGGCTTCTACTCCCCTCTCCCAGGGCCTGCCCCACCGGCACAGAATGACAATCCGATTCCTTCAACTTCTTCCACCCATATACTCAACGACCAGATAGCGCCGCCAAATGGCCGCGCTGCTCCTGAGACACAATCCTATCCTTTGTTCAGGCCTCGCCCTCACTACACACGTGCATCCCATCCGCAACCATACAACATCATGCGCATGCTCAACCAAAGTCTTGTTGAGCAAACCACTGCACCTAGCACCACTACATTTGCTCACCACGCTCCACCCAACTGGCTTTCGCCGAACCTGTTTCAAGAGCCAAAAGCAGCGCTCCAGTCACCAACTGCCCGTGCTCTCCATTATCCGACAATCCCAGAAGCCCTTCCTCGTGCGATATTGCCTGCTGTTGAGCCAAGCAGCGTATCAAGAGAACGCTCTTCGCGGACCGAGCGAGTTGCCCCTCGCCCAACGCAAACCGCACCAATCATCGACGACATAGTCATGAGATTGCAAGGACTGGTCATGAGAATGACAAACGTCGAATACAAAGTGGACGCTTTGGCCTCCAGATTCACTCCTCCATCGAGCACCGAAGAGACGGTCACAGATGAGGATTCGCAAGACTCCACCTCGCAGGGAAGCTCGAGCCCGAGTTCCGAGACTTCAATCTTCGATCCACAACACAACGTTCTTCCTCCCTCCTACGTCATCGAACATCCTCCTGATGTCAGAGCCGTCGCTTGGGATCAGCGACATAGTGCTGCGCTTCCACAGTCGGTGCCTTTCGCGGCACTGCGTCCAGAAACCACTTCAAACGCGGACCTCTCACGAACAACCGTAGCACCTTCCGGAGCCGGGTGGGTCACGTCGCATCGCTTCATCGAGCAGCAGTCGGGAAGATTCCCAACCCTGTGGCGAGACAGCTCGTCGTCTCTAGGCTCTGACACTGCCCATGGACAAGCAGCACTTGACAATGGTGAGCCACATACAGCCTGGATTGCCCGTTACGACCTTGCCTGGCGCACTCAAATGAATGAGCTACGTTCGCGATTAGAGGACCGAGAACAACTCCTGCATCAATTGAAGCATCGAGCCGCCATGCAACACGATGCTCAGACTACAGCGTATACTGCGCTCAAGAACTCATACCAGATGCAGGCGCGTGAACTTGACACAATGCGAGATCGTGTTGCAGAGCTGGAGGCGAAGATGCAACCCCTGCATCTGGGCATGGCCGAAAGAATTCCGTCAACAAACGCTTTCCCTTCGACTGCATATCCCGCGGGGAGAGCAGTCGATGGTTGTCACCATACCCGTACTGAACCGCAGAACACCTGTACGTTGGACCGTAGGCTGGAGCAGCCCGATAGACGTGTTGGCCATCTCAATGTCTTGAACACTGCGGAAGCGCAATGGAAGACTTCCATGTCCAAGTGGGATGCACTCGACGATCATGACCCGCGTCACAACGTGCCGAATGTCACTCCAGCTCTTTCGCTACGGTTTGGGCAAGACAATCCTGAAACACACAATGGCACCGGGAGACCTTCAGCTGCAGCTATCGATAATGGAGCAGTGTCCGAGTTCCGAAGTGGAGGATACATTCTGCATAGATGGATGCCGCCCCCCCCCCCCCCCCCCCCCCCCCCCCCCCCCCCACCCCCCCCCCCCCCCCCCCCCCCCCCACCAAGCTCAACGGCGATTAGCCCAGTCATCCCTCGCTGGCAACCGGTGATAGGATTCCCCAATGACCCAGTATCGACTACACGCACGGTGTCCAACGAAATTGTTCCAGATCTTAGAACAGCAATTTCACCAATCAATCGGGTTGGACCAGAAGCGAACTCTACACCTCTCCAGAATGCCAGGCGTGGTCACACATCTCCAGTACTGCCTCGTTTGCATAATTAATTCCGGAGTCTTCAACCTAGGGTTGAGGACGGTGATTCGTAAGATAGTATGAGGGAATAGACATAGGCGCCGGAGTGTCCATGGCTCGTGCTACGAATTCAATGGCCAAGTACTGCTACCCTGGTACGAAGCTAGGGCAAAAGGATTGCGAACTCTTGGTACACATGCACGATCTACATCGACTCGAGGGTTGGGGTGCATCGTCAGAGATGGGCTTCTCTTGCTGGCCAAGGTCACATGTAAGTCGCCCTCATGCAGCGGCAAGTACAGTCGTTCGGCACTGGTGTCTGTCCAGCCTATGTCAGAAAAGTTCGCTTCAACGTTGCAGGGCGAGTTCATGAAGCTCTCAATGGAGGAATCAGCGTATGCATGAGCGGTGCCATGACTATGTCTTTATGTCAATTCTATTCTGTCCATGTTTTGTTCTGAGTAATGATCTCGCTATCGTTCATAGTACATAATCTCCAAATGGTGCCGAACCATTGCATTTGGCTTTCTCGTGTTTTGAGAGACGATGAACTCATTGATCACTTGCCACCAGGAGCACCATCTCCATCGCCAACGCTGCATTTCGAACGCTCGAGCGTTGTCTTCAGACTATGCCAGACCCCTTTGGCATTCTTGGCATTATTGAAACCAGACATCTCCGCGAATATAATGTGGTCGATCTGCAAGAACATGGCGAGTGCAAGAGTCAGCCTTTGTCAGAGCTCAGGTAATGCTGCTTCACTTGATTTGGCAGGCCAATGGATATACTTGCCGTGATGGGCCCTCCCTTGACACGGTGCATAGCATTGCTGAGTAACTCGACGTCGCCACTCGTCAGCTCGGCAGGATGTTGAGCGTTATGAGTCGGGTCTGGCATTGCGTCGCGTTGAGTAGACATGGTTCGGGATGCAGGTTATAATCTTTCAATCACTTGAAGTGAGATGAGCTGTGCAAAGTTGATGTCGTGCGGACCTCGATGCGGGTCACCGGTTTGGACGATGGTGATAGATTTCGTTCTCTGGGAACAAGGTCTGTCGAGCAACGAGAGCAATAGTGATCAATTTTTTTATAGATGGGAGCAATCTTGACTCCACTTGGCATATGCACTCAAATCACAATAACGAGTCAGAAACCAATTCGGATACAAGTCTTCTTTCTGAGCATTCTTTCCAATAGCTGCCACGCATGTGACATGTCATTCTGACGACCCTCTCTCGACTGGATTTTGACCAGCATGATGGGTGTCCAGTCCGCGTATGATGCACAGTGTGACGTAACGCCAGCCATGGAGAATCGGCGGAGTTGTGTCTTCATGCAATCGTGGGCTCCTTCTGTTCCAAATAATGTTGAAGTCAATGATCGCTTTCGAAATCTTGCTCAGTTTTCACCGCAACTGCGGAGTCAACGCTGGCTTGACGATCGCCTGTGTCGTCCTTTGACTTCTGGCCCTGATTTCCCTTGGACTTCTAGACGCGAGTTAGCTTAATCTGAGAAATTGATCGCGTGAGACGCGCGATGGCTGCATGATGGTCGCAAGATACCTTGGAAGGAGAGCCTTCCTCTTCTCCTGCCTTATTGTTGGGGCCACGTTTCTTGCGAGGAGTCACGTTGACGATGGACTTGGAGGCATTGCCGTCACCTGCGTCGGCAGCTTGCTGAGCAAGCTTCTTGCGGATAGCCGCCCAAGCGTTACGCGCGGATCCTTCGTTGGTCTGACTTTGTCAGACTGCACACGTCGCATCGAGTTTCATTCGGGCACGACGTACCATTCCCACAAGACCCGCCAGTTTCGTGAAATCCACTTTCGGCTGCTCTTCGAAGCACTGCCAGGCCATTGCCATGATCTTCTGCTCACGTTCGGTGAAGGCAACAGCCATTGTGGAGTTTCAGGCCTCGTGTTGATGTCGGAGCGTACAGGTTGTAGCCGGGATGGGTCAAGTGATCGCGATGGGTAGCCTTGACGATATAGCAGAGCCGTATGGTCGGTCGAGGACGGAAAGTATCTGAGGGGCGAGGAGAGGGTGTCAGAAGGAGAGGCAGCGGGGAGCGAAAAGGAAGAAGGTTGAGGAGAAGTTTCGCCGGTGGAACAGATGGTGTGTCTGTCAAGAATAATCTCGTGATATGTGCGCCCACGGGCGGTAGTCGTGGGCGGCAATACTAGTGCTGTTAGTAGTTATTGTTCAGATGGTGGCATGTGAATTTCAAGGAGTATGGCCCTGCTGAAACAAATGGGCGGAATGTGAAAACAGTGAAAGCGATGACTAGTGAGGGCTGGTGGTGGTGATGATGAATTAGGCTATCAGAAAGTCTTCTCTCGGAGACATATGCCCTGTGATATTATACGGCACATGCACGCTTCCTGACACTTGACACTTGAATTGGATGGCTAGAGGTTCCTGGCGCTCATCATCGCGCAAGGTCTCTATCTTCCTCGCTTGCTTGCCTGCTTACTGGTGAATTTCTTTATCTATTTGCTTGCTCGCTTGCTTATTCAATTGCTCTGCAAACTCATCGCGACTCACTCTCCGTACCATTTGCTCTTGCTTGCAGTATGCAACGTCCTTGTCCGTCCTCTCTTCTTGTTCGGGTCGTGTGTCCGGCGGTGAGAAAGTTTAATATACGTTAAACACTGGAGAAACGGTCAAGCACCGTCAAACCACTGAACGGGAGCGTCAACCGAAGACAGCCGCTTCGAAGTGTTCATGACTAGTCTCGTCAGCAGCTCCTCTCATACTACATCTCGTCTGCCAGCTGCTGAACTCTCTTCTCCACAGCAGGCCATGCGTCAGCACGCATCGGCCATTGCATCCACCAATCCCCAGCTGCATCCCGCCCGATTAGCGGTCCTCCATTTCGGATCTTGAATGAGCTCTGATGGCCCGCGACGTTGATATATGAAGGCACACCGGCTCCATTCTTCCGCTGTTCAAGCGGCGTGCCTATCTTCGAAACGGCAGCCGAAAAGTCCATCTGGAAAAATCTCGCTTTATGCCTATACGACACCATGTCAGTCACAGTACCATTCATGAACAGGGCAGAATGCAGCTTACCAATTTGACCAGTAAATCCCAAGTGCATCAGGACGGCCAAATAATGCGGGCTTGCCGAGCGCCTCCCTCTCTGCAAGAAGGCTGGCGTATGCTTCGACCTGTTCTTGACTTCGTTGCTGCTGTAGTGAGTGTCGCACCTGCAGGGCGAGCTGGCCCAAGGGTAGGGAGAACAGTTGAGATGCTGTGAAACTCGTGCTGCTGCTGGAGACGGCATTGCCGATGAATGCGGAAGTCGGCGGGAGGAATTGATCAATCACGCCTCGAAAGTTGAAGGCGTTGTTGAGCGTCATTTGCCGGCCCGGTGGGATCCCCATGGCCAAACATGTGAGTCGGGCCCACCAAACTAGAATAACATCGCCCTCGCTGAGGAATGGCTGGTCCGTCGAATCATCACTAGTGCGTATATCGGCGAGCGCCTGATCCTTCAATTTCTTCACGAATGCGCCAGGGAGGAAAATCATGCGAGATGCCAACTTGGGATACCAGAAGTTCTCCCACATTCCAGATAATATCAATCGCACAAAGCCCCAACTGGACAGGAGCTGGTCGTAGAACACATGCTTGTTGGCTGGGACTCGGCCGGCGAGTGCGGCGAAAGGATCCTCCTGGTAACCCAGCAATGGCGGGACCTTGTGCTCTTCTCCGTTGAGTACATTCAGCCATGCCTTGAGGAGGAGCTGTCGCCCGACGCCATCGATGAACGTATGCGAGAAGCTGAGGGTCAGGAGGGTGGCATCCTCAAAGGTCACCACGTGGACGCCCAAAGGTGGCCGATCTGACTTCGACCAATCCTCGAACTTGGTGGCGGCATCTGGCCCTTCAGCCAATGCTTGGAACTCGTACGGGTCATTCAGCACGGCTGGCCTTGTTCCTGAGCGTGGCATTCTTGAAGCAACAGGATGCTGGTGAATGCTTTGGTCATGAGTCTCGCTTGTGAAGATGAAACCCGGACGCTCTGCACTGAACCGCTCTGGGATATGATATTCGGCTTTGCCTTGCTCCTGTACATATGGTAAGTCTAATATCTTGCTATAGGGTGCGCGACGACAACTTACGTTCAGTCGCACTCGAGCGCCTAGTTTTCGCCAATCGCCAATCTCTAGCAGGCGCTCGAGCGATGTGCGGAGTTTCTCTGCGTCGAGCACATCATCAAAGCGGTACGTGAAATTAAGGATCAATGTCCGCAAGTATGGGGAGCTGTCGAATGTGTGAAAGGGAACAATAATGTCCGTGGGGACTTTCGCAGGCGCCTCCTCGACTGGCTTCTTCGAGAAGATGCTCAGGGTTGACCCCATCTTGCTGGTGCTGAACCTCTTTTGGGTATCTATGCGTATACAGAAATTGTCGTGCCAACAGTTCACTCTCGATGATCCCCGTGAATGGACACGCGTGCGTGTGGGATATGATATACAATTAATGAGAACCAATCGGAAGGACAGTCGTCCGCCGTGGAAGACAACAAGAATTACTAAGGTCAGCTTCAGCAGCGGCTAACCACATCAATATAACGAGCTGGAGGATTCCAAAGCCGCCTCCTTCATCGTGCTGGACTAAACTCTGTCTCGGAATGCGTAAGAACCGAAACAGGGAGAGTGACACGATCTCATTGGTTGCGCGCAAACGAAGCTGCACAGAACATGAGCGATGTCCCAAGTCTGACTAGCGGCAAACTCCTCCCGACATCACCGACAACCTTGGAACCTTGAAACCTTGGAAACTTCACTGTAGCACAATGCTCACGACTACTTCATGTACGGCTAGTACTAATAATAGTAATATCACCACTCTGCGATCGGATCACGAAGTCCATGTTGGCCAGATAGGACGAGCGCACAAGATTGGCCTCTTTTTGTGCCCTGCTCTGGACCAACATCCCTCAATCTCACGCCCGCTTGGATAATTGAATCATACTCGGCTTCACGACCATCTTGCAAGACTTCGGCGGTGTCCAAGTATTCTACGATGCACTCGGAATCTTATCAAATCAATACAATACCAGCGGTCTTTTTGCCAAATATCTCGCGATCCGCAAATAACGTTCTTGTCCCCAATTTGGAATCCTAAACCTCGGCCAATGCGATGCCCCGGCGCGACCGTCCGACCAGTCTCGCATCTCACAACAGCAATGCCAACGATCGCCCGGAACCGAGGCTATTGCGTGCTGTCGAGACCAATCAGGTTGATGTGGTCAGAACCGTCGTAGAAGAGGCCGAAGCGACGAAGCAAAGCGGTGTCGCATTTTTGTCCATCGGACTCGTCCGCGCCTGTGATAAAAACTTCGTCGATGTCGCTAGATTCTTGTTGCTGCACGGCGCTGATCCAAATTATGTATCTGGCAACAAACTGCCCAGCCTCATACGAGCTGCGGAAAATGGACATGCCGCAATCGTGGAGTTGCTCATCAAACACAACGTTGATATGACAGCCTGCGATAGCAAACATCGGCGCACCGCGCTTATGACAGCAGCATGGAAGGATCGCCTAGGCATAGTCACGACATTGCTGGCTACTGGTGTGGGTATCCACGCGACAGATAGACGGCAGCGGAATGCTTTACACAATATCGCTGCTGTCAACTCTGCTCAGCAGTGCAGCTCCGAGGTTGTGCATGCGCTCATCACGGCCGGTATGAACATCGAAGGTCGGGACGAGACAGGTCGCACACCTTTGCATTGGGCATGCTCTGCTGGTAACGACCGAATCGTCGATTGCCTCCTTGCGGCAAGAGCCAACGTCGAAGCCCTCGACAGTCGAATGAAGGTGAGTATCTCTCTGAGAATTCGAAGTTATTTACAGCTCTGAGTCCGCTCTAGACACCCCTGCACCTTGCAATATGGCACGACCGCCTCGACTTGACCCATGTCCTCTTAGACCATGGGGCCAATATCCATGCGAGGTCCGATGGTGGTTGGACAGCGTTGCACTATGCTAGCTCGCGGGCTTCTCCACCACTTGTTGACCTCCTGATCCAAGCAGGTTCCGACGTCAATAGTGAACTTCTCAACGGGAGAACGCCTCTTCATGCAGCTGCAGAGTTTGGTAATGCCGAGACCGCTGCTTGTTTACTGCGGCGCTCTCACGTAAAGCGTGCAGTCAAGGATAGATTTGGCAATACACCTTTGATGATAGCTGCGCAACACGGTAAGAAGGATATCTTAGAGATGTTAGCACCATGGAACCATTTCGACCTATTGTCACCGGACGAGAAAGAAGCATGTCGGCGTTTCGAGGCAACAATAGGTGTGTACACTTCTTCCTGCGCGCTTGCTGGCTGAAGCACAACCTGCGAGCTAATTCTTGAGAAATTAGTTGATTTTGGAGACTTTCGCAATGAAAATAAAGTCTCGAAGCGATCTGTCTACGACCTTCTATACACACGCGATGGTGTATCTACCATTTCAAAACAGATCAAGGCTACAAGACTCCGCTGGATCCACTTACCTGCCAACAACATTGCGTGGTGCGATGCACTGCTGACGAAACGATTCATCGAGGAAGGGGCGATCGATGTCGAGGGATACAAGGCTATGGAGGCGTCATTCAGCCAGCAGCATCGAGGGCAGAAACAACACTCTCGCTTCATGCGCCCAACATGTTCTGCAGTCCACCGTCAAGCTGATGTTGATGACTCTGTCATCTGGGAAAATCAGAATTTTCCTGCCAATGCCAGCCGCTCTCTGAGCAAGCAAACGCCAAATTCAAGACAGTCTACTTTCAGCACCGACGCCTCCATTCAAGATCACCCGGAGCAGCGCGCTGCCCGCATGTCGAGGTCCAGTCTGTCTACTAGTGGTGTCAAGACGGATCAGGATCAGTCTGGGAATGGTCACGAACGAGCACAACCAGAAGCCGGTGCAGCATCATCTCCGATGTCGAAAGCAAAGAGCGATGGCAAGCAGCAGCCAAAAACCAAAGTTTCGGTCGACAACACCCCAACACCTTCTAAGAAAGGAGATGTCACAAAGGGAGATCTTAGTAAGGCTGACTCAAAAAAGACCGCCAAGGAAGTCGCTTTCAAGAAAGAAAATCGGCGCAAGATCTCACGCACCAACACGATCGAATCTTCGGTCTCTTCGGCGCGCGCGAAGCAGTCTTCTACTTACAACATGTACCTCTTCATGCCGTATCTACATTTCGAGTCCGATGAGCGGCGGCGAGAAATGCAAGATGCAATAGACCATCTGCGTTACCCCGATCATCAGATGAGCCTTCACGAAGATGAAGTGCTCATAAGAGCGCACCTCACCGCTTCGAGTTCATTCCTCCACCTCCGGCGGACGCTGGATCAATTCTTCTACCACAATATCGACACGCAAATGCGCGATGCTGATCAGGTTGTGTTTCGCTATCAGAAGCGACATCAAGATGGTATTTCGTGCGATCCGAAGATTTTCATGGTAGACCAGCTCTGGATGTGGGTCATCTCGAAAGACCTCGTCGTTACTAGCTTCCCTCGTCGGTGGAAGCAGCCCCGTAACGATCCGCTAAATGTGCTTGATGGCATCATTGAAGACATCAATTCGAAAACACGAAAGCCGATCGAGAACGTGTACGAATTGGCTATGACGATCACGGGTCGATGCTATGGTAATTTTGATCGCAAAGGAGGCGAAGAGCTGCAATTTTTTGATATGTTCGAGGCATCGCTCGGCGCCGCGATGGACCGGGAGGCTTTCTTATTCCAGCAGTTTTTGGAAGCCTCATATCACGCAAGCTCGTGGCTATTAGAACACAAACGGGTTGAACGCTTCTCACATCCCGCCTTTGTTGACAAACTGCTCGAAGTCGGCGCGGAGACTGCCCTCCTGGCAGAAATTAAGGATATCCGCGACGAGCTCAACATCATCCGAATGGTTCTGGGCTATCAAGAGGGACTGGCAAGTGACTTCCGCAAGCTCGTACGCAACATCTATGAGCAGGAGCGATCTCATGTGCAGTTGCGGTTAGTGGAGAAGATATTCGACGAACAGGAGAAGACGATCACGAACCCTTTGAAGGACATCAGCCGCATGAGCGAACAGGCAGAGCGAATCTACATTTCCATCACGGATCTGCTGGATCTGAAACAAAAGCATGCGAACGCTTTTGAGGCGCGTTTCGCGCGCGATCAAGCAGCAGGTACCATTCGTCAGGGCAGGACAGTTCTGGTCTTCACTATCGTCACGGTGATTTTCCTGCCGCTGACGTTCATCGCCGGGATCTTCGCGATCAATCTAACGGACTGGCCTCAACCCCTAACGTTGCCCTTCGTCTCTGAATACATATTTGGAATTGGACTTGCAATCTCGATTCCTTGCATCATCATCGCCATGACAGTCGACGAGATCTTTGCTTTTTTCTCGAAGATCAAGATGATGATCCTCCAACTTTGGCCACAGCGCCTAACTCGCGACGACGGCCAGCAGCAGCAATTACTAATCCTAGAAGAGTCTTTGAGTGTGGCGAAAAGTATGCGGCAAAGCATGGATGTCAGAGGCATGCGGCATAGCATGGACGTCAAAGGAATGCACATCATGGAACCTAAAAGCTTGGATCGGAACATCTCACCGTGGACAGAAGTCCGCAGCAGGAACCGATTTGGACGGAGAAATTGGGATGTGGAGCGTGGTCGTCGATAAGCCTCATAGGCACCGAGGAGTCTAGCAGGTTGTAATGTATCTCTGAAGAATGAAAATGTTCAAGCCAAATCTCATGACGCGGATGGAGAAAAGGGGAAACTGATGGTTGGGGGTTGAACACCATCGTGTCCCATCCGTTCTGTCCCTGACCCCGGATTCACACATGCGAACCCCTGTTCTGACTACTGAAGAGGAGTGGAGCACGTTCTAGGTACATATTTGATTTGCAGCTTGTGCAGCCCGAAAGGCATATTACAGTAATCATTACCATGCACTGTACGTCGGTGACCATGCCGCCAATCATCCACGTTCGTGGTGCGCATCAAAGTCTACTTGTAAGCATGACTCCTCCACCATTGGTTCGCCTGTTTTGACGATTCATAGCAGCATGCATGCATCATCATGAGCTCTCTCGTCTACACCAATACCTGACCATCTGAGACTCAACACTACGCGGATTTGGAGCTTTTCTTACACCGCACAAAAGATAAACTTCACCACAATCACTGAACATTAGAGCGCCGCGTTCTTTCTGTCGTGCTAGAGGATCCCACGGGTGAGCGCCATCGACCGACATGAGGCGCAAATCACTCGACGAAGAGTCGATACGGTCGGGACTCGATGAACTCGAGCCATTGAGCTCTGGCGCGGAGGCCCGACAAGACTATCCGGACACAGACGACAAGCATGCCCTTCTCGGGTCAAAGCATCACTTGGCCGGCAAACAGACTGCACCGTATCTCGGGAAGCGACGACGGAAAGATGCCGGGCTCTATCGATTGCTCCCGAGCCGGTTCTGCTGCAGCTTAATACTACTATTCATATGCTCGTCGGTCATGCTACTCGCGTCCGGCACATATTGGATGTATACACAATCATCAAGTTTGAATGGACAATCAGAACCATGGTATCCCACTCCTCGAGGCGGAACGGTGAAGAGTTGGGAGAATAGTTATCGGCGGGCCGGCGAACTTGTTGGGCGAATGACCCTCCCCGAAAAGATCAATATCACGACAGGCATCGGGTGGCAAATGGGAATGTGTGTCGGTAACACTGCGCCTGTGGACCGTTTGGGATTTCCCAGCCTATGCCTTCAGGACGGACCGCTTGGCCTTCGCTTTGTGAGCGATGCTACGGCTCTGCCGGCCGGCATCACTCTCGGCGCGACTTGGAACAAAGAACTCATGTACAGGCATGGCAAGGCCCACGGTCTCGAGGCACGGATGAAAGGCGTCAATGTTCTTCTTGGGCCTGCCATGGGGCCGCTAGGGCGGCTACCGGCTGGTGGAAGGAATTGGGAAGGCTTTGGACCGGATCCAGTGCTGCAGGGCATTGCAGCGGCGGAGGTCATTCGCGGAATTCAAGATACGGGAGTGATAGCGACTGCCAAGCACTTCGTTGGCAATGAGCAAGAGCATTTCCGTCAGGCCTGGGCGTGGGGCACGCCGAACGCCATCTCCTCGAACATTGACGACCGGACGTTGCACGAACTGTATGCATGGCCTTTCGCAGACGCCGTCCGCGCCGGTGTTGGATCCGTCATGTGCTCGTACAACCAAGTCAACAATTCATACGCATGTCAGAACAGTAAGCTCATCAACGGCATCCTGAAGGATGAATTGGGCTTTCAAGGATTCGTCCAAAGCGACTGGGACGCCCAACGCTCCGGAGTTGCAAGCGCTCTTGCAGGTCTTGATGTTTCGATGCCTGGCGACGGATTCCGCATAGGAGACGGCAAACCCCTTTGGGGACCGCATCTCAGCACATCGATACTCAACGGATCTGTGCCAGTAGCGCGCCTGAATGACATGGTCATGCGCGTTGTTGCAGCCTGGTATCAACTGGGTCAGGATGATGCCGCAGCTTGGCCAATTCGTCGTCTTAGTGGTTCCGCAACCTTCAGCAGCTGGACTGATGACAAGCAAGGTCTGCTTCACCCAGGCTCGCCCGGCAGTACGGAAAAGGGAGTTGTCAACGATTTCGTACCTGTTCGCAACACCGAGGAGGGAGGCGATCATGAGAAGCTCGCCAGACAAATCGCGGCCGAGGGCATTGTCCTGTTGAAGAATAAGGGCCAGATCTTACCTTTATCACGTGACGGCTCCGGCGTCCGGGTCCAGGAGGGCGATGGCAAGTTAAAGGTCGCAATCTTTGGAGAAGATGCATTTTCAAATCCAAATGGGGATAACGCATGTCCCGATCGAAGCTGCAACGAGGGCACTTTGGCAATGGGTTGGGGATCTGGCGCCGTGGATCTACCGTATCTGATCAGTCCTGCACAGGCTTTGCGAGGCAGCTTCCACGATCAGAATGTGGCAGTGACTGAGGTTCACGCGAAGGAGGAGCAGAAGATCAAAGATGCGGCTGCATCACAGGATCTCTGCCTGGCGTTTGTTAATTCCGATGCGGGTGAAGGATACCTCAGTTGGAAAGACATCAAGGGCGATCGCAACAATCTTCTCGCCCAGAATGGTGGCGATGACTTGATCCAGGCTGTCGCTGAAAATTGCGGTGGACATGATAAAAATGGTCCAATCGGAAAGACCATAGTTGTGCTCCACACCGTCGGGCCCACCATTCTGGAACGTTGGATTGACCATCCTGGAGTGAAGGCGGTCCTCATCGCCCACCTACCGGGTCAGGAATCAGGAAATGCGCTGGCGGACGTGCTATTTGGGGATGTGAATCCGTCTGGCCATCTACCATACACGATTGCGACAGCCGAAGAGCATTATGGTCCAACCAGCAAGATTTTGCGGTGGCCCAACGCCATCACGCCGCAACAAAACTTCACTGAGGGCCTCTATATCGACTATCGCCACTTTGACAAACATGGCATACCTCCACGTTACGCGTTTGGATATGGACTATCCTATACTCAGTTCCACGTGCCTTCAATCTTCGCTCAATTCCACGGAGTTACTGGCTCTGAACCTGCACCAAGGCCGGAGGGTATTGCTCCCGTAGTGCTCAACGAGACGATACCAGACGCAGCAACCGCGTTCTGGCCAAAGAACTTTGTCAGGCTCAAAAAGTACATATACCCGTATATCGAGGAAGCTCCAAGCACTCTCGGTCATGCGGACCGGTCATGGAGTGACCAACCCAAACGGTCGCCATCCCAGGCCGGCGGTGGCCAAGGCGGTAACCCCGATCTGTATACCGTCGTCTTCACGGTGCAAGCTCCTGTGGTCAACACGGGCGATCGCGAGGGCGATGCGGTGGTGCAGCTCTATCTCTCTATGCCGCACAATGTGACAGACGTTCGGGGCGGTACTGTGGACATGCCTATTCAATTCCTGCGCGGGTTTGAGAAACTGAGGCTTGGCATCAACGACCAAGACAAGCGGAAACGAGTGGAGTTCAACCTCACGAGGAGGGATCTGAGCTACTGGGATGTCGATCGACAGAATTGGATCATGCCTCCCGGTGATTTCAAAGTCTGCCTTGGCTTCAGCTCCCGGGATCTCCGACAGTGTACCACCCTTGCTACCAGCATGAATCTGGACCAAGGCGATGCAGATACTCCCGAATAGAACGCGATAAGTCGGGACGAATGTAACTCTAGTAGCCCGTTGAACAAATAATGGTACTTCTTGGAAATTAAACCGCATGTACTGTGAATCATTGCCGACCTGCTACAGCGTACCTTTCGTACTTACCAATGTATGTCGGCGGCTCGCCTGGTCTAAGATGCACCCGCGGCATGCGGGCGCAATTACGGATATCTCATGCGACATCACTTGCGACTGGTGTGTTCCGCTGATTCGACGACCAAGTATAGTAAGGTTGCGCTATTGGTGTACACCCGCTGCGAGATAATGCATAATATTCGCTGATACACATCAAAAAATGAACGCCGATGTAATGCTAGCCCTTCTCAAATCTAGACTTTTCAACCCCTTTATGCCCTTTCCCGGATCTGGACAAGAAGAACGCCCGAACATGGAGGTGAGAAAATCAAATGCTGAAAGATGACAATCGAGGACAGTCGAATGCTCGTAGATAGTGAAGTCATCATCGTGATCGCGTCGGCGTGTCGGCGATGCTGTCCCCATCGGCGTCACTTCCCTCCTCCTCATCGTTCTCGTCATCGCTTTCATTCCAGCCTTCAGCTTCAAGGTCAGGGCTGCGAATGCCGAAACTCATAAGGAATCCCAGGAATGCAATGCCGCCAAAGACCCCAAACACCATGGCTTCGCCTTTGGGGTGAATTTCCGTGGCAGCGGTGAAGAGCGCGCCACTTACAAGGGGGCCTGCCGCACGACCACCCGCGCTCAACGTTTGTGCCAGCCCGTTGAGCGTGCCTAGAACAGCGTGTGAAGGCGCGGTGTTCGTTATCAAGAGCAAGGCAGAGGTCAGGCCTCCTACAGAGGCGACCGTCTTGATGATCAAGACCGCGCCGAGCTCGATCCAAAGCCAGATCTTGCCCGACTGGGTAGTGCGGCCGGCCCCATTACCGCCGTCCTTGTAGCCGATCCAGGGCATGAGTATGAATGCGACAGCGAATCCAGCGAGACCGGCCCGATAGGTGGCCTTGTTACCCATTTTCTCTCGCAGCTTGCCAAAGATTCCGACCTGAAAGACGATGGTGATGGCTCCGGCGAATGCCAAACTTGTTCCGATCTCGCCGGGAGAGAGCGCACGTCCTATGGGAGGCTTCGCTTCGGAGAAGATCGGGTAGAGTGAGTTATAGCTGACATTACTCAATTGGAAAATGAGATAGGAAACCAGCAGGAGGATGGTGTCTCGGGTGAAAATGACGTGGCTTGGGATGCTCTCCTGTGCGTCAAGCAGAGTTGATGGGAGCAGGCGGCTTGACTCGTCCGACTCGTCGGAATCACCCTCATCGTCTTCGTGGTCCTCACTCCCTGTCAAGGGCTGTCGAGAAGTAGGAAGGCGGGAAGCGTGTTTAGTACCCTTGCCTGCGCGTCGAACATAGGTCGGGCGAGACGCACTTGTAAACTGCCAAATCCACGCAAACAGGCTTCGAATCCGGTGCGACATTGGAGGAAGATCCTTGGCCGCCTCTAAAGATTCTTGCAAAAGGATTGCTGTGACGACAAAGTCAATCAGCAGCACCACTGCCGAGAACAGATTCGGCAGTAGATATGGGTATGGGTTTGGGGTACCCGGACGGAATGGGTTGTCCTGAAATACGAGCAGCCCGCCCACCAGCGGACCCGTGATGCCTCCCAGGCCGTAGATCACGGGCAGATATGTGAAAGCCCGGCTCTGGTTGGAGCGATCCGTTATTTCTCCCAGGCAAGTGCTGATGACGCCCTGATTTCCATTGACCAGGCCCATCAATACCTGGACCAACACCGCCTGCCACAATGTCCTGCAGAATCCAAATGCCACGAAGCCGACTGCAGTCAATAGTGTCCCTATCAGCACCACGGGCTTCCTTCCAATCCTGTCCGACAACCATCCCCAGAGGAAATTTGTTGCAAACTGAGCCAGCGCAAAGGACGAGGCAATGAGGCCGACATAGAGACCAATCTGGGTCTCCTCCACCTCTGGAAATGTTGAGGCCATGGCCGGGAGGTAGGGTGAGATGGAGTTCAGGGCGGTCTGTTCGGCCAAGGCGATGATGGCGAGCACGGCGAGTTGGCTCTTGGGCAGAGGGGTTTCATGGGCGACATGATCGCCGTCGTGACTGTCGTCGCACTGGCTCTCTGACGGTGTGGGCGGCGAGCCTATGGTGCCATTGCTACCACGCATATCTCGCTTGGATGGCGGTCGACCGGCGTTCTTCGGCGGTGCAGTCGGAAAGGTCGAGTAATGGTAAGTGGAAGAGACGCGCTGATGCAGAGTTGGCCGGGCATTGTCCTGTGGTTGCGACGACATACCAGCATACGCGAGTGCGCGCGAATCCGATTATGCCGGAAAAGTAAGTCGCTGGTCAGAGACGGAAAAGGATCGTCGTACCGTATGCACTGTCTGGGACAGTACACGCCAGTAGTTCGCGACCTTATCAGCAGCAGCGGAAGCAGAAGCAGAAGCGGCACAACAGAAACGCTCGCGGGCAAAAATCCAGGGCGGAGAGAAGCGTTTGCCAGTGCTGGCGATGACGTCCCAGGGCGTCGGATCGGCCGTGCGCGCACGTGATCTTGCTCCGAGCAGAAGACGAGGAATCATCAGAAGGGCAGAGAAAGACGACGACGTGTAGCAAATATGTTACCTGCGATATGGCGATGTATGCCTTGCCTTACAGTCGCTCTGCCCCGGATATCATATGCTCTCTCTCCTGTTACGTCCTATGTCCACTGAAGAAAAGCGAATGCGCGAGAGGGCAATAGACGGTGGAGACTCTGCTACAGTACCTAGGCACAGTATGTACTATACTATACTGTACCGTGGAGTCGTCCTGTGTGTCAAGGAACGGTGGTGGTCGATCCTGCCGTCGGACGACCCGGAGAGTCTGAAAGGTACAGTGTGCCGATCGGAGGAAACCGTGTCCGACGGCACGACAGTTGATATATAAAGACTGCTTTTTCCCTAGTCACGACGAGGTCAGGACGAGCGCTCAGAGAATAGATTCAGGAGATGATTCATCATCGTCAACGATCCTCTGCAATCGCCGTTAGATCAAAGGATGGAAGAACGACACATGCGCGCACATCTCAGTGACATGATCATCGTGAGTTTAAGAGATACAAACACCAGACTCTCCTTTCTTTCCCTCCTTGTTCCTCGCAATGTGCATCTGTCGACGAGGAACAGCATACATCAGACAAGTATCGTTCAATAGATTATTGATGCAGTGATTGATATCAGTCTGTACTCATTGTCACCATTTAGTAGGATGGGCATGTCAGTATTCACACCATGATCTATCACTAGACTAATGATCAGAATCAGAACAGAGGTGTGAAGATTGATAGAGGTGAATGGTTGGACGATGTCGATCTCGCCCACGCGGGAAATGTGCTCGTCATACGCCCCGATATAGTACAGCACAGGACATGCTAATAACAACAGTCTGCCCAGGTGTTGATTGATGGAGAGGGCCCCGACGACACCCCGCCCACTCCACCTCTTCCTCCCAGTCTGCCTCCAAGGCTTACAGGGTAAAGAATGCTTGGATTCACCAGTCACCCTACAATCACTCACTCACTCACTCACTCCAATGCCTGTGTGAAGGTGACAGCTTCAGTGATGGATGTATAAATCCACGAGTCTCGAAATCCCCCACGGCGATATAGCTCTTTAGGGGGCATCTATCACATTCGTGAAATCTCCGCTCTCCTCCGGACGTAGCGGAATTGTTCATGGTAATGTGCCATTGGCACGTCTGCTAAGCTCGACCTCGGCCTACCTAGCTACAGTACCTCATCAGGACATAGGGATCACCCACAATGGCTCTGGACTCGCTACTCTATTGGAGGCACAAAGATGATCAGCACAACCTTTGGCGGCCGGTGCCAGGCCAAAGCGCAACTCTGTATCGCGACAATCTACCCAACATCGTCAAGCGGATGGACGTCGAGGCTACGGTAGTCGATGCCGCTCCTTTCATCACGGTCGTGGGAGCTGCCACGCACGTTTCGCAGCTCCACTCCTTTGGTTTCACCACCTCGGCATCTTTGTTCAAGAACGTCAAGACCCTGACGGCACTGCATCGCGCGACCTTGTTCGTCACGCCGGTCGTCTTGGCTTGTCAGGCGGCCGGATTCAATTACCGCGCCTATATCCCTCGCTGGGCGCATGCCCGAGAGGTGCAACGCGATGAGGAGATCGTGCGGCAGCACATCGATGCTGGCATGGCTCTGGGCGCCGCCAGCTGGCTTTTGCGCCTCTCCTTTAAGCTCGGCGCGAGATATTGGGCACCTATCGACATTCTCGCCGGAGGCGCGCTTGCCGATGTGATGCAGCGAGAGTACCTCCGCGCACATGCCTTCTAACTCATCCTTTGCATCATATCTTGGTTCCAACGAGCCAAAATCATGCTCGCTCATCGTCGTCCTCAAGCGCAATGGGCCCACGACCACGTCGGCGGAAAAACGCCAAGGTGGGAGGGCGCACGATGTCGTTGAACAAGAAAGTTCCGTACACGAGCAGAACGAAGCCAAGAACCTGGAGCCACTTAAATGTCTCCCAACCAAGGCCGAGAGAGACGATCCAGATGAAAAGCGTCCGGCAAGTGTCGATGGTACTGCGCGCCGTGGCCGACAAGCTGCGGGTTACGCTCAGTCCGAAGAAATTGAAGCCACTGCGAAAAATGTCAGAACCAGTCTTGGAGTCGCGAGTCCACCGCACTTCACTTACCCAATCGAGATCATGATCAAGATGGACGATATTCCTATCGACCGATAGTGGAACATCTGATAAAATCCTTCGCGCGCATCGAAGTACCCGCCTCTTCCTCCCGGTGTTTGTCCGATTGCCGCATGGAGTATGCCCATTCCAATAAGGGTGATGCAAAAGCCAAAGACGCCCTCCCAGCCGACTACCTGAATCGGCTCCATCGAGTAACGCTCCATGATGCTCTCTTCTAGCACGAATTGGGCAGCAGCCAGTACTTGTGCCGCCGCAATCAAAAAGAGGCCCAACACGGTCTGAGCTGCAGTATGCGCTTCGGTCACGAAGACGTCCGATCGTATGAAGATGGCAGCGCGCGACACCAGGTCCAATCCCTCGGTTCCGTCCGCCTCTCCTGGATAGTCTGGCCCATGCGACTTGGACCCGAGAGCACCAGCAAGCCCAACAATGGCTACTCCAGTAACAACAATGAACAAGCTCGCCCATTTCATCCCACTCAGATGTCTCTTGAGGAATAACACAGAAAAGAGTCCGACAAACAAGATGCAAGTGCCTCGAAGCATTTGGTAGATGGAGGCGGCCAAAAATAGCAAGCCAACGTTCATCAGCGTGGTACCGAGGATGTCGCAAATGGCCGGGCCAGCCAGGAGCAGGATCTTCTTCCCAGTGAGCGGCTGTCGCTCTACTGCAGCATGATCGGCATCCGTCAATGCTTTGGCAACGATGTTTGTTGGGTCTACGACGGTCTGTGAGGCGCTCAGGTTGTCAGGGTGTGATCCATCTTCATTCAGCAGTCCTCGCTCCTCCTCTTCCGTATCTTCGGTGGCCACCGACTGGTACGCGTCCCCACTGGCTGTTGTCGATTTCGAGCGGAGACGTTGGAAGACGAGATTGAGTAGGATAACCAGCCAACAGGCGGCTTCACCGACAAACATCTGCAGGGTCTGTAAGACCGGCTGCTCGAATAGCTTCGGTTGAGTAGTCTCACAGTCGGCGACACATTGCATGTCCTGTCGCACGTCAGCCTGCAACTCATTCCGCCTCAACTTCATGGACGCGGATCGTCGCCTACCTGATACTTGGTGAGCAGTGTATTGCAAACGCCCGTCAGTAGCATCAACGACACCAAGACGGGGACGGAAGCGCGAGTCATTTTGGTATACACTGGAATTATTTTCGCGTGGCGTATGTACCGTCTGCTTGCCGACACTGCGAATCAAGCTCTAGCGAATGTACAGTTGAAGGTGGCGGCTCAATGAATAATAGACGGAGCGAAACAATTGATCATGGTCTGAAACGCGACAATGACTGGCGATATGCTGCAGCTACTCGGCGCCTTGAGTCCGTATGAAGTGAGCGTAGGCGATGAGGGGAATACCGTGGATGCCCGGGGTCAGATGCAATGAAGAGGAGTGATGAATGGAGGAGGAGCGGGTAGTGGTGATTGGGATATGTAGAGTATGTATAGCGGTGATTGACTGGCCGTGCCCAGGTGCCCAGGTGCCCAGGTGACAGATCTGTGAGTGAGAGAGAGTGAAGGTTGCGCGCGTGTCTCAAGTCGAGTTGGATGATCCGGTCGGTACGCTATATACGATAGTCCAGTCGAGTGGTAGTAGATACAGTACAGTACAGTACGGTACAGGAGCTGGCTGTCTGGCTGGAACGGAGATAAGAGCTGGAGAGGCGGCCCAGGAACCAAAGCTTTCTTGCAGGTGCCCAGGTGCCCAGGTGGAATCGTGTCATGTGTCATTCATTTGTGAGTGGTCATGGGTGTGCTCTACCCAAACCCTAAGATCTCACATCACCTGGGCACCTGGCACCTGAGCACCTGCACCTTTGGAGAAATCACTCCTATCTAGGTAGATATAATCATGACAATGATAATATGAATCATAATAACCATAATACTGGTGATGATGATACTGGAGCACTCCATGGCTGCCTTCCGATGTGGACATATATATACACCTGCTACCTGCACAGGTGCACTTCCAAGGTCGTTATTACACCGTCTATCATTCACTCACTACGGGTTGTGTAGGGCTCTGCGTGGTCGACATACGGTGACCGCATCTCGTCTCAAAACAATAAGGATAGATTTAACCTCGTCCAGTGCACCCGACCATACATTCCACGCCTTCTTACCTAGATAATCAGTTATGTGACGTGTTCGTTGGTTTAACACTTTGTCTCATACCGTGGCCGTGAATTACGTGTACTGACCGTCAGCATGGGACAGGATGACGGCCGAGCGAGAGCGAGAGAGAGAGAGAGAGAGAGTCTTGCCTTTCACGTCCCGTGGATTGCGGCCCCACGTTCTCGCATGTCGGCAAATCCCCGAACCCTAGGTAGGCACGAGCTGATCCATGGATTGGGCGCATACGGAGCACCGTAGATAACTAACCACATCGACAGGGATGGAGGGGTCGACCGATGATGAGGGAATTGCGGGCGGGCGGCGGGCGGCGGGCGGCGGGCGGCGGGCGGGCAATTATCAGAATAGAAAAAGAAGGATAAGAATAATAATTTGTCCGAAGGGGTTGCTAATTTATGGTTATTGACTTCAGAGGGATCTTTTTCACCTGGTCGGCGCGGGTTCCAGACTCGGCAATGACGGACGAGCGATATTTCTTTACAGCAGAGAAGAAAAAAGAAGAAGGAAAAAAAAACGAAAGGAAAGGCACAGTAGCAGCAGGGTGGCAGGGTAATAATGCGCGCGCGTGGCCGTTGTGTTGGACGAGAGAAGATCTCCCCCCCGTGCGTGTACAATAATCAGCTCCGTCCCTCTTCGCGCGCTAGGTAATCACTATTGGTTGAGAAGGATCTTGGAAGAGCTGGTCCACCGAAAGAAAAAAAAAGTTTCCCGGGTTGCCTGCTACACTACTGTCCCGTGTAGAGTAAGTAGTAGCACGCAGTCCCATCGCTGCTCGGAAGAAATAATCATCCTCGGAGGTGGTGGGAGGACGAGGATTACTATATTTCTCCCTCTCGCACAACCCTCCGTCCGTCCTCTGTCCTTCGCCTCATAGATTTCCAACATCGCACCGGGAGAGCAATTGCGACTCTTCTGTCTCGTTTCTGCAAAGAGTGACTTCGCTCGCGATCGACTTGGTCAACGTCTGCGCTTGACTGGCATAGACATCACCACCTTCTTCGCCGTGGTGCCTCGGCGGGGCTTATCACGCCTCTTCAGCCGTCCGCTCGTGCTGGTCGACGACGACATCTTTGTCCGCCTCGCCAAGTGATCCCCCTTCGAGTGGGCCATGCCTCACCACGAATCGCCTACCATGCAGCCTGTCATGATCACCAGCAAGACTGCGGCGCCCTCGCCCGAGGACGTCGCGGCAGTCACCAACACCATCTACACCTCCAAGACCTCCCAGGAGTCTCTTGACGCCGCCTACGCTCTTACTGACCTCCTACTCAACAGCGTTGGCTTTCGCGGTCTCGCCGCATATGGTCTTCTGCCCGAGATTCTCAAGGCTGCCACCGACAAGAAGGCCGCCGGGAAGCGAGAGGGCGCCATGTTCGCGATCGGCGCCATCTGGGAGCGCTTCCCTCCCAAGGCCCGTCTCAGTGAGATTGTGTTCCTCATGCAAGAACCTGGCCTTGTCGCGACAGTCTTCGACACCCTGGCGGATCGACAGTCTTCGGTCAAGGAAGGCGCACAATATGCGTTGGACGCGCTCTACAACCACCTCACGGCCGAGCTGAAGGTTTTCGCCCTTCTTCCTCTATTGGTCCAATACCTCAAGAAAAAGACAGGAAAGTGGCAGGGGACAGTGGGTGCGGTGACGCTCCTCGGCAAAATGGCGGATGACGCAAAGATGGGCATGGACAGCAAAGAAGCCGAGGAAGGCAAGGATGTGCTGCGCGAGTCCATGGGCCGCAAGCTCGCAGAGCTCATTCCCATCGTAGAGGCCGGCATGCACGATTTGAAAGGAGAGGTGTCGAAAGCCTCGATCAAGACCATGAACAGCTTGACGACCTTGCTCCAGAATGACGACATCGCCCCGAAGATTCCTTTCCTTGTGAAGAGCATCGAAGACCCGAGTGCTGAAGCACAGCGCAAGGCCATCCACGCCCTCAGCCAGACCACCTTCGTCACCATCGTCACGTCTCCCGTCCTTGCGCTCTTGACCCCTCTCCTGGAGCGTGCTCTCAACACCCCTACCACTCCGCAAGAGGTCTTGCGCCAGACCGTGGTCGTGGTGGAGAATTTGACAAAGCTTGTGCATGATCCTATTGAGGCGCGAGCTTTCCTTCCGAAGTTGAAGCCTGGTGTGCAAGCCGTGAGAGATCGTGCTTCCTTGCCCGAGGTACGAGAGATTGGACAACGAGCATACGATGTCATTCTCAAGGCCATGGGTGAGTCCGAGTCCGGAAGCTCGGAGAACTCTCACGCTGTGGAACGAACCAAGCCCGAGGATGTGCTTTTGGTCGTGGAGCAGGAAGTGGGAAAGAATGGTGGATTCATCAACTACCCTGGCGACTCAGACATCTGGGCGCATGCCAAGTTGTTCATCTCGGTCGCTGTTGCGGAAGATGTCAATCAGCGACTCGTGGACCGCCTGACCCAAAATCTCGTGCCTTATTTGCAGCCCTTGATGGATGACGGTAAAGCAGATGCTGTCGGTGCCGCAGTCAAGGAGTTCTACCTGGCAGAGGACAACCGCAAATACGGAGCCCCCGTCAAGGAGGATGATGGTGAGGTCGAGATTGTCAACGCCAACTTCTCCCTCGGATACGGTGGTATGCTGTTACTCTCGCACACAAACCTGCGCCTCCTCAAGGGTCACCGATACGGCCTCTGTGGTCGCAACGGTGCCGGAAAGTCCACCCTGATGCGTTCCATCGCGAACGGCAAACTTGAAGGCTTCCCTCCCCAGGACGTTGTTCGCACATGCTTCGTGGAGCACAACCAGGGAGAGGCCGCGGATTCGACGATTCTAGAGTTCTGCACAAACGATCCAGAGTTGCAGGCCGAAGGCGCTCAGCGTATCTCTGAGGTCTTGGAAGAAGTCGGGTTTACTCCCGGCCCTGAAGGCCGCCAGCAACAAAAAGTTGGCAGTTTGTCTGGAGGATGGAAGATGAAGCTCGCCTTGGCTAGAGCCATGCTCATGCGTGCAGACGTGTTCCTCCTGGACGAACCCACGAACCATCTCGACGTCGCCAATATTAAGTGGCTGCAAGATTATCTCAAGACACACACAGAAATCAGCTCGTTGATCGTGTCTCACGACTCCGCCTTCCTCGACGAGGTCTGCACCGATATCTACAACTACGAGAGCAAGAAGCTTGTACACTACAAGGGTAACCTTGCAGATCTTGTCAAGGTCCGACCCGAGGCAAAGAGCTACTACACCTTGAGCGCATCTTTGGTTCAATTCAAATTCCCGCCTCCCGGTATCCTCACCGGTGTCAAGTCAAACACTAGATCTATTCTGCGGATGACCAACTGCACCTTCACCTATCCCAACGCTGCCAAGCCCAACCTCTACGAGGTGAGCGCTTCTCTGTGCTTGAGCAGTCGTGTGGCCATCATCGGTCCCAATGGAGCTGGCAAGTCGACATTGATCAAGGTCTTGACTGGTGAAGTCATTCCCCAGCAAGGCAAGGTCGAGAAACACCCCAACTTGCGCATTGGTTACATCAAGCAACATGCTTTGGAACACGTCGAGATGCATCTCGAGAAAACTCCCAATCAATACCTGCAATGGCGATACGCCAACGGTGATGACCGCGAGGTGCTTATGAAGCAGACCCGCGTGCTCACCGAAGAGGACAAGCAGCAGATGGCCAAGTGGATTGACATCAACGATGGAAAGGGCGCACGACAGGTCGAGGCATTGATCGGACGACAAAAGTACAAGAAGTCCTTCCAGTACGAGATCAAGTGGAAGGGATGGTTGCCCAAGTTCAACAGCATGATGTCACGCGAGACCCTCATGGAGCAAGGTTTCCAGAAGTTGATCCAGGAGTTCGACGACCACGAAGCCAGCAGAGAAGGTCTTGGTTTCCGATCGCTTGAGCCCAAGGTTATCTCCAAACACTTTGAAGATGTCGGTTTGGATCCAGAGATCGCCAACCACAACGAGATCAGTGGCCTGTCAGGTGGACAGAAGGTCAAGGTTGTGCTTGCGGGAGCCATGTGGTGAGTCTCGAATCATCGTGGAACATGATGGCATTGGAACCATTTGTATACTGACCACACGAAAAACAGGAACAACCCCCATCTATTGGTCTTAGACGAGCCTACCAACTTCTTAGATCGAGACTCGCTCGGAGGTCTTGCCGTCGCCATCCGCGACTACCGTGGCGGTGTCGTCATGATCTCCCACAACGAAGAGTTCGTCGGCGCGCTCTGCCCGGAGCAATGGCATGTCGTCGACGGCCGCTTGACGCAAAAGGGCCATCTCGCCGTCAACCTCGACCGCTTCGAGGACTCGCGACCTGGCTCCACCGCCGCCAGCTCGGCCGTCTCCTCGGCCGTGCCCAGCACCGCCGCCACCCCGATCGGCAGCGGCGCCCAATCAGAAGCCGAGGGCGGTGCGCCGGCGGAGAACATGAACTTCCGCGCGATGAAGAAGAAGAAGCTCACCCGTGCGCAACAGAAGGAGCGAGAGGCTCGGCGCCGCTTGCGACACATCGAATGGTTGAACAGCCCCAAGGGTACGCCCAAGCCCGTCGATTCGGATGATGAATAAACGTGGGCGATTTAATGTTGTTTCGTGGGCCCAACGAGAGGATAGTACTTTAATGATCTATGAGGTGCCGGCGTAGGATAGAATTCATCCGGTCCAAGTTATACGGGCGAGGAGGACTCGGCCTCAACGGCGGTCACAGCCGAAGCGTTGATGGACGGGGGAAGGCAAGGGAACTTTTGCGTGTTCGGAAAGCTGCACCGGGGTATTCCACCTTGTCAGTGGGTTGGCCGCATGTGGCCGCGATGCATGGGTTGGCGTTGCCCCGACGAGGGCGTATGGTCTTGATTTTTGTTTTCGTTCTTCTCATTTTCGCGCGTTGCGTCCCGGCTCCGAAAGCGCGGAGGAAAAACAGAGGAAGCAAATTGGGGATTCACTTAGATAGACGGAAAAAAATAGAGTGAGCGGGAGGCTCGTGTTTTGGCGGTCGCACATGCATCGAGAAGTGATCGTTGATATACGGCAACAACCTTCGATAATTGCACACGGAGAAACGTCGCTGGCGGACAATGTTCAGTCATGGAAATCGATGGTGATTTTGCTCGAACAACAACTGTACAGTGGACGCTTTCTAGGAGAGTAAGTCTGATCCCTGAAGAGTCCGGGCCAGGACATGTATGCTCATTTTCAAATGCCATGTCTCGCGAGTCAAAATGCCCAGTGAGAGCGCCTCCTGCACCTGCGCTATGATGGAAACCCCAATCGCAACGAAAGTAGAAAACTTCGACTATGAGGGAAGGAATGTGTTGAGGAGAAACGGGAACGGCAGGGTCTGGAAAGACAGGAGAGGAAAAGGTCAATTTCTTTCCTTGGACCGTAGTGATGCAGGTGGCTATCACCGGTCTCGTCGCTTCATCGCTATGGAAAAAAAAATAAAGACACGAATGGAAAACAAGAAAGCACAATGGAGTGATCCGCCCCGCGCGCTTCTACCACGAGAATGCCTCTTCATAAAAGTCCAGCTCGGTGATCTCGCAGCGCTCGCGCATCGCCCGCCGGACGTCATCGGCAAGGCTGCCGGTGCCACATACGCTGATGGCCATGGCGCCGACCTGGCGCTCCTGCTCACGAGAGATGAGCGCGTGGACGTCAGGCTTGCCCGGGTACATCTGCACGCTGGCGCTCGGCGAGTGGATCTCCTTGGTGCTGCGCGGGCGGGTGACGAAGAGGAGGATCTTGAGGATGTCGCGGCGGCGCTCCATGGCGAGGACCTGGGTCATCCAGGGCCGGATCCATTCCAGGTGTTCGGGTGATTGAATAACCCAGACCAACACCACCTTGCGCGTGGCGCAGGTGCCGTTCGCATACGCCGCCACGAGATCCCGGACGTGTGGGACCTGATGTGTGATACCCACCCCGGCGGCGAACAGCATGACGGTGCCGTAAGACTGGAAGCATTCGTTGCCGTAGGGTCCTTCTACGAGAGCCGATGCCGTGAATGGTCCCTTGCCCTCAGCCTTGCGCCAGAGCGCGTCGGTGAAACCTGTCCGTCGTCGAATGATAAGCGACATGGAGGTCTCCTTGGCTGCGAGGATGTCTGTGCGAGCGATCGGTAACGGTTTGTCTTCCGCGGGCGGGGTGATCTCCTCGCTCCACACGACAGAGAACGGATGACTTGAGAATAAGCCAATGGACGGCATGTATAGGTAGATATGCTGTCCAGGCCGGAACTTCCATGGCCGGGCCACTCGCAGAGTCACGCGCATAGCGTCACCGGGGAGAGCCTCGACTTCGGCTTTGGTGACACCCTTTGAGCGGGAATAATTGGCACGGATGAGGAGCCACACGCGCATCAGGCGCTCGAATCCCCAACAGATGATGGCACCAGCCAGGATTTTCTGCGAGAAGGGATACAAATTGAGATGCATCCAGACTGTGATGACCGCGACCATTGCGAGAAAGAGATGAATACCGAGGAAGACTTCATAAAAGGCGTGACGGATGACGGATGGGGAATGGAACAGCAGTAAAATAAACGCCGCCATGCCGATTGTGCCGGTGAGGGTCATGGTACGATTCGCCATGGCGTGAGCGATGCCGCGCCAACCCTCTTCGGCTCCCTTATCGCGCGTACGACCATAAACCCAGAATGCGACGTGAATGAAAGCTTCCAGGACGGAAATGCGGCCGATCCAACGATGGATCAGGTTGTAAGTATCGAATGTGATGCCTAAAAGTGGGATCAATGGATTGTTGCGCCCGGCCAGGAGGAACAATGGAACCATGTTGATGACCGAAAGCACACCCATTCTCCTGACAGCCACCGTGACCCAGGCGTTGTCATGATAATCGACCTTCCAAGCACAAAAGGCCAAGTTCAGAGCAAGATATCCGAGGAGAAAAAAGGTCTGCAAACGACCCGGTAGGGTACCCACGTTGACTGCCGACGACAAGCGAAACTCTTGATTGTGACGTTTTCGTAGTAAAGGTGCGTAGAGGAAATGGCGCTTGAATTTGGCGAAAGTGTCGTTTGGCATGCTGAAGTAGCGCTGTCGGCCGTCGACGACGTTGGTGTTGAGATTCGCCATCCGACGCACATGGTGTAGAAGGTGAAGCGTCCATCGGAACAGAAATAAGCTGGCGATGATGGCGAGCCAGGTCAAGCCGATGTACTTAACCATGTCGATGTTTTGATAGTAATCAGGCGAGTGATCCATGGTGAGCGCCACGGTGGCATTCGAAGTCGCGGTCATTTCTGGTGATGCGCCAGTCGTGCTCGTGGCGGGAGCCGTGGCATTGTCCATGATGCTCTCCAGGATAGTATCTCAACCGCCGTTGAGGCGGCGGCGTATGTCAGGGCCAGCAAAGTGAATCGGGTCGAAGAAAGAAGGGAGAGATGGAAGAATCCAAAGGTCAAGATGGTCCGCGGTCCAGGACGACGAGTAGAGCCCGACCGGCAGACTCTACCCACGAGACGCCGAGATTGGAATAAGGATCCGATGACGAGGCAATGTCGGTCTTGGCGAAGAGAATGGCGATAGCGATGGCCCGTCAGTGGATGCGCAGGCCAGAGCAATTGGTGACGAAGTGGTCGAAGACCAACGAGCGACAGGAAAGTGGTACTGTGTTATGAATCGTAAAGAACCCGCGGCGACGAGAGAAGAGAGCGGCGGTGGTGAAGACCAGAGAGAGCAAGGGCGAAAGCGCCAGCAAGCAAGCAGAATTGGAAGAAGATGGTGTCGTTCACAAATCCATGGATATGGCGATGGTGGTGGTGTTCCGTTTGTACCGAGCAAAGGACCGGGGCGTAAGAGACAACCAGCGATCGACGACGACGACGGCGACGATGACGAGAAGCGAAAGGGAAAGAAGTCGAAAAGAGAAACAAGGTAGTGTGCAGCGCGGTGCAGTGTGCAGTAGGTAGGTATTCGGTAGGGGAGGGCGATTGTGAGACCGCCGTACGCGTCTGGGCAAGGACCGAAAAGGGAAGCGGACGTCCGTCGTTCAACGAGGAGGTGGGAGAAAGTGAGAGGGAGAGAGAGAGAGAGAGAGAAAGATAGACAGATCCGATGAGACGGTTGTAGTAGAGTTTACCGTGTGGCAGATCTCTCCTCTTCTCTCATTCCGTCGTATTGACAGCGTCTGTCCTCGTGCATATCCGAATTCCGGAGGGTGAAGGGAGACGAGGGAGGACTGGATCATCGCTGTGATGATTGGAATAACGGCTCCCGGCTGGTTGTGTTGGTGTGAGCCTGGTGTGCTGGTGTCGGCATCAATCCGGAACTGCTGCACACTGCAAATTGTATGGAGGAGGGTTTTCGTGCAAGGAACAGGTCGATGATTGGCCCGCAGGGAATTAGGATGTGCTGCATGGGTGCGCCAGGAGCGGGCCGTTAAATTGTTAGCCAGAGATGGAGATGCAGCGGGCGACAAGCCACACGCGGCAAAACCGGTGCAGAAGCCAATCCAGGGGGAGGGAAAGTCATGAAACTGCAGTCGACTCCACTCCACGCGACTCCTCCTGCATCTCTCTCGTATTGCTCCTCCTCTGGCTCACCACACTCATGTCGACTCAAGCCGGAATGGGTTACATCGGTTGGAACTGTGGATGATATCTCCTATGGGAACTGAATGTGCAGTTAATTATTACGATTGAAGGCGGCATAGTCCATTCATTTTCACTGCCGCAAGAGAGAGATAAGTCTGTAGTACGAAATCATCAGCGATTTCACATTTGTTTGTACACCAGCACAGCGTCGTTCGTCTCACGATCACGATCAAAGGAACGCGTCATTGCCCGACGATAACAGACACGCACCGTTTTTCAAAATTACGGTCCTGGAAGATTCTCTCGCATCTTGTCACTACCTCGAACTCCCAACCGTACGATGCTGCACGAGAATCTGTTGAAATTGTTTGAGATGTAGGATATGCGACATCCACCTGCCGGGCAAGGATAGCTTCTTGTCATTGTCATCACCCCGTGTGCGCCAAAGCGATTTCACACTCGCGCCTGCTCAGCACACACATATCCAGCACCTGTACCCATCGATGAGAGAAACCCCATGTGCATCCCGCGTACGTGCGTGGATCGACCAGTGCCGGAACAGGTCACGATAATGGTTATCGTTATATTGTTGTTGGCCTTCAACATGGCCCGTCCGGGACTACCCACGAAGATCTGAATATAACAGAGAGGGATGCCAACAAATACAGATATGCAGTGCAATGGCCGACACGACACGGACGGCTATTACCCTACCCGGAGATGATATCTTAGAGTAGGCGCCCTGGGCGCCAAGGACCCCGTGAAATTACACCTCCGGCCTTGCTTTTAGAGAGGTAGACTATACCATTTCAACAGGACGCAAGGAAATGCGAGCTTGAAAGTTGAAAGTTGAAAGTGAGGGCAATCGCATAAATTACCATGCTCACACTCGTCTATACACAATTGCGCAACAACTGCGATCCTGTCATCGTGTCGCATCAGGCGCGCATGCAGTGGACTCTCAGCAGCTGCAACGGCATTTGACGACCGATGATGATGTAAGCTCGAAAGGACCGTGAGAGGGATGACGATATTAGTGATGACGATGTTAATTGATCACTGTACGTGTACTGTGGACTCGGTGTGGAGAGGGTGGGCAATAACAACGGGCCAACAACGGGCCTTCTCAACGGTCCGATGGAGTAAATCCACCCAGAGCGCGTCCACCACGAGTGCACGAGGATTGTTGAAACGCACCTGCAGCATGCACCGGATTGTCAAGTCACCAACCCAGCCCTAACCATTTCTTCCACGCCTTTTCCGCTTCCCGGCCTCTCTCCGCCTGCCAACCATACCTCCCAGGCACTACTCCGTTACAGGCACTCCGTTCACGAGCATGAACATTATTGGAATACCATGATATATATATTCCCTGGACACTCTGAAGAAGGCACCCACTGTTCCTACTGATCAGCTGACTGACCTCTGCTGAGAATCGATCTGATGACGAAGCTGAAGTCCCTACAGGAGCAGTGCGCGAATCTGCGGTGTGAGGCGCTGCGGGCGTGAACCGCCGCCCAATGATGTTCATCAAATGAAATACGACGTCGTTTCTCACCAGGTACGTTTGAGCGGCGGCGCATCTCAGTGCATCATGCAATACTACCGATCAGAAGGGCGGTGAATTGGGCCCTTTGCAGCTCTTCGCATGGGTGGCCGGAATTTATGAAACAGTCATGATCGAAGAAAACCAGTTTATGCGCCATGCGGTGCAGCAGCACGACCGCGCAGTCACAGCATCTATCCACGCCCGATCCCAAGTTTGTGATCGCTTGTGCGTACCTAGGTAGTGTCATGAGGATAATGCGGCGGCTCCAGGAGAGCCACTCATCCATCCGCACTGTTCTTTGTTCGTGAGTTGCGAAACATGCCTGAAACGCCATCGGGAGTCCCATGCACCCCCCGCCTTTTCGTTACGCTCTACCACAAGTTTGAAGAATTTGGGTAACGAACATTCTTCCATGGGAGAAGCTTAAACTTCTCACTCGGGAAGGCGGAATTCACTGGTATCTTCGTCACCAGAGGATATATCGAGTGACACAGGCGCAGCACCATGATGTTTTGCGAAAACAATTTGGAACAGATTCAAATTAAAACGTCAAGTCCGCCCTCGGCGCCAGACGCCAGCATCCATGGGTCCATCAGCGTCATCAATTCACGCACCCGCCTTCAACTTGACGCCTGCTTGCCATGCTTCTTCTCAAATACCCAATCGTTCAGACCGGCGCGGTTTCTAAACGTCACGGGTCAGTCGGTATAGATAACCAGGGAGCGACAGGATCAACCATCCTGACGGGCCTCACATACCGTGCAATTTCGATGGCGTAGAATTGCATGCGCACAGCTGTCGCGAATGACCCATTAGCCAAGACGTCCCAACACCCGGGGCATTGTCCTTCTCACTCACCAAAGATGACCTCATCTTGACCATACTCCGTCGCTGCGTTGGCCCGGATCATGGCGCCAAAGTTGTAGTCCTCGATGCGCTTCTCATACGCCATGATGAATTTGCGCCAGTGCTCCTTGCCCTCTTTGCTCTTCATGTCGTTCTCATTGATGGTGGCCTTGAGATCGAAGTCGGGGAACTCTCGCTGGAAATGCTCGAGGATCTCGTCGTCATATTTGGTCAATTTGAGTTTCGATCCTTGGAAGTTTTCGAGTAGCGACCAGTAAATCTCCATGTGCTCGACGACTGTTGGGTGGCAGAAGAAGAAGAAGGATCCAAGTGTTAGAAGAAGCAACGTTGATCTTTCCGAGGCCATTGTTCCATCCTACCAACCTTTCACCGCGAATTGCTTCTCAATATCCTCGAAGTTTTCCGTGTAATCGGGGTTGATCGGCCCGCCCGGCGCAGAGAGCGACATGGCGATGGTGTTGTGTCTGTTATCTGAGAAGAATGAAGTGGAAAATGCTGTTGACAATCGCCGCCACTTCGCGGTTCACTTGGGCCTCAATGTGTAAAGAAGAAATTGATGTGTGCTAAAAGCCGACCACTCCGTCGCGAATGTTCACGCGATCACGTTGTGCAGAATGATGGGTAGTGCCTCATAAATTCGCTGTCGCAAGCAATTTTTTATCACCGCCGTTGGTCGGTATCGATAAAGCGCAGCGGGGTTTGATCATACTGTTGAGAATCTTCGAATGCCGTCATCCCCCTCCTCCGCGGGTGCGCTGCATGGGCAGGCATCACTACATCACCACCCAGTTTTACAGCGTGAGGTATGGGCTCTTCTCATACCTATCTAGACACGTGCTCTATCGATCATCTGCGATTTCGAAGGGAAAATAATACCATCTAGGGCTGGAATGCCAATGCACATTTGCACGATCAACCAAATAGAAAATGCCGTCCCAGCGTAATGACTTCCATGCAACCAAGACGAGAGTCCTCCAAATGCCGTCACCGAATGCGTCTTCTACAATGACTTGGTTCGCGGAATACTGCAATCTGCTGTCGGTGAAGCATCATTCTACAGCTACATCTTCGTTCATAGAATAGTGAACCGTCTGACTGCCGGAAAGGGGCGACGAAGATGTGATGAGTGGATATATTGACGATGACACGGAGACACTATGCTGACGGAGCCACTTTGGACCAATTGCCAGCTGCGGATGTAATAATCCTCTATAATAAAATTATTCTGGTGCTGGCGGCGCTGACATGTCCATGGTCGGCACATCACAAGCACTTCGTGTATTAACACTTCGTAAACTTCGACATGAGCGGAGCTTGGACCATCTGCCGCCTCGGCTTCAACAGGACATAAGCACGGCAGTCTGTCAGCATGGGAACATTTTGCGATCCTACCCGACTTCTTCTATTATATTACCCAGCTGAAAACACTTGTCGGATCCATTTCCAGGATTCATAGCTGTTCATTGAATATCATGGCTTCGAAAAGTGTGCTGATCACCGGGTGCTCTCCAGGCGGCATTGGGCATGCTCTTGCGCGCGAATTCAAATCCAAGGGCTTGCGGGTGTTCGCCACGGCAAGGAAGACCGAAACCATTTCCGATTTGGCCGCTCTCGGCATCGAGACTCTCTCGCTGGAAGTCACCGATCAGAGCAGCATCGAAGCACTACTGGAAGAGATCAAAACCCGCACTGGCGGCTCTTTGGACATTCTCGTGAACAATGCGGGTCGCAACTACACCGTGCCAGCCCTGCATGTGGAGATGGAGGAGATCCGTCAGACCTTTGAGACAAACGTCTTCTCCGTGATGCGCATCTGCCAGCTATTCGCGCCGCTACTCATCAATGCCAAAGGCACCATCGTCCAGATCGGGAGCGTGGCAGCCATTATCCCCTACGTATTCGGGTCCGTCTACAATTCGTCCAAGGCGGCTTTGCACGGCTACACCACCACGTTACGGGTAGAGCTTGCGCAATTCGACGTCCGAGTCGTGACCGTAGTCACCGGTGGCGTGAAGAGCAACATTGCACGCACTAACCGCTCGCTTCCCGAAGACTCCATCTATCTACCAATTGAGACAGAGTATGCCGAGCGACTTAAGCACAGTCAAACGGCAGGTATTCCCAACGAGCAGTACGCTCGTTCAGTGGTCAGCCAAGTGCTCTACAAGCCACGCAAGGATACTATTTGGGAAGGTGGCATGTCCACCGTCGTATGGTTCGCAAATTCGTTTTTCCCGCGATGGGTCATGGTAAGTGGATAGGTCATTCTCAGACTTGATGTTCGATTTTCTGACGTCACCCTAGGACTACGTTGTGACTCGCATGTTCAAGTTGTATAAGTTGCGCGGAACTTATACAAAGAAGACCAACTGAGTTTCGAATGTCTCCATAAGCACAGCTATACTTACTTTGCTGTCCCGAAAGCTGGGCTCATTGCCAAAACCGCGTCGTCGGCGTTGTGAGAGGCAAAATATTTGATAATGCATCGAACGTATCGGAAAGCGTGAGAATGAAAGCGCGAGATGGAGGAGCGCAAACCTTGTATTGCTGTCATATCATGTTGTTATACATCATTTCTTGCCGGGCCAAATGTCTTTGACCGCAGAAATGATCGATCCCGACTTCTTTTGGTCCCCTTCGGATGAAGCAGGGCCCAGGTCTCCCAATCTTGACTCACTCTCCGACGCCGCTTCTGCTGTCCGTCTCTCCTCCTCGGCGACCTTCTGTTTGTCCACTCGTCGACCCTCCATGAGCTTCTTGCGCACTGCCCGAAGCTCTTGCTCTTCCTCCTCTCGAATCTCCAACTCCTTCAACCATGCCTCGTGCTGCTCCTTCTTTTTCTTCTCCTCGACGATGCCGTCAAATTGCTTTCGCTTGATGCGATCGCCTTCCCAATACGCTGAACCTGCCACCATTGCCAGAATGGTGAATCCTTGTGCGTAGATACGGCGACGGAACATGCGATTCGTCTTGTACTTGTCGCCTGATTTCATTGACTTGGTTCTGCGGATAGATGGTATCAGTTTAATTCTATGGTCTTGTAATAGAGGCTACGCGAAGAATCTCACGCTTCATATAGTGCCCAACATGTCAATGCGCAACCCAGTGGGATTAACGGCTCCTCGAATAGCTTTCGCTTCAATTTAGCCCATCTTGACTCTTCATAGAAATCACTGTTCTCGTCGAATGAAGATGGTGGCGGTGCTGAGCTTAGGTTGCCGGGAACGGACATGCTGTGCGGAATGGCGACAAGGTTGTCGCGTGCCTGAAGAGTTGCGACAGAAGCAGGCGATTATTGGAGTATCCTCGTTGGGCAGGCGAGGTGCCTGGGAAGTCTACCAGTCACCGATAGAGAGGCTGAAACGATCCGGTGGAGTTGCGAGGTCAATGAAGTTGTGATGTATACGAAGGTCGGAGCCGGAAAAGATACTCAGCTGAAGTCGAAACGCCGCGGCCGATCAAAAGTGATGATGTCGATGGAATTGACGCTGTACCCTGCAGTCGCATTATGCTCAAACCAACTGAACTACTCCCAGTCGAGACAAGCAAGCCGATCGAATACTTTTCGCTGTCCTACATGTTCACGAACCCTAACTATCAAGGCTCCAGGGCTCGTGCGTCCAACAAGAATATCACCGGTCCACCGCCGTCTTGAATGATGAGTCGAATGTGACCATTGTTATCATACCAAAGCGATATAATTGATTCACGGCCTCACGAAACGCTCAATCTATACAAGGCTTGCAGAATAATACTTGACCAGATAAATTGAGGAGAATATAAGACGACGCAATCATGGCGGAGATGGCCATGACCAATGGCCGGCGCGCATCAGATACCTTCAAGCCAAAGCATACGACCCTAGCATTGACCGAATATGCTGCGAGCCCAACACCTCAACTCGGAACTCCCCATGAGCGAAATCTGAACCCAGGCGGAGTCCCTGAAGACCTTTTGTTGCCCAATGGCTACCCCGATGTCAGTGAAGACCACAATGCTTTGGCTCAACTACCCAGTGCTGTCATCCCTGCACCTCTGGGCTTTGAATCAAGCCAACGATGGCAGACGATCAAATCTAATCGATATCATAGTACATCCGTCTCATCACGACCGCCAAAGTCTACGATGTCGTCACAGAGACTCCACTGACCCAAGCCATCAACCTCAGCAACCGACTCGAAAGCAATGTTTTATTGAAGCGAGAAGATCTGCTCCCGGTGTTCTCCTTCAAACTCCGAGGAGCCTACAATAAGATGGCCCATCTGACTCCCGAGGAGAGGTGGAAAGGAGTCATCGCATGTTCAGCAGGTAAGCAGGTCTTGGGGCTGGTGGCTTATAGAGACCCGAGTCGATTGCTTGTTGGCCAGCATAGATCCACATGCTGATCGAAGTCAGGTAACCACGCCCAGGGCGTTGCATATTCAGCGAGGAAATTACGAATCCCAGCGACAATCACAATGCCAGTCGGAACACCGGCCATCAAACACCAGAATGTCGCGCGCATGGGCGGCAACGTCGTCCTATACGGAGCCGATTTCGATGAAGCAAAGGCCGAGTGTAATCGGAGAGCAGAGGCAAACGGCTTGATCAACATCCCACCGTTTGATGACCCCTATGTCATCGCTGGTCAAGGTACCATCGGTGCCGAGATTCTTCGTCAAGCCGATCTAAGCAAGCTCGAAGTCATCTTCTGCTGCGTGGGCGGAGGTGGTCTCATTGCCGGAATCGGAATTTACATCAAGCGATTCGCACCGCACGTCAAGATCATCGGCGTGGAGACCTATGATGCAAACGCACTAGTCCAGTCACTCAAGATGGGCAAGCGAGTTACGCTCCCAGAAGTTGGGTTGTTCGCTGACGGCGCTGCGGTGAAGTCGGTCGGGGTGGAGACTTTCCGCATATGTCAAGAGGTCGTTGACGAAATTATCCAAGTCACCACTGACGACATCTGTGCGGCGATCAAAGACGTCTTCGAAGACACACGCTCGATCTTGGAACCCGCCGGCGCTCTCTCACTCGCAGGTCTGAAGAAATATGTCGCCAGCAATCCCTCCGCAGACACAAGCCGACAACTTGTAGCGGTAGCAAGTGGAGCCAACATGAATTTCGATCGATTACGTTTCGTCGCCGAACGTGCCGCTCTAGGTGAGGGCAAGGAAGCACTTCTCGCAATAACTATTCCTGAGAGGCCAGGTTCTTTTGCAGACCTGGTTTCCACATTGAATCCCATGGGCGTGACCGAGTTCTCCTACCGCTACAGCGATGACAGCAAGGCGGACATCCTCGTGGGTGTCACCGTCTCCGCCGTCACCCGGCAACGCGACCTCGAGGATCTCTTCTACCGCTTGGAGCAGCAGGGAATGCAAGCCAAGGACATCTCGGGCAACGAGCTTGCCAAGAGCCACCTCCGATATCTCGTGGGCGGCAAGAGCACTGCGGCGCACGAGCGACTCTTCGCATTCGAGTTCCCCGAGCGCTCGGGCGCGCTGTTCAATTTTCTGACCACGCTGCATCCCGATGCCAACATCTCCCTCTTTCACTACCGGAATTACGGCGGCGACGTTGCAAAGGTTCTCGCAGGCATTCAGTGTCCGCCGGGCGAGGAGACGAAGCTGGAGGCGTTCTTGAAAGAGATTGGATACGGTTATACGGAGGAGACGCAGAATGAAATGTACAAGATGTTCATGCGTCCTTGAGGAGGAGGGATCGAGAAGGATCGAGGTTTGGCCGGTGATAATGTCTGTGACGGCCACGGCGTTAGGGAGTCTTGGGGTAGGGTCAAATAGAGACCAGAACAGTCGTGATTTTGAGCTCTGGAGGGTGTCGGTTCTGTGCTGTTCACCATACCATGCTTATTGTCGTTGTCCGAGATCAAAACATGTCCCGAGCAAGGGGAGTGAAACTATCGTCACACGGTAGGGTCCGAAATGTCAATTTGAACACAATGGTGTTAGATTCAGCAAGGGTACACTCATATTCTTGCAGATGGTATCAAACGCCCCGAAAATCAACAAGCACATCCCTCCTTTGGCCCAGCATCACCGTCCCTCGATGTAAGATTGACCCGGCTGTTCTCTTGTCTTCCTCCTGCTCCGGCCTGTGCGCTGCCACCAGCACCAAGCACAGCTCCCCGTGTCTTCAAACTGGCTTCCGGAATGGCGTTTGCGATGGCGGTGAAGACCTCGCTGACGTTGTGGCCGCTCTTGGCCGAGGTCTCGAAGAAAAGCAGATTCTCCTCGTCCGCAAATGCCTTGGCCTCTTTGATGCTGACCTTCCTGAGGGCGCCATCGACCTCCTCTTCTACACCCTCGGGCGCGTCATCGCCTGCGCTTCCTGTAGCTCCATCTTCCTCGCACAAGTCGAGTTTGTTTCCGACAAGTGCAATGACGATGCCTGGTGAAGCTTGTCGCTGGAGCTCCGCCACCCAGTGTCGTGCCTTTACAAGACTGCTGGGCTTTGTGAGGTCGTAAACCACCAGAGCGGCCTGTGCATTACGGTAGTACATAGGCGCGAGACTGGCGAAACGCTCCTGGCCGGCGGTATCCCAAATTTCGAATTTGATGGTTCGGCTAGGAAGTTGGCATTTTTGCGTCAAGAAAGCTGCGCCGATTGTGGGCTCCTTATTCGGCTGAAAATCATTGTTGACAAACCGGAGGACGAGAGATGACTAGAATAGGATGTCAGATCAAGAAGAGCCGGCATTTTTGAAGAGGTCGTGATGCGCCACGCGGACGAGCAATGCGCGCAGCTCCTCTAAGAAAGACGGCGAGAGTGTTCCCAGGCATGTATCGTACCTTTCCGACTGCAGCTTCTCCGAGGAGCACAAGCTTCACGCTGCTGCTTGGTTTTGGGGCTGTCGAGTCACCCATGTTTGTAGTGGATGTTGGAGAGGCTGGACGATTTGCCCGCAGGCTGCGGCCTACGTTGTAGGATGACAGTTTGAAGGTTTAAATGTCGAGTGATGAAAGAGCTGGTAATTGGAGCAAGTGTTGGAGATTGACTATGGTTGATCGCTCCTGTCTAGTAAAAAGCGCAGAATACGAGACGCCGATAATCAAGAAAGTTGGGTGGAACAGGTTGAATGTTGCGATATTGATGATGAATGATAGCGTTGGCGCAACCGCTTCGGCGGCGACGGCAACTGCCTGCTGGTTGTATAACGATCAAAGTCCGAGTACTTGGGTACATGCAGAAACCGGTTGCCCTAACGCTGAGAACCATTTATTTATCCACGGGCAGCGTGCCCGCCTCATAATAAACAGCCCTGGAGCCTTGGAAATATCCCGATGATGTTTAACGTGATGATATAATAAGAATACAAAGTACAGCTTTTGAAGACTAGTGGCACAGCCCAGATAAGGTAGATCCGTAAACTGAGATCCACAGCATAAAGCGCCTTCTCTCGATGGTGAACCCGGTCTGAGGTCCCTTGCCTTCACGATCTGAACCACAATGCTGAAACATAATAGGACGTGTGATTAGTCCCGCGGTTGACCACTCCACATTGGCAGCGCCGGCAGCTCCGCCTATTGAGAGGGCCCATCAATTTGGGTCGAGAATAGTCAGCGTCCAGATTTCGTGACCAAATACGCAGTTAACTTGGCACACATGGACGTTTGAAACCTCTAGAGTCGTGAGATGCCTCCATCACTAGGAGCTAAGGGTCGTTGACAAGCTCCACGAACGACTCGAACGCTCAAAGGCTCAGATTTTCTTTTCCTGTGGGTAGTATCTGGCCCGTAGATTCCTCAGCTCGAGAGCATAACCGAGCCACCTGCCGGGAGATGGCATTTCCAGTCAGCTATGAAATGTAGAGACGTGTAGCATGTTCGAATAGTATACGCACATCGCGAGGCAGATGCCAGAGAAGAGGTATTTCTGTGCTTCTCCGTTTGCATATTCCGGGTCATGCCAGTGCGTGCCCGGATATAGAATGGCAGTCAAGCCGGCGAAACAATACAAGCTGCCGATGAGAGCCGCGCTGAACATGTTATCTTGAATCTGCGCAACGCGAATCGTCGGCTTGAAGGCGAAATAGACGCTTGCCGCTGCAAGGCAGACGCCGAGGGTCATGGTTTGTCCTGTGTTGACTTGGTGAGCACGACTCGACAAGTGCTGACGTTCCCATACGGCCGAGATCACGAACCATTATGAAAGCGTGCATGCGGCGGCCATCGTGGATTCTTCACATGTGTCACGTTGTAATCTGCTATAAAGGCTCCGGCCCCGTACAACAGGTTGCCGATGAGGACGACGAAGCGTCCCGTGGTGAGGTGTTGCAGGCCCCAGTTCTCGGACTGTTGGATGGCGACCAGGGCACTTTCGGTGGCCGCGCGATAACGTGGGTCGACGGCAAAGCCGGGTCTCCGGAGAGCAGATTTATCACGGCCCATGTCGTTGCGACTGCGAGAGTTGAAGATACAATATGTGACACGGATGACCGCTGCAGAGACGATGAATAGAAGACCTGGAAATTGACCTCGGGATGCTTGCGGCGCGCGGGTCGAAATGCAGCAACACCACTCGATGACATGCGGATGGAACCGGACGCTGCGTTATTCCTACATGGATGTTGCCCAGCTAGGCCACCGGTGCGACCAAAGTGATGCTGGACGACATTAAACGACGATCCTCACCTTCTTGAACTTCACTTTGTTCAGCACCGATATCTCTCTGCATCGAAACATGATGAGACACGAAAGTCGTCGTCTGTCGCCTCCGCACCCATCGCATGGAAGAATATAAAATTGCTGCCAATGCAGCGTGCCGAGGAGGCGATGACCGTGAGCTTTCGCCGAGCGATTCCTGTCATCAAACAGCGTTGTCCGGTCCCACATGATCTACAGCCTCCATGCATAGGAAATTCGTTTCCAGCACGCACAACCTTAAAACCCCAAAGGGCATCAATTCAAACGTTGCGGGCGAAGACAACGAGGTATTACAGTGTCCTTCGTCTTCACGTATGGACCACTCCTGATTTTCACACAATCCCCCGATTCATGTACTCGTCCACACGCTAAAACAACGGCCATGCGGAAACAACGATCCACCAACGAGTTCATGGTGATGAGCAACACAGCAACACAGTGCTTCGATCGTGATCATGCTTGGACGACTATTGCGAGTTCTATTCCTCCCATGGAGCACATGAAAACACTCCCGGATCGACAGATAATCGATCCGCCTTCCACAGCTGTCGGAATGCTCTCCTTAAAGCGTACGCTAACAAGCGCGAGAATGGTGGTGTGCGATTGAAAAAAGACAACGACGACGACGATAATGGCTGCAACCAAGCATTGAAGAGTCCGTCGAGACTCGACTCATACTCGATGCAGCAACTCGGACGATCCATGGATGCGCAATACTATGTCGATGGGAAAGGAAATACCTCACGTGTGCTGATCACGTTTGTCTCGTGGGATTGTGTCGATTTGGGAAGGAGGGGCCGAGCCCGAACACGTCGGGCTTGATTGATGAGAAGAGGACTGCATCCAGCCCCGATGTCCATGGATTCCAAGGTTCCCAAGGTTCTTTGGCTTGTGGGCGGACAGATTCCATTGGTGTCCCCCGCATTTGCGCTGTTCTCTGCCTGCCCAGGTGGTGGAAAGCGCACGTATTCGGCGGCGGGTTTCTGACCGTGCCTTCCGGGCGGTGCATGCGGCATGAAATAAACAAACGACCGCGTGCACCGTTAATGCATAAATGCTCCGTATCTTACCATCCATGCTATGCTATGTCATCTGTAGGAGCAGGTAGGGAGAGGAGAAGGTAAAGGCAGGAGGAGGCCTCGCTCTAGAATCATGACCAGGTCTGCAGGGTCTCGTTCATCACCTGCATGCAATAGGTTGTATACAGTACAGTACCGTGAGTACATTCACCACCAGTTCGTAGCAAGTGACGCGCGCTCTCCACACAATTGAAGCACCAAACCCCAGCATCTAGCTAGCTCTCTCTCTCACACACCTGCATGCACCAGCAGCAGCTCCGAAACCACCAGCCCATCATCAGTGCCTATCACTGGCTATTACTCACCTGTCCGTGTACACCTAGGTAGGTATATGTAGCACGCTACGGTGCTGATAACCGATACATGGACCTTGCCTGATCTCGTGGCGATAGAGTCATTTCAACCCTTCATCTTGTGATCAGTTTCTAGGTAGTCTGTCATTCTCGACCAGGTTGTCCATTTATCACCTTGCTCGCCTTTCGTCCAGGACCTTCCATCGCTCGACCTCCTCACGCGATTCCACCTCGCTCGGTCGATCGACCGGTTGAAAACACCGACAAGACCTCGCAGTCTCAGTCATCGTTATCACCACAGGGAGCACTCTCGCCTATCATGGGACTCTCATACAACGTCTATCTGGACGGGGTCAGAATCTTTGGCTGTGGTCGCTGCAAGACGCACCTGGCGGACAATGAGGAGGTCTTGAGTCGGGTAAGTCCGGCGCCCTTTGCCAGATGTTATGGACAAACAACATGATGAGACGAATAGAGACGGAGAAAAAGCGAGGAAGAGAGAGATAAAAGGAAAGGATGCATATGCGAATGAGAGAGACAGTACTATCATAACAAAGCAATGAAAGTTGATCATGTGCTGATCCCGGCCTGCCCTCCCTAACAGAACTTCCGCGGTCAACACGGAAAAGCCTATCTCTTCAACAGCGTCGTAAACATCATCGAGGGCGAGCCGGCAGAGCGGAACATGACCACAGGCAAGCATGTGGTGCGCGACATTAGCTGTCGGGACTGCAAGGAGGTGGTCGGGTGGAAATATGACCGCGCCTACGAGGTGGCGGAGAAGTACAAGGAGGGCAAATTCATTCTCGAGGTGGAGCTGTTGTGTCAGGTCAATTGATCTTTGGCACGCGGGATGAGAGGGCAAGATTTCGTTTGCTGAATGTCGGGCCCGATGGGATATTGGAGGCGCATATGGGACAAGGAAAAGGCGTATAACGGACAGTGAGAGGCACTGGAGGGAGTTTCTTCGGCCATGATGATGCCACTGCAACTCTCCTGTACACGATGATTTGATCGATTTATGAAGCATTGGGATTTTGGAGTTACGGAGTTGTTATTTTCAATTGAAACACTTCTCCAATATCGCGAGAATCTACGCAGGGCTCGCTCTGTGAGGTACATCGCCGTTCTTCCGACGTGACGAATTCGTATTGACATCCACAAGGAGGACATTTGAAGAGAAGGCCAAACTTTTGACTGAGATGTAATTCAATGGCAAAGGCTTTCTACCATACATACAGTGGGTCATGCTCTGACAATGATGCCCGCTTTCGCACCTCGTCAGCACTAATCCGTGTTCGTTGCAAGGATGACATTTCACCATAAGGCCGAAAGTGAGAAGACTGCTTCACAAAGAAACCGAAAGTCCACTCAACCCAGCTTTTCTGATCTACCGTCATTTGCACATGTAACATAACATAGTGGTATAGCGCTATGCGAAATAGCAAAATCTCAAAAAATCCCTCATGTAGAGGAAAGCAAAATCACGCAAAAGGAGAAGCCGCGTTGCAGACTCCGCGTACGGAAAGCTGCTGGGTAATCTGCCGGTCTCCCACAACAGGCCCCGGTGGCTGAAACACTGGCAGTAGGTCGGGCGGAAATCCTGCTAACGAGGGTGATCGAACTTGAACATGGGTGAACCAAAGTATGTCGTAATCGAGGTGTTGGTGGAGGGAGGAACTTTTTCCAAGCGCATTTCGCACTGTGGAATTTGGAGGATGGAGACGTTTTGCTGGTATATGCGATGCTAAGCGTGCTGAGCTGGGGTGTGCGCAAGCGAGTCAGAATAGCGATGTGGGCGGAGTGATGTTGTTTGCCTGATAAATGCGGATGATCGTGAAGCATAGAGCACTCAGTTCTACGCGCTGGAGTCGGGACCCTGGCTGCGGCGCATCTTCTCCGCCTCAAGGTTCTCGTAAAGCAGGTACAGCGCCTTTTCGTTGGCATTGGGACCACCGGTGATGGTGAACATGCGCTCACCAGATTCGTCATGAGGTGCTTTCGCGATCGAAATTCGGGCACCTGAGCTCTTGCGGATCTCACTGATCTTGGAGCCACCACGTCCAATGATGCAGCCAACCATGTCTGCTGGGATGCTGATGTTCTGAGTCTGGATGTCCTCACCTTCCTCAACGGCAGGAGGCGCTCCAGCGTCAGGGGCACCGCTACGGCGCGGCGGATATGCTGTCGCGCCGGCTGTGAAGTCTGCGCCATTTCCAGTTCGGTTGTAGCTGCGTGGTGCGGAATTGAAACCTCCAGCTGGTGCGGTGTTGGTAACAGGTGGAGCACCACCCTGAGCACGGACTGAAGGGCTGTAGAGAACAGTGCCGTAGCCGCGCTGCTCATCATCAATCAGACATCTACCAATCTCCCAGACGGCCTTCTGTACGCCTTCTGGGGTACCTTGGACCTCGACGATGCGCTCAGTGGATTGCGGAAGCATTTCCTTCTGAGCGACCATGCGCACGCCCGAAGCGTCCTGGATGTGCTTGATCTTGAGACCTTGACGGCCGATGATGGTACCCATCTGGTTGTGAGAGATGAGCAAGCGAATGGCTGATGAAATTAATTAGCATCTCGCTGGCGTAAGTAGACCTATTATAGAAAATACATACGATGAGTGTTTGCGTTGGCAACAATTCCGCCCATTCCTACTTGCGGCACACCCTTGACCAGACTGTCGGCGACCAAGCCATAAGCATCAGCGATGGCGGACAAGGCGCCAGTGATAGTCAGGACACGGTCGTGAACTCCAGGAACAACTTTGCTGACTCCGGCGCGGACACCCGTCTTGTCGCGCAAATCGGCGACATTTTGACCCGCCTTGCCAATGATCACTCCAGCTTCCTTGGAAGTGACGACAGCGCGGATAGTCAATTGCGCGGCAGCGTATTCCTCCTCGGTTCTCGGGCGCTCGTCGACATCCAAATTCCCGAGCTTATCGGCGATGTTATCGATGCCGGAATCGATCGCGGGAGATGTGTCTTCAGCCGACATGATCGATTATTTGTCGTGAGAAGGAAGACGAGGGATGGGAGGAGAGAAGAGGAGAAAAGGAAGAGAGAGAGGAGGAGCGACGGGGAGGGTAAGAAGAATGAATTTGATGATATGTGCAGAATGTGAATTGCTTCCTTTGATGGATGGCGAGAGACGTTTAAAGTGTAGTGTCCCTTCAAGTTAAGCAGGGACCAGGTCGAGAATGGAGGACGCTAATCGATTGTGCGGAGGACTGGAGCTATACACAAAGCTTGATTCTCCTCACACGCAGACGGCAGCGGATAGGATATTGTACAGCACACGATGTATGTTGTGTGAGTGTGTGCGCGTGCGGTGTGTGTATAAGTGTGTGTGTGAGAGTGTGTGCGCGTGGATTTGGTCAAAGATTTGTAGTCGAATGGTATTTTTTTCTGACGAACAAATATTTGGTGGAAGGCTGCCGGCGGTGGACTCTATGCATAGGTCGCATTAGCAGCATTCGGGCGAGGGATTGTGTCGACGGCGCGTGGTAGTCTCTGGGGGCTTCTCCCTCCCACGGCAGAATGATCGCAATGATCCTGGTCATGATGGTGCTGAGCCGCAAGAAAGGTGCGTCCTGCACACGCACGCCTGCCCGCTCGCCTGCAGCTGCAAGCGAGTAGCATGTTGGATTTCTCCCCAGGTGGTAACATCTGGGATGCATGGTATGCACAGTGTGTACGCTATGAGCAGACGGCATTGCTCTGATAGTGAGGGCAAAAGTGGGGTAGGGGAGAGATATGGCTGGATTAGACCTCGAGACTGCTGCTGCTACTGGACTTACCGTTGGCCAGCGCGTGGATTTCTGTGGAGCTTATGCAGTGCGGAGCGTTGCAATGTGGTGCAGACAGAACGGAACGGACGTCGTCGTGGCGGCGGAGTGAGAAGTGTTGATCACCACCTTTACCGGATACGCACACTGCCCTTCTCGAGTTGAGACGATTGGGTCGGGTAGAGCGGGGTTGACGTTCACAGCGATCGACTGAGGGTCATCGTCGAGGGCCAGGTCCAGGAGGAGGAGAAGGAGGAGGTGAGCGGAAGCGGGATAGCGAGGAGGGAGAGTGGCGACGAGGTCGTGTGAGCGATGATCTCTGAGGTGTATGAACAAGATTGAAATGTTGCTGCCAGCACAGAGAAGGGGAGAGATATCAAAGTCGTAGTTCTTTGTCATTATTTCATACCTACATACCTAGTAGGTAGGTAGGTATTGTCCTTCATTAGGACGTGAATTATCGTCCAGAGCTCCCCAGACGTCGTGCATGCAGCATATCTCGTGTGGAGACAAAAGGATCCACGACGACCACGGCAGGCGGCGACGATGTGATCAGCCTCCAAATTGGCCATCACTACCGAGTGACCATAATGCACCTCCACACCTGGGCATACAGAGCGGCTCTGGACAGGACGACCTGTCGATCGTCATGGTACAAAGAGCTACTGTAGATCCGGCATTGACGATTGTTCTCGGCAGGGCACCTGCACTCTTCACATAGCTGGAGTCCTCCAGGGCTCTCATCACAATTATCATTATTCCTCCCCAGCTGCGTTGATGTTACATCGTGCCCGCCTGCTGATCATGGCACTGTCTATCATCACCGCATGGGTGTTGCGTCTGCATCATCGCCCGGGCGGGAAAGCTGTCGATCCTGTCCGACGTCACTTCTCCTTCGGTGCGGAATATTGTTGCGCGTGCCTCCCTGCTGCTGGTTTTCCTTGTCGAGGCCCAAAATCCGGGAATACTCTAGGATGGCCAGCAAGAACGAGGAAGCACGATGGACGTCGCGGGCACATTATACTAATCACTGGTCTCGATGTTCGATGAATGAATATGTTCAGCGACCGCCCGAGCGCTCCTCGAAGAGTTGTGTGAAATGATACCTAGGTACCCAGTAATTCCGCCCTCAGCCAGAATTTTCTCCGGGCTCTGTGCAGATGGAGGAGAACTTCACCCTTCTAGAGCTGCTATTGAGTGACAATCAGACCAGCCCTCCCTCGTCATCCGTGCAGGCAGGTGCAGTAGGCTAACGGTCTGGTCTCAAGATTGAAGATGCAGCTTCATGCACTCTTGACGTGCTACGGGGATTTCGTCAATCGTGAGGCCTCTTGATCATCCTATCTGCACCTTTGACGGGCGTGCGCCCAAGTCCCGAGCAGTCTTCCGAGATGATATTCTTGAGGCATCTGCACGCGCTGCTTCCGTGGCTGCAGATTTGCCGGAAAAGCCTAGCTCTCATCGAGCTGAGCAGAAATGGGATAGTGGGATTCCAAAGATTTAATTGTTGTGTCTACAGATATAGTATAATGCACCATTTCGGACCCCTCGTGAGGCTTCCCCCATGGATCATGGAGTAGCCTCTTGGCGATGGAAACGGGACGACAGTCGTCATCGTTGTCCCGCGACCACCAGCAAAGATCACGACCAATTTGTTCACATGTGTTCGCCGAACACACGTGCAAGCTGGCACCCTACGATGACTTTGGTAATTATGATCATAAATTCGTCGGCTGAGCCATTTATTCTGTTCACACGAATCGGATCCATCCACCGCCGGGCGAGAGAACGTGCCCAGGTGTTGAGAGTGAAGAGACATCTCGTGGGCGTCGGCGTCCAATGCTGAACCCAATCTTGCATGCTATCTTTATAAGATGGTGCGCTCAGCCCGCCCACTATCTTGTGTCCGATCAATTTGGCAGGGGACATGCACCTGGGAAGTGCGACTATCGACTCTCGTGCTGTAGGCGCCTCAAAAATTCACACACCACGGCAACACACCGCCCTTGGCCAATGTTGAGGGGTAAGAGTAAGCTAACACTTGCAAAACTATACACAAGAGGTCATGGCGTCTTGATAGATCGATAGAAATGTACGTGCGCAGCATCGTACGGGGATGGGATTGTTTTTCTTTGAATCTAGAAAGACTCATCGCAAACAGGTCGTCTCTTGCGCGTATAGCATGTGTGCTGCCCAGGTGTACAGTAGTGAAACGCGCAGAGAGCTTGCAATGTACTCTATCGAGAGGAACACGCGTTGACGCCAGCCGAACGCGCTGTGCTCGGGATGTTCCGAAAATTTAAGGTCGGAGCTCAAACCATCAGGTGGGCAACCTTGGAATGCCTGCGAAGTGCCGCCCGCGCAGTACCAGAGCCCGAAATCGGTGGGGGGCACCACGAAATGATGTGCTACTACGCCCGCCAATCGCTCCGATCCGATAGCAAAGCTGCCGTCATCGTTGTGTGGACTCACTTCACTACACTCTGATAGAGCTTCGGGGCTTGAGCTGTGTGAGTCAGCTGCCTCTCGATGATGTTGACCATGCAACGGCTTGCCCTCCGACTCAGACCAGCATCGACTTCGTGTTCGCGGATACACACGTCACAAAGCACACAAGCTTTCTCGACCTCGATCATGGCGCAACAACCCATCAAGCCGGCCAGGCGCGTGGCCAGTTCAAAGCAGGATGTATGGTCTATTGTCAATGAGGCTGCACAAGCATCTCCAGTCCAGCCCATCGTCAACATGGGCCAGGGCTTCTTTGGTTACAATCCTCCCTCCTTTGCGATTCAGGCTGCCAAAGATGCCCTGGACCGGGTAGATTGCAATCAGTACTCCCCTCCCAAGGTATGATTCAACATTGAGCAGAGTGGCAAGAGAAATTATTTGCCAACGCATCCATCCTCGCAGGGTCGACCAAGGTTAAGGCAAGCCATTGCCAAGTCGTACTCTCCTTTCTTCGGTCGGACACTCAATCCCGATACCGAGGTGGTCATCACAACTGGAGCCAATGAAGGTATGCTTTCGGCGTTCATGGGATTCCTCGAGGCCGGTGACGAAGTCATCGTCTTTGAGCCATTCTTCGACCAGTACATCTCCAACATCGAGATGCCGGGTGGCAAAGTCGTGTATGTGCCATTACATCCGCCCAAAGATGGCGCGACCAAGACGACGAGCGCAAGCCAATGGACGGTAGACATCAAAGTACTCGAGGCCGCGATCACCCCTCGAACACGTATGATCGTGCTGAACAGCCCACACAATCCCGTCGGCAAAGTGTTCAGTCGTGAGGAGCTACAAGCCATTGGTGATCTCTGCCTCAAGAACAACATTCTCATCCTGTCTGATGAGGTTTACGATCGACTATATTATGTTCCTTTCACACGCATGGCAACACTTTCTCCAGAGATTGCCAAGATCACACTGACCGTTGGGTCTGCCGGCAAGAACTTCTATGCCACAGGCTGGCGTGTGGGGTACCTGATTGGTCCGGAAGAACTCATCAAATATGTTGCAGCTGCTCACACACGTATCTGCTACAGCAGCGTGAGCCCGTTGCAAGAAGCCGTGGCCGTCGCCTTTGAAGAGGCGGACGCGCATGGATTCTGGGAGGAAAGTAAGACAGAGATGAAGCGCAAGATGGATCTGTTCAACGAGATCTGGGACGAGCTTGGTCTGCCGTATTCCAAGCCGGACGGCGGCTATTTTGTCCTTGTCAATCTTGCCAAAGTGAAGCTGCCAGAAGGATACCAATTCCCACCGCACGTTGCCAACCGCCCGCGTGATTTCAAACTGTCATGGTTCTTGATCACAGAGCTTGGCGTAGCTGCTATTCCTCCTACCGAGTTCTTCACGGATGACAATGCACACATTGTGGAGGACTGGCTGCGATTTGCGGTTTGCAAGAACGACGATGTGCTCGAGCAGGCGAAGGAGAGGCTTCGAGGTCTCAAGAAATACATAGAATAGATGAACCCTGTACATGTAACGAATGAACCTTGCTCGAGTTTCATTTCAGAGCGATCGTTCATTAAAGAATAACGATGGTCCATTAGATCAGGGTGCCTGAGGCCGTAAGCATACGTAATGCACGGCTGTGCCATTCACGCAACAGCGCGCCCCACCAGACAGCGAACAGTCGCAGCCCGCGTAGTCTTGGCCTACGGCTTCAATGCTACTGCAACGACGTCCGACGTGAGGAAGATCGCGATTGTGTCAGAACATTGAATCAACTTTCTTCGCTGACTGCGAGTCGAAAGATCGACCCCTACTTGAAGAGCGAACAGGAGAGACAAATCGAATTGTGATCTCTTGCATTTATTCGTCGGGATCTACTTGTCACGAAGACCGCAACCATGGTACGTCTTGATATTCCCACGAGACTCCCCGAACAAAGCTGACCGAGCGACAGTCACAATCTCTCCGTCCGTACCTGTCGGCTGTCCGATCGACGCTCACCGCCGCTCTCTCGCTTTCCAATTTCGCCTCGCAAGCTTCCGAGCGACACAATGTGCCCGAGATTGAAGCTGCAACATCACCAGAGGTCCTCCTGAATCCCCTAACAGTGTCGCGCAACCAGGACGAGCGGGTGTTGGTGGAGCCTTCTGTCAACAGCGTGCGCGTCAGCATACGGATAAAGCAGTCGGACGAGATAGAACACATTCTCGTGCACAAGTTCACGCGCTTCTTGACGCAAAGAGCAGAGGCCTTTTTCATACTCCGGAGGAAACCGGTGCCAGTACGCTCACCATGCGAGGAAGAGGAAGCGATTTGGTACAACATACTGACAGGATACTACAGGGCTATGACATTTCATTCCTGATCACCAACTTCCACACCGAGGAGATGTTGAAACACAAACTTGTAGACTTCATTATTCAATTCATGGAGGAGGTCGACAAGGAAATTTCCGAAATGAAGCTCTTCGTGAGTGACACACGCGCCGTGGCTACGCACTACGCAGAGTGAAACAATGACTGACGACTGGTTAGCTGAACGCGAGAGCCCGTTTTGTGGCCGAGAGCTTCCTCGTACCGGTGAGTGATTCGGATGCCCATCCCATGCGTGCCATCGTCCTGTTCAACGCTAACGAATCTACAGTTCGATTGATTCGCCCCCTCATATCATCTGGAGGGACTAGAAAGGTTGTTTAAATGAGCGCCTCTCACCACATGTGCTGGTGGGACGATGAGGTACGAATTTATGATTGCGATGCTCCATCTATACAAAAGTCATCACACACGCGCAGCGCACCAAAGACCCCAATAGAACGACGTCGCGCATTGTTATAACGAGCGAAGCCAGAAGCCTCTCTAGTCATCGTGTGTGTTGTTCCACATCTTCGCCGTCATCGGGGCAGCATTGACGGCGACTGTCAGTCGGTAGCCAACCAAACGCACACAAGCCACTCTCGTGTCACTTGAAGCCGGAACACGACGACCCAAAATTCACTCGAAGCAAATTCGCACACTTTGCATATTACTATCCTGCCAGGATTCTATGTCGTTCTACTCTCATCATTCCTTTCCATGTTGATATTGATCATGTCGCTATAGTATTCCTATCCCCTGCTCGTGACAATTATTCACCCCAGCTGCTTCGTATCAGCATCCTACAGGGACGCCGTTGTAGACTCATGCATTTGAGAAGTCACAACACTTTCGGATCACTATTCTGACACTATTCTGACACCTTGACTTTGACATTTGACAACAAGTTCATTCTTGCTTCATACCTGTCTGACTGGTGACCTGGAAATCCCCTCACTATTGCAGACACAGCGCGGTTCTGACATGTGACGAGCATTCTCACATCCTCACTCTTTATCTCTTTCCGATTCCACTCATCATCCTTGGAAAAAGTTGCTATTGGACAGGTCTTTGGGTGTTATTGCAAGCATCAAGCTTGTGAGGCCCGCCCGAATCGTGATTGAGCGAAGTTTCCAGGCCCGGGTCTGTCTTAAGCATTGCTAACGCAATCGTTGAAGTATCATGGACCAAAATATGGATGGCAGCCGTCCGCCTTACAAGAAGGCCGAACTGAATCCTCATGCCGCGGGCTTCTGCCCTCCTGCTTCCCGCAGAACAGACACAAACAGCATTTCTCGCCACTCGTACGACTTGTACACGCGCCCGAGTTCGACTACATCGAACTTCTCTTTCGCCTCGCAAATCAGCCAGGCTCGTTCAGATGAGGGTCACGATTTCTCGCAGAGCCTGGCAAAATTTCGACTCGGCGATCCATTCCGCGAGAACCGTAACACCGCACAACACATTGATTCTTTCATCGACGGCGGTCATCGTTTTCACCAGATTCCCGGTCACAATCCGAACTTTAGTTTGTTCAATCAATCTACGAGGGATGGCCGACACTATTTATCACACCATGTGACTTCTCATAGCTCCCCTCGCAGAACATCGAACAGCACCACGCAAAGTGGATCTGGGTGCGCGAACAGCACACCTACATCGGACTCCTCGCTGTATCAATCGAGCTCGACAAACTGGAAAGGGAGACTTGGTTCGTCGACGCGTGATCGTCACGATTCCACCCAAGAGCAGTGGGTAAAGAATGACGAGCATGCCAGAGCAGTGAGCCCACGCATAGTTGTGACCTCGATCGACGACACTTACTAATAGCTTGGCAGATTGCGAGACATATCATGGCGGGACACACTGCGCCGCCCGATGACCGCGGTCTTTGTGGAGGACTTGTCGAAGGAGCTCAAGAGTCTTCAAGTGCAGCGAGCACACTCGCAGTGCATATCAAAGGGAGCAAAATGTTCGGCGAAAGCTCCGTAGACAAGTCGCTGATCAAAGCTGCTCGAAGCCTTGGCTCCAGACCTCAGCGACCGCAACCAGAGACCAGGGCAGCTCCAATCTGGTTCAACAAAGTCATGCAACAGAATTATGTTCCAAATCTCTCGGAGGCATTGGCCAGCATACCTTTCCTCGAGCCCTGCCATGCTGATTCAAACTCAAATACCAGCGTTCTTCGTATCACCAACATACCTTATGCCATTACCCGACAAGAAGTTATTGCATTTGTCGGTCAGCAGGCTCAGATTAACCGTATGCCGGTGGGTTCTCCATACTTCGCTGTACACATTATTATGGAGCGCGAGTCTGGAAAAACAATGGATTGTTTCATCGAGCTCAGTACTCCCAAAGAAGCGACATGGATTGCGAACACCATGTGGACTCGTGCCAGATCAGGTCGTCCGCCGAAGATTGACAATCGCACAGTCGACCCAAAAGTGTCATCACAAGAAGAACTAATGCATGCCTTGTTCCCACGAGCAAGACACGTAGCCTGGAATAGCAATATTCCCATCATCGACTTCGCTCCCCGTCAATACTATCCTAGTATCCCGGCTGCTGGCTTCCAAAGGTTTTTGCATAGCGAAGAGATTGTAGGCATGCTAAAGGTTGCCGAACAAGACAATGGTCATGGTTTCGCTGGAAAGGCGCCGTGTCGTGTCTATGAGACCATGATCTCGACCATTCACAAATATCCCTTTCACGCTGTCGAGTATGTGACGATCGGAGAGCGTCGGGCGTTGTTCGATCTTGCGCAGCAAATGCTACAGCACCTTATCGACGCTGTTCAGAACATCACACGGTCTACACAAAATTCTAGAAGCAAACACCAAGTGGCGGGTCCGCCACCGACAGAAGGCTTACTTGAAGAACTTATCGTCGCCGTGCTGAGCTGTCCAGGATTCTCCGAGAAGCAGAAAGCAGCAGTCGCTCAGCAAATCTCCGCAGCAGGCTACGAGCGCATGACCAAAGGAGGACCCGGACTACATCTTGGTGGAACTCATCCACTCAGCAGCAGCTGGCCATTCCTCGTTCTCACACCAGCACCAGAGGTCGATTACAACCTCATTAGGTACTATGCATCGCTCCTCCGCGATGCAACCCTCACTAGGGAGGACCTGGCGTATGTCCAGCGCCTTCCACCTGCTCTTGCCTTTCAACACAAACCCTTTGGCAATTTCCTCGTCGACTATGGTCCGCGTGCTGAGTCGATGAGCCTGGCTGAAGCAGGGTACCAGGAGCTTTCCCAGGTTCAGCACGTTCTTAAGACCATTCTGTATACCAATTGAGCTGGACGAAACGCTTCTTGCGTGTGTGCACCTGCTCAACTTTCGAGACTCGGATGTGCTGCCTTTTCAGGGATTGTTTGTATAACATCGCGACTTCAGGACAGTCAGGACATGAGCCGAGTCATTTGATTTTCACTCAACATTGTTCATGTCAATCTGGGAAGAAAAGGAGAATTTCATAGCACCTTTGACGTTTCTTGCAGCCTTCACTTTCAGAATCCTGATGACGGTCAAATCAGCCAGCAGGGATCAACGACGCCGAGGAGATCGCGTACTTAAAGATTGCGGAGGAGAAGAAGGAAGTGTTCCCTTGTCAACTTGCGGCTTTTCAAGGATACGGGAAAATACCGGTCGGCCGTCGCCATCGCGGTAGTTGCAATGCGGAACCGGCATCATGAGTGTTCTGGTCGCCGCAAATGGGAAGGAAAAAAGTTTGAATGTATTTCTGATGGTTCTACATGTAATCGAGCAAGCCCAAAGTGTTCGTGAAAGCTATTCTACAGGCTGAAACAGCTACCCTTCATGGCTTGGTCTTCCAACCCTTGGAAGAGGGCATAGTATGGTCTCTGCATTACTTCTTCGTGAAACCGCCCGTGACCCATGCTTTGCATCGCCACGATCGCTCACTCGGACTGCGCGGGTTGAATATTGAGAAGCCTGGTGACGGCATGACATCTGTCGTTCTTACTTGATTGATGGACTGTCTCATAATGATCTGGAGCTTCGGCGGTGACGCAGCAGCACCAGTAACAGAGTGATGATCTGCCTGGGGATCGTTCGGAATAACCGTCGTGTACTCCCGGGCGTGATAGCCCTGTTGTGATTTTACGTCCGCGTCGTCTTCAGAGATTTTTGATTCTGCCGTCTCGACATCTCCATGCCGGCGTGTAAAGAAGCGAGATCGCGATGGCCGTTCAGAGTCGGAAAAGAAGCTGGGGAAGGAGCCCGATCGTCTCGCAGAGCTCAAGAGGCCAATTGAGCTCAAGCCGGATTTCAACTGACTCGGGATCTTGCTTAGCTGCTCACAGAGCAAAGAGTTCAGGGCGGGTGCACAAGCGCACAGCTAGGTTGTCGGTCAGCTGTGCCCATTTCACCCAACAGGGACCGCAGCGCACACTTACGACAGCAATGTCCAACTCCACGGCGGCAGAAATCCACATAAAGTAACCCTCCCACGTTTGGTCCCAGGAGGCAAACATGGACCGCCAGACGAAGTATGTGCGTATACAGCCAGCCACCGTGACGACGAAGCCCAAGCTCAACAGCAGGCATGCCCATACTCGATCTTTGGTAGGCATCTGCAGGCTCATGACGAGTGGGATCGGAGTGATGGTGGTCAGAAAGTCTGCTGTAGTGAACACAACGCCCATCGATATGACCTCGATGCTCTCGTCAATGCACCGACCATCACGCATTCGAGGATAGGTCCAATATGCCTTGATCGGCCTGGGAGTTGCGATCAGCCGTCGAACTTGAATTTCAGCATCAACTTGACATAGATATGGCTTACGTGCAACCAAAGCAGCTCAGACAGACGAATGCAAGTCCAATCACGACGTTGAATGCCAAGCTGGCGTGAAGGATATATTGAAACCACTTGAGCGAGCTATCCCGGACCAGGCGGTAATAGAAGCAAATCAGGGAGAGACGACAAAACATCGACCCCAGCATGAAGGTCATCTTGGCCACATAGGCACTGATGTTCGTGGGTTGGATCATATCAGGACGCAAGTCCCATTCGTGCCGATCCCAGCCGTATCGACTTTGTGCTAGAATGACGACAGCATTGGTGGATAAAGTAAATATCTATGTTGCAAAAGAGAATCAGTGAATCAGCCCTAGGGAGAAAGCATCCATGGTGTTCTTGAAGAGATTTGGTCAACTCACTGCTGCCGGTATTATCAAGCCATCGTCCCAGCCGAAGCTACACGGCCTGGTCAGCATTCATAACTTCCCTCCTTTAGTGGAGAGAATCAATCGTTCTCACAAGCGTTTGATGAATATTCGCGAGCATAATCGCACCACGACCGCAATGAAGACCAGGATCGAAAAGGTAATCAATGTGATGTAAAGCCCATCGCCGCGCAGCTCAGGATTGGTGTAATTTGGCGTGGGCCATGAGAGTTTGACCGAGAGCGGCGGTACTCTCATGATTGGAGTGACCGAGTTGGCGGTCTGACGAGACAGACAATGCTACTGCGGCGAAGGCGACGTCGATATCGACAAACACGAAGAAGAAGAAGAAGAAGAAGAAGAAACCGTTCGCGAACCTCACGGAGCAGCCATGAAGAGAGGGCACCGCAAAGAGAAAATCATGCCATGATTCATGGAAAGCCACGTACAAAGGGATCTAGAGAACCGACCGTGAAAGTGATCGATCGTGAGATCAGGCACATGAGAAAAGAGAGACAGATGCGACCTGGGCCACGTTAAACATCGGCAGCAGCATCGGGATGATGCGAAACCGGTGAAAACTCGCGAGCGGTAAGCAATCGTGTCCTGCAGCATCGCAGATGTATGTGATATATGTGCCTTGCCAGGTGTATAGGTATGCAAAGACGGATGGCGGTAGGCTTCAGGCCATCTCTCTAGCACAGTCATCATCGGAGAGATCGGTAGACGAAGGCGGACGGACTCCACACGCGCTGCGGTATGATATCCAGCAGCAGAGGGATGCTTGTAGCAACAGTGAGAGGAGAGTGAGGCTGGCCCGCCCAGCGAGAAACCTTACCGGTAAGGTAGGTGTGATGAGGTTGGGCGCACCCAAAAATAGTCCTGCGGGTCAGAAGAGTCGCATATATGCAACGTCTAGATTTGTTCGTCCTTGCCATGCATTTCATCTCACATACGGCACATCCTCGCATTCATGTACATTATCGCACTTTTGATCAGGCGAATCGGGGCACTGGGACGCCCGTTGGCGGCAGAATTGTGATGTGTCTACGCACCCAGGGATGCTGTGCCGCAAGCCACCTCTATTCCATCGCCAACGTTCGGCGCCTGCAGGGGGTTCGGCCTCTCTTTCGGCACGTCGGCCAGCCAGGCTGGGAGGTTCGGTCAGCTGTAGGACGCTTCATCGTCATTCCGTACCTATGTGATGGCAATCTGAGGAACCTGCGCTCACAGGTTTGATCTGAAGTGGGGAGAAGATGCGGCGCCTGAGCAATGCAATACTGTGCAAAATTCGCAAGCGGCGCGAATGGTTTTATCTCTGGCGCGACAAGGCTCGATTTGTCGATCGATTCTTTGGTCCAGCCGGGACACGCATCGTCACCGACAGACTACCCGTAGAGATGCATCTAGGAGAGACTAGGCAGTCATAAAGCATGCGCGGGGACGACACATAATTATAAAGCATACGCGAAGGGGTCACACATGCGAAAGCTGTTCATCGCTGGAGACTAGTCCGCTATTAATGATACAAGATGGTCCTCGGCGGCGCGCGCATCGAGGCATCCACCGCTACCAAGTTTTCCTGTCCAGCCTTCCGCACTGGATTCATTCGTCTACCGTGCTAGAATGCGCTTCGCACGCTCATGACGACATCAATAGTGCTTGCGGATTAAATCTAAAATCCTCTCCTTTCACGGCCCTTATTCGTCTCCATCCCCTTCTTCGTCATCGTCCATCTCGAAGTCATCAGGGACGGGCGCCTCTTCGTCATCATCGTCCTCGTCTACGGCGGTGAGCACGCCTGCGGCTGCAGCAGCGCCAGAAACGGTGCTGAGTCCTAGATCAGCCATGATGGTGTCGGTAGTCGAGGTGTTGGCAGCAGCACCGGGCGCAGCGGCGGGCGCTGCTTTCTTGCGTGCTTTGAGCTCCAAGAGAGACTTGGGCTCCGAAGGACGTGTGTCGTGGAGTAAGATGACTCCTCCGGTTGGCTGTAGTAAATTCAGATTAGCACAGTTCCGTCAAACTTCAAACTGGTTACTTACCTTCTTGACTGGCTGATACCTCCCATCGGATGCGAAGCTGATGTACTTGATCTGAGGTTGTAGCACCCGACTCATGTTTTCCACATCGTAGCCAACCTTCTCCGCCTTCTTCTTACTGACTTCCTTCTCCGTCGACTTTTCCTTCTCCTCGCCACTCTTGCCAGTGTCGACAGCGCTCTCGTCCAGGTTCATCTTGTCAGCGTCGCCCGCATCGGCCTTGGGTGTTGACGGAGCAGGATCAATGTCCATACTCTCTCGTCGGTTCTGTCGGTCCTTGGCCAACTTCCTGCGTTTGGCCGCTGCAGTGGTCGAAAGCACGGCCGTCTCTACCTTCACGGGCGCTTCTTCGGTCTTGACCTCAGCTTCAGGAGGATAGTCGAAAAGGGAAGGCCGAGTGTTGCTGTGGAACTTGAAGCTCGGCAACTCAAGATCGGAGTCGACTCCGATGATTGACGTCGGTGTGAAGGAGAGGGCAAGGAAGTGAGTAAGCGGGAACCAGTACCAGTACTGTGTAAAGACAGCCATGCCCACAATGGCAGCCATGTTCAGATTGCCGGTCTGTGTCTGGAGACCGATGGTGCAGTTTCGTCCACCTGCGTCAATGATGCCTAGTGCCAATGCACAACCGAACTTCGCCATTGCATCTTCGTGCCTGTCGCCAATCGCCTTTTGTAGCTGCTTGCGGAGCGAGCTGACTTTAGGATTCATGGCATCATTCTGTTGCACCATGATCATGGCCAAAGCGATGAACGCGCCTTGGCGGACAAAATCGACAGAGTCCTTCATCATGGGCTCCAAGAGGTCGACTGCGTCGTCCAGTCCGGTACCGGCACATGCGATACCAAGAGCCATGGTCGCTCCGTATCGAACGTGCGGGTTATAGCTTTCGGCAAGGAGTTCGACCATGCGTGGGACGCTTCCGGGTTTCCGGAAAAGTACAAAGCCCAAGCTCATCACAGCCACTCTTCGAACGTCGTCGCTGACGTCAGAGACCGCGATATGCAGGAGTCGGCGAACGGCCTTATTGCTTCCGCTGCCACAGTAGGCAAGCGCGACCGTCAGGACACCACCGTAACGAAGTGCTGAGTCGGCGTCCTCGAGCAGACCGCCAATGAGCTCGTCCGCACCTTCTTGTCGACCATACATGATGAGTGCCATTCCAAGAGCGAGACCACGCACAATCTTCTCGTGCTGTGTGTCACGGGCGTATTGCAGCATGTCGTCGAGTGCTCTAAGGTTTCCAGTGCCGAGCATTACCAAGCCAATGGACAAACCCACTGCTTCACCGTTGATGGCGGAGTCGGTGTAGAGGACGGTCTTGAGTTCCTCGTAGATTTCCTCATTTCCGGTGGCCATTCCAGCAACACCCAATCCGAGAGCACCGCCGTGCTGGATGACCTCCTCTTGTGTGGCCTTGAACTGGGTACGCAGGTAGTCAAGGACATGGGTGCCGTGGTTGGTATAGATCAATCCCAGGGCGTATAGTGATCCTCCCATACTGTATGTGCTGCCAGCGCCCGTGGTGGAATTATCTTTTGGCAGGTATGGGCTGAGTAATTTCTTGCCGTTGCTGAGATTGCCTCGATGAATGACACCCAAAGCTGCGGTAGCAGTGAACTTGCTCCAGTTGTGTGCTCGCCCCAGCCAATCCATGTTCTCGCGGAAGAAGCCGTCAATGGTCGTTCCAGCGTTCATGAATGACACAGCGAAGGTCAACGAGGCGTGGAATATGCTGTTTCTTGCCTCAAGTGAGTCCCGGATCTTGTTGAGGATCGAGCGATCGGTATGCGCTGCGCGGTAAAGAAACTCAAGGTTAAATTCGATGGTCTTGGTGCCTCGTAGGATTTCTCGCACCAACGTGAACGCCTTTTGCTGGTCATCGCTCTCCGGCTTGGGCTTCGTTCTAGAAGTGACAATGGTTGAGGTGTGCGGTGCGCCTGCGCTATCGTTCAACTCGGTGAGCAACTGTTCTGACTCGGCTGCGTCCTCGTTGGTATTCGGTCGTGTTGTCGCTGACTGGGCTGCCCCACCATTGAGCGGATCGTCTGACTTCTCTGACTCTGCCTCGGGAAGTTCGTCCATGATCTTTTGCAGGAACTCCTGGGTGCCATTCTCATATAGGTCAAAGGAGAGCTGGTATGCGATCGCCAGAGACTTCCCATCACCCTTCTGCACGAGCTTGCGGAGCATGTTGGATGCCATAGACTCCTGGTTGAGATAGACCACACATCGTGCAATCGCAAAGTAGTCAGGATTGGGGATCTCATTGAGCAGATCGAGGATCAACCTCAAGATCTCATTGCGAAGCTCCCGCTCTTGTACTACGTTCATGCAAATATCCAGGACGTATTCCATCAGGTCCTCTGTCTGACCCGCAGTTGCCGCTGCCTTCTTGCCCTTGCTCTTTTCGTCTTGACTTGAACGGAGAATGACCTCTCGGAGAACATCTATGTTGCGAGCCTCCACAGCGATACCGACGACCTGTTTATAATCGCCATTGCTATAACAATGCTCGAAAATGCGGCGAATGATGCCGTGCAGACTCTTCTTTACTTGCAGCGGCAAGGTCAGAGGCTGCGGGTGTGCACCAATAACACCTGCATTACCGCCGCCGGGAGCCGATGTGTCCCACTGCTTCTCACCCTCACGGGACAGCAATGATTTCGAGGGAGCAGCTGATTGCGAGAATGGCGTTGTGGGAGAAGTAGCAACGTTGCTCGCATTGCCAACACCTGGTGTTTCGGAATTCTGCCGAGCGACGGACGCCACTGTAGGAGGATTGTGCAGCGCGCAGAGAGCGATGTATGTGTCGACACATTTGGCTACGATCGTTTCCTCATACTCTCCGCTAACATCCGGGTCGAAGTGTTTGCCAGCTCCGAGGGCGAAGACCATCGACTCATCATACTCTTGGAGCTGGTAGTAGACCTTGGAAAGCACCAAAGCTGCAAGTTGTCGATGCGGGAATTGTTCGTCCTCGAAAAGTGCCTCTCTGTTTGAGTCATATTTGTCAGAATGTCTGTGGCATGATCCGAAGCCGATCGATTGCCGCGTCATATTGAGGCTTGTAGAAGCGATAGGATGCGACTGCACTCACATTTGTCCGATCGATGCAGATACCTCAGTCCAGACACTGTCCATCTCCTCGTTCAATTGTTCCAGCGCAAACACTTGCAGCTCCGGAGCGGGCTCTGAGAGATAGCCCACCAGGCCGGCCGCCGACGTGAGGCCAACCATGATTGCAGACGAGTCCCGTGGACCACGGAAACGATGGGCTGTAGGCTTTGGTGTAGACTGGAGCTCGACGATATCAAAGCCGGTGATTGATCAAGGATGACCTGGATGAGCTGTCTGTCCAGTCGGCGTTGAGCCGCGGGCAGCGATCAATTCCGTTGCAGGATGGCGGCACGATGTTGCAGATGACAGAAAGGACCGTTCGATGGTGGAGGAGCAGATTGAAGCTCGTGGAGCGAGGTGGATGCAGACAGAAGTGGTGGAGGTAGTGAAGACGGTGATGGTGGCGGCGACGTCTATTGCCTAGTGAGTACTGTGATGATGAGACACCAACGTTCGCTGCTGCTGTCATGAGCGTCAGTGCGTGAGTGCGCGCGTGTGTGCTCTCTGCTGCTCTCACCCAAGCCAGGGCTCCCTCTCGCTCTCTCTCTCCCTCTCTCTGACGAAGGCCACAGTTCCTGATGGAAGACGACCGCTCGGGGAAGGTGAGCCGAGCTATCACTTTCCATCCCAGTACACCTGTAGTATCTCACCTGGGCACTCTTTCACCCACAAGCTGTTTGTCCCGATCGTTCGTCTACAGCGATATCAAATGTACTACACAATCGATTGGCTGATCCTCGCAATATCGCATTTCCAAGGTTCCTCGGTGGACATGGATTCGCATGGTAGACAACATGCCATGCTGTCTATTGTGCTGCGTGCTCAATGATGTATGACGCATTTGTGGAGAGCGCATTCTTGTCTACTGCACAGCACTGTTGTATATCGTACATACTGTGCACATCATCCAACTCTACGATAACGTACCGTACCTGGGTAAGCTTGTACATATATCTTGAAAATGTGAATCGTATCATCTCCCGCCATTTGCTATACGGAAGTGTACAAAGTCGCACGCATTGAAACCATGACTTTCCCGTTGTCGCGTGTGTAATGAACGCGGCGGAATCATTTCATCCCATCTCCGCTAGACATTGCCCTACCCACTGTGACTGCCCTATGAGAATCAGCCCGTTGATCAAGTACCTCCGAAGTATCATCGCACTCGGGCTTGAACGACACCACCACCAACTGGGAAACCATCATCGACTCAGTACTTTACTTTGGGCAGACATGAAATTCGCACGTCGTCTCAACTAATCATCGTCACAGTCACAATCCTCTTCGTGATTGTATTCATTTTCCAACGATCTAAGAATCTCGACTGCTCTCGCCAAGGTCTTCTTATGTTTGTCTCCCGTTCCTCTGTATGCGGAATTCCGTATGTGTCCTCCGCGCGTGCCGTATTCTCCCTGCTTTCGATATCGTTCACAATTGGATATGCGCGCCACATATATTTTATCTGATATCGCCGGCCGGATGTGATCCTGGTCTTCTCTGCAGCGACGACATTTGGACTCCTTGCGACATTATCTGAATTCCTATCAGTTGCTAGAACGCGAGCGCTCCTTGACTTCGCGGAGCGCATTCATTTGCGCAGTTCATCGCCTCGTCTTATCCGGGACCGTGCCATCATTCGCTCTCTTTTGAAAGGACTTCACTCGAGTGCTCGCGATACACCCTTGCGCTCAGCGCCAATCTACTGCGTATGGGCTCGTCTTCGCGCAGCTGTCAACTGGCGCGCGCAGGACGATCGCGCTCTGAGCGATTGGCGCATCGCCTGCCGGCAGCGAGAGGAGCAGACTGCTAGAAATTAAGAGATGGATTTGTCTTCGATGTTGAACAATGGGCCTGCGCCCGGTAAGAGAGTGCAAGAACAACGCCCGTTATCATCAGACGTCGCGCGAGCATCTATGGGAGCTGGTATTCAGCATCCCGCTCAAGTTGGGTATGCAACCTCAAGAGCAGATCAGCAGGCATCATTCCAAGGAATGCATTCGAATTCCAACATGTCAGGTCTCAACAGAGGCTTGACTCCATTACAGACTCCATCGCATTCTCATCCCAGTGCCTCGTATCCGTTTCCAAATCAGACAGCCCAAAGTCCGGGCCCGACACCATCAGGTAATGCTCAGTACTGGCACGATCTTCATACCGCAACCACTCCGGGTCCAAAACCCTCCAGTCATGGACATATATTTGTACAGCCGTCGCCTTCGCACGGCATGGCTACGTTGACAGGTACTTTGTCACATTCGCCGACACCCTCGTCGCACCATAGTCAGACACCACATAGCGTGCGTCAAAGTCCACTGGCTTCCTATAAAACATTACCAGGTCAGCAACACAACGGAAGTTATCAACAACAGATCGGACAGCCGACAACTCCTCTGGGCCCCCCACCGTCACTCCATCGGAACGCCAGTGGATTTGACCGCTCCAGCCCATATCACGGGAGAACTTTGTCGACTGCTTCAGCCAACGTCGTAGGCGCATCACCTGCGCAGCATCAACCCAGCATCAGCAATTTATTGGAATCTCCGGTGGCAGTCGCACATCAGTCGTCGCCGCAGAGAAGAAGTGCGAGCGAGTACGCCAACATTGCTGAGCGTGAACGAAGCGCATCAGTCAGTCCTAAGACACGGTTACCAGTACGAGCACCGTCACTGCAATCGCATACGAGTAGTCAGGCAGATATGCACAGCGCACGTAGTTCGGTTCAACCGAGTGTGCATGCGTCCTCTTTATCGGATTTATCTGCGCCTTCAAAAGGCTCGATCCTACAAGGGCACGCACACCCAGCTCAAAGTCATCGAAATTCGTCGCTTGAATCGGGCATGAATTCTATGCACACACCTGTTCCTGAGCTCACCGCCGCGGGCCCACCATTGGAAGACGACATCAAGGACGAAGATACTCGTACGGCCGACCTGCAGCACATGCTGGTGCCGAATCTGAAACAAGAAACGCGATCGATATCTCCGGTCCCAGTCGCTCAGGACAGAGCTCAAGGACAGAACGCTCTTGCCTTACCGAATACATCCGGCAAGCGCCCTGCCGAATCGGATGATATGGCAGATATGCCGGCCAAGAAGACTAAGACTGTGTACACTACTCGACCCATTTGGGCGGAGTTGGATCGCAGAAATCCCAGGTTTGTCGATGATGGCACGACACCGGCTGCAGCGCCGCTACCAGACCGACCGCCGAAACAAGCACCATTTCAGGCCCCAGAAGCAGCTGCACGACCGCCAGCGGATTTGCCGCATGAGAACGGCAATCACACGATGCTTGCTGCGACACATGCAACCTCAGGCGATGCCGCACTAGACCGAACACGACAAGTACTCGGTCCCTGGGAAAGATGTATTTGCCGCGAGACGCCTCCGTCTGGTATGCTTGTGGCAGTACAAGATTGGCTGTGGATGAAATTGAGCGAGCTCAGTGAGGTAGGCCAGAATCCTCTCGATGGCAGTATCGAAATCGAGGCGAAGATTGGCACGCTTCTCGATGTCGGTACTGGAGATCGCTTGAAGTGGCCCGTGACAAGTCCGGTCGTCGTGGCTGAGGAGTTCAACAAGAACCTGAAATTCGAGAGCCGGATGGTGGAGGCTCAACACATGGCCATGAACAAATTCCTGAACAAGACACTTCAGGAAACGATGCAAAAGGGAAACGAGGCCCCATCGGGCAGAGTACCAATGCAGTACAAGCACATTTACGAGACCGATTCCTTCGAACCACTATCCGCTCTAGGCTTCCAGTCCCTCCCACCGGCGTTTCAGCGCCGCACAGGTCGTGAACTCCGGCTGAGGACAACCGTCGACGACAAGACCAAACAGATCAAGGCCCGTATCGTCAAGGTCCACGTCGCCAACCTTCACATCTACAGCCCAATGGACCCTTACGACTGCCGCATCACAATCAACCTCGAAGCCAACCTCGACAAGCCCGATCTTGATCCGCAAGCGCTGGTGGAACCTCCAAAAGACCCATCCAAAGCCTCAGTGGATCGCCAGAAGGATCGTTTATCATACAAGCACCTGGCGTATTCGATCGACCTGACCAAGGTCCTCATCAAAGGACTCGGCCCGCAGTACGAGCTGGAATTGGAAGTCGACGCCGGCGCCTTGCGCCAGCAGATGGAGCTGGTGGCGCAGAACAAGGAGAATGCGTACAGTGCCATCGTGGAGGGCTTCCTCGACAACGCAACCTACCTCATGCGCAATCGGCCCTGATTGCACATCGCGTGGATCGGGATCCGCGTCGCGAGGGCGAGCAATCTGCGATGTTTCCTTGGGTATTTTGCTTCGACGTATTCGAGGCGTTCTGGGAATCCGTTTCTTTCAATGATGTATACTACCTACGGAAGAGACGTAGGAACTCTTTGTCTCTTTGTTGAGTCGCTGCTCATCAGCAGCTACGTGTATTATCCTTTTTCCGTGCTCAAATTGGCACCACCCCCTGGTTTTTAGGAGATGACACCCCATGGCCAAATAGACGAGATATCAATTAACGCGATTCGCTTTCTTGAATTACGATCTAACTCACTTACATCTGTGCTCAACTTTGTGTAGCGCGATATATGAGTACCAGCCCTGGAGCCCTGGAGCTACAGGAATGTACCGGACCATGACATGCATATCTCCCACAGAGCGGCACCTCATGAACAGTCGTTTCGCTTGCAAGCGGGGTGAGTTGTGGGGACCAACCCTGGGCCCGGTAGACATATGATAGCAGAAAGCACGTCAACACTTTCAACAAGCGCATGGGCCCGGTGGCTCGACCTGCATTCTTGATCATGAAGGAGAGATTGAAATCTACGCCATCCACCTGGGTATAGATGTGAGCGAACGAATCGCCTGTTCCGCAGGTGCATGAACGTGCGGGAGTCATTGGATAACGCAATGGGTGAATGCATAGTCTGGCCGCCGCCCCGGTCGGCATCGCGTGACATGTGCGGTTTACGTTTTGGCAAAGGGACTGGACGGCGCACTAATCTTATCGCTGGAGTCCCTCATTCTACATCCTTTTCCTTATTCTGGGCGCCGCCCGCCAGGGCTTGATATGGAAGAAACAAAAGAACCTTGGAAGCTCTGATATTGTGGTGTTTCTGCGGCTGTTACTGTCTGTGTGTATGTGTGTGCCGTCGTCATGTTTCATGTATACCTGGACGGAGAATAAGCAAGTAGACAGACAGCCACACGCGAGAAAAGAGTGTGCATCTACCTAGGTAGATAGTGGAGACAAATTTATTTCCATCGGCGCATTGTTGTCACTGTCATTGCTCCTCTTTTCTCACTTGCAGACCTAGGAAATCTTGGAAATTCAACTTATCCCAGTCGGTCCCGAAATCCTTCTCTCGATTGATCTAAAAATGTCCGGACGAGGCGGCGCGGGAAATATTCTCGCCCAGCAGCAGCAGACCGAGCGCGTCGCTGCCGATGTTGAGGCTCAACTGCCCAAGCAGGTGGCGAGCATCGGTCAGGCCGATCTACCGAACTCGCCCCGGGAGGACCAACCATACGCTTATACTGGTCGAGGTGGGTCATAACAGGGTTTGCGTATGGCATATGACGTCTATGGGAAAAGAGTAAAAAGCTGGCGAATGGAGCAAAATCCCTATGTGGGAGAGTTTAATGACGAAGTGAAGAACACAATCATTGACCAACATGTTCGACAGGTGGCGCCGGTAACTACTACGTGCCCAAGGACCTCGAGCAGAAAGGTCAATTCAGCAATGCGCACCGCAGCCACATCCTCGGCGACGGCACCGCGGCCCCGGAGGCTGCACCCGTTCGTTTGGCAGGACGCGGTGGAGCGGGCAACTTCGCCGTCGGCCAGGCTGAGGCCGAGGAGCAGGCGCGCAAGAAGAAGTTGGAGGAGGAGCTGCTCCGTGAGGAGAAGGTGAAGGCGGATGTCGCTAAGGATGTTTCGGAGAACATTGCAGTGCCGGAGAAGGCGAAGACTTTCGATGAGAAGCAGGGATTGTAGGAATTTGGTCGATATGTTGAGAAAGGAAGACGCCTCGTCAGACAGAGTCGAGGTCAGCTCGCGAATGACGATGATGAAGAGATAAAAGACATCAATCCAACGTCCATGATGATGAACTGATGTCATTTCTTTATGCTTCTATCTGGCGTCTCTGCAAGACGAGTGTCACCACACTCTGACCGGTCTTGCCTCCGAACGTAAAGGTGGGATATCTCGCTTCATCAAACAAGACCAACTCGCCATCCTGCGGGACAAGCCATTCCAACAATTCATTCTTGGTCCAATTGCAGGATGTGATGACCAAATAGCGTCCGCGCTTGATGAGTGGTATCACTGTCTGACGGTATCGATCGCAAGGGTGCGGGGATCCATCCGTCTCGGGCGTCATCAATGAAATGGCGTCGAATGTGCCCTTGTCGAGGACGACATCAAAGCCGTCCTGTAGCCAGTCGCCGGGCGTCTCTGACAGCAGGTCCCAAACGTGTAATGAGAGGTTGGCGTAGCCAGACAAGTCGCTCGTGCCAGCTGAAACATCGCCGTCGGTTTGCTCTGCATCTTCCTCAAGCTGCGCACGGAGCGCGGCGCGCCGTTGTTCATCAATCTGTCGAGCAAGCTCCACGCTGCGAGGGCTATAATCCACGCCGACCAAATCGCCTGACCATCGCCCGCCTTCATCATCCTCGCGCTCGCGCAATTCGAATAGCATGTGACCATTGCCAGTGCCCAGGTCTAGGAATCTAGAGTCGCGGCGATCCAGCAGGGCGCGGCCAGATGCATCGCTATATTCATCGAGTTTGTCAAGGACGGTATCTTCGGCATTGCTCTCATCGAACCAGATGATGCCCTCGTCCTCAGTGTCATCCTCGTGATTCTGGATCTCGCGATCGTAGGCCGCCTCCCAGCTGTAATCATCAGTCTCTCTTCATTTTGGGATAGCGACCTGTCAATGGGATTCGGCACACTGCCATGGTTCGGCTGGCTGGCGTACTAATTTTTCGTGCCCAGCTCGCTGGGATCCAGGAGTTTGCGACCTTCCTGGACGACGGTGTCTTCGGGTTGCGTCATGTTGAAGGGACGGGAATATAACGACTTCTTTCGGTTATTATTTGCCAACCTCCTGTGAATAGTAACAACAACAATATCGGGTTCGAATCTTCCAAGTTATAAGTCAATTCCATTCGTGTTTCCTCACGGGAAGTGCCGTGCACTCGATCGGAATTTAATACAGTAATGCATCGTGTGCCAGTGTGGAGAGGGGAGGGTACAGAAGAATCCGCGATAGCGAAATGTTGAGAGTCAGCGACGGCGACGACGACAACGATCACATTTGTCAAGATATTCATTATCGTCGATGCATCGTACGGGACCTGCTGTTCCTTCCGAAGCAATTCTCCATGTCATCACATGTGAACGCCATGCATTCTCGTCGTTAATCCGAGGCGCAGTCATCTCTTCTGGCGACATTCACCCCGCCCTTTCTTTCCATGGCGCCCGGCTCAAAATGTAAAGATGACGACACAGGGCCTCGTGGGATAAATGGACGGACCGTCCGATTACTACTTGAACCTTTGAAGGAGATCTTCCATTATTTCCATTGAATTGTTATCTGTCTGGCAGCTTGCTCGTACCTCGCACGTCGTTCTGCGGCAAGTTTCACTGCCTGCATCAGATGGTCGTCGGCGCTCTAATTCCGATAACGAAGGCGACGAGGCTATCTGCTACGCAGGCTGTCTGCTACGTCTTCGATGACCTTCACCGTCTCTGGTATCTTCGACAGGAAAGGCGAGTGGCTTGAATCGAAGGTTTTGACATCAGCCTTGTGGCCGGCCTCCTCCAGCTTTTTCAGGAGAAAGCGTTGGTGGTCGACCGGGAAGATGACATCCTGAAGCGTGAGGATGTACGTGAGTGGTATAACCCTCCATGCCTCATATTTAACCTTATGCTCCGCACTCATCCTGTCCAGGCGGGACAAGGTCTTGATGACGATGTCCGCTTCTTCCTCGGAAACGTCGGCGTAGCAGCTAAACTTGGGATCCTTGATGTCGTTGCTGCCGTCCTCGTCAAATTCCACCCACGACAGCATGTCGGAGACACCCATCTCGCGTGCTATGTCGAAAGAGTCGTAACCCTTGGGATAGATCATCGCTGCAATAGCAATGAGGTGCGCGACACCGCCGCTTTTACCTTGCGCAGCGCGCGACTGGACGTCGAGGTCCTCAAGCGCATTTAGACCTACCATGCCGCCGTAGGAGTGCATAACCACAATAATCGTGAGGCCATCATCAGCGAGCTGCTCGACGATTTGGCGTACGACCAACGGGTCCCTGGCTGTGCTGGTACCGGGCGGGCGGCGACCAGTGCATGAAGGTAGCTGCGGGGCATGGACGTCAAAGCCACGGTCTTGCAGTGCGGTGGTGAGCTTAACGTATGATTGAGGCGAATGACCACCGCCGTGGACAAGGACAATGCTGGGTTTGGCGGACATGATGGCTTTCGGCGAAGGTCGAGTTCGAAATACGCTGTAGCTAAGTCAATTGACGCGTCGCACGCTCGCGGAAGATGCGCTGTAATTTATATGTCGAGTAAATGGATCTGAAGGACCCCATTCTGCTGCTCGTATTTAATGCGCATGTCGACTGGAATGGTCCCATGCAGACAGCACCTCAGCTCATACTCGAATGTAACATTGACCTGCGTACTGCACCGTATTGACTGGTGATAGACGGAAACCTTGTATACGGAAACCTTGTATACGGACTTCCAAGGTTATGCAAGGCTTAGATGCGGACTTGCAAGGTTATGCAAGGCTTAGATGGCTAATGAAGGATTCTGGATCAATGCTGGTAGAATGGTGATGATGACACTCATCATTCCTGCCGATCATCTAGACTGCCCAGGTGGTCAATAGATGACACATTAAAGACCAATTTTTCAAGTGATGTAGGCAAGGAATGGCGCGCAATAGGGAGTATGAGCCGGAGGCGTCTTGAGAAGCGCACGCTGGATGTCGATGTGCCTCTTCATTGTATTCTACGCCCCGTTCGTGAAGTGTAGCAACCTCAAGCCGGCATCTTCCTACATCTCAAGTAGAGTATACACAGCACCAACGAACTTTACGTCTGTCGGTCCCCCGATTTGTATATCGCCGCGGCTGCCCTCCTTTCCATGGAAACTTAGCTTTGAGAGATCAGCCACTAAACCGCGACTTACGTAGGGACCGCCATCGACGTATTGAAGATCTCCAGGGCTGCTGTTTCGGTTTCGTGTATGTTGGTGGACAAAGATCAGGCAGCCATTTATTTTCCCTATCAACCTGCTACCCACGACCGTGAATAACCTCGAAATTGTCCTGCACCGCCTCAATCGGCCGACGACTGCGTTTCATCTATTCATCTGTCGCATAGTTGGAGCTTCGTCGCATAACTCAAAACACGGCGTCATTCCACGACCAGCTCCGGGAACATCGAGTGCCTCAACTCCTCACATGGTCCTACGTGCTCATTCCTATATTTCCATAGCAGTGAAGCCATGGCAGAAGTCGCTTCTCTGTCTCCGCAGCAGCGAAAGGCGCTTTTTGACATCCTCACCCACCGCGAGACCTACAAGGAAATTGAAGATTTCAAGACCCCAGGTGCCATTCAAAATTATGGCCCACCTTTCCAAAACCAATCCACCCCTTGCAACTCACCGATACTCCAATCACTCCTGTCCAAGTTCATATTAATCTTGCCCGGTCTGAGAGATGTGCCTACGTCATTCTGGACTGAACAGGTGCAGAGCATCATCCAGGAGTTGGCCGAGGCCGAATTGAGTGAGAGCTACGACAAAGGCATGGTGGGCATCCGTAAAACCTTAGCCACTGCCATCGCCGCCTTGATAGAATATCCGGCGCGTGCGTCGATGGGTGGCTTCTCCAAAGACGATACACATTCACAGACCAGCTGGAGCCCATCAAACCCACAAGATGTCCTTGAGTCCTGGCAAGCAGGAGGACAAGAGATCGTCTATGGCGATCTTCTGGATCGACTATTCGACAAAGTGGCAGAGACCAATGATCTGACAGCTCATGAACCCATGGTGCAGTGCTTGCATGAGTTCCTTCTCGTGAAGTAAGTCTTTCCTCGCATGCACGGGAGCCTGAACAGACACTGACTTTCAAAGTATCGCGTCGATAATGCATTACACCTTGATCCTTTCACCTGAAGGCCCTACTATTGTGCGAATGGCGGAGGGTGTGCACCGACTAATTCCTTACGCGATCGTCCGTCAGACTCTCAAGATTGGAAATGTGGCAACTATGCTGAGTGCCATGATGCGAGTCATTTTGGCCAAAGTCAGTGTTGCCAGTGTTACCAACTGGATTGGTCTCAGCTCGGGCGCCAATGAGGGCATGAATCTGATGCAGCAGTAAGTGACGAATCCAAGGTTAGTGATATCGTTCCAACCCGCTAATCCTAAAACACATAGAATCATGAACCAAGTACTGAACTGGGATAAACGAGAGTTCAAGCGTCGCGCAGACAAAATCGAAAAGACCAAGGACGCACCTCCCAAAGCAGTTCTGGCAGAGCTACGGTCATGGATCGATCGCCCTCGAGCCGAGCACGAAGAGTGCCGCAGGAGGAGTCAAGAACAGGGCATGTCCATTGTTGCCGTCATCCTTGCATTGTCTCCCAACAATGCAGAACTCTCAGATCAGCAGCATGAACAGGCGGCGGAATATCTCGCACTCCACTTGGCTGTTCGGGACAGACAGGAAATTGTCAGAGTGCTCTGCCAGCGCCATCCTGATCTACTCTCCGCTGCTGTGAAGGCTGGAGTGGATGCATATACACCGATGATTCGTCATGTGCATCAAGCGGTGGATTTGAGCGATTCCATGTGGGATTCCGAGCGATTCATCACGGATATGCTCAAGGTAGCCAAGCCTACAGGATCACCAGGAAATCTCAAGCAACCTGATGTCGAAGATTTCGTCGACTTGCTCCATCGGCATCAAGGAAGCCTCCACAAGTTCTTACACCAAGTCGCAAAGAATGGCAAGGAGATCACAGCGTGGTTCCGAGAGTGGGCTGGCGCAGCACTCGCGCAATTCCGCAATGACCAGAAACCTCCAGAGACCAAGTCCGTTATCTCGGGCGAGATGATCCATGGCGGAATCGACCGCGCACTATCCAGTGCTTATGCAGAACTTTCCGAAGACGATCGCAAAGCGGTCGTAGCTGAGCTCGATGCTCACTCACGCTACATTGACGAGCTACACGCCGCCTCCGCTGCGCGCATTAGCGATGTCATCAAACGGACACGATCAGCACCATTTGGTCCGGGTGCGTATCTCGCGCGATGGCAGCAGCTTATGGACAACGCTCCCATCACCCCTGCGACGGCCAATGGCCCTGTCAGGCACGGGTTCAACGAGAGTGTCAAAAACGAAGCTCGCAAAACCGCCAGTGGGGAGAAGATTGACGTGCCAGCAGACACCACCACAAAGTCCGCCAGTAATGCACTCCCGGCTCCTCCTAGCTCTGAGCATACCCTGCGATTATTAGCGGACAAGTTCCGCTCGCTGTTGACGACAACTTCGTGAGAAAATTTGCAGAAAACGCAGGAGAATCTGCAGGAGCGAACGTGGTTGACATGTTGGCCAAACCACCCTATTATCCCAAGGATGATGATGAGAGTGAAAGACGGGCTGGCTCGCTTAGACAACAGTAGGTGTGGCTGATTATCCCACACGCCGTACAGTTAGAGATAAGGCTAGTGGATGGTTATCCTGATGAGGTATCAATGTTTCTCTCCCCAGCTCCATATAGCGTCACTCACAGTCTTAGCTCGGAATGATCCGAATGACGCTCCTCGACCCAGGACCACGAACGACCCACTATGTACCTCATATTCAGTGTAGGCCTCACCCAACATATCAGATACTGTAATCTTAGCCGACCTTAGCAGAACTTCATTTCCCCTTTGCCAATATTGACGGTCGGAAGCACCAGCTGCTTTGAGACGAGGTTTCAGCGACAAACACGCCTCTCTGGTATCCGAGTGGAATTAAACTTTTTTCACAGACGACTAAAAAAAGCAAAGACGCGTAAGCAAACGTCTGTAGATGCGACTAGTCACTTGAGACATGCACCGCGCCGACTGACATTAGCAAGGTTCCGATCGAGGGTGAGCACGTCGGCGTGCGCATCAAGTGTATCTCCGCCCTTTCCTGTATCCTGTTATCGAAACGTTGAGACTTCGCAACCTCCTATCTGCCATCCTTCGGGGTTTATCTGTAATTCCTACTCCTAGGTTTGCGAGAGATGAATGCTCTCACATGCATGTAGCTATACAATCACAGATGAGTGCCCACTGCTATATGAGCAATCGCAAGTCGACAAAGATATTACCTGCTAAGGTGTACATTGATACCGAATTCCCACATGGCTGACGGTCGAACGGTTCCGACCAGCGGACGTGTAGAGGGTGGCACGGCTGGGTAGCCTTTGGTTGCGTGAGATTAGCGGGCGCCACGAAGTCCTCCCCGACCAATCGACTGCCTCGTTCTCCTCATTGACCGCCCATTTTCCTGACTTTCCGGAGCTGACTCCGGAAAAATAGTGGGACCCTCACCAGGAGAAACCTTGCGGGTCGAACATCGGGGGAAATAGTCCGCACAGATTTGACGCCTAGTTGTTACGCTGGCGTGTTGGCTTGGCGCTCGATGTGACGCTCGATATGACGCTTTGATGATTCTTGTCGCTCTCGTTTTCGCATTTCAGTTTCCTCGTTTTGGCTACGCGCAGGGATCATTGTGACTGCTTGCTGCCGCGGCCGCCGTCGGCCTCGTGTGGCCTCCCCGGTGCGGTCGAGGCACATCATGGAGGACTGTTCATTGCGGCCCAAGTTCCTCAGTAGCACGAAGATGTGTTTTGGGACGGATGGGCTACATGGGTGACTCGCGAGCGACGACCCACGAGTGGGAATGCGCGAACGACGACTCGCTCGGCGAGGATGTGGACTAGAGGGTTGTCGCATATTCCACAGGAGAGCACTCCGGTGTGTGATCGCACTGCTCTATCACGACGATGATATGGTGATATTTGGTCTGTGGACGAGACTTTCGGAAGGGGAGAACGCGGTCTATCAAGTCCGTGAACGACGAACTGCCTCCCAAAGCCACTCATCATCAGAGCTCGAAGAGTGTTCAAGGCTGTTTCAAGACACTGAAATAAGCGCTGGAAGGACAGTTCCCGACGGCTTTCGTGATGCTCGACTTCGGGTTTCGACTTGGTGGTGTGCTAATATGGAGATGGCTCCGCTTGCGCAGATCGATGTGGTGTGACTACCTAGAATCCCATCGATAAGCTTCGGCCAGACTCACGAAGGATGGGTGGAACCGAGTGATGACTCGCTCGGAAAGGAGGTGAACTAGAGGGATGTCGCGTTTCGAACAGGAGAGTACTCCGGTGTGGGTGAAGAAGGAATCTTGTTTGGTCTGATGGCGACGAGATAGAGAGTCTATGGATGGGACAATCAGGCGGGGATTCAGCATCGACGGGATCAATGGATGATGGGCGATGTCCAATGCATTTATGGACCGTGTAGCCGTGTTATCCAAACGAATTAGAAGTACCCACTCTTATCAGATGGGAAATACGAGGTCTGACGACTGATGGCTCTACATGACTATGATGTGCATTTTGAGTGTTCCAAATGCCTTCAGTCTAACCGTCCATCTGCGCATCACAAACGGTGTACCCTACACTTACTTGAAGACAAACACGGCATCGGTGCCGTGGTTGCAAACATGCACGAGAGCTGCCATTGGAAAGAACTACCTGGTGGCACCGGAGCGAGCAGCGCAGAAAAATCAAGTCATGAATCTCATGTCGACCGTAGGTCAGTATCTCCTATCTCGAAATAGCAGCCAGGAAAAGAACGATGGGAAACTTCAGCCTCGTCTCGGGTCTTATCCGAACACATCTGCAAATAAGCTCAGAAGCGAGTGAAGCGCCCGCCAAGCCAGACAAGAATGCATGTCCACCAACCAAACAAAACGTAAGTAAACCCTGAAGGTCGTGATATGTGATCTATGCGTGCGTGCGGGAAAGGGAGAGGAAGAGAGAGAAGGAAAGAATGAGAGGGTGGTGAGAAGGGCGGTTTACTCCATCAGCTCACTGCCCTCGCCGAATGCGTCGTCTTCATCTACGTCCTGGTCGTCAAGGATCGTCGCGCCCATCATCCCTGTGACATGCTGCGCTCCACCACTCGTGTTGATAGTGACTGGCGCCACGCCACCCGCCCATGACGATCCGCCCGTCGTTGCCGGCGCACTTTGGCTCAGTAGCAGCGAGTGATGGCTATAAGGGTGGACATGCTGATACACCTGTCCGTGCGGTAATGGGACCGGTGGACTCGGGCCTGCAGTGGGTGTCGAGCCTCGTGGGAAATTGCTGTGGGCATCGACATGCACGGCGGCCGCGTTTCCTGCCATTGAATCGTTGTCGTGCCCACTTAGGCTGAATCCATCGGCTTCTGAAGCTGTGACAGCGGAACCTTCGGCTGCAGCTTCCTGTGCTTTCTTTTGTTGATGCAAATGAGTCCGGAGTTTGGTTACACCATTGTTGGAAAACACACAGAAAACATCCCGTTGGTGCTCATTGAATTCTGGAGGCGCATCTCGACAAAAGGCGAGGAGATCTTCTCGGAGAAATGCTTGAACGCCGGTCAAGCTGAGATGTGTGAGTTTGGTGCAGTTCATAAGAAGCGAGAATATGCCCTGAAAACAAACGTCAGTCCGACCAAGTGGAAATGTACTCTGGAAAAATGAAACTTACGTCAACAGTGAGCTGTGTGCAGTAGCTCAGGTGCACTCTTTCAAGCACACTCGAGCCTGCTGGCCGACGGCTTCTATGCGGGTCGCCGCCATTCGCCAAGCTCGCAATCCCTGAATCCGAGATGCTGGAACATTTCACGAGACCGATGCGCTTCAATTTGGGAAGAGTGGCCAATTGATCTACGCTCCTATCGGTCAAGCTGCTACAACAGGCCAGGTCTATGTAGCGGATTCGCGTGCAATTCTTAGCGAGCGCCTCGACGGACGTGTCTGTGATGCGTGCGCAATGTCCAAGATGGATGTAATGCAAGTTTTTGCCCAATTTCGTGATCGCGTTCACTGCCCGATCTGTGATCAGTCGGCATTTGGCAAGAATGAGATTGCGGAGCCGCGGGCATAACTGGATGATCCTCTCAACACCTCTGTCTCCTAGCTCACCACAGTCGGTCAAGTCAAGGATCCGGAGAGCATCAAAGGTCTGCGGGATATCCGTGTCTATTGGAATATCCAGGAATGCGTCGTCATTGATCCGTGAGCAATGAGCCAGGCGCATCTCGCGTAATTGAGGACAAGATCTGAGAAGTTCCGTTACTGCCGAACTTTCCAGATTTTGCAGGCCGTAGAGATCAATCTCCAAAAGGTTCGAGCAATGTCTTGCGATGTTCATGATCGCTTTGTCAGTAAGCTGTACACAATTATTGAATTTTAGGCGCTTGAGGTGGCGACAATTTTGCGCGATGGCCACGATTGCTGCATCCGTGAGCTTCCTACAGCCCGTGACGTTGAGTCCTTGAAGGCGTATGCAATGTTCCGCCACAGTCATCATGGTGCGGTCTGTGAGCTGGTCGAGACCCGTCACGTCTAAAGCCAGCAGGCTCCGATTCATATCAATGAGTGGTTGAAGGCTGAGATCATTGAGCTTGCAGCAATTTGTCAAGGTCAACCGCTCGATTCGCTTGCAGTCCTTCATCCCAAGCAGTGTTCCATCGGTGACCTGACCTCCCAAAGTTGACATGTTCAGTCGTTTGACCAGATCTTGGTATGCGAAGAATTTCTTGCTCTTTCGAATCGACCTCACAACACTGTGAATGCTATCCCATTTGTTCATCGCGGGCCGGTGCCACAGCAGACCGACACTGTTGCGCGCCCATTCTTTCGATACCAGTAAACATGTCTGCAGTTCTCCTGTGGATGATAGGCGCGAAAATATGCTGATGAGAATCTCTGCTGGTAATCGCGCTATCGGCGAGACGCGGCATCGCTCTTCGTACTCATTATCCTGCGAGAGCTCTCCAGAAACATCGGCGCCCAGTGATGATTGAGAGTCGTTACCTTGCAGCATGAACGAGTCATTGTCGTCATCGGCTCCGCGCTCCGGCGATGTAGAGGCTGAACTGGAGCTGGACGCACTCGCAGTGCGCTTGTGGTGTCGTTGTCGCGCCATCGTGATGGGCTCACAAATACGATAGGTGGCTCACAAAGCAATACGGTGGCAGAGAATAGCAGTTCTCCCGGCACAACGCGTCTTTGAGATCAACCTTTTCACAGACACGAGAGAAGTTGGGTAGTGACAGCGAGATCGGATCGTGAGGGCAAAGAAGGCTCGTCGGCCGAGATTTTGCTCGAAAATTATTGCGCGCGTTGGCGGGACAAGAATGTTGCTGGCAGTGTCGCCGGTGCGATGTTAACGGCTCATGGCATGCGCTCCCTTTCACAGGCAGGTGCCTACTCAGTGCAGTCTATGCTCGTTGGCGGGGCTATGTTGTTGCAAAGGAGAGATGGTGCACACGATCGAGGTCGATAGATTGAAATATTCAGGTCGCAGTCGGTAGGCCCAGGGGTATAGAGAGTCACTTGGAAGACGTGAACGTGGTAGAATTGCAAGGTTATGATCGGAGGTCGATCGTTACAGTTGGAATGTTCACCACCACAGTCTCACTCCGAAGTTTGTGGGGTCTCACTTGTACATGTCATCCGCAGTACGTACTGTGTAATTCGCTCCTCCACGGGGCTGTCCGCTGCAGTACCGCTCGCTGCATAGCATCCTTTGGCAACAAACTCCCCCCGTTCAGCCCGCTCGCCCGTCGGATCCTCCCGCGGCGCCTTTGTCTTGCAACACTCCTTTCCCCAGTCGACATATCACATAGTCACCCAAGAAGCATATTCATCAGAGGTCTCTCGGATCTACTTGACGGCTGGAACTCTAATACTTTGATTGGTTTGATATGAGACGTGGACTGTGTCAGCTGCAAACGCGAAACCATGCTGACGAAGAAAAAGCATCACCCGGTGTGCTTTCCTCACGATCTTTCGGTGACTTCACACTCACGATCACATTCAGGCATCGCCAATCGTATTAGAATATCACTTATCTCGGTCGATGCTGGTTGCTCATACTCCAACAGATTGTTGAAAGTCACGAATACCCTGTCGTAAGCCCTGCTCAAACTCCCACACAAATTTACCGCTTTGTCCACTCTCACGGAGTCGCTTCAAACACCACAGGTCGAGCATACCGATTTTCTCCGCACCGGGTAGATTGCGCTCGCTTCTGCTGCCAAAAAAGTGCGAGGCGTCGTTGAATCCGACATCCCAGCCTTGTTCGAATCTGAAGTGCTCGTATTGGCCAGGATGCTTCGTATCCCAGTAATTGCAGTGACCTGAGACGGTATCGTTCTTGCGCTGCTGTTGTTGAGATTGGGCGTTTGCGAGCCGGTTTTGAATGTCTGAAGCCTCGAGTGTCAGAGAGACTGGTGCCGTGATGGCATGCTTCTCAACCATGTTCTTAAATCCCCATTCGCCACCAGGCATCCAGTCCATGCGATATGTCCAGAAGAAACTACCGCCTGATCTTTGTTGATAGCGCTGGGATTGTGCATTTCCAAATTGACGGACCAACTCCTCTTTAGGTGTGTCTCCGCCTTTGGCCCAGGTCTTCTCCCCCAGGACGCAACTGTATTCGCCAACAATGGCCTGGGAGGCACCGTGTTCGACAACAGCGCCATCCTTCCCATCGAGCCCAGAGAGCTTACTCGCTGCATCGCCAATAACCTCCTGTGGTGTCTTGCCATGATCCGCGAAACACCAGTATTTGTGGGTATCCACAGCGACAGGGTTTGTCTGTGTGCTGATCGAATTGTGCTTCTGACTCCACTTTGCGGCAGGGCCAAGGTTCCATGCGTCTGAAATGTAGATGGGCATCGAGGCATCGATACGGGATAGCTCAGCAAGCACTGCATCGTACCACTCGTACATGCCCTTTGCATTCCATTCAGCTTCGTTGATAATTTGAATTGCAGCGACACCATCTAGACTTTTCACTTGTTGTGCTATAAAACAGAGTGCACGGGTTGCAAGCTCCCTGTTGCTGTTCGACGACCAGAGTTCCGCTTTTCCTAGATCTGTTCCCGAGTGATCTTGGGCGTTAGCTCCACCAGGTAGGCCATGCATATCGATGACAACGCTGATGCCACGGTCGCTGCATCGTTGGATAAGCTCTTTCACTGCAGACCAGGCATTCTCGTAAACCGGTGCGACTTTTTCGAAGGGGGTATCTTTGCAATAAGGCGGTCCAAGAACGTAGTAGCCAATAGGCAACCGAATCGAGTTGCATCTTGCGAAGTCTCGCAGCCAATCTAGGTCTGCATCGCTGACATACTCTCGCCAATGCTTCTCATGACGTTGACGGGCTCCATCGAGGCCTTCGGCATTGACTCTGGCTTCGACAGCAGCAAGCTCGCTTTTGCCATTGGCATCGGCATGGAACATGCTACCAGTCAACCATTTTTCGAGCACGAACACAGAGCCAATGTTCGTGCCATGGTGATAGTGATATCTCGTCACGTCGGCTAGGGTGGGGGGCTGTATGCGTGAGGGTCCTTCTTGTAAGGGTTCCTGATTTTGCTGTCCAGGTCGATGGTTCTCCCACGCCGTTTTGGCTTTTCCAATAAAGTTCTTCATGCCGGCCAATGTAGTTTTACGAATTGCTTGCTTTTTCCAGATCAGGAACAGAAGAAGGCAGATGAATACGGCGATCAGGATGTATGACCAAGAATCCCGCATGTAGGTTGTGGAGCCAGAAGTGCTTACAATTTATGACGTATATTCCCGCGCGCCACGTCATTCACGCGTGCGACATGGTGGTAGTTTCAAGGTTTTAAGATCTTGAGCGATTTAAAATAATGATACCTTGGACTAGTAGAAGCATTCGACTCAGGACAGCATGCTCAGTTGCTCCTGTAAGGCCACGGAGGCAACGCCTTTCTGCACAATTTACCTTCCTCGCAAGCAAGGCCAGTTCGCCCTCCCTCCTTTCTCAGCGAGCAACCACGTTCTGAGCCGTCGTGGCAGGTGCAAAAGAATAATGTGGAAGAATGTCACATCGGACAGGTCATGTATCAAACTGACCTGCCGCAGCCTCCGAGGGCAGGGCTTGCTAGATTACAATAATTCGGGGAAGAAAGCTCGTACTGAAGCTATCGGGGCATATGAACGGTCACATCTTTGGGTATCTTCAACTCTTTCCTTCTCTTAGTGCTTCTCTCTCACCGCAGCTTCTTTCCCATCTCAGAGGTCGTTCGTGTTTTTGTGCAGATCTGGACGGACACGGGCAAGGGCTGGACTTTACTCGTCTCCGGCCCAAGAGTAAGCGAGACCAACGAGTCCGGCTGCTGTCGCCCACACACTTGCCCAGCCCACAGCTCCCACGAGCTCAGCGCCCTCCACAGTGACATACGCGCGGACAAAGGTGTTGATGAATGCACATGCTGCCAGGACGGCGGTGCGCTTTGCCAGAATTTTCGCGCGAGGCGTCACGCCAGCCTTGCTGAGGCCCACGTTCCATGCCACAGTCTCACTCAGGGAAGCAGTTTCGGGGTGGAAGGGCGCCTTCTCCGGTTTGATACCGGGGTCGGTGATGCCGGGATTTGTTGGCGAGCCAACACCGGGAACGAAGACAAATTGTGTGGCCGCATAACCCAGAGGAATAAAGGTAGCGAGAAGCACAGGAATGGCGCTGCTGTGGGCCTGGTCGAGGGTTCGCAGACCATCGAAATGAACGACTAAGAAGGTTGGCAACCACGACACGAAGCTTCCGTAGACGACCAATGCGTAGATGGCAGCGCCGAAGAGTGCGGTCAGCGCTTGTACACTCAGATCTTGGGCAACGGCTTGATTGGGCGTCTTCAAAGACGAAGTGTCATGCGCATGGATCACGGGCCGGAGCAGAGCAAAAGGTACTGCAATTGCCGCGATGTCGATGGCCAGTGGGATCAGTGCGCTGAGCGCATGGACGCCATAGAAGTAATTCAGTAAGAAATAGTGTGGAACATTGTTCAGTAGTGTCAGGTAGCCAAGGTCGAGATCTGTCCGTGTTGAGGTCCGTCAGCTTAGTTTCCCAGATCCGTATCCTCAAGTCCTGCACTCACAGTCATAGCCTGCGTACCACGCGATGCTCAATTCTGAAACCTTCCACGCCAGCATCGCCCCAATGTGCCAATTGTCCGTCAGATTCCGGCTGACTGCCGCTAATTCGGGGCCCGTGACATTGGCAGCGACAGAGTAAAGGAGCGAGCTGAGAGCCAAACTGAGAATGCTCGCTGCGGGAAAGCGCCAGATAGCAGAGCCTCGTGTTGGCGACAAGGCGGAAGAGGAGTCTGACATGGTGACGTGGGCTGAGGCCGGGGCGCGCTGTGCTGTCAATAAGGCGGAGTCGTGGTGGCCGCGTTATGTCGAACACGAGAAATGAAGACTGGAGGTCCTCCGAGGTATCAGGATATATTGCGACGCGATGGTGACTGGATGGTGTATGTGGAGGGTAGAGGAGAAGGGCACGTGAGTTTTGCGCAGTCGCAATGTCGGTCTTCGAAGGTACGTGTGAGCCTGTGCGTCTTCGAGCTAGAGCTTTGCGAAATGTTTGTTTACCGCCCAGTATTCGCTTGACAGTGACGTCAATTCGAGGAAGCATTATTAGTCATCACGTCGAGTCCAGGGGAATCACAACCCCAACCCTAGGTGCCTCTGTACAACATCTGCCAGGAAGATGGAATGCTTCGTGATGAGGCTACAATCACAACTGGACATGCTCAGAAGATAACCTTGTTGGAATGGCTCCCTGTAGCTGACACCCAGCTACATATGTCAATTACTTCACAAGCTTGTTGCCATACATACAGATCTTGAGATGCTTCACGAGTGTCGACCTCACATGTCGTCGTCCTGGACCTGCTTTCCACCACTGCCACGAAACCGTTCGTTTCTGTAAGGAGTTTCGTTCTAAGAGATATATACCAAGAATTGCAAATACCTGCTGTCTGGCCGAGCCTGCCAATCTTGAGGTGACGGCGACAGTCAGTCGAGAACGGACGTCAGCTCTGGGTTTACATGATGGCACATGCGTGTGGGTGCTCATGTTTTCACACCTTTGAATCGGATACTGTACTCGATGTTAGAACAAGCCCGACATTATGGCACGTGCCGGTTCGCAGAAAGGGATCGCTCAGTGCATCGAAGTCTTGTTGAGAAAAGCGTCGGTGGCAATAGTCACCACCTTGGCGCTATGCTGGCGATCAATGAAACACAAACATCCTGAAACGCGAAGGAATGTGCAAATGTACAGCATGTATGTATGTATGGACTGCGCCCCACGTTGTGCTGACGAGACCACCCGGTTCCAAGATCGTCCCGAAAGCACACACGCGCGGACGTATCGCACTGCGGGTCGCCAAAGCTGAGAGCGGTGCGCTAGGCCCCGTGTGCCCGCATATCCGAGCGCTAGCTAGGCCAGTGAGAGCATGTTCCCTTCACGACCGTGACGACCCAAATCTCGCGGCCGTCCAGAGATTTGAAACCTGGCACTCTGGTCGCAGTGACGATAGTGATCCTGGGTATTTCTCTCGAACAGCATCACGCATGCCATTTTCCCCGCTGAGCAAAGGCGCCTGCGCCTACGGGATGCTTCATCGCCCCTGGCATGTATGAAGACAACCACAACGATATGTAGTACATGTGCAGTGCATGCTGTGTTGTAATGGTGCCTGGATACAGTACAGTTCAATACAGTACAGTATGGTACAGCACATGGACGGCAAGGTCACACGGTAGGGCGTATGTTCGAGACGTTGCATGCCTACTGTGTGCATCTGCAGAGCGTCGGACGCTTTAATAGTATCTGTGCTAAGGGGAATCAGCGGCAAAATTCGTTCCGCCGATGCTCCGATTTGGCGCATGAGCATTTCCCTTTCTTCAACGTGCTCCCCCGCTCGAGACTTTGGAACAACGATCTCTGGATGGATATCTCGTGCCCAATAGAACACACATTTTTGCGCACAGGGTCGAGAGTCAATACGGTGCCAGACGAAGACGACCTGTGATGTGATGAGCAATACGACGATCAATTTAGACATGAAACATGGCAAGAGTAGGTGGCGAAGCCCGATGACATCCTTCCTCACTTAGGCAAGATTGTCTCCCACTGGGCGGTCGAGCGGTCGAGCGGTCGAGCGGGCAGAGTGAGCTGGAGATCGAAATGAACACCAACGTAGCGCACGGCGTGCAGCCTGTTAGGAGAGGCACAGGCAGGGGACCTAGATGCCTCATCTAGACATGCATCGAGGAGGATATATCGCAGTTGAAAGCACTGGGTTAAGTGGTTGCGCTCTAGTGGTCGTCAATGCATTGTGCAGCAAACTCATCACATGCATGTGCCGCTGCTAAGAAGAGATAGATGATTAAAGAGCGAGAGCGAGCGGGAGAGAAACAGGGCCCTCCAGCTGGGAGAGAGAAAGGGAAAGAGGAAAAGAGGCGTGCGAGAGGCGTGAGAGAGGGCCGGCCATCCATCCATCGCCCTTAGCCGAAAGCCCATTTCCCTCCCCCACCTGATCAATCTGTCTGGCGCTTGGGCTCATTCCGACTTCTGTTTCCCCAACTCCATCCAACCCAGCAGCATCGCCAACTTGTCGCTGCATCTGTCACTTCTACACCTTCATTCTCGATTCCTCCATTGCTCCCTGCATGGTCACCACCGGTCGCTATCTGCATAACGTTCGCCGAAAATCTCAAGGAATTGCCAAAAACGACCAAATCGAGTTCTGTGACCCTCGTGCGACGCTGACTCTTTTTGTTAAATCGCTTCCTTGGCTGCACACTGGTTCCATTCTGATCGGCTATCGCACAGTTGGCTCGCGTCCTGAACGCGCAAAGGAAACTTTGATTCTTTGGATCGATTTGGCGGCACCTTTCTCGACCACAGATCTGTCCGTCCTAAACACGCTCCCAAGAGCACACACCGGTGACCCGATATCCACAACGCAAAATGGCATCGCCGGTACCGTTGCTCCGCCCGCCTGTACCTGGTGCAGGCCGCGCAGGATCAGCCAACAAGCTTCCGCGACTTGGTCTCGCCATTCCAGCATCTCCAAATCAGAGACCCGTGAACAGTGCAGCAGCACCGCCTATGTTGGACAACCCCGCTCTCCCACCTCTATCAATCCCGAGGGCGCAACCGCCAAAACTGAGCCTTGCTACGCCGATGGGGACATCACAAACTCCCCAAGAAAGCACGCAGAACCGGCGACGCGGTCCTACACTAACTCTCAATCCCGGACAATCAGCGAGCAGTGGCGACGATTCGGCGCACAGCCGTACCAACAGCTTCGGCAATAGCGCCAATCCCAATGGATCCGTGTCTACCAATTCATCCCTCGATTACATTGATGTCCTGCGGAGTAAAGAGCCTGAATCTGCATATGCTGGTAGTCCGGCTAATTCAGGCGTGGGGATGGAGAGGGACAACAGCATGCAGGGATTACTACCCGACCTAGAGCGATTACGGCTGGAGAAGAAGCGAGAACTTGACGTGGAAGATCTGGATGATGCGGGTTGGAAAGCTGCGAAAAGGGAAGGACTCATCGTAGAATTAGGCAGCCTTGGTGAGGGTGCAGGAGGTGCCGTCACAAGATGTATCCTCAAGGGTGGAAAGACAGTCTTTGCTTTAAAGGTAGGTTTTACCAATTATATGCGATGACATGGGAGCATCGGCGAGACTGACAGCAGCATACAGATCATCACCACCGACCCGAATCCCGACGTCAAAAGACAAATTGTACGAGAGCTGTCATTCAACAAATCCTGCGCGTCTGCGCACATCTGCCAGTATTATGGAGCCTTCATGGATGACACTGCCGGCACCATCGGAATCAGCATGGAGTTCTGCGAGGGTGGATCTCTGGACAGCGTATACCGCGAAGTCCAAAAGCTTGGCGGACGGACCGGCGAAAAGGTCTTGGGCAAAGTCGCCGAAGGTGTGCTCAACGGTTTGACCTACCTGCATGGTCATCGGATCATCCACCGAGATATCAAGCCCTCCAACATTCTTCTCACACGGAGGGGCGAGGTCAAACTCTGCGATTTCGGTGTCAGTGGAGAGTTCGGTACTAAGGGCGACGCCAACACCTTCATTGGAACCAGCTATTACATGGCACCGGAGCGTATCACCGGGCAAAGCTACACCATCACGAGTGACGTGTGGAGTCTTGGAGTGACTCTATTGGAAGTGGCTCAGCATCGATTTCCTTTCCCTGCGGACGGCACTGAGATGAACCCTCGTGCCGGACTGATTGATCTTCTCACCTACATTGTCCGCCAACCCATCCCGAAGCTTAAAGACGAACCCGAGAATAAACTGAAGTGGAGTGAAAACTTCAAGTACTTCATCGAGTGCTGGTGAGCTGATCTGGCCAAACGCTGGTGTTGCCCAGAATGTACTGACAAAGTTTTCTTCTAGTCTGGAAAAAGATCCCGCTAGACGCGCAACACCGTGGCATATCCTCAAGCACCCTTGGATGGTGGAGATGAAAGCCAAGCGAGTCGACATGGTGCAGTTCCTGACCACAGTATGGGACTGGTCAGATTGAGTGGGGTTCACGTCCGGATCTCGCACATCGAGCCATGACACACTATTGACCTGGTTGGTCTCGAACGACCAGGCACACCCGCCACAGAAGACCCAAATTCTTGCCTCATTCGTGGGCCTGCGCGCAGGACTGCTGCGCAAAACGCCCATAGACCGAGACGATTCGTTGATGGTCGGGAATCGTCGCTCACGAGTTGCTCGAGGTATGTCCGCATAGAGGAAAGGACGGGTAGCCCGTTGTGACAGTCACGGCGACATCGAGTCATGTCATATCGAAGCCGATGCAGCAAGAATGGCTTAGATAACGAGGCCGTAAGATCGACGACCGAAGAGACTGATCAGATGGGAGCGAATCGGTCACGGACAGAAAAATCACTCGGTCGTGTCCGGACTTTCCTTTCGGCCATGACGGGGTCTGTCATTATATGATCAATTCTGATGAAACGAGGGTGGCGGCGTCTTTGTTTTGGTTCTGTCATTCGTGAAAGGATGACGTATCTAGATGCACTTTGTATGAAAATGCCTCTCGCTACATTGAAGGCCTCTGAGACTACCTGGTATGCAACTCATGTCCTGTCAACGCGAAGAGTGATTGAAACTCCAGGTGATAAGACCGACTGAACCAGATCGATGCAGCAAAGATGTAGGCTTCACGTTCGCGAGGAGACTCAGCATCAACATGCCCAGCTGGCGTTTGCAACATGCATGTCCACCATATTCCACTGCAACACGTTGTATAACCTCTTGAAGAACATCACATCGTGATAATCAGGTGACCATTACATACTCTACGTATATACCTGGGCATGCGTATGAATTCTACTATAGCAGGGTAAGCATCGAGACTGATGAATCCCGAATGACTGCTGTTGTGCGGTGGTTCTACTACTACTGTAACAATTCGATGTACTGAGTACTAGAGATGCTCATTCAGGAGTGGTGCACGGGTGGTCAAAGTTGAGTGGTTGACCTCACACAGTACGTCACCAACGCGCTAGCAGGTGACGAACTTTGAAACCCTCCAGGGCTCGAAAACGGGCAGGGAGACCCGCTCCGCTCGCTGCAGCTGATGTCGGGATCGCGTTGATGAGATACGCGGATTCGAAAAAGCTGAAGACCACACTTTATCCTCCTTCCGCAACACGTTTTCCACCCACGCCGCCCGCCTCGCCGTTGGGCAAGCAACCGCGTCTCGCGTCCCTGCGCCTCTCAGCTTCACATTCCTCTGGGACGCCACCGGATTTGTTCGCTCCTCCTGCGAATCTGGTTCGCAGCCAGTCTTGGCGCGCCAACTGACCGTCGCGTGCACGCAGAGGGAGGAGCATACACGTCGCCATATTGCTCTTTCCTCCACTGTCTCTAGAGTTCGCTCCGAGGAGACCACTTCCTCTGCTACATGACTGATTGAGAGACCGATCTGCTCGAAATCCTCACACTTGGCGATACGGTACTGAAATGCCTACTTCCGGCCGCAAGGGCAAAAGCCGGATGCGGCGGGCACCAGCAACAGACGCACAAGAACGCTCCGATGCCGAAACCCCTGAAGCTCTGGTGACGCCGTCTCGTGGATCTCGTAAGCGAACGAGAGGCTCCGACATATCTGTCGTTGCCCCTGTGAGAAATACCAGAAGAAAGACAAAGGACACTAGGGCCCTCGAGCGGGAGGACACCGATGGTACCGAACTTCAAGAAGCGAGCGACAATGACACCGAGCCCTCCACACCAACTGAGCAGGAGATCATCTCGTCACTCAAAGTGGCCGACAAGCATGTAAATGCTACCGAAGATTTCGCGAACGATCTTCTCGAGGGACAGGAGAATGTCCCGGGCTATGGCAAAATTGCTGGACGTGACTGGGTCTTCATTATTCGTAAAATTGAGGTCAACATTGGACGACCTGAAGCTCATGAGCGACTCAGCAACGTTGAGCAAGGTGGTGAGCTGGTTACACCCACAGCAAGGACAGTGGTGGATATAGATCTCGGGCCTGACCGTCAGGTCTCGCGTCTGCATGCTATCATTTCTTACGACGCGGACAACATGCAGTGGTACATCGTGGTCAATGGCCGCAATGGTCTCCGTGTTGACAACAACCTGCTCAAGAGAGGAACCAAATCCTATCTCCGAAATGGTAGTGTTATCGACATCGCCAACACACAGATGGCTTTCATCACAACCGCCACTGAAAACAATGACGGTCCCGTGTGGGACGCTTCTATCCTGCGACAGGCCCAAAAATCATCCGAGGATGATGACGACGACGAAGAAGACCCACGAACGGTCCCCGATGCTAGCAACTCGCACCCTACAGCTCGCAATCATTTGCAGGATAAGTCGATGTATCGAGCAGACTATGATGGTCATCAGCAACAGGGACCACAGTCGCATCAACGAACTCATCCGCACTCTCAGCAAACCACGCTTCCAATCTTGCCTGGGACACCCATGCGCCACCAGCAGCTCTTCCTTCCAAAATCTTCCCCGAGTGCAAATGCTTCTCGTGGATTGATGATGGAATCAACCGAGTCCATCGATTACTCAGCCGACAACGCCAAGGATTTGAAGCCACCGCATTCCTATGCTCAACTTATTGGGATGGCCATCTTGAGTACCACTGATCAACAAATGACGCTAAGCAATATTTACAAGTGGATCATGGCAAACTACTCATTTTATCGGTTCAATACGGGTGGATGGCAGAACAGCATTCGCCACAACCTCAGTCTGAACAAGGCTTTCACCAAAGTGGCACGCAGGACGGACGAGCCTGGCAAAGGCATGAAATGGGTTATTGAACCAACAGAGTTCGACAACTTCGTCCAACAGGGCATGAAGGGTTGCCGACGGCCCAATCCAATTCCTGGGGCTCAGAGTACAGTCGGTTCGCCTACAAGTCCAGACGATCGTGCTAGGCTCGGCGGTCGTGGTCATGAAGACTCCACACCTCCGCTGAACTCCTTCCAAACTTCGTTCCCGACTGCGACCGAGGCGTACACCCCAGAACGTGGTCCGAAGCGGTCACTGAACAACAATACGGGCAGCAGTGTGGGACTGGGCATCGATAGGCACGGCGCTACTGATTTTGACTTTGCTCAAAGAACACCAAGGAATGGGTACACAGCTGCAGCAAATGCTGCGGGATCCCCTCCAGCGCTCTATGTCAATGAAGGCGCCCGTGTGGGCCCGTTGGACACCCCATTCCCACTTCGTCCCGCGCAACGTCTGGCTCCTCCTAGCACCTTGAGGAGGCCAAGTGATTTCATACAATTCAGTAGCCCAGCCCCTTTCTGGAAGATGGAGGGCCTCATCGGAAGCACGCCTTTCAAGCCTTACGACCTGAGTCCCTTGAAGACACCCTTCCCAAGCCTGAGAAAGCGAGACTCAGATCGGAAGATTCATCCCTCGGTCGAAACCACAGACATCGCAGAGGAGGACAGTGATGTCAAGATTGATGAGAAAGGTGATGACCATGCGGAGGGTGCAGGCACATCAGTTGTCGGATCGAGTAGTCCTCCCCACTCTCGCAGCGTGGACAATGACTTGGATGCTAGTCCCAGCGCCAGCCGGCCCGCTACGGCTGTCGCCAGGACCCTCAGTCAGATGGCGGCCAATAGTGCTGAGAAGTCTACCAGCGAGGCTGGCACACCGCCCTTGACGAGTGGTACAAGCGCGGCAGCGCAGCAGACACCTCCATTCAATGTCTCTACGCAGAGTGTGGCTTCGACAACGCCAGTGCCAATGCAAGCGGATGGAAGTCCCATTACCACTGAACATGCCCGACCGCAGCAACCTGTCTACGGCTCTTCGTTTGCTGCTACAAATAACGCTCTACCACAAGTGTTCCATATCGATGATGGGGAAGAGGATGGTATTGATCTTGTCAAGTAAGCTCCCATCCCTACGTCATACCCGTTCACGATTTTTTGCTGACTCTTCCCTTGCAGAGGCTTCCAACCAATCGGCGCATTCCATCAACGTAACCATCTGGCGATGAGCCTGGGGATTGCCTCTTCGCAGGCATATGGCCGCTAGTCCTAGCAGAACAGTCTCTGGTCCAGTCGCAAGCACTACAGTACAACACTAGGCCGCCGCGATTGATGAAACGTGACCGGACTATTTCGGAACAAAGTCGACGGAAGCGGGTTAGGGAAAATGACTATGATTTCGTTCATGCGGTTGCTCTCGATCAACTGAGCATATCCGACTTAGCAACTTCCGCATACTCGATCAAGCTGTATCACATGCGACACAAGCCTCAAACCCACCCTTGTGTTGGAAAGCATCAATTGTTAGCTCCAGCACAGGCCGCCTCCCGCAATTTCAACCATGATGAGATATCTTCCCGTACTTGAACCATAGCAGCTTCTTGTAGTCCAGGCATTCCATATTCCTGTCACTCGGCGCAATGGTTCAGAAAGGGCTGGGCCGAGGGAATTATGGGGAGTACCGAACCAGTCTTGAGAAAATATGGGGACTTTACCAAACACTGACCTCACGCTTATCGCATCTGGCGTAAATTGACCGGCGCGCATCCCACAACCCACCATCTTCACGCGTTCTCTCTCTTCGATGGCAAAATAATGTCCGATTCGCATATTCTGGTTCGGCACATTCAATATGTGATCGGATCCTCCCAACCCACACCCTTGCCAGAAGTTGACCTACCACAATGACTGTAGGGCCATATCTGGACACTAGCGATGGCTTTGGCTCGGAGAGTAGAGTCATCGCATGTTCTGTGACAGACGACAGCTCAGTCTCGCCCTGAATGCTTTTGCGCGATTGCGTGTTGATCCCTTCCGCTCCAGGAGCTTTGCGACATCAACCCGCTCTAGACAAGACATCAGTGAGTTATGGAGACTACACTTGAACGTCTCTTTGACGTTAGTCCGTAGATCAAGTCACATCTCTCTACCTACTACCTTATCGTGACCTAGTTGGGCCTGTCTTCTGAAGTTATAATGATGAAGGAGCGCACAGTGCTTTTGCGTGATTTCTGTCGGTGCGCGCCCCTGCCATTCCTACTTTCCTGCTCGACGCTTCCTCCATCGCTGTTATCTTAACATACAAAAGCCCGCGACTGCGAGATGGATTCTTGATGCGCGCATCTGTTTACTGCAACCATACACATAATACAGATCATGAGTATCTTCACAGACCCGGCATCTATGGCGGAGGGGTCAGGTGACTTTCATTTCGACTTGCAAGATCCAACGCAGCTTACTTATGGCGATATCATCTCTGAGCCTCATACTTTCTGGGCCCCAGCCGCTGAAGGTCCCGACCTCGGCAGTGTCGCGTCGCAACAAGAAGCACAGCCTCAGACTCTCGCAGAGCCAGTGGAAGTGGAATCAAGTCTATCATCCTTCGCAGTCACCCCCAGCTCCTCTTTAGACGCAGGAAACACTGTCTTTCCCGATTCCCAACCCGGCTCCTTACTCAATCCTTCGCAGACGAGTCGTGACAACGAGGAGCGAGCATGCGCAGCCATCCAGCAGGCGTTGGCTGATGAGGATTGGGTGACCATGACGAATATGTGTCGCTCGCGACTCATCGCCGAAGGAGGACTATCGCCTTATCACAACGCGCAATACAAGATCTTCCTCGCGCATGTCCCAGGCGAAGATACCCCGGCTTTGCTAAACAGTGCGCGCGCGTCCATCCACAGGATGAAAACAGATGAGACCTCGTCTTTTCCCGACACGACCAACGCCCAAAATATCATGCACCTCGAGACGTTGATGAAGACGTTGATGGAGACGTTGTCGATGCGCGAGCCCGTGGGCGGGGTTTTCCCTTCGCTTGATCATTCCAGCGCAGCGAGTTCGGCGCTGGTCATGTCAAACGCTGAAACCAATGATGAACAGACATATGACTTCTGTATCGATACCTCCCTCATGTCGAATGTTGCAGTCAACAGTGGAAACCAATTTACATTCGACATGGACGCTTCGCTGACGTCAAATGGTGTTTCCGCGTCTCCATTCGACGAAAGTTCGTCGACCAACGTACAAGGCACTGGCTGCAACTTCAACGGGAGTTGCTTCGACATGGTCGCTTCGCTGATGTCAAACGGTGTTTCCGTGTCTCCATTCGAAGAAAGTCCATCAGTCAACGTACAAGGCATGGGCTGCAATTTCGACGGGAGTGGCTTCAACCCGAACTTCACATGGTCGAACCGCTGGCCAGCTGACGGCACAAGTTCTAATGCAGAGACTCAAACATTGCTTCACACACAACCGCAACTCGCAATTGCGCAGTTTCCGTCAATCCCCTTCACAGCAAATGCCTTTGCCACTGGGCAATCTGAAGTTGCTTCGCTGGACGCCACCGTTGAACAGTCAAATGGTGCTTCGCTAGCCTCCTTAATGAGCTTTCCCGTTATCGAACAAGGCGATGAAAAACTTGGTCAAATATACAAGTCAACTGCAGACGCCATGAGTCTGGATATGAATTTGGCAGATAATCCCGAGGATTCCGAAGTTGCAGGCTCAATGAAACGAGAGAATCTCTTTTCACCGCGGTCATCAATCGCGAGTCGAGCCGAGAACGACGTCAAAGCGGCGGGAGAGAGCTCATATGAAAATCAGGCCCTAAGGTCACTGTTTGGACTACAATCGAAGTCAAGTAGCGTATCAGACTCTCTGACAGGAGCAGCGCAGCCATTGGGCGAAATTGAAGCGCAAGGATACCGTAAGATGCAAGCAGAAGCCGCCAGATCGCGCATCGCTCTTGTCCGGCAGGGACGAATCAGCGTAGATTCCGATCTGCAGGGTCTAGCGCAAGACAACCAAGCCATCCGCGCCCGACTCAACCGCATCAGCAAAGTCGACCTGTCGCTCGGAGCAGGAGGTTCCCGCGTAGGAAAACGCACCAATTCCTCAGGCACGAGGCCAGTCGACCGTGTCGTCGTTGACATCACGCGTGCACGCGAGGCTCAAAGTCAAGCCATGGAAGCCACGCACACCCGACGCACATACCGCAAGAGCCTCGATGAAATTAGCTTCGCTCTCGAGTGCCAAATGAACCTGGAATCGCCACGGGGCAGCATCGCGTCTGCTTCCCGCCGTCAGAGCGGCGCCGCGCGCAACAGCGTCTCGGGCCGGTCGAGGATCCACTCCCGTGCGGACAGTTTGGGATCTGCCACTCATTCGAGCGGCGCTGGCCGTTCGTATGGACGCAAGAAATCCGGCCAGGAAGGTGGTGCAGGTCGTGAGACTCCCCGTCCACCTATCCCCCGCGATGCACATGGCAGATTCAAGGCTGTCGTTTTACCGAGTGCGAAGCCGTCTGACGCAGCAGCCGCGCAGGAATAACGTGTTCCTTGCACTGTATGGCGAGGTATGTTGTCGACCTTGAGTCGGCTTGGGTCATGGATTCCCAATATTGGTGTAGTGTGAAATAGCTCCAAGAAAATCATCACAGGTCATCCACACTTTTGGGCAGTATTCGCTGTCCTCATACTTTGCGCAAGTCTCTGCGGTCTGCCTGTGCAAGTTGTACATTGCCAGTGGCAGTCTCACCCGGGTCGTGATCTACGATCATCACATCCCTCGTGTGTCATGATCAACGGGACTTCAATTTGTCTTTGTGATTCTCCCAAAATTGTAGACAACCCACGTGCATGCTCGTAACATCCAGCCACCACTCATTGAAGCTGTCGTTCACATCGACATCAACCTTTGCGACTCTCTCCTCCCTCTTTAGGCCACAGAGTGCGCAAGCATGAGGTGCAACGAGGCCTCCTTCGATCGCCTTTAGAGTCTTGACCGGGATCTGCTCCGAGATCTCCGGAACTGCGGGTAATGCAGAAAGCCCATTAGAAGCGGCTGCAGTGACCGCAGCCTTTAGTTTACCGGCTTGGAGTTTCCACGAACGCACAGCATCGAGGACTTCCCGGTCTTCCTTCATCAGCTCGGTTTTATCAACGCCGGCGATTTTCATCCCGCTTCGGCCTCCTGCGCTCGCGGGCCCGATGCGCATGCCCTGCGCGAGGAACTGATCTCGTTTCCATCGGAGTTTGCGGCCCGCGATGATCCGACCTAAGACTACAGCTACATTCAACAGCTTGAGAAGGAGAACCTTGGTGGCTGGGTGTGCCAGGAGTTCGTGCCTCTGCGATACGGTAGCTTTGGAGAGAGGGTCAAGAAGAGTCTCTTGACCTAATCTGATGATAGGTGCAAATGCGGACAAGAGTATTGCTGGAGGAGGGATGTTGGTTGGCGGTAGCATCGGCTGTGATGGTGATGCTGCGGGTGTAAACGCATTCAATGGAGGACCAGCTTTGGTTGGTGGTGATTCGACCGTTATTTGTTGAATCTGCATGTTCGGAATTGGCTCGGTCGTTTCGAAGTCGTCCCAATCATCATCACGCGTCGGAGTGACTACTGGTCTTGTGTATGTCTGTCGAGACGGTATATTTCCGGGTTTGGCTTTTGTCTTGGGCGTAACGGCGATCGCTTTCGACAGTGGCGGAGATTGAAAATCATCCAGTCCGAGAAGGTCAAACTCTGATTCGAGATTTTCGCCTGCTACAACGGAAGAAGATTCGACAGGAGCGCTCTCAAAATCGCCAAAATCGTCATCTACGACCTCTGACGTTGTCTCTGAGAATGTTTCTTCCGCATCGAAAAGGACATCAACCGTGGGAATGGGCGACTTTGCAGCAGACGTCTTTGCACTCTCCTGGTTTAATGCTTTCGATACTACTGTAGGAGTAGGCGTCCGATCAACTTTGCTAAAGGGCAACGGCTTCGTTGCGGTCTGTTTTCGGTCCCTCGCAGCGACCAACTGCTTGGAGAATGCCATGGCAGCCTCGGGATTTTTGGACAAATCTTCGAGATCGTCGGCTCCTGCATCATACTCTTCATCTCCTCCAGAGAACAGAAAGTCCATGTGGTCTGCAAAAGGATGCCTGCCTATCCTGGAGTCTACCGCGGATTCCTTTGGTCCAGTCGTGCTGCCGGCCGATGCGAATGGCAATTTGCTGGCTTTCGGAGGGGTGTTCCTAGCAGCGGAAGCTTGTTGCACAGGTGCAGATGCATCCTCGAAGTCGCCGAAATCATCGTCGTCGCCTTCGTCTGAGCTCAGCGCCGCAGCGGTCGGGACTGGAGCAGAAGTATGATTCTCTTGTTTGGAAGTTGTTTGTTTCGGGGCATCAGGCAGTGTGGCCTCGCCAAACGCAGCAAACAGATCTTGAGACATTTGTTATCACGACGACTAGTCTATCGCTCTGCTCTCGGTTTGCTTCGGGTTTGTTGGATCTTCGTACGCAGATCATGCGGAAGCCAAATCTTGACAATTGTTTTCAGGCCGTTTATGAGCCAAATTTAATGCAGTGGCTACAGAAGCATGACAAACATCGGGACAGACAAATCTCTGTATTGAGGTGACCGGGAAAAAAATCATCACTTGATTTGCGTATACAATTGCCTTTAGGCCTAGATACAAATGACAGAAAACTAACCAGGCAGCTGTGCATTGGTTCCCATACAACGTTGATGAAGCATGTCTATCTGCTGCAGCCGCCCATGGACCTGTGCAGCCAGAAACGGGCGGAGCTGTCCCAGCGGAGTTTGACGCTGACTCAGGATGATGGCAATGACGCGCTCCAGGGCTTGGGCGGGTCGGAATCGCGTCGACAGGTTAATTAATATCCATTGTATTGTAATAAATTGGCCCGAACAAATTCCATACCGATCCATTCACGTGCCCGGCGAGGCACGAAGCGTCGCATTTGCGAACTCCCATCACGGGCTTTTGGATCAATCATACTTTTGACCCGTGAGACTGCACAGGCAGTGTGGTTGTCAAGGAAGAATATAATCTCATTGTTTGCACGGCGGCACATCTACTGGCACTCCTACTCTAGGTTCACAAGTTTCATCGTCACACGAGCCAGCGACAATCTGGATCCTCCCTCTACACCCACTGTACGAATGGCTTGACTTGGTCTTCTGACATTCTCCTCTTAATACGCATACTGGTCCATGGCATGTGATCTTCTTCATCGTTCACTTGCCTGATTCAGCAATAAGTCGGGCAATCAACGACTTGGTTCACCCTTGTGTAGACACGCATGCATACTACGACTTTTCGACTACCGGCACGATGTCAGATCTGGTGGAAACACTTGACAAACTGCTGAATAGCAATAACGAAGCACATTGGTTCTGTCCGCGACAAGACGCCGAGGATGATACATTATTCTTCGACGAGGATCTGCTTGGTAGCGATATCAAAGAGTCGGAAGATGACAAGGCAAAGAGAGGGAAAGCGCTAGAGCAGGCCAAGCAGACTCATGATGAGGCTCTCCTAGCTTGCAAAATCCTCGCATTTGATGGCGAGGATGCCGTCAGATATCAACAGAAGTTACAGCAGCAATTGCAAGTCCATTTGACTCGCTGCGATGTCTGTGTGCGGGAATACCATCGAGGCCGAAGACAACTGCGAGATATGCTCGAAGCTGAATATCCTCCCGAAGAGGTTCACTCTTTCATGTGCAAATTTGATCAGATGAACATCACGCGTATCGAAAACGGTCTCAATCATTTGACAAGCACTCTGCAAGGACTGCCGCCGAACAAACGTAGTATCGCAGCTGCTGGAGACATCGGCATGTATGCGCTATTCGAGGCTTTGAATTGCATACCCTTCTTACGAGACGAAGAAACCCTGGCTCGTGTCTTTGACATGGCGTTTCAACTTGTTCAGCCGCGGAAGCTACGGTTGAGCAGCTTCGTTCCAGGCATGACGTCCTTTCTATTCTCTCACGTGCCTGTGCGAAACGAATGGGCAATGCGAAGTTTCCGTCAAGCGAAGCGGACACCTCACGACGCTGAAGTAAAATTTGCCATCTTACCATTTTTCAACGCAGCACTGAGCCGGGTTACACCAGCAGCGCTTGAGAGAGAGTTTCTCCCGCGTTTCTGGGCTGCTACACGCACCATCATTTCGCAACTCAGTGCCATACAGACTTCAGACTGTATCAGGGGGTCCGACTTTGAATTAGTGCCTCTGTCACTAGACCATCTTCAAGTCGATGCCGACCACTTCACAGATTTGGTCCAGTGCTACGTGCTATTACTAGAAAAGGATGCGCGTGGTTTCTGGGATGCAGCCGATAAGGCTTCACCACAAATTATTATCGAGCAGATCTGCAAATCGCCAGCTCTCGAGAAAATGCTGATGGACACTGTAGAGAAGGAGCCACTCAAACTCGAAGAGAAGATGGCATGGACCGAGATCTTTATCCGCAATATAAATGCCAACAACATTGTCCCACCATTGCTCACCATGCTCGGCCAAATGCTACACAGATTTCAGAATGATCGATACTCACGATATGCAAGGAGGGTGACATATGTTCAAGGTCTCACATGCTTGTTAGAGGCCGTAAAAACGGTTCGAGAGACCATCAGTGGTGGCCCAGTCTGCGTCGACCTCATCGAAGCTGTTACGAAAGAGCATGCACAGATCATTCTCGAGGAGCTCGACGGCATCGAGACGAAGGAGGAGTTCAACATCGATGACGTCGAGCAAAAAGTTCTTGACATCGTGTTCAATATCGTAAGCCTCGAAGTCAAAATCTTGACGTACGACCGACGCGTAATTTGGGAAAAGGGCGACGCAGCGGCCGATGTCAATAGCTCTTACTTGAAGTTCTGGACGACCACAGTTAAGCGCATAAGGTCAGGTCACCCTGCGCTGATGGTTGCGATGCTGTCGGGCATCTCTGATCTTGTTCAGCTTGAAAAGATCGCGCCAGCTCAGGAAAAGCACGCTCCGAAACGAGCCAAGAGCTGGAATACAGCCCTCAGCCGAAGTCATGATGAAGTTTACAAACTCTTAGAGAAGCTAGAGTCTTTCAGCTCCGACACGCTTGAAGGCTTGTTCAATGAGCGAAAGGGGGCTCAAGGCATTATCCTTCTGCTTTTCAATGAAGATGAAAGGCTGCAGCAGGCCGCTTTAGGAATTCTCAAGATCACGAGTGGCCAGGACACCCGACGTGATTGTCTGATGGAAATTGTGAAGCGACGATTTGCATCAGTCTTGTCCTCTTTCACTGCTGCATACGATCTCATAACACGTCACAAGCCTTTTGCGCCTTGCACAGCGGTATTGAAGATGGGAAACGACATTCTCGGCTGCTTGTGCGATTCGAATGATGGTCTCCTTCGCTCCAGGCAACTCAGCGAGGCGGATGATATCAAAGCTTTGACTGACTTCTGGCGCAAGACGTGGTCCGTCTTAGAAGTCATCTTCGAGCATACTGAGAAGTGGAGTGCTTCGCATGACAAGAGCATGCTGCAAGAATTTTGCAGAGAGACCATGGACTTTGCAGAATTTGCCTTCGACCAGTACTCTGTAATCGCGAATACGTTAAGAAACTCAAATCCAGACCAGCAACGTTCGAACACAGAGCGTCAAAAAATCCTTGCCCAGCTTCTCGAGCAGCCGAACAAAGCATTCCACAGTATAGCGAAGTGGCTTCGTTTGCGCGACGATTATTTGATTATCAAATCAGTAAGCTTGACCGTCAAGATCCTCAACAGGTTACACACGGCCGAGATCAAAGTTTCACCAAAATCTTCAGCGTATCTTCTCTCCATGATATCAAATGGTAAAGAAAGGACAAGGACGAATCTGTCTCTGAACCAAAAGGCCGAATTGAAAAGAGCGCTTGAAAAACATATCGACGTGATCGAACTTGAACCTGCAGAGCCCAAGAAGCAGGGCTCGCTTCAAAGCTGGGTCACTGCTGGCCGCGAGCGATCATCAACACCAGTGTCAGGCGGAGAAGCCAGAGCAAGCAAGGAACCTCACCAAAAACTCGCACAGTCCAAGAACGAAACCAGTACAGCTACGCGAATCGCTGCACAGAAGAAGAAAGAAGAAGTATCTACGTTTCTCGCGAAAAGAAAACAGCACCAAGCGGAACAGGAGAAGGCCAAGCAAGCGAGAGCAAGAGCATCAAACCTGGGTGCTGGTAGTGGTGTGCTTGGACTGGGCAACCTCGGAAAGGAGCACACCGCCAAAGGCCAGAATGTAATGGTCTCATCTGATGAAAGCGACGATGACGACGACGACGATGATGTTGATGATGACATTTTCGGCATGAACAACAAGTCCCGCAAGAAATCCGAACGGCCAAATGTGAACGTCAGCGGTGCCGTCGGTCTGAGAATCGAACAAAAGCAAGGTCCGACTCGCATCGCACGGACACAGCGTTCACAAAGGGACATGCGAGCTCGACTAGCACCCGACTTGACCTCTCTTCATAAAACCATCCTCAATTGGGACTACTTCCACGAAGGCGATTACCCGCCCTACGCGGATGATTCGATGTTCTCGCGAGTCGAAAATTCATTCCGGGATCCTATATCATATCAGAACACATTCGAGCCGCTGCTGACGTTGGAAGCTTGGCAAGGCATGGTCAAGTCACGCGAAGAGATCAATGCAAATACCGCTAATGGATATGAGATCAAGGTGCAGAACCGTAGCACTGTGGACTCATTCACGGAGATAAGTAGTCTACTTGACTCGGCTGAGAACAAGCGCTTGGGTCTTTCAGAGGGGGATATCATCTTATTATCGATGGGCAAGAAGCCTGCAGATGATTCAAAGTCGCCCCACTGTCTTGCCAGGATTTACCGCATCAAGCGACAGAAGGCCACGCTCGAAGTTGTGTACCAGGTTTCCCCTTCCGCCCCGCTGACGCCTCACATGACGATGCAAACCGTAATATATGGGTTGAAGGTCCAATCCATCACACCACTCGAGCGAGAGTTTGGTGCTCTGAAAGCATTACAATACTATGACCTCTGCAATCAGATCGTGAGAGCCGCACCGTCTCGGCGGATCAATGTCAACGAGAAGCAGATAGCCAGCTTCCAAGACATTTGGAACCTCAACAGAGCACAGTCTGAGGCGATCAATGCGGCTCTCGAGAACGACGGCTTTTCTTTAATCCAAGGCCCACCAGGCTCCGGCAAAACGAAGACGATTGTGGCCATAGTTGGAGGATTGCTTTCCAGTATGTTGGACAACGGCTCTGTTGGCACTACGAAGATTTCGGTGCCTAAATCTGGTATGAACGCCCCGGCAAGCGACAACGCGCCAAGCAAGAAGTTGTTGGTCTGCGCTCCGAGTAATGCGGCTGTCGACGAGCTCGTTATGCGTTTGAAGGAAGGAGTCAAGACGAAGAGCGGGCGACGACATGACCTCAACGTCGTCCGAATAGGTCGGAGTGAAGCTATCAATTCTCAGGTCAAGGACGTCACGATGGAAGAGCTTGTCTCCAAAAGATTGGGCAATAATGAAACAGATCCTAAAAAGCGACAGGCGCAAGCGGATGTGTTCCTCAATCACAAACAGATCTCTGGACAATTGCAAGAAGCTTACCAGACACGCGACAAGGGTGAAGTCAAAGGCAATGATCTGACCAAACTTGAAGCGTCTATTGCGCAGCTAAGGAAGCGGAAGAATGAGCTCAGTGTTCAAATTGACAACATCAAAGATCAAGAGCGGAACCAGGGCCGACAGGCAGAGCTGGATCGCAAGCGTGCTCAGCAAGCAGTCTTAGATGGTGCGCATGTCATATGTGCTACACTTAGCGGTAGTGGCCACGATATGTTTCAGAGCCTGAACATCGAGTTTGAAACTGTCATCATTGACGAAGCCGCCCAGTGCGTGGAGATGAGCTCATTGATCCCACTCAAATACGGATGCGTTAAGTGCATCATGGTAGGCGATCCAAAGCAGTTGCCTCCGACGGTATTCTCGAAAGAAGCTGCCAAATTCCAGTACGAGCAGAGTCTTTTCGTGCGCATGCAAAACAATCATCCGGACGAGGTGCATCTCCTGGATACTCAATATCGTATGCACCCACACATCAGTCAATTCCCCAGTCGAAGCTTCTATGACGGCCTCCTCAAAGACGGACAAGGAATGGCTGCTCTACGGAAACAGCCTTGGCATACCAGTGCTTTGCTTGCTCCCTATCGTTTCTACGATGTCAAAGGCCAACAGCAAAATGCTCCGAAAGGCCGATCTTTCATCAACATTGCGGAAATTGATGTGGCGATGGCCCTATACAATAGACTAACGACTGATTGCAAAAGCTACGACTTCAGTGGCAAGATCGGCATCATCACCCCTTACAAGGCGCAGCTGCACGCTTTGAAAGACCGGTTCTCTGGCCGCTACGGCTCAAGGATTCTTGACGACATCGAATTCAACACCACTGATGCCTTTCAGGGACGTGAGAGTGAAGTTATCATTTTCTCATGTGTGCGAGCATCTGAAAGTGGAGGAATTGGATTCTTACAAGATATTCGACGCATGAATGTCGGTCTAACGCGTGCAAAGTCAAGTCTTTGGGTGCTCGGTAATTCCGGCAGCTTGATCAAAGGGCAGTATTGGCGCAAACTCGTTGAAGATGCCCAGGCTCGCGATTGCTATACGACCGGTAACATTATGTCCATGTTGGCCAAGCCATCGGATGCGTTCCCGGCGAGTAATCTCAATACGAGCTCAATGGAAGATGTCCCTGTCAAGGCTGAGGAAGCTGCCGCCAATGGGATCAAGCAGGAGAAGCCTTCGGAAGACCCACGCAAGGCGAATGGCGCACATTCGGATCGCATGGAAGGCGTTCGGTACAAATTCGAAGATCGTGTCTCCAAGCCCAGAGCGAGTGAGGATCCGCGCATCAAGCAAGAAAGAGCATCCTCGCCTAAACGGGCAGAAGCGACTGAGGATGTTGAGATGGAGGACGCCGTGATCGAAGAGCCGATCGGCACCAGCCGGGCGATTGAAACGAGTCGATCCGCTGCTCTGATAAAAGAAGATCATGGAAAATCTGCCGCGGCAGAGCCAGCGAAGACGAATGGCACATCTGCAGCTCCCCGCGAAGCACCCGTCGCGCCTCGGAAGCGACCACAATCGACTCCCTTCATGCCGCGCAAGAAGCCTCGACCAGGAGCGCAGTGAGGCATTTTTATTCGTAATTTAGCATTTCTTTCATGCGTCTTGAACGGATCCGTAGGCGGGGATTGCGTTCAAGGGTATCTAGGTCAGCGAGCATTGGGTTAGAAGAATCATGTAAATTAGAGGACATCAAGGCCGCGAAACGGAGCGGCTACGTAGACGCCCAGTCGTGACGAGGGCATGCTGGTCGTGATTGGATGAAGTTGATCATCGTGAGGACGTGATGCTCTCCTTTGATACCTCGTTGGGTATTTCGCTCTATAAACCGACACAACCTGCGACGATAATGAGCGACGGCGATTAGTTGGTCACTAGGCAAACGGACGGTAGTTATGAAGAAAGCCGAACAACTGTGCCGCGCTCAGCCACATTGGTGAGGCAACGAGCACCAATACGACATGCTTCTGCGACAGTAGCCGGCGCGCGCTCGAACCTACCGCCACGGAACTAAAGCAAGCGTATGTTTGGAATCTACCCAGTTTTGGGGTTTCTCGATGCTCGCACATCTTCTCCAGGGCTCCAGTGCTCCAGGGCTCGCTCTTTTGGATGTTAGGGTTGTCGTTCACGAGAAGCAGGTCGTGAACACGCCAAATGCTGGGATCTTGACGCTCCCCTTGCTCAGTAAAGGAGCTTGCATTGACCAGGCTGTTGCCAGGCTTGCCCCTAGAGCGCTTGCACGATGCAAGGATTGTCTATACGGAGCGAACGAGTACAGTACCAATTTAGAGACAGAGCTTAGGTTCACTCGGTCCAGTATTCTGTCAGACTAGGCATGCATACTGATCCGCCGTAGCGGGACGGAGCAGCCAGCCGATGACCGAAGCTCAAAGGGCTCAAAGGGCATGACCGCACCTTCCATCTTCAGCGGCAATTCATTGTGTCGTCGTCTGGAGGGCTCTCTTGGATGTCCTCCAACCAACACACAGGCTGGGCTCCGAATGCGTCAATTGCTGGGAGGCAACAAGAGATCTCGCAACAATCTGAGCACTCTCATACATATTATGGTGCGCCCGCACGTCGCCCGAACTCGGCGGCGGTTCACAGCATTCATTGATTGTTAGGCTCCCCACAGCCGCAATGATGAGGCCCAGTCACTGACTGTCCACATTCCTGTGCCACCACATCTATATGCAGACGGACGAATCAGCCACGCTCATGCTCCGACTATAGTGAGCTGCGTACATGCATGGACATTCATGTGTTGCACTGCGCCCATTCTTGCAGCCCCCCCCTTGGCTGCAGCACTATGCACGGGTCGTGATACTAAGCGTCGTCTAGCGAGCACTTCCGGCTGGGCTGGCCGGCCATTGTTGAGACGCTTCATGCCCTTGCGTTCCTCCCTCCTCGTTCGCGACCAGATCTTGTAAGCGAATCGATTATCCTCGGTCGGTCGCTTGCAAAACAGTTAGTGACACGTCGGATGAATGCTCGGTCTGAGCCACCCACATCACCCATCTGTTCTCTTCAGGCAAAACGTAGACTGAAAGACATTTCCAAGGGCCGGAGTGTACATGTGCTCGGTCGTCGTCTTCATTACTCGCGGTGCCGCCGCACTCAATATTGGTAGTGACGTCCCTATTCAACACCTTCGAAGTAGTGCATTCGATTTGTGCTGCCTTCATACGACTGTTAATTATACTACCGCCCTGTCCCGGAGCTACCATCTTGATTTGGAAACCGAAAGCCCTTGTGTCATTCACTGGGATACGAGGCATCATACTAGATCACCACAGCGGGCGCTGTGTAACTTCAGAATGGCTCTTACTATGCAGCTGGAGGAGCCCGGTCGAGGAACGCGTACGACCTATCGCACTCGGGATCGGGCATACGAAGCGCAAGATGAAAAGAAAGCGGACACCCTGCGATTGTTTCCTTCTCCACCATCCTCCGATCACCCTGCATTGCGATCACGAACACCAGTCGACAAGTCCGCAGCAAAATCGAGGCCGCCAAACGTCATCCATTTCGCAAGCTTTGATGCCGATGAGCTTGCGGGCATGGCGATCATGGTCAGCGAAGAGCGTGCCGCGAACACGCAGAAACCGCTCACATCGAGCAAGTCTACCCACCAGCCCGGGAATTATCGGAATCATTCGAAGCCACTGCCTTCTGCGCGAAGTCGTCCAGAGTCGTGGTCGATGCGTCCTGCCGGTAGTGGTGCCCTGATGCAACATCTCACTGGCAGCGATGACGATCTCCTTGGTGCGACAAAACCTCAGCAGAATTTTCAAAGTAACTCATCATACGAGCTGGCCGATTTCCTCAGAACGACCGCTCCGAAGCAACCGAGTCGCAAGCCGAGCAGAATGGATCTACAAGGTCGTGCGGCCATGGCGTCACAGCATGCGTCCCATTTTCTGAAGCTGGTGCACAAATCCTCAATTGCTACGTCCAGTCGAAAGAAGTATGTCTTGCATTGTCCCCTGTGATTCGTAGATTGTACTGACAATTTTTTCAGACTCGGCAGCCTCTTGCACAGAAAGAACAATGATACGGTGACCGAGGTTCAAGAGATGTTGCCATCACTGAATGTCAAGCAGGAAGTCTCGTTATCAGGTGAGTTGCTTCACCCGAGCCATCTTCACTCAGGCTTACTAAATGGCGGTCTAGGCAATAAATATCTCGCTCTCCAGATCCCAGAGATAGAAGAAATATCGCAAGAGACTCGAGGTGGTCCAGAGTATAGCCACACTGTGACTCTACGAGACCTTGTGCTTGGTCCAATGGAACTTAACTCACATCAGCACCATATTAAGTCCAAACGCCAGGATGACTCGATCGGAGAACGAAGCGTCTCTAAACACGCGGTTTCTGCTCCGACCAAACTCCCGAGCCTCTTAACCTCGGAGATGCACCAGCAGACTCTCGCCAGGCCGTCAACTTCGGCCGGGTTCCATGCAATTTCGACTTCTCTCCCGACCCATTCACTGATGCATGAGACTTCTTCCAACAGGGATCGCGAGAACCGGCCCAAGACTTCGCCTACCCAAAGCTCGCCTCCACGGTCACGCCGTCCTCGCGAATTTGCAAGTCTCTCCTCAATGGTCAACACTGAGGATCCTACGCGAGCTGCAGACTCGGCAGAGGCTGGTGCGGCTCTGGCAGCCCAGAAACCGCGACATCGACGCACAGGATATCATGTTCCAGACGTGCATGTCAAAGACGAACAGGACTCTGCGAGGAGACAAAAAGCAAGCACCACTTCTGTGCACGCCACGAGTGCACCTTCTGCTGAAGGGGATGCTGACACGGTGAAAACTTCCGGGCAGAGTCGGCGCCGAGACAAGAGTGGGTCTCTCAGACCAGCGTACGTGTCCCCTGAGATCGGCTCCCTCAAACGCAGTCGAAAAAGAGCCACGCGAGAACGTTCCGTACGAGACTCAGATGCGCCGGACAGCGCCATTTCAACGACTCCATACGCTGGCTCGGAACAGACAAGACCCAATCGAGAGCTTACTGCGTCTCACTCGAACGCCGTCTCGGTGGTTGAGATATCTAGGACGCATACATCTAGACTTGCCATACCCACGAGCTCACTTGAAAGGAGCATGAAGACTGCGTCAATGTCACTACCAGAGGTCTGTGACGCTTCAGGTGTGGGAATTTGTCAGTATGAACGTTCCATGGCCGTATACGAATTGCCCGGCAACCACGTCCCTCCTCGACTCAGTTCCGCCGCTGCCACCAAGGAACCTACACCCAAAACCAGAAAGAAGCAAGGCACACGTCCGCCGACCAGAATCGCGGTCAATGACGTCAAAACCTACACGCCCCGTCCTCGCTCGGCACACAACGCCAAGAGCGCCGCCCGTCGACGCAGCAGGGCCAGCATCATCCTCCCGAGCTCGCACGTCGTTCGAAACGAGCCCTCCGCACCAGAGACGCCCGTGACGCCGCCTTCTCGCGCCCTTCCCGAAACGCCACCTTCCCGCGCACTCCCCGACACACCGCCTTCGGTGAAATCAATCGGAGCACCCTCCCAGCGCCGCGAACGCCACAAGGCCAGCAACAGCAGCTCCAGTTCCTCCAGCTACGAGACCATCGGATCCCGCGAGCAACCGGCCTATGAATACCGCGGCCTGCCTCACATCGTCAGCCAAGCCCAACGCATGCCCATACGGAGCAAGACCTCCCACGTGGACGCCCGCCTCGAGGCGCTCGAGAAGCAGAACGCCCTGCTCTCGGCGGCTTTGATGGCGGTGCTCAAGACCAATGGGGCGCTGAACAGTGCGCCGTTGCCCTCGGAGCTGTTGGGGGATTTCACGCATCCGGTCTCTTCTGCTTCGGCAGCTTCGTCGTCTGCGGCGACATCGCAGGAGGTGGGAAGACCGGTGACGAGACATGGTTTGAGCAACAGCGCGGGCAGTGCGCATGCTTTGGATATGTACATGTACACTCGAGCACAATGAACGAGGGGCGTGGGTCGCGGATGCGGTCGGTCGTCGGAGTTCTGGGAATCGCGTAATGTTAGAAACGAATCTCATTGGGTTTTGAATTTCCATCAAATTTGTGCGTCTCTTACATGATGTTCCCCTCTCTACTACTGATGCATCATCTACATGATGACCGGTTCCTCCTCGCTGGTCTGCCCTCTATTCTGAGTAGCGGCTGCGTGCTTCGGCTGTATCATGCCCATGCGAATGGCCCAGTCGTCACGTCCAGTCTCCTCGATCAATTCGTTCGCCAAAGTCAATCTCCGATCGTACTGTCTCCGGTCGTAGACTTGAAGACTTCGACTATGCATATGTAGAGTTGTCGTCCACAGGTTGGAAAGGCCCACGAGCGCGGTCGAAGCAAGCACCAATGCTACAAGCATCATCTGTCCAAGTAGGCTTGCGTTGGCCAACAACATGATGTCGATGTAACTAGCGCAGTATTACAACGTCAGCTTAGTCAACGAGATCGCCAAACAGGCAGGTGACTGCTCCAAACTCACACCAACAACGTCGCGAATGTCGTCGCGGAGCTCTCCGCCGCCGTCGCCTCTCTCAGCCAAGACGCAGAGGTTACGGCCTTGAGATCGTCAACCAGACCGCGAATACGGACCCAGCGGTCTTGACTCAAGAGGACCAACAGATCACCGTTGACGCCAGGCTCCAACGCTCCAAACCTTGCGCGTAACGTCAGTTTCGCTTCTGTGACGCAGTCTACAATCTCCAGTTTCCGTGTGGAGAAGGGAAAGACTCACCATCCAGGTCTCGCCCGGCGACGCAACACAAGCATATTCACCAAGCGGACGAAAACCAACCCGCCCATTCCGCCCAACGCCCACCAATCCCGCATTCCCGCCAACAACGCCATCGCCGACGCCGTCAAGCCCGCGGCGCAAAGCGCGCTCGCACTCACCGCCCACCCCTGCCTCACAGTTCTCGCGGGCAGAACCTCCAAGGTGGTCAAGCAGCCCGACCGGCCGACCCTCTGGAGATGGAACACCGTGGCCTGGTTCTCGACGCGGAAGACATAGCCCGTGGTCAGAGCGGCGCAGGCGGGATATTCACCCTTGTGGAGGTCCACGGCTGTGTGACCCTCTTGATGGAGGCCGGGCAGGAGGATCAGGGCATCGAGTAGGGAGGGGGTCCCGCCGCGGAGCGCAGTTCGGATGGCGAGGGTGGAGATGTCGGCGAGCAGGATGAGGCCCGCGAGGGAGAGGGAGAAGGACGGAGACTGGGGAGTTTCGGTGAGATGATTTGAGACAATCGGGTAGATTTGACGCTTACACTGATGGTCGAGATGTCGAGCATTCTGGTCTTCTGGATGTTTACGGTAGATCGACACTGAAGGCAATCACACACGCCTGGAGACTGGCGGGTCGACAAGGCTGTGAGGAGCTTTGGTGCGTTTTCCAGCGAGGACTTCTAATTTTCTCGTCGAGCAGACATGAGTTTTTGACGATGCAGGAAGAATGGGATGGGCTTGGTGATACGTTCTAGCAACGTTCAGCTCTTTGAACATATGTATATATCCATGCTGTACATGTGAACAACAGTTGCGACAACCTTGGAAGGCTCCGGAGACCGGTGTACGATAATGCTCAAGGGTGGCTGGCTTAGAGCTTTACCTCTCTCTGTTCGATCAACGAGGTCACCGAGCAGGATCTCGACTTGAGATCTTGTGGGGAGCATGAGATTTTCCCTCCGATCTGATCCGACAGATCATGACATCAAAACAGAACGCGATTCCTGAGGCAAAGATTGTTTGATCGCAAAGTGAATGCCAGTTGGATCGCGACGTTGAAACGGTCTCGTCCATTCCATGTCATCGCGCCTTCAAGAGGGCGGACATCCATCCGTCGTTTCCGAAAACGGTAGAATGTGCATAAGATGTGCAAAGTTGGACCCCAAACATGTGATTTCGCGTTCCCAGGGCAAATTTGAATTTCGGCACACGAGAGGACGGCAGGCGTGGAGCAAGCAAAAGTCGCTCGGTGATGCCCGTAGCGTTGGCCGGTGCGCCCCAAAGCAAAGCACGTGATTGTCACAAAGCAGCATTTCTGCCTCGTCACAGGTAGACAAGCTCCTCCCCATTGCGCTGCGAGATGAACAATGTACGATCCGATTTACCGTCTCGGCATTGATGGAGGCTGCATAATCTCATCTTATCAGCGCCTGCAGCATGGTTCCTGACATCCTGAACAGCTTTACACTCGCTCGCTGCTGCTACTACTGTACGTAACGATAGTCGAAAGGCACGGATCAGCCTCAAATCGAATGCAGCCGGAAGCGAGGGCACAGTGCAGTAGTGGGTGAGGAGGAAAGCAGGTGGTGAGTGGGCCATTTCTTTATGGCGCAATGGATGGTCCTTCAGCTGCAGGTGGGGCCTGCACACCATTGTCCTCACATCTGTGCTCTCTCTCTCTCTCTCTCTCTCTCTCTCTCGCTACAGTGTGGTCATGGAACAATTTATTATTCTCTGGTGTTGTAGTGAACTCGTGCCTCTTGAGCCTGGAGCTGACGGACGCGTTTACAGGTGCTACGGCCGATGATGTTGTAGAGCACCACGGTAGACAGCGCGGGCTCAGTGCTCACGTTTCTTGTGTCTGGTACAGTCCTCATCGCTTTTCGGGAGCATTGCATCGCTCGAATGCGTCATATGCTTCTCGAAAGGATCACCGACCGAACGGCTGGCGTCCTCGTGAAATACGTTGAATGCCGCTGACGTCTTGGTCCCGCTGTCGACGGCAATTTGACTCTGCCTTTCGGGATTAAACAATGAACGGGATCGGCATTGCCATCGTCGAGGTCGTCATCGCGACCCCTTGATGTTTTGTCGAGGCTCGAGCATGGCGACGACCATCCGGATAGCCATCAGGACGGACAGATCGCGAAAAGGAAATGGATGTGGGTATGTGCAGTAGTGGTAGTGCTGAAGTAGGCACTGGGCAGAGGAATCATCGTTCATTTCACTGCACTTCTCACGGTCTATTGGCGGGCCGGAGTGCCGGCCCTTCTATTGTTGGTGCCACACACACACACACGCATGATAACAACCTTGGAAAGTTACAGTCGCAGCTCGCGTTCAGTCCGTCACGTATATTCCACAGTACGCGATTCCTGTTGACTGTACAAAAGTGTCCTGCTGAGTCGCCTTCAGTTCCTTTCCTGGCCTTGCCTTTTCCTCTTCGAGACCTACACACGCTTGACTGCTCTCGTCGTCCGTCCGAACCTCATTGAGCAACGCGCCCGGGTCACGATCGATCTGTTCATCCGTGTCACTCGCCGCCTTAGAGAATCCAACCACCGATCAAAATTCGGGTTACCGATTGATTGCGCGATCCACCCGGCAGCGCTTTCGGATAGCCACGCGACACATTCCAGCACTGATCCTCGTTATCTCTCCGTCACGGAGTCGTTGAATACCACGCGGTGAATAACGATTGAGGGACATTCTCCGTGCCCATCGGATTGACGTTGACCAATATTGCCCGAGCAGACTGATCTCTCGCGTCTGAGATCGAATCCGGTATGTGGAACGCTTCTCCTCCTACGTGGTGTCAATCACCACTTCTCCCGTACGCGTGGAACATCGCGGTGTCCAGCTGCGTTGCTGCTGCTGCTACTGCTGCAAGTTGTATTCAATGCCTCTCGCAATGAACCACATCTCTGCGTGCACAACAAATACAGCCGAAATGTCCCACACGTCAGGAGCTCACAACATCCTTTCCGTGCGGCGTTCGCACCAACCGCAACATTGCTGCCAAAGAAACCACTCTGTCGCTCGCACCTGCATCTTCCGCTACACGTCTTGACGTCAAAGGTTGAGGATTGTCTGCAATGGCGACGAGGGCAAGAAGTGGCAGCAGCAATCCTCGCTCTCGATGGATCATCCACGGTCGCAATCGAGCACTGCATGGGACTGATATCATCGCTCCTGCTCCTCCTACAATGCACACAAAATCACGATCATCACTTTGAGAAACCCGTCTCCCGTCGTCGCAGCTCCATTGATCAACGCCTGCATATATGTATGCCGGACTGGAGCCTCCGACTGAATGTTGATCGCCCGTGGTGCCGTGACTTGACCGAATCCATTCTAACTTCAAACTTTGAGTTGCAGCTTTCCCGATTCCAGGTGGGAATTATCCGGCATTTGGACTGCCCGCACACGCACGCTGCACCAACCCGTCGCACCTGTCCAGGCGCGCTTTGGGCTCGACTCCGATCCCCCAATCGCAGCATCGTGAAGTTCAGAGGCCATAAGGGCAAACACCACTGCCGTCGACCTCCCATACTCATCCAGATCTACCGGTCCGTTCACGGTTCCTGCTGCTTACTCTGTGACGCGTACGCACACACAGACACACACGCGCACACACACACACACATCTCGCACTTGCATCTTGCCCTGAGCTGAGCCGAGATCATCTCCACGCAACAAGCCTAGCTGCCCCGCGCCTCCCCAACCGGTCCCGCCTTCCCGTTCTTCCCGTTCCGCAACGGCTCGTCCGGGTCCACTTCGCACCTGCTTGCCTCTCCCCCCTCGCTCTGGTTTTCTTGTCACTTTGTCCTCACCCTGCGCAACACGCTTTGCTCCATCTGGACACATCTCGAAACAGGCAATTCTCCTCCCCACAAATCACCAAATCCAGCATAGCGACCCTTACTCTGCACCTCATTCGGTCTCGTCTGAATCCAATCTACCGCCTTCATCATGTCGGCAGAGATCGTCGGTCAGGACCCTACCAACGCCCACGAGGAGCAGGACGACCTCGAAAACGGTGGCAACGAGCCTCGTGGCATTAAGCGCGCCCGTACCAGCACTGCTGGCGATGATGACGATGACGACGATGACAAGCCTGGTCGTGAGCGTCGCAAGATTGAAATTAAGTTTATTCAAGACAAATCGCGGCGTCACATCACCTTCTCGAAACGCAAGGCCGGTATCATGAAGAAGGTAAGCCATCGCATGCGCATCGCTCGCATCCTTGCCGCACGTCCGTCTCGATCAAAATGACTGACCAAAGACCTTGTCAGGCTTACGAACTTTCCGTCCTTACTGGCACTCAAGTGCTCCTTCTGGTCGTCTCTGAGACTGGTCTGGTCTACACCTTCACCACCCCGAAGCTTCAGCCGCTCGTCACCAAGCCTGAGGGCAAGAATTTGATTCAGGTAAGCATTAGTCCAAGTTTCATGTCATCAAGCAACACGAACTGACCATCATCTACCCACAGGCATGCCTCAATGCTCCCGAGCCTCCGGACACTAACGGCGTCGACGGAGAGTCGGCTGTCGATTCTCCTGAGGAGCAACATGCTCCTCCGCCACCCATGCCCCAAAACATGCCTCCACAGAACATTCCTCGTGGTCAAGCAAACGCGCCCTACATCACCGCCGATCAGCAACAAGCACTACAGTATCAAGCTTATCTACAACAGACACAAGGCGGCGCTTACCCGATGCCTCCTCAGCAGCAAATGCACTCGCGAGGTTGATTTGCTTCTTGCCAGGTTCCATCGGCACTTTAGGCAGATGTGCACCGCCTCACCTAGTCTTCCATCTTGATGAAGGCGTTCATTTATCAGGGTCATGACATCATTACAGATCATGATTGCGATCACGATGGTCACAAGGATACCAGATGTGTCACCACCACCATCATCATACGAAGTATACATCACGTGGCTTGAAAATACGGTAACGGGTTGATTTTGGGCCAGGAGTTATTCATGCTATTTGAGCAGCGTTCGTTGTCCGCAATGTGAGCGAGTCCAGAGCGCATCACGCCAGCGCGTGGTATTAAGTCGGCAGCATTTTGGGCATGAGCCTTCGAGGAGTACCCTCCAGGCATTCGGAAACGTGTAGGGCAGACTATCATTATTTCGGGAGTCTTGATCAGTCCCATTCGTTTCAAACGGGTCCATTCATGCACGTGACGTGCGCCTTGTACATCAGGAAATCGTGCAGATGCAAATCAATGTCGCTTCAAATGTTCTGCAATAGCTGTTCGCTTGCGCATGGCCCAGGCAGCGTGTTTGTTTGTAAGCCGCCTTGTGTGCTGGCTTTATTACTCTTGTGATACTTGTTCTGGTCGATGGCTGCGAGATTCTGGCCGACAGTCTGTCCAACGCCAAGCCTTGACTGTGTCTTCAGCATGTCTTCGGACGCCGCCTTTCTCGATCGTGCATCAGCGTTTCGTTGTCTCAGAATGGCGAAAACGCCTATGAGCTCCATGCAGTCGTCGAATACCGGCCACAAACACGGGAGTCCTTTGCCTGCTTGTATGAGAGCAGAAAGTCATCGCTGGTCACTTCATATATCGGTCGGCTTGATTGATCGATCGATGCGCACACCATCGTCCTGGGAAACCTCGCGGAGCTAGAATCATGAAAAGTGTCGCGGTCTCATCGGATCTAGATGATGCGACTCGAAGATAGCGCGTCCAGGTTCGTCTCCAAACCTGCCGCAGCAAAGGCCGTCGGCAGCTTTCGACCTCGCCGCAGGAGACTACGAAAGGACAATGACTTTCACGGAGTGTTCGTCGGCGACTGGCCTCCCGCACAGGCATTTTTGGCGGCGTGTTTCACCTCGAGCGCGTGGATTTTGCGCTCGAGGTCGTCCCGTTGTCGGACTAGTTTCACGCGGATCGCTTCGAGATGTTGGATGTTCTGGGTCGGCGTGAATTTCGCCGCGGCTTGCTGGCCCTGTGAGAAGAGAGGTGGATCAGTTGGTTGGGGTCGGGTGTTTGAGGATTATCATGGAATACGTCGTTGCTTCTCATATTCGTTCGTCTTGGTATTCGATGGACAGCAGACTCGATACTTACTTTCTTGACATCCTGGCCAATCTTGAGACTCGCGCCATACCACGCTCCTGTCGCTGTAATGGCTGCCACAGCCACTGTGAGAATGACAGTTCTAGACTTGGAGGCTGGCGCCATGTTTAAATCGATTCTAGCAATCAGAGCTTAACAGATAATCTTGATCGCGATGGTTGATATATCATCGACCTCTTCAGTTGGAGGCCAATCCCAAGACTCCCTCGGCAGACTTTCCCACAGCCCCAAACGGTGAATTCGAGCACCATTGCGGGCAACGCGTTTCACATGTGATAAACTGACCTCTTTGCGACAGACTCTTGCAGTACTTCACGACGACTCGGACAATATCGTGAGTTCGTTTAGGCGAAAGCAGCCATACTCTTTTGCATCATGTCCAATTCAACGTCTCGCACGCCAGGTGCGAACTCGACAAACCGCCTGTCCACGGTTCCAACCGCGGCGTCCAAGTCGCGTCAATTATCCCATTTGCACGCGCAGCTCGCGCAGTTGACGGCCAATATGTCTGATCTGGAAAACTTATTACGCATGACAGCTGTACAAGCCGAGGGTATGCGCGGTCTGGGTGGATATGCTGGTGGAATGTGAGTCTGGTCTATCTCTCGCGTCATGCTTGGTTCGAGTGTCGAACTGACAACTGTTGTCAGGTTCATGGCGGCGTCGAAAGTGTTGGGTGAAGAGACTGTCAATGGCGGCGGTGCGGCAGGCGCACAAGAAGAGGAACAGAAGTGAGGAGGTGTCGTCAGAGCATGCGATGATGCAAGCACCAAGTGTTGCCAAACATCAAGAAGGTGTCATGTGTCAGACCCGTCGGTCGATGAGGAACACATGAGCAGCGCCATAACATTTGAAGACTTTGAAACTGGAGCGAGCATGACCTGGATGCGTCGCACTATGCTCTCAACACTCTGGCCATCGTTGTGCCATCCCGTGCACTTTTCACGACCGTACTCTTCGAAAAGTCGAGCACGCAAGAATCGGTCAATCATCACGGCGACACTCAAGCATGAAGACTTGATCGGCGCACATCAGCGAGTCCACGCATACAACAATGGGCACCGACAATGGAGAGTCTCTTGTACCAGATCAACCGTTTGATCGACGATAAAGACCAACTCGTCGCTGAGAAAAACGACAATTTACAATCACACCACAAGATGTGGCGGGAGCTTGCGTCCGCACTAGCAGAGAAGGATCGCAAGATTGAAAACTTGCTATGCGAATTATGGCAGCGCGCGTCCGAAAGCGAGGAGATCACAAAGCGGCATAACGACGAAATGCTCAAACTACGGGAGGACTGCGAAAGAAGAACTGACCTCCTTGAGCTCAAGCTCCAGCAACTTGAAGCAGCGCACATGCAGCGCTTGGGCGAGGCTGAAAGTGCTTGTGAAAAGAAGACAAAACACCTACAGCGCAAGCTAAATGCTCTGCGCCAGCAGAAAGAGGCTGAGACGCAAGCACTGACGACCAAGAACCAAGACCTTGACCAAAGATTAAAGGTCGCTCTCAGTCAAATTGGGACGCAGGATCGCGCGTACTACCGAGACGACGAATCGATTCTGGAAGAATTCGATGACTCGGATGGGCCCGATGCGATCGACGAGTATACGGATGATGAACTTGCAATGGTGCTTGATGAACAGTCTCATAACGACGACAGCCTCGACGATGTGAGCTCGGGGCAATCGGAGGCTGACTCAAACACAGATTGATGCAGGATGGGCTCTTCAACCGACGAGAAAAACTCGAACATAAGCGAGTGACAATTCCTAACGTTTGTACTTGAGCGACGACGAACGTGAGATTTTCTATCAAATGGTCGTCACTCGACTGATACGATAACCCCCTGTTTCGTATTAGCATACTTGGAAGAGAGGTGAGGTGAGCATGGAATACTGTATAAAAAACTGCACTCCAGCTGTGAACTTTTCCGACCAAATTGAAGTAGACTTTGTCTTGGAGTGACCATTCTTCGCCTCGCTGAAATTGTTCACATCGCTCACCTCACATGTGTACAAAAACGTTCACCCCTCCTTTGTCGGATGTGATCACCAGGGAATATTAAAATGGGACGATCACTATATGCTTCATCCTTCTGTTGCATTTCACAACTGCGTTGTTTATGTATGCTGGCAGAGACAGCTTATCGATACGCGGAGGAGGGAGTCGAGTAGCGTTCGGAAGACGACGGGAGGCGCCCATTTCGCCGACCGCGGGTCACATCGGCGCGGCTTAACCTCCGTTTTTCAAGCTTGATTAAGGCACAAGGGAAATTTTTCCCGTAGGCGGTGGAGGAGGGATAAGCAAAAAATGTGTCGGTCACGCAGCAGCGATAAGTTGCTCGACAGCTGCTCTTGGTCTCCTCGAGCTACTACATCTCCTCGTTCCTGGAATTGACCGATTCCTCACACAATCCTCCTCCTGATCATGGAACTTTTCGATCACTGAATGCCTCGCGACTGCCGCTTTTGAGCTTCACTCCATCTACTCACTCACATATCCTAGAGACCGCAGAGCTCTGGTCTATAGGTGAGTCGTGCGATTTTATGCGACTCTTTTTCCCCTACCGATCACCTGCAATTGGCTGCTACATGATGAACGACAAAATTTAAAGATGTTAGACTTCAGATCCTCATGAGTCGAAAAATTTGTCTTACTGATTGCTCCAATTCCCATTTGCCCTGATGTGCACAATCGGACTTTGTCACTGGATGATCTCGTGACTGACGCCGTTCAAAGATACAGTCTGAAACCGCTGCGCGCTGGTTGCGAACGGCTTCTCACAATCAAGATGTGTGGTATCCTTGCGGTCATTTTGGCGGCGACGTCCTCGGACGCCGCGCCCGAACTACACCAAGCTCTCTTCTATCTTCAGCACCGTGGTCAGGACGCCTGTGGTATCGCGACTTGTTCAAAAGGCGGAAAGATCTACCAATGCAAGGGCAATGGTCTCGCTTCAAAGGTCTTTCAAGATGGCAAGCGAGTTCCAGACCTTCCGGGATACATGGGTTTGGGACATCTCCGATACCCGACCGCAGGCAGCAGCGCCAATGCTGAAGCTCAGCCGTTCTATGTCAATTCACCTTATGGTATCTGTCTCACACACAACGGCAACTTGATCAATGCGCCGGCGCTCAAGGAATACCTGGACCAACACGTCCACCGACACATCAACACCGAGTCCGACAGTGAACTCATGCTGAACATCTTCGCGGCAGAACTCAACGAGACGGGCAAGGCTCGTGTGAATGCCAATGATTGCTTTTCCGCGCTCGAGAGGATGTACAAGAGATGCGAAGGTGGATGGGCATGCACAGCCATGATTGCCGGATTTGGTCTGATCGGCTTCCGCGACAGCTATGGCATCAGGCCTATGGTTCTCGGTGAGCGCAATTCGGCTGAGGTCGAAGGCGGCAAGGATTACATGATGGCTTCAGAGTCGGTCGCCCTGAGCCAAAATGGCTATGGCAACATCAAGGATATTCTGCCGGGCCAAGCAGTAATTATCGAGAAGGGACAGAAGCCTATATTCGCGCAGGTCGCTCCACAACAGGCATACGCTCCCGACATTTTTGAATATGTCTACTTCGCTCGTCCCGAAAGTACGATCGACGGCATTTCAGTCTATCGCAGCCGACAGATTATGGGCTACAATCTTGCTGAGACCATCCAGAAGCAGATCTCTCCTGAAGAGCTCAAGGAGATCGATGCGGTCATTCCCATTCCAGAGACTTCGCTTGTTTCGGCATACGCAGTGAGCAAGCATCTCAAGAAGCCATACTGTCAAGGTTTCATCAAGAACCGATACATCTTCCGCACATTCATCATGCCTTCACAAAAGGCGCGACAACGTGGTGTCCGCGCGAAGCTGAATGCCATCCCCTTGGAGTTTGCGGGCAAAAACGTCCTCTTGGTCGACGACAGTATCGTCCGAGGAACCACCTCTCGCGAAATCGTTAGCATGGCGCGGGAAGCTGGAGCGAAGAAGGTCTACTTCAGCAGTTGTGCGCCTCCGATCACACATGCTCACATCTACGGCATCGACCTCGCCAGCACAAATGAGCTTGTCGCCCACGATCGCTCTGCTAAGGACATCGCCGAGCTCATCGGAGCCGACGCAGTCATCTACCAAGACTTACCAGACCTCGTCTCTGCCTGCGCGAACGACAGCCCACGCGGCGCCGAGACGCAGGAATTCGAAGTCGGTGTCTTTAATGGCAAGTACGTCACTCCTGTGGGAGAGGACTACTTCAAGCACCTCGAGCAGGTTCGAGGTGAGACGAGGAAAATCAAGGTCCGAGAGCAAGCGGTGCAGGCCGTAGCCAGTGGCCGCGCCACCGAGATGGACGTCAAAATGGCGACCAACGGCGTCGAGGTCGATGACCATGGTGAGGTCGTTGCCCGGGACAGCGGCTCCGATGGAGAGGGCCGACTGCCCAGCAAGGAGGATGTTGATCGCAAGAACAGCCTGGCGGAAGCGAGCCGACCAGAACCGCCCGCGCGTCAGGTGAGCGACAGTCAGGACATTGCCCTGTTCAACATCAACGACGGCCAGTAATGGGTGGGACATGACGGGACGAGTGCATTCACGGCGCACGGAGGACGGATCGATTCGGGGGCGGCGCAATGATGGGTCGGATGTTGGCGTTTGTCAGGAGGCGGCGGTCGCGTTGCTATTACACTGTCCACGTCCCTCAACGGTGACGACGGAGCGAAGTTCGACGCGTATGGGAAGGGTTTCTCGATAGACATAAGACCATCACATGGATACATCGCTTGCTCCAATCGACTACCGTGCTCGGAAATTCCCCATTGCCATAGCACATCTGCCACCGATCATACATCATCCCGCCTTTATCACTGCAAAATAAAGCAGGGGTCATTGGGCGGATGACTGATGTCGACCGCCCCAGCACCAACCCTAAGACGCACATTTCAGGTTCACCTGGGCAGCGAGATATCGCGACAATCACTGGACCGTCGGCGCCAATCTCTCGATGGGAGATCGTGACCGAATGCGTGAGATACGTAATATAGCTCATAAGCCGTTCGTTTCGTGTGATGTTGTCAATACAAGGTTCTGCTGCGGCGAAGCTGTCAATTCATCCACAACACCAACACCAGTCACAAGGCGCACTCGCGGGCTGGAGGCCACAATTCCAGATGATGGATGCACGAAAGGATAACAGACATGAATGTCTTATCTGTGTTTATGTCTGTGTCTGTGTCTACAATGTCACCGATTAGGTGACTGTATAATATCTCACATCACAGGAATCCACACGACCCGCCCGAGAGAGATGCATAGAACAGTATGACACTACATGAGAGTCCACAGAGAGCCCAGCAGATGGTGTTCGAGGAGCGGATGAATCCACACGCTGCAGAACCGGACGATTTCCTCCCTCCCTCCCTCTCTCCGCCATCCCTTCGGACATTTGCAGCAGCAATAATTTGTTTTTATGGCAATGAAAGAATGGTGGACAAACCGGGTTTAAACTTTCCACAATGCCCGTGGGCGTGAGATTCCCAACGGCCATGACGACGCCCGTGAGGCCCAGGCGCCCACGCGTGCACACAGACACAGACATACAGACAGACAGACAGACAGACAGACAGACACACAGACATACAGACACATACACGCACACAGACACAAACACACAACGATGGTGTAAAAGTTCGGGGTGGGAGAGGAATGTCTCTGAGAGAGGTTCGGGGCGGAGGTCAGACCGAATGGTCGACGCAGAGGAGAAGAATAGACTGATTGACTGCAGCGGCGCGACGACGACGCCCGTGATGCGGCGGTTGCCTCTCATGGGCGGGGACTTTTGGTCGCGTGCGAGAGGAACAATACCTTAATGTGTACCGAGCGATGTGCAGATGGATGGTAGGGAAATCCACCTGTGGTTGATGGATTGATTGATGGATGGATGCAGGTGCGTAGATAGGGCTCTATCGTACCGTAGAAGGAAATGTCAAACTGGACGGATATACTGTGAGAGACATGGTGACGATGCTGTGGAATCATGAGACCGTCCTAGGACTGTTTTCCATCCACCCCCCTGCTTCCACCGCCGCCGCCGCGACATCTGTGGGAAATTTACGCGACTTGGGCAGAGGTGAGATGCTGTTGTGGGGGGCAGGTGCTGCCGTGGTGGAGCTCCACCCGTCCGTCAGATGTGTCTGTCTGTCTGTCGGTCGGCCGGTCGGTCGGTCGGTCTGAACAACGGCAGCGGTGGACCCCGGGCACTCTCTCTCTCCAGTACGACAAAGGGTGCATGTTCCCCACAGCAGTACTGTATGATGGGCTGTACCAGCACCTAGATACCTAGGTATGATTACAAAGTGACAGTTCATACACGTCATTCCCAGGATCCCGGCTTCGGTATTCGTCTAGCAGTCATCCGTCTCTCTACTGGAGGGCACGATGGCTGGGGATGAGCGAACGTGCAGCTTGGGGGCGCATGCTTCTCCTGGGAATCTCGTCATGTTGATGTAGGAGGCAGCACCCATGTACTTTCTTTTCGGGTATTCATCGACGCGCTTCTGACAGTATAACGATACACACTCGATCTCGTGCCCGCCGTTCCTGTGAGCATCGGTGCATAGAGCATGACTCTATTTATGCATCGTGTACGGCATAATTCCTTAAGACGGGACGATGCGGTTTGGAGCCGACGTGAGAGATCTGACTGACCGACGATCGAGTGTCATCAGCAGCCGCGGGCGGTTGGACCACATCCAGAAATGTGCCCCACCCTCCCTCTCTCTCTCGCGTCGTTCCGGAGCGTTCCTCGGGACGGGCGGGCTGAATGGGCAACTCTTGGGCGAAATCCTTCCAATACGGATTGCAGGCATGCCTCCCTCCCTCTCCCGAATTGCTGCAGCTGAAGAGCGCCCGCGCCGTCCTTTCTCTTCTGTCGCTTCCCCAGGCCCGCGCCCATCTATCTGCCTTTGCCGATCTGCAAACCCCGTCCGACACGTGCGCGACGGGAACAAAGCACGACGGCGCATTATTATTATTATCATCATTGCCACCGCATATCTGGATGGATGCGCCTGTGGATGGGAGGGACGGCTCTGGGCGTGTACAGTGACTGTAGTGTGCGTGTGGGAAGGAGCATGGTTTGCCCTACACCTGTCCAATTGCGCGCCGATGTCTTGGTACTGCGTGTCGATACGGTACAGCAGGACCACGATGGGCTCGAATCACGATCCGGTACGCCCGGGAACCCAGGAGAGCAGTGCACAAACGCCGTTCGATTGTTCTGTACCTGGAACATGGTTTGGATCTGTCCAGCACAGGCAGGACAATCCATATTCCATACTACAGTACGAGTCGATAAACTTCAGATTGCTGTGTCGTTAGCTCCATCTGCCATCATCGATCCGCCTAGTCCTCAATTCCGTCTCCCTTTTCGCCGCCAGCGCTTGTACGGTATGTAACAGGATTTCTCCAACGGCAGCTCGCCCTTCCGTTCGGAAATGGCCTGCGCCCGGCTACTGAAAAGAGGAGAAATCAGAGGGGGGTTCTTTTTTTTTTCTTTCTGGTTGGTCTCGCTTCAGGGAGTTGTTTGGTTTGGCATGTGCGATGAAACATCCCTATGGGACACGGTGACGCATCACATCAGAACTCGCGAGTGAGGAAAGTCTCTTGGCTGTGTTCCGCCCAGAGCGCCGCGCAACCCATCATCGCCGTTCACGGTTGTTCACAAGATCGCATTCATGATGATGATGATGAGGAGGAGGGCGGAGATCGGGGCTGGAAAGATCCCGTCGATGAGAATGATGATGATGACAATGCCCTGCAGTCGAAGCTTGGAATCCGGCTTGGACGGCTCTCGGCGGAACTTTCGTCAAATCGTTCTGGAGTCAGACGCCCGTGTCAAGCCAAGAGCAGCAGCTTCTTCTTAGCATCCTCACTAGCCCTTTATGCCCAATGGAAGGAACAACAGTTATTAGCAGCGGGTGGCAGGGGCAGTCCATTACCTCCATCCGCCACAGGACCTAGTTGTTATTACCGTATGAAAGAAGTCCTGTCCGGTGCATGGGAATGTACAGGACGTGAGTACTCACCTAGGTATGCACAGGATCCATCTCTTCCCGTCCTCCCCTCTTGCCCAAACAGCTGAATGGCAGCGGGCGCGGCGGCAGGAACATACGCTGCAACGTGATGGTGATGAGAACATACCTAGTAGTCATAAACCAGCAGAGACAGTCCCGTGTATCATGGGAATACCTGGTCAACATATCGTAGAATCATCGTACGTGATGCACCAGTAGCTGGAGACTGTATGTTCTGCCCCGACCGACCCGAAGTCAGTCAGCGGGACCGCGCAAGGAAAGGCGGACACTCCAGAGGAAAGTCGCGGCTTCCACCACCACCACCACCACTGACGACACCACTGTAGTGCTGCTCGCTCACCACCACCACCACTGCGTCCACGTCCACGTCCACACACACACCACACCACACCACACCACACCTCTGTGAACTACAGTCCACCATCCTTTGCGCACTACCGCCGTCACAAGCAGCCCATTCCAACGGCTGTCGTCGATATCGCTCACCATTTGCCTTGCACCTCCTCTTCTCTCTTCTTCACCACTCTTTCTCGCGCCATTTGGAACGTTGGTCGTCGCTGTCGCCGAACAATATGTCGATAGCCGTCACCGACAACCTCCTCACCTCTACGACTGACGGCTTCGGCTTGACCTAGTCGCCTCTCCAAACTCGCCGTGCTGCCTGGCTTAGGACCGTTCATTCTCCCAGATATCTCGGAAGAGGCGGACGTTCGCGGTATCACAGTCTGCGGCCGCGGACCCACCGGATTCCTGAGGAACTCCCGCAATCAGAGCCAGCGCTGCGTCATACCACACAGGATTATTCCCCGACTCGAGATATATTCGGCGACTGATCAGGAAACGAATTTCCACCTTTGGCGTCCTGCCATACCATAAGCCGCCCTTGAAACTGGCCGAGAGTGACTTCATATTCCGTCGACATGATTTCGCGGTTACGAATGGGCCTCTTGGTCCTGTTCGCGTGCCTCGGCTTCTTGCATGTCGCACAAGCACAGTCCTCCAGCGGTGGACCACGATACGTCACATACGTCGGAACGGATGGTAACGCGATCGCTTTGGAAGATAACCGGAGACCCGCTCTATACACGCAAAACTTTGGAGAGTGCATGGGAGGCAGCGCCATTGATCTCTACCGCTTCGATGCTGCGTACTACCAGGACAATATGACTGTCGTCTTCCATTTGGCAGGCAACTCCAACCTCTACAACCAGAGTCTGATGATGTACATTGGAGTGTTCGCATACGGTCAGCGTCGCTTCGACTTGGTCTTCAATCCGTGCCGCGCGAATATCGCCAGGTGAGTATCTTTTGCTTAGGGAGTGGATTGCGCTTTGGCTGATGTTGATCGTTCTACATAGCCTGTGTCCCGTCAATAGCTCTGTTCCCATCTCCGCCCAGGGCATCATCCCCGTGGCACCATCTGACGTGGAGAACATCCCTGCCATTGCCCTGAGCATTCCCGACTTCGAGGGCGAGGCGATCCTCCGCATCTTCTCCAACGACACCCAACAACAAATTTCGTGTTACTCCGCCGTCGTCACCAACGGAGCCTCTTTCGGTCAACCCCAGGCCGTGGGCACCACTCTCGGCGTCTTCGCCATGATCGCTGTGCTGGCCTCCTTCGCCACTGCGATCTACGGAGAATCCATCACGACGATGCGATTACACTACGCTCATTCGATGTCTGTCGGTGTGGTCTTTGCTGTGTTCCAGCACATCTTCTTCAGCGGTGCACTCTCCCTCAACTGGCCTTCTGTGTTGGTTGCGTGGTGGAGCAATTTCGCTTGGGCCGGTGGCATGATCCGGACTGCTAGCATGCAGAGCAGCATTGATAGCGTGATCGGCAACTCGGTCGGCAACACCACGCGCGTGGGCGCCGCGCAAGCGGGCTCGGCGCAATCCAGTTCATTCGGCGGAGGTTTCCGTGCCAGTTCGATCTATGGACGGGCCATATCTTCGGCGGTCGACCACGTCGCAAACTCTGTAATCGGCCGCGGAATCGCCTCCTCGATCTATGAAAGGGACTCGTCGATGCTTCTCGAGAGCGACCTGACGCAGCACACCATCGAGAAGCGTCTGGCCCAAAGACTGATGTCTCGCGATGTGATCGCTGATGCAAGCACTGGCTACAGCTGGTACGGACACAAGGTCTACGAGGGCCTGCCGCTTCCCGGAAACTTCTCCGGATTCGCTGGAACTCTGTCCCTGGAGGAGATCCGCCTGAGCAACGCCTTCATGACTGGCCTCCTCTGGTTTCTCATCCTCTTGTTCAGCGTCGTCGGCGCTGTCGTACTCTTCAAATGGCTGGTCGAAGCGCTCATTCGCATCAAATTCGTCAAAGTCAACCGGCTTCGATTCTTCCGTGAGCACTGGATTGGATATGCCGGACTTGCTGGTCTTCGCACCTGCTTCATTGCGTTTTTCATGATCATGTTCTTGACCATGTTCCAATTCACCTATCCGACCAGCGCTGCCGTCAACGCGATTGCCGCCATCTTCTTCATCATTTTCTTCGTGGGGATGTTGGGCGCTGCGCTATACGCCGTGCGGTCCCAAAAGCACAAGACTGGCGTTGTTCGCCCCGCTGGTCGAAAGTTTGAAAGGACCACGATCCTCGGGAAGATCCCTTGGTTGCGCAGGGCAAAGGCGGACCCAACGGCTGTTGCCCAACCGGATTTGAGCGAGATTGGAGAAGATAAAACTCTGAAGTCGACCGATGTCAGCATCTTGGAGGATCCAGCACCCGTCGGCATCCACGACGATGAAGAATACATCAAAAAGTTTGGCTGGCTTGCCGCCCGCTTCCGACGCACCAGGTGGTGGTTCTTCACTTTCTGGTTGGGCTACGAGTTCCTGAGGGCCGCGTTCTACGGCGGCTCCTCTGGCGCCCCGATGACGCAAGTCATTGGACTCTTGGTGATCGAGGTTGTCGCCTGGGGGTTCATCATTTGGGCACGACCTTTCGAAGGCCAGCGTCTCAATTTCATCGTCGTGTGGTGTCTGAGCTTCAGCAAAGTTGCCACCTTGGGCCTGTCTCTGGCTTTCCTCATCCAATTCAACGTTGGCCGGATCATCACCACGGCGATCGGAATAGTCATCATCGTCATTCAGGGAATCCTGGTCATCATCACTCTGGTCGCCATTCTCCTAGGCGCCATCAGCTCTTACATGTCAGTTTCACGCAACCAGGAGGATTTCCGACCACGGAAATGGGCGGCCAGACGAGAGAAATATTTTGACCACCTGGATCGTGTTGTCAACGATCTCCCGGCTGGACCCAAGCCAAAGAAGGTGAAGAAGGTCAAGGTCAAGCCGGTACCACCCCCGGAGCCTGTTCCTGGGTTTGAAGTGCGCAACACCCGCCGTCTTACCAAGATTGAGGATGAAGATGCGGATTTCACAACCGAGATGCAGTCAGGGGTTGATAATTCGAGGATCAGTCTGGATTACGACCAACCTCGATCACCAACGATGGGCGCTTCTGTCGGCCGGAACATGGGGGGATCGTCCCGACCGGCAAGTATCATGAGCGTGCGCAGTCAGGCAAGCTTACCGTATGGTGCACGACCTCACCGACCCAGCTGGAGCACCAGGGACATGCCAGCCTTTGCGGATCGTGAATACAACGCCCGCGAAAACGGATCACTAGATATATCCCGACCCCCGATCCACCACGAGATCACCCCGCCCTCTCCAACACTCGACCAGGCGAAAAGCCCGAGCCGCAAACATTTCCGCCACTCCCTGGGCAGCAGTCCGGCCGCCGTCCGACCTCGCGAGAGCTTCGAACAAGCACCCACCCGCGCGTTCGAGAACGTCCCCATGCCGAGCTCCCGCCCGCGCGCCGACTCCTCCTCCCGCCCGGCGTCCCGGAACTCCTACATGATGCACGAGGCGGACGACCTGGACCGCGAACCGCGCCCGCTGAACAAGCGGGCCAGTTGGGGCGCCAACTCCCACCACCGCTCCCAGTCTGTCCTCGAGCCCGCGCGGGAGGCCGATGAGATCCCGCCGATGCCCGCGCTCCCGGCGAAACGGTCCGATTCGGACTGAGGGGCGTGACCTCCTCGCCCCTCCGACTCGCGGCGAAGAGAAGAAGATTTCGCCAAGGGGCGATGGAAACCTCCTCGCGCGTCACGGCGTCTCTCCGCAACTTTTACTTCTCTGTCCTTCAAAGATACACACACATACATCCAAATTCTGATTCACGGCCGATTCATGACAATGAGAGAGTCGCTATACTACAACCATTACATTTACGATCCCCCTTTTACGACCGCATTTGCATTTTTCTGGTTCCGCATGGTGTTGTTGCTTGTCTTGCGATTTTTTTCGTCTTTCGATTGTTTTCAGTACGGAAGAAGAACAGAACAGAACCTGAGGGGCAGAGAGAGGGGGGAGGGAGATGGCATTACGACGGATGTTTTGCAAGACATTTTCTGTTGGGGTCCAGATCCACTTTTTATTTTTATTTTGGGTTTGCATGTGATATCCTAGATTACGGCCCCCCCTTTTTGTTTTCCCTCTCTCTCCCCGGAGATTTCGAAATGAAATGATTATTTCTCTGTGAGATTCTTTCTAGACGACCGACCTCTTGCACGACACCCTTGCGCCGTCTATCATCCCCCGCCGTGATGGCGAAGGGGCCGCGATCCCTCCCAGCCAGCCGCCAATCTGGTAGAAAGCCGGGGAGTGGAAAGTGGAAAAGCAGGAGGAATCTCCAAACTTTTAATTATGTAAAAGGCATCATCGCCATCCTTTCCCCTTTCCTTTTCCGTTCCCTCCTAGTTCTGCGCGCTGGACGTCTGTTCCTGCCGCGAGGGCCACATCGTCTGTTTGAACTGCGAATACTTCTCCGAGACCTTCCTGCCCACCTCCCGTCCCCCTCCTCCTCCGGTCAGGGGTGATGATGATGATGCGACGACCGCCGTGGCTTCGACGCAGACGGCGCCGGACATCTGCTCGATCGTGGCGGTGTATGCCTCCCGCTGCGATCCCCCACTGCTGCGGCTCGCGTGGTCGGCCGGCGTGACGCGCACGACGTAGAAGCTGTTGGCGCGGGTCGGCCGGCGGTAGTTGAGGGTGAGCTGGGCGACGTCCGGTGCCGACGCGGGTGCGGGTGCGGTTGCCGATGAGGATGTGGGAGGCGAGGGCGGCGCGTGGATCCTGGCGTGGGTGCGCGCGGGCCCTGCGACGAGAGGGTCCTGCGGGGGGACTCCCACGCCGCCCGCCCGGTCCTCCTGCTCCGAGAGGCGGGCGGCCAGCTGGAGCTTCTCGCTCAGCGCCGTGGCCAGCAGGCCGCCGTGGGTCACGCCCGGCCAGCCGGAGAGGCCGCCGCCGAACCAGACGACGGCGAGGAGCTGCCGGTCGCTGCGGTGCCAGAAGACCCGCTCGACCCCGAGGCGGCCTGCGCCTTGGAGGTTCTGGAGGAGAGGCGGTGTGGTGATCAGGGTGTATGGCTTTTCGGCCTCGTCTCTCCGATCCCCTGGTGGTGGTGGTGGTGGTGGTGGCGGTTCCTGGGAGCTCGCCGGCGATGCCGCGGGCAGCACTTCCACCCACCCCGGCCCCTCGTCGCCTTTGAGCTGTCGGGCGGCGCCCAGGCATTTCCCGCGCATGACGCTGACCTTGAAGTCGGTGTCGATGCGCGCCTGCAGGTCCGCCATGAGGACGTCGTCGCCGTGGCTGCCGGGCTCGGGGAACGGCGGCGGGTTGAGGTTGGAGAGCACGAAGCTGGCGCCGAGGAAGCCGAGGGTGACGGCGAGGGTGCCGCTGAAGAGGAGGAGGCGGTTCTCGCGGTAGAAGGATGGCCTCGGAGGAGGAGGAGGAGGTGGGAGAGTGGATCCCGCTGCTGGCGGCGGTGACGGTGGAAGATCGGCGGCAGCATCGGTCGTGACGGTGACGGTCGTTGGCTCTGGTGGAGGCTTTGCATTGGTCGACTCGCGTCTCCGGAGAGCTTGGTATCGCGGCGATAGTTGTGGGCGGACGGCGCGCAGCCTTGCGACGCGTAGGGCGCTCATGGTGTGGTGAGGCCGGATTCGCCTGGAGATGCGTTCGCTGTGTGTGTGTGTGTGTGTGTGTGTGTGTGTGTGCTTGTCGATGGAGGTGATTGTCGAGGTCCAGTGAAAGTTTCCAGGCTGAAGCTCCATACAGTTGAGAGGGAGAGAGAGAGAGGTCCGAAACAGCTTCCTAAGCCGGTCTAGCTTCGGCCCCCATACAGACATATACTAATGTGTATATCCCTAGTATACAGTGCATGGTGCACTTCAAAGACAATTGATATGTCGGTGTTATTATTGATTGTCGTGTCATGCGCCCATCCTTCATTTGTGTTGTGCTGTGTTGGACAATCAATCCATATACCTGATGACTAACTATGGATCTCGAAATACCTAGATATACATCGACATATATATATATATATATTTGTATATATATAAGAAGGCAGCATGTTCTTGTTCTGCCACAGGCATATATCCATATCCATATCCATATCCATATCTATATGTCCGTCCAGCTCATCAATTCCCATTCCTCCAACTACACTATCACCCACCACCTGCTGCAACCCGGCCTCTCTGATGGGCATCACGTGAAGCCGTTCACCATGTCCGCCCCTTCCCTGGCAACCATCGCACCCGAGTTGAGGAATTACATCTATTCCCTGGTCTTCCACAGCGACTTCGCAGTCACTCTCGGTGCCGGTGGTGACATTCAGCCGGGCTTGACCCGAACCAATCGATTCTTCCGTGGCGAAGCATTGCCGATGTACTTTGGGACGACGACGTTGAATGCCCATTTCGTGAACAACATCGATGCGTTGTTACACCTCTGGCAGGCACTGGGAGCAGACCTGGTCTTGTCCATGAAAGAAGTCCGTCTTTGGGTGAGCCTCGTCACCTTCTGTCGTCGTTCATACTTGTGTGCGTGCCATGATCCAGCTGACAATCATCCATCGAGTATGTAGAATATCCACAATCTCGTGGGGAAATTCTTCGGAGAAGCCTCGACCCAACATATGCTGAGCTCCAGGCTCGGAAATGGCATGAGATACGTCCTGCGCCCGATCGGGGTGTTCGTCCTCAACGACAATGCCGATTTGCTCATGAGCTCCGCCCTGCGTAAGATCGTCATCGCACTGGGCCGGGTCGGGCTGACCATCCAGCGATTCTGCAAAGTCGATGCTGACGGGCGAAAGGTTCAGGACATGTCCGAGTATGCGATCGTGCCGCAGAGCATCCCCGACGATGCGACCGACGAGGAGATCCTCTCGTTCCAGATCGGCCTGAACGAAGCCACCCGCCGGAAGGTGCTTGCGCGCGTGCTGGGAGGCGAACAGGTCTTGCGTCTGCGCAAGGACGATCGGATCGCCCTCCTCTTCCTTTCAGATCGCTTCGGATTGAGAGCCTTGAATCAGATCCGCCCGCCCGAGTTCGCCGACGACGAATGGTCGGAATTGATGCTTGTGGACTGACCAGGCTTCATCGTCACGTTGACCGCGAGCGCTCAGACAAACGATTCCCGACTCAAACTCAACTCGACAGAACAGCGATGGCCAGACCTGTATTCCATTTATACGAATACGTGCGAAAGACTACACCTGATCGTCTATTGTCACCATCATCGTCACTCTCGCATGATGATTATCACGAACAGACACAAATTCCCCTCGCTCACATTGCGACTTGAACGATGGATCACATGCAAACCTCACAATCACCACCGGGAATGGCCTGACTACTACTGTAGATACAACATGCGTCTTCCTCAGTCTGTGATCATATAAATCTAGATACCATCGCGATCCCGAGGGAAACCGGATACTCGGGTGACACAAGCAGGCTGAAACTTGTATATCCAAAGTGAAAGGGAGTCACTTCTCCACCAAGCAAGTCACAAGTCACTCTGATACTTCCCGCACCATCCCTTCATCTCGCCTACCGCCAGTCGAGATGTTTCAGTTGGAACGGCTATTCACTTTGTCCGTGTTGGATACGCGATTATATATTCGCCACTCCCTGCTCCACCTCACCTCACCTCTTACTCTTGACTATCGGAGGATACATTATGTATCGCACATACAGTATGTCTATCACGCATTCATACTGCCGTCACTATTGATTTGCTCAAAGCTTGCGCGCGCCCCGGAGTCAGAGAAGGATCGCTCTATTATACAAGGTACGAGAGCTTGTGTCAAGAGCCTACTTTTCTTCGAAACGGGATGGAGTCAATTTGTCCCAAGTTTTAGAAGTGCTAACATGTGACTACTAGTCCGACTGGCTCTCTCACGTCATGGCGGCCTTCGACAGACATTCTAACAACGTGATCGTCTCGCTTGGAGCTCAGTATGATCTGGACAACCTGATCGTATTGGTCGACTCTGGCGACGAGACCGAGAATGATATCGCCTCGCTCGATCCTGACGGGGCGGGCGGAAAAGAGGTCATCTCGCTCGATTCCGATGACAATGAGAATGATGCCGTCTCGCTCGAATTGGAAAGCGACATCGGGAACGTTTCGATTGGCGACCCTGACTTTCGCATACTCTCCGCGGCCGAGTTCAGGAATCTGGGAAGCAGAAGCGCGAGGGAAGAGATGGACTTCCGTGCCTCTTGTCGGCTTCAAAGCTCGCAAATCTGTCGGAGCCCGCAAGGGTTGCATCTCGTGGTTGGAATGTGTGTCGAGCTCAAAGATCGGGACTTTCTCTTCATCGAGCGGATCGTGCCGGTCTCATGTTCACCGACAGCCTCGAGGATCCGAGGGATCCTGCTGCGACGGAATCGTCAACTGAGACACCTTCTTCAAGCACACCGCAATGAGGTCTCGGCCATCTTGGACAGTACTGGTGGAAGTTCTGATCCGTCGATCCGCGGCTCGTCGGTCATCCGCTCTGCGGCAGATGTGTCGGCAGTGCGCGAGCTCATCGTCACAAACGCCCCCTACCCAGCCTTTTGCTCGCCTCGCGCAGACTACGACGGGAGAGCCCACTTCGAAAGCGACGCACGAATCGTCTGTCGGCACAAGTATATCGATTACAAGCGGATCGGCCGCAAGCACGATGGCGCCATAATAACCCTCACAGAAGACGACGTCGATTCGGTCCGTGGCAGGACGATGCCGAATATCGAACAGAATGTCATCTGGACGTCGCCGGAAATGTTCGACCTCACCACAACAGACGACGTCAGTTCGATTCCATTCCTGCTTCGGCTCCGTAGCGGGAGGAAACAATACACCTGGGCTGACATCTGCTCCCGCGGCGGAGGGGCGTCGAGTGCTGCGGACCGGCTTGGTCTGAAGATCAACTTCGCTGTCGTGAGTACGACCTCGCGTCCCACCCGTCGACTCCGGTCCGGTCGTCCCACCAACACCCACAGCTGACAGTCCACAGGACCACGACGAAGACGCCTGTCGGACATTTCGCCGAAACTTCCCCGGGGCGAACGTCATCTGCAAAAGCATCTTCGAGTTTCTTCAGGGGTCGGGGTTCCGCGTGGACGTCCTGCACATCTCTTTCCCGTGCCGGACATTCAGCCGCGCCCACACCGTGCCGGGGAGAAACGACGACGCCAACTCCGCCGTGTGGTCCGCCCTCGGCCCCATTATCGAACACTGCCGCCCGCGGACCCTCGTCCTCGAACAGGCGGACGGGATCTGCGATGAGCGGCACCGTCCGACCCTCGACGCCTGGATCCGAGAACTCACGTCCAAGGGCTACTCGGCCCGCTGGTCCATCCTGAACGCGGCCCGGTGGGGCAACGCCCACGCGCGCAAGCGGCTGTTCATCATCGCCTCCTGCCCCGGCGAGCCCCTCCCGGCCTTCCCGCGGCCGACCCACGGCGTGGGCCCCCCGCTCCTCCCCTGGGTCACCATCGCGGACCGCCTGCGCCTCCTGCCGGCGCACCAGGAGCCGCACATGCGACAACACCGGCCGAGGGGCGGCCGGCCGTACACGCCGCACCGGCCGCTCGCGCAGTGCATCACGACCGGCGGCGGCAAGGGCGACCTGCACCCCGACGGCACGCGCACCTTCACCGCCCAGGAGCTCGCTCCGCAGGCAGATCGGGAACGCGGTGCCGTCGATGCTGGAGCGGGCCGTCCTCGACGAGGTCATCGGCAGCATGCGGCGGTTCGACGAGAAGGTCGCGGCGTGGCGCCCGGAGGACGACGTCATGGTCATTGATTGACTGATTGATTGATTGATCGAATCATTGATTGATTGGAATACTGCTGGCACCCTGTACGGCATTTGGGAACGACTCGGATGTTTCTGTTTGCCGCTTAGATCATGGTTGACGGCGGGACGGGACGGTCAGAGCACGAATCGTCTGTCACTATTACAGTCCCCGCAGGATCGAGAGATTTGTACAGGCTCGTTATATCCGAGAGCGCGCCATGGATCTCGACGATGGGAAACCAAACCACAGCGCACACTGTCCGGTCGGATATACATGGCAGAAAGGATCGGGAAACCGGAACGATCCCATCTGTTTGGGGGAGAGGCGGAGAGGGAGCGAAATGTCGACGCTGGGTGTGTCGCGGAGGACGGGAGTTTGTGACAGGTACACGCTTACATTAGGGACCAGAACCTAGGGGGGAGGGGGCGGGGGGGAAGAAATCTTCGAGCGAATGGCACACACACGCACACACACACACACACACACACGATCAATCAATCAATCAATCCTACCTCCTGCTCGACGTGAGCCACTCGGGTGCAATTCTCCATACAAAAACAGCTTCTTTTCTCTGGAAAGATATCTTTGTGTAAGATTCTCCGTAAAGATTTTCTCTGGGATAGATATCTTCTAGGAGGTAGGGAGAGGGGAAAAAAGAGAGAGGAAGAAAGAAAGAGAAAGAGAGAAAGAGAGAAAGAGAGAAGGAGAGAGAAAGAGAGGGAGAGAGGGAAACGCATGCCACGCAAACGAGTAAAAAAGGGGGAAAACCCCCTTGTCTTTCTTTCTCTTCCTCTCTGTCTTCCTCTCCTTCTCTCTGTCTCTTCCTTCCTTCTTCCTTCTGATTCATGTTCCATCTTTTAGGATTTTTCTTGGTGGAATGATGTCGCCGTGCCATGAGACTTGCAGAATCGATGGGGGAGAAGTAAAACGAGACCAAGGCAATTTTTCGCACGGCAAAGTAAAAAAGAACTTTCCATCTGGGAACGTCAAACAATATGAGGATCCGGACAGCCTTGGGGGTATCCCTGGGGATAGTGGCTGCGGACGTGACAATATCGTTCCGAATTTTTCTTTTTTTTGGGTGGTGGTGGGGCGTGATGAGGTTTCTGGTAGAGAGGGAAAGGGAGCGGGAAGTGGAGGAGGAAGGGATAGAAAGGGAGGATGAGATGGAGGAGGAGGAGAAGAAGGAGAAGAAGGAGGAAGAGAAGGATGAGAAAGGAAGGAAGGAAAGAAAGAAAGGAAAGAAAGAAAGGAGAGAAAGAAAGGAAGGAAATATACAAACCGCTTTCGTGATGGCTCAAGAGAGAATATCATCTCTCTTTCTCTTCATTTGTACAATTCCATTTGTTTTTTTCCCTTGGTGACGGTGAGTTAGAAGAAACAAGCGGAAGAAGTGGACGCCGCCCTTCCCCATCCATGAATGATAATCAGTGAAAAAGAATGTGCATGAAAACAACAAAACCGTTTGCCGTCGTCGAAGCAAAGACAGAAAGAAAGGCCTGGGTCGCCCTGCTTCTCTTCTTTCTTCAAGCGACCATCCACCATGCCGTGCCGACGAGACTGACGATGATGATGGCCGTGAGGATACCTGCGCCGGCGCGATCGCCGGTGCTGATGGTCTTGAGCGGGGCGAGGGGGTTCCTGTCACCTGTGAGGTAAAAACGTGGTCAGTACGGACTCTCTCTCTCTTCCACTCTCTCCCTTTCTCCCTCTCTCTCTCTCTCGCGTGTGTGTGAGTGTGAGTGAGAGAGACGGGGGAATGCATCTCCTTTATTCTCCGCACTCGGAAAGAGAGGATAAAAGAAACGGAAAGGGACTCACCTCCGGTACCGGCCAGATTGTTACCCGTGCTCGTGCCGCCCGTCAGGTTCGACACGGGGCCGGCCACGGCGTCCAACAGGTTCGCCTGGATGACCTCCAGCGCGGACATCTGCTGGCCCGGGCCGTAGTCGCCGTCGTAGTTGCCCGTGGTCCACTTCATGCCGCAGGTGGTGCCGGCGTTGCCGCCCGAGCAGGCCTTGGCCGCGGCCTGAGCGGAGCTCTGGAGGAGCGGGTAGAGCGTGGGCCGGGTCCAGGGGGCGACCTTGATGGTCTGGGCCATCCAGCGGCTGAGGTAAGCCTTGAAGGACTTTTGATCGTTATTGCAATTGGCCTGCGGCTCACACGCCACCTCGAACATGACCGTGTCCTTGAAGAAGATGTTCAGGCCGGTCATGAACTGCTGCACGCGGGCCTCCCACCGGGCCTGGGTCGCGCCCGTGGTCTGGTTCCACATGACGGCGCAGCCGTGCATGAAGATGCCGGCGTTGTACGTCCACTGGACGTGGTCGAACTCGGTGCAGTTGAGGAGGTCGTCGGAACCGTCGTAGACGTAGAGGCTGCCGGGGGAAGCGGTGCCGTTGACGAGGCCGATGGTCGACACCCAGTCGAACATCCGGTCGGCCCAATCGAAGAAGCTAGAAGGTCGCATGGCGGTCAGTATTCGGCGCGCGCCAATCGCTCGTCACGCACCAGCCGGTCTGCACTCACGTTGCGTTTTTGGTGTAGGCACCCAATCGGGTCGCGATGTTGAAGAAACAGCCGTTCGAGATGGAGTTTTTGTAATTGTATCCGTTGTTGAAGGTGTAGATCTGCCATCGGAGGCCGCCTCCGCATGTGCTGGTGTCCCACCGCAGCGCCTGCGAGTTGAACACGGCCTGCGCCAGCGCTAGCCATTGTGGTTGATCCGCAGGTGGGTTCTGGAATTTGAACTCGGCCGCGCTCATGGCGGCCATGCCCCAGAAGGCCTGATCGTCGTTGCCCAGCGATTTGGACTGATTGGGAGGCATGTAGTTATCATCGGGGCCGACCTGGAATTGCAGGGCCTGGATGACCTGTGGGTTGTATGTGGGATCTCCGGTGTAATACCAGTATTCGACCATGGAGCCGAACATGGCACCCGCCTGCCACCAGTAGTAGGGACCGGGCAAGAGACCCGGGATGCCACCCGTCAGGTTGCCCTTGTACCAATCCATCAATCCGTAGGCGACTGTGCCTGCGGCCGCCTTGATCGAAGCCGGGCTGTTGACATCGAGCTGGAGGGCGTTGACGGCTTGCGTCGCGGCGAGAGCGCCGCATAGCGTCCTTGAGAAGAAGCGCATATCTGTGAGGGATTATGATATGATGGCGGGAGGTGGTGAGGTTGGAGTTGGACACTGTCCAGGTGGGGGTGGTGGTATGTTGTTGTGCACCAGTGCGTGATGCTCTCTCTCCTGCACAGCGGGCTCCCCTGATTCCACAGCAACGTGCCGTTGCCGCCGAGCGCGGAAAACTGTGGCGGTGCGGAGAAAGAGAGTGAAAGAGTGAGAGCGAACTGGGGTATGACGATCCAAGCGAGTGACCAGAGACGGAAGCCTCAACTGTAGCGGTGAGAAGAAAGGTCGGTGGTGGTGAACTGGGTGGGCATCGATGTGTTGTTGTGTGAGGAAGGGTCAAAGGAGAGGAAGCGTCGCAATGAGAAGGAATGATGTATGTCGACGACGGTTGGAATGGAATGCTACGGTACGTGAGTACCTACCGCTCTGCTCGGGCTGTGCTCAGAGAAGGGAGAGAAGAGACAGAGAGACCGGGACAGACAGAGAGAGGCGCACTCCCGGATGGCCGTTGCGCCCGTGAATGACGAGTTGGCTAAGCGAGTACGGGGATGGTGTAGGGCGTTGGATAGCCTGGCGTACAGTGATTCCGGCGTATAGTCTGGTATGGCGTGTGGTATAGTCTGGTATGGTAGAGTGGACTGGTGCAGGGGGAAGTTTCGCCAACGAATTATTAGTAATGATAATAATGAATTCCTTTGCATAACACTTTAATACTATAAGACTGTAATACTGCAATAACAACAACAACAAAACCGTGGATCGGTGACAATCACCACCCTCCGTATCGCATCCAGTACAGCGGTACCTAGGTGAGGCATGTACCTTCTCGCCTCCTGTCTATGATCTACCACATTGGGAATACGGGCTACGGGGACGGAGAGAGAGAGAGAGAGAGAGAGAGAGAGAGAGAAGAACTCTCCTTGGCGACCGTCTATTTCGGTCCCTCGATTCACGACCTTCCACGCCTCCCTCTCTTGGAAGACACGCGTCTCTTGATTTCTCTTTGCTGACATAATCATCCGTCACATCCATCAGGGCTGTCGCGGCGGAATGATACAGGAAATGCACCTACCGAAACCAGTCCCTACAACATCGATCGGTCGATCTGGACTGACTGCCTGCTGTATCGTTCCCGCTATAAAGTGCCGACGACCTGGTCTCGACCGACATCATCATGGTCGTTGATATAGTAGCTATCCTATCCTGAGAAAACCCCTGCATCCCTACCACGGAATTGTGTGTGGATTGATGGATGAATTGATTGATGAGTCACGTGTTGCCCACGGCTCACCCCCTCCAGCTCACCTCGTTGTCTGTATGCGCACGTGACCCAATTACGGAATACTACGCTCACTCCGCTCCACTATGGGAGGCGAGATCGTACATGCGGAGAGAGCCAGCCCTGAAGTCTTCCGAGTACACCTGCGTACAGCATCGCTTCTGGAGCAGATTGGGATCAACATTCATGGATCTCCCGACTTGTTGGCACTTACTAGTACTGGATCTCGGGGAGGTCCTGTTCTCAGGGATCGACCATCTTCCCGCTGGCCGTCCCATGTTGCGTCCGTCAGTACAACTTCCCAAATGATCATCGGAGAAGTGTCGTCGAACTACAGTGACAATAGAGGAACGGACCCAACTTTCTGCTTCTTCCCTCCCCGTACGATGGATAAGCCACGGCAGCGCGGTGGTGATGTGCACGGTGGAGATGTGATCTGGTCCCATCTCACCTGCACTCTTCAACTCTTCCACGGAACCACCACTGCGGTATGCTCTCCCTCCAGTCCGGCAGTCTCGTAGTCGGAAGGAATCCCTCCTCCATCCTGGACCCGATGGACTCACCACCAGTCGGTGAAAGGTCTCCGACGCCGGAAACGCCCACCCTCACCGACCGTCGAGACCTCCTCCGGTCTATGCTATGCATGTGAACAGTACGTGCAGATCGTGAGAGCGAATAGAGCAGGTCACATCCGAGCCGGGCGTCTTCGATTGGACCACGCCATCACAGGCCGTCCATGTCGTCGGGCTCACCTGCGCGACCGGAGAGGGATCCGTCTCGCATCACGTCGGTGAGCTACTATTGTATGGTGTTAGAGGAGAGAGGTCTAGTTATCACAGTCAGTCGAAGAGATTCCTGGGGAACAGGAGGTGTAGGCGGCGCGTCCCCACCTCCGGTTTATGATCCGCCTGTCCAGAGGTGATGTGCATATGCGTCTTCCTCGGCCACATCACGCATACACACCGGACCTTTTTCTTTCTGTCCTAACCGCGAGGCGCATGGGTCCCGATCGATCGGGCGTGCCGATCATTTGGCCAAGCACGCGACGTCAGCTTGTTCACATCACCCTCGCCAAGTCCCTCCTCTGTCTCGTTGAATGAATGGGAAAGCAGGCAGTGTGGAATAATAATAATAATAATAAGCTGAGATGTGTGGTCATTTCCGCCGCGGAATGCGAGATCATGACGGGAAACCGATAGACATGTCTGCTCCAATACCCTTTGCCTCGTCGGACATTTACCCAGAATTGTCTCGCTTCTTTTTTTTCCCTACTATCTTTCGTGTGCCGCTGTCTGTCTCTCTCTGTCTCCGAAATGAGACCGCAGAAAGCTTCGAACCCTATTTGTGAGGGCTGAGACTAGTCGACAAGCACCACCCGCGACTAGAATCACCGCCGTCATGCAATCTCACCTGCACACGTGAGCAAGTGGATATTTTCCAAGTTGGAAAGCAGGAAAAGAAAAAAAAGCCGGGTCAGGATTTACGAGAAGTTGGCACACAGAGGGAGGCTTTCCCTCCGATCATCATATTCCGGCAGTCGGCGAGAAGTCCTCAGCACTCGGTCTTTCCTGCCTCGTGAAAAAGTGTGCGACTCTGCAATCTATTGGAATATCGCCTGCCCCCACCTGCACCGATCGGATAGAGTACAGATGAGACGCCTAATATCTCATATTGCGTGGCTGTGGCACGGGTCGAGCTGGTCACCAACATCAATTGATTTATTAGTCATTGAGAAAGAAGAAGAGTAGGTAATAACTAATAACCATTTGACGAGGCGGGATGTACAGTGCGCAATCAAATTTGGACGGGTTGGGCTGGACCGGCCAGTCGGGTCTTCACATGATCTTATTATTTGTTCCCAGGTTTTATTATGAGGCGGCTACACCGGCTGGACAGGTCCACATCGGCTGGATATTGGGCGTCGGACCGCATGGGCCGGCCGGCGACTTTTGGCTGGGCTCGACCCCATCTCCAACTGCGCTTTCCTGCTGTTGTCGCTGCTGCTGCTGCTGGAGGATGAAATGCGGCGGGCGGGCGCTCGGGATGCTGTACGGTCCAGCGACCATTTCGAATGCAGGATCGGGATAGATGATGCTCATAGATTGCATGAGTCGATATGATGACCGTCTATGGGAAAGAGGCGGTGGATGGGTTCGGCGGCCCGATGATCACGCTCCTCCTCTCTGTCGGGAATATCTTCCCCTGCCACACGCATTGAGAGGATGAATCACTTCTCTCTCTCGGTGATGATGTATTACAATGGCATGTGCATTACCACCCACCCGGGAGACTCAACCGGTCGTACATGACAGCGGCGCACATCTGTCCGTCTATCCCCTCGCGCGGCGGGACGGAGAGACAGACACACCCACCCACCCCACTCACATGTCCCGAATACAACGATGAGCGATCGGAAACATGCAGCAGAGTGAGACAGCCTGCAACAGACAACGCATGGCCGATGCACACGCCGACGGACGGTAGTAATCCATCCCATCCATAACGTCGGACTGACAAATCGAGCGGGTGTCAGATGTATCATACACGCCTAGGTAGTCTCTGCGCAGGATGATGTCGTCGGTGGTGAGAGAGAGAGAGGGAGAGAGGGAGGGAGAGACAGCGAGTGGCAGCAGCCCGGGCGGTCGACCCGAAATCCACTGAGACTCCCGGCTGGGATCTCCGATCTACTGGATCTATCTGCTGGTCTCCAGAATTCTCCCTCGCCCGGCCGCCTCGTTTCCACGCACACGTCGTCGTCGTCGTTGATTCCCCATCCCAACAGTCCGCGACCGACCCTGGCCTTCCCTCATGTGTATGTCCCGAACTGAACTGGACTGGACCACCGTTTCCGACTGTGGTGCCAGCGACGAGACGGATCTCTCTCTCTCTCTCGCGCGCGCGCGGGCCTAGCCTAGCCATGCGCTTGTGATCGCCGTCCCGTGGACCATGTTCCTGCAGCTCCGCCAGTGCCGCCGCCGCTAACGCCCATCATCATCCTTCTTTCACCACCACCACCACCACCGCCGCTTCACTCCACCCGCAGGACCATTCACCTGCGTCAGTGCCCTTGTCCTCGTCTCTCCAGAGCGAACCCTCCCTCTCTCTCTCACGCTCTCTCTGGTCGCTTCACCGAAACCTGTCTCTGATTCGTCGTCGTCGTCGTTCGTCGCCGCCGCCGCCGCCCTCTTCCTCATTCTTTCTCTTCTTCTTCTGCTTCTTTCCCTTCTGTCGACCTTTGCAAAACCACCGCGAGAATGGCTTACGATCAACATGCAACATATGAGCCGCCGCGCCGGGGCTACTACGGACAAATGGCTGCCCAACCTTCCGAGCAGGACATGTACCAACAGAACAACAACGGTCCGTACAGTCGGCACGATGCCTACGAGCAACCGCCGCCACAACAGCAGTATGGCTACGAACAGTCCGCTCCTCGCATGGATTACGGCCATGAGCAACAGGCGCGTGGCTACGCCGACGATCGCGGGTACGATCAGTCATATGATCGCGGCCAGCAGAGTTACGACCATGGATACAATCACAACTACCAGCAGGACGCCCGGCCAGCGCAGCGTGCGATGCCACAGCAGAGTTACCAGCGGGACGAGAGGCCGGTCCAAGGTCGCGCATACCAGGAGGAGATGGGCGATCGTTCCTACGACGCGCGTTACCAGCCGAGGGCCCCTCCACAGGGTCAATATCAAGGATCTGCAGCAGGACCACCACGGCGACCAGATGGCCAGCAAATGCCTGCTCCACGGAACTTCGCAGGTCGACCACCCAATGCGACTGAGATGAGAGGTCCCCCTCCGAGACAGAACGGATATCCTCCACAACAACCGCCTGCTCAATACGCTGGCCCATCAAACCCCGCCCCGCCGCCGCAGTCGCAAGGGTACGATCCTCGAGCACCGCCCCGACAACCCGCGTCCGCCACGCAGAGGCCGCAGGAACCTCGGAAAGATTCAATGGCAGAGTGGAAAGCGAGAGAGAAGGCGAAGATGCACATGCCGCCGCCGGAGACGGTGGCGCAGGACAATGCGTTCCCAACGTTCGGGAACGGTCGTAGGAAGGAGCGCTCTCCGTCGGTGGACAACCGCGACCGGGTCAACAGCGTCGCCAGTCACGGTTCCCACGACACGACGGACCGCGAACGACCCTTTCACAATATCCGCAAGGACAGTTATGCCGCCGAGCGGACCGATTCGAAGGACTTGCAGCACTTCGCGGCCAAGCCGGAAGTGAACTTGCGCTCGGCGCAGCCCAGCGGCAACTGGCCGATCCCAAATTCTGGGCTCCCCAACCAGCAGCCCGTCGATGATGGACGTCATTATTCCGGTCCTGCCGCCCAACGTCCGCAGACGGCGCAGGCCGCTGAACAATGGCCGATCCGCGCAGAGCCGCCGTCTCAGGCGGTGCGAGACGATCGCCGTTCTCCCCCTCAGCCGATGGATCCCGGGTATGGTGGGTATCCCCAGCAGGCGTCGGGCGCAAACGAACGGCGGCCGGAGACGCGATCCCCCCCTGCACGTGGACCACCGGTCTTGCCGCCGATCGACACGACATCTCCGCTCGAGCGACCGACCTTTCCCAACCAACAGACGATGAGTCCCGTCAGCGCAGGGCCTCGTTCGGCGGTATCGCGACCTGCGGTGGCATACCCGGATGCTTCGCGATCGACACCGCAATACCGAACACGAGAGGAGGAGATTGAAGAAGCCATGCCCGACTTCGGAGCTAGTCCACCCAGTCAGTCTTTTGATCTGCCCAGGAGGAACCCACCCGTCGATCGGCACATGTATGACGGCGCTGCTTCTGCACCTCCGTCCGCTGCGGCCCCGGTGTCCGCAGTGCCATCTGCTCCGCGATATGGCTCGCCTGCAGCTGCTCAACAACCACGACCGTACAACCCACAGTACGGCCCAGAAAGTCGCGCGCAGCCCCCGAGCGCAAACTTTGGCAACTCGACGCCCGTCAGCGCGGGCCCGCGCGTCTCGTCACAAACACAGCAGGACCCCTACAACAGCAACCCGCAGGGTGGCTATCAAGATGAGTACGGCCACGCATCTCATGTCCAGGATTTGCCTCCACCACGTGCTCCTTTTGCCGACGGCCAGCCGGTGCGCCGATCCATGGAAGATACACGACAGATGCCATACCGCCCCGGACCGCATCCCCGGCCGGGACCGAATGGTCAGCAGCAAGGCTACGGCTACAACGGCGCCCCTCCAAATCCCGTCCAGCAGCGACCTGACATTTCGAGGAATTTCACCGAGCCGACTTCATGGTCCGCCCCGGGTCAAGGTCAACCGCGGAGCGCCAGCGCGGCGCCGGCTCAAATGAACGGATACGCGCAGGGTCCCGTCGTGAATGACGCGCAATACAATGGCCAACGTCCTGGTTCAAATCAGACGCCGATGCGTGGAAGCCATCCGGATGCCTTGCCCCATCATCCGGTGCCGGTCCGAGCTGGACTTGCGCAGGCCAATGGAGCCCAACAGCCGCAACCCGCGAGGCCAGCGCCGACGAGGAACCATGCCAGCGCGCCTGGCCCATCTGGGGGGCCTCCACGTCCAGCGTCGGGGGGTCCGGTCCAGGAACGCATCACGAAGGCCGAGTTGGCGCGACTTCTCGCCGACGTCGAAGCGAATCCGCACAACCCCAAACGCGCCTTGATCTACGCCAAGAAACTCGTCGAAGCGTCGGTGGTCCTGGCGTCCGACGACGGCCGCGCCGACGCCAAGACGACGGCGAAGAACCGAGACCGCTACGTCACCGATGCGTACAAACGCGTGAAGAAGCTCGCCGCCGGCGGATACCCCGAGGCCATGTTCTACCTCGCCGACTGCTACGGCCAAGGCCAGCTCGGCCTCGAACCCGACACCAAGGAGGCCTTCAGCCTCTACCAAGCCGCCGCCAAGGCCGGCCACCCCCAGGCCGCCTACCGCACCGCCGTCTGCTGCGAGATGGGGCCGGACGAGGGCGGCGGCACCCGCAAGGACTTCCCCAAGGCCGTGCAGTGGTACCGGCGCGCCGCCACGCTCGGCGACACCGCCGCCATGTTCAAGATCGGGGTGGTGCTGCTCAAGGGCCTGCTGGGCGAGCAGAAGAACGTGTCGGAGGCGATCAACTGGCTGAAGCGGGCGGCGGAGCGGGCCGACAAGGACACGCCCCACGCCCTCCACGAGCTCGCCGCGCTCTACGACACGGGCAACACGGCGCCGGAGATCCGCAACAAGGTCGTCGCCGACGACGCCTACGCCCTCGAGCTGCTCGAGCGCGCCGCCGCGCTCGGCTACAAGTTCTCGCAGTTCCGCCTCGGCCAGGCCTACGAGTACGGCCACCTGGGCCTGCGCATCGACAACCGGCTCAGCATCACCTGGTACACGCGCGCCGCCGCCCAGGGCGAGCACCAGGCCGAGCTGGCCCTCTCGGGCTGGTACCTCACCGGCGCCGCCGGCATCCTCGAGCACAACGACACCGAGGCCTACCTCTGGGCCCGCAAGGCCGCCGTCTCCGAGCCCCCGCTCGCCAAGGCCATGTTCGCCATGGGCTACTTCGCCGAGAACGGGATCGGGTGCCCGGCGAGCATGGAGGACGCGAAGAAGTGGTACGGCCGGGCAGCCTGTGAGTTTCCCTCTTTCTTCTCCTTCCCCCTCCTCCCTCCCCACACCCCTTTTCTTCCCTTTCCCTCTTATCTCACCATGAACTCTTCACTGATTTTTTGCGTTTCCTCTTCGCCCATGCAGATTATAAATTCCCCAAGGCCCTCGAACGCATCGAGGAGCTCAAGCGGAACCCCAACAAGGGCGGCCGCGGCAACGACGCCAAACTGGGCCGCAAGGACCAGAAGCGCGACGAGGCCGAATGTAGCGTCATGTGATGGACCCTTTTTTTTCGAGGGAGGGGGTTCTTTTTTTTCTTCCTCTTCCCCCCGAATCGGGGCGGAGATTTCGTTGGACTGGAATGGGGGACAACGGCTGAGCTGGGAAAGACGCAGCAACAGTGACAGCAACAGCAACAGCAACAGCAGCAGCAGCAGCAGCAGGAGCAGTGAAGGATATGGGGATCGAAAGGAAAGAAGGGGTTGCTCTTCCCGAGGCTGATATTGGCAGGCGGAAATTCGATCGGGGGCATTGCCTTTTGGGCGGGCACGTCTCTTTCTCTTTCCAATTTTTTTTTCCGGTGAATTTCGTTCCACTCTCAAAAACAGGAAGGGACGGGTGTCCGACATCAAGAGATGAACGGATGGATGCATGCACGATGATATGGGACCCCCGGCGACGGAACGATGATATTGTGAGGGAAGGGAGAAGACGGAGAGAGAAAAGATAACAGTCCCCCCGCCTTTTTTTTCTCCGAAGAAGCAGAATTCCCGTATGGCTGCAGCAAGACCGAAAGACCGATGATACTGTTGCGGTTTCTATTCTTAATTCCGGTTCGATCACCGATCAATACACGTAGATGAACTCCTCGTTTTTCAGATCCGTCACATCCTCAAAGGCCTTCTTTCCTGTCGCCGTAGTTGTCGTGTCCGTCGTCGTCGTCGGTTCTCCCCTTCCAACTTCTTCGCCGCGGGGGGTCTCCGCTCCGTCGTCTCCCGCAGCAGCAGCAGCGGTACCAGCACCCAAATTCCTCCCCTCCACCATCGACTCATCGATCAGGATCTCCGCCTTGCCCAACCGCAACCGTTCCGCGGCGTGGGTGCGATTCAGATGTCGCAGCCAGAGATTCGTCATGATGGAGAGGGCGATCAGGACGACGAAGAGCGCGAGGTTGCTGCGGAGGCCGCGGGCGTAGGAAGGCGCTTCGGAGGGGGTGTAGAGGTTTGGACTGTCGGAAGGGGAGGAGGTTTTCTTTGGTTAGGTTCTGTCTTTGTGTGGCCTCGATGGGGGAGTTCACGTGTGGGAGAGAATAGGAGCTTACCCGATGATATTCCCGACGGACTGGCCGATGAAGACCATGCCTGGAGTCAATGGTCAGATAAATGTGTCTGTCTTTCCAAAGGACTGATCTGGTCGTTTTGCGGGGATGGGGAAAATCGATATCTCACCGTTCGTCAGGGATCGCTTGGTGTGTCCCGCGGTATTCTGTGCCGCCAGACTGTAGATGATGGGACTGATGGCGGGATAGATGGAAATGATGTAGTATCCAAAGAGCAGCGGCCCCCGATTCGCCGGGGTATGTTCGATGGCCAGCAAGATGGCCAAGCCGATGATCGGTGGGATACACAAGATGATGAGGATCGGAGTCTTGGCCCGCCAGCGGGTGGCAGCAAAGGCCGCGGCGAGGGTGGCGATGAGCTGAACAGCGCCAAAGGGCATGTTGAGCAAGAGCGTGCTGAAGCTGTCGTCGACGTAGGACTTCAGGATCAGTGGGCCGAAGGTGGAAATCCCCCCGCTGGGGATGGCGATGGTGGTGATCAAGCAGAACCAGAGCCAGGTCTTGACGTCGAGGAGACATTCGCGGACTTGGTCCCATCGCCATATGCCGGAGGAGACGCCCATCTGGTTCATGCGGAGCCGTTCGATGGCGATGAGCTTGTCGTCGCCATGGAGGAAGCGGGCTTTCATGGGTGAGTCCGGGAGGTAGATGAAGACCAGGACGGAGAAACAGACGGTCAAGAGGCCGCAGAAGAGGAATATGGTCTGCCATGGTCGGAGGACGTTCGATTGGATGTGAGCAAGACCGTAGCTGAGAAGGCTGCCGAGCTGTGGACGATGATCCCTGTGTCAGCAATCTGTCGTGTGCACGGCACTCGGAAATGGAGTTGACCGGAGCTGTAGACTCACGATGTTGACCACGCCCAACATGGAATACCACGCCGCGTTCCGGTTCGTCTGCTCCGAGCGACGGTACCACATCTGCACAATGGCCACAAACGTCGGCGCCACCGAAGCCTCGAACGTCCCCAGCATGAATCTCGCCACCATCAGGCCGCCGAAGTCCCTCGCGGCGACCATCCCGCATAACGTGGCACCCCAGCAGAATACCATGACGGCCATGAATTTGCCTATGGGGAACTTCACCAGGATGTACGCGATCAACGGCTGCCAGACCAGTTGCGCGACATAGACGATGGCGCCGGCCCAGGAGAACTGACTACCCACGAGGTTGAGGTCGGTTATCAGCCCAAAGACCGAGGCGTAAGAGAGGGAGGATTTGTCGAGGGATTGCAGGCAGTAGATGAAGAGGATGATGGGTAGGATGGCCCAGTCGATTTTCCGCAAGATGCGCTTGTTGTCGGCGGCGGTGACGATGACATCGTGACCGGCCTGTTCGAGGACGACGGCGGCCTTGTCTTTGCCGGATGAGGATCGCTCGACGGATACTGTCTCCGTGTGGAGAGCGTTGGTTTTGTGAGCGTCGGCGTCTGCCATCATGGGAATGTTTGCTGCTGGTCGGGCTTATGAGGCGTGATCGCCTTTGATGTGGTAGGTCTTCTTCAGAGGCGGCGGGAGGCGAAACTTCCTATATACAAGGCAGACAGGCCCGCCAGCGATGCACGTCACCCAAATATCTTCGACCATGTGTAGTACTGATATGTGACACACCGGGGATGCTTCGGGTATTCTTCGTGAAGTGACTGTGGAGTGGCTCATGGTGGATCGGCGACGACATGTGGTCGTCGCCGCTTGACCGGACAGACGGACGGACGGACGCAGATACATGTGCAGAAGTACCTCGGACAACATCTGCACCTGCAACCGCACCTGCACCTGCATGCTTGGGGCGAGCTACAGTCATGCAAACATTTGGGTGATCATGTCAAGTCCTTCCCTCGCTGCTGCCGTCGAGTCAGCGAGGTTCTCATTATATCACTTCCAAGGTCATTATTGCAGAATTACTAGGCGAAAGCCAAAGCAGATAGAGAACGGTTCGGGTCAACTTTAACGACGATAAACCGGGCGATGCGAAACCAATCTACCCGGATACAGTATCAAGAGCCGCAGGGCGGTGTAGTCCGTGCGGATCCTACATCGTCACGCCGAACGAGATCCGGCATCGGAGTGGCCGCCTCGGTCCGATCTGACCGATGCCTGTAGAGTAGATCAATTTTATATCATCGGACAGTCGCCGATGATGCGCAATGGAGGAATCCACCTTCGTCAAGGATCATCATCTTCCTAACGACAACAACGACGACCGAAATGTTCTACGAGCCAGGACGCACCGCCCATGGACTGCCCAGGGATCCTTTCAAGGTATGCGATTGCGTCACATAGAAATTGCCCGAAAACGGCCTTCTACAATCCCAAGGGGAGGAGCACGTCCAGACGATCTGACGGCGATGGCGATGTGAAACAGTCGTGCGTTGTACCACGGCCTATCGGATGGATCTCCACCCGGAGCGCCGGAGAGGAGCCGATTGACAATCTCGCGCCATACTCCCAGTTCAACAACCTTTCCTTCTCGCCTCCATATGTCATGTTCGCGGCGAATCAAGGTACGTTCGATGGCCTGAGACTCGGAGCGGGGAGGTCAGGGGAGTGAGTCTGTCTGCTGACCGCGCTCATCGTTCTCCCCCCCAAAAGACTTGAATGGCAGCATGAAGGACACGACCCGCAATGCTCAGGACTCGGGCCATTTCGGCTGGAGCATGGCGACCTTTGCGCTTCGGGACGCCGTGAACGCAAGTGCGGAAAGCGTCGGGCCCGAGGTGGACGAGTTCCTGCACGCCGGGGTCGAGAAGCAGGAGGCGAGGGTGATCCCGGTGTCCCTGGTCAAGGCGTCCCCGATCAAATTCGAATGCAAGTATTACACGACGTTGCGCCTGCCCGGGGACACCGCCGTGGGCAGCGTGGACGTCGTGATCGGCCGGGTCGTCGCCGTCCACGTCGAGGACTGGGCGTTGCGTGACGGGCAGGTCGATCTGGGAGCCATCATGCCTATCGCACGGTGCGGCTACCTGCAGTATACCGTCATCAAGGCGGATAGCCTGTTTGAGATGAGTATTCCGGGCGACCCGAGGATGAACGACGGTCTAGCAGGCGACGAGGCTCTGGTGAGGGAATGGGACCCCAAAGGAAGGAGGTCGGATCATGCAAAGTAGCAACGCAACATGCCCGGCCATTTTTATGTTGTATTCAAATTGAGATCGACAACACAAATTCGTCTATGTACTGCGAAGTGCTCAGATATGTGTGCTCAGATACATGTGCTCACAATTGCACAGCTGGGAGGCGGATCCCATCTTGGCCGAGAAACGGGATGCCTTTGATTTCATGTTTCCCGGCTCGAAAAGAGAGAGAGTTCCTGTTGACCGGGCAGGCGGGCTTGGAAAGGAGCTCAATCGCCGTCTGTTCCCGCCCACTTGCTTTCCATTGTTAATCTCAAGCGTACCCCGGACCGAACTGCATTGCGGGGGATCTTCCCTTCATCCACCAATGTCACCAATGTGTTGTATAGTGTAGTATGTGATGACACGCATTCATCCTCTACCTAGAGGAGATATGTGTGTGTGCATATAGGAGCAAATGGAGGGGTTCGTGGAAGGAGGGCCAAGGCGGAGGAATATAAATTTAATGCTGGAATGTATGCTGGGCCGCGTGTGGACTGCTTCCTACAACGCGATCATGAGGCATGATGATGAGACAGACCAATGTACTGCAGTCGACCTTACAACGTCTCGCCATGCCGCACGTGTTTCAGTCGATCGATCTGATCTGGGTACAGCAATTGGACATCACCATCTGGGAGGAGAGAGAGAGAGACATAGCTCCCTCCAGGCTTAGATAGCTCGGCATAAGAGGAGGAGGAGCTACTCCACCGAGCTTCACCCGGCATCATCGACGTCGTAGATGGACAACACAACAAGCGTGAGGGACACATGCTGTACAGCGTGATGACCATGCACGTCTATAGATCAGATGTGGTGGAGTCAAAGATAATCGTACATGGATTTTAAACCTCCTTTCTCTCCTTTCTCTCCTTTCTCCTTTCACCTTCTTCTCCCTCCTCATAGTTTACGATCAATCATCCCAGCCCGCCCTCGTATGCAGTAGATACAGAACACATCGAAACCTCCCATCTCCTCTTTCCCGAAAAGGGAGAGCACACAAAAAATGCCACAGAACGAATTCGTCCCTCGCAAGTACGACCTCATCAGCTGGGACGCCGCCCAAGGCTCCCTCCACCTCCGGAGCAATGAACGCGACAAACCCATCAATTTCACCTTCGAATCGCTCCGACCAGGCCTCTTCCGCACGACCTTCTCTTCCCAGACCCACCCTCTCCCACCGTTCCCCAGCGCCATCAGACCCACCAGCCAAAACCCCACGAGCCAGACCGCCGACCATGGCCCGCAAAGCAGAGAGCTGCACTTCGGCGCCGTCGCCGCCAAAATCGACTGGCACGACGTCCCGCTCGTGTCCCTCGGCTTCGTCGGGGAGGCGTCTCTGCACGCCGACCTGCCGCTGCGATCGTACGCGCTCGACGGCTCCGGCGTGGCGCACTACACGCGGTATTTCCGGAACAGCCTGCACGTAGGGCTCGGGGAGAAAGCGGCGCCGATGGACCTTTCGAACCGGCACTTCACCCTGTCCGCGACGGATTGCTTCGGGTATGATGTCCACCGGACAGATCCCATGTATAAACACATCCCGCTGTTGATCCGCGCGACGCCCGAGGGGGTGGTGGCGACGTTTTCGACGTCGCATGCGCGCGGGTATTACTCGGTGGGATCGGAGATGGATGGCATGTGGGGCTTTCATAAGGTGTACCGGCAGGACACCGGAGGGTTGGAACAGTATCTTCTCATCGGGAGGACGCTGCAGGAGGTGGTCGGGATTTATGCGGGATTGGTGGGATTTCCGTTGTTGGTGCCGCGGTGGGCGTTTGGCTATTTGGCGGGAGGGATGAAATATTCCATGTTGGATGAGCCGCGCGCGAGCGAGGCGTTGATGGAGTTTGCTGGAAAGCTTGAGAAACATGCCATTCCCTGCTCGGGGTTTCAAATGTCGTCGGGCTATACGATAGCCGAGACGGAGCCGAAGACGAGAAATGTGTTCACGTGGAACCGGCATCGATTCCCTGACCCCAAAGACTTTTGCGACGCCTTTCATGCCAAGGGAATCCGTCTCATCGCCAATATCAAGCCATACATCCTCGGCAGTCATCCCGAATACGAAAACCTTGTCAAAGCCGGGGCATTGTTCACCGACCCGGAAACGAACGGCACAGGTATCGCACGCTTATGGAGTGCGGGAGGGGGTGAAAGTGGAGAGGGCGGTCACATCGACTTCTCTTCCAAGTCCGGATATGATTTCTGGTACAACGGGGTGAAGGAGCTGCGTAAGGTCGGCATGGACTGTATGTGGAATGACAACAACGAATACGTCGTGCCCCGGGACGATTGGGTCCTCGCATTGAACAATGAACACGTCCCAAATCCGAATGGCGAACAGCGGAAGGATCTCGCCTTGTGGGGCCGTGCCATGCATTGCGATGTGATGGGAAAAGCGTCCTACACAGCATTGCAAGAGGTCATGCCTCACGAGCGACCTTTTGTTCTCACGCGCAGCGCGACTCCGGGGACCTTGAGATATGCGTGTAGCTCGTGGTCAGGCGACAACATCACCAGCTGGGATGGCATGCGAGGGGCCAACGCGCTTTCTCTCACGGCCGGAATGTGTCTGATGCAATGCTACGGCCATGACATCGGTGGGTTCGAAGGGCCACAGCCGAGTCCAGAGCTGCTCCTTCGCTGGGTTCAACTAGGCATCCACAGCCAGAGGTTCGCCATCAATTGTTTCAAGACGGGCAGCGATAACCTCGTCGGAGACGTCATCGAGCCGTGGATGTACCCCGAGATAATTCCAGAAGTGCGCAGGGCCATCCTTCGCCGATACGAGTTGATCCCGTATCTGTACGGATTGATGTTGAAAAGTCACCTCACCGCACTTCCGCCTCAGAGATGGGTGGGCTGGGGCTACGAAGCCGACCCAGAAGTCTGGACTAACCGCGTTCTCAAGGACGGCGAGCAGCAGTACTGGCTCGGCGACACGTTGCTCGTGGGTGGAGTGTACGAGGCTGGAGTATCGGAAGCTCATATTTACCTTCCCAAGCGTGATGATGCGGACGCCGGCTTCCTGAACACCAACGCGCCACATCAATATCTTGCCGCCGGACAGTGGCACACGATTGCATCTCCCTGGCATGGCAGTATTCCGGTCCTCGCCCGCATCGGCGGTGCAGTACCGGTTGGAAAGGAGGAGCAAGTCGTCGCTCCTGGTGACGAGATCAACGAAGCGGGACTTTCAGAAGATGATTACCGCGGCATCGAAATCTTCCCGCCACCTGCACTGCGTGCCAGATATGAAAAACACACGAATACCTGGCTTGAGGACGACGGCGTGTCTCCCGCGCCGGCGAAGCTTGCTGAATTTACATTCATCTATGCAGCGACAGGCGCTCAAATCGAGGTCGATTTCGTCAAAGACACGAGCCAATTCGCACCGCCTTGGATCGGGAACGGTCTGACCGTCATCCTCCCTGTCGGTGATACCCGGGATGTAGTCACTGTGAATGGCAGTCCAGTCTCCCGACAATCGATGGATGCGTCCGGTCGCAGACGATTTCAAGTATTTGCTAAGACATCTTCGTAGCGCGCGATGGCTTGATATATGTAAGTTCTAGCCCAACACGGAGGGTCTCGTGTAATGGACGATTGGTCGATTCGTGTTCATACTGAGGATCTGTCGGGCCACGGGAATCTGCTGGTATCGCCATTTCTCACCATCGGCATGGCTTGGTCATTATCTCCTGTCGTATAGCTGTTGTCCGATGGCGCGCTGCTGAATCGTCGGCTCACTCGAGATCTTGCGCACGGCGGATAGTCAGCCCGCTCGCGCGTGATTCCTCTCAACTATGACAGGTCCAAAGCTCCATCGATTTACCAATCAAGCTTTGACTGCCTTGAATTTATAAAAGGTATCGACACTGCCTTTTTTTACATGTAAATCGTCGCCGTCTCTTGCAACTGAGGGTTCCGAGTCCCTCCCCGAGTCATATCTTATCGCCGTGTCCTTCGCTCCGTGGTACTTTATCGGAGGCACGCTCCCGTCAAAACCTACTTTGCGTATTATTGGCGGTTGTCGTGCATCTGGTCTGGCTAATCTCTCCATCTCGAACGCTGCCTCTGGTGGAGGAAGAGTAGGGAATTTGCGAATTGGCAGCGTTTCCAGAGTACAGCCATCGATCCCGACCCGTGTACGAATAAGTTCTTCCTCGGCAGCCAACCTCTTGCGCCGCGCCTCCGCTTCGACATCATCGAGTTTGTCGGGCTGACCACGCGCTTTGAGGAAGGTGTCCAGGGTCCAGCGAACCATCGCTTGGACTTTTGGCCATGGATATTCGCGGGCGGCCCACGGATCTGCCGCTGAGATGATCATGAGAATCGCCCCGTGTATGTTTTCGTTTGCAGCTTTCGCCCCCGGCTCTCCTTGCTCGTTGTATCCAAGCTCTCGGAGCATATCTTGCATTGCCTGCTTGAACCTTCGCTTGACCCGGTGGCGGATCGTAGGTTTCTTATGTAAAGCTGTGCTGACCACGACCGACCAATGGAGTTGATTTTGGTTAAACGCCAACATTTTCTGTTGCATTTTGTAGTAGACTGGATGTGATTGATCCGTGATTTTGTTGTTGCTCGGATTGGTGACGATGTTGTTCGGACTAGGGTCGATCTCATATTGTATATGGAGCCATGGTTCACAACTGTTGACCCGTTTGCACTTGGGAACTGGAAGAATTGAGTGGAGTTGAGGTCTCTTTGCTAGCACCTGCTTCGGCGCTCTGCGAATGCCATCGTAGACTCTTTGGGCCCACAGCACCCGCGTCGGGATCATGATGATGGATGGGTGAAAGTCAGGACGAGAGTCGTGTCTACCATTCTCGATGATGAAAAAGGAATGTTGCGATACTGGAAAAGGTCGCTCGACGGCACACGCGACAGATGGACTCCAGTTATTATTACAGTACAGTATGATGGAATAATTATTAACCTTGAAAGCTTATTACTTACCCCGTAGAGTAATAACTTCCAGGAACGTCGGCGGACACTCCCGCGGGCATCTCGGTCGCAGTTGACGTCAAAACCTCAGGCCGTGTCCGTCTTAGCGGTGCCGGCTCACCTTCCCGATCGCGCGAAGCCCACCAACCGCCACCAAATGTGTCACGCTGCACGCTGCACGCACTGCGCAGTCGTCGTTTGGCCGCCCAAATCTACTCTTCTGAGCGACCGTTCTCTGTACAATCCTATTCTTCTACAATCTACATCGAACTCTCGAGGCGACGAAGCCGGAAAAGCAATCTCGTCAAACGCACTGCGATTGAAAATTCGCCATGCCGAAGAACAAGGGAAAGGTACGTCATTGCCGTGGTGGTGGACACAACGGTGCGGGGCTTCATACTGATGCGCTGGATGAGAACAGGGTGGTAAGAACAGGCGTCGTGGAAAGAACGAGAACGACAACGAGAAGCGAGAGCTCACTTTCAAGGAAGAGGGTCAGGGTATGTCGCGGACAGAATGAGGATGGCGATCGGCAGTACACAGTCGCTGACGAGCGGGCGCAGAATATGCTCAGGTCCTGAAGATGTTGGGCAACGGTCGTTTGGAGGCACTCTGTTTTGATGGCTCGAAGCGGTTGGCTCACATTCGAGGCAAGCTGCGGAAGAAGGTCTGGATCAACCAGGGAGACATTATTCTTCTCTCCCTACGAGACTACCAAGACGAGAAGGGTGACGTTATCCTCAAATACTCCGCCGATGAGGCCCGTTCACTCAAGGCCTATGGCGAACTACCAGAGAGCGCCAAGATCAACGAGACCGACACATACGGAGGAGAGGAAGAGGGTGGTATCGGCTTCGACTTCGGCGAGGACGACGACAGTGGAAGCGGAGACGACATCGACGTTGACGATATCTGAAATTGTGCGACGTTCCCGGTACTTCTTCTCGCCGATCACCCCGGCTGCAGCTTTGTCTCAATCACCAGAGAGGAGGATTGCAAACAGGAGGAGTCTTATAAGGATCTCTTGAGGCCGCTGTCGGAACGATTCTATATGTTCAAAGGCTTTATCCTCAGTGGAGCAGGGCATCAATATTCATCAAAACTTGATTTTGCTGTGAGCGCATATCTAGGTTCGCCTCAGTATCAAAACAAAAACATTTCAAATTCGTTTCTTCTCCATGCACGAGGTATCGTGTATTTGCGTATGCTCAGTTATGTTTACGATGTTGCTAACGAGAGGGGTCCCAATAATGAGCCCACTATCCACCAAAATTCCCACGAATTTGATGGGAACCCTGGTTGAAGATGAATTTTGCTCCCACTGTCCGTGATTGACTATGAAAACCACGCCCACCCAAGAAAACTGCTCACGGGGCATGGAATGCGTATAGATCATGGAATGTAGTTGTCGAGTCCGCTGGTGGCAGTGATAGTATCGCGCGTCGGGCTTGGCGCTACGTCAATTCATGCAAGGACGAAGCCCGACACCCCGATTACGTTCAGCGCGGTCGCTTTCGTCTCTCACAGGCTGCAGTAGAAACGTGATCAATAGGCGCAAGCGCTTGATGACTGACGACGATCGACGGCCTTGCCTCCACTATTCTTCCACGGTCGTCGGTTGGACGACCACAAGCAAGGAGACTTCTCTGCGTGTGCTCTCTCGTAGCTGACTGCACATCTTTGGACCCAATCAGCCGCATTGCGACAGGACCTTGCTCCGAGAGCTCGACATCCCTCAGACCGTTCAGCTCACCCAGGCCGGCAGAGTATTGAAGTGCCTATGTTCACCACTCCGCATAATCTCTGGCCATCATGACAATCCTCACCGACGACGACAAGCAGACGGTGAAGCGGACTGTGCCGAAACCGGCGAACAAGATTCACGCTGGAGCCGTTGCCAAATTGTACGTCGCGCACCCAAACCGGACACGATGGACATATACGGGACTGCAAGGGGCAGCCGTGTTGGCGAATGACTTGGTCGGGCATACATGGTGGATCAAGCTGGTTGACATTAGTCCTGCCAACCAAGGCGTTCTGTGGGATCAGGAGATCTACGACACATTCGCATACAATCAGGACCGGACCTTCTTCCACACCTTTGAGTTGGAACAATGCCTAGCCGGCCTCAGCTTTGCCGACGAGAAAGAAGCAAAGCAGTTCAAGAAGAAGGTGGACGAGCGGGAGAAGAATGCGCACAAGAACACACGAGCCAAGCCATTTGGAAGTGGCAGCGCCGATGGGCAATCCCCGACACCATCGAGCGGCAAGTCCCACGGAATCATGAGCAGCCTGTTCTCGCGACACAAGCATGACGCACCTCAAGCACCAGCGCAGAGCATCATTCCTCCGCGCGGCGTGGAGATCACGAATCCAGCCAACGCTTCGTCCAACGCCAGACCCGCCCCACCAAACGGGAACCGCTCCTCTGAGATTGATTTTAGCGATCCAAAGGTTCAGGAGGTACTCTTGGAGCTACAAGGCATGGGGATCACTGCCGATCAGATTGAAGAACACAAGGGCTTTATTTTGAGTTACCTCGAACAGAATCGTGCGACCGCAGCGGCCGAAGCGGAGAAGAATGAGCGTGCTATGCGTCAACCGCCTCCACCACCGCCCATGAACATTGACAATCTCAGCCCTCAAAATACCGGGAGCTCGAAAGGAGGCCGAGGACCACCGCCTGCACCTCCGCCATCAAGACGATCTGCAGGTGTTGCTCCCGTGCAAAGACCACCCAGTCCAAGTCCGAGCCCGCCTCGCGAACCATCACCGCCGCGACCTAGATTCAAGGCGCCTCCTCCAATTGCCGATGCTGGAAAGTTCGCCAATGAGTCTGCGCCTGTGCGGGTGAACCGCCTTCGAGCAAGCAGTCAAAGCCAGCCTGATCCGACGGCTGGTCCTCCGCCACCGCCACGACCAGGCAAGATCCCATTGGACGACGAGCCGTCACCTGCGCCCACACGATTCGCTGTCCCGCCTCCATTCGAAGGTAAGCGCATCGCGGCACCACCGCCGACCCCTGCGCGAGCTGCTCAACCTCCACCTCCTCCGCCGCGGGATGCAGCACACGGAGCAGTCCCACCACCTCCTCCACCAAGATCAGCCGTGGCGCCAGTCCCCGGCGGTTTCTCAAGTTCAGGCGGACCGCCACCGCCACCTCCTCTACCGCCATCCTCATCACGGCCTGTTCCCCTAGCGCCCGGCGGAGGCGCACCGCCACCTGCTCCGCCACTCCCGCCATCATTCTCTGGCTCCGCTCCCCCACCGCCACCTCCGTTCCCACCGACCTCAGCCGCAGGCGGGCCACCTCCACCTCCGCCATTGCCACCTACAACCTCCAGCGGCGGCCCTCCTCCCCCTCCACCGATGCCCCCACGAGGAGGCGGAGACGCCGCGCCCGCCCCCGCTCTCCCCGGCGCAGCAGCCCCCGGACGCGGCGGACTCCTCGCAGACATCCGCGGCGGCGCGCGACTCAAGAAGGTCTCCGACACGGAAAAGCGCGATCGCAGCGCAGCCATGGTCCCCGGCTCGGAAGCAGCCACGGGGGCAGGGGCCGGCGCGGGCGGCAAAGCAGGCGATGCAGGCGATGCGGCCGCGGCCGCGGCGGGAGGAGGGTTGGCGGGAGCGCTGGCGAGTGCGCTCGCGGCGCGGAAGAGCAAAGTCAGCCATTCCGGTAAGTGGACCTGTTCCCTTCTTAACATCCCGCACATTCTAGGTCCTTTCGGGGGGGAAATCACGCCTGGAAGAACCGATATTTTTCCCTCGCGAGTTCAATATGCTAACCTCGTCCCTTTCCGACTACAGACGACGAAAAAGACGACGATGACTGGTGATCGGGCTCTCTCCCCCGGTGGGAGCAGCCGACGACGACGACGGGCGACGATGACGATCGCAAAGGCAGGGAGGGATCCAAACGGACGGACGAGGGAGGAGACTTGCCATCTTGCCTAGAGAAAGAGAAAAGTAGATATTCCACAACATTTTTTCCCTCCCCAAAAATCGCCGTCATCCTACCGATACGTCGCTTCTACATGAGGAAGCCACGATTGCACAGGAATTACTGGCGTTCCCGCAGAAAGAGAGAGAGAGAGAGAGACAGACGGAGAGGGGGAAAGAAAGAAAGAAAAAAAAAGAGATTGCCGCGGCGTCGATCCGATTCCACGCGTGGCTACCTACCCTACCACACTATATCTCCCAGGGGCAGAAAAAACTCCCCCGAAAAGGGACCCCATGATACCAAACCGGGACGTCCCCATGCCTCTCTATTTCCCGCAACATCTCACGGCTCGGCGCAGAGGTAGACCAAAGAAAAAAGAAAGCGTAGTGTGACATGAAATTGTAATTTTGTAGATCGGCGAGCCCGAAGTTTGGCCATCGCTGCGGTCGCAGGGTACGCCCGGCGTATGAAATTGAGGGGAGTCCTTCCTTCCTTCCTTCCTTCCGTGCTTGTTGAGCGCGAGAATCGGCATGATTTGACGCATCCCATGCACCATTCCCTCCTTCCCTTTTTCATGTGGAAGCCTCTCGACGTGGGAGGCGTCTCCGAGGGAGAGCGCGACGATGAGTGAGTCACCGGACCGCCCAGGAGAGGAGAGGAATCGGTAGGTATGGAGTGTTTTCCTCCACGACGCGACCGCGATTGAGGGAGTGTTTCTCGGCTCCTCGGTTTGTTTTTTACTCCAGCTTCTCCTCCGACCCGCTGCATAATCGCACCTTGTTTTTTTGCCCCTCCAAAGAGATCTTCGGGAGGATCGTGGGAGATCTTTTCACTCTCGCGACGTCGTCGAGAAAGAGAGAGGGAGAGAGAGGGTGGGAAGAGACCTGCGAAGGTTGCTGTGCGGATGAAGCGAGGGATGGCAGCTCCGATCGAAGCACGGGTCCTGTAACACCCGCCTGTTCAAAAATTTCCTCCTTTGGCGGCCCTCGTGGTTGCGCGATTTATTTATTTTGGAATTCGGGAAATCGTTAATGTCGTGAGTCATAAGCACAGATCAAAGGCAAACCCATCCGCAATGCGCCCATGCGGCCTGGTGACATCTCGCCCTTCGTCGCCAACAGAGCGAATAGCGTGCAATAATCAAGTCATTTCTGAAGAGGACCTCCTTGTCGTTCAGAGAATTATGAAAGGTGCCCATATCGCGATTTTGGAACATCACTGCCCACACGCTCGTTCCTGCTCATACCTCGATCGAGGGAGGTTCCTCACGCATATGCTCTCTGCTGTCCCATTCCCATCGTCGCCGGCTGCGAGAAGCCCCCGGGACCGGTCATATGTGATCGGGCATTGAGATCGGCGAACCAGGGATGTGCGAGGGCCTGTTGTGCGGTACATCGCATCTCAGGTCGCAGCTGCAGGAGCTGGTTGATGAGCTGCAGGCCGAGGGCGTCGACCTGAGGGAGGACATTGCGTAGGTCCTGGGTGGCGAAGACAGGCCATGTGGTCTTGTACTCGGGGAAGTTGCTGATGCCGGGCCAGCTGCGCTCCGAGGGTGTGCCCATGAAGCGGAAGATTTTCATCAGCTCGTCTTCGTTGGTGGTGCCTGGGAACAGCGGTCGGCCGGTGTACATCTCGGCCATGATGCAGCCGGCGCTCCAGATGTCGATGCTGGTGTTGTACGTTCGACTGCCGAGGAGGACGTCTGGGGCGCGGTACCACAAGGTGACGACTTCGTTGCTGAAGGTGTTGACCGGGATGCCAAAGGCACGGGCGAGACCGAAGTCGCCGAGTTTGAGCTGGCCCTGGTTGTTGATGAGCAGGTTTTGAGGTTTGAGGTCGCGGTGGAGGACGCGGTTGTCATGGCAGAACGCGATGCCCCGGAGGAGTTGCCACATGAAGCTCTTGATGGTGACGGGATCGAGGGAGCCGCGAGGGGCGTTCGGGATGGGGTTCTGAAAGCTGTCCATGTACTTTTTGAGGTCTTTGTCCATGTACTCAAACACGAGCATCAACTTGTTCTCTGTGTGGATAACATCGTAGAGGCTGACAATGTTCTCGTGCTTCAGCTCTTTCATCAGGGAGATTTCGCGGATGGCAGTGCTGGGAGTGCCTTCTTCGCTATCGAGGTGGATTTCTTTGAGCGCGACGAATTGGCCAGTCTGACCATTGCGTCCTTTGAACACCTAGCGCGCAGAGAACGGTCAGCATTCTGCTTGTCCAGGTGACAACATCTGTGTATCTGAAGAGAGATGGCATACCGTCGCATAGGTACCCTCTCCCAGCTTCTCCAGCTGTTGGAAGCTCGCAGGATGTCTCTTCTCCATGATCTCCACTCGATTACCTCCGCCGAGGCTAGTCACTGAAATGTTACTGTCTGTGCGGGCGTCGATGGTAAGGGTGCCGACGTGTGTAGGTCGGATGACAATCGCGGGCGGTTCTTTGGAGGTGAATTTGGGGTCCCAGAGGATGGCCTGCGGGGTCGTGAGCTTTTGAGCGGCGGACAAAGTGGTGATGACAGCAGCGGCGGCAGCAGCGGGATTGGTAGATGAATTATTAGAAGAGGAGGATGAGGATGAATGGGTGTCAGTAGCAGTGTTGGTTGAGTTGATGCCTGTTGTATGTTGGGTATGTATAGGTTGACCGGCAGCCGCTGATTGTGGTTGTGACTGCTGCTGCTGCTGCTGCTGCTGCGGCTTATTAGTATGTGGATGGTGATGGGTAGAGGAAGCCAGCTTGTTGGTTGGAGGGGGCGGCCAAATTATGCGCCCGAGTGTTGTAGAGTTTCCCCAGGTCAACGTTGGACGATTTCGAATTTAGCCAGGGTTTCGGCGGTAATTTCTGGGGGCGGGCGGTAAAGCAGATGGGCACCCTCCAGTGGAGATCCAGATCTCAATTGGTTGGAAGTCTCGCGGTCTCTCGTTTCTCCGGGCCCTGAAGAGAATACAGAGCAAAAGACACGAGTAGATGAAGATCTGTCTAGTGACCGGTGGATTTGTGAGAGGAAGAGAGTGTGGGTAATGGCCAAGAGGAGAAAGAAGTGGGAGAGAGGCCAATGGTGGTGTTATTAGTCGCGGTTGGTACGTGTATTACACTGTACGGCAGTACTGCAGTTCAAGTACATTCAGTCAGTATTCATCAGTGCGGGTGGCCGTCAACATCTGTGTTTGCTGCACTGTGTCTGGGGAGGGCGCATCGATGTTCCACCTTTTCGGGAGAGACATGTAATACTATTAATACATCTCAATGGTCTGTCTATAAGCCATGGGCACCTGGGCGCTCCTCATTGTTATAGGCTTCACAGAGTACCTTCCTTCCTGTTCCAAAGGTTGGTTGGGTTGGGGGGGAATCATTCTGTCCTGTCAAGCGCCGGACATGCGCGAAATCGCAACAGTAATAAGAGGGATTTGGCGGTGACGTGTATACAGGCGGGACGCGCCCGTTCTCCTCTTCTGAAGTCCCACCACCACGGCCCACGCGCGCGCGATGGGAATTCTGCTGGTCACGAGGCTGCTGCATCTCGGTTATGGGCCAACAGTACTATAGACTCGATTCTGCTCTTTTCCTCCGTCAATGCAGGTGCCCGCCGTATCAACCGTTTTGCCGCTACTCTGGTCTTCAGTGGCCGTGGCGCTCACCTCATCACGTGTGGAAACGATATGGATGACATTCTAAACCAGGAACATAAACATCGCTGTGATTAAACTACAGGAATGTAGCGGCAGCAAGGCGCTACGTGACTGATGCGTCGAGGGGGAAATTAGTACACAGTTGAAGAGAAGTCGAAGGAACCCAAAAACAGATCAGAAAGACCGCCAGCTTCAGTTTGAAGTTCGTAGACCTCCAATGCCACTCCAAATTCGCACCCCTAGCACGTCCAATTCGCTCGTGTGAAAGGTCGATCTTTTCAAATGACCCAGGAAAGGACCAAAGAAGCATCAGTCAAAATCCTGTCCGTGTAAGAGCAGGTCAACGCCAAACAGTGCCGGAATGCCAGACGACGACAACCAACACACCCCACCTGTCAACAATCAACCCAAGAGCTCCAAAAGGTAACCGGGCTCACGCGCGAACAATCTCGCTGAGCGCCTTCCACTTCTCCTCATCCTGGATCAGCCAGCCGCGTCCACGCATGACTCCGTCCACGACCTCGAGCACACGGCGGAACCCACTGGCCGCGCCTTTGAGCTGCGTGAAGCGGGCGATCGATAGACCCACCTTCTGACCATGTTCCAGCACCACGAACAGTTCGATGCGCAACGTGACGGGTTTGATCTCGAGTGCGTTGTGACGGTCGACGCGTGCAGTGATGGCGTTGGTCTCGCGTGAGTATTGTAGATCGCGGACGCCGTGACGCTGCCATTCCTTCAAGAGGATGACCATCTCTTGACGCACGCGTGAGCGAGGGATGTTGAAGCAAAGGACATCGACCACAGGCTTGATGCGGAAGAACCGCGCAAACCATGAACGCACAGGTCCGGAGTTCTGTGGAGCATCCAGACTGGACGATGCGGAGAAGAATGACGCGAGCGACTGGTTAGTTTGGACGGTGGTGTCTGTTTGTGCATCGTCAGTCGTTTGGTGGGTAGGCCCCGTGGTACGCGCTGGCACTTACCTCCTTCATGTGTCAGGGTAGAGTCCTCGCCCTTGTCCCGGCTGATTCTGCCAATCCACTTTGCCAGACCACGCTTCGCAATGCTAGGCCGCTTTTTCCGCATGGGAAGCTCATCAGACTGTGTTGCGAATGAAGGGCCAGTCTGGAGGTTACTGAACTCGGTCAAGTCGATGCGACCAGCCGAATGGTCTTGCTCGACCCGCTCACCGAGTGCATTGGAAGATATGGCAGTGGCTCCAGAAGTTGCCGAACGACCATCGAATTCACCATCCTTCTTGTTCAAGCCGAACCAGCCGGATCGCTTCTTGCGAACGACTGTCGGCGTGTCAAGGACGGAATCTTCCGCGATTGATTCCAAACCACGAGCAGTGTGAATGTTCTGCAATTGATTCATGCGGGCCAGATTTGTGCTTCGCTCAAGTGGTGTCACAGGACTATCGCTTCGTTCACTCTTCTCACCTCGCTTCCGGATACTCAAAGGCGCAATGCTATCTGGAGAGGAAGGTGGCACCATTCTCACTGTCGAACTTGCTTTGCGCTTGACAGGAAGAGGGCTCGTCACCGCCCGCTGCCAATTCGGCGCTTCTTTGTTTGAACGCAAATCAATCTCCTCGGAAATCTTGGGCAAAGGACTTCCGATGTCTAAAAGTCTGGCTTCTGGAGCAGACGTTGTACGCCGTTCGGGATTTGGTACTGGCGCCGGAAGGAGATTTTCAAGCATCTTCATCACTTCGTCAAACTTGGCTGTACTCTCGTCGGGATTGGCTTTGTAGATCGCCAATTTGCGACGAGTCTCTTCGATGGTCTTCGCCAGGTAGGTATTCGGTGTTTCTGCAACGGTTGGGTGTTGTGGCCGAGCATCCTCGATCAGAGACAAGTCAGGGGTGCCTTGAGATACGATAGAAGTCGCAGGCGTGTCGAGCATGGAGGTATCTTCACGCACCGAAGCACGAGCCGTCAAGTCAGAGCCGACTAAGCTGCGAAAGAATGCCTCTTCACATGCTTTCTCCAGATCAACGCTGTGTTTACGGATCTCGTTTTGCATCATGTATGCAGATGGATCATCGTCGTTTGCTCGCTTGACTCGAGGCGTCATCAACACTGTGGCCTTCATCTTTCGCGAAATGACGACCTGGTCGGCGACAGCAATCGGACTGCTATCTCTGAGGTTCTCGGTACCACGCTCTGAAGCTACGGTGTGGTTCACGACCCTCAAAGATGGCTGGGGCGTGAGCAGGGCGTTATTGTTGCGAGAGTTTGTCGAGATAGCAGTGCCGACCGCTGAACCGCGACGAAGATGATTGAAGCTCACACCACGCTTGTGGGCATCCGAGGGTCGCATAGATGCGATGGGAGGGCTGCTAGGCCAATTATGCATTGAACTGCGAGAAAATGACGACCTAGGCATGGATGATCTGCTTCTACCAGAGCGAGCCAAGCTCACTGCTGAGCTCGTGGATGCTCTCTGGCTATGTCTCAGTTGTTCGACACGTCGAATGTTGTGCTGGTGACTACCACGAGCGATACTGGTTCGGTTTGTGCTGCCGGAATGGTGTCGATGAACAGTAATGTTGACATACTCGCCATTGGCATTGACGATGGGGTTCTTGGAAGCTCGGTACGGATCGTAGCTGCTCACAGATGGAGGAGAGCCAGCAAAGCTATGGCTTCGCCGAAGATGCTCATCATTCAGAATGGAATACTGAGACTGACTGCGTGCAGCCGGACCACCAGGAGCAGCTGACTGGCCACGAGCGCGCGCTGGTCGGCTGTGATGATAGTCGCTTGTGGAGTAACCCATGCTGTCTCCCTCGCCGACGAAATTTTCCAGGTGCTCTTCACGATGCTTGATGAGCGCGGCGTAGAAAAGCTTCTCCTGGTTGTATTCATCATTGAGCAATTTATGGAGCAGAGCATGTTCGGGTTCGCTGTGCCATAAAGTACGCATATTGCCCAAGATCTCACGATCAATATCTTTTGCACTCTTCACCTTCCACTCATCGATTTGTGGAATTGGGCCGATGGTCTTTTCCTTCGAGCCATTGGTTTCGTCGAAGCCAAACACGCCGTCATACTTGTGCAAAAGTTCATGATCCCAGATCTCGTCCATCGTGATTCGCTTCATTGGGTCTGGTTTGAAGATGCGACGAATGAGATCCCGGGCTTCGAAGCTCAGTTCAGGGGGCATGAAGTAGTTGGCCCTTGCAATGTCGCGAAACAGACCTTTGATCGAGCCGTTTCCGTGGTAATTGAACGGCGTAGTCCCAGTGAGCATGACATAGAGAATGACACCACAGCTCCAGACATCAGCCTTGGTGCCATCGTACGGTTTCTGACTCACAACCTCCGGTGCTGCGTAGTGAGGGCTTCCGCAAGGCGTGCTGAGGAGTCGGCCTTCTGGTTGAAGGCCAGCCATGCCGAAGTCAATAATCTTGACGTTGAAATCTTCATCGATCATGATATTTTCGGGCTTCAGATCGCGATGACATACGAGCAGTCGATGACAGTATAGCAAGGCCGACACGATTTGACGAAAGATCAACACAGTCTCACACTCATCGAGCGCTTTGCAACGATCCACCAGAGTGAAGAGCTCCATGCCCTTGACCAATTCCATAATGAGATATCTGGAGCAAATCAGCACATGAACCAAGGGTCGATGGGAGAGAGCAGCAACTACGTACAATTCATTCCGATTTTCCCATACATCGTAGAGGCGAACGATGTTCGGATGCTCCAAAAGTTTCATGACGACGATCTCCCGTCCCAGACCGTATGGGATAGGTTGTGGATCTGAGGATGATCTCGGTGCAGGACCATGAACGCTTTCCACGAGATTCGCTAAGCTGAGAGCTCTGGTGTTCTCTGCCATTTGTCTGGAGATGATTTTCACGGCGCCCACTTGACCAGTATGGCGATGACGAACAACACGAACGTGAGAGCAGCCTCCCTTGCCGAGAGTACGACCCAGATGCCAGTGACCAATATATGCTTTCCGTTTTCCCCCGGAGGCGGTGGTCGAGGTCGTAGAGAGGACCGAGTTGCGTTTGGAGCTTGACTGATGTTCCTCTGCGAGCTGCATCACTCGCTTTGAGTTCGGGGAACTGGAATGAATGTTGCGAACTGCGAGAGATCCGTTAGGGATGATCGATTCGTTGTGTGGAAGTGCATGCTGATGACTCTGGGTTGTACCCTTGTGCCGGACTTTCTGATCCTGTGATGTGCGTTGTTTGTTGATGTGAATCGGAAGCTCAGCGAGCGGTTGTCGTTTCGCCTTCAGGCGAGAAGAGTGGTGACGATCGTCCATGTTGAATGTGTCGTTATGGTCTATGCAACAGTGAGGAACCTGGCCGTCATGCTTGTCGATGCAGAGCCAGATGTTATGGCGATATTACGGTAAATGGATGCCGGTGGTGTAATCGTGACCTGATAACGTTGATGATTCACTCCGACGTATCCAACCTCCTCGACTCGACTCTCTCAAGCAGGAAGCAACGGCACCAAGCTTCAACGACCGAGCGTAAGTATACCTCCTAAACCCTGTTTGACGCAAGAAAAGACTTCCAAATGAGAGGACAGACGTTGGCAAGTGACGGTACAAGACGTCCAGTGATCGGTTGTGTCTTCGCACAAAGCGTGAAGCTGAACAAATGAGATGCCGCGCGATTGAATGCAGGAAACGATAAGATGTTGGTGAAGAAAGAGAGAGAAAGAAAGAAAGACACACGAGAAAACACGTCAATGGGAAGTCACAGTCAATATTCGCGTAAACACGGGTGGTGGTGGGTGGTTACGGCGAAGCTGGTATGCTCAAAACAGTGAAATGCACCCATTGGCGGTGGAGTCGCTCTTACCGCACTCACTCGACGACCAGCACTTGTGGTATGGTCATTGCGAATATTTCCTTTCTTTCTCACTGCGTGTATCTTCGATATTGTTACAATGCAAGATGAATAGCCTGTCTGCTCGACCTACCTCTCATGCAAGTATGATTGATTAATCGATTAATCGAATATTCGTCGATGGTGATCCTCCTTGCGATTTGGAAATCTCACCGTTGTGAGCTATTCACACTTGCAAATAATGCTGAAGACGAAGCAGCACAGTCTCGGCTTTGGCATGCAGCCTTCTATTGACGGACGCCCACCATGTCCTGCTTCACTCGGAACAAAAGTCCTCTTGATGATCAGCCGAAATGATGCAACAGCGAGTGCCCGAGTACCGACAATAGCAGTAGGCGTCTCCATGCCGGATCGCTCTCGACGGCGTTGTATGTCTGATCCTCCAAAGTGGATGCCCGAAGCTTACCATCGGCATTACGCAACGATGATCGGAACAGCACGCTTATCATGCCGAACATGCTGCCCACGCTTTCCAGGACTCCGTTGTTGTTGAGATCTTTCCATTGGAGAAGCGGTCTTAATCTCGGCTCAAGCATGACCGAATCGATCGCTTGCACAGCTCTTGCGTGTCGCTGAAAGGGAATTGTCCGACGCGTGCTGACGCGAGCGTCCGTACGGCCAAACCGGTATGGAAGACAGCGCACAGATCAAACGTGATACTCTCGCGGGTTCTCCACAGGCCTTGCGACATTCAGAGAAGAAGAACACAGCACCTCTGATGTTCTCTCCGGTGCATGGAAGAGATCTCAGGCCTCGAGCAGTGCCGATGAAGCACCAAACGCATGAGTCGACGTCGGACAATTAAGATCTCAAAGTCAAAATCTTAGCGGCCAGCCACAGATCGGAAGAAAGGCGTCCCACGATGATCCCTCAGCCGAACCACATCTGCAGCGAAAACGGCCCGAAAACATCGGGCATCCACGCATCGATCAAGAAGAGCAAAAGACAGATAACCCTCGCCTCTGCACAAGTTGGAGATTGGGATTTGCATCGCTCCCCTGTCTGTACCTGCAGCGACATCAAATCCATGGATCGAGGACTGCCGATTATTTGGATTCGTCCAAAGCCGGGTGCGATGACAGTTTCGTGAGCAAAGGGCGATCTAGGCCTCCAGATCTGCAGTCGAGGGGAATTGTCAGCACGAAACCCTGGGGAGCTCCGGCGGGCGCGCAATGCAATGCAATGCACGGGATGGATTCGAGAGACCCGTCGCTTTCATCATCGACCCGGGTGATCGCTCAGTGTCTGACCACGAACGCACATGGTGAGAAGGATACAATATACAGCGAGACAGAATAATCGAGAGGGAAACCCGGGGGATCCACCTGCACGTCGGCAAATTTCACCCGCTCGGATTCCTGCCAGATTTGTCAACTGCTCTTCCGTACCACGTTCGAGAAACGTGCGATCGACTCGCTCGGACCCCCCAAAGGGCTAGGCCCATCTCGCCCTCGAGATCGTCCCAACTGCTCTTCCTTCGGCCGAACAGCAAGGTTTCACGGTGTCTTCCCAGACGCGCGCGCGCGATCGAATCTGTCGATCATTTACCTCGTTTGGATGGAACGGAGCTTTTTGGGTTCGGGGCGGGAATTGTCCGTCCATCCACGTATAATCGTTGTGGTTGGACATTTGACGAATATGAAGCATCACGAACGGATTGATGGGGAGATATATGGTCTCGTGATGGGGAATCGAGAGTTGATTGTGACGAGTCTTTTCGCGATGAAGAGTCCATCATGAATCTTTTATTCACAGCAGCACCAGACGCTCATCGAAGAGTAAATCACAGGTTTTATTCTCTGCTGTTCATCGAAAGAGGCTTATCTCAGCCGTGTAAATAGATAAAGATACTCGTGCTGAAGAGATGGGATCTTCCAGCATCCTGAAAATATAATCATCGTGGAAGCGAACAGTCCGACAGCGAAACACCATTCCCGTCGTTCTCCCTCCAAGAGGGGAAAGAAGTAAACAAAGCCAAGTGACTCTTTCGCCCCTCCTGCATCTCAAAAGTCTCAACTTGTGTTGTGTCACGTGTATCGAAAATCAAAACCTTGGACACGAGGTCCAGGAAAACTCCGCCCGGGTCACTCCATGTCGTCCCAGGACATCACAAAAATCAAACCCAAAACTCTCCCGATATACCAGATCAGGACTGGGTAATCATGAAGGTCAAGATCAAGGTTTCCCATGCCGAAGTCGAGCACTGTGCTGTCAAGGAGCGGCTGCTCGACCGGAGGCATAGCGCTGCCAAAATCACGGCCAAGGCTCCAGATGAGCGCGCATTCGCTCGGGTATCGTCCCGGAAAGCGTGACGCTGTGGTTCGTGGCTGCATGCTGTCCCGAGGCAGTTGCGTCCTCTAGGGCGGGTTTTCATGATTGCATCGGGTAAGTATGGCAATAATACATGTTTTATTTCAATGAAGTGAAAAGTCGATGCGGCCGTGTGTATCATCGTCGAAGAACAGGAAGATTCGTGCAACGCCCTCCCGGTTCTCATGATCCCTGAACAGGAGGGCTGTGGTGATCATCGTCGCTGTTGGGTGAGGACCCGTCGATCTCCTTGACTTCACTGGTGCCGAGCGATTTTCCGCAGCCTTTGACGAGGACATGTCTCTGTTATCAATGGGTCAGTTAAAGATTCGGAAATTTTCTTCATTGTGCACCGAAAGACAAACCTTGAGTGCATCCTTGCGTGAAAAGCTTTTGTCGCAGTGGCCACATGGGAATGGCTTCACCGCGAGATGGATTCGCTTGTGCCTCTTGAGATCGTGGTTGCGGTTGAAGCTCTGTGTACATTGATCACATCGGAAAGGCCGATCATTCGCAGGGTTGGGATGATGACCTGTCTGGTGGCCGTAGAGCTGCTGCATTTGTGCCATTTGACCGCTGTTCATGGGCATGCCCATCTGATGCGGCATACTGCCGACGAGCGAAAGCTGACCGCCATGGCTATTGAGCCCCGAGAATGCGTTGTTGGGCGGTAGGACTGCGCCGCTTGACTGGAAGTAAGGTCGGTGGGTATTTCCGTACATTGGTGCGTTCCATGATTGTGAATGCAGTGACGGTATCGATCCGAATTGGCTCACAGGTGAGGCTTTGGCCAAGGGATTCATCCCGCTGATCGGGCTGTGCTGTGAGTGCGATGGGCCGGATGATGAGTATGCGTGTCCTGCCGAAGTCGGGTGTGAGGTGTGGTGGTATGATGGCGTCGGTGGTTGCGAGGAGTGGTACGAGTTCGTGGGCGTGTGCCGTGAGAATGTATCCTGTGCGTGGACTGGTGAAGCCTGAGAGGCAGATACGGGTGGCTGTCCTCCTACCATTGCACTGCTGATCATCTGGTGATGTTGGTGCACCGCCGGCTGGCTGGGCGCAGACATGGGCATCGACGACGAGTATTGTGAGATCTCATACGGCGGAGGAGGTAGCGCTTCGCTGGCGGTCGGTGATTGTGATCCACGAATTATGGAGTTGAGCGAAGGAGAGAACAGACCACGGCCCTGGCCGAAAGAGTGTTGCTGCGGTGCGGTCGATTGGAAGCCACCGTATGGGGCGTGGGAAGTGTGCGGTGGGTGCCACATGCTGGTGGGAGTGTATGGAGGGACCGATCCGTTGTTGGAGCTGGGAGCGATGGAGGAGACTGGACTCAGACCATCCGATGAGCCGTTGCTGGGAGGCGTAAGTAGGTTGCCCACGCTGCTCAGGGTGGTCGGGACCGGCGCTGGCTGTGCGTATGAATGTGTCGGATACTTTTGTTGCAGGCTGGCGAGCGGTGGTGGTGGTAGTTCGAACGTGCCTAATTGAGAAGCGTTGGGTCGACGGGCTGCGAAACTGCTAGGAGCACCCATATGGTCGTGCCCGTGAACCATTGACAGAGGGTAGGCTACGGCGGCAGCCACGTTTGCGGTAGGGATGAAGTCAGAGTTTAGAAGTTGTTGGTCGGACGGAGGCGTTGGCGGCAACACAAATGGTCGCTGCTGGGTGAGAGTTTCAACTTGCCAGGCTGTTCCTGGTGGTGTATCGTTGAAGGACGCCAGGAAGGGCAGGTTGGAAAGCTGTTGGCGAGGTTTTGAGGGTCGTTGACAGATCAACTAGTGGTTCAAGTCACACGTCTCGAGAGCAGGTTGTCATATATCACAAAGACTGAAAGATATATCAGTATCTTGATCGACGAAACGTTTTCAATTTTCGATAGTGACACGAGGAAGTAGTGGCAGAAGTCGTCTCGCGGATACGATGTGGTCAAAGTGCAAGGGCCGTTAGAATGGGTCGTGGCACATCGATATGTAGTGAAGAATTCCAAGGAAGTGAAAGGCAGATTCTTTCAAAGGAGCGTGCAACAACAGATGAGGGCGATCCAGAGACCGACGGGCGGGGAGTTGGCGTGCGTCGATGGGTTGCACAGCCGGAGCGACTTACCACTCTGAAAATAGGACTTTCTGAACGGCCGTGAAAGGAACAAGGAAATCAATACTCGTGCCACACACACACCCGATCGTATTGTGTCGAATGCGTAACCGAGTATGACGGAGACAAGAGTTGTTTCGTGTGAAGAATCCGGGAGTCCGCTACAGTGTCGAACAGACTCGCTGTTGGGTGTAGTAGTAAGCTCGGAATGGCACGGCGACGACGGAGGACGATTGATCGTTGAATGTAAGAAGGACAAGACGATATACGCGCGCTACCAGGAAGGTGAAGTCGGCGATTGGATTCCAAGAGCGGTCAGAAGGATGTCGTCGTTGATGTCCGATGAGATCGATTGTATGACAGGTCCAAGGGAGGAGGAGATGGTTCAGGGCGTGGAGGGACGGTTTTGCAACGTCGAGGACGGGCGTCGACAACGAGGCTGCCACGAGGTGAGGTTGGCGTGTTTCGAGAAGGACGGGATAGATCGATGGACGAAACAACGAAAAGGCAACGAGTCGAAAGAGCGAAGGAAACGGCGATCCTTTGTTTAAGCTCGGGTTCCTGGCGTGCGGGAGGCGGTCGTCGCAGTCGGAGGGCTGGACGCGGTCGATAGCCTCGCGAGACGACTTTGACGTGCATACCGAAATGGAATACGTGCGACCAAGTATCCTAGTACACTGTACTAGGGATCTAGGTTTCTAGCAGACGAGACGAGACGAGACGAGCGACTGGAGCAGTCGGGTGTGTGTCGATGCATCATGGCCGCCATACACACCACCATTATTGTCCGTTAACAGGAGCACCACCACAACACCATCCTCGACACCACCTCCACCACCATCGCCATCAGCACCATGCCACGGACACCACCTTCACACCCATTCCCGCTGCTGCTGCTGCTGTTGTTGTTGCTGCTGCTGCTGCCCACATCACTACTTCCACCACTGTGCCAGTCATCACAGGCCCAGAGGGAAATTGTTTGAGAAGGGAGCGGCTAGACGAGGAACATGGGCCATTCCATTAGCGTGGCCGACGAGGACGACCATGGGGAGCGGGTGGTGGTGGTGGTGGTGGTGGTGGGCAAAAGAAAAGAAGACTGGAAGAAGCAAAAGAAGCACGGGGGGACGCTGCGGAGAGCTACCGTGGATTGGGCTTGCCGGTGGTCTCTGCTGTGTGGTGAGAGCCCGAGAGAACCTTGAATTCCCTACAGTCCACGGGTTGCAACACATCTCCAAACGAAAAAAAAACAAGCCATTTCCCTCGTCTCTCCCATCGGGGCCAGCGGGATGGGAACTAGAGGTTCGGTACAGTAGCGCCAGATTCGTTTGATTAGTCTAGAGTGTAGGTTTTTAGTGCACGCGGGAAACAGGGCATACATGCGGGTGGGTGCGTGTGCGTGTGCGTGTGAAAGTGCGAGTTGGGTGTGGCTGCCCCGGCCAGGGTGGTGCAGGACGAGATGGGTGGTGGTCACGGTGATAGATAGTCATCATGATTATTGCGTTGGTTTGGTCTGTCTGTTGTTTGGAGGTGCGCGTGCGGATGAATGGCCAGGACGGCGATGAAGCATACAGTTCTGTCTATGTGCGTGTAGGGGAGTGTGTGCGTGTATGTGTTTGTTTGTATGTGTGTGTGTGAGGAAGAGAGTGGGTTTGAGCCTTGCCAATTCGCGTGATGCGCGTGGTCTAGTTCTCCATCACAGCAATGGATGTGACACGTTGGTGGTGCCGATGCCAGTCGTATCGATCGTCGTGATTCTCATCAATCCCCGAGAACAGCCGCCGGAGAAGAGCATGCGATGGGATGGCGTGAGGAGTTGGTTCATCACCCGAGGGAGCAGCAGCAGCAGCAGCAGCGGTAGAAAGAGGAAAGAGGAAAGAGGAAAGAGGGCGAAAGGGAGCAGAGGCCGCACCACCATCGCCTTCACTACCCGCACGCTTCCCGGTGATGATAGTGATAGGTCTGCTCTGCTGCGGGATCGTGAACTTTTGAAGCAAAGTTGGACATCCCAGCATCGGTATGGGTGCAGTATGCGTGTGTTTGTCCACGGGTACCATATAATTCACGATGAATCACGACGATTGTACTTACTTGAATTGTTATTGTATGGTTATTTTGCTGGCTCTATGTGAAGCCTGATATGTGTACGATGATGTTGCTGGGTCCGGATAAAGAGCTCTCTCCTGATCATCGGTGTCTCTCGCCGGTGCTGCTGCTCTTGTTGGAGACGTTCGCTGCTTGTCGCTGCTGTCGGCCTTTCCATGCTGTCGCTACGACTGTTGCCTAGGCGCGCGTCCGCCGCTCCCTGCGTGGCATTTCGGTGCTTCTTTCTCAAAGCTATGGGCTAGTTTTTGGTATCCCTTTCCTCCTCAACACGAGCTGATCACACACACACACCGTGTGTTTCTTTCACACCACGGCTGTCAAGAACTGCCTCGTTGTGTGCCGACCCTTGCCTCACCGTTCGACTCGCCAATCACGAGGTTTCGCGTGGAAAAAGTTGCCGAATAACGTTCGGAAACGACCTATGTACCATAGTTCCATCCTGGTCCTTCCGTTTGGCAGCCGTTGGGCCCATCGCCTACCTCGGTAGGTACGTCTCCATCCTCAACACCCACAGTACTGCCTGTCCATAATACCAGACCGAGCTCTGAGCATGGTGTCTACGGGTCCTGTATGTATGTATGTATGTATGTATGCCGTCCTGTTCTCTTGACCAATGCCATCCGCACCCAATCACGGGAAATAGGCTAGACCCGATCTAAGCAGGCGTGATGGAGGAGGCCACTGCGGCGGCGGACGGGTCAGCAGAGGCGGGCGGGTGGATGTTCAGAAGGTGTGTCCGTGTGTGTGTAAAAATATGTATGTGTGCGTGACAGACCAGACGCTCCTGCACGATGCAGCCAGCCCGCGCGCGGCCAGTCTGCTGATAAAAAGCAGTCCAGGCGGTGGAACTACCTAGGTAGGGCATTCTGCCTGCGGAAACTGTGCCTGCCCAGGTGTTCGTTGAGCGGTACAGTGCTGTTCTGCACACTATATCGACCAGCCAATACCTTGCAAGATCATCCCGACTGCCATCCTGTGAGTAATATACGATTTAGATACCCATGTTGGCGCGAATCAATGAGTGAATCGCGGCGGTCTGCCTGTCACCATGCTATAATGCGTGGAAGCGAATGCGTGTGCGTGTGTGAGAGGGAGAGAGATTACTCCTTGTATCTTAGCATCAATCGCTCCTCTCGGGATAGATCATCTGCCTCATCTCGCTTACCTCACTTGCATCTGTAGTAGTCAGTACAACATGCATGTATCGACGGCGGCTCAGCCAGGAATTGGATCTTCAAGCTCCTTCCGTCACAACGCTGAAAATGCCGCGGCACAAGCATTTGATCCTCTCAACGTCGATCCTGATGACAGTTCGCTCGAGACCCTCATCCCGTCATATGGCTGTGACGAGGAGCGAGGAACGCCTATTTGTAAGCCTCGATGCGGTACCTGCGTGCCGCCAGTTGACACAACAGTGGATAAGGAATGCCCTCGGCAGCCTCATTGTTCCACATTCGACGAGGGCATGCACATCACGAACCAGAAAGCCGCCTTGGTGCCACTTTGCCTTGGTGCCACTTTGCCTTGGCCAGTACTAGGGGATCGCCGCGTCTGCTCGAAGCGATGCTGACGACGCCTGGCCTGATGATGTCTGTTGGCATTTTCATGTAATCTGGGATGGCTTTGGTGAGATTAAGCGGCACAGCACGCTCATGTACCTCAACGATGAAGGATCTACACCGAGGGAGCGCGGTGGCACTATGCATGTGCGAGGGCTGATATGCCACAATGCAGGACCAAGGCGATCACTCGTTGAGGCCAACATGTTGCACGTGCGGCCACTCGCAGATCAAGATCAGGCTGACCTCTGCACTCAGATCTGGGCCTCGATTCCAATGCACACTCCGATAATGAGGCGATCACGAACCAAATGTTTTCTAAGCAGTTGTTGATGAGCGAGATCGATCCATTTTTGTCCTCGAACTCTGTCACATGTGATGCAAAACACCTCAGTCAGGCCGACTGTGCGCATTCTCTTTGCTTAGTGGTCCATGAGTTGTGCTGGAAACCAGCGCTTCAGCTGCTCCTGCACAGCACTGTCTGCCATGCATTCAGCATCAGCGCGTATGTTGGCAGACCTCGCAGTTGGCGCCGGTCGCTGGGGGTGCATTTGGAGGTAGCGAATCAATCTCACGCCAGGCCTCCAGCATGTGGCGGGCTGGCTGCCGTCACGTTCGCGCGCTGGCCCGAACCCCTCTCGTCACAGTCCGTTGCATTCACCAGCTTTTCACGTCAATCGAGCGTCCTCGCGCCTGTGCTCACCGTGTTTGAGAAACCGAAAGACCTATTATTTCGCTGTCGAGCCGCAGTACTCGGTCATTTGCTCGTACTTTCGAGGTGACCGCAACGCGTTCACAGACCGTGTCTCATTTCCCGAGTCCGGGAGTTGGGGCGGGAAGGAATCCTCATGCAATGTGGCCCCGGTCTTTGCACAACTCAAATGATAATCCCGGTCTTCTACGAGATGACATTGAACCCTTGTCATCAGCAACATCAGCTCGTCGCCAATCCACTTCGTGCGTGACAGCCCGCTATTGGGCAGGCCCCGGCGCGAACACATGGCCATTTGATCGAGTCGAGACTCATGTTCGCTTGGCCTGCGTAATGTCATATGCACCTTGCTAAACACGGAGAATATATCGCGACATGGGTCTTGCACTTCCCTAATCCGACTCGCTTGATGGCGCTTCCTGAACTGTCATTGCGGGTGCATCGAACGTGCAGGCACTGTGGATTTCTCCATCGTGACACCTGGACACAATGTGATTGTATCTGGACGAAGGCAAATGACACAAACATGCTCGCTCGTCACACTCCATCTCTAATTTGCGACGTGTAACAACACATCACCCCATCCAAACACTATTACTTAAACACGCTTTTCGCGAGCAATGACCGCAGCTGAACAAGCACTGGAGCGGCGTCACACAGTACCATCGGGAAACCCAACCCCATCGTACGTGTATGCTTCATCGTATCACACTCATAACAGCTGGACGTTCTTTGCTGCCGGCAGGACGCATATGGAGTTGGTCCTAGGTAGCGCGAGGATGGTGGGTTGAAGAAGACCTAATCGGTTGCGCACATTACGATTTGGGCACATTTGTCAAGTTCGGGACTTCGACCGGATCGGCAGTAGCTTCCCTCAACCGAGCGGGCCGCCCGTCGACAGTACCGTTGGTCTTTTCTGCTGGGCCGCCTGGCTTATCTACTGTGCGCTGCCACGTGCGAGAGCGTTCCTGTTCGACCTCCTCGGCTTGCGTGTGCGTGGTGTGAGTATCTAATAACCACCAGATGGGGAGCTTGACATCGCGCGAACAATAGTCGCAGACGATTGTCTTTCCTCGTCAGATTCACAGACCATGTTTGCACTTCATCTGAGCTGTATGCACCCAGATGTGCGAAGATTTAAGATACAGCACAGCTGGTTGACCGATGCGACCAATCATGTGGGTTGCTCCACGCCGAATCCAATGGAACCTATTTCAAATGCGCCCATTTTGGATGGGTTCCAACACTGCGGCGCGGTCCCCTCGGCCTATCGACAGCGATAGCCCTGAGCGCACAAATCCAGCATGTGGTTGTGGGAGCGTCTGCAAGGAGGAACACTCGTACAAACGTCAATTTCCATGGAGGATCGCGCCCACAGCAAACCGTCGCCGCCGCCATGCGGCTTGGCTCAGCGGTCTCAACGCCTGCCGCGGATATGGCTGTCAAGTTCCGGGTTTGAGAGCAGGTAATAGTGTTTGTGCCTTCAATTCGTCAAGAACGCTTTGAAGCTACACAACAGACGATTCGAGGCACTCTGGCATGGTTTGCAATATCATCATGATCCTGGGTATAGCGTATTGCAAGCTTCAAAGGTCATCCTGCATACGATGACCTCACTCTTGGGCCGCTCGTGACTAGCAAATTGCAATGCATTTACGAATTATCATTCTTCTCACATCACAGCTGATGACATACTGTCCGAAAATGGACGTCCGAGATGCGCATAGCGCTGATGTTTTAGTCTGACAGGGAAAGGCATGGGACCAATAATTATCTGTGCTAAGCGAGACTCGACATCACATTAAACTCTTAGGACTGTATGACCTCGCACGCAAGCTTTGGATCCAACACTCCCAAGCACATCGAATACACACACACAAGTGGTCTCATCTTTGCCTGGGCTGGCGAGACAAGCAACAGGACCCGGTCTGCACGCCGGTGTGTCGACCAAACGGCCCGAGCCAGTAGAGTTTGCCATGGCGTGGACAAGCCCGTGAGACCAATTCCCACGCCGGCCTGACCATGTTTCCATTGCTTCGGGACTTTTTTCCTTCACGCACGAGGGAAAAGTGCAGTGCTAAAAATTCCCTCTGCAAGCCTTCGGCGACGCCGATGGCTAGACCCATGGGAAACGCGTGGACGCCCTCGGCTGCCCGTCATTTTTATCCCTGCGTGTGTGGGCGCATCTCCGCCTGCACCCCATCAAGCCTCCAACACCGAGCCAGCGTTGGGGTTGTACGCCCACAGGATGCATCCGGTACACGCACACACACGCCCCTACATCTGTGCGATTCGAAAGTGCTTTTCCAACTGGAAATACGATTTCCGTCGGATACCGCGTCGCCTGCCTTACATGTCCTCTCCCGTGGTACCGTGCAAAATAAACGTGTCGACGGTTTCGGACAGTGCACGAAAGAGGAAACCTGCGAACACGAGAGCCACCTAAGGGCTGACCGGCCCTTTTTGCGATCGCCCGGTCTCGACCTTTCGCTTTGTTCATCTGGGCCTCCGGAGCTATCTGTCCGTCACGCTGATCGCCCTTTTAATCAGATGAGTAGCGATATACGACTGACGGCAAGACCAACGTCATCATGCGATCTGCAATCTGCAATCTACGATACGTCACGAGAGGTGCTCGCATGGAGATCGCAACGACGGAGTGTATTATTTTCGTATCGCGATGCAGACACCCTGTCACGCCGATGGTTGTCATCATCGAACTACGACTCCTGATGACCACCGCAAATTACATACTCGCTCACACCTCAAACCAGCTTCCCCGCATTGCCATTTCGCGCTCAGCGACGGGAGCATGACAGGTTCAAGCTCTTTTCGGGTCTAGTGATTTGATCGTGAAGTTGGAGGTTGGATGTTGTAGTTCTGTAACTTGGTCTATCGTAGCGTTTGCATGTCACTCCACTTGACACGAAGACCAACGTGCTGTCCACTCGGCAGACGATGGAGGTTGCTGATGACACCCATCGGTATGTCGTCGACACGATGATCGCGAGGTACAATGACATATCGCACGGGTTCTGCTGCTGTCATCAGACGCGGAAGATACGTCCATGGCATGTCATGTCTCCTCTCCCCTCACCAAGAATGTTTCTTAGTGCGAATGACTAGCAAGCGGCACCTGCGTTCGCTCCGTCCAACTAGAGCCCGTTGTCAGCAAACGACATGCCAATCAAACTTGTTTCGTCCTCGCGTGGAAGCCAACCCATGCGCTGCTGCAATCCTGCATTCGAGGATTAAGTTTTGACAGTTAGGTGAGAGGAGTGCTTCTGGAAACGCGAAACTTTGTTCCTTCTCACGAGACAATGGAGATGGCGGCGACGGCGTCGTTTGACGGAACCTTGACTACACACGCTGGCGCCCGCCAGCATTCTTCAGGCAAGCTGTCTCTCCCACCTACCCATCTCCTCCGATTTGTGCGATTCCTATCAACACCTCGAAGACCTTCCGACTTGTGATCTGAAGGTGGAAAACAATAAATCTGGAGGACCCTGTCGCATTGCCGTGCCGTACTGTCATCGCATCGCATCGCATCGCATCGCATCGGGAGGACAGGACTGACAAAAGAAACGATCACGGATTGGTGCTCCTGCCGTAAACAGCAAGGCGTCAGGGTCTAACGATGAGAACTTTGGGAGAGCAAGATCTCACACTTTCCGTCCTTTCCCCAACCCAGTACGGGTGGAGAGTCCGCAATCCTTCTTCGGCCCGCGGTTCCCTCTGGTCCTCCTCTATGTTTTTCATACTATACCGATGTGATGATGAGTAACGAATACGTTTCAAGGACTGGGATGTGAACGGAAATGTCTCTCTCAGGCGTCCCGATTGGGCAATATCGCCGGGCGAGCGAGCTTGTATAATCATCGTGATTTCTTTCTCCAGTAGCAGCGGCAGATCTAGCACTAACAATGTGTGCACTATGCAACTCCGTGATGTGATATGATACATTCATGATAGCCATCACCACTACCACCACCACCACCCTCGGCTCTTTTCTTCCACATAGCAAGCCTGCTGATCTCGCTAGGGCTCCTGCATGAGACGGTTCGAAGGCGGCGTTCGAGGGGCGGCGACGGGTATTCCCTTCGTCCTCCCTTTCATTCCCTTCGGTGGCATGAAAAGACATGTTTCCCATCCCATCCATTTCGACTCCAGACCACACCTGACAACAAACTTATGCACAGCATGTACTGCACTGTACCGTTCATCTCGCCATCCATTCTCTCCCCACCCCCCGGCCCATCGCATGCTTCACCGCGCAGCGCCCAGGCGCTAGCTCGTCGCTCATGATTCCCACGTGGATGGTGACAGACGAGACGGAATGGTGAAGCGTGTGTGTCTCCGTCCTTCCCGCGCGCACCGATCGACTCTCGTCTCGTCTCCATATAGAACTTGTGTGGGCGGCTTGTACTACAAAACAGCAGCTGCCCCGGAGGCCTAGACTCTCGCGACCGTCATTCGCCCGGGCTGGACCGCCTCACGTGTTTTTTGACGGGTGCGCGTCATCGCATCTACACAGGTATGTATGGACAATTATTTGCGTAATGTTTGTCAACTACATCTTACATTGAGCACACCTTTGGACAAATCTCCGGCCCTGTGTGATCATCACACAATCGCGGGAGGGACAAGACTCGGCGGGACAGGCTAATCCACGGATGAGCCGATGGCGTCACACCCTTCTACTTCTTCCTCTTTTCCTTCACTGAACGAGGCTAGAGTCGCTTCGCCAGGTGTGGTTCATTCGATGGTCAGACGACGACGCGGCCAAGGGGGGAAATGCAGCGACTGCTTCCGCCACGATCGTGGCTACATGCCGGCTGTAATCGACATCGTATAGCCAGGTCTGATCAGGGCAGAAGAGGGCCAGCTCCACCCCCCATTCTGGCGCGGTCACGCCGAGGACCTCCCGGTTGTGTTGCAGCTGCGGCGCGGAGAAGTCAAGCCTTCGCACTTGGAGCCTGCAATGTGGAAGTTGGCGCTGCACCGCTGCAAGCCTGGGACCATCCTGTCGCCGTAGACGAAGCCACGGCTGGGCGAGGAGGCCCGCGGCATAGCTTCGTAGGAAGCGGTGGGCCTGTGCTCGGTCGTGGTAGATACGGGTCTCTGTCCGCCCAGCGTCAATGCCTCGATTCCACCTGCCGATATAGAAGTACGCGCCTGGGCGAGAGAAGTACTCCAGCCGTCGGGCGACTCGTGCATGCTTCTGTGGTGATATACATGAAGCGGTTCTCGAATCATCGTGACCGTAGAGACCTGCCCTTGGCCCGGCATCTGGAGCTCTTCGATAGTGGAGATAGGTCCGGAAGGCTTGGATGAAACCATCAAGAGTGAAGTGGACAGGCACGATGACCACCGACTTCATCCAAGGTCCAAACTTTTGAACCGCCATCTCCAGCCGAGCCAAATTTGCGCCAGTAATCCAGAACAACCTGCGCTCAAGGTAGTGCTGGGCAAAAAACGGTCGAGTGGTCTCTTCCCACTCCTTGCACACAAGACGGCAGGCACACACCTCTCGTCCTACCAGATAGTAAAAGACCATGCTGAGTATCTCGTATGGCAAGCGTGACAGGGATGCTGGAGAGGCTTTGCCTTGGGCCAAATTCCATGTGAGCATGCGGTACATGCTCTCCAAGTAAGTTCGTCGTTTCCGAACATGATTCCATCGTATGGCCTTCCGGTCCGTGTAATCGGCGTTGCGAAAATTACGAGGTTCCCTAAAAGCTGTAATCCGAGGTCCGTCTAGCATGATCTGTGCAGTCCAGCATTGACTGGACATCTGGTATCGAACGTGGGGATCTCGTCCGCGCATGGATTTGTGCTTGCCACGGAAGGCGCTGAGTGGCGTAGGTTTGATGTTTTGATCTTGTTCCTCGCCGGCGAACGAGTCTTCATGGACTGCCGCGACAGTGTATGGTGAGCTTCACATTTTGTCAGATGCGATGAACTGGTAGAAACATGTCGGGTCCGGGAGGCGACGAACATATAAACATATATATTTTTTGAACCACGACGACGACCACGGCATCGACAAGCTCCGATGGCGTTTGGCTGTGATGGCCACGTTGTGCTGCCGCTTGGCGGCTGCTATTAGGGGAATGATCGGCAGTCAGTCGTGCCGCGTTTGTCCAAGCTAGCATAAACCACGAACGACAGTTCCCATCTCGCATACGTGATCGTCACACAGAAACGCACAGTCGATCGGCAAGCATGTTGGTCTCACTCACAGTCGGCAAAGTCGATGCCGGAGTAGCTGTCCTCCTTACCGAAGACAAGCGCTTGGTAGGATCGCTCCATGTCCGATCGTCCCTGACAGCCTAGCTAATCAAGATCGCAACCGTCCTCAGATTGAATTTCCATCCATCCTCCTCCCGCCAGACATCCACTCCGGCAGCATCGTCGACATCAATGTCTCCCGCAATCAGCACGCCGAGCTCATCGCCGAGCAAAAGTTCGCCGCGCTACAGTCAGACATTCTCGGCGCATTCGGTTCGCGCTCGCCCTCTGCGCCTGTCCTACGCTGCCGCAATGCGACTCAGACCAGCATCGTCCTCGAATGGGACCCCGTCGATCTTGCGACCGCAGAGCTGCGCAGCCTGAGCCTATATCGTAACGGCACAAAGGCCGGTGTCATCCCAAAGGACAAGCTGAGCACGAAGATTAGTGGTCTTGCGCTGGATACGGACTACAATTTTCAGCTGGTCCTACGTACCAGTGCCGGTCAGTATGCTTCAGAGAAGATCACGGTCCGCACGCACAAGATGACGGACCTCACGGGCATCACCATCACCCCGGGTATCATGGCGCCGCAATTGAAAGACAGCTTGGCGGAGACGGTCAACCAAATCGGTGCAAAGATGATCGACACCGTCCGCATTGACACCACCCACTTCGTCTGTACGGACCCTCGCGGTCAGGCATGGGAGAAAGCCGTAGAGATGAACGTGCCCGTAGTGGTGCCAGATTGGCTCAAAGGTTGCGAAAGGGAAGGACGCATCGTCGGTGTCCGAGGATACTATCTCGACGCGGATCCCAAACTCCGTCAGATCGGCCCCACCACGACATCGTCGCAGCAGCGCGGCAGCGTCTCCAGCGTGGTCACTCGCGACGGCCCACGCATCGAGCATACTCCGCCTACCCCTGAACAGAGCCGCTCCGGCGGCGAGCGCGAAGGCAACACCTCGACCATCGAACCTCCCACGCCTCCGCCGAAGCCCGCGGGTGGGGCCTCAGCGTCGACGTCGACGACCTCGGTGAATAACGCCCAGGCCCTTCCCTCGCGGGGCGCCAAAGGTCTGACGCAGGATGAGAGTGATCTGGACAGCGATAAAGATGACAAGGATGATGAGGACGATGAGGATGAAGACTCGGACGACGCCTCGATTGTTGCGGCGGCGGCCAAAGCGAAAGCAGAGCGGCCTAGGCAAGCCTCGAAACCTGACGACGATGAAAATTTCGACGAGGTGGCGCTGTGAGGCCGAAGCGAGATCTTCTGAGCTGTTTACATTCGATAGATTATTTCCACATAATTTCGCGAGAGAGAAAAGTGACTTATATCTTGCCAATCTTTGGGGCCAGATTTCCCACCGCGTCGTGACACGACAGCCGTAAGCATCTCACGAAAGATGAATGCAACGAGGCCCCCCTCGACCTCTTCCCAATCACCCAATTAGACCACTCCTCAAACCAAGAGACCTCAAGCCTGTGTACAGTCTCTCCAGCTGATGGCCGACCCCACTCTGGAAACCGATCCCGGGAAACCTATTTCCATTGCTCCCTTCGTCGAGGGGTAACATCCTTCGTACAGGTGACATCCCCAGTCTGCTTCTCAACCGAGGACGACGACAGGCCAGCCACGAATGAGAGGGAAGATCCCATGGCGGCGCCGGAAGTCAAGCGACGTCGAACGACTCAATCTTCGACCACGACTGCGCCTGGAAAGAGATCCTGCGTCGACCTGGCCCCGTTGCCTGCTCTGCTCTCATTGAGGGAGGAGAGGGCGGAGGGTCTGGAGATGGAACATGTGGCGGAAGAGGAAAGAGGAAGAAATACTCTGTTCCAGCGGAGTAGGTTAGAGCGAGGGGAGTGTGACAATGCGAAGGTCTCGCGCTGGCTCTCCCTCCCTCTCTCCCTCCCTTCCTCCGGGCCCTCCCCCACTCGCACCGTAAGTGGGCTAGAGTTTGAAACGAGCGGATCCTTTCGAGATGTGAGAGAGTCTAAAATGAACGGATTGATTCTGTGTCGGTTGACGTGCCAGAATCAGATCTATAGGGAACTGCCCGACCGTGGTAGCGTCTTGTGAGAAGACTTGTTATTAGAGGGGAGGTCGCCGCTGTGCTGGTCTGTGAGCTGGAGATGGCAGGCACAAGGTTGCTATATGTCATGTCGTGAGTAGTTGAGTCTAGAGATTTTGGAGAAAGACGGCGTGTGCGTGGCATTTCGGAGATGGATTTACATATTTGCGCTGAGAATAACAAGGCAGGGGAGGGGATGAGGCTATCTTCTTCACATGTGACGCAGGTCTCATATGCTGGACTGGAACAATCATACCTAGGTATATATGCACCAACAGCGGTGATGAGCTGGAGCATGGGTAAGAACAGTCTGGGGAAACAAACCACGATACGACTGGAACGATGAAGTCGTAATGCTTCTCCTTGCTCGATGGGATAACGATGGGGATATAATGATTTTTTTCGGCTGTCTTTCATATTTCTTCTGCAAATAAGAGGCGCAAGATTTTTACATGACATGATCGGATAGACGACAAGAGAGGAAGCGCGGACCAACCTTAAGTGGTCGCGCCTCGATGCCGCTTTCCTCCAAAGGAATTAAATCCATTTCATTTTTCCAGCATACATCATACCCAGGTGAGCTTCGAGAGAACACTCCGGGAACACCGATTTCGTTCGTTTCGCTCGGGAATCTGTTTACAGCTTGGCAGCGGCGACCTTGTCGGCGGGAGCGGTGATCTCGTTGTAGAGGAGGCTGTGGGAAGAAGATGTCAGCGGTTGAGCTTCAAGTATCAAATATCATAGAATGGGGATAGTGTGAGTCTGGACGAGATAAGGGAAGGCAAAAAAAAAACTTACGAAGTCAAGAACTCGGCGTACTCCTCGCCGGTGACCTGGGTGGCAAAGTACTTGGCGGCGAGCTTGTACTTGTTGCCCTTGGGGCCCTTGCGCTCGAGCTCCTCGGCTTGCTGCTTGAGCAGGCTGAGGACGTACTGCTTGTCGACCTTCTTGCCCTCGGCGGTGGTGACGCCGTGCTTGACCCACTGCCACAGCTGGGAGCGGGAGACCTCGGCGGTGGCGGCGTCCTCCATCAAGAAGTTGATCGGGACACAGCCGACGCCACGGAGCCAGCCCTCCATGTAGCCGATACCGATGTTCAAGTTGACCTTGATACCGTTCTCGGTGATCTGACCGGGCACGTTCATGTTGAGCAGGTCGTTGGCGCTGACCTCGACCTCCTCGCGGCGGACGTGGAACTGGTTAGGGGTGGGCATGTGCTTGTTGAAGACCTCGGCGGCGATGGGAGCGAGGGCCGGGTGAGCGACCCAGGTACCGTCGTGGCCGGCGCGCACCTCACGGAGCTTGTCGGCGCGGACGCCGTCCATGGCCTTGTCGTTGGCGGCCTTGTCGTGCTTGATCGGGATCTGGGCGGCCATACCACCCATGGCGTGGACACCGCGACGGTGGCAGGTCTTGATGAGTAGGCGCACGTAGGCGTCCATGAAGGGTGAGGTCATGGTGACCTGGGATCGGTCGGGAAGGATGAATTGGCTGTTCTGACGGAATCGCTTGATGACGGAGAAGATGTAGTCCCATCGGCCGCAGTTGAGGCCGGAAGAGTGCTCACGGAGCTCGTAGATGATCTGTGTGGGGGAATCTGGTCAATCGCAAAGTTCTGAAAGGATGGTTATCGCTAGCATTCCATGATCTTACCTCGTCCATCTCGAACGCGGCGAGGATGGTCTCGATGAGGACAGTACCACGGATGGTACCGCGGCGCATGCCAATGTAGTCCTGAGCGAGGTTGAAGGCATCGTTCCACAGACGGGCCTCCAAGTGGCTCTCCATCTTGGGCAGGTAGAAGTATGGGCCGCGACCACGCTTGACCAACTCTTCGGCGTTGTTGAAGAAGTACAGGCCGAAGTCGAACAAGCTACCGGACATGGGCTCGCCGTCGACAACGAAGTGCTTCTCCTCCAAGTGCCATCCTCGAGGGCGGACGATGAGGGTGGGGAGGACGCGGTCGGTGCGGAGCTTGTACTCCTTCTCGCCCTGCTTGAAGTCGATCTGCTTGCGAATAGCATCGTAGAGGTTGACCTGACCGCCGATCATGTTGTCCCAGGTGGGCGCCGAGGCATCTGGAGAAGTACGTCAGTGAGCCGCCAAAGCAATCGAGTGTCAAAGTTCCCGCCCGAACTCACCCTCAAAGTCGGCCATGTAGGTCCAGACCTCCGCGTTCAAGGCGTTGACCACCATCTTCCTGTCGACCGGGCCGGTAATCTCCAATCGTCGGTCCTGGAGACCAGGAGCCGGCGGCGGACCCCGCCATGCGTCGTTCTCACGGATGTGCTTGGTCTCGGGAAGGAAGTCGAGGGAAGCGCCCTTGTCGAGCTCGGCCTGGCGGATCTGGCGACGCTCGAGCAGAGCCTTGCGGCGGGCGTTGAAGGTGCGGTGGAGGATGGCGAGGAAGACGGACGCTTCCTTGCTCAGGATCTTGCGGCTCTGGGGGTTGAGGCGGCCGAGGACGTTGACATCCTTGAGAACCTCAGACTCAATGACAGGAGTAGGAACCATGTTTGCGACTCGGGGTGGTTGGATGAGTGAGCGAGGTTGTGGGTGAAGAGAGGAAGTAGAGGAGGGAGGAGCAGAGAGAAAAAGAAAGCGGGACGGCGATCGTGAAGGTTGATATGTAAAAGCCCGGAGAGTCCAAGGCAGAGAGATGGATAAGATTGGAGAAGCGATGTGAGCTACGAGAGTGATTAACCGCGCTTCCACGACAAGCACGAGACAGACAGATGCGAGACCTCGACGATCACCCCGAGAGGAAACGAGTTGGAGCACCACACGCGCGCACACCTACAGCCATACAGTGCACTCATTGCATTCATTCATTGCATTCATTGCAAACTGTATGGTTCTACATTTCCTCCTACCCATCCACAATCATCACAGGCCCAACCATTGCGGCAATGCTCGGAATTTTTGGACAGGTCGGTGGAGTTGTCCCGGCCGGGTCATCACTTGGGGAAATGTGTATCTAGGGCAACACAGACAAGACCGACGTACCGATGGCGGGCAAGCAGCAGCAGCAGCAGCAAGCAGCAGGGAACGTTTAAAGCTCCCACCTGGACTGGACCATTGCCATAAAGCCGAGGATGCTTAAATCGCGGGCGGTTGTCGTCTTCTGGGGAACTTTTTTGCCCTTTGGCCCGCCACCCAATCGGCAATCAGTCTGATCTCTGCTGCTGCTCCATCGGCTTTGCGCCGGCTCTCGTCCGTGTCTGCCGCACAGACAAGACTGCCTACCTAGTACCTAGGTAGTACTCTTTCTGTACTCCACAACCTCCTCCATTTTTTCGTATATCATCATGACTGTTTCGTTTCACATGTCTGCTATGGGTATCACTCTACTTGCCGGTGCAGGTGCATTGTTATGACTGTTGTTCTTATGGTCGCTTGTGATGCTTGTCGGTGCTTGTGATAGACTCGCAATGTGTGCCGGTGGTCGATCCAGAATGTCTCAAGTGGTACAGTACTCTCTCACAATGCCATCGCATGTGGTTGTTCTCCGCCATGGATCTGGGGTAAACACACTGGCCTCCAGCTGTTTTCCGTTTCACTCTCTCGTCTCGGCGGGGGAACCTTAATCATCACGAGGTCATCACAGTCATTATCGTCAGCCGCTGCATGCACTTGACACAAAATCTAATCACTGTAAGTATCAGGCTCACGGGACCGCAGCTAAACCTGCGTACATCCATGTCATCACTTCCGTAAACGATCGGGGCCTTTCGACCGACATCGTCCTATAATGAGAATGACAATGACGATGACACCGTCTTGCGGATCGATCCAGATCGAGAGTATCCATGTCACCGAGTCCATCGTCGTCCCATAGCGTGTCTAGCAAGTAAAATTCGCCATGCGATACATTCATCACGTGCATGTAATGTACAACCTCACCCGGCGATCCGGAAGATTTCCCAATCCCGTTGATGGGAATATGGGCAGGGCGAGCCAACCGGGCTTGGCGCATCGGGCATTGGCACAAAGCAGTTGGAGAGAGAAGCCTGCAAAGCCGGTCAAAGCCCACACGATCGGTATGATCGCGGACTTCATTCGCTCCATCGTACGCCCTGTGCATGTCTTCCCAGATCTTTGTTTTCACACGATGATCATTCTTGACTGTGCGGCGTACATCTAGAAAAGTCCAGGCGTACGAGTTTCCTTCCCATGATCTATTTTGTGTGTCTGTCCTCCGCCGCTGCAGCCGCCATAGCCGTTTCAACTTCTTCTCTCTTCTCTCCATGTGAATCATTGCAAATGCTGTATATCGGGAATGCTCCTCTTACCCGCTCAAGTCTCGACCGGATGGTACGAATGTGACTTTACTTCCTGGAGATCGTTTACGCCCTGTATGTTATTCACTGCCATAGGGCGCGGATCAAATTCAAGCAAGCGGCGTTTTTACGTCCCCTGAGCGGCGGACGTGTGGAGGATTGATGGGAGGTGGAAGTCGAAACAGGCGGCTGCTGTGGTACGTGGACGATGACGATGTTCGCACACGCAAGAATGGCGACTGGTATCATCTGACAGAGTAGAGCCATGACGAAGTTGGACTATGTGTGTCGACGAGACGACAATAGAGCATTCGCCGATGTCCCTGCATCACATACATGACGTTGGAGTCGCTCGTGATTGATCGATCACAGACCGTTTGCACTTCTCATGACAGCTCCCTCAGTACGTCTCGGGGTTGAAAGAGAGTCCAATCGATTCTCTACGACGGAGATCAAGAATTGCATCAGCGAACATCCGGCTCCTTCTTCGCGCCATAGTTGGACCCAGCATCAACGTGCACATGGTGCCATCTGTGACGTTAACGATGTCGTCTCACCCTCGGATGACAATGAGCGCCAACGATGAAATGCAAATTGTGATTTTTCCTCGTTAATTGTCAAGCCTTAAACTCCACTACATCCCGAAGGCGGAAAATGTAACCGCACCATCGCCATAGAGAGAAAGTAGTCCGTGACCCTTTATGCATCCATCCGCTTCATCAAACCCATCGAGACAGCTGCAGACAAGACGAAATCAACGAGAAGTGGGCTTGGGCTTGGCCTGGGCACCCTTTGCGGCTTGCTTGCCGACGACACTACAACTCCCGTCAGTATATCTTCCGATGTGTATCTCACGAGATAGATATTCTAGCATTGGGGGAACTCACCGGCCGGTGGTGTGGGCAGCAGTCTTGGCCTTCTCGGCCTTTTTCGCGCTCTGTGCAGCGGCACGCTTCTCCTTGCCCTCCTTGATGGCTGCGACACGGGCGGCTGAACGGGCCTCAGGTCGCTGAGTGCGGCGCTCCTTGATCACATCGAGAGAGGCACCGACGACGGCACGCTGGGACTTGACTTGCTTGCGGCGGCGGGTCTTGGCTTGCTCCTGTGATAGGTGTTGGTCCAACTGTATCCATACTCATACGTGCTCTCCATCACGCCACGTCTAACATACCTCAGAGATACCCTTCCTTCGCTGTCTCCGGCACAGTACGGTCCAGGCGATACGGCGAGGGTTCTTGCGCTGGAGGAAAAGTGATTCTGACTTGCCGTTCTGGAAACGGAAGATCTTGCTGTCGGCGCGCACGAAGAGCTTACCCTACTCAGGGTGTCAGTATAGGCTCTTGTGACGGCATTCCTAGTCCCAAGCGCGACTCCGCTGGAATCTCCATCGATATGAATTTTCCTCCCAGGTTGTGCGGACGTGTCCTCCATGTGCAATCGCCCCAAAGTCCCTCATCCACCTCTTCCATGCACTTTCGCCAGCAGATGTCGCGCCAGGATTTATTCGAGTCAGTAATTGCGTACCTTGCCAGGGTAGATCTTCTGGCCAGAGAAGGTGTCTTCGTAGGTCCTCATTTTGGCGGTTGTGGTGTGCGATGGGTGTTGTGTTTCGGCTTCGTCGCCTTGAAGTCGTGAATTCACCTGGCGTGCGGCTGCTGATTACGGAATTTGTGGATAGCGGTGCGCATAGGCTTGGCATTCAGAAGCCGGGGACAACCCTAAGCCACGGAAGCCTTGACTCCTGTAACGATGTGAGAATTAACACCACCTGGGCACATGCAAATCAGATGAAGCTCTACATTGATATTGTGATGCTACTGGAGCAGGTATCTTGTCTTTGTACAGGGTCAGGTCACTTGTATACGAACAGGAGACAACCGTGGCGGATATCCGAATCTGTCGATGTGTCTGTCGATGTGTCTCGTACACACCAGCGGCGGGCTATTCACCGATGAACAAAATGACGACAGCCTATGTCAGTAATAAGCATTGTGGGCCAGACTGAACGACACCAGATTCCTAAAGGAGAGATTCTTCTATTCATGTGAATGCATGTGCTGTATGAGTTCACCACGGGCACATTGATGTCGCTTTTGCAATATGGAAGCACGCTTGAAATCGCACTATGTCCATACCCACCTAGATGCCAGATGAGTGGGTGGGGTTTCGCGTCTCGTTTAGACTTCTGATATCAGGTGCGTGACTACCAGCCATACAGCAGTCGCCGTTCTGACATATCTATCTTCATGAAAAGACCATGAAGACCTACCTATGTAGGTGGCTTAAGACGATGCGATCGCATATTATTATCTGAAGTTCAGAATGAGCTTGTGCATGCAGGTGTTCATTGATGCTCCTGTACCGGTAGGGTTGCGTCAATGGCTCGATTACAGTACAAAGGCTTTGGTGAAACGAGACAACACCTTATGGTGATACGTGATTCGTCTGGACAACTTTGCTTGTCGTTGCTTCGTCACTTTCAACTCTTGTGCTGTATCGTAGGCGGCTGTATCATTAGTAGGAACACCATGTTTCACGGAGTTGGGTAATTACATTTCTATCATTACTAGCACACCTACTGTAGGCCCCTCCAGGCCCTCCAGGCCCGTGTCAATGATACAATTGTACCTGGGTACCAAGGCACATTTCGCAGCACAGTGGTGTGCTAAGGAAAAGTGGGTTATTGCCTCAGGCAAGATTATTCCAGTTCCATGTTCATTCGGATGACGCGGCTCGGGAAAGTCCTCTGATGCCTCAGGCAAAATATTTCAGATCTCGTGGTTAGCTGGTTAACGCGGACAAAGGATATAAACAAACATGGATTCCACACCAGAAAAAAATCACAGCTTTGCCAAATACTTTTTGCACGGTAGAGGACAGTCGTCCAGTTCACACAATGGAAAAAAGCTTCAATAAAAACCTCAGCTTGCGCCAAAAAGAACATTCCGATACCGGGAATCGAACCCGGATCTACCCGGATCAGCGGTTTAGAGCGCATGAAAGCGGGTGATGCTAACCGGTACACCATATCGGATCGTGCCAGTTGCGTCTAAGATTGTATTTATATAGTTTCAGAACAGACGGTTAAGCCGTGTCGAACCCTACGCAATACTCCTACCTAGGTAACATTCGACCGCGTTAACGGAATGACCGCAGGTTCGTAATCATCTTGCCTGAGGCATCAAAAGTTGTCTCTCCGCAACTCACCTGCCGCCAAAGGATCACGAAGCTGCAAATGTTTCGCCTAAGGCTCTCACGATTCAGCGAACTGCGTTGCAAAGAATGGAATTCCCAAGGCTCGATGCTTCATGAACTTCTTCCAATGACAACCTTGGAATGTACTCAGGTTCTGTTTGTCCTCTAATCTAATCTTCTTCGAGGCATCAGTCAGGGCTGCACTGTGCACAGCTGCTACTTCGGACGAAACATTTCCTTTCTCTCATACTCTGATACAACCGAGACAGGCACATAGGCAAAAGACGTCATCGCACGTCTCGCCGACCTACCTTCCTAACATCAGCTCCGGAAAATGTTGTTCAGACGCCGAACGAATTATTGCCTTCTGTTTCGCCTCGGGCTGTACCTCAACGCGTCGAGGCATCGGCCGAGTGCTAATTGCTACATTCATATCAATGTTACTATTCTGAGATACCCTCCTGACTTATGTGTTGGGCTTTCAATCATCCGCGTTGACCAGTAGACCATGAATTCTTTTGCCTGAGGCAGAAGAGGGTTTTCCCATCCCAGGCGCGTTATCCAAGATGCCACAAGGTGTTTGCCTAAGGCATAACAATTCCTACTCCTGCCCATGTCCTCGGCTAGCTAAATTTGACCGATGCCTGTATTTGTTCTGGATTACTACAATTCGCTTTGGATTATGCATCAAGCTGATGATCACGAGTGAAGAAGACAAACAGATGGAGTGCGTGCTTCGTCTCCAGCTCCAGAGGAGTGCATTCTCCTTTTCCGGATGCAATTTTGAGGTCATCCTGAAAAAATTGAGAGTCGATTCGAGTGTGATGTCTTCTCATTTGCTTGACGATGAGGCCGTTTAATTGCACAACAGAGAGAGCTACTGAGCAACTTCACTGTCGCTTTAGAGGCCAGCCGTTGATGCTGTTATTTGCTCCGACTTTCTTGGGTGGCATATGACTGGTGTTGAAGGCGTTGGCGTATAGTCATAGGCTTCTCGTGTGCGTGACGTTCAGGCACGAGCCGAGTTGTAGGTCTTTTGATGTGTTTGGCCATTGACGGAGAGCAACTAACGATGGCCTGCATCCTTTCCTCCAGTCTCGATCCTCTCGTCTAGTGGACCGAATGAACGCCGGATCGGATTCTGGTGGCTCTGCCATTGCACACCAAATTTTCCAAATGGGGCTGAAGCACGACGTGGAAGGCAGATGGCAGAGCGAACTTGTGGTTTCCGATCTGTAACACATGGGCAGGGACTCAAGTCGCAACAGTCATACCCCTGCACATGTAAACAAGAAGAATATCGAGCCATCTTTGTGCCTTTACCAACTAGGAACGCATTCCAGACAATACCTGCAGTGAAAGTGAATGGCAGTCCTTGTTCTAACAAGTTTGGCATCTGTGTGGAGGTTCTTGTGTGCAAACCAGTGAAAGCAAATCAAATTCCGCTGTCAAGATGGCTGTACCAGCAATCTGCGAGGTATTAAACAGGCGCAGGTGACGCCCAAGTCAACTTTGATCTTGCATCCACAGAACATTTTTCAATATCACACCATGTCGGTCGACAAGTCCAAGTTTACCTCGCGCCCGTCCACCTTGGCGCCTTTGCTTGAAGAAGATGAATCAGCTTCCAGATCGCCAAAAGGAGTCCACTTAGGGAAGATTCAACCGACGCCTTATGTTACCCAAACTTCTGATGCGCCTCCCTCGCCGAAAATACGACATTATTCTCCCGAAGAAATTGATTTTTGGGATGCAAAGTACGAAGAAGCCCGCACACTGTACGATGACGGAGAATACTACGAAACCATCGCGATGCTCGAAGATCTCCAAAAAGATCCGGAATGCCCACGAATTGTCCAAATCCGTTTCTTGGTATTGATGAGTGAATGTTTTTATGACTATGACGCGGTAGAGTCATGTGTAAGATGCTATTCTCTTTTCAAGAAACAGAAGCTGGATCACTGATCATAAGTAGCTCCACAGTGCAGAGCAACTTTGGGACATTGCTCGCCGGCTCAATCCCGAAGGACACAGCGCCGACGTTGATAAGGCGATGGCGATTGCGCGATTAGATCTCGATAACACGCGCAAAACAGTCTCAGAAGTGTTTGCAGCTGCGCAGATCGCGGACGAAGATGACAACGATGACAATTTCAAATTCAACCAATGGGCAGGAGCGGAACGAAAGGAAGATCGACGCCAGAGCCTTGGTATCGACCTTAAACGCCTCGCAACGATAGCGCAAGTGACCTACATCGAGTCGAGGCAGGCGGATCGCATCAAAGCTCTTCGTAAAGTCGTGGAGAAGACGGAGGTCGACCGCAATGACGCTGATCAACAACAGAAAGAGTTGCTTCGGCGCGTGCACGATCTCGAGGAACTCGCCAAGAATTACCGGAGCGACATGGCTGCCGCGACCAAGCAGAGCAGTGACCTGACTGTTTTCAAGGAACTGCTGACTGCTGTCAAGGAGCTGATGGCTGCCGTAACTAAAGAGCGTAGCAGTGACATGGCTTTAGTCAAGGAACTGCTCTCCGCCATGGCCAAGGAGCGCAGTAGTGACATGGCTATCGTCAAGGAACTTCTAGCTGCCACGACCAAGCAGAGCGGCACTGTCAAGCAAAGCCGGGGCAACATGATCACGGCGACTCGGGAAACAATAGACCCTGAAGCGATGCAGGCCCTGAAAGACGAGATTACGACTCTGAAGCAGGAGCTTGAGAACCTCCGCCCTATCAAGCGCTTCCTGGACAACCACTATGCTCACAGAAATACTTCGACAAAGGACAAATCTGAATCGGGGATTACGGAGGGTTCTCGGTCGTCTCGACAGGATGATCAGACCGGTTCCAGCATCCCACGCCACGACAGCCAGTCGCGTCTCCTGGACGTCTTTAAACCAGACACTGGCGCATCACAGGACCAGCTGAAGAATCGCCACTCAGATTCGACGCTCCGGACCGCGCGCGACATGAGCCACAAGCTGTTCAGAAAGTTGCCCGGCAGCAAGACCTCGCTGCACCATTGACCAGTACAGTGTGTAGTATGAAATGTGCGTCGCGGGATGTGAGACGTGATTGAGGATTTCGCCTGGTGAACTTTGGACAGTTGTATCATTGATCGTTAGAAAACCTTGGAATGCATGTCTCCCGTCAAACCTTGGAATTGGACCGACACTATCATGACTCACCAGATACCGCTTCTTGCAGATGACTAAAAAGATATCCGGGCGCCCGCTTCCTAAGTTTATTGTCATACAGTAATGTCCTGTCCCATTGACCGCTCAGGCGATGTCTTTATCACAGAGACACCATGGGGCGATGTTGTATTGATTCTACCCAGGTAGGTTTGAAAGCTCCTGTCCCTAGGTAGTGTTCGTTGAATGCCCAGAGCTCTATATAGATTCCTTTGCTATAAAGCAGCCTAAGTTTTTGGCCCGTACGAACAGAGCGACGACCGTCCTACTGTGAAGTGACGTATGTAGATGGAGCGAGTTGTGAGGTTCTGGGCGTTGCCAGCGACAATGAATACTGTGCGCGCTCATCCAACGAAAGGCACTTCCAACCTAATCAAACATGCATTCTCTGGCGTGCCTGTGTTATCATCATTGTAAGGAATTATTTGCGCGACTGCCGAGGTCAGTGTCTGTGTCAGTAAAGTTTGTGCGCCTGGGTGTCAACTGTCGCGAGAATAATAAGGCCGAAGGCGGGAATCGGGCGGCGGAAACAACCGGGCAATTGCGTTGTCACGATGGAAGTATTGGCCCGAAGGATAATCAGTGAGATGGACGAGCACGATCACTACCGGGTAACGACTACGGTTGTGCTCGGAAGAACATAGCACAACATCCGTGTTAACGACAGCTACGGGCTTTGCATCAGTGGACGGGCCTCCGTTTCAGCGATGGGTGAAGATTGCAGCAAAAGTAATGTGTCCATCGTCATATCGAAGGATTTTTCAATCACCGGAGGCTTTCCACGTGTAGATTGGGCGAGGAGGAGAATGCGGTATCTGGAGATGGAATGCCCGATGAAAGATCACAATCAGCGATGATGGATGTGAAGCGTCATCCGCCGCGACAGGGCCAGATATCTCTGCGAGTTTGTACGGAGTCTCATCTTATCTCTGTGCAGTGTTTTGCTGTTATCATTGAACATAAGATGCACTCCATCGTCATCAGGGTGTATTTCCACTCTGTTGCACTGACGATGAGGCAAACCCTCATATCGCCGAGCGACAACGCGTGTGTTTGGTGAGAAGCTCCGATTTTGCCCCGCGTCCTCCGAAGTCATCCAGACCCCGCTGCCCACCAGAGTGCTCAACATTTTCCATAAACAAACAAGTCATCTTAGTTATCCATTCTCGTTCTTCTCTTCCTCCTCTTCTTTCAAACCACTTCTCAACACATCAACAGTGCGTGAGATTCCTTCAAACCCAGAAGCGGTACCTTTTGGGCGTCCATCATTGACTCTTCTCAGATACTTAGCCCATAGAAACTCGCAATCATGGTCAAGGTGAGTCGAAGAAACAACAGGTTCAGCCGACTGGACTGGGCCATGAGAACCTTTCGGACGAGTAATGAGCTGACATTGATCCTCTCCAGGTCGGTATCAACGGATTTGGCCGTATCGGCCGTATCGTTTTCCGCAACGCGTATGTCACCAACCCATCCCTGTGTCTGATGCGGCAGGCCATTGGCAAGAGCATGTGAACGGAGGCTGATGATTATTAGTGTTCTTCACGATGACGTTGAGATCGTTGCTGTCAACGACCCCTTCATCGAGCCTGAGTACGCTGTAAGTGGCTTCCTGGCGTCTGATGTCGAGGAATCGATTTCAATGCCAACCCGATAACAACCTCTTGCTGCGATGCTGACAACATATAGGCCTACATGCTGAAGTACGACTCCACCCACGGTGTCTTCGACGGAGAGATCAAGGTCGAGGGCAACGACCTCGTCGTCAACGGCAAGAAGGTTCGCTTCTACGCCGAGCGCGACCCCTCCAACATCCCATGGGCCGAGACTGGCGCCTACTACGTCGTTGAGTCCACCGGTGTCTTCACCACCACCGAGAAGGCCTCTGCCCACTTGAAGGGTGGCGCCAAGAAGGTTGTCATCTCCGCTCCTTCCGCCGATGCCCCCATGTTCGTCATGGGTGTCAACAACAAGGAGTACAAGTCCGACATCCCTGTCATCTCCAACGCCTCTTGCACAACCAACTGCTTGGCTCCTCTCGCCAAGGTCATCCACGACAAGTACACTCTTGTTGAGGGTCTGATGACCACCATCCACTCTTACACTGCCACCCAGAAGACCGTTGATGGTCCCTCCGGCAAGGACTGGCGTGGTGGCCGTACTGCGGCCCAGAACATCATCCCATCATCCACCGGTGCCGCCAAGGCTGTCGGCAAGGTCATTCCTGAGTTGAACGGCAAGCTTACCGGCATGTCCATGCGTGTCCCCACCGCCAACGTCTCCGTCGTCGACCTCACCTGCCGCATCGAGAAGGGTGCTAGCTACGACGAGATCAAGCAGACCATCAAGGATGCCGCCAACGGCGAGCTCAAGGGTAAGCAGAGAATCATGGTTGATGGTGCACGAATCGCAATGCTAACCTCTTCATACAGGCATTCTCGCTTACACCGAGGATGACATTGTCTCCAGCGACTTGAACGGCAACCCCCACAGCTCCATCTTCGACGCCAAGGCCGGTATTTCGCTCAACAACAACTTCGTCAAGCTTGTCAGCTGGTACGACAACGAGTGGGGATACTCCCGCCGTGTCCTCGACCTCCTGGTCTACATTGCCGGTGTTGACGGTAGCGCCTGAAGCCAGGACAAGCCACGATTGTAGGCGGTTCCGGTGAGGACAGCGCGTTTGAAGGAAAAAAAGAAAACACAAAAACAAAACAAAATTAAGCAATGGAAAAATGTGCCGAATTTGTTGTTCTCACGCTTTTGTGGAATGGATCCATTGAGTTACTCTTTTTCTCCTTGGCCCGCGCGACGTCTACGGTCGTTGGTTGGCTAACGAGTGAGTTGGCAATGAGGTCTGATGATCTATCAATAGCTTGTGCAATGAATAGACTGATGAGTTCAAACAAATGTTGCCGCGTGATCTGCTTCGTGGTGATGGACGTTCGTAAAATCGTTCAAAGGTGTCCAGATGGTCTTTTGTACAGCACGGGCTGTCGGCGGAAAACTTCCGCGAACGGCTGGTCGTCTGTGCCCCGAACGAACCTAACCCTCGTGTTCACATGGACTCGCGGTACATTCTTCTTGCCCTTGATTATCACTCGAGTGCGCATGTCTTGTATGGTGTAGAAATAATACAAGAGAGGCTGTTTGCGTAGGGCGAATCTCTTCGATGGGAAACCGTAGACAGTCGATTGTGACACTGGAATCTCCCGTGAACCGTGATAAGAGTGGACGACCGTGAAATATGAACCGCGCTTGCTGAACGCTCTAATCCGTAGTACGAATTGGAACATTCATCGCCTGGATCAATCTATCGTACACACAGTACACCGTTTCTAAAGCGATGGGGTCTCATGATGATCAGTCTTCCCACAACCTTGATTTCCAAACGCCGCTGCGCACTTCAGGGAGATACATAGTTGATGCTGCAGGCAAGCGGGTGAAGCTCGCATCGGTCAATTGGGTGAGCATCTCAATCTTCACTTTTTGACTGATATGAAGCTGACCAAGGATGGGAAGTACGGCGCCTCGGACATTTATTTTGTGGCCGGAGGTCTCGACTTCCGCCACCGAACGGAGATCGCTGCAACCATCAAGAGGCTCGGTTTCAACAGTGTACGGTTTCCATACTCGGATGAACTCGTTGTGAGGAACCCAGTGATACCGCCAGAGTTGCTTTCTGCCAATCTAGATTTACTGGATGCATATGACTTGAATCACAGCGATGCTTCCCGCCACAAGGACAAGGTCCACGGACCCCGGGCTATGGATGTGTTCGTAGCATGTGTCGAGGCGATGACAGATGCTGGATTAATGGTCATTGTCAACGATCACATCACAAATGCACAATGGTAAGCTATTATAGAGATGTAGCATCAAAGAGTGAACGATCTAACAAATACAGGTGCGACGGGTACGCTGCGACATGTCATCGATCGCTAATCATATTGAATCTGACTCGCTGAAAGATTCGACTTCTCGGATTCTATGTGGAAGAATGACCACATGGGCCCCCTTTGCAGGGTTCCCCAGACGACGAGCCAGTGGATCGACAACTGGAAGACTATCATGAAGCCATTCATCAGCAATCCGCTCGTGATCGGTGAGATTCTACCGACTTGTGATAGTCTTGCATCCTATCATTCTAACACAGCTAGGCGCTGATCTGAGAAACGAGCCACGCGGAATATACTGCCCATGGTCGACTTGGGCACCTGCAGCAGAGGAAGCCAGCGAGGCTCTTCTCGAAATGCAACCCAATTGGCTCATGTTTGTTGAAGGCATCGCTTCTGCCAATGACTGTTCCGGCGCTCACAAGCGACCCATCAAACTCTCCATCCCCGATCGCGTGGTATACAGCAGCCATGTATACGTGAGTGCCATTTAGTGTGGTATATGGGTAAAATTTATCTCTGACCTTCGGTATAGGCATGGAGTGGTTGGGGCAAGATCCGCTGGGATGGACCTCAGAAATACTCCAAGCGGACATACGAATCATTCTCCGAAGCTATGGATCACAAATGGTAAGTTTCTTCAAGACTTTGCAGAATCCAGGCTGATATTCCGACTGTAGGGGATTTCTTTTGAACGACAACATCGCGCCTGTGTGGGCTGGAGAGTTTGGCATCTCAAGTGGCGCGGACGCTGGCGATCGTAACTACTGGTAAGCCCTTCCACGTGATAACTTTTTGCACCCAAACTGAAGCATCATTCGCAAAGGACAAACCTGATGAGATATCTTCGTGAGAAAGACGTCGACTTCGGATACTGGGCTCTGAACCCGCGCCAACCAGATCTATACGAGCATGAGTGCTATGGACTTCTTTGTGATGACTGGGAAACGCCGAGGGAAGGTGATTTTCGTCTTCCTGATCTCCAGGATCTTGCGCAAGGACGATGATGAAGAACCTGTCTTTGTAGAGGTCAACCGTTTTATAGTACAGTGTCTACATGCGGAGTCACAGGAGAGCTTGACAAGCCACATTCATACAAGTTCAATTGGCGATGACTCGGCAGATGCGATGCACAGTATCATCACGCTGTCCATGGATTGATCTGTGAATTATTAATCAGGACGTCGGAGCAACTTGAAGCATCGGCCAATAGCAAAGCTCCGACCCGAACGCTCGGACGCTCGGGCTGTGGTATCCCGATGGCACCACGCAGCATCTTTTCCAGCCATAAACGTCTGCTCGCCGAGCCGACGACAATGACTTGATCTAGATGGAATCAGACGGTCGCGAATGGAATAGACCCTTTTAGAAATGCACAGATGCGCGTGAATACTATGATTTGCGTGACGCGGAATCGAAATTTTAGGAGTCCACTGATGACGCGAACTAGATTTTCAGTGATGTAATGCGAAGTACTCAAAGCTTCGTTGGGAATCAGTGCTTGTAGAAACAACGACCAGGTACATGCACCCATAAGTATAAAGATCACTGACTGCACATATCACTCAGTCCGCTCGTCCAAGATCATTACCTTCAACAAAAATTCCTTTAGTCCAGCTCGCAAGACGAAACTTCAAACACCATGTCAAGTCCTGCCCTACCACAGGCCATGAAGGCATGGCAATACCATGGCTCTTCTGGTGGTATTGAGAAGGATTTGCAATTGAATACAGCCGCAGCGCTACCCAAGCCCAAGGCGAAACAGCATCTGGTGAAGGTCCTCCATGCCGCAATCAATCCCGTGGACTACAAACTTGCCGAGATTGGCTTCGTGGCAAAGGTTGCCGCATCACTACCTGCGACTCCTGCCGTCGATTTCGTCGGAACCGTCGTCAAGCCAGCTGCCGGCTCATCGGTCAAAGCTGGTGAGATAGTATACGGCTTTGCGGGAACATCACCCTTTTCGGGAGGCGCGCTCGCCGAATATGCCTTCGCCGACGAGAGTGCTGTGGTACCGATTCCCGGAGGCGTGGAACCCGTCAAGTTCGCCGGTATTCCGATCGCTGGAATTACAGCATATCAATCAATCGTACCTTTTGCTAAGGCCGGCAAGAACAACCTTTTCATCAATGGCGGCTCCGGTGGCACTGGCATATACGCAATCCAAATCGCAAAGGCGACAGGGTGGAATGTTACGACCTCTTGCTCGACAGCCAATGTCGACCTCTGCCGCGAACTCGGCGCCGACCGCGTGATCGACTACAAGAAGGAAGATGTCCTTACCGCGCTCAAAGCCAGCGAGCACAAGTTCGACCATGTGGTCGACAATGTATCTCACGACAACGCACTTTATCTGAAGTCCCATGAATATACAACTCCCGAAGCTACCTTTGCGGCCGTGGGCGGCGAAATCTCCGCCAAAGCAGTGGGTGGCGTGCTGCGCAACAATCTTCTCCCGGGCATTCTCGGAGGTGGAAAGAGAAAGTTCAAAATGATTGTTCTGACGCGCAACCAAGAAGATCTCACGCAAGTCGCCAAACTCATCCAGGAGGGCAAAGTGAAGTCAATTTACACGCAGTATGCCTTTGAAGACGCACCCAAAGCATTCGAGAAGCTGAAGACTGGACGGGCGCGAGGAAAGATCGTGATCGATGTCGCGTCACAGGATGCACCAAAGGCGGAAAATGTGTGACCATTGCGAGATTGACTACACTGTCGCAAGAAGACAATGCGATATTTCTGTCAGCATCGGGGCGGCCCCTCCGCTGTGTGAATGAATGAATGTGTGAGCCATAGGAGGATCATAGGCAAATACCCGGACTAATCGAGCGTTGGATATGTATTGAAATCAGGTTAAAAATAATGATTTACCCATTTTTTTCTTACACAGCGAAGTGGAAGCTCAACATCAAGCTCAATTATTTACTATTACAATGCGTCCCTGAGAACCAGACTTGGTGGAGGATGACATCTAGCATTTCGTGATAGAGCTCTCTGTTCGTAGCTTCAGCTATACGTAATGAGTGCATATACAGCTCACTCCTGCTCTCGGAAAAAAAAAAATCTTGTAAGCTCCAAATTTATCGAAAGCTTACAAGCTCCGATATTAGTATTGCTTTGAGCTTTATCAGGATCTCGTCGAGATCAGGAAGGCAAAACATGGTACATTAAGGCTGTGATATGGAGAGCATCATTAACCTCGACTACCAAGCACAGGTCTATACTGTGATCACGGAGATCGTCGCAGTGGTGATAGGAGAGGGCTGGGCTCGACTAACAATGTCCAATGGCACGAGCTTATGAAGTCATCAAACTACCCGAGGGCCAAAATCCCAGGGGAACTTAACGCGGCCCATTCCGAGGCATTGGTGGTGAGTCCATACGGAGGCGGCATGATTGATCGTAGAACACATCGCCACTGTATTGAACAGATGAATTCATCACCGGAGTGAATCATCGATTGTAGTGGGAGTGTGTGATGTGTTGTTGCGAATAGTGTCCACACGATGGAGTTGTCTCAGATTATGTGTGAAAAGTAAAGCTGCCCTGTGATTGGTCAAGCCGGGCCGCTGTAAATTGGCATTTCCCTCTCAACACCTGCACCTACAGCTATCGTGTATCTTCATCCGGTAACATCACCTTCAAATATTCGCTCAAATTGCCGCGTGCACCTCGATCCGGTCAGCCTGACTGATCCACACGTCTAGCCGAGACACCAATCACATCTCCACTCTCGTCGACCTCTCCGTCAACATGTACCGAACCACTCCACTCCTTCGTCAAATCTCTTCCGCCAGCCGGACAGCATCTGCCTCCATCGCCCGCAACCAGACCTCATTGCAACAGGTCCGATGCGCACATGCTATTTCCAACCCGACCCTCGCAAACATTGAGAAGAGATGGGAGGCCATGCCGCCGCAGGAGCAGGCTGATCTGTGGATGGCCCTGCGCGACCGCATGAAGGCCAACTGGAACGAACTTACCGTACAGGAGAAGAAGGCCGGTATGTGTTTGACACTTCTGCATTGCGGTTTAGACCTCTCGCTTTGAATGGGGTGATGTTGCTCTCAAAGTTTCCAATTTGGATACTTCCATTTGAGCCCCGAAACCACCCCGGACGCGTCTTGGGATAAGTCTTCCACGACGGCAAGTTGCTAACACAGTGTTCTTCTAGCATACTACATTGCTTTCGGCGCCCACGGTCCTCGTGCTCAGACTCCTCCTGGTGAGAACACCAAGGTCTTCATCTACACCATGATCGGTGTTGCCGCGGCCGGTGGAATCTTCTTCGGCACTCGCAGCTTCGCTCGCGGCGAGCCACGAACCATGACCAAGGAGTGGCAAGAGGCCACCAACGAATACTTCAAAGAAAACAACATCGAGAACATCACCGGCGTCAGCTCCGAGGTAAGCTCATAGATGTCTCACCTTACTGAGAACCTTACTGACCTCTGCTATCGGGATACGTTGGTGTCGGCCAAGTACAGTCAAAGCCGGCGAAGGAATAAGCTCGCGGTCGATTCAGCAGCATGGGGAGATGATCCCACGATGACCCAGCCGGATTTTGACAACAGGGGTACCCGAGAAGGAGAAACGCTTCGAACCGACCTTTGCGGAGTCTATGAACCCTGTGGTCTCGATCCTTGCTACACTGTTGCATACATATACCTTCCTCCTTTCCCCAAATTCCCGTTTCCCTTTGTTTCTTGTAGAATTGAGCTTGTGAGCGTGCAGCAGCGGCTGGGAGAGCATACAAGCTCACGGAGGCGAAGATGGTGTGGCATTGTATCTTACAGTCCTCAGGCGTATCAATGTACAAAGGAAAGCAAAGATATTATGACAAAAGCGTGTCTTTCAACCATTGATGAAGCTCCAGTCTTGCAACGGTACGAGGAATGACTGTGACAACTCAGCACGACATGCAAACATTGCACGCAACGGTTGAACATCACAGATTTTCGCCCGTGGAACATTCAAGACCATCAGGACACATTCAAAGTGGGACGAAAGAGTCCATTCCAGAAGGCGAATGTGTGAAAATCTATGGAAAAATGACTGACGAGACGCAAATAGATATCAGCTTTGTAGCGCAGCACTCGGAGATGAGCATGCGCATTCATGTTGCGCTTACGGAGCTATACCCATTAATCTCGACGACGATGACGACGATGGTGCAGTTTCAAGGTATCTCGAAGAAATGTCGATGACAGAGAGGAACCCAAGCATCTCGGGCGCACGCGCAACAACTGTGCAAGCTTTTGAGTATCGAGCAGAAACTGGTGAAGCGCTGCAGAGCTGATGAAACTGAAGCGCCACGGCGCATGCACGATCTCGAGGAACCATTGTCAACAACAGTGGTGCAATTGTCGAGAAAAGCACGGTTGACATGGCACATCAACGATGGGACCTCACGGCGCCCCAGTGGATTCGTGAAAGCTGTCATGAAGAGCAGTTGTGGTTTAGAGGAGTTGGCGCACTCAGGGAATTTCCGACCCATGAAACTGTAATGTGGTTCAATGGCAGTACGTTGGCGCGTGAATAACGTATGTCTTCGTTCAAGGATCGAAGGCCACAAAGCAAAAGAGCACAATCCTCAAGACAGGTAGAAGGACCTGACAATCCGAGTCGTACAGGTTGTGAGGTTCTCCAAATAACCTTGGAAGGAGTTCATATCATGGATACGAGGCCAACTACATGAATAATGAAGATGGCATCTGATGTCGTGATTGGCACAATGAATTCAGATCGCATCAGTGGTGACGTCCATGTGGTCACTAGGGTTGCCATTGGCCTTGGGGCAAGGCTGATTGCGGCGAACGACACTCAATGCCGAAGCTATGTGACATCTTGACTTTTCCACGTTGAACACATGCGCTGGACTCACTATCAGTCTTGAGCAACAATGAATTCAATACGACCGCCACTGATCGATGCGGCGCTGAGATCCTGCATACGGTCGCGTCCGTCTCCTGCATTCCGCAACGCGCTCCAACGAAGAGCTCTCTCGAATGGCGGCCGACCTCCGAGCGGCCCAATGCGGCCAGGTGATATGGGAAAGAATCAAATCTGGGCCCCGAAGACGCGAATCGCTGTTGGAATTGTTTTCATTGGAACATTGATCTATTCCATGGTGTGTAGAAGTTTCGCTCTCGCAGTGACGCTTTCACAGAATTTATCGACTGACCATACCACTAGGTGACTGGCGACAAGGGCTCTTCATTACCACCTCTTCCGCCAGACTCAACGCCCCGGTCTGGGCAGCAGCTCGATGGGCCGAGTATCGCAGAGCGTGATTCCCTGAGCAAGCGTGAGTCCGGTGTAACGCAGTCCTCACCAATGCGCCTACGAATGGAACAGTTTATCCTGAAGAAGCAAGAAGAGATTGTGCGAGCATTGGAAGCGGTGGATGGCAAACGCTTTGTTGCAGACAAGTGGGATAGACCAAATGGTGGTGGTGGTATCTCGTGTGTCCTCCAGGACGGCAATGTCTTTGAAAAAGCTGGAGTCAATATTTCAGTTGTCTATGGCACCCTCCCTCGCGCCGCTATCGCCAAGATGCGCGTCAACCACAAAGCACTCGATCCGGATGTCGACAGCCTGGAGTTCTTCGCTGCCGGACTCTCGCTTGTGCTGCACCCTCATAATCCCATGGCGCCTACCGTTCATCTGAACTATCGCTATTTCGAAACCGCAAACTCGGACGGCTCGACGAATGCATGGTGGTTTGGTGGTGGAACCGACCTCACACCCTCGTACCTCTTTGACGAAGACGCCATCCACTTCCACCGGACAGTCAAGGATGCCTGCGACGCACACGACCGTGCCTACTATCCACGATTCAAGAAATGGTGCGACGAGTACTTCTACATCCCTCATCGAGGCGAGAGCCGAGGCGTTGGCGGCATGTTCTTCGACGACCTCGATGAAACCGAGAAGGACGCCGAGTCGCTGTTCTCATTCGTCCAGACGAGCCTGTCGGCGTTCTTGCCGTCATATCTCCCGATTCTGCAACGCCGTAAAGACATGCCATACACCGACCGCGAAAAGCAATGGCAACAGCTGAGACGAGGTCGATATGTGGAGTTCAACCTTGTGCACGATCGCGGCACTGCTTTTGGACTCAACACGCCTGGTGCTCGTGTCGAGAGCATTCTCATGAGTTTGCCGCTGACCGCTCGGTGGCAATACCAGCATGAGCCGGAGAAGAGCAGCCGCGAGGAGCGTCTGATGTCTGTTCTTAGAAAACCTGTAGAATGGGTGTAGAAATATTGATAAACACAGACAAATTTGTACATTTGGACATGGTTGTCTCTACACGAGCTGATACTTTGCAAGTCATATCGGGTGACACGCGTTCGAAGATCTCACATGGGAAAACGATCTGCACTGGATCATGGGCTGTATTGATACATGATTGTTTCTTCCCGCCCGACACTCACTCTGCTTTGCGAACCTGGCTGACCTCGTTGCTCTTGCTTGATCGAAGCCTGCGTGGCTGACGGGGAATTGGTGGTCTCAGCCACTACATCTGCACGGAATTCCAGGCCATGAGTGCACTATCCATTGCGAATGGCCTGAATGCACGTAACATCTCGCAAACGAAGCTGCAGTGCGTCATGATCGTTCTTCGTCATCTTTCCGCGATGGATCAGGTCCGGCAAGTTCTGGATCGCATGCGGACCGCTGCATTGCAAGGTTGTTTGAGGGCGCCCTCGGTCGTACCTTGAAGCGACCAACATATTGATCTCGCTTTTCACATGTGTCTGCAATCAGTCATGATTTCATCCTGCGGAAGCCCGAATCGCTAGTGCCCTCTCTGCTAGAACGCCGAAATCAAGTTCGCGGTGGTTTGATGGCATGTATTCTCCCGAGGCAATACAATGCACCTTCATGTTGGGGTGGTAGTTGAGTCCATTCAATAGCTTCGGGGTGATCAGGAAATACTGGCTGGTGTGCTCAGCGCATGCGATCTCAACCATGCGAGAGTGGACTAATCTGTTCAATCATGTCAGCATACCATGCAATTGGAGACACTTGTCTTTGTGTTCGATGTTTACCTTTCATTACGTGGGTCCATGCCTTGGTTGATCTCGTCAACGACACGGAAAGGGGCTCGCGCCAGACTCTGCATCGCCATAAGGTAGTAGATCGTAGATACTGCCCGCTCACCACCAGATTGGCGATGTGAGTCGAGGACGCTGAGCGTCTCGGATTCGCTGATAGAATTTTGATCAGCTTGAGAACAGTGTACGTCAATCAGAAGATACTTACCGAAACTTGACCTTGATGTGAATGGCCCACTTGTCAAAGTCCTCATCCTTGTGCACAGCAACTTCGCCAACACAGTGCATGCGAGCGAAGTTTTCGCCGAACGCTTCAGAAATTTGATGAATGAGCTTGTCTAGCTCAGGCTCCCACTGTTGTCTGATCTCGAGAATATTCGTTTGGAGTTCTTCCAGGGAAGATGTGAGCTCGTTGACCTTGGCTCTTCGCTGTTCAATCTTGACCGCTCGTTGCTCGAATTCTTTAATGACGTTGCCGCTACCACCTTGAAGCATCTCGAGCTGCGCCTGGAGCGAGTGCAATTCAAGTTCAAGCTTTTCGGGTTCCCAACGGGAAACTTCTTCCTGAACTTCTCTCTCATCAGCAGTGAGTTCAACGGCGACGCTCCGGCAAACATCAGCTTTGACCTTGCCGCGTGCGAGTGCATCTTCCTCTGCCTTGCGCGCTTCCCCGAGTTCTTTCTCCTTTGCGTCGAGAAGTGCAATTTCTTGTGAATGCCGCGCTTTCAGCTGCTCGGTATCAGATTGAGCTTCAATCCGCATGATCTCGATTTCCAAGAGCTGGATTTGTCGGTCCCGCACGGTGTCAAGCAACCTGGCATAATCAATGGCATGCTGGCATTTTTCGAGGCAATGGGTATCAGCTTCCAGCGTTATTGCAAGTTGGCGATCGCGGCTCCCACGCTGTTGCTCTAGAGCATTCTCCAATTTCTCTTCTGTGTTCTTGAGCTTCACAGGCAAACCTGCAAACATGGTATGCTGTGTTTGTTTAGCGCCTTTCTCATCGACGAGGGTTTCGAGATCGCGCTTCAACTGCCTAAAATTATTGTTCAGCTGGTTCACATCGTCTTGCAGTTCTTTGATTTGTGCCTCAATCTCCGAAATGTCTGAGCGGGCTTCGGCGATACGTCGACTTAGACCTTGCTCGACCTGGACATCCACGGGTGCGTCGGTCAAGAGTCGAGCCTTCTTGACGAAATTTGTACGTTGACTGACACCTGCATCGCCGTACTCGCGACGTCGATTGATCATGTTATGCTGTCCACCAGCTACCCACGAGGAGATGCTCGTTCGCTTGATAGCATCATTCTGCGCGCTGGTGAGCTCCTTTCTGCTGTAGCCAGTTTTTTCAATAAAACGATTATCGCACAGCATTGCGATGACAGCATCAGGTCCGTCTATCATATCTTTGATCCAACATTCCAAGCCCGTTTCGCGAAGTTGTTCCTCTGTCATTGGCGATCGGAAGTTTGCTAGAGGCTGCAGAATTGATCGCAAGTTCACATCAGTAAGCGACATGTTCGTATAGACTTGTGATGCAAGAAGTTTGAAGTCATTCATGTTGGTCACCGTCAGAGCCATCAACTCAGAGCGTGCGATGATGGTCTCTACCACATCTGCATGCTGTGGATCTTTGACTGAGCATTCGAGCATAGGTGGCCCGTAGACTTCACCTGTGAATTTGGATCTGTTCTGTTGAACCCATCTCCATGCCTTTGCTGTGTCACGGGATGCGTTTTCAAGCTTGCTCATTTGTCGGCCAGCTTGCGATTGCAAGTGCTGAGACTCGCTTTCGGCCTGGGAGATGATCGTCTCGCGTTGTTGCTGCTGAATCCCAAGACCTCGTATTTGTTCGTTCTTGTCTCTTTTCAAATCTTCGCAGTGCCGAATCTGCTCTTTCTTAGTCCGTATTTGCTCGTTGAAATCGGCCGGGTCAAAAGGTGCGGGTGGATTTGCTAAGCTCAGCTGAATTTGTCGTATATCTTTCTGACGTTCAATGACAACCGACTTGGCTTTCTTATTGCTTTCTCTTTCCGCAATGATTCGATTATCACACTCTTCCATCAACGCTGACGAGGTGTGCAGCTCCTGTAACTTGTCTGCTGCAGCCTTCTCAGCACGCTCAATGATACGATTGCGCTGGGCCACTTGAGCTACAATAGCTGCAGTGTAGGCGGCCTTCTGATTTGCAGCTTCGAGTGATGGTGCAATGCTACGTTCCAATCGCTGTAGTTCCTTGTGTACCTCTTTCCGATGTAATCGAGCCTCCTTATGGCGATTGACAAGCTGGTTGTATTCTGGGAACGGCTTCAGTTTCTCGTACAATGTGGCCTTTTCTTGCAGCACAGTCCTCTCTCGTAAGCGTCCAACCTCCCCTTCTTGCGACCTTTGACGATCTTCCATAGCTTTCAATTGCTCAGCAGAGCTCACTCGCTCAGCTTCTTTCTGCTTGCTCTCCCTGCTCATAGCTATGAGTTCATTGTGCCATACAGTCATCTGATCAGGGGCGACAGCTCTCTGAGTCTGTGCCAGCAAATCGACCGGCGACAGCGCGGCAAACTCCACAACTCGATCTTGTGGCAAAAATTGGCAAAGGTTGTCGATTTGTATTGAGAATTTCCGTGCAAGTTCCTGTACGGCTTTCTTCGTCGAAGCTTTGCGATCGATAAAGAATGAGCACTTGCCATCTTCCTTGTTGATACGTAGAGTAATTATAGGATTGTCGCCTTGTCGGTTCGCGTCTGCTGCCAATTCAATCTCTACTTCCGCTCTCTTTGCGCCATGCTTGACGAATTCCACCACATCCTTTGCCCTTCCCAGTAATGCTGTTGCTCCACCTAAACCCAAGCAAATCGCGCAGACTAGAGTGCTCTTTCCCGTTCCGTTGGGCCCGATGACCATGTTGAGATTTGGGCCGCATTGAAACTCGGCTTTGGTGTAAGTGACGAAGTTCGTGAGAGCAACGCGTACGATCGAGCCTGGCTGGAACTTGGTCTGCCTACGGGCATCCACACGGTGGACCTGTCGGCGGCTCTGGGGCGACCGGCGAAAAGTGTCAGGGAGGACTGCTTGATTTGATGACTACATGCAACTTCAGCTCCTATGTCGTTTTAAATTTTGAAGCTACCTACCTCGCCATCATCTCCGTCTGTGGGCTCGACATCGAGCCTGGCACGTTTGCTTTGTAGAGTGTCTTCGTCTTCATCCTCTTCGAAGGAAAAGACACTCGAAGCAGGCGTCACTGACTGGTCGTCTCGTCGGCGGGCTGGTGTGACCCGCTCAGCCATATCAACTCTACCAGTCAAGTTCGCGTAGGTCGGAATGTATGATGATCATGAACTTGTCGAAGATCGTCACAGCTGCCCGCGAGCGCGCTTTGACGCGTCGTCGCGCACAAATTCCATTGATTTTAGACTTGAAATGGCCTAGCGTCACTGATAATTGCCGAATTCAGCCTGAGGCCTGAGCGATATCAACCTATGTACAATATTGGTATCTTGATTTCTCGTTCGCAGATCCTCTTTCCTCTCCTTGCATAGTTGGACAGATGTTGCGGGCTTCTTTTTTCTAGCAGGATTAATTGCAACGTGTATCGCATATGCAGTCTTGTTATCTTGTGTGAATTCGGGGCAACTGGTAGAGAAGATGTTCTGAGAAGAACCAAGCCGCAAGATGCAACAGCGTTTTCGCGGAGAACGACGGCTCCTGAGATTGATTTTCTGCATTTAAGATGAACGACTCGTCGAAAAAGCGCAAGGTGCCCGCCGAGAAGCCTACAAATCGAAAAGATCAATTAAACAAGAGGCCCAAAGTCGACCACCGAGCCAAACAACGAGATGCCCGTACGCTCTCCACACAGGTCTCGTCGAAAGCGTTCAAAAATGGCGAGCTTGATGTCGACAAATTTGTCAAGGCTCGCGAATATGAGATTCGTGCGCTGGAAGAGGGTATGTCCCGAAGCAAGTTATCGGGTAATAAGAGAGCCTTCCAGCAGGTGCCAAAAGATCTACGTCGGCGCACGGCCAGTCATAATGTAAAACGAGTGCCCAAACGGTTACGAGTGAAAGCGAAGCGCGAGGTACGCTGGTTGCAACAATTGATCCTCGATCTCTTAATAACAGCATGTATAGATGCTCGAGGACAGTACACCGACAGTGACGGCACGAAGGCGGAAGCCCACAAGGCATATGCGATTGCGGCTCGAGACAGTCAAAAGGTTACGCGCCCTTAATTCTACCAAGAAAGGTAAAGCTGCGACCAAAAACAGTGAGAGCAGAGATGCAACCACAGTGTCGGGCCAAGAAACGGGCCTATCAGGCAATGTAGAGATCGCCACAAAGAACACAGTCCGAAAGCCCAGGTTGAAAAAAGCCAGCCTTGCCTCACCACCTGTAGCCAAGGCGAAATTTAGGAAGCGACAAGTTCATAAATCATGGCTTCCCACACACATGTTTCACACAAAACGAGCACATATGAGCTTGCCTAGTCAGCCGTTGTGGAGGTTTGCGATCCCGCTGAGCCCGACAATCAAGTGTTATCGACCGACACACCGATCTGCTAATGAGCGTGGCGCGATCGCCTGGGATACGAGCTATTTTGCGACCATCGGCTTGCAAGGTCAGCAGCGAAGTATTGATGGGCTTCTCAGAGCCATGGGTGTTTTAGACATGGGAGATGATTGCCGGAGCCGTCGGTGGCACAAAGGGACTCGAGTCTGGGAGGGATATTTACGTGAGCGTGAGGACCAACACAAACTTATCGCCCCTGCTACGGTAATATGGGCAGTAGAAACTTCAGATCCAAAGCAGCAGAAAGCGCGCCCGACAGAAGAGCACACTCGCAAGGTACTCCTCAGAATCCATCCTTCTGCGTTCATGCAGACGTGGGAAGAATTGCTACGTCTTTCCAAAGTGGCAAAGCCACAAGTCAAGGTCGAAGATTTGCGATTCGAAATTGGCAGCATCGAGATCACGGGTCCCGGCGCAACCGAGACGCTTCTCGGCGCGTTGTGGCCTACAAAGACTCATGATGCCAGCAAAGCGACACGCACTGCGGAAGATGTTTGGAACTCGCTCAACGGCTTGAATAATCCCTCAATGTTGCCGCAGAATGCGCTGCTAGCCTTTGACATACAGGATCCGCGTTTGCACCATCCACCTCGTACCATCAAACCACCAACATCTAGCGAGCATGAGCTGGACTTGTTGAACGTTCTTGCGGAATGGCCGGTGGACGAAACACACGAGGCAGCGAAAATTTTCGATCGTCAAGCACGGCTGAAAGCTTCCTCATCACTGCCGAGTCAAAAAGCCATCAACCGTCGCCGAACTTTGGCAGTCCCTGGTCAATATCCAGAAAGTCTAGTAAATGACCCATCGATCCCTACCTTACTATACTGCGTTGCCGACTCTGCCAAATCGCCCGCCAAGTGGGTTGTACTATTACCTTGGAGGTGCGTGCTGCCTGTGTGGTACAGCATAATGTACTATCCGCTATCGAGCGGTGGACAACCGCGCTTTGGCGGTCTTCAGCAAATTCGACAGCTCGCGTTTGAAGCTGGTCGCCCATGGTTCCCTGCAGACTTCCCAGGGACAGCTGCGGGTATGACATGGGAGTCATCAGAGCGGAAACGGCGGGAGGATGAGTGGCGCCGAAGACCAAAGAGTAAGAGAACCAACTGGGATGCCGTGGATCTCGGCGAAGGACGTCGAGGTGAGATCGGAATTGGCTGGGCGTGCGATTGGGAAAGATTGGTGCTCGGTGCGCCAACGATCAGGTCCGATAGCAATCCAGGCGACACCTCGCCCGAAGGTGCGACTGCTGCCGACCAGCCCAGAGAATCATCAACAAGCCCAAAATTCATCCAAGTGCCTCGAGACGACGTAAAAGGTCCCCTGCCGCTCAATGCTCTTGCAGCAGTCAGCATCATCCTCACAAATCGCGGCGTCCCTGAGACCTGCGCACGCATATATCGTTTGCCGACCTCACCATTCCATCGCAAGCAATGGCTATCACTACGAACATCCGGCGGCAAGCAACAAAACCGTGCTCGAATAGGCATTCCCAGGATCGCCGACGACACTCCCCCTCACATCGCGCAACAGCGCCTCGCACAGAGTCTGCTGGCGCCGATCCGGCCAGGTCAATGCGATTATCCGACTTGTCCCGGTGAAGAAGATCTCATCGGATTCGTGACCAGCGGAAATTTCAACCTGGGCGAAGGAAAAGGTACCGGGGTTGGGAATATCCTGCTATCCAAAATTCCTCGTGCGTTGAAGGGAGAGGCTGAGATCGATCGTTGGTGTGTGGTCAGGAATGCGGGCGAGAGTATTGGACGGCTTGCGCAGTGGACGTTTGCATCATGACGGCGAGATGGACAAGACGAAATCTTCGTGACTTGCAAACACTGCTCTGGGATGCAAATATGCCGGGATGAACGAGGGGAGCTGTCCTGTGCATCTACAACTTCGTCAGTGTACGAGCATTTTGATGTCTCAGCCTAAGGGATATACTGATACGTGCTCGTCATCTTTGCTTCATAGACAGGACGTAGAAAGCGCAATGCATAGTGTGAATTTCCGGTTGTCAGGACTGGTCCGTGATTGTCGAAATGCTGCAGAACAGACTTACCTGTCGGGCGTCGAGGACCATCGAGGCATGTTGATGGTTGCTCAGCCATTTGAGACCGCAGGAAGATTCCGTCTACTTAAAGCGGCAATTACCGTGTCATTTCACATTCGCTTGTACACCTGGGCAGCGGAGAAAGCTTCTCTCTGTACAGGTCGGCGGCATCATCATGCCGCGACAATTCTGATTGATTTCATTCATTCTTAAACGATAGTACTCCTCTTCCGAGGGGGGCTGGTTCCAGCAGTTCGTCGTCAGTCATGATTCACGTTGATACAGTAGAGGCCGTCTCAAAACGGCGGCAGCAACGCTGTCCCAATGCTCGCTAAAAATTCGCATGATTCGGGCAAAATCCCGGAAATTTGGGTCATCCCCCACCACCACGTCCTCCTCCTTCTGATTGATCTTGTCCTCATTGGCCTCCGCCTCCGCGATCAGATCGGCCTTCTCCGCCGCGACCGCGCCCACGGCCCCGTCCTCCTCGTCCACCACCGCGGCCACCACGGAAGTGTCCTCCGCCCCCGCCACCACCACGACGAGCGCCGCCGCCTCGTCGGTTGACGGAGTAATCGATGCGGATCAAGGGCTTCTCGACCCATTCCACACCCTCCAATCCCAACCGCTTTTTCTCTTCCGCCGGCAATCGCCACGCTTGGAAAACACCCATGAGGGCCTCGTTCTCGTTGCCAGATGTAGCTCCTGACGCCCCGCCACGACCAACATCCCGCAGCTCATGCACCCAGGCGCGGACGTACTCGCCGCCCTTGTCGTAGTCGACGGCCTGCTTGACGGGGTTGAAGACGCGGGCCTCGCCGCGTGGATCATTGCCGACGCCGGCGTTGTACTGCCAGTTGCCCCAGTTGGATGAGGCATCATAGTCGATGAGGTTCATCTCATACCATTCGGCGCCCAGGCGCCAGTCGATGCTGAGGTGTTTAGCTAGGTAGGAAGCGACATTCTGGCGAGCGCGGTTGGAGGTCCAGCCGGTGACGTAGAGCTCGCGCTGGGCGGCGTCAATGAGACCGGTGCCGGTGGTGCCGTTGAGGAATCGCTCGACGGCAGCCTTGGTGTCGATGTCGTTGGAACCGCCGCGGTTCTTCTTACCAGTCGAGTTAGTGTAAGGACTGCTGATGAAGTTCTTGCCTTGTGTTTGTTGACGATAGCCGTCGACGTAGAAGAGGCGTGGGCCAAACTTCATCGCGCATAGACGCATGTCTGGAAAGATTGTTAGCTTCTGGGTGTGATGGTAGGAAGTATCGCGGATAAGCGTCTCACAGTCTCTCCAGAGCAACTCAAAGCGGATGCCATATGTTCCACGGTTCTCGCCCTTTCCGTACCCATAAGCACCCTTGCCGAGATCCGTTTTCGCGTCTTCGAACTCCATCAATCTCCAGTGAATCTGACGAGCGGTGATGCTTCCCAAGGCCAACCAGGCAGATAATTTGGTGCTGAAATCAGATCCGAGGAGCCCGTTGCGCGTCTCTTTATAGTCCGTCATCGCACCAATGTTGATAAGATGGCGAATGCGGTCAAGGCCGGGCTTAGAGCCGCCTTGGAACTCATACGTCTTGAAATCACCTTGCTTCTGCGGTGGATTAGGAATCTTCTCGCTCGCGTCTAATGGGTTATATAGCGCTTGAAGAATTCCTTCGAGACTGTCGGGAATCTCGAAGGGTGCTGCTTGAGACGGGATGTTGTCAGGAAGAGCAGGGAGCTTGTCGGGCCTTGGGAGCTCTTTGCGCGGCGCATCTCGGAGGGGCTCAACTGTTTTGCGGAAATTTGTGAACACATCGGAAATCTGTCTTGGGTTCTGGTCCGGAAGATCTCGACTATGCGCGCTTGTCAGCTTGAAAACTTGCTGGATAACAGGCTACCTGACATTTCCGTCACACTCACTCATCGATGTAGTATTTCTCGTCAACGAACATCCTCAACGGCTTGTTCTCCTTGTCGAGAATACTTTTGACGGCGTCTTCCTCGACCTTCTCCTCCCACGTAGGTTCCGAGGTCATCCACACTTCCGAGATCTCGGCGTCTTTGCTGTCGCGGTAGCCTTCAATGAGAGACTGCACCGCATCCTTGACGCTGCCAACTCGCAAGATCAATCCACTCTGATTCTGCTCGAGATCTTGCTTCAAATCCCATACACTCTCGGCCAGGAACTTGGCTCGAAGTTTGCCGCATCGCCAAAAGCGTCCCGTGGCACTACGAGCTTCTGGGTATGGCGATTTTTCGCCTGGCTGCAGGAAGCCCGAGACTTCAACTTGCTCCGCTGGGAATACAAACACCGGCAGGACGTGGGTGAACGGCCTTTGAGATTGGCTGTTCAAGCGGGAAATCTCGTGAAAGACTGGGTTGTCCGCCAGGCGCAAGTCCCGGCGGAGTAGATAGACGAGGACCCGTTGCATGTTGATGGACGGATCGAGACGAACCTACTTGCTCTCCGCCTGGCGACCGAGGCTTGATGCGATTGAGTGTTGCAACGTTGGCGACTGATGGTGGAGATGTTCTCCACGTATGTCTTGGGTGTGATCGGATCGTAATCCGGAGGCTTTGGGGATCTGGGTATATGTAGAATGATGGAAAAGCGCGTTCTTGCAAGATGTATCGAGGAGGAACTCGCGCGTGAGGGATCACCCTAAGAGGTGTTTCAAATTGCCTCCGTGATGCGATTACGAGCCATCCGATCCAGGGATCTCGGAGGCGGACTCTGACCCGTCCATCCTCCTACCGACTAAAATTTCTCCCATGGCTAAGGTGGGTTGGAGGACTATAGATTCATCTGTTTTCGGAGATCTGTGATGCCCCGAAATGACAAGCGGACCAGTGATGGTACAAGGATAATTCGGCCGAATCTTATCATCACACCCTCAAGAGGTCCTCCAGGCGCGTGGCCGCGGCAGAATGTCATCGTGGTGGCAGAGAAATCGTCCAGTCCGACGAAGCTATTGGATGTATGCCGCAGATCCTAGCAGCGATTCACATGGCCGAGGTGGGAGGTGGGCACCACGGGCATCTGGGGAATGTAACGGCATCGGAGACATGAATCAAGGGACCATGAGGATGCGCGGGTTCATGACAAGTGAATGCGCGCATCGCGATCTCACGGATGGGTGACGATCGGAGGGCGGAGGAGTGCGCATCAAGACGTGCGCGGCTTGGCTGGCCGTACACGATGACGAGCAACAACTTCCACCATCGGCTCCCTAGTCTCGCGGACCACTCCAGGGCTGTTTTGGCCACGGTCTACTGTTCATCGTGGGGAATCGGTGTGATGCGTGGTGATGGACTCGCCGCTGAGTACAATAAGCAAACGAGATCGTATCGTGAGATCTCTCGCCTGTGTGATTCATGGATTCAAGTCAGATCGAAGATGGTGTCGCGCAAGGTGAGCCGCAATTGCTAGTCCGACCCTGCCGACGGATCGCGTTGATGGATTCATAGATACAGCACATCCACAGTGCTTCCTAAGTGGGTATGGACGACTGCGACTTCAGCCGACGATGGAGCAGTTTGATATCTGATAACTATTTGAATTCCTTCTCCTCGCACCTCTCACACAAGACGCGTATCCGCGCTTCCTACCCACCTGGCAATCATCAATGAGCGCAACAGTCGGCTAAATCAAAAGTCAGGTGGCGAACGGTGACGTAACGGATCAGCAAGCGTTCGCGAATTCACCTCTATTTCCGGCACAGCGAAGAAGAGGACCACCTGTGCACCCGAAAGTGGGACAGTACAGTTCAGGACAGTTCGTGGACTATAGCAGAGGATAACGAGCAGCGACACAATTTCCGAGGCTGCGGCAAACATTCGAATTCAGATGGCATTGATCCCTAAATGGGCAAATGCTTTACCGGATGCTCCGATATGCAAAGGTCAGCGGCTTCATGCGGTACGGATGGGGACAGCGCAAATGATGAGCACCGCACATGATGAGAACATGGACAGGGTTTTCTGCTTCGAACCTGCGCTATTCCCGCCTGCTCCTGAGGAAATGAACGTCGATCGTGCTTGCAATGAAGTCTCGCTGCGTGCATCGGCACTAGGTACAGCAGGTATGCATAGACACGCTTCAGTAGCGTTGGCATACATATCCTGTCACCGTGGATGGTATCCCAGCTTCTGGAGATAGCCGTATACCAGACAGAGGTGAGGTGTCCATCGGTGCAGGTGGGCGTCCCCACTGCATACGTTTTGTGTCGGGCATGACAACGAGCTGACCATTTATCAGATAAATGATTTGTGATATTCCTAACGTCGCTGCGATGGAATTCCTCCGTGGCTTGAAGTCGTACATATCTACCCTGATTCGTCATGGAACAAAGGAGACGTGAAGGACCCTGCATGGAGGAAGAATTTCGAATACAGATGGCAGTGGACCCCTAAACAGGATCTAATCAGGACGATCGTGTTTGTGGAGGTCTGTCTGAAGTCCGACCGCCCGCCCAGCTTCCGACGATAGCACGTGAATAGGCAGCTCTTTAAGCACCCCGTAGACTTCCAAAGTTGACGGGACTTGATCGATTAGTAGGGCTGGAATGCTGGAGTGCCCCATCAAGGGACCCTTGGACCGTCACGACCGTGTTGGCTGCTGCTGCTGCTGGCTGCTGCTGCCGCTGCTGCAGGTCGGGATATGCTAGCGAAAGTGCCCGGTGCGTGAGGAGACATCCCGTAGATCCATGGATACCTAGGTATCAGGTATTAGGGGGTCCTTTTGAGGCGCGATCGGCTGCGGGCCATGAACCTTGAGATCGGTCGGAATTGCAGTCACTACCGCCTCGCTAGCTGGGGAAGAACATCACACCGGAATGCAGTTCCAGGACACTATCTGATCTCTCGGCACGACCTCATTATTGTACATATGTCGTCACGTCACTCAGCGACATAGTCCGACCCTTCGCAATCTCCTCCTGCCGCTCATCATGATAGTCGCCTGGGTAGCATGGACTTTTCACATGCATGAAGGGATCCACATTGTCGTGATGCATGCCTGTTTCTGCATTGCATCTGCTCCGAAACTCTATGCGATGTCAACAAGAAAGGTAAAACGCACGGCTCATGCGACGACCACGAGGCGGAAAGCCCTTTGGAGATCGTGGCATCCAGCAAATAACTGCCGTGATCGGGGATTTACCCGAGAAACAAAGAAATCCTCACCCACTCACTGCCACACCCCACCTGGACACCCTCCTTCTCAGAAAAATGAGACGCTTGGGTTTGCGATTTGAAATGTCGCAGCTTAGCTCCAGCTAGAAATCTTCCTCCAGCTGCTTCTCATCATCATCATCATCATCATCGTCGTCGTCGTCGTCGTCGTCGTCGTCGTCACTCGCATCAGCGTCATCGTTACCTACAAACAACCAGGTCAAGGTCGTCCTCATCATCTTCATCAGATCAACGAGCCCGCCCAGCAGGGATCAGCAGTTCCTAGTGCACCCACTCACTCGCTTCGCTTCCACTTTCTTATATTCACGACATCCACATCCTCCTGCACGATCACTTTCCGCACATGCCCACTTTAGCCGAGACCCCCTTCTTGCTCAATCCCCTCCTGCAGATATTCAGTAGCAAGCGAATCAGAAGGGACGGCCGCGTGGCTACTCGTCACCTTGCGAGCCGGGGAGTCTTTCAATGACATTTATGGTCACAATCTTACGGCTAGACCACGGCGACGGAGGATTAAATTCGACCGCGTGCGAGGAAAGCTTCAATCGAGGAGACGAAGTTGAGGTGAGTCTGCTGAAGTGGCACATCTTCTGATCCATCGCTGCATTGAACTGGGTAAACAGTCTGGAAAAGTATCTCCCCACCATCCTTGTTAGTCCCTGTCTCTCCGCCTGTCGAGCACACGCAGTACAAGTGAAACACGACAGGATCCATTACGGTAGATTGTCATCGGTAGCTTTTTGTCACTTGGAATCAATATCGTATACATTTTCCTTATTTCCGATTCTGAAAACCCCCAGGTGATAAATTTCGTTCGATAGCAATACATTGACATGACCTCATTACATTTCCTTTCATTCGCCTTCCATTTCCCTTGATCATCTCCAGTTTCGTAATCTCAAGTACAGAAGATCATGACGCTTATAGGTCACTCTTGGTGTTGCGCACAAACGGCTGAAGTCGCTCCTTGAGGTCCTTCACGGTCAGCTCCTCGCCGTTCCAAGCTTCCTGGACACCGTTCAGGGTCTTCGGTGGGATGAGCACGTTGCGAGGAATGTGAATGACACCGTCCTGTGCAACAATGTCCTGGAGACCCACGGTCGTGAAAGCATTGATCCTAATCGTGATGAAGCCGCCGAGGCGACCGACATCGACGGACAAGGTGCGGTCCTCCAAAAGAGTTGGGAGGTCGACGTGGAAGTGTCCGACCTCCATGTCGTCCACTTTGGAAGAGTCAGCCTTGTAGTAGGCATCAGAGTAAAGGGTGTGGTCGGGCACGACGTGGTACTCGAGCAGAGCCTTGAGGTACTTGGCACCGTGCTCCGAGAACAGGAAGGCGTTGATGCGAGGGCCGAGCTTCTTGAATGCCCAATTGTTCGGAGCGAAGAGGGTGCCGCCGTTGTGGTCAGTGGTGTTCAACTTCTCCAGGAGTCCGGTCTTGGCAAGACCGAGCTCGAGAGTGCTGAATTCACCCGGGAGGAATTCAATGATCTTGAGTCCTGGCGGCGGTGGTAAGATGATGGAGTCAACACCGTGGATGACACCGTTCGTGCCGAAGATGTTCACAGCGACGATGCGGCTCTGCCAGTTGACTGTCAATCCTCGAAGGCCGAGACGGAAGGTCAAACGCTGGAGATCAGAACCAGATCCGAGGTGCTCGCCAACTAAAAGAGTCGGAGCAGTGTGGGTGTGCAGGACGCGGATAGCAGAGTAAGCTTCCGGGAGCACGTGGTATTGCAAGATGGCAAGGAGCTGCTCCTTGCTCGGCTTGGGTGCTTTCTCGGGGATCTTCTCAAATGCCTTATTGGTAGGAGCGAAGACGGTGACATTGGCCTTAGTGCTGTTGAGAGTCGCGACAAGCTCTGGGTACTCGTCGATCAGCTTGGTAAAAGTGGTGGTATACTCGCTGCCAGCGATCAATTGATAGACAGTCAAGTTAGGCCCGTGTGGGTGTCCTGGGTGGTGAGGCTTGCGGTGGCACGGGGGCTTGTGACCTGGAGGAGGGTGGTGAGGCGGGCCATGGTGAGGCGGCTTTTGAATTGTCAGCAGGATTGTTCACTTCTTGGAACAGGGAAGGAAGGGATACTGACAGGGCCTTCATGCTCTCCAAGAGATGCGAGAGAACCAGCACTCTCGATCCACTCGGAAAAGGCATCGGTGGTTTGTTTGATCTCGGTCTCGACGTTCTTGTAGTTCTTGCTGGTCTGCTCATAGGCACTGTGTACAACACTTTTGGCAGACTCGGAGATGTGCGACCAAGCGCTCTTCACCTTATTGCTCGATTCCTCAAAGATATCCTCGACCTCGGAGAGGAGGTGGTCTTTGGCGGAGTTGGCCTCATTGAACCAGTCCTTTGCACCCGAGTGACGATCCTCAATGGCGAGCTCGCCGAAGACCTGTTCGGTGGGGACTACGATAGCGGCGCTGAGAGCCGCGAGCGGCACGAGATGGTAGACCTTCATGATGACTTTCCAATGACAATTTATTGCTCGCACAATGGTGGTCGATAGGAACGAGAGGAGAATGAAATAGAATGAGTGAAATGCTGTAGCCTAAGTACATGTATATCCAGGATCCTGCACAGGTACCAGGATCTACCACACAATCACGCCTTGTCGAAGGGAGGCGTTCGTACGCGTAGCTATAACGTCAGCCTGCTGCAATTCAATGACGATGCCAGGGCGTGGCGCTTACTAATGGCCGGATCTGACAGAAGTTGCTGCAAGCGTCTGTGTGGAGCAGACGATCTAAAATGCCGAAAGACCGCTGCGACTTTTGACACTTCAGTCGGATCGGAACTCCGGAAGTGCCGTCCTCCGCCGCCTTCAATTCATCAGATTATCGCACAATTTATGCATTTTGATGACAACCTTGGAACAGCATCTACCTAGGTAAGTAGGATGTACAATAATGACCCGCTCCTTCTCCCATTGTATGGCATCTCATTTTCATGGCCTATCACTTTCCACGTGCGGGTCATAAAGAGAAGCTGTTGAGAGGACGCCCATCGTTGCACGCCGCTCAGTGAGACTTTGAAACGGTCTGGACATGGCATATGGAAGAGTGAGCTGTCCATTTGCCTTCTTATAGCACCCCCGTTCTTCGCATCGGCAAAGCAACACGTTCTCCAACGTAAAAGTTTTCCTGCTCGCAGGCCGTGAGCCAGGGAATATATGCTCACCTCGTACCGCGGTCAATCGACGTACTATCTAAACGCGGACTCCAGAGTTGGACATGAGGGAGGATTGCCGAAATGCGCAGAGCAGAGCCGCCTCTCTGATGGGCAGCATGCTGGATTGACATGTGAACGTCAAGAATTCGTCCCCGGTCTGATATCATTTTGGTTGTTTGTCGTGCGCGCAACATGCCCAGTGGAACTCGTTCCTCAGAGTAATAGAAATCGTTGCTCCGCAGAAGCCACTCACATGTACGTCAGGCCCGAAGGCTATGACGATGTAGCGGGGGCGTTTCCAGGAACAAGCGGGGGAAGTTGGGTGCGTAATGCTTTGGCCACCTGGGCAGTCATGAATGTTTCCAACCTTGTAACCTTAGGTTGCGCAGATGCTACAAATCACAAACAAGCATTTCGCTGCCGAACGCTTGAACAGATTCAAGCCACGTGCCAAGGCAAAGCCGACATAGGTAGGTAGCGGGTACTGTATATTCTCTCGATTCATCATCAATTCAGCATGTGAGAGCCTTCAACAAAGCTCATCGGGCTGTGGATTTGGGACTGTATAGACGTCAAGTCTGATCCGTCTGCCGTGCTCCCAAACCTGCAAGAATATCACGATCGGGCATCAATATGTCTTTTACATTTAAAGCGACTCGCCTACTCTTTTGTTCGACATATCCGTTGGCGCTCTGTTGATGCTGTAACCTTCTGACCTCCGCGGTCTTGATTCCATAAGTGTAGCGCTGATTTGGGTAGTGATATGTCAGGTCAGCCAGGTCTAGATTGCATTGTGAATTGCTGAGTGTACTGGACGCGTCAGCGTAACTCAATTCGCTCATGCTGCAGTGCGCAGCGCATATTGGATGCGGCAATTGTCGAGCAAGCGCCGAACATCTGACGACCAACAGCTCCAACAGCTAGTCGTGCAACAACAAACTACAGACGCCTCCATGCGCCGCCGAAGATCCGCGTTGTCGCGGCCTGACGTCAACACCGGTCACTCCGGTCGACGGCATCGATGGATCGAGATCTGAATATGTTTATAAAATATGGATTGTTTCTGCTCGAATTCAGGGAGGTGTTTAAAGCTTCTCGTTCAGCATCCTTGTCCTCCGATCCTTCTCATCCAGCAATCTCATCCTTTGTCAACGGGACGAATCGCAAACCACAATGGCCCTCAGCAAGCATATCGATCCAGATGAGTTGCTCAGCACGTTGAGCGAGCACCCTCATCACAAGCATCGTGCACATAACCGCTCCGCAGTCTCGCACCAAACGCCATACAGCACTCGCTACAACGCTCAGACCGAGATCTCAAAGTACAAAATCCCTCACGATGGAGCTCCCGCCGATGCGGTGCACCAGATGCTCAAGGATGAATTGGATCTTGATGGACGCCCAAACTTGAACCTGGCTAGCTTCGTCGGCACGTACATGGAGAAAGAGGGCAAGTCAAATCGCGGGAGAGGACGCTCCGGCAAGTACGGGTCTAACATACTCGGACAGGCGAGCAATTGATGATCGAGAACCTCAGCAAGAATATGAGTACGTGACCCTTGATTCTGGGAAGACGCCACCAGGGCAACACTCCTGACATCTTGACACATAGGCGATGCTGATGAGTACCCGGCAATGATGCAAATGCACACTCGCTGCATTTCCATTCTGGCAAGTCCAATCCTACGACGGATGCATCCGGAAAGAACAGAATTAACAGACTCGAGCAGGCTCACCTTTGGGGTGTACAAAAGGGCGAGAAGGCCATCGGGTCGGCCACCACTGGATCTTCCGAGGCCATTCACCTCGGTGGTCTTGCAATGAAGCGTCGATGGCAGGAGAAGCGTCAGGCAGCTGGCAAGGATACTAGCAAGCCGAACATTATTATGGGTGCAAACGCCCAAGTCGCCTTGGAGGTGAGTCCGACCTATACAGACATTTGAGAGGGATATGGCAGTGCAACAAGGGAAACTGATTTGCCTTTTTCTGTCAATCAGAAATTCGCTCGATACTTCGAGGTCGAAGCAAGGATTCTTCCTGTTTCTGAGAAGTCCGATTATCGTTTGGACCCCGAGCTCGTCAAGGAGAACCTGGACGAAAACACCATCGGTATCTTTGTCATCCTGGGCTCCACTTACACCGGTCACTATGAGCCTGTAGAAGAGATCTCAAACATTCTGGACGCCTATGAGAAGGAGACCGGCATCGACATTCCAATCCACGTCGATGGAGCCTCTGGTAAGCCATAGTGTTTGGATCGAAAAGACCCAATCTTTGATGCTGACTGAAATCGTAGGTGCCTTCATTGCGCCTTTCACACATGCTGGTGTCGGCCAGGGCAAGAAATGGAATTTCGAGCTTCCTCGAGTCAAATCAATCAACGTCTCTGGCCACAAGTTCGGGCTTGGTAAGGATCTTCTGATAGGTTGGCTGGAAGAAATCCACGTATCTAATGCTTCACAGTGTACGCTGGTGTTGGTTGGATCATCTGGCGTGATGAGTCCTATCTACCAAAGCACTTGATCTTTGAGTTGCACTACCTCGGTGGCACTGAGGAATCTTTTACTCTCAACTTTTCACGACCCGGTGCCCAAATTATTGCACAATACTACAACTTGATCTGCTTAGGCTTCACAGGCTATCGTGCTATTATGGAAAACGCCCTCCACAATGCGCGTCTCCTGTCGAAGGCATTGGAAGCCACAACTTGGTACCGATGTGTTAGGTGAGAGCATGATAAGCAGACGGACTTTTTTCACGTATCGAGATGCTGACCGATATCCAGCGACATCCATCGACCCAAGGGTCAAACCAAATACGTCAAAGGACAGATCGCTCCCAGCCAGGAGGGTGAGACCTCCGCCGATTACAATGCCGGGCTCCCTGTGGTCGCCTTCACTCTCACCGATGAGTTCAAGGAGAAGTACCCTCACGTCAAACAAGTCAGCATCAGCAACCTCTTGCGCGCAAAGCAATACATCGTCCCCAGTGAGTCCAATCTAGTCCTCACAGGAAATGGATCAGGAGGACTAATCGCTTTCTCACAGACTACCCTCTACCTCCCAGCGAGGAGAAGACTGAGATCCTTCGCGTGGTCGTCCGCGAGTCCATGTCCCTCGACCTTCTCGACCGCCTGATTTCTGACATTATCGCCGTCACCGAGACGGTGATTTCCAGCGAGAAGGCCGACCTGCAGGTGTGGCAGCCAGACGCCAGCATTGAGAAGCAGCACGGCAGTATTGGTCTGCCTCATCACCAGAAGCACAAGGCCAAGAGGCCTATGCACGAGGGCGTCCACCGCTCGGTCTGTTAGAGCAGAGGCCGGCTTTCGAAAGTCAGATGGTGCCTGGATAATTGATGTCGATCATGAGAGTCTGCCTGGGACCACATAGTAATGAAAAAGCGTGATTTTTGGATGTGATTGACGGCAGCCATGTTTTATGTGCACTTGTGGGTCTTTACCGTTCGCTGTCCAGTAGGCGGAATGTGAAGCCGTATTGCGATCAATGGTTTCTGAATCAGACCGTTGGACGGTCACAAGTGGCTTAATGTCCTGGATTTCATTTATTCAGAAGTTGTCTAAAGCGCTCATAGAAGGCCATCCGCGCTCTCGTCGAGTGCTCCGCTAAAACGCTGACACACACGCGTAAAGAATGATCATTTTCGTAGCTCCCCCAGTACCCTTATTTGCCTCCCTTCTTCAAAGGGCTGAGATCCAACATGCTCAGCCACATCATGAACCCGAATTGCACTACATAGCTGTAGGCGAAGAGGAACTGTGTCCGCCGTGATCGTTGGGCACGAGCCACTGGGGCGTTGTCTGGTGGCAGGAGCACATATTTGAGAGAGCGAAGCTGTTTTGGATCGATCGTCAGTGTCACATTTTCCAGTGATCCTCTCGTTCAGCATATCACTCACCAAAAAGAAAGCATTTGCGAGGAAAGTGTACAAGAACAAGGCCCAGCCGAACCAGCCGCCCGTACCTGCGCCGCGGTTGACGATCGCAGCCAGAGCAATCGTCACGATCACTCCGACAAATTTGTATCCACTGTAAGCAATCAAGTCGTAGATCTGACTCTCGCTGCTGATATTGAGGAAGTACCGGCCTCCCCACAAAACGATCAATTCCAGCAGAATGATGAAACTAGCGTTGGTGAAGGTGATGCCCAGCAGTTGCGGCTCGAATTTGCCATTTAGACCGGCAATCAGTGTCGATAGGAGGATATATGTCACGAATGCCATGACGGGAATGTACATGTCAGGTGAATTGACATCTTCGCGAGGTGGGAGGTATTCGATGGCGCCGCTGCCGCTGTTGCTCCGCATTTGTTGTCGGCTCCATGGGCGATGCCGCCAAGGAAACAGTACGATGAAGAGCTTGTTGACGACATAGGAGTTGGAGACATTGAAGTAGTGCTTCAATGCAGAGACGTTGACGTAGCGATTGAACTGCGCAAGGACTATTGATCAGCGTTTCTGACCTGCCTCTCCTTGTGTAACGAAACCCTTCCTCTTTGCTTTTCTCACGGCCTAAGCTCTAAGACTGACGTGGAACCTACGTTTTGCTCCATGTATTGCTGACCAGCTTCTACCGCACTTCGTCCGAGCTGTACACCCATCTGCGCCGTGGGATCATTCATGAACCCTCCGAATGCAGGGTGCATGTAATTGCCGCTCGGTCCTTGGGAGCCTTGTGACTGTTGCTGCTGGTGCCCTCCATATGCGTATCCTCCATGTTGTGAGTTCTGTGACGAAGGTGGTGGCGGTGACCGTAATTGTGGCACTGTAGAGACATGTTGAGGGACTGGGTGGTGAAGCGGAGGCGAGTTCGCAGGCGGAATGGAATATGTTGGGCGCTGCATTTTCGCAGAGCTGTTGTCTCGACGACCTCGTTGCGATTTCTTGTGCTATGGCCAACCTTGCCTGACCTTCTGGGATATGTTCTGGGCGATTGATGTGGTGGGAAATAATTATTCGCGTGAACCCTCCTTCAGGCGCATTGTGCAAGCAACAGCTTGTCCTTTGCCTGATGGGTCACAGCCAGGGCAAGGCTCGGAGATTCTACGGGCACGATATTAGGGTTCGGTTACAGCCGCGAACTTGTCGTTGCCCAGGTGTGGAGAAGAATCCCTACCTACCTACCAAGGTAGGTAGACTTCAGATTGCGCTGATGAGCACATACGTAATTGCTTGTGGTGGGCCTCATCGGGACTGTCCATCATGACGGTAATTGATCGCATGCTTCGCGGTCGGAGCGATTAATTCTCCGAACACTAATTCGTATGCTTTTCCACGCGAAAGCATGATCATGTCAAGCTGAACTGCTGATCAAAAACTCCACCATCATCTTCTCTCACGTTTACAATCGACGCGATGCTCGACGCATTCGAGATCCTCACAACCTCCGGGATTGTGCTTTGGCGGAAACACTCGACCGCCGACCCACTATCACCAAACATCATCAACAGCTTGATCAACGATGTTTTCATCGAGGAACGTCGCAGTCCTGGTACCTCGGCGAATGGAGAAAATCCACCTTATCGCAAGGAGAAATACACCTTGAAATGGACGGCCGCCAAGGAAATTGGATTAGTATTCGTGGTAGGTAAGAGGTCGCAAATATGCCTTCAACCGTGTACGGCACACCAATGATGGAGACTTGAGTAGGCTGTATACCAATCGCTCATCCATCTCTCTTGGGTCGATGACTTGTTGAGAGCTGTCAAAGAATTGTTCATCAAAAGATATGGCACGGAGCTCAAGAAGCAGAACGTCACGCACATAGACTGCAGTCATTTTGATCCCACTTACGAGACCTTACTGAGGCGGCTCGACACCGGAAGTGCCGGACAATCGCAGAGTCCGTATGATTCCGAGAGTCAAGTAGAATTGACACCGCCGTCGAGCTCGGCTTCTGTAACCGACGAACCTGCCGATCATGATGCTCCACCACCACCGATGCCCGGTGTAAGAATGTCCGCTGCGATTCAACGCCGAGACATTGATGTTTCTGAGAACACAAGCACCGATGCCACGCCAGTAGCAACACCAGATACTTCCAGGCCATCGACGCCTCTTCATGCGCCAGCTCGTGCTCACTTATTGACAGCCAAAGCGGGACCGGGCAAGACATCTCGACGCGCACGCAAGGCGGGCAACAGTGCGCAGAGTACTTCTGCGCCGTTTTCCTCTGGCGATGAGGCTTCCGTTCGTGCCGGGAAGGGCAGTAAGAATGTTTCAAAACAAAAGAGGCGATGGGACGAGCACGGCATGATGGTGGACGGCGATGATGGCGAAGTATTGGATTACAGCGCACCTTCGACCGGCGCAGACGACCGAGTGGATCAAGAATTGGACATCGAAGAGGTCAAGGCGGAAGACATGGGTAAGCGCACAGGGAAGGGTCAATTCGTGCTCAAGGATCTTGAGGATGAGGTCGACGCAATATTGGCTTCGTCGAAATCGCGGACTCAAGACGAAGTGGTAGGGGACGACTCAGGTTTGTTAGTAACGGCGACATCGAAATTGAGCGGCCTCTTCCGCAATGTCGTTGGCGGCAAGAAACTGTCAAAGCAAGAGCTTCAGCAACCGTTGCAGCAGATGCAGAATCATCTGCTGCAGAAGAACGTCGCACGCGAGGCTGCAGAGAGGCTATGTCAGAGCGTGGAGGCGGATCTTTTAGATCAGAAGACAGCTTCATTCACCTCGATTGATCGCACGATCCGCGAAAGCATGGCAAAGGCGCTGACACGAATGCTCACACCTACCAGCAGTCTGGACCTTTTGCGGAACGTCACAAGTACCATAGAAGGCCCAAATGCACGACCATACGTCATCAGCATCGTCGGTGTCAACGGAGTGGGGAAAAGCACCAATCTTAGCAAGATTGCATATTTCCTGCTGCAAAACAAGTTTCGCGTGTTGGTCGTTGCGGGAGACACTTTCCGTAGTGGTGCTGTTGAGCAGCTCCGAGTGCATGTCCGCAACCTAAGCGAGCTGTCGCGGAGAGACGATGTTGGCTATGTTGAGCTATTTGAAAAGGGTTACGGCAAGGATGCGGCCACGGTCGCGCGCGATGCTGTGCAGTTCGCGTCCAACCGCGGCAAAGGAGAGATGCTTTACGATGTGGTTCTCATCGATACAGCCGGACGTCGCCACAATGATTCGCGATTGATGAGCTCATTGACAAAGTTCGGCCAACTCGCCAACCCAGACAAAATCTTCATGGTTGGCGAAGCTCTTGTCGGTACGGACTCGGTGGCACAGGCACGGAACTTCGCCAAGGAGTTCGTGGACACCAAGGGCGTGATGCGAAACGGAGGTGTTGGTATGGACGGATTCATCATCTCAAAATGTGATACTGTCGGCGATATGGTCGGCACTTTGGTCAGCATGGTTCATGCCACAGGTAAGCCTACAATCCGATCATCAAATACGCGAATTACATGGAGATGGCTAACAAGTCTTCGACAGGCATTCCTGTTGTGTTCCTCGGCGTCGGTCAACACTATGGTGACCTACGTGGTCTCAACGTCGGATGGGCTGTAGATAAGCTGATGAAATAGTATGCCGAATTGTGGAATCACATATTGCAATTTATCTCGGTGATTTATCCCTATTGTACTACAACATGCCCAGCGAAGCGCTGTCCGCACAACGCGTGTGCTTGCAGGAGTTCAGCATTATTACCCCAAAGTCAACCCTAAATATTGCCACTAGGCTTCATTGCGGGACACTTCACAGCTAGAAGCATTGATTGTAAGCTCTTGTGGATGTAAAGAACCATTCCTTACCCATTGGATTATACAGACGCACATTTTTTTTTCGCAATGCGCTTCTCATCTGTCTCCGCTACTGTAGCGCTCTTCCTGGTTGGTGTCTCCGCGCTTGATAAGCCGCTTGACATTCAGGTTGTGGCCTCGTCGAAGTGCGAGAGGAAGACTAAAGTCGGTCAGTACACATAACCCGTGCCGTTAACGCAGGCGCTTCGCTGACAATCCACAGGTGACAAGATCGATATGCACTACAAGGGTACACTTGAGGACGGAACCGAGTTTGATGCTAGCTACAACCGTGGCTCGGTAAGCGCTCCAAATTGTTACATTGCCATTGGAGAGCGAAACGCTGACACAGTCACTAGCCATTGAGCTTTCACCTTGGCAAGGGACAGGTCATCAAGGGCTGGGACAAGGGTCTGACTGACATGTGCATCGGAGACAAGAGAAAGCTCACTATCCAGCCGGAGTGGGTAAGTAACAATCCAAAATCTTCAAATTGCTCTGCGATGCAGCGATTGACAACCTTCAAGGCCTACGGCAGCCGGGCGATGGGTCCCATTCCCGCGAATTCAGTCCTCATCTTCGAGACGGAGCTTGTCTCTATTGCTGGCGTTGGCAAGAGCGAACTTTGAAGCAATCCCACTCCAGCGCTGAAGTAGACAACCACTGGGAATACCCTTTAGCATAATGTATCAATCATGAGTTCCAAAAAATATAAGGAGGAAGAAAACTTTTGTCATTCGCCTCAAACTCGATTTCCGACAACCGAACCAGCACGCGTATCGAGCGTACAGCATGCGTATTTTCATTCGCGTTGTTGACGCATGGATGCCGTCTAAATGCTGTTTATAAGTCTTGTATGTTACGTGGAATCTCACGTGGAATCTCACAGATATGTTTGCCCGTGATAAAGTGACCAAAATATATTCACGGTTTGGGCTTACGAATGAAGCCGAAGGCGCTGACTGTGGCGCCCAACATCAAGCAACCGACGGTCAAGATAACAGCCTGCCACAACCCTGCTCCATAACCACTTTGGACACCTTTGGACGCATCGCCCGAAGCCGCGGCGTCGCCGATGAAGCCAGAGATGATGCAAGCCACTCCGCGTATCGACATCAAAGCGCCCGAGACAAGGGTGACCTCGTTAGATCGAGTCTTGTCGCCCACAATGGCCGCAGCAAAATGGCTGCGCAGCACGATGAAGCTGAAGGAGAAAGCGCCGAAAAGGATGACGAAGATGATCATCGACCAATACTCGCGGCCAATTCCCCAGATGACGAGGACGGAGAACGCGCTGACCAATGTGCTCAGAAGCAGGGGGATGAGAATGCCGACGGCGTCACTAAGTGATGGTCAGTTGTGCGTAGCTTATTCTGGCGCGGGGAGATACTTGCATCAAGAAACCGAATGCTACCTGTCCGACCATTCCGAAAATGTTGAGCACGGTCAAGAGAAGCGAAGCTTGAGTTGAAGATATTCCCAGATCAGTTGCATAAGTGGGGAGATATGTCGCTGGTAGCATGTTTGCCAAGCCTTGAAGGAATACCGACAAGGCAACGAGCCAGAATAGCGGTTTCTTGAATGGCTTCCAAGTCACTGGAGCTTGCTTGATGGTAGTAGACTTTACAGACTCCCGAGGATGGACCACAAGGATCGCAAGGAAGATCACCACTCCGGCAAAAATTCCCCAGGCAATCAGCACAGGTTTGGGTCCAAATCTGTTGAGCAATGCAGAAAAGACCGGAGACCACCAAGCCGCGGATATGTTATTTGAGCCGAAGCTATGGCATGTTAGCATTCTATCAGCGAGGTGTGACCGACTTGAGGACTTACTAGATACCATTGGCGAGTCCCCGCTTTTCCAGAAACCATTCATCGATAAGACTGATGGACGGTGCGAAAAGTAGACCGCTCCCAATGCCGTACAAGGCACCGAGGAGGGCAATCAGAGCGCCTGCCTGTACTGTCTGTCAATTGCTGGCCGTATAGAGCTCGAGCATGCTTGAAGCCTACCGATTCTGCGAAAGCTGCACCGATTGCTCCAGCAACGACGAAAACGCCGCCGATAGCCATCGACCATTTTCGCCAATGACTTCTTCCTTCAAGAAGTCGAAGTAGGAATGGAGTCATCATTTGCAAAATACCCTACTCGGTGTCAGATGCTTGCTAATCAGCGAATATTTGCTTCGGTATGACTTACCACTGATAGCACTCCGATCTCAGCGAGAATTTGATTTCCCTTGAATGGAGGATTCTGAAAGTACCATTGCCGGAAGACGCCGTAGGCGCTGACATAGCCTGTTCCCATGTTTAGTCCGACTGCTCAAAGGAAGCCTGCAAACATTCGTACACACCCCAAGTGACCATCAGCATCGATGACAGAGCCGCCAAATTAATCCAAGCGTGGAACCCACGATCTTGTGGATGTAGACCGTCTGCCATCGTTGTTGTCTCATCCTGGCGGGCTTCGGTATACGTCGACGAACGTTCGAAGTCGTGCGCCTCTTTGTTATCATACATCTTCTCCATGTTGACTGCGGTAACGCTCTGTCTTGATCTGTATTGCCTCAAATGCAATTATCCAGCTTTGAAGCAGGAAATATACGACACAGGTTTTGCAAAGACCTGAAGCAAGGAGCATACACGCTAGATAACCACGATGGATCTCCTGCCCTTGATTCTGTCCTCAATGTTTTCAAGCTGATTGCCTTAACACCGACTTCTTCTTGACGTAATTTCCACGCCCTGTGCGCGAAGCTCAATGGCAACTTGCAGCATCATAAGCATATGAATCATCATAGCTAATTTCCTCCTGAAAATTTGCAAGTCGGGTCCACAATTGTCCTGCCGCGGCGATCATCCGGAGACTCGGCCGCTCAGCTGTTGACATCGTGGCGCTCGGTTAGAAGGACAGTGGGATTTTCGGCAAGGTGCAGCGTACCGACATCTCACGCTATCAATGTTTCTGCCACTAAAAGAACCTTAAAATTTGAGGATCAATTGCCGATCGCTCGGCACGATCTCACCGGACTTTTTCCCGCCAATCGCGTTGTTGAGCAAGCGAGTTGTGTGTCCATCCGCAATACTTTGGGCGGAACGCTTTGCCGACGACGCTGAGTAATTACAAGTGAGTATCTCAAGCAGCATTATCCCGTCAATCAAGATCAGTTATCGTGTTGAACGATACTTACCTGCAGGTGCTCTCAATATTCCATTAACGTGGGATAATCAAACTGTCGGTGAGGGCACACAAGCCGTGGACCCTGGAAGGATTGTTTTTATGTAATTAGCACCAAGCAATTCCAAGAAGTGACGTTCAAGGGCGTTGCGATCTTCACTTCGCTCTCCGCAGGACATTAGTCGAGAATTGTAGCCGAGAGGCAAACAGCGCGTGCGCAAAAGCACACCAGCGACAGGTCATCGTGGTTGATGCCTGGTACCAGGGGGAAATCGCGCATCACTACTCTTTTTACACAATCAGATTCGGACACGCGCCACTGAAATGATCGGCTTGCATTAGAGATCCCGTAGACCCATCAGATAACGTAGAAACAAGCGAACATGAGGAGAGGATCTTCATTGAAACGGACATTAGCATTCGCGCATGGCTGAACCCATTACATGAGTGCTCTACACCGAAATATTCGGGAATCAGCATCAGCTGCAATTGATGACAAATCTACAAATCTAATGATAGGCCAATTGTGTACCTTCATGTCGTAGCAAGATCCACCTGTAGGGGCAAGATCCATCTGTAGGTGACTCAGCACGTGTGTCCATCAGAGAACTGGGAGTACTTCACGTGGTAGCTAATTGGAAACTAGTTGTACAAAAGAAGTGCTAAGCTTTGTTTTAGTGTCCTCAGGGTTGTTCAACATGGTGGCCAGGTTCGGGGAGCGAGCGACAGCACTATAGTGCGAGGCTGGTATACTGTGGTTCTATGATGCGCCATCAGAAGCAGTAACCGATGACGAAGTGTGATGCGCAAACGATTGGTCTCCAGTGAAGAATATGGTTGAGGATGGCCATGGCACCATCCGAGCTACTCGTTTTGCATCGAACGGGCAGCATTGTCTACATCTGCTTGCAGCTTTGAATGAGCTGATCAACGAGTAAGTGATCTCGGACGTTGTAACAATGAGACTAAAGGAACGATCAACAAAAATACCGCAATACCTTGCATTGATTTGTTGGGCCGAAGGATCAGGTCCACAGGCTCTGCTTGTCTTGCGAAGGACCCGGATCGTCATTGCATCTCATCAATCTCCCGGAGCTTGCATGAGTGACAAGGACAGCATGTGTTCATCATTTAGTCCATTAGTATGACGAGCTCGAGTTGTCGCAATAGAATCGTGTGTGGAACGTGATATCCAACGTGTCGCTTGCCACTCTGCGGATCGTGCTGAGAGGAGATATATAAGACGAGCCGTCAGCCTCGATTTTGTGTTCATCAGATCAATAAACTTCTTCTCGACTCAGTAGTCGTTCTTTCAAGCAAGCTCCGATCATCCATAAATTCCATCACCACAGACCCACATCACTAAGCACAATGCCTGCAGCAAGGTCACCCTCACCAGCTTTCATCCCAAGCGAGAAGGAGCTTGCCGAGCTTCGTACGGTCAAGTTCTCGTCTCTGCTGGATCAAGATAAACAAGAGATGCGCAAGCTTCTTGCTGCTGCCGAGGAGGTCGGTTTCTTCTACCTCGACCTCACTGACGATGCTTCGCGGGATCTGCTGGATACTCTCGACGACCTCAAGAAGGTCATGGCAGATTGGTTCGCCCAGCCAGAGGCCATCAAGAAGAAGACTCCCCTCGTTACCAAGGCCCACGGCTACAAGGCTCTGGGAACCCATGCCGGTGTGGGCGGACAGCGTGATGGCTGGGAAGCGCTCAAGGTAAGTTATGTCGTCAGCAGGCACGCCAGGATGATCATTACTCACAACTTTATTTTAGATTGGCAAGCCTGAATTGGCTGCCCGATGGGCTCTCTCGCCAGTTGTCAAGCAGCATCTCGCCGAGTTCGACACTTTCGTCTCCAGCAGCCATTTCGTTTTGAAAGTGATCTTGAGCAGTCTTTCGACGCAGCTTGGCGCCACTGGCGATGATTCGCTCCAAAACTTCCACCGCGATGACCAACCTTCGAAGTCCTCGGTATTTTTCCTCCACTACCCACCTCGCTCCGGTGAGGAGAATATCGGTCAGAACATGCACACCGATCTCGGTTCACTCACACTCCTCTTCGCCGCTCAATGGGGTCTTCAAGTCTTGTGCCCATCGGAGTCTCAATCCATGCACACTGAAGTACAGCAATCAGCGGGACAAGAGAGCATGGAGTGGAAATTCGTTGAGCCTCGTCCGGGCCACGCGATTATCAACATTGGTGACTCTCTGCGCTTCCTTACCAAATTCCGTCTTCGATCTGCCCTGCACCGTGTCCTCCCGCTCTACGACACCGACCGCTACTCAGTCACCTACTTCCTTCGCCCGAGCGACGATGCCAAATTTGTGGACTCGGACGGCGAGGCATGCGACGCGATGACGTGGTACCTGAAGAAGAACTCCACATACGAGTCGTCGTACCAGGCACAAGCCAAGAGCTCAGTACTCTTGGGTGGAATCCAAAACCACGCCAGCATTCACAATGGCATTGCGGTCTAGACGCCCTTGTCCAATCGAGCTGTGCCGCAACGAGTTATCCATTTGCGGCAAATCAAAAGTAAAGAAATGTTTTTTTTTGTATATGAATAGACCAAAAGTTGATAGATCCGAAAATAATGACAGTCTCAGGGTTTCTGAACCCACGAATGCTCGCATGACGATGGCTGCAATCGCTTGTGTGGCTGAAAATCAGAGCATTGAAGCATGAATTCAGAACTGATTTTGTTCCAGTGCGGTGATTTCCGGTAGCTGGTGTATCTCGTCGTTACCTGTCTGAACTATTCAGATGATGATAATTCTCGAACGTACCTAATCAAGTAGAACTGCGGGCGTGGGTCCTGGGGCTTGTCTTCTAGCTTTGCCAATGACGTTCACCTTGCGCTCCTCCGATTCGGCAATGCAGGTGAAAATCAATCGCAGCCCGCTACTCCAAAGGAATCATTTTGGCGTCTTTTCTTCGTCTATAAATATATTAAACGGATCTGCACTTAGCCCCTCGTTATATTTGCAATTGGAGCCATTGTGCTCTTCTGCTCAAACAATCAAGAGCGTTGGAATCAAACAACCAGCCATGCAGAGAACTGATCTCGTCTTCCAGCGCGATGCGCATCTCGCACAGATGCAAGCAGTCGTTCTCGCGGTCAACCCCTATTCTTCGTTGGCACAAGTCGAAAAGGACCTATTCAAGCAGGCTACAGAAAAGTCATACGTTGTCATCACCGCCGCAACAATTTTCCACCCACAGGGAGGAGGGCAGCCAAGCGACATCGGGATTATGCAAAGCGAAGCAGGGGCACAGTTCGAAATGCTAAGTGCTCGCACGAGCAACCTCTCCTCCGAGATAGTCTTCCATTTTGGTCATTTCCTCGATTCGGAGAAAATCTTCAGCGTGAGCGAGACTGTCACACAATCTATTGATGAGGAGAAACGGCTATTGTTCTCTCGCTATCATACAGCGGGTCATATTCTCGGAGCGGCGGTCAGAGACATCGTATCGGGTCATGTTAAAGGTTTGGAAAAACTCAAAGCTTCACACATTCCCTCAATGGCTGCCTGTGAGTATCACGGCTCCATTGAGGGAAAGTGGAAGGACGCGATCCAAGCGCGGGTCGATGAGATCATCGATGCGGATTATCCAGTGACGGCAAAATGGTGGGATGATGAGGAATTCCGCTTGAATGGGCTGGAAGACGCTCTACCTGATCGCAAGGCCTTGGGTGTGCCCGATGATGAAAAATTTCGTGTTATCGAGATTGGGCCAGCTGACACCTATCCTTGTGGTGGAACGCATGTTGACAGTAGCAAAGAATGCGGCAAGACCACGGTGAAGAAGATCAGTCGCTCGAAAGGCACCAGTCGAATTGGATATTCGCTTGCGGAATGATCATAGGCCAGAGAGATAGAGTCATATCATGAAACTCGTACAGACCAGAAGCCCTTTCGAGACCCACAACCATCGACGTAGGACTTGCCATCGTCGCCGATTGGCAATCGCTGTTCTGACGAAGGCAACTCCAGCAGCTACCAGCCAGGACGTACTTTCAAATGGCTCAACGAGATGGCGTTGCACCGGAGCTCATGAATCTCAAAAGGTCCACAAGGGGTAGGGGCGCTTGTTGCGGGCTTGACACAGGAGCTCGTTTGGCTTTGCTTGTTGATTCCACACCGACCATCGCCGCACCTGCGTCTGAGTTGTCATCATCCTCATCGTCGTCTTCGCCGTAAATGTCGAGATTTTTATGAATACCTGTATTGACGTTCTCAATTCCTGTCTGTCGTTCAGCAATTGTGAAATTGTCTCTGAATACGTCCTCTTCGTCCAGCCCATTGGCGATCTCGCTTGTCAATGGTCTAGCCCAGTCCCATAAGGGTTTCAGCTGTTCCATGTCCAAACGATCTGTGGCGCCTTTATCCACATTTACTTCCTGGTAGGCGGTATGCCATTGTAACGCCTCTTCAAGCCAGTCCTCGGCGCGTGGTTCAAGCTTTTTTCTCAGTAGCATCTGCAACAAGTGCTCTTGTGATGTGCCTGGAAATTGTGGCAGTGGGTAGGCGTGTGCAGTAGCGAACACGTTCTGAAAGGACATCATGGAATCGCCGACTTTGCGAAGGTTGTACTCCACGGACGTGGCATTTTTCTGAAGCGAAGGCCTAGTCGCCTACCTGTCAGTCCACCGTAATTCAGGACTGTTCAGCTACATATTTTGCTATACCATGGCGGAATGGTTTCGGTAAACTCAAGCTGTTGTTTGAGCAGTGTTATTGAAGTTGACAGTTGTGCCAGACGAGAGCGCAACGAGTCTAGGGCCTTGATATGGTCCTGCGGCAATATGGTGCCCACATTCGCCATGTTCGTCAATGATCATGAACCGACGTGAGTAGTGTCGTGTGGTGACGCGCATTGGAGATAATTCTGTTGCCTGTCGCAAGCGGGAGATTTCCGTGGCTGTGCAATCGCGCTCTCTCCCCCGACCATCCGCCGGACGCGCGCCGCCCACTCAACTCCCCTCCATGACACAGCACCTCGGTCCATATTACCTGATGTTCTTGTTGACAGCCTTGGAGTGTGAGTTTATCTAGATATAAATATAAGTAGCACATCTGTGTATCACAATCTACATTCTACCCATGAAACAGCGCCATTGCCTACCTTTGCCCTCGTGCTTTAGCAATAACCTTTCCGATCACTCACGCATTCATGGTTCGCCGTATCGCTCCCATTGGACAAGGCGGGAGCGATCCATCGCAACACTTCGAACTCGAAGCTTCAAGTCAAAGACATACTCCAGAACCGCGAGTGCAGCGTGCAAGTGTGGCTGACGCATCTGCAACATGCCCTCCAGCATACGGAGAGGCTGTTGACGATGCTTCAAGACCACAGCCCGCGGAGAAATCGAGCCGTGGCCCTCCTCAGCCTCAGGCTCACATCATTGAAGAAGAGGATAGCGGATCCGATCTAGGATTTGATACGGACGAGTACGAGGACGATGAAGAAGATTGGCAACTCGATGAAGCATCTGGTCAACTCAATAACGCAAGCTTGCCCAGCTATGAGGAATCAGAGACGATGCGGATCAACGAAACTGTCGACGACCTCGTCCGTAATGTAATGGGGACACTGCCGCCACCAGTGCGGGCCAGTGACAGCAAAGCTCGAGATCGTGAACATGCTCCAGCAAAGAAGCCGCTCCCGTGCCCAATCATTATTCCTCAACGACGACCGCGCAACAATGCTCACGGCTTTGTACGAGCCTACCCACCCTTGCTTGAACCATGTGGCATCGATCAGCATGCTTTCATAACCTTACTCGCAAACTTTCACAAATCTCTACAGTCATCTCCTGTTTTTCCAGCCATCCAGATTGCTGCGAGTATTGTGGCGGAGAATATAACATCGCAAGCTATAGCTATGATGGCCACAGTCGCTGCAGCAACAGTATTTGGAATGGGCCCAGAGGCGCCAGCTGGATGCAAAGTGAACAACTTCCTGGACCGTATAAATGAGACCGTGTTCCAACCCGCCGGTCTGCTGGCTGTTATCGCGAAATACAAACCTGATGAGGAGATGCAGCGCTCGGCACACTCAGGAGCGCTGACAAGCTTGATTCGCGCAGACCATGTAAATTTCTCGACGATGGAGAGCGCAATGCCGTTGTACAATCGACCCGAGGACGCAAAGCAAGCAGGCGAGATTGGCGACCGAATGCGTGACATGCGGCTTGCAGGAGCTCCCGCCCGATCCTCGCGGCCGAGCCCAGTCGCCGCACCTCTGGTCTTCCCTGCGGTGGACCGCATGTTAAACACGGGCGTGACAGGAGTCGTCAGCAACAGCCTCTTCTCGGTCGGGAATGTTGTTAGCAATTATATCGACCGTCGTTCTCAACTGAACATAGTGAGTGCTTGCAATCTCCCATGTACTGCGCAGACATACTGACGAGCAGCACAGCCCGACAGGATACCAAGAAGACAACCTGTTTACAACAATCCGGAACGCGGTGAGCTACCTAGTATTGTCTCGTGGGCTACAAATGGCGCATACAACCCACGACAGAGATTGCAAGATCGCCGGATGGAAAGACGAATCGAACGTGATGCTCGTCGTATGGAGCGCGGTAGGGACCCCAAGCATCTGAGGAAAAGTGAACGACGTTATGGCAGCGCCTACCATGATGAGCTCTATGCGAGGACCGAAGAGCGCAACGAACACGCAGCCAGGTCTGCAAATGCTAAATACCCGAGTGCATCGGATTATCGACCCGCTGAGTCGTATCAACAGCCAAATCGCCATCTGCAGGAGCGGGGTCTGCTTGCCGGATCATTGGTGGCCGATTTATTAGGTGTTGCTGCGAATACAGTTGCTCACGCCACTGGAAGCTCAAATTTCCGGAATGCAGAGTACTTCAGAGCAAGCTCCGCAAATGCTCCGCCTGCTGCTAGACAGTCAAGCCAGGACTATCAACATGTTCGAGGGGCACAATCTGGCGCCCACGTTGAGTACGAGGATGACCGGCACGAGGCCACTCAGGGTATTGAGACGGTACGAAGACTATTGAGGGAAGATGTGCTGTACCTGATGATCGTGAATATGCCCTCCGAAATGGAGATGGCAGAGGCGTGGGAGCAGCTTGAATCTGCAGGGTTTCGATGATCCTGCAACTTTTGAAGCGAAACAAAGAGGGGTTGTAGGTGACTGCACAGAAAGTGAAGGAAAGATGTACACGATGAAAAAGAAATGCTCAGCCCCTTCGTCTTGTGGACGGTGTCTTGCTTGCCTGAGCTCCGGAGGTTCGGCTTGCGCTTGTGGCCTCCTTGACAGCCTTCTTGGCAGTTGACTTTGCGTTTGTGTTCTTGTTGTCCAAGCTCTTCGTGCTGTTCCAGTAGTAGACCATCTGGACAGCAAGCACTGCGTTCAAGCAAAATCCTGCAATGAATCCATAAAGAATGAGTTTGTCAGGAACTTCCTGCAGGGTGGTGAAAACCCGGGCCAAAGATCCAGCGAGGTAGTTGAAGACCTAGAAAATAGCCAGCCAGTCAATATGCTGAAGCAGCAGCTTACGAAATGGATGAACTTACCGCAAAGGAAGAGAGCTGCCCAGTGCTGCCTTCGCGGAAGATGGTGATGATCTGCGGAAGTTTGCTTGCGACGCCCAACAAACCAGCACCAGCTTGGAGATACTGCAATGTCTCCAGCGAAGTCACGTTTTCATTAAAGAGAGCATAGCCAGCTGCTGCCAGTCCTGCTACGAAGACTGCGGCGCCTGCCCCCTTTCCAGAATATTGCAAGACCAGCACACTAATCACAATATTCTGGATGGCGATGAGGATGACCTCGCCGTATGTACTGAAGGGAAACAAGTTGCGAATGTTGTATACGAGAGTGACCAGGTAGCTCGTAGTCTCCAAGAGATAGGAGAGGAAGCTGATTCCTTCGGCAGATTGTGAGTTCAGCAATTTGAGTAGTTGCGGAACCTTGACGATCGATGAAGCGCCAATGATGGCGATCCCGAGTGCCTTCGAGATGGCGAGCTTCAGACAGTCGGCATCGGTGATGTTGATGTTATACACGAGTGACTTGTAGCATTGCGTTCCCAGAATCTGGGTCGCTGCATCGCGGAGCTGAGGCGGAAGATTGTGAGTGATTGGCTGTAGAATCGAACGCAGCGTCTGCTCCAAGGCCTCCATGTTGACGTTTCTCGTGATGAAATCTGCTCGTTAGGGAACACGTGAAGGATACCGACCTAACAAATAAATTGTACCGTGATGCCCATGTCTTCAATGGGGTAACGTGTTCGTGATATACATCACGTGATTACGCGCCTGGACATTGAGGCCGCATATACAGTCTGATGTGAGCGTTTGGGCTTCTAGTCACGAACAAATTCCACCGCGATGCATGTTGATTGCGGAGCGAAGAGCTACATCGGTCCGAAGACTTCAGCATCCGATGGCTGAAGAATGTGATCAAGGTCAAACGCGCGATGACCGACATCGACAAGAAAGACCACCTTCTCTCTCCGGTTCTTCAGGTGGTCACCGTACTTAACCCTGAATATGTCGCATCAATAGATGCAGGCGATATACACGTGCGAGAATTGTCCCGAACCCATCAAGGACCTCACCACATCATACATCGAAATGCATCATGGTCTTCTCGTCCAGTGCTACTGTTATCACCGGCAGCGCCTGATCTGCTAGCTGTCGCTTGTGGATCACAGATATGGGTATTTGATCTGAGACTCACCAGCGCAGAAGCCGTACTATTGAAAGGCAATGGCCGAATCGTGCGGACTCTGGCATGGCATCCTCGTAAGCCAGAACTACTGGCTGTAGGGACGATCGACGGAAATATCTCATTATGGTGTCTACATGACGGCAGTCGTCCATATCGCTCGATCAAATCCCGACGCAGCGCTTGTAGTCATCTCGCTTTCGATCCATCGTCCGATCACTGCGTAGCTGCAACCTTTGCCGATCAATTAGTCCTCTGGACTGGGCATGCTGAACCACATGTCTACGCATTTGACTCCGACGCTTCAGAGGTCATTAGCCTGTATTGGGACCCTAAGGACGTCGAGAGGTTGTCTGTCTTCTTCGCCGATGGCAGACTACTTATTCTCAGCATAGGCCGACAGATTCATAACGATCAAGAGTCCGCCGATCTTGCTGGCCTGGACTTTTATCGAGGCGATGTGGATGCAGAAGAAGCTGTCTTCGGAGGGGCGACGAATTTGAAAATACAGGCCTCTCGGCACCATTTCACATCTTCTCTCAGGCAGGTCCTTGTTCTTGGGCCGTCAAGTTTCCTCGCCCTTTCAGACGAAAGCGACACTCTGGTACTCTGCACGCTTGGACGAAGTGCCGATGGCCTCCAGGAGGTTTGGACGCTCCACGTCAATCCTGCAATCGACGCTTTTACTGTTCGCAGCTCGGATGGGGACATTGAAGTCGTCACATGCTCTGCAGGGCTTTTTGACGCCTACACTGTGCCATCGGAAGTGGCCGAATTGATGCCACGCCCCTCACGAGGGCGCAGTCGGTCGCGTTCGATGAGAACTATTTCAGATGCAGGGACAATGACCACTGATCGCATACTTCATCATTTCGCCAGAGGCAAACGACCGAATGTACACAGTTCGGGGCAATACATACAGCCCCATCTGCGCCTTCGCGGTAAGCGTTCGACGTGGACCTCTCAATTTGATACTCCTCCAACACAGTCCATGACTTCCAGTCTGGAGCTTCCGCAACGCGAAAAATCTGGCGATGGATCCTCGATGCCATTTCTCTCGCCAAGTATACCGGCTCGAAGGCCATCCACGCATCTCATGCCACAGATTGACGAAAGCTTGCATCTTTCTCCGTTGGCTGGTGCATCATTCGACACACTTCACTCATCTGCTGTTCACGATAGCGACTCGGACGACGAAGCATTTCCGAGCAGTTCCAATATCAAAGAAGGAGTTTTGCCAGAAAAGGTCAACGTTCCGCTGCCGAGGACATGCGGTGCACAGTTTACTAGGAGCGGGGATTTGCTCCTCTTCATGCCCTTCAAAGTAAAACCTGCAGAGGTTGTCGTTGGGCAAGATGTCCCAGAACCAGGATCGGCAGAAGATCAATTTTCCGAACTTTCGCGAATATTTCCTGCCTTTGGAAACATCAAATCTGTTCGCATCAATCGTAGTGGTGCTGCGAGCGTCGATCACACGGCGTTCGCTACTTCGTTGTCACACGACTCCAACGCTGCTCATCAGCTATCATCGTTCGAAAGTCGACTATCGTGGAAGTCCAAACAGTCTAACTTTGCGGTGTTAGCCAATAGCGTCCATCCCAAGGTTATCCTTCAAGTATATCAGCGCAGTATGCTTCAGGCCCCAAGCAGGCCTGACTTTCATTATCAGATATTCTCTACGTTAGGAGAGCATTATCACGAAGTCTGCGAGAAGAATGCGATCAACGCTGGGCTTGCGAGCTTGGTTCAGTATGAAGACTTGCTACGGACTCTTGCGTTGATCTTTCATGCGCAGCAAAACGCCCCTCATACTCATAAAGCTAAGGCAGAATTGGGACGCGGGAAATTCCTTGCCAGGGCTGATGGCAGTTCCTCACACGCGCAAGTGCCTCTTCGATCTGCTTTCGTCACCGTTCAAGCGGATTGGTTGAATCATTCGTTTGGATCTGCGTGGGCAATCGGAAAGCTGCTGCAGTGGATCGAAACGCAGGCGGACATACAGCTCTTAGCGAAAACATCTGCATTACTTCTAGCTTCCAACAAAGCAAGTCTGAAATTCAATACACCGAGCACAGCTCCGCACAACGGCTCGGTACCCGGCCTTGTCTTCGACCCAAGCAGTCCCGCATCTTCTACAATTGGGAAGAGTACAGCATTCCCTGCACTGCAGCCCAGACTTGCACCTCACAAGGAGCAGAATGAAGAATCGCCGACGAAGACCTTAGGATCAAGAACGTCTTCAAGAAATCCGTCTCAGCCCACTACCCCGTACCTCGATTCTTTAGCTAGTACACCGCCTCTAAATTTTTCGCCCTTCTCCAAACAAGGACAAAGATTGTCAACTCCAGGCTCGGTGAGCCCTGAACACAGCCGCTCGAGCTTCAGTGCTGCAGTCAGATCGTATGCGCAAAGCATCACCGACAAATTCCCTGCTTATAGCTCCTCTCCACCGCTCAAGAAAGCAGGCACAAGTCCAAATGGCGAATTGTCGTCAAGTCTTCCGATTGGAAGTTGGAGCAAATCGGTCTCGTTCGCTTCTACTGCCAAACCTGCAAGTGAGGCTCGCCGCGGCTCCAACTGGACGCAGGAAGATCCAGAGCGCGATGTTGACGCGATTGCGAATGATATGAGCTTTGCTACCAAACCTAGCGGGGCCCGCGCAGTGAGCGTTTCGTATAAAAATCAGGGCTCGTTTTACGATGAAACCATGCAGGGTCCTCCTGCCCAGTTCCTCACGCCCGAGTTGAAGCTGAAATGTGCGATATGGTGTGGAGCATATGCAGAGACACTACGATCGCAACAGCTTCCCATCGATGCTGCTGAATTGGAGAAATTGGCCAGTCTTGATAGTGTGAAGGCCAAGAGCAGAAAGAAATCGTTCTACCGAACTATACCAAGGAAGAGTCCAGCGCGAGACGCGTCGCTATGCAGCATCTGTTACACCGTCATATGCGGCGCGAGACAATTTTGCCCAGATTGTTTGCACGCCAGCCATCCTGTTTGCTTCGGACTCGTGCTTGCTGGTGCTGTAGCGGCAGATTTTCGTTGTCCGACGGGTTGCGGTTGCAATTGCACGTTGAATGCTGGAATAGGACCTGGAGAAAGCGATGCAATTTCTTCTCATTTGCTGCCGGCCAATGGACCCATTAATTTCTCGAAACGGGTCAGCTTTAGCGAGCATCGTCATGTGCCAACAGTGGCTGCTTAGGATAGACCATGGTTGAGTTCAAGGGTCTTGTCATGTAATGTAACGTGCTTACTGTATTCATCGCAGGGTCGGACTAATCATGATCGACCGCAATACGCGCGTGTTATAATAGCGAGGGCGCCTGTGCAGGTGTCATTTCTCCCTGGGAGATTATTAGATTTTGGTACGGGAAGACGTTACGACATACACACGGCACGCCGTTTGCTACAACCGATAGATGACCACCTCGAAACTTGTGGACGTAATCACGTCGATAATGGCATATATATCATTGAGTAGAGCACCGCCTTGGATTCGTATATTCCCCATTTCAACCAACTCGTGTCACAGTGATCGCGGATATAGCGATGCCTTCCAACAAACCCACCGACGAAAATGATGTGAACATGAAGCGAAAATCTAGCAGATTGCTTCGCATCATCACAAGCCCAAATGGATTCATGTCCGCCCTCAAGCCCCACAATGGCAAGCAAGATATGAACAACAGACGATCCAAGGACTGCGATGCTCCAACCCGGAACAACGATATAGATATGACCATCAGCGTCGCCGAACCCGAACGCGCTCACGAACTACCCGCATACTCCCCATTATTTCACGCTGTCGTAAGCTCGACTGTCGCCATCAAGCTCCCACGCGGCTACCGTATGCGCTCGCTCCAACAGACCGACTACGAAACATATACCCAGCTCAAGACGATCGGCATCATGTCCCGCAAGGCGTGGGACGAACAGTGCTATTATCTCCAATCCCGAAACGACACCTACACCATCATGGTCATTACTGATGCTTCCGGCACGGTCGTTTGCACTGGCACGTTGCTGCTGGAGCGGAAACTCGTCAATGGCGGATGTCTTGTCGGCCAAATTAAGGACCTTTGCGTGGCGCCCACCCAGAAAGGCAAAAATCTCGGCTTGAGGATGCTGGAGCAATTGAACCAGCTCGCTATCGATGCCGGCTGCACCAAGACGTCGGTAATGACGCAGGACGTCAACGAGGCGTTTTACAAGCAAAGAGGTAATTTTCGCCCATGACTTCTTTTCTCGTGCAGCGAATTGGGTGGGCTAACTATGCTTCTCCTTCAACAAAACAGGTTTCCGACGTACAGTAGAACTCGAAATGATGCGTTCACATGCTGATGCTCAGATCGCGGCACCCACTCCTACTGATCTGCAGGCACGACGCACATTGATTTACAGCTGCGATGCGGAGCACCGAGTATCATCTAAGCTCGGCCTCGAGACAATCACGCGTGAAATAATCAGAACCTCAGACCCGGTATGAAGCGCTCCTGAGGACGATCAGGCATTTCCTTGACTCATCTTGACCTATCCCGGTGACCGGTCAATACGATAATAATATTGGAGCAGTTTTGGCGAATGTACTTGATGTGAGGAGCACTTGTCTTTAAAATATATCCCATTTCATTTCGTTACATCGTTATGAGAATCAAATTCGTTGATCCTTTTCATCATTGTGAATTTGTCGAGTCAATCGTGTGGACATCCATACCCATTGTATGTTTCTCCTCGTCGAACACACTCTTGCCCGCGATCTCGTCGTGGACACGCACTCCGTCCAAGACAGCCTGGTCGTGCACGGCCATTTCCTCGAATCCAAGGTTTTTCTCCTTGATGATCTTCTGCACTGACGTCGGCCACACTCGACATATAATGTAATATACAAGGAACGTAGTAAAAAAGCTCAGCAACCAGCCCAATTGGCCAAGCCTCTCGGCTTCGATGCTAACAGTTGCGCCAAGCGAGCCGACGAAACCTGGAAATGGCAGAGCGATTCCTACGATATACGCGATGATAGCTTGCATGTTAAAGCCCTCGGTGAAGCGGTAATGTTTGTTCTCCCGGGAGCCATCGTACAAGCGAGTGATAAAGATATTTCCGCGGGTGAGCAAGAAATAGTCACAAACCATGACTGCCACGGTCGACGACATGAAAAGACCGTAGCCGGCAAGGAACGTCGTGAAGGTCTCTGCGCTCTTCAGAATCTATGAACGCGATCGAAAGTCAGCGAACATATTCTGAGGTCGACAATTTCTCACGACGAAAAGAAAAACCTGTGCGTGAAGCTCACCTTCCATGGGACAACGGCAAAGGCTAGCAGGGCGACAAGAATCTGTCCCCGTGGGATGTTGATGTAACGTGGTAAGAGCATAGAGGCGTCGGCCCCGAAAGGAATCATATTGGCGGCAATATTGGTCCCAAGAATGGTGAAAGACCACGCAAAGGATGCGAGGAAGATGGCGAATCGAGTCGTTCCACTCCAGTATCGGTCGAGGATTGCGTCCATTAGACCCCACGGATTCCACAGTGCGTCGTTCCAAGCGTTGTTTATTGCGGCAGTAGACAGAATGCCCAAGGTTGCTGATAGCGTCACAGCAATCGGGTTGGTGATGAGCTGCGACCACATCGCCCCAGTCTTCGACTTAGAGTATCTCGCAAGGTCTGGCTGGTTGCAGATTAATGTTGCGGTGTTCCCGATGAGGTTGTTAGCCGTAGTGTGACAATGTCAAATTGATATCCTGTCACTTACCCATTCCCGCGTTGATCGAGTATACGAAGAACCAGCCCCAGCCGCTAGTGTTCTTACCAGCGGACAAAGTACCAAGACCTACTTGACCTTTGGTAGTGGCCATGCAGAAGATGAAAAGTCCCCAGATAGCGGGTAGCATAATAATAGCCTTGAACCAAAAAAACTTGGTCAGCTGGTAGGGCCGCAAGAAGGCAAACGGAAATTGCACGAGCCAGAAGATCAGGAAGGCCAACATTCCGGCAGTCGAAATGCCAGCATCAGCAGGCAACATGTTTGGGATGTTCGTATAGCTGTCGCCGAAAATGGATCGGAGCGTGACGGCGAACAGAGCGGACCCTATGAAGGTCTGCACGGCAAACCAGATGATTGCCAAGGCAGCTCGGACGCCCACAAAATAGTACGCGCCGTACATCCCGAAGACGCTCCGGCCGACCACGGGATAGCCGACATGGTATACACTCGCGCATCGCGAATTGAAGAACATGGCGATAGAGGATATGAATTGACTCAGGAAAATGGTCAAGATGGCCTGCCACCAGTTCAAGCCAAGTCCGATCATCGTCGACCCGAGCTGCCAATTGCCAAAGGATAATCCCCAGTAAAACACGACATAGTTGTACCAAGCCCATGTTCGCTCCTCGGGAGGCGTAGGGTCGAGATCTTTATTTGACCAGCGATGAGATGTTGTCGAGGAATGTCCGCTCCGATCGAGTTCTGTTTCCGGGACTTGAATCCATTGTTGGAAATTATGCCAGCTTGTGAAAGCACGCTGAACATTTCTCTTCTTTTCCGTAGCGAGTGCCCGGATATCGGCGATGGAACGAACCATCGTGCCTTTTTCTCTCTCTTTTCCGCTGTGTATCGTTGACGAAAAGCGTCGACCCACGCGAATTCTTGGTGCAAGCGAGGTGGATCTCTGTAGTCTCCACCACTCCCGTAGACGGGCGATCATTGTAGTAATCAAGACTGGGTACTTATCGCATCTCTTGCACTAAATCTCGGAGTGGCGAAGTACAGAGAGGGCACCTGCAGCTGAAGCTCCATCGTGGCATGCATGTTGCGACCAATCAGCTGGGTAATCCTCCAAGGCCGCTATCTACCATGTTCCCTTTGAGTGCCATGTCCGGCAAACCGGCCAGGGTGTGGTATTCATGCAAGTGTCGTGTGCCCAATTGCCCACTCTGGACAACCCCCGTGAGTCAGGACCAAAATCGGCACGCTAATGTCTTAGCATGACGTGGATCAGTGCCGATGTGGAGTCGCATCGAGGACGTGTTAGGGCTGAGGAACGCGTGGGATGTTGATTTTCCATCTGTGTACTACTGTATCATTGCAACTTGCTGGAGAACTAATTTATTATACACGATCTGTCCCGAATAGCAAGGTCGACGTCGGAGTAAAGACTGAGCGGCACGACAATGGTTCAAATGCTAGACGCCTCCTCAGCATCGCGAAGAAAGCCACATCAACTGCAGATCACTAGAGTCGTGTTATGCTCCTATCCCGTCGAAACTGTTTCCAAAATTGATACCCTGCTCTAGACGGAAATGTAGAGGTGTGCAGAGGATCTGCTTCGTCAATGAGCTCGGCTATGATTAAGGCTATGCAGCTCGTAGCAAGGCTTGGCAGCATCGCCAAATGTTGCTGTCCCGATGATCGGTAACATATCTGGAGCGATACAGGTTCTGCCGTTCGAAGGCATGTGCTTCGGGCATCAATTTCACTAGTAGGACAAAGATGCGTTTGAAATTGCGTCACGATCCTTTGATTCTCGCTTACTCCGGAATATGTCGTCGATGCGAAGACGAGCCTGGGGGAGGCAGCGTGGGCTGAATCGCATGACAATGCAACATCAGATCCTCAGTCAACGTCGATGTCAGGAGGAAAGGACGCTGGCCAGTGAAATACCATTCGTATGGCTGGGCATTGCTCAGAAGTTTCCAACCCATGCCCACGCGAGCAGTTGTGTGGATTTTGTATTTCCACGGTCCCATTTCGAGCGGACTTGCGAGCTATCAAAAGTCCCGCGCTGTTTCCCCGCTTCGACTCCATTTGGAGGTGCGATGGAACGACTAAATCAATGGATGTCTTGCATGAAGAAGTGATGATTCTGGCGCGATGAGAAACGGGCGTGGGCGAAGCCAGGAGATGACCAGTTCTGACTAAGAAGCTAAATCCGATTGGTTGCGAGAAATCCCCTCTAGGAACCATGGAATGCGATGTAGAGGATCAAACAACAATGGCTCATCGCAAGGCCGCATTGTACAAAAGAATTGTTGCCTTCGACCATTTTTTTACGACCGCGCAAATGCGTCGCGCATTCGCGCGCACAAACAATTCCCCCCAAAAAATCGTGCTCATAGGCAAGAAAACACAGATAATGAACAGTTGGTATAAACGCTCCAAGAAACCGCCAACGCCGATGCCACCAGAAAACACAAAAATCGAAATGCCGCCGCCCCTGTTTTGGCGTGGTGGGGGCGAACACAGGGCAACGGTGGTAAATTTGATCGAGTGACGTCGCGTGGGTGCACGACGCGTTCGCCCGCCATCGGCTGAATTCGATGCAAATAGCCACCGGACCACAAAATTGAGAGAGGTATAATGCCGTCCGTATCCGTCATTGGAGATCCACCATACTGTCAAATCAGAGAATGGTCTGCATGTCTTCATCGTCGCTGTCGAGTCCCAATGTGTCCCAGGTGCGCACCTGCTTCCTGCGGCCGGATTCGTCGAGAGCAGGACGCACCATGATCGTCTGGACTTCCACGTTGTAACCGTGAATGCCATATGAGGCAGGGTCAAATCTAATGACGTTGACCTCGACGAAACCGTGTCTCTCGTAAAGTGGCTTCGCAGTGCCGGTTGCCTCCAGGTAGCACTCGACACCGGTCTGGTCGGCTTCGGCCAAAATTAGCTCCAGGAGAAGAGTGCCGGCGCCGACTCGTTGGAAGCAAGGTTGAGTTGCCAACATGCCCACATCTGTCGCAATCGTACTTGTCAGCGCACACGTCCTCTCTCGATCTTCGGAATTACGGAACTTACAACAATGCGGCCTTGTGCCCATGTAATCCCGTCGAAGCCTCTCATTCAATGCAAACCAATCTCGGTTCATTTGAGGGTCGTTCTCATGACCACAATCCGCTGGGCTAGCCAGCTCTGCTGGTGTATATGTTTTCATCTCTGTCTTAGCCCATGACACAATCACACCCGTGTCCTCGTCCATGACCTTGCGAAATTGCGTGACATTGTTTGCTGGGGTTCGGCGCTCAGCCTGTCTTGACTTGGCGCGCCGCCGGAAGCTCTTGGCCTTGTGCATGAGTGATTGGTAAGATGAAATGGTCCGCTCGAAGTGATCAGGCTGGTTGTGGTCTCGGTATGAGAGAACATGGTTGGTCTTCTCGTTCTCGAATGCGAAGAATTCGATGTCGACAAGTCGCTGAATGTCGTTGTATTCGGCAGAGTGAACCACGAAGGAGTAGAGATCCCGCTTGCTCCTTGGCGAGGACTCTGGGCTGGAGTCGTCTAAGATCAGAGGTGACATGGTGCAGTGCGAGACGTTAAGATTATTCTCTGCAAGTGTGGCGATTTGAGGTCTGCTAAATATTGGCAGATTGGTGGTGTAGAGCGCGATGGTAGAGGTGGTGACTGGTGAAGCAGTGGTGGAAATACCACAGGTGGGAGGAGTGCAAAACGACCTAATTGTCAAGTAGAGGGACAACAGAGGGAACGCGGTCTGAGTGTCGAAGCGAACAGTACGCAAGTGAAGCGATTCGAAAGATGATTTTGGGAAAAGACATCGAAGGGAATCGAGATTTCTATTTATTACCATCGTCACAAGCTACCGGCGGGAAGGCCAAGGCCATGGTCTGTACCTACCGATCATACCATGCGCTGCAGTCGAGCAGTCACCCAGGAGGTAGGGATGCCGTAGTACGTACATACATTGCGTTGCCCTCCGGCTTCCAGGTCGCTGAGTCGCAATGAATGAGGAAGATGGATCACGAGGCTGTGACATCCCGCGTCGGAGAGACCGCGCATGGTTGGTCATAGGTCATAGCCTCGTAGAGCCCTGGAGGTTGCGCGCTAGGGAAGTAAGCGCGAACGACGGCGGCCTTGCACATATAAGCGGAGCGAAGACAACGTGGTGGTGGTGGTGGTGGTGGTGGTGGTGGTGGTGGTGGTCCTGCCTGCCTCGAGTCTCCCGCCTACCTCCCTGTCGTGCCTCCCGCTGTCTCCAGTATCTATCTGATGATGCCGTCGTACTCTGTACGAACAGATGGTCTCCCTTGTCAATAACTAGGTACCTGATGTACCACTGTACACCGAACAATACAGTCTCAAATGACACATCAATCGCGCCGAGCGACTCCATAAAATTTATTTGGGATGCCTCGACTGTGAACATGGACGTCTGGAGTGCCCGGGATGTGGCACAATTTTTTTTCTGTGCGTGCATGCACATGCCGGAAGGGCCTACAGTCTGTCTGGAATGCAGGCATGCGCCTTCCAAGCATGGCAACCCTGTACATACCACTGACTCATCATTCATCATCATCGGTTTATTATTATACCTAGGTAATTACCATTATTCTACACCGGATCCGCCTCATGCACAGATGTCGTAGTTCTGTACGGGTACCCGACCAAGTAACCATGCATCGCACACCGCATTGCGACAGAGACGCCCTGTCATGCCTCGCGAGAGACTTTCCGACTTTCGATTAATCCTTCTATATGTACGAGGATGGTCTGATTGCGCGAGTGTATTTCACCATTGCGATCGCTGCAATCAAACCCCCAATACTCCCGACGATCTATCGCTCCTGCGCTCTCAATCGCAACCTGGCATTTACGATAGGATAAAGACACACAGACCCGTCGTCGCTTACGGGGAGCAGAGTTTGTAGCGTGGGTGCACCGTGCAATACAACATTAGAAACTTTGAAATCTGTGGGCAAAGCCTTCGACGGCATACAACGGCCCGCCTCGTTGTCTGCAAGAAGCCCGCGCCTTCTGCTGCAATCAGTTGCCATTTCGGGCAAGGCGAATCTTCCGTCGCGGACGACGACTACTGTCGCTCTGCTGCCGGTCGGACTGCGAAAGACTACAGATGCACAATTGTGACACAGATGTCTGTGTATCTACAACGTATCGGCTAGCAGCATCGTAGTCCTCTGTGAACCGCGTACCGTATCTCGCCCGGCATCATGCAAAGACATAGATAACCGCAATTCACGTGTCAAGCGATGATGACGAGATATGTCTTCACTTGTTCTACATTCACCGGGTTGACCGTGACAGCGGTGACCGAGTCCAGCTACTACTGTCCTGTGTACAAAAAGATCATACGTATGCCTTGGCTGCAGTGTTCTTTCGGACTTTTGACGGCGTATCTTCAGTTGCATGCGGCCTGCCATGCAGCAGGCCTACAGAAGCGGAGAGCCATGGAAGCGTGCATGCATGTACACAATGTTCTTTTTCTGGACTTGTCCCTGAGTCCGTGACCAGTGTAGGCGAATCGAGGCGTAGAGGTTGTCCCTACCGACTCACAATTCCACAATCAACAGATCTTCATAGCCATGTGTGATGAAAACCAGGCGACGAGCCCAGAGCGCTGGGTCTCTCGGCTGCACGATGTATCTGATCGTAGCTGAAAGGGAGAAGATTTCTGACGAACATGCGCGAGAAGGCGCGTGGCCAGCCCGGGATGCGCACACGGAATGAAGGGCCAACCCCACACATCCCACGTTTTACCAAAATAATGGTTGCCTTCCCCGGCTTTAGGGAGGGGAGGAAGTAAAGAGGGTGGGCATGGCATGCACTCGTGGCATGCCCATGGGCACGGCCGGCCTCTCGTCCAACCCATTCGCCGACTTCGCCTCAATCTCGGCTGAAACACCATTCGTTTCCTCGCCCGCCCAGGTCCCAATCGCATAATCTTTGCATATTCTGCTCAGGTGACGATGAGTTTTTGGGTCGACGATTCTAGAAGAAGAAGCATGTGAATATGTGTGATGTGGTCCAGTCATTCTCTGCAAGGTGGCTGAATCACAAAGTGGTGTGGGTAGAACCTGACTGGAGTGACTGGTTCGCCATCTGCCGACACTCACAGTCGTCAGCGAATTGCATCTCCAGAACTTCATGTTCGCGATAAAGGCTTGGCCAATCAAAGCCACGCTCGCTCATTTCATGGACTGGATGCATTCCTTACTAGGTACATTCAGAACACGTCGTTCACTCGTACGATCCCTCGCTGTGATGTCGGAATATCTGCTGCACTCACATGTTGGTGTGTAGCATCACGATGGAGACAAACAACCACTATCCGGCAATGTCCGCTAGGCAGTGCAGCCTTTCGCTTGTTCACTTTGCGGAATACTACAGTACTGACATTTTACCCATGACGCATCGACATAAGCCACTCAAGAGGGCCGTTCTCTGGAACGGTTCCGCGGCTCCGCTCGTCACAGGCGCGCGTTCGAGAAGCATGCGTCACGGAAGTCACTGCGATTGCAATTGGATTTGCCCCCCTGCTGGTCCCCTGTCGTATCGAAAATGGACCTTTAATGATCTTGAGGTTCTTCCAATGTTCAGACACAGTATCGATGGGCGTAGATAAGGTTACTAGTAAGACTGATCGCGATCTGGTCGCTGTCCATGCTTGCCTTCACATGCAATCGACCAAGAGCGGCAGCGCATGTATCCCGCCGCGGTATACCATCAATTACACTCGCAGGTGGACGCTTTCAAGCTCACGCTGCAGTTCTAGCGCGATCAGTCTCATGGATCATTTCGAGCAGAAAGTGGTGTAAGCACCACTTGGTTGTTTAGACAGTCTGACCACCTGTTCGACCTTACGAACATGGGCGTCCCATTGCCGTGTGGCGTATTGCTAGTGACCGCCAGCGCCGACAGAAGTCGTTTCAACTAGGGACAGATCGATGAATATTGTTATATGCATCAACGCAAAAATAGTGCAATACATCGACTCGTAGGCTTGTGGCATGAAATCGCAAACGAAATTCGCGCCGATGTCCGAACGCGATTGTGGTATGAATAGGGAAATGGCAGAAGCCGGGTGTTGAAAAGGCGCACGGAATCTCAGATTGACATTTCTTTCCCCACGATCGACGTCAGCCCTAGAATTCGTCTGGAATTGGGCGACAGAGATCCCTTTTCCCCCACGCACAAGACAGACCCCTTGAACGCTAAACACAAACTGCAACAAGCATCGCTAAGATTCCGATGGCATGCAGTCAATCAGTCTGCCGGATCCGCTCGTTTGCGGTCCAATTCGGTGATCTGCTTGTGAGGGGGCCATATTTGAATATCACAATACCACATGCGAGAGAACGCGTCGCTCTGTAGACATAGCCCTCCACTGATGTGTATTGAAAACTGATCCTGCATGTGCATCGTCGTCTTCGAAGCCTCTCCTATCGATATGCCGTGCGTGTGTCCATTTACAACAAAGGTATGTCTCTAAGAGGCTCTAACGAACGAAACAAATGTCACACCTCAGAAGCTAGCATAATCTAGCCAGGTTCTGACGAGCGCGCGGATATGGTCCCTTGTGTCGGCAGCGCTCTCCACCTCAGCATAGCTCAGTCTACCCGGACCACCGCGACTCGTCATTTTCTGCGCGGCCTTCTCCAATGCGACCAATCTCTCGAGGCTGTAAGTGGATGATTCTGGTTCGGGCTCGGATTCTTCGACGGGCTTTGATACGGCGTCTTGCGCTTCATAAGCGACTGCTGAAACAGATTCCATTGGCTCCCCATTGAAGGTGCCTGTGATATATGTGCATGGCTGTAGTTCAGATGTCTGAAATGCAGAGTCGTCAGTCATCATATCGATGTCCTTCTTAGAACTTGCCACGTCGCCGGTCCTCTGTTCAGCTTCGATATATTGTTGGATATCCCGTCGCCTTTCATGACGAAGCTGGGCAGTAGCTATGGCAGCTTTCTCCTCGTCTTCATGTTCCTTGAAGATGTCGTCCAGTAGCTCGTTAATGCTATTCACGACCAATTTCCAAAGGATGCCTCGATGGCCAGATTCGCTTTGCTTCGCCAATACAGAAGCTGGCGTTGAATCAGGTTTCAAATTCAGGCTCGGTGAATCATCTTCCAATTTGGCAGCGGAGGCGTTGTCTTTCGATTCTGTGGGTGACAAAGCATCTTCCGTCTTCGAAGGTGATGAACTATCCTTCGATTCATTCAATTCAGACTCAGTCTCCGAGGGCCTGCCGGTGAGCATGTCAAGATATGCTCGGTACGCCAAGTATTCCTCCGACGACCCTGGCTCGAGTGGCCGCGGGGTGAATTCTGTAGGCCACATCTCTTCGGCCGCAATTATGGTCGCGGTGCATGGATCCGGTTGTTTATCGCCAAACGCATCTATTGTCTTGCCTTCCACTATGCGTTCTGCACGTTCGTCAATATCGCCATCCTGAAGTATTGAACTGATAGGTTGGCGACCTCGCAACGACTCTATCGCATCATGATCGCTGATCTGGGCCAACGTCTGAGCCTCTACCAGATCATTGGTGATCTCGCGTGAGATGACGAAACTGGCTTCCATGATGCGCAACATATCATTCCGATCGATGAAGCCATCGTCGTCGAGGTCGTACCCGCGGATGGCTCGAGCCAACGAGCCCTTTCGCTCCACGCCTCGGAGATATGCTATGCCAGAAACAAACTCTTCGAATCCCAGCAGACCATTCTTGTCAGTATCGTAGAAGTCGAACATCCTGTCGTACAACAGACTAGCGGCAGTTTGGCTTCGCCACCGTTGGTGGCTCAGGGCAGCATTGAACGCGCGCCTGTCGAAGGCCCAGTTGATGCGCTCCAGATCATCTTCCCACTCAACATTGACCAGACAAGAGAACTGCTCGAAAAGTGCTTCAATCTGGGGCTGTGAGAAGGAGTGCTTGTTGGCGAGGGACTCTGCGGTGCCAACTCCCATATAGGTTTCTCCAGCACTCCCGAGATTAGGCCCAGGGTACCAGTTCTCGAATGATCGATCGAGCTTGTTATATAACCATGGGATCGGTATTTTGATCTTGGCGAAAACGTGGCTGGGTGTATGTCGTGTGTTGGCTTCACAGAGGGAACACAAATCGAAGTCCAAGCATTGAAGGCAATGCCAGCGAACACCTCTGATAACACTTGAGCATTCTTCGCAATGAACTCCTCTGTGCACATAGGACTGGCGCTTGGCATCCTCCTCGGCGATGTGATACAGCAGACTTCGGAGCTCCTGGCTAGGATCCTTTTCTGTCGTCCGCCGCCTCATGTTCACATCTGTGACGTCGCTGATGGTGCGCTGGTCGAAATCAAGAGCCATGGACGAGTCCAAGGCCTGCGAACTCGCCGTTGTAAGGTCGCGCCATTCGCTTTCGGACACGTCGAGATGGAAATTGCTCGTGGCTGGTAAGTTCGAAGTTGCACGCATTTGCCGCTCAAAGTCATCACGTGTGCCTGTCCGCATTGCCTCGACAAGATCACTCAAGCCTAGAATAGCCATCTGACCGCGGAAGACGTCCGGCTGCGGAGTCCTACATGATTCAATAGCCAACCGCAATGCGACGCTACGGAGGTCCACAAGTTCACCTCTATGAAGATGGAAGTATCCCTCGTACGAAGGCATGGGAGTCGTCGCAATGTTGCAATTGAATACTTGCTGACCATCTTTCGTCAAGATCACACGGCCAAGAGGTGCATCGTGAGTGGGCCTAGAGCAAGAGATCGTGCCATAGTCTGCTCGGTGCTGTCTATGGACGGCGCCACTTCTTCGCAATGCAGACTTCGACGGGCTTGTCTGAGTGACGGTCCATATTCCGAATGCGACGGCTGCGACCGATGTCAATGTCAACAGTATCGGTCTATTTTGCGCCCAATGTGAAAAATGCTGTGCCATGATCCAAAGTGGGAGTTCGTGACTCAATGATGCTCCGATCTACAAGTCATGAGCTCTGTAGATTTCTCAATCATGCACAATCAGGAGAGCGAAGGAAACCACACGGCATCATACGTCAACCGTGTTAGCATCACGACGATCTGAATTTGCCTGGCTTTGCCGTCATCGGTCGGCTCTGAGATTTAAAGATGAGTATTCCTTCCCTCCTGAAGGCAGTGCGTTTATGAGTAGGGGACTGCACTTTCACACCATGTCCTTCGCACGATGTGTGTTTGTGTTTCGACTGGCGTGGACCTGAATTAGTTATCGGCGCGTCTTGATGCTGCGGTTGTTGAAGGCGTTAATGGCGTTCGGTTGGACTCGTGTAGAGCAAGAATCACGCGACATGCACACTTTGTGATTCACAATATGCCTTGCGCGGGCAAATAGAGATGAGAATCTTTTCGACGAAGTCCTGTCAAACACAATAGAATTTCTGAAGCATACAGCGTGCTTGCGCACGCACGCACGCACGCAGCACGCGACATGACAAGCCACCCGGTCTGAGCGTGTCCTGTGGGAGAAAGTGGCACAATCGAAGCGGGCGCAGCATGTCCAGATGTGTAATCAATGTGGGGGACTTGCGCAATAGGACTGCAGTGGTGTAACATCAACCTCATCTATTCGTCAATGAACTTAGACCTTTCATCCATCTCAGCGACCAGCATAGCCGGGATTGAGAATACTACACTTGAAGAGAGAGCATTCGCTTTGGCACTCAAGCTCGTTGTGGCACCTTGATCTTTTCTTGCAGCCGTCTTTAACCAACAATCCCTTGTCGCCAAAGTCGTAATTCTTCTGGCTGCACCATCCGCCGCGTTTGATCTGGATAGCGTTACACTTTCGAGATCTTCACGGAGCACTTGGAAGAGCTAGGGCGCCACGATGAGTGCGCCATTGCCGAAGAGAATCATCAAGGAAACGGAGCGGCTACAAAATGAGCCAGTACCCGGGATATCTGCGCAACCTCATGATGACAACGCTCGTTACTTTGATGTGATTGTAGAAGGACCAGGAGGGAGCTGCTATGAGGGTGAGCTGGATAATCATCTGCGCATGGCTCTGTGCTGGCGCTGAAAGAAGACACAGGTGGCGTATTCAAGTTGGAGCTCTTCTTGCCCGATGACTACCCGATGTGTCCACCGCGGATACGATTCCTCACCAAGATCTATCATCCCAACATCGACCGACTCGGCCGCATATGCCTCGACGTGTTGAAAAATAACTGGTCTCCTGCGCTACAAATTCGAACAATTCTCTTGAGTATTCAAGCTTTGCTTGGTGCGCCCAACCCAGAAGACCCATTGAACGAAGCAGTCGCAAAACAGTGGAAGGTAAATACTGTCTAGAAATGAGTTTTCGCCCCACACTGACGTCTCACCTCACATAGGAGAACCAGCCGGAGGCCATAAATACAGCCCGCGAGTGGACGCGGTTGTATGCACAAAATTGAAGGCCATTCGCGTCAGTCGTCCTTGTGCAGGGTTTCGATCATACCTCATTTGTGACCTGTGTCGCGAGACTGTTATGCAAGCATGCTATTCTTGGATGAGATTGATAATGCAGATCTGCTTTGCGTGAGCTGATGACGGATTCTAAGAGTATCTGGCATGCATCTGGGTCAAGGCAGGGCGGCAGGTAGGCAGCTTCAACATTCCGCAAATCTCGGAACTCATCATACACAGCAGCTAGAATTTCTTCCTGAACGATCGTGTTGGCGATCATTGACTTTACGAATTATGGCAGAATTACATTTACGTTTGCAAAAATGCGAACTCAGCCGTGTTTGGCTCACTTTCACTGCCCGGCCTGCCATGAGTGGTAGTAGCGCCATGGAATTTCCAACACCGTGCCGTTGCTCCGAGACGACAAGTAATTGTGCACATAAAACTTTGATGAACATGTGAACAAGGAGGCAGACAATGAATGGTGGTTTTCTGACCGGCAATCAGATGCGTACGGGTCAAATTCTGACAGCCCGATCAAGTGAAATGCCGTGAATGTGCTTATGATGCCGCAAATGCTCGCAGCTCATGGCACTTCCAATGACCCACGGAGGGCACAGCGCAACACCGCATTTCCAGCGTTTTCTGTGTCTCCCATCAATTTGTCGGGTCATCACAACTTTATCGTACCTTCGACCTGTCCTTGCTGCAGGTCACCTCATCTTTACCCTGTCGAAATTCGTGAGATCGAAGTGCGCACACTCTGGCTATCTCGACTCATTTTGGAACCGCATAGGCCATCTCGAAAGGCCTTTGCAGCGGCATGTCAGTCAAACAAGCATCTTTCGGTAGAAGTAGACCACGTCATGACAAAGAATCCCGTCAACCCAAAACGATCGGTAGTTCCTTCTCGTCCGATGTCGATGTTCGTTTGCAAGAATGTGGAGCAAATCTCACTCGTACAACTTCCGAGGGCGCAAGAGGAGGGGTTGAAGTAGACGGAAGAATGTCTTCGGTGACCGATCCAGGAGTTACTGCAACACGTTCGAAGGCAGATACCCTTCACAAAGATGGCTCGGCCTGGCTTCGTCGCTGGGACAAGCGTCAACAAGTGGAGATGGAATGGAGGTTTGAGCACGGTGAACTTCCTCCTGGACGAGATGACAAGACGCGAGCAACACGCCCTGCCGGAAAAGTGACGTTGATTCCAAGGAGTGTGCCAAAAGTCAAGCGCGTTGAGCCTGCAGATGAGCAAAGTGCACCAGGTATACCTCCACAGTGGCGTACATCGGCTTCGCCTGCGCACAAAGGCAACGAAACTAATGAGCATGAAGGCGATATGCACCGCAACTTTGAACCTAAGTATGCCGTCCCGAAACACTCGATAGCTGACAAATCTCCCGTAATTCCAATACGAAACGACTCCGTGAGAACATGCATCGAACAAGCGACGAGCCCTATTCCAGATCTCCGCCTCCGACAGGACGAAGCCCAATGGTCAGACAAATACGATCGTCGACATAATATGCATCTGCAGAGCACGGCCGCATTTGACTCTCAAAATCGGAGCAAGACGTCGCCAATCACCGCACCCAAGCGATGCGACCCACCACCTGTGCCACCTACCAGTCCGGTTTCCCCGCTTGACGAGAGTTTCATTGTCGTGAACACTACAGTGCTCCAGCAGCCTGGGTATCTGGGCGGGGACACGACCACCGAAGTGCTGAAGATAGCACCAAACACACCAGATTGGCACTTCCACCGAGCTCTTGACAGACTCGAAGGTCGGCAGATAGGTCCCAGAACGCCGTCGTCGCGGTCCGAGGTCATCCCAGACTCGCCTACTCTCAAAGGCCTCGGTATACAAGGATTAAGCTCAGGTATCGTCAAACCGGACACCAGTTCAGAAACATCGAGCGATCTAAGCTTGCTGCGTGGAGAGCAAGCGACGTTCAAACACATGGCTATGATGGCTGCAATGCAAGCAGCAATCGAGAATGGCCATCACGAGGACGAGGATGGCTACACGACTTCGAAGGTCCGTCCGGATTCCCCTGTTGAGTGTACTACGGTGCCTGGTTCGCCTGACGGTTATGTTTCTCGTAAGCGCCTACTAGTGAAGCCAAGTCCAGAGCACGGAAAGATAGTTCCAGAGAGAAATAGCACGTTCTTGATGCAAGTTCAGGAATGTGCGCGGCAAGAACAGGCACTGAGAGCTAGTACTCCATCGCATTTGCAGCTGGCCCATCCAGCTTTGCGCGATCATGACCATGTCAGGGACCAAGACTGCAAGCTCGACGCGTCGAATGACAAGAAAGCGCCCATACTGGAGAATTTGCACCTGCGCAAACATGTCGTCGAAAACTTGCAATACAGTACTCGCCAGAGGCTTATCGATCGAAGGCTGAAGGGGAAGTCCACCGGTGGCGTTACCCCTTTACAGCAACAGAAATCACAGCAGCCACAAACTAAGTCGGAGTTGGAGTTGGAGCCGGATTCAGGCTCTCCCTGTAAAAGAATATCCAGCGCGAGTACGATACTGTCTGCGGTTCAGTCTCCGTTTTTACCATTCACGCATCGCAGCAGCGAAGGCGATTTGCGAACTTGTTGACGGATCTTTGATCATCGATCTTCATTTGTCCGGGATCATGCAGACTGGTGCATGAAGCACCTATACCTAGCAATGAAAATTCATGTCCTATTCGGGCGATGGACATCTTCTCTGAGGACGTGCTGGATGCCCGGTCTGTAATAGTCTTCGTCGACCATGCGGGATAGAAACTGCCCAGGTGGGGACAAGTAGTGAAACAGAAGTCATCATGTTCGTCACGTGATCTCGCGCGTTGCGCGTCCGAGCCATCCGCCTACAGACCATGATGTTGGCTAAACGTAAAATGACTCGTCATCGACAATGTCGCAATGCCAAATGCGAGCAACGAGGAACAGCCTCACGAGGCAGAGGTGCCAGTGCGCCTCTCGCTACCGTTAGAGTTCCAGCAAGAGATATTTCACGAATTGCGCGATGAAGATATTCTCCTTGTCTTAGCCCGTGGGCTCGGGTTATTACGCATCGTCACAAACTTGCTACATTCTTATGACGCTGCGGGACACAATCTTGTGATCCTGCTCGGAGCTGATGATCGAGAGAACGACTGGATTGGAGAGTCGCTGGCCGAGCATGCAGCTGTCAGTCAAAGTCCGTTGTGCAGGGGCATGCAACTGGTCAATACGGATCTCACCAATGTGCCTCAGAGGGAGAAAATGTACAAGCGCGGCGGCATCTGTTCTATCACCAGCCGAATACTAATTGTTGACTTCCTGAGCGGCTTGCTTGATGCATCGACAGTCACCGGCTTATTGGTGCTTCACGCAGATCGTATTTCTGCCACCAGTCTTGAAGCTTTCATAATCAGGTGTTTTAGGCAAAAAAACAAGCAAGGATTTCTCAAAGCTTTCTCAGATCAACCTGAGCCTTTTGCCAGTGGTTTCCAGCCATTGACAAGCATCCTCCGAAATTTGTTCTTGCGCAAACCAAGTCTATATCCTCGATTCCATGTGTCTATAGCAAAATCGCTTGAAGGCAAGCGCAAAGCTGAGGTCATCGAGCTGGAAGTCCCGATGACCGACGCGATGCGGAACATCCAGAACGCTATTCTCGAATGTGTTGAGGTATCCATCTCCGAGCTGAAGAAGGCGAATAGTAACGGGCTGGATATGGGTGACTGGAACCTTGACAGTGCCCTTCATCGATCATTTGATGTTATTGTCCGAAGACAGCTGGATCCGGTATGGCATCGTACCAGCTTCCGTACGCGACAAATTGTTCGTGATCTTTCCCTTCTGCGAGCCATATTGCACGCTCTACTTACGCATGACGCTGTCAACTTCAATCGTTATCTGGAGACCGTTCACGCCGCATCACAGCCACCTCCTGGTTCAACACGTCACAATCAATCCCCTTGGCTGTGGCTCGATGCAGCGCATGTTCTGTTCGATAATGCGAAAAGACGTGTCTACACCGGACGCATTGTCGATGCTGCCCCGGATGTAGAAGCAGATGGTTTGAATCCTGTGCTCGAAGAACTACCCAAATGGGCATTGTTGGCCGAGATTTTGGAGGAAATTGAACAAGACATGTATTACAACCCCCGCCCGCAAGAGGACTCGAGCGGAAGTGTCCTCATCATGTGTAATGACCAGGCCACATGTCGTCAACTTCGAGAATACATACAGACTATGCACTATGATGCCAAGACAAGCAAGTCAAATGCAAGCGAAGAAAACGATGAGGAGCCGGATCAGAGTAAGGCAAGTGCTAAGTATATGATGCGTCGCAAATTGCAGAACTATCTTGCATGGAAGCGGGATTTCGCCAATGTCAGCAGCAATCTCTTTGCGGCGAATCAGAACGAGATCAATGGTACGAGCGGTCACACTGGGAAGCAGTCCGGACGAGGCCGAGCTCCGCCTAATAAAAGACGGAGAGTCCGAGGTGGCGGTACATCCTCTGGTCTCAATCGAAGTGCTGATGGCACTGTACAAGTCGCAGGTGACAAAGATGCCCACATCCAGTCTCTAATGTCTGACCTTGCGTCTCATTCAATTGATGACCCGCACGCGCCCAGGCTAGATCTGGGAGCGGATCCTCTTGACGATATGGATGATTACTACGAACTTTACGACATGAAAGACCTGGTGTTAATACATCCTTACGACGGAGATAATGATGACCATTTACTCGAGGAAATCAAGCCGAGATACGTAATTATGTATGAGCCCGACGCTGCCTTCATTCGAAGGATTGAGGTCTTCCGCAGTAGTCATGGTAGCCGGCAGGTCCGCGTCTATTTCATGTACTACGGAGGAAGCGTCGAAGAACAGAGGTATCTGTCTGCGGTTCGTCGAGAGAAGGATGCTTTCACCAAGCTGATTCGAGAACGCGGCAACATGGCATTGACATTTACCCATGATAATGATAACACAGACCCGCAAGAAACATTTCTGAGAACGATCAATACGCGCATTGCTGGCGGTGGAAGGTTGGCAGCTACTGCTGAACCCCCTCGAGTTGTCGTTGATGTACGGGAATTCCGAAGCAGCTTACCATCATTACTGCACGCTAGGAATATGCAGGTTGTGCCGTGTACGCTGACGGTCGGCGATTATGTGCTGACACCCAAAATTTGTATCGAAAGAAAGAGTCTGAAGGACTTGATTTCCTCTTTCTCAGATGGAAGGCTTTACAACCAAGCCGAGACAATGTTGCAGCATTACGAAAATCCCATGCTCCTGATTGAATTTGAGGCACAAAAGGCATTCATGCTGGACCCTTTCGCGGATATCTCATCGACCAGCACGGGACCCTCGTACACTGGACAGGATCTACAGTCTAAACTCGTTTTATTGTGCATTTCGTTTCCCAGGTTGCGAATCATCTGGAGTAGCTCGCCTTATCAGACAGCCGAAATCTTCGAAGAGCTCAAGAAACAACAAGATGAGCCTGACCCGTTGAAAGCCGTTCAGATCGGTCTCGAGAACGGCGAGGACCCTGAAACACGCACATTCAATCAGACGCCTCAAGATATGCTTCGGGCAGTCCCTGGCGTGACGAATAAGAATATCTCACGATTGGTCATCGAATTTGAGAACATTCAGGATGTTGCGAATGCGGAAGAAGATGCTATCGCAGGTATGATTGGAAAGGAGAGTGCTAGGAAGATTCGTTCATTTTTTGACCGCAGCGTCATTGATGTCGGAGCGGATTGAAGCATTTCAAGGCTGGCAACCAGTGGTGTACAACACAAAAATAGATGCTGATACAGCTTGTGTGAATGCGCGCGGTTACCATCAAGTCGTGATGAATTACAACGAAACCTGCCACTCCAGCCCGTATCATTGGCGACTGGACATGGATGGTCTAGCGAGGAGGCCCTCAGCAGAGGCGCCGGTCCCTGCCAAAAATGTGATACTTTTACAACGCTAGTATATACATGCAAGAGGGGCTTCTTCGCGCAATGCCTATTTGATCGAATTCCTGATCTCCTGCCGCCTGGCTTCGGCCTCTGCATCTGCTGCTTTCCGTCGTTCAAGCTCAGCCAGGACACCCTCGCGTCGGCGCTTTTCAACGTCCTGCTCCCATGCTGTCCAAACTGTGGAATGACTTGTTAGCAGATCGAACAGGAATTGATGTAAAAGACAGCGGACCAATGACCTACTCGGCTTCTCGTCCTTCGAATACTCCTTAAGCTTGTTCACGAAGACTTCAAATTCTTCTTGGTTACCTTGGCGTCTCTCCAGTGATCGACGCTGGAGTTCGGGGTTGTATCTCTGTTTGTAGTCAGTTAGATATCGATTCCGACTGGGCTGGCGATTCCCGAAGGAGCTGGGCTCGGCCGGTATATACCTTGAACAATTCTTCCTCGGTCGGAGTGACGTAGTAGATCAATGCTGGTCCTCCAACACAGCACGTCACTCCTCTATTCGTCAATCTGTCAGTGAAAAAGTCCGCCAGGAGTATTGCCTTTGTTGATGACTTACGCAACGGCCATCTTGACCCAAGTAACCGTCCTCATTATGATTGCGTAGCTGTGAAATATCCGATTGATAGAGCTGTCGATCTCTAAGATGAGTCTAAAGCCTCGGTCCTGATGCTGATGCTTGAATTTTTGTCGAGTCGTTCTTGTATCGCTACCGATGATATTCATGCAATGACATATGACTCGAACATGGTTGGCAGTCATGATGCGCACAAAGAAGTAGGGTTCGATGCCACAAGTCGTGCACAACCCTACGCTCGGTAACTATATTGCCTGGGGCGCAATCCCCCTCCAGCTCTCGCCCAGAGGCCTCCATTGATTTTATCTCAGCATCTACCTTGCAGCATACACTGGTTTGTCACGATATGCATGGTCACTTTGAAATTCAATTCAAGAATACCAAGATAACTCCAATCATCCATCATGCTCAGATCTCGCTTGTTCCTCGTCATTGATATCTTCCTTTGGTTTTCGCCACCAGCTCGATTTGAGTAAGGATGAAAACAAGGCTCCTTGTTCATAGTGGCGACTTCGCCTCCTCCGAGTCCGAGCGGCTAAGTCCGGAGTTGTAACTGATCTCCTCATACTGGACTCTGGTCTTGACTGTGGTACATCGTCGTTCTGTAAGTCCGGCTCGAGCATTTTTCCGGCACTCGACCTTCTGCGTCGTTTCGACCGTTGACGATTGACACGTAATGATGGTAAATCAGGGTTCGATGCTGACGAAGTTGGCCTTTCTGTTGCTCCATAGCGGATATCATCTCCGCCCAGAGAATCCCAAATTTCTCTGACTTCCTTGAGAGTAGCTGCACGACGACGCCGCGTGCTGTGATGAATATGAGAGTGGCCTGGCGTGGAGCCAAGTATTTTTTGCGAAACACTTCGACTTCTTGAATTTGATTTATGCAATAGTGATGTGTGCTCAGTGGCGGGATGTTCGCCCTCGAACTCATCTCCCGAGTAGGTAGCTTCGCTATCGCAGGAATCCGAGTCTGGTTCGCCGACGAAACCCATGCCTGGAGCAAGCACGGTTTGGGGTATCTCAGCTTGCTTCATCACAGCCTGATCAGTGTGATCCTCGTCGTCATGTAATCTCCAGCTTAGCGCCAATACTCCCGCCAATAGCAGTACCGTCCCAAGTGCGATGAGTCCAGCCTGTAATGCTTTTAATTGGCTCATTTGTCGGAAATATATGAGGCCATCCAAGATTGCAACAATGTTGTATACGCAGAAAACGAAAGGATAAAGAATGCTGGTTGAGATGAGCTTCAACCCAAGATGAAGGTAGTATAATTGCGCCAGCGATAGCACGAGGAAGGCGAGTATGAGTAGCCAAGGCTCGAACGATTTGAACTGATTCTTGTGATCAGACAAGCTGGTGACGATGAGTTCCACTGCGCTCTTAGCCAAGAGAAGCGCGTGCGCGGAAAGAACACCAGATATGAGACCGAAGCTCATACCATTTATCAAGCAGACGCGGGGACTGTCTCCACTGAGTCCCGGAATGCAGAAGCGCAAAGTGAAGGTTAGAACAATGATCAGCAGAACAAAGATCAAGGACAATATGAACCAGACTAAGAAGGCTGGGATAGAGAGCAAGTGGAGTAACTGCTCCAGGCTGTGACTGGGCTCCGGCACGGCAGAGAAGAAGCTGACCAGCACGGCGCCTGCTGCCACGAGTACTGTCCCATATACTGTCCGCCAGGTCCACGCCTCTTTCAGAATCAAGCTCGCCAATATGCTATTGAACACCAGACCCGATGCTTGTAGCGTGCTGAGCACTGGCAGCGGCAATGTGGTGATTTGTATGCTTGATCCAACGATATTGGCAATGAGAAACAGGAACATTCCAATTTGCCATCTTCGCCTCCGGTATGGTGGTCTATATGCGACGTCGTCGTCCTTTTCGTCCTCTTCGATATGTGATTTGCGCTGCATAGTCAAGCCGACAGACTGTACGCATGTTGACAAGAGGCCAACAATGATTCCCAGGGCCACCTGGCCCTCGGGAGACATTTGCACCATATTGGCAGGGAGTTGTGTTGAACACAGGTTGGTCGATCGAAGCGGCTAATTCGTGTTTGTGGAGTCGGACGTCATGATGCTGCCATGATTGTAGGTCGAGAAGTCGCTCTCCAGGCTGAACAGATTTGAGTGTCAGAGTAGGTGAAGAGAAGGATTGTATAGTTGCGAGGTGTTATGATCGCAAACAAGCGCTGATATACATATGAAGTTGACGTACTGGACAGCGGCCCGGCTCAAAGCTGGTTGCACTGTGACAACGAATGATGGTGTCCGAAGTCGTGACCTGCGTCAGGTGGCATAGGATAATCTCAAACGGGCATAGCCGCAACGTTTCGAAGCGTAGGCTGATGCATCGGCGGGAGCTGCGTCAACGTGCACGGAACCATTGCTTCGTCCGTAGCGGCGGCACCTTCAACCGTCATTGCTGGCCAGAAACAGCTCTCATTGTCTTCATTTGCTGCGAGTTCCGAAGACAGCTGGAAGCACGCAGCCTGGTTCTATATTTTCTGTCAGACCGTACGACTTGATTACAGCAACGTTTCACTACAATCAGCCAGCAGCAGCAGCAGCATCATGTCGCAGGCACACGCCATGTCGGACGACCAGGTCCAGACGGAGCTCCGCAAAATGACGGCATTCATCCGTCAAGAAGCTCTGGAGAAGGCTCGCGAGATCCACCTCAAGGCAGATGAGGAATTCAGCATTGAGAAGTCGAAGCTGGTCCGGTCCGAGACATCCCGCATCGACAGCGAATACGAGAAGAAGTTCACCCAGGCTGGCATGAGCCAACAAATCACCAAATCCACTCTAGCCAACAAGACCCGACTACGCATTCTCTCATCCCGGCAGGAACTTTTGGACAGCTTGTTCGAGGATGCGAATAAGAAGCTTGCAGAGACTGCGGGCAAAGATAAGAAATACGAGACGGTGCTGAAGAATCTCATCTTGGAGGGTCTGTACGCTTTGGTCAATGAAAAGAAGGTCATTCTCCGGTGTCGGAAGAAGGACGATGCATTGGTCAAGAAGGCCGCTGAAGCAGCTAAGGAGGAATACAAGAAGAAGCTGAAGGCGGAGGAGCTGGAAATTGTGATCGATGAGAAGGAGAAGGTTCCGGAGGGATCGTGAGTAGACCAGATTTTGTGACTACATGTTTAAACATTGCTGACTGTGATTACCAAAAGCGCCGGCGGCGTCATCATTCTGAACAGCACTGGCAAAATTGACATCAACAACACCTTCGAAGAACGACTAAAACTTCTAGAGACCGATGCTCTGCCCAGCGTGCGAACGACACTTTTCGGCGAGAACAAGAATCGGAAATTCAAGGACTAGATGTTCAGCTTTGCGTAGAGCTTCATTCGATCTTCCGGCATGGGATTTGAATCGCAGTGACATGCTCATGCTAGTGCTGTATAGACTTATGAATTGAACGCGACGTCTACATTGAACATCTTGTGGTTCTCGTTCCGACAAGTTCCTACTCTCGTCTCTAGCCTGATCACGCAGTCAACAAGTATAGCAGGCGGAGCTGCCGAGCTCATGGCCCTTCGATTTGTGTTTTTGTCGCCCATCAAACTTGATTGGCTACAGCATTCTTGTTGTCTATGCCATCCTTGTCCTTAAGCGCCAGAGCATTGGCACTCGCAGGTTTGAGGAAGCTGAGCAAGGATCCCAGCGAGCCGTCGCCGCTAACTCCAAAAGCGCTTTTGCGTGGCCGTGGCTTTGACCGCACGCTGTACTCCAGCCGCACGATCAGACGCTCAATGGAACTCTTCGCCTCAGTGCGTGCTAAATGTGTAGTTCCAGCTCCACGAATTCGGCTGGACATTGATTGTAGCCGTCGCGTGAGGCCATCGATATATCCATCATGGTGTCTCGTAACATCATTTTGCTGTGGAGCTTTGGTTTTCAACAACGTCGCCGTGGGCGTCGCGGAATTTAGTGGTCTCGGAGAATGGTATGGAATATGCCCTGCTCCAATGCCAAGATCCAGCACCGCGATGAGGCCTTGCAGAAGTTTGTAATTGGTTGTATCGCGGATCGCGAAATCATGAGATTGATCCAGAGCGTCCAAGATCAATACCTCCAGATCAGTTCGAGGTTCGTATTTCGATTGCGATTGGGATGCCCGTGTCAGTAGGTCAATAGCAAGAAGACGTCGTGTTTCAATTGAGCGCTGGGTTCCGCCAGGAAGCGATATAATGACTCGACACCTCAAATTCCGTGATAGACTTGGGAAAGAGTCAAAGGCGTCTGCGATTTTCGATGTGAAATCTCCGAATACTTCTGCTGGAAGCAGATCCAACATGGTCTCGATGCAACGTGCAACTGTCATAGGCAGAGCGAAATCCTTTTGAACATTATCATCGACGTTGATCAGAGCGAGATGCACGAAGGTTGCCAGACTCATCTTGGAATTATTGTTCGTTTCATCGGCTGCTGCAGAGCACAAGCTGACCACACGAATGATGTATTCGAGTCCTGCAGGGGCCGCCGTCGGAGCCATCTCCCGAGATGACCTTCCTTTGGGTGGGTACACGTTGCAGAATTTCTGGATCATCGCTAGATCGTCGGGCACACCGGAATTGAAAGCTGCTCTGCGCAAAGTCTCCACATACGATTCACATAGAGGTTCGTCATTCTCGAACATCAACCGCTGCGCAATCCACAATGTCAAATGGGGATCCAAAGGAAAATGCATCGCCATATCGGCGATGGTCCCTGTAGTGAAAGCATATCTGCGAGACTCCTCGTCTGCGAGTATGGCACGCCAGGGCTCCTTCTCTAATAAAGTCTTAGCGAACCGTGGGAAGGGTACATCTGCCTGCGCAGGTCGGTCGTCGGAAAAGAAGTAGAAGCGCTGAGCCTGTTCCAATGCTTCCGTTCTGTCAAGGGCGAGCACTATTCGCTCCTGATCGTCGACATCATTTGCTGCAGTGGCAATAGCGTTCTGCAATTCCACGAGGTTGGAGTTGTCCTCCGTATCTTGATCGTGTTCCATCGCTTTCTCCAAAGTGGCGATTCTATCTGCAGCTAGCCTACGATTCTTCGCTTTTATGGCCATGTTCATAAGATTATATTGGTAATTCTTGCGGAGAGGTTGACTAGAGTCAACCATGGTGTTACTTGAGCATGGTCGCCGGCTTGCTGCACCTCGAGATGCGTGAGAAGACATGTGCTTCGAATCATCTTCTCTATAATCGGCCGGAGGCGATAGCTTCCTCCGCTTTGCTGGAAGCAGAGACCATACATCTGGAAGTTCTTCCTCGCTTTCAGCGCTATCATCGGAGTCGGAATTTGTGACCCCTTTTATTCCGTCCTTCACGATTCGCCGGCTCGAGCTTTGAGTACTGGCAGGTACACTGGAGAGACTTACGGCGGACGAGAAAGAGAGATTTGCAGTAGGTTTGCTATGCAATGATGTACCAGGAAAGGGGCACCGTTCAATAGGCTCCTCTGATGTCAGTGGAGGCATTTCGACGGCAGTCACTGGCATCGAGGCTGATGCACTGAGTTGCGGCCCCAGAGATTGCGACGCTTGTGAAATGGGAAACTGTGATGAGCTCAGACTACTGGGCGGCGACGAAGAGTCTGAGAGAAGGTCCATGGCCTTCGCGCAGCCATCCCGTGTGACAGTGTTCTTTCTGGGCAAGCGCTGTGGCGATGTATCACGGGAAGCCCTGGATACAAGAACATCGTCCTGGGGAATTCGTGTCTCTCCGTTACTAAGCAGTGAGTCTGCTGCTTGTTCAGCATTGAAGACTTTGCTATGTCTGTCACGATCGTTTGCTTCACTTAGGTCCAGGTTGTTGGCTGGGAGAGATTCATCGGCAAATTCGTCAGCCGAATTCTTATCAGCCGTCGGGGCTCTTTGTCGCCTTGGACTCGCACTTGCTACAATTATCTCCTCGAGAAGGTCGTGATCTTGTGAGGATTTTGGTCGCTGAGGCACTTGAGCTGCCTTGAAGAAATCCCTGATATTTCGCCCATTGTTTGTGACAGCATGACTTCTAGGCATGGCCGTCAGCGCAATGGGTATAGCAGTGTCGGTCAGCACAACCGCTCTCCTGTCCAAGCTGATGGTCATCGCCTATCGAGTGTGAAGTCGTGGACGACGCGTAAAGGACGCGTCTCACACGTGATTTGATGTAATTTCGCCAGCGGATTGGATTTTAGAAACGTCAGCGAAGAGCGTCGGACCCTAGATTGATGAGCTCATTGCAACCCTTGGGAGGGCTTGCCAAAGCGCCTGAGTGCTGGGGGAATATCTCATGAAGCATTTTATGCTCTCTATATTCACGCGCTTGAAATAGCACATCGGTGCGCTCCATTCTTGACACGGATTTGCGTCTGCACAAATTGTTGTCGTTACTTCATGCTGTTTGCGTACCTGCCTAGGTACCTAGGTTCCTTGTTACCTTGTTACCGACCTTGGAAGCAATCATTGTTACGATCCCTGCACGGCTAAACTAGCAGCAGCCCATGAGTCCTGGTGACGATCAAGCGAGTCCAATCTGAGAGATTGACACAGGTGATTTATGGCATGCTCATGTAATCTGCTTCATGTCTGCCCAGTTGAGCATGCCCGGCTGAACGTGTTCTTATCCCAGTATTGAGGCCCAGCTGAGCTGCTGACCGCAGCGCTGTAGTTCTGCGCCAAATCATTCGGCTGGCCTTGGAAATCGTGATCTAAATTTACCACAAGGGCTAAGGGCGGCATTTCCATGGACATTTCCATGAACAAGAGAGCTTTCGTATCATGTGCACCTGGCCTAGGACATATGACTTCAAAACCCACAGTTCTTCTAAAGAATTGCCTATCGATGTCTTTGTAGTCGCTCGATGGTGCCACGTTCCCTTGTGAACTGACATCTCCAAAGCCTACTGGAGTTTCTCTTTGCTAGCAGCCCCGAAAGCATTTGAGCACTTCTGTAGACCGTTGGTACTTGTGGCTGCCAAGCGCGCCGAAGCCCCTTTGAACGACACAAGCGAGGTGAGTTTATCTAGTGTTCGGCTTGGCTGGGCGTTCACCTTCATTTGGGAGACTAAAAGGCTTGCTAGCATATCATAATTTCGATGCTGGTATTTCAGAAGGTTGTAAAACAGTGAGTACATTGCAAAATCTAAAGCTCGATGGGTGGGCGTGCCCAATGCAACCAGATGTGACTGTGGAAAGAGTCAGGAAGATGATGCCGTCCATTATTTATCACAGATGTGCCTTGGAATCTATATTTAATAACGTGCCTGTAATGCAAGGAATATTCCGTCAGTCCATACCTAGGTATATATACATGATAATTTGAAAGCAGCTGGAGAAGCAACAACGCGATTCATGTCTCTGCTCAAGTGCTTATCTCAGGCACTCGCGTAATGGAGCCCGCGACCGTCGCTCCTCTCGCTATTTGGTACAAGAATAGGTCCCTGGGGAATGATTATTATACGCAAGCCTTCAGCTGAAGGTCAGCCGGGGCGCAGCTGTACACTTGTCCATCCCTGCAAGGTGCATGCACAGACGCGGCGTCTGCAGTCCTGTATGGTGCATGTACCCCTACAGGCACGTGACAGTCTTCTATACGTGAGGAAGAAGGAGGACTCTACCCAGGTACCGTTTCTGTCGACGTGCAATGAGCCCGGAGTTTGGAGAAGACCGAGGGCCTCAAAACCCCCCAGTTTGATAATCAGACACCTGGGCAGGCTTCAATGACACACTTGGTCTGTCGTCCCGTTGTCTGAGGGAACTGCAGACCATATTATGTATAATTTGCATGCTGCACGTACCTTGATAGAGTAATCAATGGTCTGTCAGAGTGGAAATCTACCACAAATAGGCCCAGCGTGGACAGCGGTCCCATACCGTCTTGATGTTAACCTCACTCAGAGGAATCCGTATGACTAGCTCAGCTGCATTTACACATCTCATAGAATACAGTGGGAATATATTCTATGCATGTATACATGCTGCTGCCCATTATTTTCCTGATTATCGGCTTGCATTACTTCCGCTTGCAAAAGGGGACTCGTCGGATCGCGGGCTCATCACAATTGCAACTCTCGCTAGGTTTAGCTCCGCCGTGTGCCGGACTTCTAAAGTTCCCTGCAGCATCGTGGCCAGTGTGTCCTGTTAAGCCCGAACCCATTACATCTTACAAATCTCGCCGAAGGCCGCCCTGCCTTCCCATACGCCCACACGCAAAGTCGCTCACCACTGGTGGACAGCCGCGTCTGCTTCCACGTCAATTTCATTCGTTCTTCACGTCAACCGAAAGACTTTTTGACGACAGAAATCACGCTGCATCAGCCGCAGTCCGCTCTCTCGGCGCTGCTGCGCTCACCATTCATCAGCAGTCTCCTTGTCGACCCTATGCCGTCCTGCGCGAGATAACATCGTCAAAACGTGCGAGTCGCGTCTTGCCGCACGATTCGATACCATCCCGTCTGTTTGGTAACCTCGGCCAGGCAACGCGACGTTCAAAATGGTGGTCATTGAGGATCCCGAGATGTTGTCCGCGGAGCGCACCAACCCAATGAAGCGCATGCGATGGGCAACTCAACGCATACCAGGCAAGAAGGGCCTACAAAAGCGCAAGTCGATATTCAAACGGCATGCGGCGCGGATGAGCTCTGGGTCTACCAACGTAGATCCTGCCGTGCTTGAACACAACGAAACAAGGGCAGAAGAGATCGCAAATGACGAACCCATTGAAGGACAAGCCCCAAGGACTATCTACTTCAATCAGGATCTACCGAATGAGGTGCGAGATGAGGACGGCAGGCCACTGCAGCACTTCAAACGAAACAAAATCCGCACTGCCAAATACACACCTTTGAGCTTTGTGCCTAAAAACCTATGGTTTCAACTACATAATATCGCCAACGTATACTTCATCTTTATCGTCATCCTGGGAGTGAGTACTGTCGGTTCCTGCGCAAAAATGCCAGTGTGCTGACTTGAATATCTCGACAGATTTTTTCCATCTTCGGTGTCACTAATCCTGGTTTATCTGCTGTGCCCATCATCGTCATTCTGGTCATTACGGCCATCAAGGACGCAATCGAGGACTGGAGAAGAACTGTTCTGGATAATGAGTTGAATAACGCGCCGGTGCACCGACTTGTAGACTGGGTCAATGTCAATGTTGCCGAGGAACAGATTGGCACGTGGCGGAAAATAAAAAAGGCCAGTTCAAAATTTGTCCTCTTCGCATACCGATTCTTCAAGGCCAAGCAAGAAGAGCGGCTCGCGAAAAAGGGCAAAGGGAAACAAGGACAAGATCGCGCCTTGGATGCAGCACTTTCCAGAGACGAGCCACGGCCCAGCCACATTGGCCGTCGATTGGACAATGAGGTCGATGACGACGACGACGACGATGACTTCCATGCCGGACAGCATGCGGACGGCGACATGGAAATGACACCCGTGTCATCGCCGACCCCTGGACAGACCGCGCAAACGCCCTACAAAAGCCCTGGTGTCGACGAGATTGACATTGAGGGCTCAGGCAACGGTCACCTTCAAATGGCTGAAGTACCCGTGCCGGATGCTGGCAGAAAAGTTGAACAGCTCCCGGTGCTGAAGAAGGATCATGGTAGCCTGATTGATCCAAGTCGCAAGGCAACAGATCAAGCGCGCTTCAAAAAGGATTTCTGGAAAAATGTTCGAGTTGGTGATTTTGTGCGGCTTTACAACGACGAAGAAATCCCCGCAGATGTCATCGTACTGTCGACGAGCGATCCAGACGGTGCTTGCTACATCGAGACAAAAAACCTAGACGGAGAGACGAATTTGAAAGTCCGTACCGCCTTATACTCGGGTCGCAGAGTCAAGCGAGCACGAGACTGCGAACGCACAAATTTCCTGCTTGAGAGTGAGCCCCCTCACGCCAACCTTTATGCGTATTCTGGTGTGGTCAGATGGAACCAACGCGACCCGAAGAATCCTCATGCAGCACCGACCGAGATGGCCGAACCTGTCAGTATTAACAATATGCTTTTGCGTGGCTGCACAGTCCGCAACACTGAGTGGATCCTGGGCATTGTCGCCTACACTGGAGAGGACACCAAAATCATGCTCAACTCTGGCATCACACCCTCCAAACGACCGAAGATCATGCGAGATCTAAACTGGAATGTGTTATACAATTTCATTATTCTATTCATCATGTGTATTGTCGCTGCTGTGGTCTCGGGCACGACTTGGGGTAAAGGCAACGAATCTCTGAACTACTTCGAGTACGTGACAACTGCACCTGGATTGAATGGCTTCATCACCTTCTGGGCTGCTGTCATCTTATTCCAGAACTTGGTCCCGATCTCGCTCTACATCTCTCTCGAAATCGTGCGCAGCGTTCAAGCGTTCTTCATCTACTCGGACAGTTACATGTACTACGAAAAGATCGATTACCCATGTACGCCAAAATCCTGGAACATCTCGGACGATCTAGGTCAAATCGAGTACGTTTTCTCCGACAAGACTGGAACCTTGACACAGAACGTGATGGAGTTCAAGAAATGTACAGTCAACGGGCAGCCGTATGGTGAAGCCTACACTGAGGCATTGGCTGGCATGCAGAAGCGTATGGGCATCAATGTTGAAGAGGAAGGCGCCAAGGCACGAGTGCAAATCGCTCAAGACCGCGCCGCCATGATTGAGCGGATCCGGCAAATGCATGACAATCCCTACCTGTGCGACGAACAGTTGACATTCGTATCTTCTAGCTACATTGCCGACCTCGATGGGGATTCTGGTCCTGAGCAGAAAGCTGCTAATGAGGAATTTATGCTTGCTCTGGCGCTGTGTCACAGTGTCATCACAGAAAGGACCCCTGGCGACCCTCCGCGGATCGAGTTCAAGGCGCAAAGCCCCGACGAAGCCGCGCTGGTGGCAACTGCCCGGGATTGCGGTTTCACTGTCACAGGTCGATCGAACGACGGAATCATCGTCAATTATCTTGGACATGAGCGCGAGTATCAAGTGCTGAACATATTGGAGTTCAATTCCACACGAAAGCGCATGAGCTCCATAGTGCGCATGCCTGACGGCCGCATCATGCTTTACTGCAAGGGAGCCGACAGTATCATTTATTCCAGGCTTAAGAAGGGTGAGCAGCCTGAACTACGAAGAACGACCGCAGAGCATCTAGAAATGTTTGCACGTGAAGGTCTACGGACCCTGTGTATTGCTCAGAAGGAGCTGGATCCTATGGTGTACAAGGAGTGGGCCGAAGAACACGAGCTGGCGGCTGCCGCGGTGACTGACCGAGAAGAAAAGCTGGAGGAAGTTGCCGATGCTATTGAGCGTGATCTCGTCCTTCTGGGAGGAACAGCTATCGAAGATCGACTACAGGATGGTGTCCCAGACACGATCGCCCTCCTCGCTGAGGCTGGCATCAAGCTTTGGGTCCTGACAGGTGACAAAGTGGAGACCGCCATCAACATTGGCTTCTCTTGCAACCTACTCGGTAACGACATGGACCTGATCGTGCTCAAGACTGAAGATGATGATATTGATCTTGCCGAGGATGAGTTGGATAAGCATCTTCTTTCCTTCGGCAAGACTGGCTCGGACGAAGAGCTCAAGGCCGCCCGGAAAAACCACGAGCCACCAGCACCTACCCATGCTTTGGTCATTGACGGTGACACTCTCAAAGTCATGCTTGATGACCGCTTGAGGCAGAAATTCCTGCTTCTCTGCAAAGAATGCAAATCAGTCCTATGCTGTCGTGTCAGTCCTGCACAAAAGGCTGCGGTCGTCGCGTTGGTCAAGACTACATTGGACGTCATGACGCTCTCCATTGGTGACGGCGCGAACGACGTGGCCATGATTCAGGAGGCCGACGTAGGAGTCGGCATTGCAGGCGAAGAGGGTCGACAAGCAGTAATGAGTTCCGACTACGCCATTGGCCAATTCCGCTTCCTGGCCAGACTCCTTCTGGTCCATGGTCGCTGGGATTACAAGCGCATGGCAGAGTGTATCGCCAACTTCTTCTACAAGGTAAGTCACGTGCACATACCACATCTTGATCTCCGCTAAAATGCTCTTGCAGAACATCATCTGGGTGTTTGCTCTGTTCTGGTATCAAATCTACGCGAACTTCGACTGCTCTTACGTCTTCGACTACTCATATATCTTGCTCTTCAACTTGGCATTCACATCTCTGCCGATCATCTTCCAGGGTATCCTCGATCAAGATGTCGATGACAGAGTTGCGCTCGCCAACCCACAACTCTACCGTCGCGGAATTGAGCAAAAGGAATGGACGCAACTGAAGTTCTGGTCGTACATGATTGATGGATTGTACCAATCTGTCATTGCATTCTACTTCACCTACTTCATGTTCGATCAAGCGACCTTTGCCACCTCAAACGGTCTCAACATCAATGATTACAAGCGACTCGGCGTTTACATCGTCAACCCGATTGTGGTTGTAGTCAACGTGTACATTCTCATTAATACCAACCGATGGGACTGGTTCATGTTGTTGATCACGGCCATTTCGATTTTGCTCATCTGGGCCTGGACTGGCATCTACACCCTTTTCGACGCCGGCTTCACCTTCTTCCACGCAGGATCACAGGTCTACGGCGAATTGTCCTTCTGGGCGCTATTACTACTTACCGTCATCACGTGCTTGCTGCCACGCTTTGCAATCAAAGCTTTCCAGAAGATCTACATGCCCTACGACGTCGACATTGTGCGGGAACAAGTTCGACAAGGAAAATTTGACCACCTCAAGGACTTGGATATGGACAAGATCAATTTTGCGTCGGAGAAGATGACGAACTCTCTGACCTCGTCCGAGATAACCAAGGCGGAGCATATGCGGTCCTCTTCAGGAGATCAGCGGCCTATTGACGAAGACATGAAGCCCATCTACCCGCCTTCAGTCGCCCCGACAGCGACCACCCACAACCCCCGCAGCCACAATGGTAGCGACGGGACAGAATATACCAATCATCGCGCAAGCCTCGCCGAGCTTGACCGCGCATTCCCTCTGGTTATCAGTACCACTGCTCCAACAGGTCCCAACGCTGTCAGGGACGAGTACAGGACAGAAACCACCCCGGTACGACCCAGCATGGACCGATTACGGCCCAGTTTCGATCGGTTAAGGTCCAGCATGGACCGCACGCGCGCCAGTTTCGAAGCGAGCAACGACTTCACTTCGGCGGCGGCGTTGTCCCGGGTGGAGAGCAGCCACTCAAACATTGTCACCGCCAGTAGCCGGCGGCAAGACATTAGCGATGATTTACGGTCGTAGTCTCAGCAGAATTGTGTATTTTTGGCTTTTTAATCCTGCACCCTCGTTCCCGGTCCCATTTTCGTTACCCCCAACTTTGTACAGGCTCCCTCTCGTTCTTTTTGTGCATTTAGAAAAAGGAGTTTTCTTTTGAATTTGTATTACCCGAGGTGCTGCGTGGGCCCTTCCTTTGGGGCAAGAGATATCCATGAAGAAAATAGTATAGAACAGAGTCTTTTGTTTTCGTAGGCGCCTATCCTTCCATGGCTTCTTTTGACTTGCATGTGTTCGTATGTTGCTAGACCCTGATCTCCTACAGGGTAAAGAGAGGGCAACGACGCCCCTCGTGTTTATGTTGCCTACTTTTATAACACTTGATACTATTTTTGACCCAGGCGATCTGATCATCTGTTCACATTACACTTCACATTTTTGCGATTTGCGTGCGCATCACTCAGTTGCCCTCTAACATTTAACATCGAGGCAGAGTCTTTCTATCGCAGAGATTCAAAAGCGAAAATGGTGGGGCTCACATTCATGGGTCGTTGTCGGAAAAGAATCGTTAATTATTTCATTGACCGCCTCTGATGTTGGCACCCCTCAAATAAAACTATGAAATCATGCGACCCGTCACAAATTCAAGCAATGATACCACCTTCACCACTAGCTCTTGGTGTCATCTTGACGAAGAAAGGCTCAGTCGCAAGAGCTGTGAAGCGATCATGACTTACCCACTTGTCTGACCCAGGCTGAAGCTCGTATCTGTACTTATGGAATAGGAACGCCAGTCCAATGTGCAACTCTACTAACGCCAAAGGGCGTCCGATGCAGTCACGCCCACCCTTTCCAAATACGGCGATGTTGGAAAACTTTGCCCGACCTTCAAGCCAACGATCCGGGTTGAAGGTGGCGGCGTCGGCGCCCCAAATTTCAGGACTTCTGTGCATCGTGGAGGCCGATAGGCCGACAATGGTTCCCGCTGGAACCAGCTCTCCGTCAACAATGAGAGGTGCTTTGGCGTTCTCGGGAACAACTCTCGGAAGCCGACCAGGCAAGGCCGGTCCACACCGTAATGATTCATTGACCACTGCATTGAGGACGGGAGCGGATTCGAGAGTGGCCAGATCAGGCATTTCCGGCGCGGCAGCGTCGAAGATGGGATCAAGCTCAGCCAAGAGTCGCTTGTGAAGGTTCGCATCGCGAAGGACATGCCAACTAGCGAAGGCGAGCGTGTATCCAGCCGTGTCCGAGCCGCCGCCGATGAAGCTGATTGCAGTCCCTTGTATGGCTTCTTCAGGGAGATCTTTCACGCTTGACATCATTGGTGCAAGCTCTGTGCCATTCGTTGCACCAGCTCGAACATTACGGATGCCATTTCTACCAAAGTCCTGGAAGTCTTTCAACCTTTGAAGCTCCTCATTGAACCGCGCGACAATGCCGATTGGCATCATATCCTGCAACCATCTCATATGCGGGAAATATGCGCGATACCATGTTCCTTTCGAGGCTGCATCGAACGACTCCAGAATAGGGGTTCGAAAGTCATCGTCACAAGCTGAGAGGACGGTGCTCTGTCCAAACGCAAACTTGCTGATGACATCTGGAGGGAAGCAGCGACAGAAACTGTACATATCGACAGGTCTGGTATATCCACGAGCCTCCAGCTTGGCCGCAAGTTCGGTGAGGGAAGATGTCATGAGACTTTGTCCCTTCACCATGTTGCCGTGAGAAAAGCATGGCGTCATTCGTTGCCGAAGTATCTTATGCAAAGAGGGGCTCATCGTGCCGAATACGCCGTGATCGTTCGCGAAAGTCTTGTAAAAATTGTCCTCTTTGGGGTACCGCCCATCTTGACTATATACAGTCTTGTACAGATCCGGGTCGGACAAGTGCAATTCGTTAGGAGCGATGCGAATGGCATGACTTCCTGTAAAGGGTATTCAGCGAGGGCGTCACAACAGCGAGCTTCAATCGAGACATACCGTAAGCCTCGTGCAATCGTGCGAACTCAGCTTCAGGATCACCTTCCATGGAAACCTTGTACAACCAGTCCGTGGAGACGGCCGCAGCTCTCGGGCCTGGGAACTTGGCCAGTTTGTGGTATCGAAGTCGATATGTGTCCCGAGCGAAGCGGTATAAGAATACACTCAGGATCGCACCAGGAAGAATGGCAAAGAAGAGGTAGGACGTTGTGATAGCCATGATTTCGTTTCTTAAATGATGTCAATTTTCGAAGTTCCGTCAGATCAATCTTGGAATTTGATGAGTGCTATGTGATTCCGTTCTATTGTACAAGTCATCGCAGCATCTTATATAACCTCGTCTTACGTCTCTGAGTACCACAATGACAGGTGCAGTCTTTCATGACGAGGCTCTCCAATACACCCAAAGGTGCGTCTAACACGCCGGGCTTTCGGGATTTGCCCTTTTCCCGGCTATAACATGTCCCATGCGTACGATGCCATCCTCCATGCTGCAGGATCTCCAAGCCGCTGACGCATGACCCAATAACGCTTCGTTGAATGTTCTGAAGCTGGTCGCCGGCATATCCCGAACACATCGGTCAATCTATATTCCCGCCATAAAAGTTCCGACCCTGTCGATACAGTACTCAGCCAATCGCGGATTCAACGAACGGCCGTGCCTCCGTAGCGAGCCTCTGAATGTCAGCGCTGAATAGACTACTGGATCGGTCCAGTAATCGGTAAGTGATAGTCACAATATGCAGAAGAGTAAGAGCGCCATATTTCCAAAGTGGCAAGGATTGTGGCGCTCACGATGATGAAAAGGCTGTAGTGATAAGCGCATCCTGCCTCACAGTTATGGTTAGAAATAGCAAATTGAGAGCGCCCTAAGCGCGCCCATCTGCAAGCTGAATGGAATTAGCCCTGTGACCGGCCTCACCTTTCATCGGGACTTCAATCTCCAGCACCTGAATGAGTTCCAACCGTTGGCTGAGGATCTGACAAGCAGCATAATTGCCAACATGAAGTGAGGAGGAGCTGTTTCATTCAATGAACCAGTTTCACAACAAGGAGACTCCCACCCTACGTGCTCCAAACCCTGCTGCGCGTGGTAAGCACAGCCATTGGCGTGCTCTTGGTTGAACGCCAAGAAGAGGCAGGATGCTCAGGTCCCATGGCCAAAGAGCCGTTGTGATAGACGAGTTGCGGGAATCGCTGGCTCAGTGCGCACTCCCTCAAACACATAGCATTACCTCCATCGTCCTCCACTCATCAATATTGCCGCCGTTAGCGCCACGATTGTGCTAATGAGATCTGACTGAATGGCTCACTTGCGGGCCTGGTCACGCATTGGAATATTCGAGGTCCAGGTTGCGATGTACGACGATGAACTGCTTGTTCAAAAGATGTCATGAGCGACGATCGTTTAAGAGTAAATTGAACGAAAGGAGCTATCTCGAAGAACAGATCAGGGACAGAATGAAGCAGGCCTCGGGCTGAGAAATCATAACAAACATTGCGAAGAAAGCAACCGAATAAGATACGGTCAGGATACAAGTCTCGGCTGACCCCTACATTCATTATCCATGCCGTGAGGTGTAGATGCAATATGAAACTCCCATCGCCCAAAGCAATGTTCGAGATTGTTGATGGCAATCCGCCGTTGAGACTCTCGATCCAAGTGTGAGGGACTATGTGTGATCTCCGAGTAACTTTTGAATGTAGACGTGAACAAAACAAACAAGCATGTACGAAGCGCCTTAGATCTGAGCAAGCATCAAATGAGCATCAACTTCGTCCTCGAAACTATGATGAGAAGAAGCTTCGAAGTGCATGAGGCGAGCCATATCGCCGAGTACCACGGTTGTGGAAGTGCATTACCTGAAAGAACCGCCGATGTTCTGACGAGCAGCAAAGCCACGGTCGGTCGTGTAGGGTCGAGCGTCGACTCCGAACCGATCGCCACCAAAGGTTGAACCGTGACGATTGGCGGGCAAACCAGTAGGTGGTCCAGGACGGGTAGTGACAGCAGGATTGCAGCAAAGCATGGCGACACGCGAGCCATACTTGGAGCCGCGCAGAGAGACCATGTGCTTTCGGATGTGCGCCGCAATGACTTCACGACGCTCAGGATCTCCGTTGGTGAGGATATACTGCACGAGGTAATTGCCAAATTGATCGCCAGCAATGTCAATGAGCGGCATGCGAGGGCGGTCGACGCGGGCTTCCGTGACGCGATCCAAGTAACGATCAAGGAAATCGACACCTCCGGTTCTCAAACACTTTTCAATCACCTTGGAAGCGTATTGGTCGGTGCTATACTCGCCAGCAAAGCGTAAGATGTGGTCGATAGCACGAGTGCGGTCAGACATGGAGCCATGCTCGCAGATGTGCTGAATGCACCAATTGCCGAATTGACCATGGGCGACAACATCAATGCTTGCAAGTACTTCTTCGATGCAGGGACGCTTGTCTTCCTCGAGACAATTTTCGAAAATGTTTTGGACGACGAGCGAACCCGTTTCTCCCAGAGCAACCTCGTGCCACATACCACGCAGAGCCTCGTTGACATATCTCATGATCTGAGGTGGTGAGTCGCTCCAGCGAAGCTCAAAAAGCTTTTGCCAGACGTGACAAGCGTAGCGATGGATGACAGTTTCCGGTATACGACGCAAAAGCTCGTGCACCATGATAGCCTTGTATTCTTCAGGTACACAGTCGAAGGCCTTCTGCACGACGTGACATCCAAAGGCGTCCATGCTGAGGTTCAAAGTATTGCCACGGATCGCTTCGGCGATGGAAACAATCTGCTCGGGAGTACCGTGTTCAAAGCAGCGCTGTACCAGGAAATTTCCGAAACGATTCACCATCAATGGATATGCTTGCTCGATGATAGCTTCGACCATAGCATAACGCTGCTCGGGAGTTCCGACTTTGAGCTTCTGTTGCAGGAAGATCGACGCCTGCTGATCGTTGTTACAGATGATCTTGTCGACGATATATTTCCAATTACAGGTCATGTTGCGGTCGAGCAGGCGACGATAGTTAAGAGGCTCAGTGATGTCTGCGTGCCCAGCGGGAGGCTGAGACGCCCACTGACCACGACCAAAACCAAATTCGGTCGCTGTAGCTGAGAGTCTGGTGCTAACAGGAGGCTGCAGCATGTTGTGACCGACGTTCGTTCCCAAAAACGGCGATGGAGACGTTGCAGACATTACTGGGGGCGTGCTGCTGCTTGAGCGTTCGCCAAAGCTCAAGCTCGAGCGTCCGAAGCCTTGCATACCATCAATCCTGCACGTCGTTAGCTTCAATCACCCAGGCGAATCGAATTTCGTGTCAGGACATATACTCACGATAGAGGTGCAAGATTGAAAGATGTCCGCTCCAGCGGAGTCGAGGAGCGTACAAATGACCCATTGGACTGCCCAGGCATGCTGCCTCGATTGTTGATGCTGGCAGCAAGGTGTTGTGCAGCTGGATAGGGCGAGCCGACAGTCTCTTCCATCGTATATTGAGCAAGACGAGCTTGAGTCAGCTCCAATTCCATTTGAGCCATGCGTTCCTTTTGGAGCTCGATGCTTTTCTTGAGCTGAGCAAGTTCGAGTTCATGGGAGCGATCACTGGAGCTGCCAACGTCGGTCGGCGGAGTCCTAGTATATGGATCCGTGGCAGACGATGACGAGCTCTTGTTCTCCGCGCTTTGTTCGTTCTCGCGATGAAGTGCTTGTGTAGGTTGCTGTTGAGCCCAAATGTTGGGAATGACCTCCTTGGTGACATAGTCTTTGTTGAAGGTGGTGGAGTTGATTTTCTGTAAAAGGTTAGCCATTCATATCGATACCAGCGTGACTTTGGGCTATGGTAAAGTGCATGGAGTCAAGCGATGACATACCTGCTGGTTGGCGTATTTGGAGGTGATGAGTGGCAGCGGTCTTGTGCTTGAATGATGAATGAGTTGACCGCCCTGAAGACCATGTTAGATGTTTGGCTAACGAATCGTGCGAGTACTCACCTGGCCAGAGCCGTTCTCGTCGTAGATCACAAAGGAGTTTGCCGACAACTTCTTGGTAGGGGATCCGGTACTAGCCATGATATGATGATTGATGTTCATGATGATGAAATGGCAAGCAGCGAAACAACCGTCAACGACGCGATGAAGTGCTCCGTCCAGAAGAGATCGGACGAGGGAGCGTGATGAGACAACAAGCTCGTGCGATAGGATGCAAAGATGTTCGAGAGATGGCAAAGGGCGTGTTTTCAAATGTCAGGCGGGCTAGGATGGAAGGAGGTAAGAAAGATGGGTGATATATGAGAAAGTGGTGGAAGAAAGGCTGACGCATGTGTAGAAGGAAGCTTCCAAAGTTCCTTTGAAGTGATTCCGGCAGAGTGGTGCACATGCAAGATGGAATGAAGCAAGGAACAGCGCCACCTGTTTGATTAATTGCACGGGTTTCAGGTGGAGATGGTGCGTCACCATCAGGCAGGTACGGCAAGTGCAGCTTTCATAACTGATATGACACTCATCCTCAGAGGTTCCGGAGGCAGTCGGCGCCTCGATCTTCAATCTTGCTGCCCATTTTGGGTGTCACACTATGTGCGCGCTTGAATGAGCAGAAGGCGCAATTGTCATGAATGAGTAGAATTGGTGAGGCGGTTGCTGCTGTACAATCGGATGTGTTGTTGCTGTTGCTGTCGTCGTCGTCGTCGTCGACGACGACGACGACGGTCTGCTCTTTGCGGTTGCTTCTGTTGCGGTTGTTTGTTGTAGTCCACGGGTAGTAATTATGACCATTCTGACACCGCACGATTAACAATGATGTTCCTACTTGCGCTATCACGACTAATTTTCATCGTTTAAGATACCCAGGTACCTCTGCAGTCAATCAATTATTCGTGGCTCAACACAGATAAGTTTTGCCGGCACGCTTGCTCGTCAAGCCACGCGACGACGTTCGGTATGTGGAACGGCCACGGCGGTAAAATTGATAAGTAGCCCCCACCACCTTCGATAGATCCAAGAGATGAAAGCCGACGCGGGCTGATCTTTCACGTACCGTACACGAGCGGATTGGGCTGACTTAATCGCCAAGTCGTGCCTTTCACATGAGCATTGGAATGGTGTTCTTCTGAAAACATTTGCACAGACCTTCAACCCGATTGAACAAGCATCACACCAATCCTCAATTTAGGAACTTGTGCTCGCGGAGCCATTCTTTGACAATGGCCTGATCTCTCTCTCTGTACTGCGCGTTGCCCTTGATGGTGTCGCTTACCACAGCAAGGCCTCGATCGTAGCCGGCAGTGTCTTCGCCAAAGAACTTGGAAATCTCTTGCTCCATTTCGAAGGTTGCAAACTTGGGAAGACTGACTCGAAGGAAGCGTTCCAGCACCACCATATTTCCGCTCAGCTTCGAGCGGATTAAGGGCCACTCCTGTTGTATGTATTGCCAAAGCGTGTCGCGCGTCTTTGAGTTTGCTGCCAAGGAACCACCCACCGAATGCAAATCCTGTGTGGCTACTTTACCTCCGAAAGCAAACGTGAGATAATCCAGTGCCAGCTCAGGCGTCTGAACACTTCCCAAAGAATGAAGCGCAATTTCCTTTCCATCAATCGAAGTGGTCTGCAAGTATTCTTTCTGGACAGCACGGTACGCCTCTTCGCCGCCATATTTGACGGAGATCTTGTACACCGCACCTCTCAACGATGGGTGAATCGCTTTTTGATCGCCGTTGATGAAATCCTTGAATCGCTTCTGCGATTCATTCACCGTACCTTCGTGGCCAGCAAGACCGGCTGCACCGATCAAGAGCGAGCGAAGTTGGCCAGTGAGGTAGCTCTCACTTTGAACAAACTCCCAACCGATAGCCTCAACTGCATTGGTTACCAACTTCAGAGTGAAAGCCTGGAGCCCTCGTGCTGTCTCGGTATCGTAGGAAAAGACGGAGCGGATTTTGCCAAGACTAGCAAGTACACCGCTCCAGACCAAATAATTCGTCTCGGTCTTGAAACCTTCAATGAATGAGAGCACGGCCGGTGTGGTGCCGTGACCTGAAATGGCCATAGCTGCAGCATCTCCGATGAGTCCGATCTTATCTTCAACGGAAAGGCGGTCAATAAATTTGCTCATCTCTGCAAGACGCTGGGGTGGCAGATTAATCCGATAGAAGCCTGTCTGATCTGAATTGATTTTGTAGAAACTATTGTCGATGTCGGGAAGAATGTCCGACTTGGATGTCAGTGGTTTGCGGCGCACTTCTGATGATTGAACGCCTGTCTTGACACCTAGAGGAATCCACCAAGTCGTTTCGTCCTCCTCTGGCTGGACTTCGCCCGATGTGAGGAATCTTGATTGCTTGATAGTCAATTGACCAGGCTCCTCAGAGACCGTGACCACCGGGAACCCAATTTTTTGAATCCAATTGCCCATGAATGCATCAACATCCTGGCCCGAAGCCTTGCTTAACGCTGCCCACAGATCACGAGTTCTGGCGTTGGCGTATGTGTGGGCTTTGAGATAATCGGATACACCCCTGAGGAAGGTCTTTACACCGAGATGAGCTGCAAGCATGCGGATTACCGAGCTCCCTTTGAGGTAGCTGATATGGTCGAAGATCTGATCGACCTCCAAAGCATTCTTGACAGGTACTTCAATCGGATGGCTTGTGCGGAGACTGTCAAGCTGGAAGGCCATCTGCATTCCATCTGCCACGAATTGTCCCCAGACATTCCAGTCTGGGTGGAGATGGTCCACAGCGTACCATCCTGTAAGAGCTGTCAGCCCATTCACGTTTAGAGAATACAACTCGTGAGCTCAAGCACTTACCGACCCAAGTGGCAAACCCTTCATTGAGCCACAATTCGTTCCACCTGTATGCGCATGAGCCTTTGCCATCTCATGAGGCATCAATCTAAGATTGCACACTGCTCACCAGTCCATTGTGACTAAATTGCCAAACCACTGGTGGGCAAGTTCGTGGGCGACGACATATACAACCCTGTTACGATATTTCTGGTCCGAGGCTGCCTCGTCAAACAGCACAGCTGTCGTACGATATGTGATGAGGCCCCAGTTCTCCATCGCACCGTGTGACTATATCTTGTCAATCGGGCACCACGAATACTAAACGCAGAGATCCTTACAAATTCGTGTACTGCAAGCAGATCAACCTTCGGCAGTGGGTAGTCAATGTCGAATATCTGGATCAGATGTAAACAGGCGAACCATTTCATATTTCATGCACTAGAAACTTACCTCCGAGAAATAATCAACAATTTGATGGGCGCTTTCCAGTGCGAGCTTGCCTTGCTCCTTGAGCCCTCGCGTGGTGTAGACTCTGACTGGAAGGGGCTTGCCGTTGTACTCTCGTCGTGTCCGATCCTCGATATATTCGAAATCTCCAAAGGCCCATGCAAGAAGATACGTCGACATGACTGGCGTACGCTCGAAACTCACGACCTTTTTACCATCTTTAGTGCCCTTACGCGTTTCCTTTTCAGGCATATTGCTCAAAGCCACGAGATCGTCGGGGATCTCTATGGCAAAGTCGAACGTAGCCTTGAGGTTGGGCTCGTCAAAGCAAGGGAAAGTGCGACGAGCATCGGAACTTTCGAACTGAGTCGAGAACATGTAGTGATGGTCCTCATCTCTGGCAACTCCTTTCGCAGGCTCCACTATAGGCTTGTACTTTGATCGATAGAATCCAGCCATGTTGTTGTTCATCGTGCCTTCAAAATCGATGATCAATGTGACCGAAGGAGACGGAGTGATGCTTTGGTCGAAGGACAGCGTGCATCGTTGGTTTTTGGTATCATACGAAATGTTGATGACCTTGATCTTCGAAGATTCATGGCCTGATGTCGGCCGGGCCTCCGCTGAATGAATTTTGAGCTCAAATGTGTTCAGTGTGATAGAGGTAACCGCTGTCTTGACCTCGAGGGCGATTGCTACTCGCCCTTGGTATGTCCATGGTTCTCCTGCAAGAAGATCGCGCAAGGAAATGTCATAATTGATTGGCTTGACACTGGGTTCGGATCATTTAGCAACCATCGCTCATTGGCTCCTGAATCATACTTACTCGCTGGACAAAACATCACGATCGTCAGCCATTGTCGCAGCAGGATTGGTTTAAGCCGTGTTTGAAGAGTAAAAAGCGATGAAATGCTATGTCGATTGACGGGGATATCAGGGAAAGGGCAATCAGGCACACGACGGGATTAGTCGTACTTGATAATGGTGTGCAGAGAGGAAGCAAGGCAAGACGCGCATTGAAGAGTGCACCCGCCCCACATGTTGTTCGACGCCCTAATCTCTGCCGAATTCATGGATGACATCAAAACCCCGCCCGACGCGACCCTGCCTGTTGCAGTATGTGCACCGAAAAATATGCGGCCTATGGTCCTCCTCGGAAAGCGGAGTAGCCACTATGTTGCAAATATACCAGGTATCAACGCTTAGCAGCGGTCCTGTCCATGGCGCTGCGCAGTTCAGGCTGCACGTTGCATCGCTTTTGTCCTGTCGTGATCCCGTCGTTACTTCACTAACTGAATTCGCGGAGAATACCCAGGCGTGTCCAGATTATGCACCAAACACGTAGGAGGTCATCTACCCAAAATCAGACAGCATTAAAAAAGTCGCTTTATCTGCGTGCGGTCGATGGGACGATGCTTGAGCGTCGGCCGGTGGACACACCCAGTCCGCATTGCATAGGCGATGCTGGAGCAAACTGCCGGAGCAATTGAGCTACTTTCCGTATCGCGGTGTCGGAAGAAAAGGGATGTTTCATATCCGTACTATGACTTCCACGCATGGAATTCTGAATTGTCTCCTCTCCAGTGACGCTCTTATCCATTCAAACCCGCTGCTGCTATTTGAAGCTGCAGCCAACAGTGATGTTCCACCTCCTGTCGCCATTTTCCGCTTCATCTCCTCAATAGCTACACTCGCAAGTGATCCGCCCGTGCCATTGATCGCAGCCACAGCGAGACTTGCCGTCTCTACTATAGCCTCCGTGAAGGTCGCATTTCCACTGAGGAAAGAGGTAGCGGTCTCAGTAATTGCAATGGGACTACCGCTCCATCGAGGCTCAAACCAGTCGGCATGAAAGTCGAATAATGAAAAGACCAGAATCGACAGTAAAAGAGAGCAGTATATGCAAGGCCGCTGGAGAATATAGTTGCCGGTCAAGAAAAGGGCGACATATATCGGCGATGCATTTGTACTGGTCAAATTCGTCAGTGGGATGATCAAGACGTGATCAATGGCAGGCGTGAAACTAACAGGAACACCAGGAGTGGAATCCAAGCTGTCAATAATTTAGCATTTCTCATGGTCGGCAGCGGCGATGACCACTCTTGACGGACTCACTTCTGAGGCAGAACATTTTGCACGATGCACCTTGGACTGGCCGATCTAGCCACGCCTTACCAGTGAAAGTCAGGCGGTGTTGTTCGAGGAATGATGGACTCCATGTATCTGACGGACTTTAACGATGGCGCGGGCGGATAGCAGGCGTCGCGTCCAAAAAGCTTAGGGTTGCGATGGATCGGATCCTCGACAACCCCAATGGGATTCCAAGGTTCCTCTGATTATTACATGTAATTACTAGGTACCTTCCGAAAGCGATTCCATATTTCTGGCAGGCACTTTCGTTGTTCTTGTTATCACTCGGTGCTGAACATCAGTCCGACAGGATTCGTTCCTCACTGCCACGTCAACTCTCCGAGGGGATTGGAGCCCGTTTCCACACCTCACTCTCCCAATGTCGGTGTGTAATCCCAGGGAGCCGAGCAACGCCCTCCAAAAGGGTGTATGGCCGTGAACACCTCTTTCAACTAGGTCAGCGCAGGGCACAAACCTTACTCTACCGAAACGATCCGCAGTCGCATGAGCATTAGGAACGCTCGCGAGCGTTCTGAGGGTATTCAACAACGTCCGGACACCCATCATGTCGGCCTTTGTTGACTCTGGAGTTCTGTTTGGTTGTGTTTTGCAAAGTACTCTCCAAGCGTGGCGACTGGGGCAAGAGGGCACGTGCTCGATGAGGGTTCACGTTTCCAATGCGGCGGGAGAATCCGCCCCTCGGTGATCTGACTTTGGCGCGAACATTGGTGGGACAATTTCTGTTGTGATGTTATACTCAGCTGCCTTGTAGTAGTAGAACATTCCTCAGCAGCTTTTCGCAGATCCCTCACAATCGCACGGCATTTCGTTTAGCCAAAGGTATTCGTTTCAGTTTCTAACAGGAGGACTAGAACATCACATACGCTTCCATATCGAGATAGTACTGTAGCAACGAAGATGGCGTCCGAAGCCGCCACTGTCGAGAAGAACAAGGGCAACGATGCGTTCAAGGCAAAGGACTGGCCCGCGGCGATTGAATTTTACACCAAAGCCATTGAGTTGAATGACCAAGAGCCGTCATTCTACACGAATCGTGCTCAAGCAAATATGAAAATGGAAGCTTACGGGTTCGCTGTGGCGGATGCTACGAAGGCCATTGAGTTGGATTCTCAATTTGTGAAGGCGTATTACAGGAGAGCAGTGGCAAATACGGCGATTCTGAAGCACAGCGATGCGCTTAGTGACTGGAAAATTGTAGTGCGAAAGAATCCTGCCGACAAGGTCGCGAAGGCACAATATGAAGCATGCCAAAAGATGGTCAAAAGAGATGCATTCTTGAAAGCGATTGAAATTGCAGATGCTCCGTCAGCAGCGGAAGGGCTGGATGTGAATGCAATCATCGTCGAGGATACATACGACGGAGCGCGATTGGGAGACACTATGACGCAAGAGTTTGTGGACGATATGATCGAGAGATTCCGAACAGGCAAGAAGCTGCACAGGAAATACGTCTTCCAGATCATTCTAGCCGTCAAGCAGATAGTCCATGACGAGGCGACGATGGTGGAGATGCATATCGAAAAGGATCAGAAGCTCACCGTCTGTGGTGACACCCACGGCCAATACTTCGACCTGTTGGAGATATTCCGACTTAACGGTTTCCCGACTGCGAAGCACGCATATCTCTTCAATGGAGACTTTGTCGATCGTGGATCATGGTCGTGCGAGATTGCCCTCCTCTTGTACAGTTATAAGTGGCTGTTTCCGAAGACCTTCTTCCTGAACCGAGGCAATCACGAAACCGACGACATGAACCGTATGTACGGCTTCGAGGGCGAGTGCAAAGCCAAGTACAATGACCGCGTATTCAAACTCTTCTCCGAATCCTTCTCTGCATTGCCTCTGGCGACCCTCATCGGCGATAAATTCCTTGTTCTTCATGGTGGGCTTTTCTCAGACGACAAGACATCACTCGACGACATTCGCAAACTCAACCGTCACTCTCAGCGACAGCCCGGACAGTCAGGATTGATGATGGAGATGCTGTGGACTGATCCGCAGACTGCACCAGGTCGCGGTCCATCGAAGCGTGGTGTTGGTATTCAATTTGGCCCCGATGTGACGAAGCGCTTCTGTGAGAACAATGGTCTCGAGGCCATCATCCGCAGTCACGAGGTCCGCATGGAGGGTTACGAAGTCGAGCACGATGGGCGCTGCATCACGGTGTTCTCTGCGCCAAGGTACTGCGACTCAACCGAGAACAAAGGTGCCTACATCAATATCGAGTCAGATTACAAACTGCAGTTCAACAAGTTCGACGCGGTACCGCACCCGGACATTAAGCCTATGGTAAGCATTCCGTTATGACACCATGTTCTAACATACTGATATTTTGAATTCTAGGCTTATGCAAATAACGGTATGATGGGTATGATGGGAATGTAAAACAAGACTTTTAACGACAAACGCGACCATGACCACAATTCGACAAACAACTCACATAGACGACGCATGACGAAATAAACGAATGCCCAACGATGAGCCGGGCCATACCTGCACCAGAAGCAATGTATTTTCAATCGTCAAGCCATAAGGACGGCAATTCTGGCAGGGCCCAGATGGCACTGGGAGAGGACCAGGATCAAGGAGAGGATGGGAGAGAGAAAATACAACGTTGAGTAAAGACCTCGTTCTGGAAAATTCTAATCGCCTGCCAACGCCGCGCTAAATTTGAAGAGAGAATTGACATCAAGCGACCGACGCAAAAAAGCTGTGCTCGCTCACTCTCACCTCTTCTGCGAATTGAAAAGTTTGGGATCCATGTTCAGCTTGCAGAGCTTCGCTACACAGCCGGCGAGCTGCAGATATGTTTGCATGCCCTCTAGGATCCGCATGTGTGTGAAGCCGATTTCACGGATGAACTCGAGCTTGGTATGTTCGGTGAGGGACGGAATCGATTTCGTGACCTTGAACATCGTGCTGATGATGTCGTGGCACGAGTACCCAAGATTCCTGAATTGCTACGTTAGTAGATTGTCTCGATCGGCAACGACCATGAACGTACCATAACTCTTGAAGCGAGTCTAATGCCTCATCGATCTTGGACTCGTGGCAGCTTTTGATCATAGCCTGCACTTTGATCGGGTGCGGGCTATCCACCACCCGAAACACGTTGTCCCCGCTCACGAATCCGAAACCTGCATGTGTACTTTGTAGATTGTTGATGGCCTGTCGCATATCTCCTTCAGCACTGAAGACGAGCGCCGCAATTCCATCGTCGCTGTATTCCACTTTCTCCGCCTCACAGATCTGATAAAGCCGCTTCACCACCTGTGCATCTGTCAACCTCGAGTAGCGAAGGATGGCGCATCTCGATTGCAGCGGCTCGATGATCTTGTTGCTCATGTTGCATGCAAAGGCGAAGCGAGTGGTTCCAGAGTAGATCTCCATAGTTCGCCGTAACGCCTGCTGTGCGCCCGATGTCATGCTGTCCGCCTCATCAAGGATGACGATCTTCTGGCGGCCTGGCGGCAATGTGACCTTTTTCTGTGCAAAGCCTTTGATTCTGTTTCGCACCACATCGATACCACGCTCGTCTGAGGCGTTGAGCTCCAATACAGCCTCTTTGTATGCATCTCCGAGTAATTGTCGTGCGAGGCAGAGAACCGAAGTCGTCTTTCCGATACCTGGTGTTCCACTAATGATGACGTGGGGCATGTTGCCATCTTTGGCAATGATCTTTAGTCGTTCGATCGTTTCTGTGTTGCCGACGATATCGTCCAAGAATACGGGCCGGTACTTTTCGACCCTGGCATAAATATCTTCAGTGGTTCTTCCGACATTGTCGTATCTGCTGTTGCTCACCATGGCAGTTCATAATTGGCAGATGTGCTAGCCGACTGCGCTTTCACGCCATTCGTTTGTGCGTCTTTGGATGATTCTGCTCTTGCCATTGTTGTCGATGGTTCCTTGCATTAATGAGTCGTCACTAAACGAATTCACTATTCGCAAGGCTGGAAATGAAACGCGTCGCGACGCGTACTATCTAAAGTTCTTACAGTGCCAGTCACGTACCTGGTCAAAATTTGCGGGGAATGCATTTTCAATGGTCCTCCTGGCAGAGCGTCACGGTTAGGGTTTTTTCGTCCTTACGACGCGGCAGCCGCGGGCAGTTTTGGTCGTTCCGCTCAGTACCAATCCAATAACAAGCAGGTATCAATGTACCAAAGCGCCTGCTTGTCCTCCATCAATCGTCTATTGTTCTTCGCGATTGTGTCGCGGACGACCTTGTCATGTGAAGCTAATGACTAGATTGTCAGCACCCGATGTTGACCCCGGTTGTAGGTCCTCTTCAATGAACACGGTGACTCTTTGAGCCACTTTCCCAGTTCATCCGCCTCACCTCTTTACTGTAAAAGATGCTCGGACGACGACGCTATCAGATCTTCATCTGCATAGCTGTGCTCATCATTTTGGCCATCACCCAATTACGAGAACCCATCGTGACGACATATTCGACAGCTCGAACGAAGTACGGCGCACTTTTCCCAAGCGCAACCAAGAACAAGGATGGCCGATTCCGCTGGAGTTCTGTACCAGTGAACTATCCCGTGAAGGCTTTGAAAAGTCTCCCGACAGGCGCTCCGCTCGCTCTTCCGAAAGTGCAATATCAGTTCCCCAAGGAATTAGCCGAGGATGCGAAGAAGCGCAAGTCTCGCCAGGGCGCAGTCAAAGCAGCATTTCAACGCTGCTGGAAGACTTACTCGGAGTATGCATGGACGCACGACGAAGTCACGCCTGTTCATGCGCAGACTCGTGATGGCTTTGGTGGATGGTCGGCCAGCTTGGTCGACAGCCTCGATACGCTATGGATCATGGGTTTGAAGGCCGAGTTTGCGAAAGCCGTTGATGCCGCGATGGACATCAACCTAGGTTCGTCCACTCTCGACAGCATCAATGTTTTTGAGACGACCATTCGCCATCTTGGAGGGTTCTTGTCGGCATACGATTTGAGCGGTGACGCAAGACTGCTCGAGAAGGCGACCGAATTTGGTGAGATGCTCCTCAAAGCATTCGATACCCCGAATCGCATGCCGATCACGCGTTGGGACCCGAGAAAGGCTTTGACCGGAAGCCAAGTCGCCGATTCGACGGTTCTGTTGGCAGAGATTGGTTCCTTGACCATGGAATTTACTCATCTATCGCAAGTCACCGGAGATATGCGATGGTACGATGCAGTGGATCGAATTACTCGATTGTTCGCGAGCCAGCAGCAGAAGACCGCTCTGCCGGGAATGTGGCCAGTCACCGTTGATGCGAAGCGCACAGATTTCACCCAGGACACATTCTACACCCTGAACGCCATGGCCGATTCTTTGTACGAATATCTGCCCAAGATGTATGCCTTGCTCGGTGGTCTCGAGCCCATCTACTCCGAAATGTATGAAGCAAGTATGGCAACGGCAATCAAGTACAATCTCTTCAAGCCGATGACTCCAGATGAAGCCGACATTTTGATTTCTGGCAACGTTCGCACCATGGGCAGTAACTCTCCAGTATTGGACGCGCAAGGGCAACATTTGGGATGCTTTACAGGAGGCATGTTCAGTTTGGGCGGAAAATTATTCGAGATGCCGGATCACGTCGAGATAGGCAAGAAGCTCACTCACGGCTGTATCTGGACGTATAAGGCATTGCCGAGGGGTATCATGCCAGAGGTTTTTGAAATGGTCCCATGTGCCTCCGCTTCAGCATCTTGTCCTTGGGACGAAAGTCTATGGCTTCAGAAGGTCGTCGAGAAGGCGCAAGAAGCGGACGGCGAGTCGGCGCAGGCGAAAGGAGATGATGCGCAACACATAACCAAGCGAGATCGCCTTCCTCCAGGATTTACTCAGATCGGGGATCGGAGATACATTCTTCGACCGGAGGCGATCGAAAGCGTGTTTCTCCTGTACCGCATGACGGGCGAACGGTCTCTATTGGACGCGGCATGGACCATGTATGAGTCTATCGTCGCCGCCACGCAGACATCATACGCCTATGCTGCACTTGCCGACGTGACCTGGAGCAGGGATGAACTGTTGTCGATGCAAGCCTCGGTCCAAGTGGACAGTATGGAAAGTTTCTGGTGAGTGGCCAAACACTTTCTTGTCTGATTTCATTGATGCGCGAATTCTTGCTGACGTTCCTCTCCGTGCAGGATGGCTGAGACATTGAAATATTTCTACTTGATCTTCAGTGAACCAAGTCTGATCAGCCTAGACGAATGGGTGTTCAATACGGAGGCGCATCCGTTCAAGCGACCGCTTCCTCAATGAGGCGTTGTGGTGTATGAAACGCATCAATACGTGAGATTTGTATTGCTTCAATTCCAACATTCATCACATCTCACCGCGTTCTTGGTCTGCTCTGACTTGGCATGTTTGAAGCGATGCGAATGCCCACGATGGTCACGGTCCAGTGAATGCCAGTCCTGTGCCGGACGCATGCAGATGCTAGTACTTATTAGCTAGCGTGCAGAAACACACGCCGAGCGATTTTGACGATCCGCTATTGCCTAGTACACATGATGATGTGACAGGGCGGCAGGACAGTAGTACCGCAGGTATAACAACACGTAGTGGATTCCCACGCTTTCTCACAATGAGCAAGCGCTGACATGTCCATGTGTCATTGTGTGAGCGTACCTAGGTATGTATAGAATGTCGCGATGGTTCTGCATGCAGTTGTTATATAACTCAATGAGACTATACCTGGTAGTTTTTGTTCGCCCGGCGTTCAAACTTAGACGGCGGGAGCAACAGACCTGTGACGCTTTGTTCAATTTGCTCAGCGTCAGCAATCATGCGCCAAATATGTGTTTTATTCGACGCAGGGAATTGTCAAGATGCGTGACGGTTGGCCCTTACTGCTACAGTCATGCCGATGAAGAATAAAATAGCGTGCCATGTATGATGAGTCAATCTGCACGACTCTGCATCTCATCATCACCGTCCATCTGTACGCTTCGAGGCCGTAAAGTTGGGCTGAGTACGCGGATAGGTGCTACCCGTGGACTGGAGAGGAACAACGCCCGGGCGAGCGTCCGAACCGCCTTGGCAGCGGGTGTCTTTCGTCCTCCTCCGCCTGTCCTTCGACTCCAGCTCCCTTCCTCCCGCACTGTCCGCCCGGCGTCAGGGAGACGACGCGCAATCCTGCCCAGTGCTCAGCCATCGGGCGTGGCAAGAGCGTACGTACGTCATACAGCAAACATCCGTTTCTGCAGGGCTGTACAGCACTTGGCGGGTCCATATACGCGCAAGTCATTATACTTAATGTGTGTCTCGCGTGACGGTGATGATTATTCATAAATGGACCCATTAGGCATAAGCAGCGACGATCTAGAAGGATTGATTGTCTCAGTCTCAGTCCTGTTGGGCTTCGTTCAACGCTACGAGATGGCAGGTTGGACGAACGTTCGGCATGTCTTAGATCGAGGTTCGAGATTTCCTTTCCGGACCGAACTTATTCGGAGCGCGCGTAGGGAATGGAAGTGATCCATGGATGGCTGGGAGGCGCTGCACAATTGCACGATAGGGCAGCTCTTCGCACGACACTCTTGACGCAAACTCTCAGCAGCGGTCACTGTGCTCGAGGCATATTTTGCGACGCTGCTACCATTTCCCCTTCCGGTAAATCCGGCCTGTGCCTGGAAGGACTCGGATAATGGATCAACATATTGAGCTACAGCCGATGATGGTGATGGTAGCGATGATGCTGGTGGAATGACAACACAAGACAGACATTTATTCTTACAGTGCACTCTACAGTAGTCGACCGTGGAGTGTTCGGGGGAACTGTGCACACAAAACCCAGCTGGATCGTGTCGCCTTGGATTTGGCGGGCCACGCTTCTAGATGGACGCTTTCCCGCCCCAAAAAGTGACGCGCGTGCAGTCTCCACTGCAGGATCTACCCTGGATGTACCGTACCATGCAACAAAACTTGGAAACGCTATCTTGGGGGTGATGAGGATGCCAGTGTTCATGGTCAGGAAATGTCAGCACCGCCACAAGCGAGAAAACACATGGAGAAAGAGCGATCGGTAGGAACAGCGTTGATCCCTATTACCTAGGTAGTGATCTGTGAGGTTACGCGTGATGCAGTACGGACAGTATGGACAGCACTGAGAGTGGTGAATGGTGCAGGAACGACGCCCGCACTGGCCCGCTCTCGGCTGCCCCCAGCGCACGTTCCAGGTGTGAGTGTGAGAGGGTGTGGGTGAGGGTCAGAGTGAGGACGTCATGCAACTACGCCGCACGCCGTCATTCTGCACTTCACAAGTCTGAGGTCCGCGTCCGCAGCTCAAGCTAAGAGGAATCAAGGCCGAGATGGAGCGATGCGAGCGTATCGCATGGCAAACCGCGGCGATCTGTTACTGCAGTGATGCCGTGGTCGTGCTTTGTACGCGAATGTATATCACATTTCCTATAGCCACCCACCTATGCTCTACATCCCTGCGTAATCTGTCTCCTCGATCCGTTCCAATCCTGTTCCCTCGTTACTGCTCTTCCACTCGCATCTCTCTTTGCGCACGAGCTTGGTCACATTCGCATTCACGCCCATAAAACGCCAGCACGATGCGGGCTTTCTACTGTGCCGCCATCGCTGCAAGTCTTCTCGGCGCCAATGTCGTGGCGAGTGTGAGCGAGCGCGACAGCAGCAGCAGCAGCGATTCTCCGCGTGTTGTTCAGCATACCATCCAGCGGAAACCAGTCGTCAACCCGATCGAGCAGGATCGCAAACGTCTGGCGCGACGACAATCAACAGTCAACGTACCTTTGACGAATGAGGAGACTCTATACTTCATGAATGCGTCCATTGGTACACCTCCACAGAACTTTCAATTACATCTTGATACTGGTAGTAGCGACCTGTGGGTGAACGTCCGCACAAGTTCATTCTGCCAGTTAAATGCGGCCGCTTGCGCGCAGAGTGGCTTCTACAACGCCAATTCCTCCTCGACCTACAAGTATATCAACAGCCGCTTCACGATCAAGTACAAGGACGGCTCGGGCTCATCAGGCGACTATGTTTCCGACACTGTTGCTTTCGGTTCAGCCACTCTCCAAAATCAACAATTCGGTATTGGCTATCGATCGAGCGCGGCTCAAAGTATTCTGGGTATTGGCTATCCTGCTTTGGAAGTCGCCTCCTCATATTACGGCGGAAAACCCTATCCCAACATTCCTCAAAACCTGGCAGACGAGGGCATCATTGCTACCAATGCCTACAGCCTGTGGCTCAATGACCTCGACGCGAACCTCGGATCCATCCTCTTTGGCGGTGTCGATAGAGCTAAATACATGGGAGAGCTGCAGACGCTTCCCATCATCAAAACTCAAGGTGAATATCTCGAATTCACCATCGCTCTGACTGCTTTGGGTGCCAATGGCAAGACCGGAGCTATCGTCAACAATATCGCCGTGCCGGTCTTGCTCGATTCGGGCACCAGCTTGACCTATCTCCCGAGCAACCTCGCATCGGCCATTTTCTCCACCGTCGGCGGCACCTCCAGCTCTCGAGGAATTCAAGTAGTCGATTGCCGACTCGGAAACTCGGACGCCACCATCGACTTCACCTTCTCCGGCGTGACCATCAAGGTACCCTTGAATGAGCTCGTCTTCGTCAACAATTACGACCGCCGCGGACAGCCCGTCTGCGTGCTTGGCATCCTCTCTGGGGACGGTACTGCCATCCTTGGCGACACCTTCCTCCGTTCCGCATACGTCGTCTACGACCTCGAGCGTAATCAGATCTCCATCGCCCAGACCAACTTCAACGCCACAAGCACCAATATCCAAGAGATCAGTGCCAACGGCGGAATCCCTGGCGCCACCACCGTGCCCAATGCCGTCGCCACTGGTTCAGCCAGCGGCGGCACCGGTCGTATTGACGGCAACCCGGACGTCACCATCACCATCACTGGAGCTGCCCAGCCAACTGCTGCACCGGTGTACAACATGGCTTTGGTAGGTGCTCTAGCCGGTGGGTTGCTTATGGCCGCTATTTGAGATGGGACGCACAGAAGAAGACGGTGGAGAAATTTGCATCGCTTTGTGGAAAGTTACACTCCTGATACCCCATCTTGCATGATTACACGAATTACTGGTTGTGGACAAAGCAGAGGAAGATTTTATGCATGTGCATTTTTCGTTTTATGATAAATCTGCAGGATGGCGACGGCGAGAGCCGCGCAGTGGGCATCGCTGCTTGCGTTAGATAGATGAACATGATAGAAATGAATTTCATGAATTTGTGCTATTATGTCCCTGACTATCATGTTTCATCATACCCGACATAAGCGACACTTGAGAGCTCAATGAGACATGCGCTTACGTCTATTTGAGGGAAACAAATTGACCCTCATAGTAAGCGCTCCTTTACGGATCCCACTACTTATCTTGATCAACAAGTAGATCGATTCTGATCGTGGCGGACGTTCGTTCAAAGAAAACGAACAACAGCTCTACGAAGCCGAGACAAACAAAATACCCGAGGCTGAGTCTTAGGAGGTTCCAGGAGGTGCAAACGAGCAATGAGAAGTCGACAAGGAGATTCGAACTTGTCGGGAAGATCATGAATCCGGGGCTGTTCAGTACTCCAGCAATACACTGCGATCGGCCTATATAGATATCCGTGTGACCAGTCCGAGAAAATTCCCTCGCCTTCGCGGGTTTAATTGACATTGTCGCCGACAGGCTCGGCCTCAAGCTTTGCATTCCTTGTCGTGTAAGCGGACTTGCCGTCGCCGATGAAACACGCAGCACATTTGTCGACAGCTGCTTTCCGAAATAAAATGGTATTTTTTTTGTACCAATGATTGCTAGGATAGGACCTGATGAATTTCTCAGCAGCATCGGCCGTGTATACGAGGCACTCGGTGCCGTTGTGGGCGCAGGTTTTGCATGGAACAATGGCTTTCTGCCCATCAGGCGTCTCGGTGATGCGCGCCGCGTGTGTGAGCGTGCGGCGGCGGGCCACCAGAGTCTTGTCCCAATTCTCGTTGGGCAAGTGGCAAATACCATTGACGTTTCGTGAACGCAGCAGCTGTCGATACATCAGCTTTGAGCAATAGTAGACCATGTGTATTCATACTGCTTCGAACTGCTTATCTGTGCTATTCACGACCAGGCTCGGCGCTTCGGGTCTGGAGACTGCTTGAGACGATGGACTTGCCGTCATAGAAGAGAGGTCATCAGAAGACGCATCGAGTCTGTCTCTGCTGCCACGTCAAATTTATGAGGTTTGGTCCGCCATGGGAGCGCTGCTTCAGAGCAGAAACGACACCTACTCACGGGACGCCAAAGGCTTTCCACTTCCATGATTATTCGTCTCGAAACTCTGTTCCGGTCGCAGTTGACGCGATGCCTGCGAACTTCGGGGGTCATCGACTTGCCGCTGAAGAGCTTTGATTTGCTCGCGCAAATGCTCAAGCTCCACTTTTAATTCCAAGTTTGCTCTTTGCTCTAGAACCAATTGCCACTCGACTACCGCATGTCGAACACTAAGATCTCCTTGATTTGGGATTCTCATATTCAAACAGAAAGATGGTTGTTGCCTGATAGAGAGCATGAATTTGGCGAGCACAGCGCGGTCGCTGATGTGAGTCGGACTTTGGTGACATTCTAAAAATGTACAACAGAGAATGTTTGAAAAATGTGCTTGTCGAGTCCAAGTGAAAGGCGACCACGTTAGCATGACTTTGGCACGTGAAAATATGCAGAGTCGGGAAGCTGGCCTGCTTGCGCACTGAGATGCCCATGTCACATCCGACGAACGTCGTTTCCGGTATAAAATGATAGGCGGAGCCGATGTGACCCCGGCATCATCATGATCATCATCACCACCTGCTTCTCGAATTTACACAGCTCATCCGCAAAGAACAAGATGCATGGTCCGTAGGGAAAAAGGTCATCGAGATTCACAGATAATGCATCTACAACGCAAGATTGTATGTGTAGTCGTCCTCCATGTTCTGGCTAACCCACAACGTCACGGAACTGTGTCTTTGTTAGTCTCATGGCACAGCCAACTCCGCAAGGCTGTATTCCATACCTCAACATGACCAAGCCATTCGCGACCAAGTTCGATACGCCGAACCAGAGTTGTGTACCCTGAGCTCCCTGTGTCACGTATTTCAATACCATCACACTGATTCCTCCAGCAAGACCTCCCGCCATCGCAGCGAAACCCATGAACAGCACTACTCTTGCCTTCCATGCCATGTTGTCCCCACCCGAGTACGAGAAGCTATCCCCAGTCAAGCGTGTCTTGTCAATGCTGTTGATGATAATCAAGCCCAGGAACGAGAAGATGCCGGGGATCCAGTCCACGAAGTTGAGGTGCAGATCGGAGCCATTGAGATGAGAGTTGCTATAGACACTGGCGTCTATTAGAGAGAATAGGGCGACACAAAACTTTGCGCAATGTCAGAAACGTGCCCTGCCGCTCGTATATGATACTGTCGGCATCTCAACCTACCAAGGCGCCAGAAAAATATATGCCGGCACTTCGGATGTTGGCACTGTTGAGCCACTCAGGCCTGGGAAATCGGAAAAGGCGTTCTGAAGACATCCTCCAAGCGTGTTGGAACGACTGTTTGAACCACGAGAGAAGTGTTCGTGTGTCGTAGAGAGCCTGCAGGTCGCGTGAGAAGTGACAGTAGGACCTGCTGTTGATCACAAGCGTGCCAGATCTCAGAGGTTGGGATGACGCGGGCCGGGCTTTGACTTCCTTTGCGGCGCGCGTGGGATTGGCTGGTTGCCCATAGGTGTTGGTCCCTGGTGGCATTCGTATGCATTTGTCGACCAGCTCGCAAGGGAATAATGAACTGCGCCTGCACACTTGGCCAGAAGCATGCAGGTAGGCAATATTGTGCAATCATTGTCCCAAAATGCAGTTCACTTCATATTTAGTAAGGCGATATGACTCAAGCTCCATGACATAGAGACCATTTGTTCAAGTCTCATGGATATCGGCCCGATGTGACAACGTCCCAATCCATCTTCAATTGCAGTGGAGACCCTGCAAGCTTCTACCGAGGCCTGAGTAGCGTAGAAAGTATCGCAACGTCGTTCTTAAATGTCTCGCGGAGCCATTGATCGTGCGCAAGGCAGCTCCAATTTTGATATACAGATATAATAGACATAAAAGGTCCTAGCAAACATGTCTGGACTCTCGTCGTATCTTACAGGCGAGCGCACTATCACCTACACCCATTCGGAAGAGCCCTTAGTCCTTCCCACTTATGATGGTCCAAAGCGTGCTCTACCGGAGATCTGCAAAGATGTCATTCCGCCTTGCTTCTTGAATCCCCTCTTGAACAATGGTCACCTCCAAACAGCCTGGACGTCCGTCAAAGACAAAGGCCCTCAGATTCACTACAAACGTCGTGTGCTCGCCGCCGAAGATGAGGCGTTCAAGGGTCACTTCACCGTGGACTTGGTCGTTGCGCCACCTCCTGCGAAGACTGATGCCAGAGCCGAGGACGGCGGTGTCGAAGACAAAGGTCTCCGTGAAGATCCTGTCGGCGTTGGCCACACGAGACTTCCTCCTCGAACGACATACTTCACAGACAAGGAATTCGAGAACATCGGCACCGATGACACCAAGCCTCTTCTGATCACCCTTCACGGGTTGAGCGGTGGATCATACGAGAACTACCTTCGTTATGTCTTGGATCCTCTGGTTGCGGTCACCGAGGAAGGCAAGAAGGCAGGCGGTCTTTCGGGAGGTGACTGGGAAGCCTTAGTCGTGAACAGCCGTGGCTGTGCTGGCTCGAAGATCACGACGAGCATCCTTTACAACGCTCGCGCCACTTGGGACTGTCGACAGGTTGTCAACTGGGCACGTAAGACCTGGCCGAACCGGCCACTCTTCGGCATTGGCTACTCGCTTGGTGCTAATATCATCACAAATGTAAGTGCAACACGCTTTGCATGACTTTATACGTGATTTCTCTCGTGTCACATGCTCACATCATGCTTTACAGTATCTTGGCGAGGAAGGCTCAAACTGCCCGCTCTCCGCTGCAATCATCGTCAGTAACCCATGGAACTTGGAAGTCAGCTCGCTGAACCTGAAGCGGACCTGGATTGGCTCTGAAATTTACGGCAAGGCTATGGGTGGGCACATGCGTGCCCTCTTCGACATTCATGAGGAACAAATCACCAAGAACAAACTTCTCAAGACCGAACGGATACATAAGTTGAAGTACCTATGGGATTTCGATCGAGAAGTTCAGTGCGCTGCGTGGAATTATCCTACGGTAGGCGCCTACTACCGCGATGCTAGCAGCATCAGTGCCGTGCTCAACATCAAGATTCCTGTGCTCGCGCTGCACGCACAAGATGACCCGATCGCTTGTGACGAAGGGGTTCCGTACGAAGAGATCCGCAAGAACCCGTATATTGTGATGTGTGCCACGGGTGGAGGTGGGCATCTCGGCTGGTTTGAATATGGTGGTGGACGTTGGCATCGTAAGCCGGTAGGTCGCTTCTGGAGGCTCCGTTTAAAGTGTACAGAGCTGACATTTTTCCGTGTCAGACTATGGCTTTCCTCAATGCCATGTGGAAACAGGTCGACTTCAGCAAAATTGAAGCACCTGAGGAGCACAAGGGCCCTCATGGTGGCTTCGAGGCGCCGTTCGTCTACCAGCCCATGCGCCGTCCTTTGCATGTGGTTTCGAAGGAGTGATTGACTGTGGCGGAGCATCCTCACTATTGTGATGCGGAGATTTTCGTTCAATAGCACACTCCCGTAGAAGAGCTTCAACCAAAGCTCACCCGCTTTCTTTTCGAATTTTGCGATCGCTCCGCATCTTCAGATTTATCCTTGGTGACCTCGACCTCGCTCTCAGAACGTCTTCGTTTCTTGCTGCCATTCTTAATGTTCTGTTTGCGCTCCTCTAGACCCTCGCGCTTTCCCTCAGCCCGCTTCTCCATCTCCAAACGTCGTGCTTCGCGCACTTCCTCCATTTGTCGCGCACGCATCATCTTACTCTCAATGTTGCCCTCCTTCTCCGCCATGACCAGTGCCATAATGGCATTCATGCTCTCTTTGTCGTCGACGAAGTTTTTGCCCTTTTTTGCGTTTGGTGGCTTTTGGACACCGGCAGGTCTGATTCCATTGAGCTGTGGAACCTTTAATTCGGCCTCTGTGTACCGCAAGTGTGGCGGTTTGCGCTTGCCGAGAGTCTTTTTCTTATCGTTAAGCAGATTTGGCTTGGGCTTGTGCTGTGTTGCGGCCGGCTTGGGCCCCGTCTTCTTCGCACCTTTGGATGCGCCGCCAGATTTGAAAGATTTAGAAGACTTGCTGGTGCCCTTATTGGCACCGGACTTGCTGGGTAGAGCCATATTTGTGACTTTGAATGACAAAATTTCAAAATTGTGTTAAAAGAAGTTTCCAAAAGTCGGCAATTATTTTGGGTATTAGCTTGAGTCGTAAATCGGAGCTACGGCCGGCCGGGATTCACCCGGCAGACGGCTGTGATTGGCTAGTGGCCATCATCTAGGTGAGCACGCGTACGACCTACGCCTTACATGAAGACACACGGTCATTTCATGTGAGAGGTGCAGGGAAAATCAGAGGAGTCTCGTGATTACAGTTTAAACTTGCGAACCACGAAGCCTGATATGATCAAATTGTGGAGCTCGTATTACGAAACCTAGAAGTTGCCATAACAATGATCACAGCTCATCGACAAGAGGGCAACGATCATTGTCCGCGGGTAGACGACACTCGTTCTGGGAGAGCGCAAGATGCCTTACAATCCTAATTATCAAGACGAGACTTACGGTGCTGATGGATATGCCTCCAACCATGACTCAAGTATGCAGTCTCATGCGCAGGCGCAGGCGCCAATGTTCCACAGGAATCCTCAGAGAACGTATGCCCAACCATCGGTACAGATGAATAGCAACGCGTTGCAGCAGCCTCTGTATGGCCAACAACAACAACATCATCAACAACAACAACAGCAACAGCAACAGCAACATGTTGCTGGATTACCCTCAATGACCTATGGGACCACTGCGTATTATGATCAAAGCTTGTCTTCAACTTACTACCAACCGATGGAATATGGAGTCAACTATCAACAATCATTTGCACAGCCCACATCGAATTATGGCTCACCGAGCACAGCTCGACTCGGCAGCGTTTCCTTGCTCTCCGCTGACCCTGGGACTGGCTATAATGCACCTACCGCCTTCTCACAGCCTTTGTATCAGCAGCAATCCTCACAGTCCGGCGCCATGGCGCAATATCAGATCCCGCAACTACAGCATGCCCCAGCGCAACCTCCGTTCTACGGGCGACAGCTTCAGACGTCCACATTTGATGGCAGCAATGATATTCCTCCATCACAAGTGCTCGCCAACCAGCACGGCACCCAATCTCATCTGCTTCCACGGCCTCAATCTTCACCTTCTTCCCATGTGATGCCCCCCAATCCAGACCGTCGTCATTTTTCCGCTGATCAGCAGTCACATGCTGTCAATACCTATCCTAATCAAAGTCCAAACATGGCATTGAATGCATCAATTTCAGGAGAGTCGAGGCCTGCAGTGGCGTCATTGCCTCGATCAACCTCACAATTTGTTGTACCAGAATCTGGGCAAAATCGTCCGAATCTTCAGCAACAACCCATGTCCCAGCCCAGCTCTCGACCTTCGAATCACTTGCAGGCTCCTCAGAAACCTTATGAACAACCTCAAATCCGCGAGAAACAAACTCCGGCTCATCTCCAACATGCACAAATATTAACACAACCCTCAATACCACCACAAGTGAAAGCGGAATACCAAACCCAGGCCTCGGTTCTGCCAGCACCTCAAATACCAGTCACATCTGAGGGGCCAAAGTTGGCCACGTCCCTGAAACCTCAGCAAAAGAGCGCAACTAAAAAGCTGCCGACCAATCGTGGCGGCCAAACGACTCAGGGTCCTTCCAGGGCTCCTGCTCATACTGTGAAACGACAAAAGTCAGAAGGTGTCGCGGCAACGGTCACGTCGAAGTCTGGCCCCAAAGTCAACGGACATGCCCACATGCAGGCGGCACGACAATTGCCGGCATCATCGCCGCTAACAGAGCTTGCTTCCTCCCAGTTTCCACCAACGCCTCCAAACCACCCGAGCGTTGACTACCAAGCGGCGTTATTGACTTTGTCGGACGAATACATTACTGCCGCTTACAGCATCAGTACGTCACTTGCTGGAGGCGAAGTGGTGGAAGATCGGTTGGACGAATATTTCGCCCTGTTGAGCACAGGTATGAGTTGCCTTGAGTCGGTGCTCAACAACTATCGCATATTGGACGCTCGAAAGGAAGCTTGCATCCGTTTAAGATTAGCCAGCCTCATGTACGAAGAAACTGACAACGATTCGGATGCTGAGGCGATACTCACGAAAGGCATTGCACTTTGTGAAAGAGCGCGCCTTTCCGATCCCAAATATTCCATGCATCATCTCCTGGCCCGTATCTGGTTCAAAGCCGGTCAGGCTCGAGCCGCGATGAAAGCGGTCGATAAGCTCATTGACGAAGTGCAAAAGCTTCACCTGACGCATTGGGTTTACGTATTCAGATTCTTGCGAGTCTCGTTCGGATTACAAACGGATACAGCTCATCAGGAGCTAGGGGCGCTTGTTAAACAGCTTGCAGCCGTTGTTGTCGCGGCATCCCAAACTCACGCCGTTGCTGTCATTATTGTCGCCAGTGGCATGGAAGCACTGATGCATCTCCGAGCGCAAACACCGGACAGTGTCGATCTTGCTCAGAGAGCACTCGCAACAGCACGTACACACCAGCTCTCTGCAGAAATGGCGGCCATGCCTCAAGTACGAGCCCTTTTGGATGCTGCTGATCTTGCCTGCCACTTGACACGTTTGAATCCAGATCAGGCCACAACCAAGTTGTCAAATTTTCGCAAAAATCTGGATGACTACTACGAAGATCCTGAACAGAGCAAGGATGGATGCTGGCTCCTACCGCTTTCTGAATTTGCGGCCAATTCTGATGACATTGAGCGAGATACCGGCGGAATTCTGAGACAGACTCCTATGGGTCAGTATGGACTATCAATGTCATGGCTGACACGGACTCAGGCGACAACTCTTGGATTTCTATTGAGCGGTGTCACTAGTTTACAGAAGGCCAATATCGAGCAGATGCCGGAGACGTTTCTCGGCGAGGGAATCAGCCTTAACAAGGTAGCCCTTGAGAACAATCGGGAATCTTTGTCGACAGCCTCTCGACACACATCCTGGCAGGATCGGATGCGCATCACCCTGCAAGCCTACGTGGTGTTCTCACGGTGCGCTCGGGCTGACTGGGAGGTTGCGATGAAAGGTATGGGTAGTATCCGCCAGTACATCGTGACGGCAGGAGTCACCTTGGACGAGGACACTGCGGTCCTAGTCGACTATCTCGAAGCCATCGGTAAGCATGGCTTAGGTCATCTTAAGCAAGCTCTAGACCTGTACCGCAAACCAAGTCTGCGATTGCCCGCAGCACTGGACAGCAGAGCTTTTCAAAGCATCAATTCCGCGCATCTAAAAGTGCTAGCAGCATTAAACAGCATCCTCATATTGCGCAAACTCGGGGCATCGGCAGAGGCCGATGCTCTCTTGCATCGGATAGAGCCAATGTGCATCACACAATATAGCAGCAACGGCAGCGAGCACGGTAACAAAGCCATGGAGTCGGCTTTCCATGCCCTGAAAGCCACCGCGCCTGAGATGACCATCATCAAGACTAAGCAATACATTCAATTTGCCATTGGAGCGGCGCAGAAGGTGGGGAACGATCGCCTGCTGAACATCGTGATGAATCACATGACGCATCTGTTCTTCGCCAACATTGTCGGCAGACAGGCCGAGCAATCGGCGAAGGTGGGCCGTGCGCTGGCCAAAAGATCAGGAGACCGTTTGTGGATGGCTGTGGCCGACCGCATGTTGTGTGAAACAGCAGAGAAGAGTGGAAACATGACTGAGGCGCAGACCGCAATTCAAGAAGGCGAGCAAGCCATGTCGCGACTGCCGGAGTCATTGAAAGCAGCACTCTTTGCTCCGGAGCTTTAGGTGTTTTGAATGCTTGGTGTTGGGGGGTTTATGTACGTGTGGTAATCGTTAAGCTTAAGATTCTATTTAGCAAAGTTACATTAGTAAATCATGGGGCCCAGTCCCTCAGAACTCCTCTTGCTCTCTAAAGAATAGTCCAAATGCGATGATCGTGCCGTAAATTAGCAGTCCACCAGAGATGCTCATAGCCATGGCAGCTGTCGTAATTTGATCGCAGTGCGCAAGGACCACGGGTAATGCTATGGTGATGCGAGTCAGTATTCAGTTATCCTAAAGCAACATTTCGCCATTGCATAACGTGCTCGTGTTCAACATACCGATCCCCATCAATACTAGGAAACCCGTCAGAAACCGGCCCAGCTCCACGATGCTATTGCTGCCGTTGTTGTCCATAAAATCATCACGAGCCTGAGCTTTCCCGCATATCCAGTTCGGTACCGGAGCTAACACGTAGGTTGCGACGACAAGGAGGGTGAGATAATTTCCCTCGAAAAGCGCGGCGGAAAGGATGACGAGAAGGAAACCGATCGCGAGGATCTGTGACAAGGGCGGTCAGTCTGGTCCATACCGGCAAGTTCGCCATGCAATTAATCATGGAATGTCATACAAATGAGAGCACAATAATTGTGCTGAGACCTTGCATGGCCATGTTGGGTGTATTCGCGTCGGCCGCGAAAGCGTAGTTGCTCCAGCAATAGCGTTTCGAAGCTCGGAACCGGGTCGCTTCCTTGGGATGTAATCGGGTCTGCTTATTCTGCTTCGCCGGCTATCAAGATCAATTGAAGCTTGGTTCCAAGCATGCGCAGGAGCACAAAGGTAAATGCCCGAGTGAGTCGTGTTCAATGTGATCGTCTCACGTGGTCAGGTTGACGTCGGAGGTGCTGCGCCTATGTATGATGGCTTGCAGGCATCGGCGCAAGAGCTCCCGTGAGCCCCAGGGACTGACGCTGGGCGGGAGCAGCCATGATCTCACTTAGTCATCCACGGCGTGTGGGATCCGGTCGTTGCGGGCAGCTGCCGTGAGATGCGCCTTTCCAGCCGACGACGCGGACGTTTGTAGCCTGACGGATTCGCCTAGCAATAAGCTTTCAACACTGTTTGAACATCGAGGCTCCAGCAAAGCAGCCGCGCCAACAACAGCAATCGAGACAATTGCAAATTTCAAGGCCGATTCACTGAGACGAACATCCCACGAGCATTGACACGTATCTACTCCTACTGGACGGAGCATTGAGAGAATCACATCACCACCGCCGCAGTCATGTTTCGTAACAATTACGACAATGATTCTGTCACCTTGTGAGTGCATCTCGTGATCTCGAACAGGCATTTCGGGCTTTCTGACAGACGTTCAGCTCTCCTCAAGGTCGGATCTTCCAAGTCGAATACGCACAAGAGGCCGTAAAGCAAGGTTCAGTCGTGGTTGGGATCGTCAGTAAGACTCATGCAGTCCTCGCCGCCATCAAAGTACGCTTGATCTGAAGTTCACAAATTCATAATATTCGTTATTGACAAATCCTCTTGGCAGCGTAACGCAGAAGAGCTATCATCTTACCAGCGAAAGATCATCCCGATTGATACGCATTATGGTATTGCTCTGGCAGGTCTGGCCTCCGACGCTCGCGTGCTCTCAAACTTTATGAAGCAGCAATCCCTGGCTTCACGTCTAACTTACGACCGTCCGATACTTCTCTCCGATATCACCTCGCGCATCGGCGACCGTGCACAAACCAACACACAGCAGTACGGCCGACGACCTTATGGTGTTGGTCTTCTGATTGCCGGCGTCGATGCAAAAGGCCCGCATCTCTTCGAGTTCCAGCCGTCGGGAGTAACGCAGGAGATGATTGCATGCGGTATTGGTGCACGGTCACAGATGGCGCGGACATACCTCGAGAGGAACCTTGAGAGCTTTGAGAACGCAACGCGGGAAGAGCTCATTCAGCATGCTCTACGAGCATTGAAGGACAGTTTGAGTCAAGACAAGGAATTGTCCGTGGATAACACAAGCGTGGGTGTTGGAGGAATTGATGAGACCTTCAAGCTACATGAGGGTCAGGCAGTTGCTAGCTGGCTAGAGACGGCGTTCGAAAACAAAGCTGAAGGTGGTGAAAGCATGGAGGTGGACGAGTAGTCACGCCATGAATTTAACGATTTGAAGCCCGTGGCTACCTGGGGCGAAGTGCGGGAATCGAACGCCAGTTCGTGTAAGTATTATGATCTGTCCTGTCATTCCTGCGCTCTGCAGTGGGTTAGAAAGGCGCTCTCATGTGCATCACGTGTCCACGCAGTCAAGCAATTCATGCTTCTTACGATGACCCCTGCTGTTCCGAAGTTTGATTGTTGGCAACGGAAGTATTACAAAGCAGACGCGACAAAGTTTCATTGCGCCATCAGACGACACATTCCGCTTGCATTCATGTTGGAATGCCCACTAACCCGCTGTCAACAGCATGGGATGTCCTGTAATGTTTTGAAGCCCTCGACCTAGATTACTGACTGATGCAGTCTCCCTCTGCGATCTACGTTTAAGATTGGACACGCTGTGGCCCAGTGCAAAGCTACCAGACCCATCACATTGTCAACACTGATTCTTCGTCTCAGCCCCAACTACAAAACAACGCCGCAAAGCTGATCAATCACAAGCACCGATATTCGACATACGACGGACTAATCCAACTATACACTTACGCATTGGCAACGCTCACCTGCTGCTTCTACTGGGAGGGTGGTTTCTTGACCATCTACCTAGGTAATCACAGAGATGCAAATTCCTTTGCACAGCGATCATTACGTGTATGATGAAGTTTTCGCATTTCCTTGCGAATGGGGAAACACTTCTTTACATGGGCCTGGATTTCGCAATACAATGGCGGGTGCCTTCGAGAATGGTAGTGGATATTTCGGCTTAGCCCTGCGAAGCAACCTAGTCACTGGTCACAGACGGCAGCGGCAACAACACCAGGTCTTGCGGAATATGGACGTAAGGGGACCTCCGGTACAGCCACAAATATGTCGAAGCGATCAGAACCTGAACACAATGTCTGGCTCGAACCAACAGGCATATTCGCAAATGGCGAGCAGTCCATTTGAGATGAACCACCCGCGAAATAGTCTTTTACTTGGCTCGCCAGATACGTCGATCGATCTTTCCCAACAGTGGCAGACACATCGACAGAGCACCTATGCTTCTACCCACACCCCATATGGGACTCCGCATCTCCGGAGTCATCAGTTGCATGGTATCAACCACGAGTATAACCACAGCTTGGCCATTGACTCGCCTGTCCATCGCGAACGAGCGCATTACGCATGTTCAGGGGCCCAGCAACACACCAGTAATATTAGAACGGTGTTGCGGCAGACGGTGAATCCCCAAAGTATTGCTCCAGGGCCTAAGGCTGCATTACCTCGATATTCAGTTTCATTGTACTGTCCAAAGCCCGTGGGCGATCAGACGCACGCGATCAATCGCCGGCATCTCGTGTACAGGGCAGGGCGGCCGCTCAGTCCGCAATCAGGATTTATTTCAGGGGTGTCACAATCACAACTGTTATGTCCGAGTCTGCTGGAAGATTGGCACATGGTCACAACCCCAGCCGAGAGGCCTTCTGCCCAGTTGCAATTCTCGGCAGTTCAGCAGGCCAGAATTATAAAGCAAGGATGTCGCAATAAGCTGGAACGACAGGAGATGCAGGCGCAAGAGCAAGAGCTGGGCAAATGGTATATACTCAGCACACACGAATCTCTTCCTTACACGCCCAAGCGACAGCGGATCGAAACGCCACACGAGTCCCCTCGAAAGCTCTCAACGGAGAAGCACAGTACAAGGCTTCAGGGTCATGGCCAGGACAAAGTCAAAACGCAAGCTCAAGCTCAAGCTCGAACCACAGGATCAATCTTGCCGCCGAAAATTTTAAACGATGAATTGGTGACGCCTGCGAAAATGCCTGAGTGTCATACATCAAAGGGTGTTATTCCCCTGCAGGACTACTATAGGGCTGGAGACGCTCAGCAAGTGTCAAAGCGAGCTCCGAAGACACAATCAAATAGATCAATAATCAATATCGAAGAAGATGAGCACACAGAAAGCGTGGTTCAGCGCCCTGCTCTGACATCAGCCGGCTCTGGTCGAACCAGCTTCGAATCGCTAGACCAACGTAGCTCTCACGGTCGAACGCTACCTCAATTGACTTTCGCATCAAATAACATTTCTGAGTCTCTGAAGAGCCATGAGTCTACGCAGAATGGAATGCATGCAATCGGTTTACAATCGCCAGCACAAGTTGCTACGCCACGGGAGAATTTCCACCAAACACCCACATCAGACTGTCCACAGACTGCACCTGAACCTCAGACGACATCACCTCGCCAACAGACCCGGCCGAAAATGCAGTCGCCAAAGAAGGACAGAGCTGTGCCAAAGCAACAAACATTACTTACACCGCCCAAACCGCGGCGAAAGCCCGCAGAGCGCAGCCGCAAAACGCCCAGCAGCCCTGTACCAAAATCTTCATCGGATTACCGACCCTTGGTAGATGCTACCGAACTCGACCTACTTGAGTTGCGATCCACTTGTAAAACGACGCTTCGGTCTGCGAACGCGAAGCACAATGTTACTGGTAAGCCACAAACGCCGTTCAGATCCCGGAACAACTTACCGCAGGGAACTCATCGCTCTTCGCGCCACTTCCAATGCACCTGCGCATATCCCTTTCCCACTTGCTATGCTCTAGACGATCCGCTTGGCTGTCCAAAGCGGATTGAGGCAGAACAACGCATGACCGAGATGAACGGAAGACAGGATCGGTGCCTGGAAGTACGATATATCGGCTCGAGATCACCGCAGTAAGAGGCACACAGTGTAGGCTGTATCGAGCGGCATATTCAGCATTCCAATGTCAGCTGGACGTTTCCTCGTGGAGTTTGTTTCGAAGTGTTGCGTTGGAATTTTGCATCATAGTTGTCTTTCGGCGGCGGGTTTGGGATATGCTCCGTGGGTCACAAGCACGAACAGCTCTTGTTCAATTTGGCCATTTCTGGCATAACGATAATTCATGATCTTATCTCTTTTTACCGTTTCCACCTCCGCCTCCATTTTTCGCTGGCGCGGCGGGTGCACTTTTGCCAGCCATCCATCCAGCAAGGTCGAAGTTTTGGAAAGATTCTGCAGCGGCTTGAGCCGACGAAGCAGAAGAGCCCGACTTCTGCATTTCCTCCAACTCGGCCTTCATTTCGGGGTCCACTGCGACAAATTAAAGTTAGACAGGCTGAAAGAAGGGTATACTACGTGACGTGGAAACGGAGTCCCCCATATCGGCCAGCCAAGATGGTACTCACAGTTGTCCATGACATAAGGGATACCAACGATCATTACGACCGAGAATAGACCCATCAGTATCATCGGATTCTTCAAGAAGCTCAAGATGCTGAACCCAGCCCTCTGTTGGTAGTAGTCCTTTCCGCTCAAGGGTTGAACACGGATTATAAGAGTATCCCTCGCAGAATCCAGCTCTGGCCCTTTATTCGACCATTGGTTTCCTCGGAACGTCTGCCAGGCGGTGATCACAGTGCTCGACTCATATTTCTCCGAGGAAAGGGCGGTGGAAGAGGCATTTGTCGCAACGTCAACTCGTAGCGGTGCGAAGTTGTAGTCCCGTGCGTAGATAGTGAACAGGTAGCTGTCGAGTGCGAGCTCCGGGAAGACGAAGGTGTTGTCTCGTCGAAGAAGGCTGTCGTATCGTGCGCCGCCAGGAGAGCCGAGTAATACGGCGTGCGTAGAGGATGGGAGGCTGGACGGCTCGGGGAGTAACTGCGAGGGAGGGACGACGACGACGAGGCGAGCGGCATTAGCCAAGGCTGCGAAGCCGATGGCTTGTGCAGCGATTTTCAAGACATGCATGTTGTGGTGGTGACCGTTGCGATGCCATGCAACTTTTGAATGTCAAGAAAGTTGAGTACCCAGGCAGTGATGATGTGTTGTCGAAGCTGTGCACTTGCAACTCCAGTGCTGACAACGGCACTTTTAGGGTTACTTATCGAGTTCAAGAATATTCTAACATTCCAAGGTTGGAGTCACATAGTAATGATCACATCGTTCGTTCTCGTCATTGCTCAATCTCAATGTTCGAAGCTTTACATTGATCGATCTGGTTGCAGACACGAGTACAGAGTAACATTGTTTCTTGTCAAAAAGTCAAAATCAGACGGCCGCAACTCTAGCCACCCATGCCACTGTTCTTTAGAAGCTCGCCAATGGATGATCTCCATGCGTTCGACCTATCAACCGCGGTTCCTGCAGCAACCTCCTTCAGGTCCTTGGCCTCGTTGCTGTCAAGCGTGCCGAATATTTCATCGAGGAATTGCTGCAGCGTCAATGCTTTCGCTCCCTTGAGCTGGTCTTGAAATGCCACCGTCAAATCCGTGGAGACGAGCGGAGGCACGATTTCAATGATGTTGACCTTGGTGCCCTTCAATTGCTGGCGCAGCGTCACAAGGTAGGCGTGCACACCCGACTTGGTTGCGTTGTACACGGGAGCCAGAGGGCTGGGCACAAATGCCAGTCCAGATGATGTGATCATAAACGTGGCCTCGGTGCCGCGCGAAAGGAAGCGCGGAATCATGTGACGAGCTAGGATGAACGGTGCTGTCATATTGACTGTCAATTCTTTGATCACCTGCTCGTCTGAAGAAGTCGACAGGTCCTTGATGGAGGAGGCGCTCATCGCTCCACTGTTGATCAAAACTGCATCGAGATCGGGATATTTGGTGAACAAAGTGTCGACGTGCCCAGGGATGTCTGCGAGGATGGAATTGTCCATGGTATAGCTCTCCATGCCAGGATTTGCGCTTGTGATCTCGGCAAGGAGGTTCTCCCGGCGACCAGTGATGATAACCTTCTTGCCTTGCTTGTGGTAACGTTTGGCAATGCCCTCACCGATGCCGGAAGTTCCACCCATGATGAGGATTGTGTTGAACGAGGACGACATGATGGCGACGGTTCCAGATGTGGGCTGTGTATAGTTCTCCTGCGTTGCCTCTGCTCTAAGATTGTTGGGTAAGGTGAAAGTCTGATATTCAGGATGACGGGAGGTATTTATGTCCAGCGCTCGCTCACCCAAGCGATTCGTGATGCATCGTTGAGCGCGTGAGCGTCATGCCAAACGATTAAAGTCTCATCGAAGTGAGAAGTAAGCTGAGCTAATGTCGGCTTTCAGATTTGTTGGCGTCAAATGCTGATAGGCAAGTGGTGGTAGAGGTTTCGGTATCGTCCACAGCTATTAGCGGAGATAACAGTCCTGGAGTGGAGCAATGTCTGTCCTTCTCACAGGGCAATTCGACTGAACCTCGTTTAATGCCTTTCAGGGCTATCGCCATCTATGTATACGAAAAGCATTTACCAGATGGAGCACCCTCAGGAATACACGTGAGCGGTGACAAGCGAGTGTCAAATCATGATTTGTTGCGATTCTTCTCGAAGGACACGGCAGTGGCGTCTGACACGCCTCGGACTTAAGACGCTGATACGCCACGGACATAATGCATCAAATTGGGGTCTCCACAGACGTTGCTTTGCCTCATCTCGCAAGATACGACACCTGGGCAACCATCGCGTTGCATCAGCACTTGCGTGCGCGATTTGCCGAGACCTAAATCGCTAACGACATGTGAGGCGCCCGATCGACAGATTTCTCCGCGCGTGCCACAGCCAACATCGACCATCATCGAACGACGCCACCTCGCTAACCCGGCACGATTAGTGCTTACTGGAATCAACCATGTCCTTGTAGAAAGCTACTCGCAAACATTAAACCTTGCTCGACGACTATCATCGCCGCTGAACTGGGGGTACGGTCTTACCACATGCATGCCTTGCGGTGACTGTTGTAAGCCGGCGCCATGTCAATCGAGCATTTGCAACGTCATGTCTATTGGTCCCCAACCAAGCAGACGTCACATCCCAATAATCGCGAAGACCGTCTGAATGCAATCATTGCCAACATCGATCGACAACAGTCTATCGTGCGTGCCGCTATCATCGAAGATGCGAGAAGCTATCAAAAAACATATCTCAGATCATCCTCGGACGCGGACCCGGAATCGTCCGAAAATGCAATGGACATCGATTCGAGTCAATTTGACGATGAGGCTGACAGGAAGGCTGAAGAGCTACTTTACCAAAATCTTAATGCGCCATACATCGAAGGCAGCGGTGACCCGAGTATGCTTCCATTTGCGCCCGACGGTACTTTCTTTGCACCGCCTCCAGGCGTCATACAAGCAAAGTCTCCGCAGGAGTTCCAAATAGCCAAAGAGACCCTAGAGTACGTTTATCTGTATGAGAAGACGTCCTGCAAGGCACAATTCGGCCGGGATTATTACGTCCAAGCGCTGCGGCGCACGCAGCCATATGGTACGAGATCGACGAGCACTGGACCAAGCGGCATCGAGAGGAGAACTTCACTGCCGTCAGACCGCCGGCCGAGCATCGGATCTGCGAGCCTCACATCTCCACAGGCACGTCGTTCGAGCACAACGCTCTTTGATGGGACAGCAACCAAATCTCCGTCAGGGGACCCGCGGCGAGTGCGAGCATCGCCAGCCGATCCGCGCATACGCCCGAAATGAGCTGGGAAGATCTGCGTTATAAAAAGCCATGTCACTGTTCTCACCGCGACCTCAAGGGTCATCGAGTAGCACAAGCCAATGACCTGTCCTTTTTCGAAGTTCGCAAGTCAAGATGAAAGCCGATTCCTTTTGGTAATGTCGCCGTTGACCTAGAACACCATCGCTCCGTGCGCCATCCGTCCCAAACACAGAAAAGTCGTTATAACATGCCATGCCAATAAACATCAAAAGCACAAGCGTTCATGGTCAACCATACGCATTAGGGCCAGGCCCTCCTCCAGGGCCGCCTTCATTCGCCATACTGAGTCGCGCGCACAATGCAAGAAAGACAGCAGTCTCAGTTGCAGCAAGGTAATTCAGAGCGTCGAGCAGGATCTTCAGGTGATGCTTGAAATGAGTCTCGTACTGGTTCAAGATATTGAATAGCTTGTCGAGCTTCGCAGGGTCGTAAGCGGTACGGTCGTTCGTCGTTCCAGAAGTGGGCGAAGTCTGATGCGACGCAAGTTCGGGATCAGCAGCTACTAATATTCGAGAAAGTGATGCAGTATAGTTTGCAAAGAGCGTGCAAGTCGTCATAACCTTGGAATTAATCTGAAAGAGAAACTGGGGGTCAGTGACAAATGATCAATAGAAGAAACAGCTTCGTGCGAGCACTTACCCGTAAAAGTCGTGAGTTGGTCAACATGCATTCCTTCAAGCACGTCGCCAGAAAATCAACATGGTCCTGCATGAGTTCATCCACAGTGCGCTTGATTTTGTTGGAAGTTCCAGTCACGCCATCTACATGCTCCTCATCGTTGGCCTGGGACAGCCTTGACATGAAAGCCAACCAATTAGGCTCGATAACCTCAGATGTGCAGAAGTAGAGCAGTTGCTGCACGAAGCAGAGCATTCGACTGCGCAAGCACCAAACTCGCCGCTTCCAATTCTCAATCCTGCGAGCGGTGGCAGTATCGGCTTTAGACTTGTGTTGCCAAGGTTTGCCCTTGGTATGTTCTGTCCAGGAGTTCGTGAGAATTGTCTCCAGGTGCCGAAGGCTCAGTAAGTAGCGAAAGAGCAGTTGGTACCGGGTCAGCGTAACCCGGCTAACCACCAGGGAGAGCGGGAAGGGCACTGCATAGTCTAGCGTAAGAGCGCCATAACCCAAAATCTCTTTCTCCTCCTTGTCGCCATTGATACTTGTGGCAGCAGGAGTGTGCGTGGACAAAGAAGTTGCGTCTGCATCCATACCCTGAACATTCACAACTCGCATCAGCCAGTCGGTCAAGCCAACACCGTTCATCACCACTTTGACGTCTTCCTTGAATGGATCCTCCGCAGCAACCGAACCTGGTTGTCGAAGGACGATGTCTAACAGACTTTGCAGTTTCCCAGTGTTGACACTTTTTGCCGGCTTCTTAAGCTCAGACTGAGTGAGTTCAAGGAAGTACGAGAAGAAATCGCTGCGGTCGAGAAAGAAATAGTGCTTCAGACTACGAAGCCTAGCTGGTAGTGCATGAGTCGTGAGAAGTAGTGCCATGAGGCTTTTGTTGGCGAAAGCGTACGCTCCACTGACGTTCTCTGCAAAACGCGGGTCGTCAAAAGTATGCGGTACATCTGTACTTGCATCAAGATCTCGGCTGAGATTGTCAATACCACCACATTCTCGAACCACATTCAGATATTTACCAGCCAGTAATACTTTATCCTTGACCGCATCTAATTGCGGAGGCACCAAATCCAGTCGTATGGTATACCGCTTCTCCCAGTACTCGTCGGTGTAGTCCTGTTCTAGTCCTTCGCGGCGGATTGACGTCTGCTCCTTTATCAAGAACTCTTGATGCGGATCACGGACATTGCCGTGATGTAGCCACTCATTCAACATCGTCATATATGGTCTGCTAGCCTCTTTGAGCAATATTGAAAGTGACTGGCGTGCTGCGGGATCGCCTGCCATCGAAGCAAGTCGTCGTGTCAACAGACGAAGCACTGATCCGCCCTTGCAGACCTTTTTGCCTGGCAGTGGAGCATCTTTGCCTTCGCGAAGAGACTCCAGTATGTTTTCCAGATCATCAGACTGATCTAATTCATCCTCGTTCAGTAACATACTGTTCTCCTTCAGGATCTCATGTGCGACACTGTAAAGCTGAAGCATGATGTGGGCGGTGGGCCGTGTATGGAGGCTCAGCTGATGTAGAGTGAACGAGGGATTTGTGAGCATTTGATGCTCCAATTGCGCAATCAGGATCATGTAGTCTTTCAGCATTTTACGCATGGCAGCGCAAAGAGCGTGATTAACTGTGCCCATCTCTTCCCGGCTCTGCACATCTACAAAGGCTTCTACAGCGCTGAAATGTGTTGCGGTCTTCAAAGTTCCGTGTGCCAGGTCCCTTAAGCTGGGATCGAGTCCAGGCAATATAAAAAATTGTGGACCCGAAAGCCTGCTCTTCTCATCGAGGGGATTATATGATTCCATGTAACGAATGTATTGTCCTTCAAATCCCATGAGTACGAACAGTAAATCCTCCATGATCGCCTTCTCTTGCGCTGCTAATGAGAGGGAGCCGAGAGCCGTTGGACGTATTGATGCTGGCGCGTGAGCTGCAGTGGGCGGAACTGAGATTCGCGAGGCCAATGGTGCTGTCGATGGCGAGAGGAGACTCGCGCGGGGACTCCATATTGACCCTGCCAGGGGTCAGCTACATTGCTATGATTTCAAAGAGCATAAGTCCCATTCGGACGAGTTACCTGCGCTCTCATCCAATTCCCGTCGCGACGAAGCCTTATCCAGCGGTGAAGCTCGTTCCGCGTCGGCACTTCTACGATTTTGATTCACGGCATCGGGGCGTTTTGCAGGAGCATATGTGGTGCGCTTGACCAAAGCCTCGCGCGTGAGGGTATCGCGTCGAATGTCGGTAGTGGTGGTGATCGTTGATGTCTTGCGGTTATGTATTCGCGATTCGTCTCGGCTTTCGTCGCCAGCTGAAGTGACTGAAGCGGAAGTCGGCCGGCTTTTTTGTCGGACCGCAGCCGAAGCACGGCGCTCAGCAATGCTCGGCGCACGGGAAGCGGCCGACATGAAGACGATGTCTCATGGGGCGATGCTCATCAGGTCAAATGTTTACGTGTTCGCTTTTGACATCCGCTCGTGAGTGTATAGAATCGACAATGGTGGGGCGAGCACGCGTGGGAAACCTTAAACGCGCGAAACTGCGTCAGGGCGGGCCGGTCCCCACCTGCAGATGCGCCGCATCACCAAAATCCTTAGTCAGAAAGGTCCTCCGAACAATAGCGTGAGCAGCTACCTGGGCAAGGCACCTCAGGCAGCACGGCTTTACGTACTGCATATACGACTCCCGCATCTAGCAGTTCATCAATCACATACAAGTCCAATTGTCGACAACGCCGCCTCTCCTCCAACGTCCCGCAGCATATCGACTCAGCATATATCCAGGCGACTCTTCCGACCAGACATTCACAGCGTACTCAATCGTTACATCCTCGAGGAAGTTCAAACAACACTCAGCACACCCCAACAACCTCAATCACAATGTTTATTGCACGATCAGAATATGGTGAGCTCTTGCCTTTGGCCGTGCAATGCTACTCAACTCAACTGACCCAATTCTCAAAGATCGCGGTATCAAGTACGCTAAGTCTATATGCAAAACACCTGTCACATACAAGTTCTAACCACATCTACCTACAGCACTTTCTCACCGGAAGGTCGTCTCTTCCAAGTCGAATACTCCCTTGAGGCGATCAAGCTCGGCTCAACAGCTATCGGCATTGCCACATCTGAGGGCGTCATCCTAGGGGTGGAGAAGCGCATCACATCGAGTCTGCTGGAGACGTCGTCGGTGGAGAAGATTGTTGAGATCGACCGACACATTGGCTGCGCCATGTCCGGGCTGCAGGCCGATGCCCGTAGCATGGTCGAGCACGCCCGTGTTACGAGCCAGAATCACGAATTCCATTACAACGAGCGATTGGGCGTGGAGAGCTGTACGCAGGCGATCTGTGATTTGGCATTACGGTTCGGCGAGGGTGCGGACGGTGAGGAGAGCATCATGAGTCGGCCATTTGGTGTGGCGTTGTTGATTGCAGGATACGATGAGAACGGCCCGTCACTGTGAGTTCACATTGGGACGAAGAAGCATACTTCTGTGGTTGCTTGCTGACATGTGACACGCGCCAGCTACCACGCCGAGCCCTCAGGAACTTTCTACCGCTACGACGCCAAGGCCATCGGCTCAGGCTCCGAAGGTGCTCAAGCAGAGCTGCAGAACGAGTTCTACAAGTCGATCACTTTATCCGAAGCAGAGGTATTAGCGTTGAAGACACTGAAGCAGGTCATGGAAGAGAAGCTAGACGCAAAAAATGTGCAGCTGGCCAGCGTCACCAAGGACAAGGGCTTCCGGATTTACACCGACGAAGAGATGGCAAGCGTCGTGGGTAGACTAGAGGGCAACTGATTGTGGCGAAGCGAAAATGAGGCACGAATGATGCAATGACACGAATGATCGGCAAGCCGCCAGACATAGAGCTCGAGCAGGTTCGGTGTATATCTGTAAGCACGGACACTGAGTTACGGAATAACCGAGACCTTCCGGTCAATGAATGTACTATACAAGTTCCAACAAACCCGTCTTGTCAATGAGGAGCTTAGAGGTCTGCGAAGGGCATCGAACTCGGCTCAGGCACACGCCTGAAACAGAGAGCGCTTGGGCAAAATCTCGCAAAATGAATGTGCTTGTAGAGCGGCGCATAAGTTGACATTGCTGAATGCAACCACGAGAGGCTCCGGCGTCAAATCAATTTCTGACCCATCCCTCTCGCGTGGACAGTGTGGAATGATGCATGTCGTAATGGCGCAGATGGAGGCTGCGATCCATCGCGAGTTCGGCGTGTAAAGGGCCAAAGTAGAACCGTGCTGCCAGCTCAACCATACCGATTTTCCGCCAGAGCGGTCGCTCTTCAGGGGACAACAAGTCGACGCCGTCCACATGGCCATCGCTACCCACATAAGCCGTGCCCTTGGGCGTGTCCAGTGCGACCATGTGGCGGAATTCTGGGCGTCGTAGGTGAATTAAAGGGAAAAAGCGGTCCATCGGCGGCTCATGAAGACCATTCGGATGGTAAACTAGAGCAACGGCGGGGTTCTCGGGAGAGTCTCTCGGATGATGCATGATAATAAGGTCCAAAAACGAAGGCACATCGTACTCGTCCTCTGCAAGATCTGGCAAGATGGCTTCCAAATGTGGTCGAAGGCGCAGGCTGTCAAGCAATTGAGGGGGTAGAATAGGCATGTGCGCATACCCCAAGGCATCGTTCGGCCTGCCGCCAACAGGATCGGAGCTCGAGCGACGTCGCAAAGGGTCGCGAGTTCCAGGGTCGAGGACTATTTCCTCCTAGGTAAGACCACCGCTGACGCGGAACTGATCGAGAGCGGTTTTGACCCTTTCTCGCACATTGAGACTCGGGTCGTCAGTCATTGACTTGACGGCAGTTTCGAAGCCCATGGACCGGAGCGTGGCAACGCGCGCACGTGCATCAAGACGGTCGCTCTCGTCTTCCGACCAGGTGACGTTGGCGATGACCCAGAGACAGGCCGATCGTACAGGAGCCTCGCTATGACGAAGATGTGGAAGAAGTGCGCGGAATAAAGCGGGGTGGTTCATGATCAAAGAACGATGGTGAGTGGATAGGGTGGCCAGGTGTACACAAACGTGTATAGTGGACAACATGAGCGGCGTAGGATTATAGACTGGCACTGTCGCACTTGTACCGGGCCAGCCTTTGACATCTGATATTGGCATGAGTTTGGCTGTAAGCAGCTCGATGAGTCGGTTTGGGCCTAGCTGCTGAGTAACATGGTCGATCAAAGCTGTTGCATCATTGCCATGTATCAGGTTACGGATAAAGTCCAGTGCTTGGGCTTGCATTGCAGCCTCGTTTCGCTTCAAGGCATACTCGCGATTTTCTTCGAATTGACGGATTGAGGAGAGATAGCGTCTAGGGTTGAAGACGCGTGGCGGCGCCTGCAGAGTGGAGCGTAGCTGAGAATCCTGATAATGTGTGCTCGAGGCTTCGTCATAGAGAACTTCGCCGTCTTCCCGACTCGCAGTGGCCTGATCATCATCTTCGTCCGCAATCTGATCATCGTAGCCGCCTTCCATGGCCTCGTCGTTGTATACATCATCCACATCCATCGTCGAGGGGTTCAGAAGATCGACCTGCTCACCAGCTGCATTGGCCGTACTGAGGCCAACGCTGACTCCGCCGTGATTGCTGATAGCGGAGGCATCTCTTTGATCACCCTCAATGGTCCCGATCAACCATGATACACCCAATTCGTCCAGTATCGCAATCTTCTTTTCCTTGCTGCAATCATGCACCAGGTTCTTTAGGGCACACATGCTTGCTATGCGAAGCTCCGGAGTCTCACCAGAGCGTGCGTGTGCAGCGAGAGTAGTGACAAATTGACCGTCTTCCGCCGCTAGCTCTTCTCGCATGGGACTAAATGTGAGGACCAGATTGCAGCAGACATCTGTAGTCGCGAGGCGCACATCCACGTTTTTGTGGACAAGTAGACGCAACAATGGCGATACAATACCACCATCGACCAGGCTCGTGCGAAGCACGCTCACACTGCGGGCCATACATTGCGCGGCACGACAAGCAGCGATGAGCACAGGTGTGGTATTGCCATCTTCAGGCATGAGGTGTTGTAAGCTTGCCTTGTCTGACCCCGGGCCAACACTCGGAAAAGGTTTGAGGGAATCGACCATGAAGCTCATTGCCCCTTCGTCAATGACGTTCTGCCGGAGGCTATCTTCATGATCAGTCAGGGCTGCGATCGCGGTCAAAGCACCGTGTCGACAGCGCATAGCCTGCATCAGTCCGTCCGATATACCTCTCTCACCCAGCCGGCAGTGTTCTGGAGTATCTTCTGTCACGGCCGGAATGGCCTTTGCAGACCACATTTGCTTAGCGGGAGTGATAGCATTGAAGCTTTTCTTCAACAAAGGGCATATGCTTTTGAATACCGCCGACTGTGCGGATGCGACTTGCAGTTCTCTGCTACTCGATACCAACAGAGCGAGTACCGAGCACGCTTGGCTCCTAAGATCGATGGTGAGATTTTCATCATCACCGTCATCTGACGGTGAAGCTCCAGCTGCACGCTTTACTAGAGAGATGGCGAGAGGAATTGCGAGGGTTGCCAGCTGACGCTCGCGCTCGCGAGTCTTTTGGGCATGCTCCGTCTTATGCAGGTTACCCATCGGATCCGCACGAATAGCGTTGACTACGTGAGCCAAAAGCCTGAGAGCTGCGAGTCGGTCCATGCCCTGGAATGAACGAGCTAATACTATTAGCCAACTGCAGACGGCATTGGAATGGTCGATGTCCGAGATCAATGGCTTGAGATGATCAAATCGAGCCGGGCCAGCAGTTTCGCTTTGATAAAAAGCCAAAGCGGGAAAATTGGCGGATTCACGTGATGTATGTGTGACAGAGCGGGATGCGGCAAGATACATGGGAGGCAGGAGGCTTTCGTGTCCATTGTGGAAGCCGTGTTTCGGGCCAAACGATTCTCGTTCGTCTGTGCCCTGGCTAAGGAATAATTCTCTGACGGAGGCCGAGAGGATAAAGCGATGAGCGCACCAAGTAGATTCGAACACAATGGCTGAAATTGCTGCAATAATGCTCGGGACCACTGATTTGGGTGGCGCTGGCGGTAATCTGGCAGAAATGCTCTTTATCAAGACATGCCGAGCATCGATGGCGTAAGCCGCTAGTAGTGAGGCCAATGTATCGATGAAGAATACGGTCGTCGGCCAGGCTTTATGCTCGTTGGGACAGCGATGATCGTCGGCAGGCAAAGCGATGATGTCGGCGATTAGCTGCACCTGTCGTCGTCCAGCAGAAGAGTTGGTGGGTTGGCGAAGTAGCACGTCAAATGCGTCCATCTGGCCCTCACTAAAGATAGCATGCCAGAGATCACAGCCCTCTACTGGGCTTTCGCCAGCCGCGGACCAAAATTTGGCGAGATTATGTATAGCTTGGAGGATAGCCGTAGCAATCTTGGAAGGGACATCTACGGCCAAGGCTTCAACTAAAAGCTTGGGCGTGTTGATAGCACAAAGAGGTCGCAGGAAAGGCTGCCCTGCTGCTGCTAGGCTGCCTAGAATCAGGACAGCCTGAAGAGAAAGATCGTCCTTCGGCGTCCATGGGTTGCTCTGCTCTACCTCGACATGATGTTCCGCCCGCTCGTCTGTTGACTCAGATCGTCGTACAGGGTACAATCTCGGGATGTTTTTTAAAATTCGGATCAGTCCTGGAAGGATGGAGCCCCTCACGGCTTGCTCCTTGCGGAGATCTTGCCCAATGATGTAGTTCTTAAGCCTTTTGGCTACATCCAGGCGCTGCTCGACCGGAGCTGTGACATCAGAGAGCAAATCAATAGCTTCTGTGGATACACCAGATACCATGTTGCTCATTTCGCCGATGGGTGTTGTTCTCAGGCTCCGGTCACAGCTGCCTGTCCGGGATCTCTGCTGTGCACGATAGGTCACGTGTTCAGAGGCATGTCCGGGAACGATTGAACCAGAGTGTGCTGCAGTGGATATGGATCGGCTAAGGTGCTGCACTGTTGATGAGATCAAATTTTAGTAGAGAGATTGCGATGAGGTCTCAAGAACCCAGAGGATGTAGACTTATTCTGCGAATATCATACAGCATGGAAACAAACAGCCCCGAGTGCAGCCAATGTTGGAGACCGCGATGGGAGCGACCGCGGCAAGCGTGTGCGTGTGTGACGTGAGATTCCAGTCCACGCGGGCTATCCCATCACCACCGGGCGGTTCTCAATATCAATGGTGCCCAGGTGCACCAGTCAAAGCCCTGAGCGCTGGACTGCAGGCAAAACTCGCCTACAATACAGCACCCACCTAATATCTATCTGCTTTTTCCAGGGTTGTGCTCGCGATTGCCCTCCATTCATCACGATGTAAATAGTAGATACCTAGGTAGGTAAGCACCGTCGCCCTGGATTTCACCTGCACGCCCGCACAGAAAGCCCAATGAGTGGGGAGTGTCATCAATGATGATTGTAATCACAGACGTGCAGAGCAGCTGGTAATTATTTCACATCGATACAGCAGGTCCTAGGCTCGAGCTGTCTATCGGGGTTGAAATGGGAATAATAACTTCCAAGCTCGCTCCTCGATGCATTGATAAGCCGTCCTTACTACTGTACCTTTCGCGGGCTGGCGGGCAATTTGACACTGCACCAACCAAACCCCACCACACAGCACAGGACATTGGCTTCAACGACGAGACACCCCTGAACATGATGAGTGTTGAAAATGATCGAGCAACCAAGACTCCCAAATGAAGGCAGGCTTGATCTGTCAATTCCCGAGGTCGTCTTCTATTGCCAGCATCGACCCGGCAGTAGGGTACGGGGAAAGCTATACATCGAATTCCTTGCGGGAAGGCGCACCCTCGGTAGAAGTTGCTCGGTCTGCGCGGTGCTTCCCATGAAAGTCTGATAGCCAGACGACCCTCCATATGGAGCACCTCTGGTCCCTTTCCTGGGCAGACCACGAACTATGAGGGACATCAAACTCCTATGCCGTCGTTAAAGCATACCTAGGTATGACACGAGAGGCAGCGAGGCATGTGAACTTCATCTGCAGGTCATCAAAAAGGGCATCTCGATGCGTAGAAAGTTCTCCGGTTGTACATATGTGATGAGTCGCTATGACACATACCTACCTACCTAGGTAGGTAGGCATGCAGACATGCTTTGGCACATGTGCAGCGAGATCGCATTCGTCTGAAAGCCGGGACAGTCGCCATGTTTGATCATACTAGGTAGCCCAAAAACCAAGGGCTGACGATGATGGTACTGCAGACCCCAACGGCCATGAGCATGACATTACTCGACACGCTCGACTGAATGAATCGCCCGAATGGTGGCAAGGATTTGCCCGGAAGACTGGTGGAAGAATTCCATGGATTCGCCCAGGAAGATCAACAGCAAGAAAGTTCTTTGCGGCAACGTCAAGGCCGTCAAGGCCGTCACAGGCCGTCAGATGCAGCAGCGGGAAAGCCCTGTCCAGAGCGTGTGCAGTCGTGCGAATCACAACAAGCACAGTAGACTCGATTCTAGAACCAGACCCAGCAGTGGTCTGCACATCCCGAGAGTCTACCAACCTTTGAAGGCAGTGAATACTGTAGCCCTTGGCATCCGACAACCACCAGCATCATCACCATCACTGATCAACAAGGACCACACATCCAGACCAAGCCAGCCCGGAATCGTTGCCGCACGTGAGCGCATAGCCTGCTTTTTGCTTTTTCCTCCCCCATTCTTGCACCGTCACAGGGACAGAGAGGTGTATAAAACACACGATGAAGATCACACTGCATTCATTGCAGCTTTTGCATGTATGATAGTAATGATAATGACTGCACAACCATTGGGATCGTCCATTACGCCATCATCTCAGACATATTTTATTACTTGCAACACCGCGGCAGTTGATCGACCAACGTGAATTGTCTCAGTTCTGCAATTTATTGAAAAGATCTTTTCGCAACCGCATGAAGGGATGAATACACGAGACGAATCAAAGCTCTTTTCTATCGACAGTTGCGGACATTCATCACCATAGCCCGCGAAAGTTTGACCGAGCATCTGTTTGAGCGGAAGCATCACTGCCTCCAACTTATCGTCGACTACTGATAACGGGGTGCGACTGTCCACTGCCCACATTTACCTCTCCAAGTGTGTCGTTCACGAAGCAGAGAAGCATTGAGACATCTCGAACTTCCAGCATCCAATCTTCTGCTCAAGTACATTTACGCGGATTTTTTCTAAGCCAACGATTGAACGCCATATCATTCTTGTCATAGTCAGGAGGGCTTCGTTCATTAATTTCCCTCTTGATCACCGACACAGAAGAAGCGAAGTTGTCGTCATCGCTCGCTGGCACCGGACGACCCGCACCGACCAGCAGCACCAGTCCCAGCAGCAGCCGTGAAGCTCGTGTGAGAAATCCGCCCTCTCATTAGCTACGCGTAGCGGTCCACTACTGCAAGGTGATTTCTTCAGACGACTTCGATCCATCATCGGCACATCACTGCTGCAGGTACTTTGACCAGGTAAGTGCATGATTTCCCTCGTTCGCCGTCGCCCAGTTGCTCGCATCACCATCGGCCGGCACAAAAATTGCCCGCATGTACTGTATTTTGGTCTCGCCCAGTTCTTCCCACGGTAACAAAAGCGACGAGATGGACACAGGGATCATGGACGCACACCGCAGGGCTGACGGGCGGGCTGGTTGGCCCTGGGAGAGCGACTGATCTGCAAGCGCATAGTCGCGACTCGAGTGTGTTGTTACAGCACTCTTGCTGTGGACGGATCGTGCGATGATTGACACGATCTAATATGTTCGCACGTTTCTTAAAAAGCAAGAAACCTTCCTCCGCTAACGTGTTCTCATTCCGAGCAGTGTAGGAAAATCTCAACCAGCCCCTCCCCGCCTTCCCTCTGTCTGTTTTTAGCCCGCCAGCAAGCGGCGGCGGCGGACAATTTAAAGTATTGACGGCTCGCGACTCTTCATCACTGCAATCCCCACTCACCACCACACAGTATACGCAGTACTGTGGCCCGGTCGGATTGCTTGGATATTCTTTCGCCTTTTCAAACAGGTTCACTATCCGGATTAGGTTCACCCATGTCCTCCTCTTTGACTGCAGCTTCTTCACCTGCGCATTCACCTGCTGCCTTCCTCACCCGCTCACCGCGCACCACAACTTCATACGTCCCACCAGCTACCACGACCAGACGCCCACCATCACGGCCTTCGCCAACACTTTCACCTCGGCGTGTTTTCAATGCGCCGCAATCCAACGCAATTGCTTCGAGAACACACTCCAGCCCAAAGCAACCACTGCATCAACCTGGCAGCGTGCCGGCCGTCGAGACCGACACCGCTCTAGCCGCGGCTGGACCTAGCGGGTACGTGGATGCAGGAACACAATACAGTCCGGACGGTCTTCCGCCCACCGCCAACCGCAATCTGGCATCCGGAAGTAGTGCAAGAAAGAGGAAGGAGGTAGCGACATCAACAGGCTCTCCGCTACAGAACTCCATGAGTACCGCGGTGGAGGCACAACCTCAGGTGCCACAGCCATCTGTGTCACAATCTGCGCAGAACTCGACTGCATCGTCCTCGACATGGCAGTCGCACCCTACTTCGAGCCAGAATACTGGTGCTGCTGCGGCTTCGTCATCAACAGGACCGGGACCGGGACCGGTCATACAGGAAGCCAGATCCACTCATGGGCATTCTGCAGCGCCCAAACGATCACGGCCGTCTCCCGGCACGCTCAAGATCATGCCACGAAAATATGAGACGTGTAATCCAAAGGACCTGGGCGCACTCGTAGCTAATATGCTCATGGAGCTCATTCGAATCAACGATCAAATCCCTCTACGCGACGGCCGACTCACTCGATTCCATTCACGCGCCCCGCCCGGCATATCAGTCGCAGATTATTTACAGCGCCTCATCCAACATGCTACACTGTCGCCTCCGATCTTGTTGAGCATGGTTTTCTACATTGATCGACTGTGCTCCGACTATCCGAACTTCACTATCAACAGTCTAACGGTCCATCGTTTCTTGATCACAGCGGGAACAGTAGCGGCCAAAGGATTGAGTGACAGTTTCTGGACCAACCCCACGTACGCTAGAATCGGCGGTATCCCGGTCTCCGAGCTGGCTACGCTCGAGCTGGAGTTCTTGGAGCGTGTTTCGTGGCGAATCGTCCCCCGCCCGGAAATGTTGGTCGATTATTACTGCAGTCTGGTTGACCGGACCGAGGGCTATATACTGGAGGAGGTAGAGAAGGAGCCCGCAGGAACAGCGAGCAGTGACGAGCTTGATGACGACGAAGACAGCCAGGATGATAGCCAGGCCGGAACTCGCACAAGCGGAGCAGGCACAGCACAGGGGGAAGTGCAGATGACGGGCTGATGTCGCTTCTATCATCTTCAGCCCTATTCATTCAACATGCAACACGCGCCTAGGAAAGCAAGCTTAGGTGCTTTACACGCAGTAGCAGCTCTACTGCTGGCATCTGTCTCCGATTACACGAGGCCTAAGAGGGCGCGAGACAGGCGCATGCTCACCATCACTTGATAATATCGAGAGCAGCACGAGTGGCTGCGATTGTTTGGCTGCATGCGTCGTGCTCATGTCCAGCATCGCTTCCACGAATGACATTCGCCTGGCGACGGTGACCTTTGGTGCATGTTTCCTCATACACGGAGACTCTCCAAAGGCATTCCATTGCAAGCGCCTTCATGAGCAAAGCTTCGTTTCTCGACCAAACCAGCTTCAATTGGTTCGAGGGGACTCGCCCAACGAAATCATTCCGTCAAGTGAGCATTGCGCCCTTGACTTCTGCCAAAATCCACGATGCTGCGGCCGTTACAACGACTCTCAAACACGAGCGAGACTCGAGACGATGTCCTCAGCATGTGTCGTAACCGACGAACACGACGCAAATAACATGCGATGGTGCGCAAAGCTGGTCGAATGGGAGCGAGTAATGAGAGCGCGGGTGTGCAGCATAAAAATAAGCACGAAGACTTCGTATTAGGAGAACAGGCGAGGATCTCCCAAAAGTGATGGTCGCGGAAGCAGCATAGATGCGTCGAAGCCATGGGCCAAACATCCATCCTCCGATGCGTTGTAGGAGTATCCTTGGGTTTTATTCTTGGCCGCCCATCCATACATAGGTATAGAAAGAGACTCATATTTTGCGCGCCTTCTCTTCAATTTCGTTTGGTTTTCCACTCCCGTCTCAAGTGAGGTTCTTTTTCTAGAACCGAGCGACATAGAACAAGGAACCCACCTGACATCTTGGGGATCAAACCTCCAGAAAAAGAAAGCAGAACAACACGGACTCGGGAGAATCGGTAGGATAAAAGGCCCTCGTTTGGCCGCTCCTTTCGAAGCAGCAGCGACGGCATTTGGTCTACTACCTACCTAGGTAGGTAGGTAGGTATCTAGAGAAAATTTCCGGGAAGCAAGTGAAAAAAATAGAAAAACAAAACAATAATACGTCGAGATATCATGATTCCCTTTTCCCAACAACGCTGTGTGACACGAAGAAGAGCCAGATCATCTTCCCGAAAAACCAAACAAATCCCATCCCAGATCCCAACATGCATCGCTTTGGATAAAAGAGGATTTCTCAACCGTTCGGGAGAATAAGCAATAGAAAAGTAAACAAGTAGATATCATCCCATTCGCGCTTCGAGTTTACCCCCAAACCAAACACAAAAAAGTGATCCCGCGCCTTCCCAAAAAAAGTGAAAATGAAGATTAGTCGTCATGAAGTGGAGCGGAGTCGTACCAGATAGAGTGGAGTGAGTGTCAGGAAACAGGAAAATATGTCCCCGAGCCGAATCGAAGAACGGCGAGCGATCATGGGGTGGGTGACCGCTTGTGAGGAAGAACATAAAAGTAGAGCGGCATGAAGGATGACGCTGGATACCACGATAGAGGGCCAAGTGGCGCCGGAGAGAAAACGCCGCGCTAGAGCGATGATGAGGAGAAAATGGACGCGCTGAATGAATGGCCATCGAGGGGAGTGACGATAGCATCATGTCAACGAGCGAAAGAGAATATGAAAGACATTGCAATTATTGCATGTCGTGCGCGGCGCGCTTGAGTTTGAAGTCGGGCACTTCAGTGAACCATTGCTGCGCCGGCTGCCATTGATAGGCCTTGAAGTCGACGCCGTAAGGTTTGGGTTCGAGGCAGTAGAGCATGCCGATCGGTACATCCAAGTCGGCGACGACCTCACGGCCCAAGCCGAGGAAGTACGCCAGCAGGACACGGGCGACGCTGCGATGTCCGATGAGGAGCACATGGTCAGTCATCCGCTCAAGCTCGACGATGACTGGTCGCAGGCGATTGATAATGTCGAGGTAGCCTTCGCCGCCGGGACCTGGGTAGCGATAGTGCAACTTGTCGGCCTTGCGGGCGACGTATTCATCGGGATATTGCTTGGAGATGCATGAGTATGTGAGACCCTCCATGACGCCCGCGTTGAGCTCATCCAGCATACGCATCTGCTTGATGTCGTAGTCTTCCTCGTCGAAGAACTGAGCAGTGTCAATGCTGCGCTTGAGCATCGACGTCCAGACGCAGAACGCTTTTTGGTTGAAAACCTCGAGCGATGCCGTGTCGGGAATGTCTCGACCATTGACATCTTGCGCGTGGGGGTGGTAGTGTGGATTCGGTGGAGTAGAATCGCCAGGCAAGGGAGGGAAATGAGTATTCTCCTGGCTGATTTGTTGCTTCATGTCCCATTCTCGCCGTCGCTCATCCATAAATCGAGTTAGAGCTTTGGCATATTCCACACCTTCTGCGGCCAGCTCGCTGTCGCCTCCGATCTTGCCAGAAACATTGTCCATACTGAGACCGTGTCGTGTGATCCAGATTTGTCGGGGTGTGAGGTTGAAGTTGAGTAGATAGTAGTTGGCCTGGGCCATCAGGAAGCCCTTGATTTGATGGCTGATGACCTTTCGGCCGACATCAATCATCTGGATGTATGGCATGTCATTGTCCTCTTCGTATTGTCCTAGCGGCACGTATGCCTTCTCGTACTCTTGCACTCGCTTCCGGAAATCTTCCAGAGCTTTGGCAGGATCCTTGTTGCGATAATCAGGACCGTTGAGCTTCAATCGCATATTTGCTTCGAGAAGCTCTTTGTCGACACATCGCGACTCAAGAAATAGGACGTTGAGTTGTGGGCCTGCGCGCTCTCGTATACGATCCATCACCATCTTCCGCCGCTCCATCGTACTATTGGTGGCGTCGAGGATACCAACGCTGCCGCCCTGGACCAGGATGTAGTCGAGCAGCTCATCAAGCGTTTCACGAGCGACCTGCTCGCGAATCCGTGATGCGCGTTGATTGGAAGGATCAAAAAATCCCGAATTGTGCTCCATATTCTCTTCCTCCGCTGCAGGAGCATCCTGGGCAAATATTTCACTGGCGAGCGTCTCTTTAGCATCGAGAAAGCTGTCAACTTTGTGCGAGGCGAGATCTGCAGCCGATGGCGCTTCGAGCTGCTCCTCGCCATTCAGGAGAATCTTCGTGGGCGTGGGCGCATCCTTCGCCGCCTCTGTTGCAGGTAGTGGAGGGACCGCAGAAGCTGGCGTTCGTGACGTTGAAGATAGGACCTTCTCAGAGGTGTGCGGGCCACCAGCAACGGTACGGCGACGCTCGCCAACGTTGAATATCCGTGTGTCATGTTGTAACCAATTCAGGTAACGGGCCAACTTTTTCGTGATGTAACTCTTTCCTCTCGCGGGCAGACCGACCTGGGGAATTGGTCAATAAAGGTGACTCATAATATCCAAGTCGCGCGACGACTTACCATAACGATGACCAGTTTGCTACCGACATCGCGCTGAGATATCCTACCGTCAGGTGATACCTTGCTCTTTGTCAGACCAGGAATGTCCAAAGTCGTGGGCCGTATACGTGGCGTCGCGGAGCCTGATCGCGGACGGAGTGCAGGTGCGGAGAGTGTAACGGACGGTGGACCATCGCTGGATGTCGATGCGCTGATCAAAGGGCTGTTTGGTGCAGTAGAAGTCGGCGTATCATTGAGGGCAATGCTACCGCCTTGAAGGGATCCCTGCATGGCGGCAGCCAGAGAGCCGCCACGGTGATGTGCGGGCGCTGGCAAGTCCGGCGCATCGCATGAGGCCTCGGAGGAAGCCTCGCTCCTCGGGGCAGGTGCTGATGTTGCCGGCGCTCTGATTAATGTTTTGGTCAGATGTGTGCGTAATTGTTCGAATTGTTTATCATCGAACCGCGACACATCGCTGCTAGTTGAGCTCCTCGATCGTCGCGCGGCGGAAGTGATGTTGAAGTCCATGTCGGACTTTACGGACGTAGCCTGTTGTGACTGGCGACGTCGGAATTGGCCTAGGTCGGAATTATCTTCCAGGACGCATGAGCATTTGCCAGCGATGTGCACGTTGCCGACGTCAGTGGGAGAGACGTCTCCGTCGAGGTGTGATGAGGGTAGGTGATTATGATGATGTGAAGCGGCGGCCGCTGAAGAGGTAAAGAGGACCTCCCATGAGACTGCGTGCGGCATGTCTGCGATTTGACAGGGCCACTCACAACTGGGGAACAGCAGCAGTAGCGGCGGCGGCGGCGAGCGGCGATAGCGCGCAGGTCTGGGGGCGAACGGGCAGCAACTTTGTGAGCCGGCGCGCGTTGGTGGATGATGCTAAGCGCGTAGCTTTCCGGTCTAGAAGGGATGCGCACTGCAGCAAGCAATGATGCGGTGGCAGCAGGCTTTTTGAGCTGTGAGTCAACGCAAGCTTTTATTCTGATACCCACTCCGGGTCGATACTCCGGGATGTATGCTGCAGGTGATATATTGATAGATTGTCGCTATGTTTATTCCGACCGCAGCGAATGGGTGTATGGAGGAGAATTAATTGACTTGCTGAAGGATGCGATGCCTTGCAGCAGGGAAGCGGCGTCTTCAAATTTCAGATGCGGCTCTGCGGTCGATGCAATGCTGATGACGATGTCACGACCTTTCAGTGCATGTGCCCTGCCAACAACAAAAAACTGTGACGACGATCGACAAATGTCTTTGTTAGAAGTCGGCGCGATGCAGGATGTGAGATGGCTTGGCAGGTTCTGTGCTGAGTGTGGTATGATGATTGCGGATGTCCTCCAGGGCTGTTATTAAAGCTGGCGGAAAGGTAGCGGATGTGGCCGTATGTTGAGTCACTGTGTGATGACGAACAGCGGATGATATTCACGCCGATTGTGGATGGTTGCGATGATGATACAAAACAAGCACGTCTGTGATGCCTTGGAGGATGTATAGTACAAGTTCAGGATGAATGAGAGCAGGGCAATCGGTGAAGACGATAGAGGTATACGTGTATACGGCGGAGTGAACATTAATTAAATAGAGATTATTATTTCCGTCGAGGCCATCACATCGGCAGAAGAGATGAATCTCCATGTCCAGTACACCATCAGGACAGTGTGACAGTCTACAACACTGGGAGGACTACTACAACTGATGGGGTACCGAGAATGGTCCGTTAATTGTCTTTGTCCGATCGCGCCCCGTGACGGGTTTGGGTCCCCTCGTCCACGACGATGATTAGAGAAATTTCCATTCCTGAATTTAATGTTCTGACCATGGCTCTTCGTTGCACGAGTGGAACCGGATCCCATCCAACCGGGCAGGGGCGAGGTCCAGGCGAAAAGATACTCGATGGGCAATGGTGCGACCAGTCGTTCGGTGCGGAAATACTGCGATAAGCGCACGGCAAAACCTCCCTCGACCCACCAAGAAAGGACAAGAGAAATCCATAGCACCGTGAGCGCTGGAGGTTTCAAACAACCGCACACTCATCATTACCATCATTGCCATTGCATCTGCATTGTGTGTTGGCAGCGTCTCGTCTTAAGTATCGCGAATGCTTCTAAAACGCCGTGAGTCTTGCCGAGCCTTTCTTTCTCCACTCAAGATCGTCTCCACTTTGATGCGGATGGGACTAAGCAAGTGCAGTGCAGCACCGTATGTACATGTATCAGAGACCATCCATCTGGATGAGCGATCCTCACCGGGCTGATCGCAAGAGTGGAGGGAGCTGGACATGAAAGAAGCATGGACAATGCAGGTGCCTAACATTTTTCCTCCAATTTTCAGGGTTCTCTCCATCTCCGCTCCAGACTCCAGGAATTCAATTTGACTTTTCGGGGGGGACGTGTCTCGTCAGAGCCTCATGATGCGCACTAATCAAGATCAGGACTAACGAGATTGAACGGTGGGCAGGTAGTTTGCTGGGGTTTAGACTTTGCCGTGCAGTCCAAGTGCGCCAGCCAAGCACATGGCCCGCCTGGGCGGCTCATTCTCCCTTTTCCCTGGTGTCTGTGTCAGAGCAGAGAGTGTGTCAGGTCAGAGTGTCAATCTCTGCTGTATGAATTCAAATGTACCGCCGTTGTGTCGCCGAAAGACAATGATGGAACGTTCCAACCTTCTCGAGGTGATCCAACGCATGCTTGGCACGTGTTTCATCGCCCGCATCCATCATCATCATCATCATCATCCTTCATCAGCATCATCCGCATCATTCTACAGCAGCAGCACCATCCGCATCGTCGTCAGCTTCGGCTCCAGCCCGACCCCGTGTGCCCGTCTCATTGCCAACATCCGATCTCTGTTGTGTGTAGTGTCGCATCATCGCAGCCCCTTTTCATCCTCCCGTCTATTGTTTTATCTCACCACATCTCATGCTGTCATCATTCGGCTCAGCTCGAGGCTCTCCTCTTCCGCCTGTAGCCTTTCCTCTTCACTCGCTCTATATAAAAACTCGACTATGGGCACGCATATTGTGCAGTAGGAACATCATACTGTATGACTCCTTCGCTTACCACCACTCGCTCACCGATGTAACCGGCGGCGCAACGACGAATCTAGAAGGACTCTCCATTTCTAGTCTCGCTGTGCGCTTCCGATGATCACTTCGCGCTCGGGGTTGCCCGCTTTCGCCGCTCGAGCTCTCTCCACAATTCCAGCTCGCGTGGTCCTCGTCTACATGTCGAAAATCACTTTGACAACGAGGAATACCTAGGCAGCTCATAATAGATTACCTGATTGCTGAATTTTCCGCGCGCGAGCACATATTGTAGTGAGCCCCTCGACGATCGAGCGGCGTCTGTCCGTCAATGTACAGTAGCGGCCTCTCCTCCTCACCTTAGTTACAGCCACCGCAGGTGCATTTACAATTTTCCGCAAGCATAGCAAGCTTGGAAGCGATCATTAATTCCGCTCAGGATGATCTGCACTCGCCAAGCCTCTCAAGCCGAATTGCTCTCCCGTCTTCGGACTTCTTGGCCGTGGTGTCGATCCGACGTGGTGAAATGACCGTCAGCTGCAAAGCTCGTCTTTCAATTCCTCAGGCCGGACATGATGGGCGTGGTCGGAGGGGTGGATAATCCACGTTGACAGTGACATGTTCTGATGTACAGTATTTTGCAGTACCAGATCTCTGCGCAAGCTGCACAAGCCAATCAGGCAACAATGGCACATAGAAGTAGCAGCCTCGAATGAAGTACGCAGGGCATCTATTCACAGCTCGCAGCCTCGACACATAGCGCTGCAATCATGGTCGTAAGTCAACGATACCGTTTGCATATACCTAGAGATCAAGTCACTTTTGTAGCTATCATAAGGCCTGAACATTCGAACTTCTACATCTACGCTGCAGCAATGACAACCCCGAGGAACGAAGGATAGGCTATCAATGCCTGCAACTGATTTTTCTTGGTAGGTGAGCTCGCATTGTTGTTCTTACATCAAGCAGACACTCTGTTACTTGTAGATTGTCGACGAGTCTGCCGTCTATGGAACGACATCGTCGATCAAAGTCAGACATTGTGAGAGCTTCTGTTCTTAGCTCCGCTCAAGCATCCTGGGTGTGAAGTGCAAACGATCAATCCGGTCCTGGAGGTGCACTTCAATCCACTCTTGGCCTGTCGAAAGCAACGACATTGCTCGCCTGATGGCAAGGTAGGTCTGCAGACAGTCGAATGCGACTATGCGAATCTGATGGGGCTTCCGTGGGCCCCTGACCGAACTCATGCCGATGTAAACACTCCGTCCGTAGAGAAACTTGCCAAGGTAATTATATATGGCAGAGCTTGCTTTTTCCAGTGTTGAGCCCTAGATTTGTTGCAAACCTTGGAAGCTATTATGACCTGGGTTCCAGAAAGATTGGCAGACGATTAGAAAGTCATGGTTCGAACAAAAGTCTTGTAAAGACATGCCGCTTGGCTCTAGGGGCACAGACACTACCCTTTGAAGTCCGAGTGTAGTGCTGGCTCTTCAATTTTGTTCACCGCATCTGCAGTAATTCAGGTGAATATCGGTAGACTTGCCACGAAACATCACTTCATGACTCATGTTAAACATTGAGAAGCTACGTCAAGCTGAGAGGATACTCCAACCTTTGCGTAGCTCCCTCTTTTCTTCTCGACCTCTTCTCAAACAGGCTCGAAATTTGGGACGTCAGAGCTGTGGTTGTCTTTCGAGACAAGCGACGTACGAAGTGCGACCGTCGATCTTTGATTGAGAAGATCTTTTGATGCAGATCATCGTAGCATTGAAACGCACCTGCACGAATGCAATTGTGTGCTAGCCCTAAATCATAGACTTCGATCTCAGACCCCAAGCTGGGCAACCCGGGGTATCGTCCCGGCTGGGAGTCTCACTACCCTAGATCCATCGCTCTCGACATGCTATGATGCATGCGTTGACATGTTGATCGTCCGGCATTCCTTCCTTGGGCACAGCGACGTGACCGGCTCTTGGGAGGTCAAGCTGAAAGCCCGTAACGAGCAGAACGAGTCATGTCGCGAATTTAGTCGAGCTGTCACCTTTCCCTGCCTCCACAGGCAAACTCAATTTAGAGCAGCGATTTCTGCAGTTGTATCTCATATCAGCACGACTCTCCAAAGAGTGTACACTCCCTTCAAGGATTGTTGTCGTCTCCATGCAGCGCCTGCGCCGTCCGTGCTCCAGCGACCGCAAGCTGGTCGGCAGCCTCATTGCTTGCGTCCTTGTGGTGTCCTTTCACCCATTCAAACAGCACGCCGCCTGGTCCGCGGTTCCAAAAGGCTCGTTGGTCGAGCTTCGTCGCAGCATCCGCAGCAGCATTATCCCCATCGGCCAGGCGATGTCGATTGACTCGTTGCCGCTCCTCTAGCAAATCTATGATCTTCACCACAAGATCTTTGTTCTCGACGGGTTTCCGTGATGAATTCATCCAGTTGTTGCGCTGCCAGCCACGGAACCAGTCTGTGACGCAATCAATGGCATATTTGCTATCTGACACTATGACAATGCGCCGATCGCGCGGCGCAACCTCGAGGGCACGCTGGACGGCTGTCAGCTCGGCGCGGTTGTTCGTTTGTCGTGTGCCGGTGAGTGGTTCGCTGATGTTGCGCTGGTCACCCGGGCCGAAATAGACGCCGACGCCCCCGAGAGCACTGAGCTTCCCATTTCCGAGTGCGCTGCCATCTGTATAAATGCGCAAGGGTGCGTTCGGCGCAGCACGAGTCGCTTCATAAACCGTCTTCTGGCGCTCTTCACGCGTGCGGTATCGTAGAGTGCCGGCCTTTGGATCGAGCATTATGTTCGGATCAAATCCATCTTTAACATCTTCACCTAGAGGGGCCTCGCCAGGTTCGTACTCGCCCTGTTCGGACTGAGCGGCCAGGCCGTCCTCTTCCTTTACGGCTGTGGTCTTCTTCGACTTGTTGAGCCTCGCCTTCTTGGACGCCGGCTCATTTATTTCGCCGCTCTCCTCTGCAGCGCCGGCAGACGATCCCGCAACGCTGTGTACCTCTGCAACATACTGTTCTGCCTCAAACTTGCTCTTGAACGCTTTGTGGCGCGGGCCCTTCCATCCAGTGATCTGATCTTGAACATCCTCCCAGCTGGTGTACACACCTGGCACCCTCCCGGCTTGTACACCGTACCACTTCACGATCTTTCCATCCGCGCTACTGCTTGTACCGTGCACCACAAAGTTTTGAGCTTCCGTCAAGGTAAGGAATGATTTGAAGGTGGCCTTGGGAAACCCTTTGATTTGTTCGAGACAATCTTCCCACGTGTGATACACTCCTGGTGTTTTGCCGATCCTGACTGCGTAGAACCTAGGTTCTCGTTTTCGCTTACTGCCAGCTGATTGTCCGACGGGCATATCTGGATTTGAATCGATTGTAGCGGTGGAGCACTGCAGTGTGGCCAAGAAACGGCTAAGAGCTGGACTTCCCAAGCGTATAGTAATGTTTTTCAGGTTTTTCAGGTGTGTCCTTCCATATGGTTGAGGGTTGGTCCTGTGACTGAGAAGTGCGAGGCGCGATGGCGTTGGTAGATGATAATGGGAAACTGAACGGGAAAGGAAGCTTGACGCAGTGTTGATGTGACCTCGACTGTGCAATTGCGCTGCGAAGGTTTGTGTTAGGCGGCCAGATTCGCTCTCAAATAACAAGTGAGCTAGGAGACATTTAGCATTGGGCATAGATAACGCTGGACGCTTGACGATGCGTTAAGTTAATATTGCTGCTGTTCATGTGAGAAGCTCCCCGCTGCAGCCCTGGACGCGCTCTGACGAAGCGAGAAAGCCGATGCCCAGTTGTACATTGGTACGTCCACATGCATACAGCAGATCTCGGGACCTGGCTGCCGAAGGGGCGCCGTTTCGCCCGCGTTGACACCTCCGCGGCGAAGTAGAGTTGTACCGTATGTGCCGTGTGATTATCTCACAGGCACGACAGGGTTGATCGATCCGACACGGATTCTGTGGCATATGCTACTATACCTAGTTGTGATCCATCAACATAAATCCCGAAAGTGCCATGGTCAAGTTATGTGGGCAGATCTCCGTGGGTAGCGAAGTCGAAATCCCACGCGGCAGGATATGCTTAATGCTCAGGGCTGCTGTAATGTATTCTAGTAATCGCAAAGAAACAAGCATGCATGCCCAGTATTCGTTGCGGCTCCGCAATCGTGAGGATGACTAGGCCAGGCGGACAGAATGTACTCATGTACAGTACTGCGCGCTGCATAGTAATCACCGTGATACCAAGAAGAAACGATTGTACTGCAATCTGCAGGCTGACCAAACGCCCCGGAAACCCACGTTTTTCTCCCACTCGAGCACCAATGAAAGGTCAGCCCTGAGCCCTGTGATGAAAGCTTCCGGGGGTGTTTCCCGCCGCTCGCGCCCAGTGGTGCCGTACACGGTGACCGTACCACCACCTCCACCACCACCACAGTACAAAGAGTCCAGCTAGCAAATCTATTCCCATTCCTACCGCTGTTGTGCTACGACCATTGCTACTGTTACACATATTTGGGTTTCCTTCTCCCGCGTGGGATGCTCTCTTCCTCTAATTACACCTACTGCAATCAACCTCATCCTACATCTACGACTTCAATAGAGATTGCTTGGGAGATTATCCTTTCGGACATTTCGTATCAAGCGACGTCACCGCTCATTATGCTGACCCGACGCTAACGCGACGTATTCATTCCGCCTCGACTCGATTTTGGGCTGGCTGGGAATTTGGTCGAATTGAGAAGACTCCGGATGTCGACCTCGAAGCGAGTCATCACACAGCTCGCGCGGCCGCAGCGGTCGTCTGCTGTGACCAACCTACGAGCCCCGTGGCCGCGGAGAAGCTTCGCGCAGCAAGCCGCAGCCATCAAGACTTTTCCAGTCCACGGTGCACCGCTCCTCGACAGCAACAGTAAAGTCGAAGAGGAAAATTGGGATTGGTATAGTCCCGATGTCTTCTACCCAGTCAACATAGGCGAGCTTTTCCCTCCCCGGTATCAAGTTTTGGGCAAATTGGGTTTCGGAACGCGCTCGACCGTCTGGTTGTGTCGAGATCTAAGGTCAGCCATCTCTGGCAATATGAATTACTGATCTCACGACTGACTCCAGTGGAAATCACAGTGTTGATAAATATGTAACACTCAAAGTCTGCGAGAGAAACAGCATTGCGGCTGCACGAGAACTATCCGCTTTCCGCCAATTGAACTTGTCGCGAGCCACACATCCGGGGGGTCAGATGGTCCGCAGGCTTCTCGACACATTCAAAATTCGTCGAGTGAGTGGAGAGCATGTATGTCTCGTACATGAGCCCCTCGGACCTAGCATCGAAATGCTTCGCAATACTTTGCCGGATCGAAGACTACCTAAGATTTTACTTCAAAATATTCTGAAGACTCTGTTGATGGCGCTGGACTTCCTGCACAATGAAGCGAAGATGATTCATACAGGTACGCAAACTCCCGCCTGTGCTAACTACCTAATCAAAAGCGTAATCAAGGTTGCTGACACTATGACAGATTTACAAGCTGGTAACGTGCATCTCCGGATACGGGACACCAGCATTCTGGAGGAATTCGAAGAGCAGGAATTGAACGACCCAAGTCCCAGGAAACCAATTGGGAAGTCGTTCATTTTTAAATCCCGAGACCTGGCTTGGGATCAAGATCCAGGTCATCCTATCCTTTGCGACTTCGGAGAGGCGCGCTACGGAAAGACGTCTTACACAGATCCAATTCAGCCAAGTGCCTATCGGTCTCCGGAGGTCATGTTCGGAGTTCCATGGACATCGAGCGTGGACATTTGGAACGTCGGTGTTATGGTATGTGTTCATTTCGTCCTGTTCAGATGCATGCCCGCAGCTGACTAACACGCTCCCAGACATGGCACATGTACCAAAATCGATTGCTGTTTCCCGCCACTGATGAAAATGGCAACTACTCGGAGAAGATCCAGCTGGCCGCCATGGCTGCACGGATTGGACCTCCTCCACTTGAGTTCCTTGTGCGGTCAACCCAACGCCAGAAATACAACGCTAGCATCTCCGAAGAGGCAGCCAAATCCACTGAGACCAGCTTAGAAGAATCGGAGCAGTTCCTGGATCCAGCAGAACGAAAATTGTTCTGTCAGTTTATCCGCAAAATGGTTCAATGGGTTCCCGAAAGACGGAAGACTGCGAAGCAACTCTTGGACGACCCTTGGCTCAACAGCTAGACCGCTGGTTGCGATGGGTGTGAATCGGTCTTATCTCACAAGCGGCGTCCTGGAGCCTACCTTCTTTTACTTTTATTGGTTTTCGGGGCAACATACATTTCAGATTTGGGTTTTTTCTGTCTTAATATCCAAATGCCGGCGAATCACATCGCCCTATGTTCGAGCTCAAATGCAGCATTTTATTTAGCTCGATTCGATATCAAGTACTGACAATCTACATTCGATTCTTATTTCTATATCCCTTTCGACGTACTTCAACCACGGACGACATTTTGTATGGTGCACGGACCACTTATGTCCACAACGCCGGATTCCAGCATCAGTATAGCAGCACTGGCGGTCGTGATTCCGAGCTTGGATTTGCTCATCATTATTTGATGTCCAGTCGCTCTTTGACGATTTGGATATTACGAAGTTACAATCATTTTCTCTATTGGAAATGTACTGATCTTCTGTAATGCCATTGTGATCTGCACGATGTTCGAGGTGCGTACCCGTGGAGTCTGCCAGCAAACTGACGGTGCTCTCCGTAGTTGAGCATCGCCCTCTACAGCAAGACTAATGAATGTTCCATTCAGAGTCGACGTGCCCGAGACCGCTACCGCCTTCGTCTACATCGCGCGCGCTCCGTCGTCCTCACTCCTGAGGAGCTTGTAGAGATCCGCGCGGCGCAACGTACGTTCGAGGGTGCGTACATCCGCACCAGTCTCAGCCAATTCAGCTTCGCGCTGGTCGTGCTGAAGATCTTCACCAGCGAGTTTTACAGCATTGGTAAGTTCGTCACGCCCAGTTTTGGTACATTCCATCTTGGTTTGGGGCTTGTATATCTCAACAACAATTCAGCTGATATTATCAAAACATTGCTCAGGTGCATTGTTTGCCGTGTATGGCGCGGGCGTGCTCGGCGTAAGCGCGTACAGGCGCATGCAGGGCAACAGGCAATTCTTCAGTGAGATGGGTTCCGATGGTCTAAGCAGGAAGCGGTATGATTATTCTTGTGAAATTTGTTACGAAGACCAGCGATTGTCCCTCGGAGACTGATCAATCGATAGCTTTCGTACCAGCGGTAATGTTGTGGTGGTTCTGACCAGCATGAGCATCGCCGCATACATCACGTTGTTGGTGCTGACCATTAGGCTTGGTCAGACTTGAGTCTCGCAGTTCTGTTGTAACGAGGAATCTGGCCGCCTGTCAAAAATTGTAGAGCTGGCATCTGTCTTTGATGATGTTAGTCTTCGATCTCTATGAAGTCTATGTACGGGCTTTGTTCGTCGACCTGTGTCCTGACAATCGAACGACGAGGAGAATACGATTTACCGTAGTCCCACGTTGTTCCACCCGATCAAGATCAAACTTTGAACTCGCTACATCACATCCCAGCATTTAGGCACAGCCAATTTGTCGAGGCATTTCAATGCAAACATCATGACATTTCCTGTCGACAAGTCGTGACATGCGCATTTGGGGTTATGTCAACCCTAGTTGTCAAGTCAAGAACGATCTGGTGACCCTTACCCACCTACAAACCGCGACTATGACGGAGGTGGGGCTAGTGAAAGCAACTTGCAATCCATCCATGAATGGATTGCTTCGTACCTACGTAATAAGAATAACATGTGATACTGTGCATGTACGCTCAGTATGATTCATACCACGAGTTATCAGATTCACAAAGTCAGCGTCGTGATTTATTTATAGTTCTGTAGACGATTGTCTCCTGGTTACCGTCACTGTATGTAAGCATACCGTACCTATCAAAGCGCCCGTTTCCATTTCCTTCCACCTCTCAATTATAGAGAAAACCATAAAAGTCATGTTCAAGAAGAAGTTCAACATCAAAGCCCTTGCACCCCTCCGCTCGTCAGATAGGAGGAAGCTCGCCGACCAGATCATAGACGACTATGGTCTGAGCAGCAAGAATGTTGCAATCAATGTCGAACGATCAGACGAAGAGAAGCTCGAAGTCACCGCCGCGAGAACAGCCCTGCGGAACTCTATCCTGCCAGAGAATGTGCAATCGGCACGCTTCACAACCACCTCCGGCCCAGATCTGAAACAGTCTTCAGGAACGCTTTTTGTTGGCAATCAAGAAGGCGAGGATGCACGGATATTGTGGTATCAGCTTGATGGCAAGAACTTCCCCTCAGTGTACACGGCCTGGAGAAACGCGGATATTGTGCCGCTATTGCACACGCCCGAAGTCGTTGTCAAGAAGATCCAAGCAGGAGCCGATCTGATGACGCCAGGCCTAGCAGGCGGCCCACCATTTCCGTCGCGAGCGGTCAAAGGATCTGTCGTCGCGATTGCGAGCACGGACAGGCCATCAGTGCCGATGGCAATTGGAGTCTGCGAAATTGACGTAAGCGCATTGCAACAAGTTCAAGGAGCCAAAGGTCACGCAGTGCAGAGTGTACACTGGGTCGGTGACGAACTGTGGAACTTCAGCACCAGTGGAAAGTCTGGGCGGCAGCCACCAGAGGAACTCACCGAATGGTCACAGGTCCTCGCTACGGATGAGCTTGTTGATCATATAGATGGGGTAGCTCTGCAGGATGCTGTCGAGGATGGTGGAGTCAAACTACGAGACCAGGCACCCGAAAAGCCAGACGAACAAACCGGGGCAGCAAAGGGCTTACCTTCCGGCGCAAATGCAGAGGACCAAACGAAGATCGAAGTCCAGAGCGAGCTTACGCAGGCGGAAATCGATCGCGCTTTCCGGCAGGCATTCTTATACGGCGTATATCACCACAAAACCACAAATGCTGGCCAGAAGAACTTTGGAATCGTGTACCCTGTCAATCAATCAGCCCTCATGTCAACATTGGTACAGCCGTTCCTGCCAGCGTTTACACCGGAGCAAAGTCAGCAATTGCAGATCAAGAAAACCTCATGGAAAAACATAAAAAAATTCGTCAAAAGCCTCGACAAGGAGCGGATTATCAAGAGTAAAGACCAAGATGGCAACCAGACCGTCATTCTTGACATTGATTTCGAGGACAAAGCCTTTGTCACCTTTAAGCCATACAAGCTACCGAAGAAAGGTCCTTCAGAAAATGCTCGTGGCAATGAGGTCGCGGGATCGGGAGAAGACGGAGACGAGTCTCTCGGGCAGAAGCTGCGCATCATTACGCTGTACAAGCCGACTTTGAAGCAGCAGAGTCTCTTCAACGCCGAATCAGGATCAAAATCGTCGTACAGCCAAGCAGAAGTCCGGGAATACATAACTAAATATGTGGAAACCGAGAACTTGGTCTCTGCGAACAACAAGCGCATAATCGCGCTCAACCCCACCCTTGCTAATGCAGTGTTCGATGGGTCCGGTTCACTGGACAAAGAAGTATTGGCGAAAGGATCCGTGCCACGAGATGCGCTGATAGACCGGGTACTGCATGGTATGGCGACATCGTATGCTATCATCCGTAATGATGCCGATCCGAACAGCGTCAAGGCCAAGAGCGGCACCGCGCCAAAAGTATTGATCACCTTGGAGATGAGAACCGGCCACAAGACAGTCACCAAAGTGTCTGGTCTTGAAGCCTACCACGTGAACCCTCGACCACTGGCGGATGAACTACGGAAAACATGTGCTGGCTCCACGAGTGTCGAGCCACTCGCTGGCGCAGCTAAAAAGAACGAGAAGCAAGTCATGGAAGTCATGATCCAAGGTCCGCAGAAAGATGCCGTACTCAAGGCGCTCGAGCGGCGAGGTGTGGATAAGCGATGGGTGGAAGTGCTGGACAAAACCAAGGGCAAGAAATAGCGAATCTCGGCAATGACACGTGTGTAATTTCTACGCGTACATTTGGTGTACGAGAAGATCGAGGTCGAGTATTGTATATTGGACTAGTACAAATGAAAGTTTATTCATGTAACGTCCCACGTCTGACACTGAATGGCTTCTTTTTTCGATTTTTTGTATTCCACAAGGTACACACGCGTCATGCTTGTTTACAGGTCCATCCGCACGTGAATGCGGCGACACGCTTAGAAGGGGTTGTCCTCGGGCGCAATCTCCTTGACGAAGTATCCGCCGATGACTGGGACCTTGGAAAGAATGTCTCTGAATCATTTTTGCGTTAGTATGCGTTCGACTTGCTCGAATGTCTTGTTGTGCAAAACTCACCTCTTTACTCGCGGGACCTCGCCGAAGAAGAAGATGGCGAAAGCGCCGGCAGATGCGCCGAAGGTGGCAGCAAGAGTACCGCTGCAATTATAGTAAGTCAAAGTCGTCGACTCGGCTGACGTAGGGTGCCGGTGCATACAAGTAAAGGACTTTCCGCGCGGTGATGCCGTAGACGTGAGGTTGAATCTTGTATCTGCGGTGAACCATATATCAGAATCTGTCCGTCTCCTGGCAATCCTCGCCTATCTCATTTCATTTCTCGTCGACGTACTGAGGTCCGAACTTGCTCTGAAAGGCCTTGTAGCCAACTCGCTGGCGCCATGGGTGAATACCCTTGACACCGTCGGCAGTCATGCCATAATTTGACTGTCATTCGGTAAGCGGTATGCTTTCAGGTGAGGGCTTCCCATGACGATCGATGATACTGACCCTCCGGATCAACGTGGACTGCATTTTGGTGAATCTGGTTGAGGGCGATTGGAAGCTCTGAGCGATTGGCCTCGGGAATTCGCGAAGTTGAAGTCGCTGGCAGGAGAAAGAGCTGCGGCAATACCCGGACGCAATCCACGGTCAGCGGCCGTTGCGGGCTATGATTGGCTCAACCGCCGGCTGTAACGCAAGAACCCAAACGCACATACTGCGGGCGCTATGCACATTACGTCGCAGCTCTTTCGGAGTGCAGACCCTAGATGTGATTGATCGGTGTGCATACAACTGTTCTCGCGATCATTTGATAGAGGTGCAGCCCACTGGACCCGCTCCACGATAGTCAATAAAACGCTATTCTCTTCAAATATTCGGTCGACAATGCTGCGTATTTGATTGTTGGATTCCGCCGCGGGCGCAATGCAGCAGACCACTTTGGCCGCCGTTTGGAGTGATGGAAACCTCCACAAGTTCCAAAGTTACAGGTACTTACGAGTGATGTCACGGCCAAAGTGCAGACATGGTCGCAATGGCTAATATGGATCACAGTCGAGTATCATGATCCATTCGGAGTATTCCCGCTCATAGCGGGCGAAATTGCCGGTCGACTACCATTGCACAATCTCAACTGGCATTCTCCACCACGACCTTTGCGACAAATCAAGTCTCTCCACGTCGATTTCGTTCCAGATGCCGAGACAAAAGACAAGTCACAACCGACGACCACGCAGACGAAAAATGTAGGATCTTCTACGAGCTTCGACATTGTGCGAGCGGGTCAAGATGGACGCAACGCCATTGCGAAGGAGAGGCGACATCAGATCCCAGGTCTCAAAAAAAGCCCGTACCTGAAAGTCTATCTTCTACGATGTGACGACAAGGTCGGTTACAAAGAGAGTGAGAAGAAGGCTATACGAGATTGGATCAAAGAGAATATACCACCGGAAAGCAAGCGCGAAAACCACAATGCTTGCGAATGGCTCATTTTGCACATTGTCCTGCCTGACACCATCGCCGCCAGCGAGCCCAGATGGCGGGAAGGCTCCGCCAAAGACATAGAAGAATTGAAAGAGAGGCCGAAGAGCAAGGCCAAATGGCCGGGAAAGGGTGATCGCACGGTGTTCGATCGACTGCGCGCAGATTTCAATGAATCTGGGAAGGGCTCTATTGACAGGGTGGCGCAAATTCGGATCCCGCGCGCTGATGTGCCTCCAGATCTGCTCCCGATACCTGCCATTGGGGGAACCTTGGTAGAGTCGCCTCAAGAGCGAGAGAATGCTTGGAATGATCTTGTCACCAAGTTCAAAACGCTCATCTTGGGACCATTTGACCGGCGCGTTCGTCAGTATGAGGCCGACATTGCTGAACAAGAGTCCCGACGTGCGTTGCCAGGCTGGAATTTCTGCACTTTCTTCATTCACAAGGAGGGTTTGGCGATGGCATTGGAGAGTGTGGGGCTCGTTGAGGATGCGTTGGCCATCTACGACGAGCTGTCACTCGATCTGGACACTGTGGCTCGTGAACTTGCATCTGGCCAAGCAGGCGGCACTGCGACTAGTTTCGCAACCTTCACCAACGACATCAAAGATCGGATTATCAATGCCACGAGAAAAGAGAGTAACGACACCAATGACGAGACGCCAGAGCACGAGCGAAATGATGCAGCATGTTTGTTCACTAAAAGCTATCGCGAGAGAATTGTCAGGAGTGACATATCTGTTTTCGACTTCATTTGCTATATATTCTTACGCCAAAAGACTTTGATTCTGCGCTTGGCTAACGCCCGATCAGCTCGCAAAGAGCTCGGGACAGACAGCGGAGATGGCGGTGAAGATCTTGTTCTGACATCGGAGGTCTGCTGGCGGGCCTCGAGCTTTATTCATAATGCATCCAGAGTGTTGCGATTGGACCTGGCAAATGCGTATGCACGATTCGATCTTCACTTCTGCTCTTGCTGTATCATGCTGACCATATTCCTAGCCCTTCCGACCAAGCCGCGTACTCCAGACATGATATCGAAAATCTTGTCTGCTCATGGACTTACTCTGTCGCACAATACATCCTCGAAGACACCGCAGTCGCGGCTCTTCTCGAGACAACTAAGCCGGAGGAGTTGAATCAGCCCCAAATCAATGGGCGAAGACCCAGTCGGTCGACGATAAGTCTCGCACTCGGCGCAAACCCGTATCCACAACGTACAACAAGCCTTCATCCCGACAAAGATGCCGTGCCGCCGGAGCTTTTACGGTCACTCGCGCATTTGAACACGAGAGAGGGTGCGAAATCTGCCACACCCCCGTCAACCTCAGCAGGATTGCCGATCAAGACCGCTGGGCTCCCAGGCCAAGCCGAACTTGCAACGTATCGAGCTGAGCTAATCTCCATGCGACGAAAGATACTGGAACAGGTTGCCAGCAATTATGGCTACTTCACAGGCTGGACATCACTGAAACGTGCAGAGTCTCGTAATAATGAGGGAGACGAACTGCCACAAGATTCTGTCGTTGCAGGTGCCAACTCGAAGGCGGTCGATACCGCACTCCTGAGCCCGAACCTCAAGGGTGCTTTGACTTCAGAAGCCGCCTTTCAGAAGCAGTTTGAAAGTCTGACGGACTCTGCGTTACGTCACTTTCTTTCCGCTACACAGAATAAATCGGCAGAGCGCTTGATGGGAGACATCGCATTGCTGAAATGTCAACAGGAGAACTACCTTTTAGCAGCAGCTTATTTCGAGCGCATAGTGCCCCTATATTCTGCAGACTGTTGGGACATGATGGAGAATCGGGCTGTTATGAACTATGCCAAATGTCTGAAACATCTACAACGACACGAACTATATGTGAGCACGCTTCTAGATTTGTCGGCGAAACTTGTCCATAGGGATATGGATGACAGCAAACCACGAACTCGTCCAAAGTCAAACACGACGCATACCTTGAACAAGCAGCTGCTCGATGCGAGCGAACTCTGGCGGGAAGCCGTCGACGCATCAGCGCACCTCGATAAGGAGATGACACAACCACATGGCGCCTTGTTCGCCGAGCTTCGTGTACATCGTGAGATTCTGCATGACGACAATTCGGATGGCTGGGGCATCCAGCTCCAAATGTGCCATATGTTGGATACTGCCATTGGCTTTGATGAGGTCAAACTTCGACTAGTCAGCATAGATGACAGCACGCAGGATATTTGGCTCAAGAGCATAGGGCCAATTGAATTAACCGCCGGGCAGAACACAATCAAGTTGCAAACCTCGACAATTTCCATCGGTTCGTACCTGGTCGATAAGATTGTCATCGGCGCGAGAAAAATTTCTTACGTTCAGGAGTACAACACCCGGCCAGAGATCATTGTGGCCGATGTCAAAGATACCGTCAGCCCAACGACCAAGTCTGTGAAGTCGGCTGCGACATATATCTATGTCTTCCCAAGGAACGAGTCATTTCACGCCGATCTTCGCAGGTCGAAAGATTTCAACATGGACAAAATGCGACTGTTGGACGTGGTTGTACAGGCCGGTGCAGATAATGTTGAGTCCATGAGTGTCAAGCTGAAACCGGCCTCTGCGGGACTCAGAGTACATCTGGTTGAGTCTTCGGCCAACGGAGTGCAGATCCTCAGGAAGAAAGATGCGAGCGGCCATATCTCACTCGGGACGCTACAGTCAGGATCCAAGGCTGTCGTCACGGTGCCGTATACCATGGAAAAAGCCACGCGTGAGGTAGCGATCCGCTATGAGATTCAATATCAGACTATGTCCGGCACTCGAACTTTCGTGGGACGGGCACGGATTTCCAACGAGCTGCCACTCGACGTTGACGTGAACGACGTCTTCCATCTCAATGCCATTTTCTCCAGCTTCACAGTGCGGACAACCGGACGTGCACCGACTACGATCACGGGAGCTAACCTGCTCGGCTCTCCACTCTACGCAGTTGAAGAGCCACCTTACCTACCTTTGCCACAAGTTGTGTACCAATCACAGCCGATCAATTTGGCATACAAGCTGTTGCGAAAGCCTTGCTCTGATCTGAATTTGAGGAAGAAAAACGCGGCCCTTGCGCTGTGCGTAGACTATGTCGCCATCGAGGATTTGGCAGCTGAATGCATCCGCCAACAATTCAACAACGATTTGCTCTCGAGTCGTTTCGGAAAATACGGCCGTCTACTGGTACCGCTGCTTGTGGAGCGCTGGAGACGAGCGACTGATCTGTCAAGCTTGGACCTCGCTGCTTTACTCCAGACAGTGGACGTAGTCAATGCAGAGAATGTCGGATGGCAGGAGATCTTGCCGATGATCCCCCTCAAACATCGTGAAGGACTCGAAACATGGCTCCGCGAATGGCATGCAGAGCACAGGAGCGTTTCACTCGGCAGCGAGGCCGCGTCCAAGGATGCCTCCCAGCGAATCACCGTTTCAGTGGACATGCCGAATGTGGATATGGTATTTCACGCTGCTCTCTTACTGGCACCAGAGCTAGAGCATCAGCCTGCATTCCAGCCGCCTGTCCTTGCACTCGGCGAGCCTGTAGAGGCGACGCTCCGCCTCATGCACTCGGCACAATGGGGAACAAGAATCCTCTTTCCGAATACACCTCGAGTCAAGATCCAAGGCGATTCCGAGCCTGAAGAGACCTTCATCTGTGCCGTTGGCGCCGATGCGGACGGCTGGCTGATAGGAGGCAAAAGAAGCTTTCACTTCAAGCCGGAAGACAACCACGAAGGCGTCATTTTGCAGCTGACGCTCATTCCATTGAGATTGGGCGTCTATTCGCTTCCATTGGTGGAGATCCGCCCTAGCGTCCCAGCAGACAAGGACCGCAACAGCTCGAGTGAGCCCGAACCCAGTCTGACGTGTGAGACGTACTATGAGAATGCCGCGCAGGTGGTTCATGTGGTTCACGATAGGCGAGCCACGCAAATTTGCATTGCAGATGCGCCGTCAGAGATCACGGCGGCTCCTTCGTCTCGTCCGAGTACTGCTGTGGCGGGCTCGACCAAGGAGGTGGGATGATGGTCGAACGACAAGCACGAACGACGGCTTCATAATGTTTGTAGACATGACTATTTTTATCCGAATACCAGTTTCCCTGGTAACTTCTTTCGATTATCCCGAAGCCTGTTCCCTTGTGAAGGAGCTATCCACTTCTTAAAATGTGGACTTGATCGTGAAGCAAACTTGTCTGCCATTATTCTTGCTCATTCGAAATCGCGTGCTCATCACCTGGCATCACCAACGACGGGAGAGAGCAATGCCGGCAAGTCCTCATCCGGTCTTCAACCAAGCTCTATCTGTAAAAACCGGCCTTTGAGAACCATTGTGGTGGGGTGTTGCAAGTCTTTTTTGGCCATTTGTCCAGGATACGTACATGTACGAATCCGGTCGAGGGAGTGTCTATTCGTGTGAAACGCCCCACGGGTGGATCTAACGGCACCTGGGCATGTTAGGACGACGCGCCAGGGCGATTGCGTGCTCGCGTTCCCTGGTGAGACGAGAGCTGGAATGAATGCGCGAGGCGGGGTATCCTCTGGTTCTGTGGCCTCGCATTGGATGGGCGCCAGGGACATTTCCCAGTCGCCTGGCCATTCCATCATACCTAGTAGGCACATGCGCGGGGCACAGCACATGAATTGTTTGGGGTGACGCGATCTGTTGTCGTCAACCGGTTGAAGGATGATCATCAAGAATAATTCCACTGATCGTCTGTGATGGTGTTGTAGTATTTTCATTAGCGGTAGGAGGAATAGATGTGATAAACTGCTCATCCTACTAATTCATTTCTTTCTTCCTGTTCTCTTCTTCTACATCTTATCCATATACCGTAATCATCAACGTAAGTGCAATCTTCCATGTTCGTTTGGGAGATTCAATCGAAAGTGAAAGTCTTGGGAGCGTCAGTCAATTGGCACGAATACATACATACGCACACACCTATTCTTCGATTCACTGACCACTTCCATGTAAAAGATTATCCACCATGTCTGAGGAAATCTCCAAGAACTTCGAGACGCTGCAATTGCACGCAGGTAAGTGGGATTGGCTCGTCTTGCGAAAAGCACCTCGATCGCCGAAGGAAGAGAAGCAGTTGCTGATCACAAATCTGCTTCGTCCACAGGCCAGGAGCCTGACCCGGCGACCAAGTCCCGCGCCGTGCCAATCTACGCCACGACCTCATATGTTTTCAATGACTCCGCCCACGGCGCAAGACTGTTCGGTCTCAAGGAGTTCGGCAACATCTACTCGCGTATCATGAACCCTACCGTGGATGTGTTCGAGAAGCGTATTGCGGCGCTCGAAGGTGGTGTCGCTGCTTTGGCGGCCTCGTCCGGACAGGCCGCTCAGTTTATGACCATTGCCGCTTTGGCCCACGCCGGCGACAACATCGTCTCCACATCCAACCTTTACGGAGGTACCTACAACCAGCTCAAGGTCTTCCTGCCGCGTCTGGGCATCACCACCAAGTTCATCAACGGCGACAAGGCCGAGGACTTCAAGGCCGCCATTGATGACAAGACCAAGGCCATCTACATCGAGTCTATTGGCAACCCACGATACAACGTGCCGGACTTTGAGGCCATTGCCAAGGTCGCACACGAGGCTGGCGTGCCGGTCGTTGTTGACAACACCTTCGGTGCCGGTGGCTTCTTTGTGCGCCCGCTCGACCACGGCGCCGACATTGTCGTGCACAGTGCCACCAAGTGGATCGGTGGCCACGGTACCACCATTGGTGGTGTTGTCGTAGATGGAGGCAAGTTCGACTGGGGCAGTGAAGGTGCGCGCAAGCGATTCCCTCAATTCACCCAGCCTTCGGACGGCTACCACGGCCTGAAATTCTTCGACACCTTCGGGGCCATCACCTTCATCATCCGCCTGAGAGTGGAGATTCTCCGCGATCTCGGCTCTGCCTTGAGTCCCTTCGCGGCCCAACAGCTGATCCTCGGTACCGAGACCTTGAGCTTGCGTGCTGAGCGCCACGCGAGCAACGCCATCGCTCTGGCCAAGTGGTTGGAGAAGAACGAGAACGTCGCCTGGGTCAGCTACCCAGGCCTCGAAAGCCACGCAAGCCACGAGTTGGCCAAGAAGTACCTCAAGCGTGGTTTCGGCGGTGTCCTCTCCTTCGGTGTCAAGGGTGGCGGAACCGCTGGTTCCCAGGTCGTCGACGGCTTCAAGTTGATCTCCAACTTGGCCAACGTTGGTGACGCCAAGACCCTCGCGATCCACCCGTGGAGCACCACCCACGAGCAGCTCAGTGATGAGGAGAAGACCAACAGCGGTGTGACTGAGGTGAGCCTTTCACTCTGTGTTTGCTTCGAATCGTTGCTTTGTATGAAAGATTGGCTGACGAGATCTCTTCTGAACAGGACCTTATCCGGATATCAGTTGGTATCGAGCACATTGACGACATCATCGCCGACTTCGAGCAGTCGTTCAAGAGCGCGGCTACGAAACCCGAGGAGAAGGCGGCGACTGGAAACGCTGAGAACACTGGAGACGCTTCGGCACCGACCACCAACACGGTCTAAACATGGAATGGGAAAGAAAGAATGATATGCCTCAAAGAATCAATAATGGATACCCCGAAATGAACGATTGAGACATAATCTTGCTGCCGCTCGTTGGTTAGCCTGTCGGTGATGCCTCAGCAATTCGTCGTAGTCTCGCAGTGGTAGATTGTGCAATGGCGAGATCGACCTTATTCACCTGCGATCGCCATATCGTGTGTATCCTTCGACGACAATGAGATGGATCATACAATTGTCTGCAACGGGATATGGATGCGCTTACTCAGCTGGGCAGCCACGTGATACCCACCGAACACTTGCACACAGATGGCATGTCGTTCCCCACAGGCCACCCAAAAGTTTCCCCAGTTTCCTGTTCCGTCGCTCGGTCAATGCTCTCGATCAGGAAATCAGCCGAGGCACATGATGGAGTCGATCACGACCGCGTGATGTCGAGGCATGTCTTGGTATCCCAACATATGGACGTATCGTAGTGTTCTGGCAGATGAAGATACACGACATTGCAGAGGTGGCATGACGGTGAAGTCTTGGCCAAAAGGAATGCTGTGCGTATGGTGGTGGATTCTGATCTGATATTCATGTGAATGAAAAGTGCTCCAGCGGTGCTGGTATTAGACGCGATGTGGAGCGGCGGACGGCTCATGCTTTCGCGATCGAAGATCGCGCCACAGCGACGACAAAAGATGGACATTTGTTACGCTCTCATTACCGGCAACACAATATAGAGAAGGGAAACACTACCGAGGACTTAATTCAGGGCATCAGGTCTCGGTCCTGGCCTTCATCTTGTGTGGTGATATTAACATCGATCATGAGATGGCGTAACTAGAATCTCTCACGATGCATTGCGGGACATCATTTTGGGGCTGTGGAATGACAATAAGCAAATAAGCCGTTCGGAGACACTGCCACCGCCGCCGCATGGAACCTTGGCGCAATCTTCCAAGCACTGTAGCAGGCATAGTATCAACATTCTGAATGCGAGCGGAGCGTAGGACGATCACGGTGTGAGAAACCATGTCTATCACAATGGTTGCAGCACAATTCTCGTATGTATTGTAGAGCGACGGTCTGTTGTATGCACATGAAGTAAGTATAGAATCTGGAATCCCTTGCCCGGAAAGCGCCACCCCTTCTCAAGCAGCTGAAAGAAACCTTGGAAGAGAGAGAGTGTGTGTGTGAGACGTGTGAGAGTAGCCGGCTGGCTTGGGACTGGTTCGGCGCCGATAAGCCGAGGCCCTGGGGAAATGCGCTGGACTTGCACTGCGGACCTTTGTCTCGTCGAGCGTGGTTTCGCGACATTATCCGCTGCTGATCTCAGTCGGTCCGCCTTTCATCACCCACCACCCACGATCGTCCCGTAGGTCACTGAGAGAACGACAGGCTGCCGTATCGCCGTCTCCCAATAAACATTGCACTACTGTACGTACATCCTCTATCAATCCTCACGCCCGCACTCCTCCTCATCCGCTTCCCTTTCTCTTCTTCTCGTCCGTCCTGTTCACTACACGCCGACAACGTCCACTGTCCATCATCTCATACACGGCTTCAACCGAGAGAAGATTTGACCTTCTCGCCGTGATCTAACCGTCTTGCTGCAGATTCGGTAGTCCTTGAAACTCCGCTTCTTCTCCGCACCTGCAGGAAAGAGGTACATCTGCCCTCGTTCCATCACCACGAGCCGTTGTCCTCACCATCAACAACATACACCTTCAAACCGCCAAAATGGTCAGCCCCTGCCTTGCTCTCGAGGAGGCCAAGAAGTTCCGTGTGCCTCCTCCCGTCGGCGCTGCCCACAGTATCGCCCTACCGGGCTCTGCACAGCCGGGTCGCAGCGCTGTCTACCGACACTGGAGGGCCAAGGATGGCGTGCTCGTCACCCTCGACCCGTCCATCAAGACCGCTCATGACTTCTTCGAGCAGAGCGCCGCTCGTGTCCCCAAGAATCGCTGCTTGGGTCGCCGTGAGTACGATGCTGAGAAGAAGACCTGGGGTCCATACATCTGGGAATCATATGGCGACGTGCACAAGCGGAGAGCCAACCTCGGTTCCGGTTTGGTCGCCCTGCACGAACAGGTCGGTGTCACTGGTACCCAGTACGGTGTCGGAATCTGGTGCCAGAACCGTCCCGAGTGGCAGATTGTCGACCTGGCCTGCCAGTCGCAATCACTCTACAGCGTCTCGCTCTACGACACCCTCGGCCCGGACACCACCGAGTACATTGTCAACCACTCCTCCTTGACCTCGATCGCCGCCTCAATCGACCACATCCCAACCCTGTTGAAGTTGGCCTCGCGATGCCCCACCCTCAAGATCATCGTCTCCCTCGACCCGCTCTCCAATGGTGAGCTCCCCGGCCGATCGAAGAAGGACCTGTTGGACGCCATGGCTGCCGGCACTGGCATCACGATCTACGACTTGCGCGATGTCGAGAAGCTTGGCGAGACCAGCGGTCGAGGCTACCGTCCTCCCCGTCCCGAGGACATTGTCACCATCAACTACACCTCCGGCACTACCGGCAACCCCAAGGGTGTCGCGCTTACCCACTACAATGCTGTGGCCGCTGCGTCCTCCTCCTTCTGTATCGTCAAGCAGGGCGGTGACAACGACGTCATCATCTCCTACCTGCCCTTGGCGCACATCTTTGAGCGTGTTGCCGAGCACTCCGCTCTTTGGGCCGGTATCGGTATCGGTTTCTTCCACGGCAACATCCTTGAGCTGGCCGATGACTTGAAGCTTTTGCGCCCGAGCTCCTTCAACAGTGTGCCCCGTCTCTACAACCGTTTCGGAGGTGCAATCAAGGCGCTTACCGTCGAGGCCGAGGGCTTCCGTGGTACCCTCTCCCGCCACATCGTCGAGACCAAGCTGCACAACTTGACTGAGCTGCCGATCGAGAAGCGCACCAACAAGCACTTCCTCTACGACCGCATCTGGGCTAAGAAGGTGCAAACTGCTCTCGGTCTGGACCGTGCTGCCACCATGATTTCTGGTTCGGCGCCTCTGGACCCCTCGCTCCACCAGTTCCTCCGCATTGTCTTCGCCAACCAGTTCATCCAGGGTTACGGTCTCACCGAGACCTATGCCATCGCCTTGGCCCAGCTCGAGGGCGACTTTGGCGCCGGCAGCTGTGGTGCCGTCACTCTGTCCACCGAGCTCTGTCTCTTGGATGTGCCCAGCATGGACTACCACTCCACCGACAAGCCCAACCCGCGTGGTGAGCTGCTCATTCGCGGCCCGACCGTGTTCAAGGAATACTACAAGAACGAGAAGGAGACCAAGAAGGCCTTTACTGACGACGGCTGGTTCCGCACCGGTGACATCTGCGAGGTGGACGAGCTCGGCCGCTTCCGCATCATTGACCGTGTCAAGAACATCCTCAAGTTGGCCCAGGGCGAGTACGTCAGCCCCGAGCGCATTGAGAACGTCTACTTGGGCAACTGCCCGTGGTTGGCCCAGGGCTACGTGCACGGCGACAGCACTCAGTCGACCCTCGTCGGAATTTTCGGCGTCCAGCCCGATTTGTTCGCCGTTTTCCTGCAGAAGCAGCTCGGCATCACCGTCAACCACACCGACATCGCTGCCCTGACCGCCGCGGCCGCTGATTTGAAGGTCCGCAAGGCTGCGCTCCGTGAGCTCGGCAAGGTCGGCAAGGCCGCCAAGTTCAACAACTGGGAGAACGTGCGCGACATCCGCCTGTTGGTCGAGCCTTTCACCATTGAGAACGAGCTCCTGACCCCTACGTAAGCACTGCTCCTCCTTGCACTTCAAAGTTACACCTGTCCCCTTTCTCGTCGGAAGACGTGTCTATTCGAGAGCCTATGATCGTCATGATAACTAGCAATTTGCTGACTTTTATTTTTCCCTCTCATAGCATGAAGCTCAAGCGCCCTCAGACCGCCAAGCTGTACCGCAAGGACATTGACGAGATGTACGCCGCCATCGAAGCCGCCGCCCCGAAGGCCAAGATCTAAACGAGCCAAAACACGAGACGGTGTAAGTGGCAGGATAAGAGGAAATTCATCGCAAATTTTCGGAGAGGTGGAAAGAGATGAAAACGAATACGGTTCGAAAGCCCTGTGCTCCTGTGGCATTTCGATGTCGAGACGGACCAACATGTCACGACAGACGTGACTTGTTTCGATTCCTTGGATCCAGCGAGTGCACTGCTGCAGGGCGGAGGAGAGAATTAGAAAAGAGCGAGATGTGATCTGATAAGTAAGATTCCCACGACCGGCGTGTATACTAAAAGGCAATATTCCCAAGAAAAAAAAACTACATCATCTTCAAAACAGAAAAACCCTCCAGCGCCCGGCGAGAATTCCTAGAAACCAGCAATCCCAGCAAATGTATTCTCAGGAAAGCACGCGTCGAATGTGGGCGGAGGGAAATGATGGTTTGGAATTGGACACATGCAGGTTTGCCTTCCCTAGTGTTTTTTTCTTCATTTTCCTAGACCTGCCTCTGCAAAATCTCATTTATTTTACACACTCGACTGGGTCAATAGCTCCCCCCTCTCTCCACATGGGTCGCTCCACACTATGAACTTCCTTAGCAAACGAGACTCCTCGACTTCACCGTCGCCGTAGGTATGTATACTTTTCGGCTCTCATTGCTGGGAACAGACCGCGCGATATTCTCACTCCATCTTCACTCCCGGCACTTGGTGTGGCTTTGATGTTTGTCTGTGCTGTATGTCAGGCCAGGCACCCGGCCACTGTGGCTGCATTTCCGTGCGAATCTACCTCTTCACTGTAGCTGTCTGCCTCTCCCCTCCACGATCCCCACAAGATGCAGGCGATGCAGGCGGGAAAAGGCAATTCACTACATGGGTGGGTGAGCCGCGGAGGTAAAGACATGTGGTGGAGGATTCGTCGTGTCTCGAGCCACGAGACGTGGACCACGCAGCTTGGAAGCGAGAGGTCTAGCTAGCTGCAGCGCCATCAGCTAGTCTTAGACATCATCAACTCATATACCACTGATTCGCAGGACGACCACGCGTTTATCACATCGAGATCGCCAAAGGGCATGATTTGCGAGGCGATCATCCCTGCCACGCCATTCTCACGATCGCACCACCAGAACAAATTGGCAATTCCGGCCCACCACACAGTGCCTCTGCCGCGCAGTGACGCGCCAGGCTCCTGAATCGAGAAACCGGCGAAGCTCCAACCTTGCGGTGGATTGCCTTCTGAAAACATGATGAGTGTCAGCTAGTGCAAAACCATAGCTGCTACGAACGACAGTGCAAGAGCACTCAGAGTAGACCGACCTTGTGGATATGTCTCCTGCGATGCATTGGCGATCTCCGGCTTTGACGCTGGAGAAGGCACCCGAGCGAAATCGGGCAAGTGTGGAATTTGATTCTCGAACATCAGATCTACAGTCTCAGGCTTGAGTATACGTGCTCCTGTTTGACTATGCTCGCCATTGTTGAGAAGCACAGCCAGGACTTGAACGAAGTTCGCGGGTGTAGCGAAACCGCCGGCACCTCCAGAGTGGAATAGACGATCCTTATCTGTATCATTTGCAGCCAGGAGTGGTTCTCGATAGAGATGGTCTCGAGTTTCTATGTGAGAGTTACCTGGCCAGCGCTGGTGCATGTGTGCTAGCTTCGCAACCATCTCTGGACCTGGGAGCAAGCTCAGAGCGTGGAGCCCGAGCGGTCGGCATATATCTCTTTGAATCAAATCGTTCAGGCGCACGCCGGTAGCCCGCTCAAGCATGATGCCGGCCCAGTCGACATTGATGCCGTATTCCCATGTCTCGCCGGGCTGGTTCACAAGAGGCATGGCGAGGATTGTCTTCATGTCGGCATGAAACACATCGAACCCGACCGGTCGGCCGTATCGTAATAGTTTATCGTTTGAGCTTTGTAATTGTCGTCAATATCTATTCTAACGGTGCAGTCCATGATCACCCACAACTCATATCCAAAGCCTGCTGTGTGAGACAAGAGCCTGCGTAGCGTGATGTCCTGCTTCTTGTCCACAAGACTACCGTCGTCCTGAAGGACCTTGACAGCTCGCAGCTCGGGACAGAGGTTGTATACTTGCTCGTGGTCATCCAATGCCAACTGTTGTTTCTCAACAGCCTGCAGACATGCGATGACCGTGAGAACTTTGGTACAAGATGCGATCCAGAAAACTGTCTCTGTTGTCATTGGTTCTTTGATGTCAAGCCCGATCGTTCCAGATGCTTGAGCTGCGATTTGTTCGCCATGCTTATCGATGGCGACGAATACGAGGCCCGCGACGCCATTCGTCTCGTCTCTCGTGATGTCATTCAAGCAAGTAGTAATGGTATCGCGTGGCTTGAGATCAGCCATTTGAGATTGTAGTATTCCTATGCTATGATATTTGAGTGTTTGTTCCTTGAGACAGCGCGTGAGCGAATTTCGCTCGTGGTCGGAGAATACGGTTGCGTCAATGCGACTATTAAGCTCTGTTCATGTCATTGTTGCATAATCCGCCCGATGCTTGCTACCCATTATATAGAGCTAGTATTGGCTGTACCTCGCACTAAAATCGAAGCTCCACAGATCGCGTTTGACGTATTAATGAGAGGAATTAGATGCTCGAGCTTTTGATCTTTCACGAAAGCATCATCATTATCAATATCCGAGCAGAACATGTAGATTTGATCATAACCTTGCAGATTTGCTTTGTCGCCATATGCCATCATACCTAGGTATCTAGCCTATCATGCGTCGAAGCGCTTGATCTACGATCGCCTTGAGCTCTGTTCTATACAGTCGCGCATGGCAACACTGAAGTCCTCGTAGCATCTCAGTATCCTATGAGATGGATGGAAGATAATCTAGAAACACTGGCTCCATTTTCCGCCGGATCGGGCGAAGCCCAGACTGTCGATGAAAGCAGTCAAGGTACAGCGGCCGTAGCTGTCGCCGCCACACTGCTTGAGAGGAATGACGCGGTCGTTGATGATAACGCGAACGTACTCGCCATCATAATCGGAGCATGAGAGCTTCTCGAAGTATGCGCGAGCCGCGAACGGGACCGTCCAGGCTGAGCTGTAACCACCGGCCTGCTCAGCTTCCGTGATGGTAGTATTCGAAAGTGGTGCAGTGCCGTTGAATAGACCAAGCGCGGAGTAGATGGCGGTCATGTCGTTGTCGTGGCTGAAGTCGGCATAGAGCGGCAGACCGAGGGGGAAAGTGGCAGAGTCGCTGTCAAGAGTGCGGTTGGTTGATGTGTTGTCCTGTACTGGGGTATTCGTCAAGCGGGCGATGAGCTCATTTGCGAAGCCGACACCCTGAGTAGGGCCAAGCGGGTTGCCATAGCTGTAGCCGTAGTACTTGTTCAGAGTCTGGTAGTAGTTGTACTGATGGAATTCGGCCTCGGTGAACAGTCCGCAGAAGTCCGAAACGGTACCAGTATCCGATGCAACAGTGGTGTAAGGACAGAGATCCATTATCGCGATGGTGTCGGCAACCGTCAAGTTGGCGCCTGGGAGGTCATTGTTCAATCGGGATTGAATCGACGGCACAAATACATTCGCCCATTTGGCTTGTGCACTGGATGCAATGTTCTTGTTTGGACCAGTCTCGAATTTGGTGCATAGGCCGTGATTGAGTGTATTATTCGATCCATCATCTTCGGAAATGATAAGGATAGGATAAGGGTAGGCCTGATCCGAGCCGCTCGCAGCCTTTGCTGCATGATAGCCCTGGGTGAAGTTCTGCGAGGACACAACGACACGGTTCTCAGAAGCGGCGCGCACGAAAGGGGCGTTCTGAGACGCGAGTGCGCTATAGCGATTGTAGAACTTCACGCCTGAGTTGATCATTTCTTGTTCGCCGAATACAGTCAGCTGGTCTGCACCCAGGGTGTAGGTGTAATTGGCAAGGAATGCATATTTTCCTTGATAATTTCGGACATTCGCTTTAATCTTGGCGATGGTTGCGTTGTATGCGGTTGTTTTGGACAAAGTAGGATCGCGGGCACCGTGTCGAGAGAGCACATTCGCAAAGGTCACAGAGCAGGATGCTGGAATGTCCGTTGAGATGTTCGACGGCACACTGAAGAAAGGACTGTACTGTCCCCTGGAATACCAACGTGAGTAGTCAGTTACCACACGGCTATCGTCGTACTCACCAGAAGTGCGAGATGTTGTTGCTGCACTGATAGCCTTGATCGAAGGAATCGCAACTACAAGAGTCTGCAGTGGCGCGAGGTAAGCTCAAGGATTCACTACGGGTCTTGGTCAGCCAAGCTTGCCAATAAAAGACTCATCATTCGCTCGTACCTTGAGGCAATCAAGGCCGTCAACACGATAGCAGCACCCAGCATGATGGGCCAAGTCAATTTTTGCTTAGATTTGCTTTTGTAATGCGGTTCGAGGGGCGTTGAAACCGGCCGCTCGCTGAAAACTTTCTCCTCGCCTGCAAGAACAATATATTTATGTTGAATGGGAGACCAAAGGCGTGCTGTGAAGATCGAGGCCATGATTCCGCCACGACCGGTCGTTGGCCTGGATGGGCATTGAAGCCGAAGATCGTCGCTTAACTTATGCGAAGACTAGGTGATGGCTTGGGCAAAGAGCATGTAGTCGTTCGCGGGCGCCGCTAGAAGAGATGTCCGGTGACGATCGTTACAAAGTAGCATGTTTCCCATTGTGTAAGGCGCGGGATATTGAAAAGCATTGCGCGTGGGACGAGCAAATGTTGTGCAACCAGTGTCAGGGACAGCTGAAGCACGTGGGAAACGATCCAATCCTTATGGCAGGCCGTATGTCCAGGGCTTCCACGATAGGTGCTCAGCACCCCCACCTGCACTGTTACATCCTAGCAAAGCACTGCACAATTTTAGTGTTGTCCATCTATTGCCGAAGCTGGTCTTTAACCAGCAAGGGCGGAATAGCACTGGGTTGTCTCGCGCTCCTGAAAAACATTCCGGGGATTCTATCAGCGCTTGGTGCTGCTGCACCGAACGTGCAGAAACTGCTCTTAACTACTGTTCATTTATTGTCGATGCAGACGGTATCAAATGCGAACCTCAGGTACCTTGGCACGCTCAATTGCTACACCACATCCGTAGTTCTGGCCTCGCATTAATCCCAACAACCACAATGCGCAAAGATTCGACCACGGTGCGAGCGAATGGCTGCGACGATGTTTCGTGTTCCACACGCAAATCCGTCAATGTAGCTTGCTGTGCTTCAAACCTGATTCCTGATTCCGGGTCGTGTTTCTTTTATTCGAATTCATTTTCATGATAGTGTCTATGATTGCCGAGGAAAGACCTGGAAACAGCCACAAGCCTGGTCCAGAATCATGCTGGTAATTCTCTTGCACAGGCTACCTGCAGGTAGCCTCATGCAGATTTCAATGACAATGGGGGCGGTGATTTGCAAAAGCAATATTCGCACTTCCTACAAGCGTGGAAGAGTGATCACATCCGAAGTGTCAGCATGAGTTGTCGGTGCCGAGCCGCACAAAGTTGTGATTCCCCGTTGGACGTGTATGCTCGCATGTATCAAGGCCCAGGCGTCATCTGCGATGCACAACCTCACCATGTTGAAACCACGAATACGGATCTTGCAGCGCAGCATATTCCAGCAGAATACAGCGTCAATTTGCGATTGAGTTGTTCTGCTCTACCTGCTCACAGCCAGCTCTTCATCCAGCTCTTCTTACGCTGCTCACCAGGTAGTTTGGCGTCAATGATTTCTTCCATGGTCAAGTTTCTCCACAATTCTATGGGCAACCACCCGATCCGAGCTCTGTCTCCAAAGCCGCCGAACCAGTAAACATGCTCAACATGCAACTGCATATACTGGCTCGAGTGGGAGATGTCGTTGCCCGGCTGCCAGTATATCGAGTCTGGGTGAGCTCTCAAGAAGCATTTCTGGATCTTCCCGTCTGCGAGCTTTTCCTCAGGGACCGCACGCAGTGTCCCATGTAAAGAGAAGCGTGGCAGTGCTGCAGGGGTGTGGGGCGTCGGGATATCTTCATCAGTAGAGAAGAATGAGTAGGCGGTTCTTTGCTTTGGCCACCATCGAACAGCTAAGCTGATATTCGACCCTGCTGCATGGTTCCTATACGGAGTTGCAATGTCGATACCCAGGACAATAGGATCGCCACTTCTGGGGTCGCAGTCGGCATAGTATTCCATCAGTCCGATCGGGCTGCCGGCGACCTGGGCCGGTCTGACTTCAGATGTCTCGATATTGCCGCGAGCGGGTTCCGGAAAAGTCGTCACGAGGTCGCCGATAGTGGTCAAGTGCAATATTTTGCGAGCCATTGCGGTCGATTCTCGGACGGTAGGAATACGATACCATCGCTCGTCAAGAGGCGGGTTGGAGAATGTGTACTGCGATGGTGCCGATCTGTATTTCACTGTATCGGCACATGCACTCGATGCGAGCAAGGCCGTCGCAAATGACCAGGACCACATCGTGCGAAATTATACCTTTGAGATGCGGAATGTCCGGCAATAGAATGAGCCCAGGTGCTGTCTGCCCAGGTGAGTTGAGATCAGGCGGCAGGTGTGTGAGTGTGCAGCACGCGTGGACATCGACAGCGTTCCGAGGCTGGAACTTGCGACTTGCCCTAGTCTATCCTCCAGGGCTTTCATCATCATCGATTGCCCCACTGAGGACATTGTGCCTCAGGCTGAACTTGCCAAGACACTCCCCATGCGAGCACCGACGGCCGCCCGAATTTGACATTTAGACCTTGCTGTCGCCCTCGACTCATCGACGAGACAGTAATCGACTACAACAAGCGTCACGTAAGTGTATCCTCCTTTTTGAAGCCTGTAATCTTCATATCGCATCACCGCTTTCCTTTCCTTCGGCTCCAAACGACTCGACGATCTTGGAATCGTCCTAACACCACGATCCATTAGACCTTACATTCTCGCATCCACAACACTACCCAGTCGCAATCATGGGTAAGGTGCACGGCTCCCTCGCCCGTGCCGGAAAGGTCAAGTCACAGACTCCTAAGGTAGGACATGGAAAAGCCCCGATCAGTATAGCCACAGATCTCTGATTCGCCACACCAAATAGGTTGAGCCTCAGGAGAAGAAGAAGACCCCTAAGGGTCGTGCGAAGAAGCGCATCCAATACACTCGCCGTTTCGTCAACGTTACCCTCACTGGCGGCAAGAGAAAGATGAACCCCAACCCCGGCACTTAGACGGGTTTCAGCGAGTTTTGGGTGCATTGTTGGGGTGACGATGAAAGTCGCTCCCTGACCGGGATGGGTTTTTGCAAAACATGACAACGGCGTTCAGAGATGCTTTTACTCGAACCACGATCGAGCCTATGTCTCTAGAGCGCTCCGTGGAATCACACAGGGGTGACTTAAAGAAGGGACGGGCAGTTTGGCTGGGAGGGGATAAGGAATCCGGAGATTTCATTATGTTTCTGCTGTGATAAGCGGCTCATATCGCGACGTATTCAAACCTCAAACACCAAACATACATGTCTTGTTGCCCACGTAGGTGAGGAGGTCTACGCAGCTCTACGTCCCGTTGGTACTTCCGTACAGTATCCCACGGGTCCACGCTCGTAATAATTGTGAGATACAAGCAAAGCTTGTGCCTGGCATGTAAGTAACGCTTTTCTGTGCCCAGGTGGCTTTTGAAATGGATACCGCTCCGTTGGACGTGTAATGATTCTCGAAGAACATCCCGGCTTGCCAGCATCACTCACTGCGGAAGCCGGACGACGAGTCCAATAACAGGTTCAATTCAAGTGTGCTTCAGAGAGGTTGCTCATGAGTCAATTTGCACTGACGTCTTGCCTTTCTCAAATTCGTGTAGATTCCTTCATTTGGTTTCTATCGGTTTCATAAAAGCACCATCTCGCTTCGATCGCTTCCATTCCATGTGCGATTTCACGTTCGCATCAATACCGCCTGACTGTAACGAAACGAGCTACGTGCATCATTCCTCGGAACAACCTCGTTTCGACTAGGTAACAACCATGAAATAGAAGTGGTGGTGCATCTTTGCAAAATGCCTACTTCAACGTCCTGTTGCATTTCATGGAGCGCAAGCCCGGGCCATCGTGGCTAGCGTGAAGCAGTGATGATTTCATATGCTCACCTGGGCAAGCAAGTCATCTTGCAGCTATACCGACGAGTTCTGGTGGTGGATGAGACACGTCTCCATGACCTAATCGACTATTTAACAGTAATAGTAATAAGATCTCGAGTAAACTTGTACTCTAGGGCTACAATCTACCCTTCAAATGGTTGCGACTATGTTTCGCCAATACAGAATATCATCGTTGAGAAGATTGCCGTTCACTGCACAGTCTCTCAAAGGCTCTTGGCCACCATTGTGCCGCATGGCAACAGTCTCAGGATCGCTGGGTCACGAAGAAAGGACAGCTAATGAACCGAGAGAGAATAAGCTTGAGCCGGTGGTTTTGTCTAGCATACGAGAGGTCAACTCAAGTGTGAGACTGCTCAGGTTGAAGGCTGTGGATCCGAGGCATAGCATAAGAGTAAGCTGATCATGCCATCAATGTTAATGGTATCATCTAGCAACTCTGACAAGATTATCTGCCAAATTTAGTTTCTTCCCGGCCAATGGGTTGATACGTTCATTCCTGGTGTTGCCCAGGCTGGAGGCTTTACGATCACTTCGTCACCAAGTGAGGCGAGACCATCTAGCCATTCATCTGCATTCGTGGAGCTCGCAGTCCAAGCGACCAGGAACCCTGTATCTCAGTGGTTGTGGAGACCCGAGAAAGACATTCTCAACGCGCAACTAGTTGTCCGGGTGGGTGGTAGCTTTACCTGGCCGCCTCATGGCCTCGATGCTGGAGATATTGAACGCTTGGTGTTGGTAGCCGGAGGCGTTGGCATTAAGTGCGATCGATCTTTCCATGCCTGCTGCACCCTATTCCATTCTGACATGGTGTCGCTACAGCCCTCTCATCTCAATATTTTCTCATCTCATTCGAAGCTCCGTGCGACCAAAAGAGATACACTTCCTCTATGCCACAAAATCGGACTCCGAGCTTGATCGACAGAAGATTCTTTTTCTTCCGCGATTAATGGACCTCGTCGCAGCTGTCGCAGATCCCAACGTCTCATTACGATTGTTCTTAACCGGTACCGGCGACGACGAATTCATTGATCATGGACAATTACCCAATCTGACATACGGACGGCGGATCGGAGATAAGGATCTGATTAGCGCTTTGGATGGGTTCCAAACTAGTGTTTTTGGGTCAGAACACGATCGTTTGAAAACTGTCGCGTACGTGTGCGGGCCTCCGAGGATGACAGATGAAGTGGTAGCCTTTCTCTCGAGGCAGTCGGGAATGACAGAAGACCGAGTGAGATGTGAGAAGTGGTGGTAGATCAACAATGTTAGTCTTCTCCGTGTATTAATGTGCCAGAGGCTCTCCCTTTCTTCGGTGAACATCAAGGCATGGAAGCAGGATGTCTGTTGACTATGGGAGGGGCCAATAAAGGCCTAATGATACACAATGATTGGACACTTCTGTGGTTACATTGAAGTCTCTGCTCGACGCTTCCTCCATACGCCGAGGAAGCCACCTCCGACGATTCTCTCGCCAACCTTTGGTCTACAAACTAGATGAAGTGGAGCGCCTGTCGGGGTGCCGGCTGGAGCTTCCGCGTGTGATAGACTGTCACCGTCGCTTGTTCCTGAGCTCATAGCCTCGTTAATGAGCGCTGGCTCATCCGATGCCGCTACTGTGGGACCTTCGGTTACAGGCGCTGCCGTACTTTCGCTCCTGACAGGAATTGAGTTCCGTACCCTCGTGAACCGAACATCCCATTCCCGACCTCCAGTTCCTCCATTGACACCCAATTCGATCACAGTCTGCAGATCCAGCTCAAGACGACTCTGTTTTACATGTGTGGCGCATTCCGTGATCTGGGTGATGGAGGGAGCGAACACGATCAAGGTACCATTGACGCGCAATGCATCCGTCACCTTGCTGAAGTGCTCAGGCGCAGAAGGGAGGTCCAAAATGACATGAGAGAGAAATGGGTCTGATCCACGTGTGCTCATGGCATGCTGGATCCATTCACTGACGTCACCAACGTGGAAGTCCACGTTTCCAGCATACATTCCGTTTCGGAAGCCCGAGACCGTTCTTTGTGCATGCTTGCTATGTTTCGGAGAGACTTCGATCGTATGCAATACGGCTCGACGTTCGTTTCGCCATTCCTCCAGGCGCGGATCGTTTGACTGCAATTGAGACCGCCCCGTCTCAGGATTCTCGGGTTTGTGAACATCACCTGTTCCAGCTTGAGAAAAATCAGGTAGAGGCGGGTTGGCAGCGTGTATCGCTCGGCTGAGGTACAAGGTTAAGGACCCATGACCCGTTCCTGCTTCGAGGATCTCCAGTCTGGGTTCTGATGATTGCTGTTTTGTTGCCGCGTGCGGTGGATCTGGGTGCAGGTCCAGCAGATTCACAATTAGGTTCGCGTCTGAGGGATATAGGGGGGTGACTACGCGTTCGGAATAGCGCACCCACTCATCTAAAGACGCTTCGTAGACACGATATACTTGGGATGCTCGGGTGGCCTTTTTCGAGGTTTGCACCGCAGTGACAAGAGAGCGAACTCGCTTCCCAACTATGTCTTCATGCTTGATGATTCCTTTATGGTTTTCGATGATCTTTCCGGGCCGTAGATTGCACAGAATATGAGGAGCATAGCGATCCGTTGTGTTCTCGAGAATTATGTTGTCGCCATAGGCAAAGGGGCGTAGATCACTGATGTTGCGAACTTGCCTAGTGCACCATGGCCACCGAACCCGACTTCGTACTTGTCGCAAAAGCATATGGAAGGCGCGTGAGTGCAGCAAGCCCGTAATAATCTCTACAGCTGCGGAACATTTTCAACATTTCGAGCACATGATTTATTACTCAGGGGCACGTGCTCACAACAAAGCTCTCGGGTGACGATCCGGTCGGTGACCCCGGATTTTGGCTCAGGTGCTTGTGATATCCAGGAAACCCTGGCACTTTGTTCTGAATCGCATCGCAAGCTCTCCTGATACAGTATTGAGGTGCGGAACAATCCTCAAGTCCGCGTGGCATCTAATTCCATCACTCTGTGGTTTTGCAAACTCCCAGCGCTAGATTTTTGGAAGCGTGAATTACGCCGAGCAACCGCCTCAGTTCATGCGTCCTTAGAGTGAACAAGTAATCAAGACCGCATCTGCGACCATTCAATCGACGTGATGGCGCATGGTCGCTCAAATCGACCATCCTGATTTCTCGCATCGATAAGCTTGATTCTATCCCAAGTGCTGCTGGTGACTTCCCAGCATAATGACGCGCCGTATCGTAAGTTCCAATAAACTCGATCATGGACAATAATCCCCTTTGCTAATGTAGTTGTCAGGTCAGAAACCTTATCCAGATCAGCGCCTTCGTCACTCTCCTCCTGATCGTCATCTTTGTCGCGGACACGCAATACCGAGTCCTACCAGACGCTATCCATCATGCGCTACCTTCACACCATACCGGATCTGTAGTGACCGATATCACGATATCATTTTGTTCGAAAGTAAACCCTCTGTCAACCTGCAAGTTGAATCCGGACAAGTGGCAGCGAGTAAATAAAGACCTATACCTGGGTTCCAGCTGGACTCAAACCGCCTGGCTCCACGTAGAGCGCAAAAAGGAGGAATGGCTTACACCGGAAGATGAAGTTATCATCGGTGTCAAGCTGAGCAAGGGAAATCCAGCCTTGAAGGGCAAGACTTCGGGTGAAGAGCGATGGGAAAGCCGGCCCGGTGGGATCTGGATACTGCGCAGCAACAAACGCCATGACGCAGAATCTGATCGCGCAGTCACAGCCGTCGATGTGTTATTTGGGCCAGATGCAATCGATCCGCGCTCTAATTGGATAATGCTCGCCGGATCACTGCTCATTGAAAGCAAATTGCCCGCAAAGTTAAGTATACGGCATGGCCGGCCAGAAACTCATACTAGGGAAAGCATGTTGCCCAGAGTGAACAGGGATGGTAAATTCAAGATATTGCAAATATCGGATGCACATCTCTCCACTGGTCTCGGTGCCTGTCGAGACGCGATAGGTGAGAATGGAAAAGAGATCAAGAATTGTGACGCAGATCCGCGGACACTAGACTTTCTCGAAACCATTCTGGATGACGAGAAGCCAGACATGGTCGTCCTCTCCGGTGACCAGACCGAAGGTCCCGCAGCTCATGATACTGAGAGCACGATTTTCAAAATGACGGCACCATTGATCGAGCGTCGCATTCCATGGGCGGCCATATTTGGAAATCATGATGAAGAAGGCGCTCATTCGTTACGAAGAATTGCACAGATGAGGATCTTGGAAAATCTGCCCTTCAGTCTCGCTGAAGCTGGTCCTGAGAAAATCGATGGAGTTGGCAATTATTACGTCGAGGTGCTGGCCCCGTCACCGTCGCACCATTCTGCCATCACGCTTTACATGTTCGACACGCACAGCCTTTCACCGGATGACAAACATTATCCTGGGTATGCATGGGTGAAGCAGAACCAGATCGATTGGTTCCGCACTACTTCAAACAGCTTGAAGAAGAATCACGACCGTTACAGCCATATCCATCTGGACCTCGCTTTTATCCACATTCCTTTGCCCGAGTATGACATGCCTGGGAATATCGAGATTGGCGGCTCCCATAAGGAACGTGTTACTGCTCCTGGATTCAACACACATCTGTACGACGCTTTTGCTGAGGAGGGTATCGTCGCTGTGGGATGTGGTCATGACCACGCAAACGATTACTGTGCACTGCGACCACAGCAGGCACCTTCGGCTGCTAATCATGGTCGCGATACGGACGGTACCAGTTTGGCTCGGCGCGGACCAAATCCCTTCGGGCCATGGATGTGCTTTGCTGGCGCATCTGGTTTTGGCGGTTATGGTGGCTATGGTGGCATTCATCGCAGAGTGCGCGTTTGGGAGGTCGACACTAATGCCGGCCGCATCATGACTTGGAAGCGCGTCGAATGCTGTGGCGATGACAAGCATAAGCGGATCGATGAAATTGTTCTGGTTGAAGGCGGAGTGGCCATGTCGCCTTGATGGCTATTGGAAGTGTCTTCGGGGAGTCGGAGTAGGGACATGCTTGTATGTGTATGTCTACTAGCTTTCATGTGTGTATATCTACGAACTAGCTGGATCTTCTGGCAAAATCAAGTTTACCATGGCCGGCTCCAAGTCGACTGTTCTGCACGGTACTACCGCCTGACAAAGATTATTGCAGCAAGAATGGTTTCCATGTTTGCAAAATTCTTTAAGACCACTGACAAGGTTGTTGCGATTTGCAGCTTGTCGGCAGTGAGTTCCAGAGGCTCCAGCCCTTGAGGGACAAGTGCTTCACAAATCAAGCGAGGCTCGAGAACATCCGCATGTGTAAAGTATTGGTCACAGAACACATGCCGCTACAATTTGGTAAGGGACAACGTCGGACCGACAACGATCTTAGCACTTGCAAAGTATCGCCTCGCCTGCTATGGGAGCGGCGACATGCCGAAATAATCAGCGGCCAGTCGGGCCTACTCCGTTGCGCCATCAATGAAAGAGATATATATGTGTGAGTGGACGGCGCACGACACGAGTAATTTTCTTGTTTCGTTTGAGCCTTGCGTTGCGCTCACCACTTACTCTGACGGTCATGAAGGAGGCACTGGCTCCCAAGATGGAGGATCATTCTCTGGAAGCATCACAGCGAGATATATCTATCCCAGCAAAGACATACCGACTTGCGTTCTGACTCTCAAGCGTTGGATAAATGGTTGAGTCCACTCGAACTGACCAAGGCCATCAGATGAACAGCCACCAGCCTACTGCAACACAACCAGATTGGCTTCCAAACTCACCATTGTGGAGTACAGTTGATTGCGCGAGGAAAATTTCGGCCATTCTCAACATCCTCCTATCGTTCACCCGACCAACAGTATGCCACGAAGTTGAGGGAAATGTCCCGAGACAACCTGTGTGGTAGGTAGGCACCTCGCAAGCGCCTTCCAAGGTTTGATAAGTCGTTAGGACGATGGGCCAAGGCCCCTCTCTTCCCAACGAAACGCTCCGCGACGCACCGATATGCGAGCAATATACACGGACGAATGCTCAACAGGGCAACATTGACCACCACGAAGCTTTCGTTTCGATAGATTGAAGTGGAGTATAAAACCCGGTCAGCGATGATGCGTTCGTGAAGTGGGCGGAAACGAAGCGGCTTACCAAGTGCCCTCGACAACGAGTGGGCACCCGACGCCGTCAGTTGCCGTCCGATCTTCATCCTGTCGCTTTGCTTCCAAAGCACCAAAATTTTCGGAGCCGCATTATCACTTGAGCACAACTAGGTATCGACTGTCACGCACTCTTCGATTTGGGGAAATCTATGAGCTCGACAGGGGAATAAACTGGAGCAGGCCATGCGTGGATCATGTGTGATACAGCTATCCCGATGCGAATCACTCATCAATAAAACACCTGCAGCTTGATAATTCGTGATCCGCAGCCTGTTGACGAGGATCTGTCCTCCATGGCCTGTGCCTCCGGCGACATTTTCGGCGCTTCGAAGCAAAAGGAATTTCGACGAGGTTGAGCACTAGTCCAAAACCGGTGCCTGTCAGGGCCGGAAAGAAACTTTTTACTCACTACTGTGCACTTCTCATGCGAGGCATTATGAATGGGACACGATGATCCGGATTCGTTGCATTTGGACCAAGAAAACAGCTTTCTTGGCTTGACAGCGATGCAATCTCCGAGACTGCTGGATTTCGTACGTCGTCATGAGCAGTTTGCAGTATACGGCATAGTATCACAAGATACGCCAGCCAGGTCCAGCGAGCTCAAATCCTACCTGGACCACTCCACGATATCCGACCGAGCGCCGTCGCGATGCATCCGGATTTCTAGGCTTCCACCGCTGATTCTAGCAAGCTTCTAGCGCCTTGGCAGCACCACGAAACGAATCTGCCGCTCACAGCCGACGGACGAAAGGGAATTGGCGGATGTGAAAACTGTAGGTGCCGATGATGATGAGACGCTACTGTCGCCTTCTCCTCCACCTCGTTAACGCCATCGTGATCATACATTCGTGTACAAGACATGACATGCATGTATCAGAGCAGAGGATCACGCAGGGTCGACACGTCATTAACAGTGGCGGTTGAGGGGGACGAAACACCAGGCTGGTCAAGAACCGTCGAAGCTGACCGCGCTGTACCATACTCAATGTCGCTCGGTTTTCGGACAACTCCCCACCATTTATTGTCCAACAATCCTGTCGTTCCCCATCGTGCCTGCCAAGCCTCTTCGTTTGCCGCTGTTGCATGACGAATCTGAATTTCTGTGCAGGTGCTGACTTTTGGGTACCCGTTCGACAGAAGTCGAACTTGGTCTACGCAATCCATAACGAGCGGTACCTGTGCTTCTTTTAGACGATCGTTAAAGCCCAGGCTACGGGTTTAGCCCTGTACATGCACGTTGCGACGCCAGACGGCGCCGCGCAGAATACCCATCTGCAGCAAGTGTACGCGCAGTCTGGTGCGCATCAAGGCGCACAGGCGGGGTCCAGTGTTCGTCCATTGCGCGCGGCGTAGCAGAGAGAAATGTTGCGGGGAGCGGGTGGGCTCCCCAAGCCACCATTGCTCACGCCTTGTTCGCTTCGTACAGCAGCGTGAGCAGTATTTTTCGACACAGACTCGTCTCATCTTTTTCCACAGCGCGTTGCGGTCACCGGAGAAACTTCGCTGATAACTCTAGTGAATGCGCAAGTAACGAAGTATCTGGTCGAGATTCTGCTGGCTGCCATCGGGCGAAACTCATCACATTGCGCTCCGATGCATATTACGATCGTACCAGGGTCGATGCCAAGTCAACCAATCACCTCTTAATACTTCTCTAGTCACGTTGTAGGCGGACTGCTCCGACTCAACCCATTCGCCTTGCGCAACCGTATATGTACATCAGTATGCAACATCTTGCATCGTGGTGCGACTTACTCATGAGCTCATAGTTGCTTAATGTTTATTTGATCCACTTCCTCCCGGAGCATTCTAACTCTTGCGCTCTCTCTCTACCATCATCATCAATCTTCACGCTCACAAGCAAGCTACTGTCAAGGATTGTTCTGACCAAATTCGCCGACGTCATCTCTTTGTCTGCTGAGGCGAACGTGGAGCAACGTCCGACACCATTCCTCACAAAAAGCTCAGATGCTCGTTGCGTCTCGACTGGCTCCGATTGAGGTTTCCTCCTCAGTGCATGATCGTGATCAACAGAACATGGCGAATTCTGCGTCCACAACGGCGCAAGTGACGAGCGCGGCCGCGCCTGCTGCGCCTGCGAAACGGGCGTGCGATGCTTGCCATCGCCGAAAAGTCAGATGCATAGGCGACGGAAGTCGCCCGTGCAAGAATTGTTCGTCGGCAGGGCTGACCTGTACTTATAACGCCATTCCACAAAAGAAAGGACCGAAAGGAAGTCGAGCTAAGGTCATTTCTGAGCTTCGTGAGACTCAGCGACAGTCACAGATGATCGTGAAGCACTTTCCGGGAGCTTCAAGTCCGCCGACCTCTCCTATATACCCCAGCAATTCTCGATTACTCTCCGCTCCCATGATCACGAGATGCGTAGATTACTTCTTTGCAAATCTTTATCCGACTCAACCGATATTACATCGCCAGAAAGTCGGAGAGACCATTGGTCAAATGGAAACGAACGTCGAAGCATACTGTCTGACCTACTCATTATGTGCCTACATGATGATTCAGCCAAATATGGAGCTTCCTGCAGAAGTCTTCGAAAATACACCTCTACAGCCTCAGCCTAGCTTACAACTAGGACAGACACTGCTCCGAGAAGCCATCCGTGCACGGAAAGCGGTGAATTACAACGAGGAGCCCACTATCTGGTCGGTCGTCACATCGTTCTTCTTGTTCGGCTGTTACTTTTGCTTAGATCGGCAAAATACCGCTTGGTTTCACCTTCGTGAGGCGACAACCCTCGCACAGATCATGGGCATGCACGAGGAGAGCAACTACCAGATGCCCGACATCATCGAGAGCTCGCGGCGGCGGCGGCTTTATTGGCTTCTTTTCCTCACCGAGCGAGCGTATGCATTGCAGCAGCACAAGCCGCTGACACTACACGCAACCATCAATATGCCTACTTGCGATGAGGACCCAAGTGAGACGACTGAGCTAAGCGGCTTCGTGCATTTGGTCAATCTCTTTAGACCTTTCGACGACACCTTTGTGGGCTTGTGGAACAAGTCGCGCGTTGGCTGTTCCACCACATGGCTCGCACAGCTCCAGCAACAGCTTTCTGCTGCCCTTCCTGATTATCTCAACTGCACTGAAAGTCAAGCCGTTGACCTCCGCTGCTCTCAGCAGTGGCTGCGCACTATGGTGTGGCAACTCTCGATCAGCCATGGCTTCCTCTCTTCTTCAGCTGCAGCAGACAGCTCTATGAACTTTCGCTTCCCCATAGAGATATCTAGGGACCTTCTTACGGCCGCATCGGGCTTCTCCCAGGCTTCCATGGAGGTTCATGGAATCGGCCTCATCGAGAAGCTTTTCGATATTGCTTGCACCCTCACTGACGTTATGGCCGTCTTGCCATCGGAACAATCATGTTCACCGACATCCTCATCAGCATGTGCCCCAGGTGGCGTCGCATTGGGCCCGCGACACTACCTCAACCAACTTATGACACTCATCGGAAACCTACGCGGCGGCTCTGATCGCTACCTACCCGTCCTCCTCGAGAAAATTGATGGGACGATTCCGGCGTGGCAAGGCGGCTACCCACTTTCCGCTATTCCAGAAAGTGTACGATCTCTTGCCGCAGAAGACTCCTACGATAGCAACAGCAGTCATGGCTTTAATAGCGCGCCTCAAAGCGGTGGATCGTCGCCTTTTGGAAGCCCTCTAAGTCCGGAGCCTGTCCAGCTTTATGGATTCCCCGACATCGATGTCACAAGCTCACCGATGCAATTTGAGGGCGAGGCTGTGATGGGATTCGATGCATCGGGGTTGATGTATAATAATGGAAATGCCGGCAACGTGATCGTTGGAGGTAATCCACAGATGAAGTTCGAACAGCTCAATTAGAGGTATCTATGACTAAAATGGTAGCAATGGCTTCGCTTTGCGATTGGGAGGAATGTAATTATTAATGAATGGATATGACAGCGACAGAATATGGCGCTTTGTGGCAAATAGATTTTGATTACTTTTTCGAGTTCATTCCGGTGAGTAATGATGAAGCAGGTCCCTGGCTGGTTTAAATGCGATCTCGTGATGTGTGCAAAGGAATTGTGATTTATGGGCCACCATCATGGAATGCTGCCGTTGCTCCGGCTGGCAATCGATGATACGCTCGCATTGCACGCACTCATTGCGCAATGATCGGCATAGGCATATGCAGGTCCATCGTAGCCATGTCCCACCCCAAAAAATTGGATCCTTGGAACAGAACTCATCTCGTAGGGACCTTCACGTCTATTTCGAATATGCAATTTTTAGAGGATGACCTGAGGGAAAGGAAAACTAAACGAGGACAAAGCCTTGATACTTGCCCGATCAAATTCTGCGGGTATCTCATCGCTATGTCAACATCTTTGAATAATCCTCGAACGTTTTAAGTTCTGAAGTTCGTGCTGCGCAAACCCTCTCGTCATCAGCCACGCAATTCAATCAGCCTTTCCAGTGCGGGTTTTGTCCTAGATCAACACGTCAAGCTCAAAGACAGCGGAGAAGGCGACATGTTCGTCTAGTGGCAAATATGTCCGTGGCTGCGATCAATCGCTTGAGCATCGCCGTTGAGCGAGAGAACCATCTCATGAATAGTTGAAGCCGTCGAAATCGATGCCCAAGTCGTGGTATGAATCGTTGTGGCTGTTGTGGAAGTGGTCTTCGGATATGGCTATTTGAGGCTGCAGAATGATCGCGTCTCTCTGATTGTGGAAACTTGGTTGCGTTTAGTTCGGTACTAACGATACATTCGCCGCTCTTGTGGGGCTGGATCTCGTCGATTGACATGTTGGCGAAATGAAGGTTGAGTGGTTGCTTGTCCGAAATTTCTTCCTGGATGTACTTCAATTTTTCGGGTAGGTTCCTCGGATTAGATTCGTGGTTTGATACAGCAATCAAGTACTGTACACTGACAAAGTCGGCCTCCACAGGGTGTCGTTCGCCCTGGTAGGGAATTTTATTACGACCATCTGTTTGTCTCATATCGGAAATGTCTGGTGATCTCCAGACGCATGCACTGAATCAAGGCTTCAAGAATAGTAACAAACCGTTCTCATCAAAGACATTCAGGGAATTTTCAGCACCGTTCGATGCCTTGTCTCCAGATATATGTTCCATATCAAGGAAGAAAATCTGATTGTTCCATGGTTGATTATCATCGAGGGGTTCATGACGTCGTCTCACTGTTGCTTGTTACGTGGTGAAACAGGAACTACGAATCACGAAATGATGTCTCAGCACAAGATGCCCACTGAATATGTCTCAGAGAAGTGCAATGGCTGTATATGCCGCAAAGTAGACGCGGAGAGCTCCGCACCAGACCCTTTCCCATCGTCGCACTGTATGAGAGAGATCGTGGTCTAACGGTCCTGGTCGATGTCGATCGACACTGTCGGTCACGATCTGGAAGACAGTCAAGTTCCTCCTAAGCGATCTTCTCTACTAATCGATGTCACAAAATTCAGCTTTCCTAAGAATACGAGGAAGCGCGAACACATTTTAGACGGTCTGTCAACGAGATATGGGTTGGTAAGGACTATTTCCTATGTGAAACACACTCAGTTATTAGAGCTATACAAGATTCTGCCAGGGTTTCACTGGCTGCCTGTATGATACACTCATAGCCCATGCCGAACTCCAAGATAACAATCCTGCCTCCAATTCCAATGCCGGTCACATGCAGCAGCGCAGTAATTGAGAAAAAAAAAAGGGGGGGAAGTTCGTGATTCGTGTTGTTGATACAGGAATGTATGTTTGGGTCGACCGTGCGACGACCATGCTGAATGACAACGCAAGCCACCAGGGCTGACGTTTGCGTGTGTGTGTGTGGTGGTTGGGTTCACCAAGAGCACAACGATGCTCTAATCGGAGAGTATCGCCTGGATGTTGATGCCACCGCGACCATTTTGCGAATCTGGAGAAAGGCGACGATATGTGGAAGGTGCCGAGTAGCCGACGTAAGGATGAAGTGCAGTCGATCGAGCGGCCTCGTAATTTCTCGGAGGCAGTGAAATCATCGGTGGAGGCTCGTAGGTCGGAAGTCTCGACACGCTTGACATGCTGTGAGAGCGGCCATGGTCGGACACTGATCGAGACGCAGACTGTGGCATATCGTGAGCGTACTGCTGTGACGATGATCGTGTGTGGTAGTTCGCCGAATCAATGCCTACCTCATGTTCAGTGTCCGAGCCCATGCCAATTCCCGAGTCGCTTGCGTGGTCTAAATTACCTGTGTCTTCGAAAGCCTGGCTGTTGATGGATCCACCACGTCGAGCGCGCCGTGCAGCACCCTGCAGGGCCTTCAGACCTTTCTCCATACACTATAGGAAATTTTGTCAGCAAGGTTTTGATTCGTGCTTTCCAAATTGCAGAGATGAGCTCACCTTCTCTTCAACCATTTGCCATTGGCTCTCTTTCAAGCCAAGACGTTTTGCCAAAATAACCCACATCTCCTTGCGGCAGTTGAGATATTCCGAAGCAAGCAATTCGATCTTCTGCGAGCCCCATTCGTCGACCTGACGATTCTGCATGATGCGCTCGTGACGTTTGCGACATGCGTTCGGAGTCTTGTTGCTGAAGTACCTCGCGTGGATCGGGTCCCAATTGAGGCCATCCGCCCGCGCCTTGATGAGGATTGCATCCTCCTCTGCGGTCCATGTGCTTGGGACTCTCCGTTCAACGGGTTGTTCGCGAGGAGGATACGGTGCAATCGCACGGCTAGGCTGAAGATGCCGACTTTCGCGCGGCATGTTTGCTGACTGATTGAGATATGACATAAAGGAAGTCGAAGTTGTGATCGGGATGGGCCTTGTGAAATGATTGATTCTCCAAAAATGCTGATGGTCGGGTAGCTAACGCAATCCAGGCGTTATGTATGCTTCATGCACATGAAAAAGAAAACAAGATGCAAAGTATTATGATTAAAGAGAGAGCAATTAGAGACAGTATCAAACTGTCTTGCTGAGGGAATCAAAGGAAAGGAAAAAGGAAATGCACAAAGAAAATGGGATCCCGAACCAGTCGGAATGTCGCTCGGTCTGTTTGAAGAGATCAAAAAGATCAAGGTTGAGGAGGCGGTCGACTCGACTTAAAGTATTTGACCTGAGCAGAGTCCAGCCAGATCTACCGACGTCCGAGCACGGAAGTAAACTAGAGATTCCTGTGGTAGGACATGGTGAAACACTATTGCGATCCACATCGCGTTTAACCAACTCGACTGATAAGTCACATTCAATGGGGAGGCCGAGGCGAACCCCTTCGATCGCACGACGGTCGGGCGCTTCCTTCATGGGTTATGGCGAGGTCGGGTCTTATTGTAGGCCGCGAGGACGATTTTGTCCTGGCCGTGAACGAAATGACGGTAAGGTCGTACATGGTGGTCATATTCGCGCCTGTTTCGGGTTATTTTAGGAATCTGGCCTGGTCTGACCTTCCAGCGGGCGCGAATGCCTCTCTGACATAGGCGGCAATCTGATGATGGCCAGGTCTATTGCTCGGTCGCAGAGAGTGTGTTGCCCTACGGACGTACCTCAATTCTTCCGATTGGTGAATGTCACGGCTCATAGGCCAGGGCCCTGGTCTGTGCAATGATGACCTTGATGCGCAATTAGAAATTGGCGCCGGCAAGGTTACTGTGGTGATAAAAGATGGCACATGCCTTTCTTTCATCTACGGTGCCAGAAGCAGGAGGGTGGACAATATGGGCGAGACGCTGCCGCCGAAAATGAGCAGCCTCGCGGCGGCACGAACTTCTGGGGAATGCATTGACAATTTGGCTGGCGCGTAAAAAAGTCCGCCCTGCCATTGGCCAGCTTTGCGCGCTTCTGCAGCCTCGTAATAAAAAATAACTGACCTCACCATGCTCACTACAGTTCAGTGAGCCCAGGCAACGATTTATTATCTGCTACTTCCATGGCTACCCATCTTCATCTCCCTCACGGAATCTTGAGATACTGGTATTGCATGTGACCTCGCCCAGGATAAGTGTCTGCGGGATGGGCTCCGAATCCTCGTTCTTATCCTCGACGCTTCACCCAACATGCCATGCATCTGACACACAAGCATGCCCCTCAGCTCTTTGGAACCAGTGTTGTGTGATTTGGCTCTGCGAATACCTAATGGACGAAGACGCCGGTGGGTCAGTACCTGTGTCGACTTTACAAATAGCGAGCTCAGTGTAAAAGCATAGATTCCCACGGTGGAGTGTGGCGACAAGCGCCCTCAAAAGCACATAGGCAGACTTGCGGCGAGAGGACACAGAACGAGTACCACAGGACGAGTACCCATTGTTTGAATTGTCCGAGGCAAGTGAAGCACGGCGGTTTCCTTTCAAAGGCACTCGGTCATTCTCGCCAATGATCACAATAGATTGCTCAGTTCCTGCTCAAATTTAGATGTGGGTATCGCGTGGCTCAACGTATTGCTACACATTTTGGCTTCCTTAAGATAATTCTGGTAAGAAACCGATGCTTGTCGCATCATGTGTGTCCGCTATGTGATCTCCAGTGGTCACAGATGACCAGGTGAAAAAGGCGATCACAGTACCTGTGCCTGCGCTGGGGTGGGGTTATCTTCGAACGTCGTCAACAAAGTCAAAATGAGACTCCATTCTGCGATGCGTTTTGCCTACGATGCCGCCCGTTCGAGGTTGAACATGCGGCACACGACTGAGTCTCGGACGTCTCGAACGCCCAATGGTCGTTTTCGGATACAACCTTGTAGTAATAGCATGAACTACAGCATAAATAAGTAAGAGCGACAAGATCATCTTTTTCGATCGATATCGATGTAAGCCCAGGTGTGTTCGTGAGTAATCACAACCCTAACGGATCTGACGTCCCCGCACGTGGGATATCCAGATGGCTGACAGATACCGATAAGTCCGAAACGTCATCTCATTTGGTCACCAACGTCCGCTAAATAATAACACGAGCTAGCACAGTTGGGCTTCTTGGGCCGATTCGAGATTCACAGCTTTACGTTTATTGACGACATACATGCCGCAGGTCGCCAGGCGAGTTCAGCCTTGCAGCGCCTGTGACTTGGACCTGAAGTCATCTTCGAAAATTTGTATTAACTCGGCACAAATCGGCAGCTGATAGCGATCATGTGCCGCTGATGCGACACGTCGAGTAAACAGCACAACACAGACAGCGCCCGCCCGCCCGCCTGCGCCTTCACAGCTATGTCCAGCTCCTTTGAGAAGTCAGTCAAAGGCGGGACCAAGGTCAAGCTCGCCGCACCCAAGTCGAAATATGTCGAACATATCCTTCTAGCGACCCAGTCCGGTGAGGCTGGAGTTGCAGAGGTGTTCAGGAGCCTCACGCCTAGACTGCGAGATGCGACTTGGACGGTAGCCTTCAAGTCCCTCATCATCACACACTTGATGATACAAGACGGCGTGCAAGATGTCACCCTTCGGTATATCGCTATTGCTCCGAGGAACCGTTTGGCGATGAACAGCTTCACCGACGTTCAGACCCAGGGACACAACATTAAGAGCTACAGTGAATATCTACTTGTGCGTGCGCAAGCGTTCGAGAAGACAAAATGCGACCATGTCAGATCAGGAGAGGGCCGCATGAGGAAGTTGACAGTGGACAAAGGCTTGCTGCGAGAGACGGAGGTTGTGCAATACCAGATCAAAGCACTTGTGAAATGCGACCTTTTGACCAGTGATGTAGAGAACGACATCACTTTGACAGCATTCAGACTGCTAACACGCGACTTACTGGTGCTGTACAATGTGGAGAATGAGGCCGTCATGAATGTCTTGAGTCGATACTTCGAGATGTCGCGACCTGATGCCGAGCGCGCCATTAAAATATACAAGACATTCTGTGCACAAACGGAGCTGGTGGTGCAATACTTGAGCGTAGCTCGAAGGTTTGAGCATGCGACACGCCTGGAGATCCCTAAGCTCAAACATGCACCCATCACGCTCGCAGCATCATTACAAGAATATCTCGACGACCCGGATTTTGAGATCAATCGTCGACAGTACTTGGCAGAGCAGGATGCGAAGAAAAGTGGCGCCCCTGCGCCGAAAAAGCCAAATACAGCAGAATCGCAGGCAAGCAGCCCGAAACCCGCGTCCACGCCTTTCGATTCAATGACCACAACGGCGCCCTCGTCAAGTCAGCCTACGAAGCCCCCTCCCTCAGACCTGATCGACTTCTTCGAATCAATCGACCAGAATCCACAGGGATCCAACCCATTTCTGCAATCGCAACAGCAGCAACTGCCGCAATCAACCGGATATCAGACAGCACCACAGAATATGGGCTATGCGCAAGTGGCACCACAGCATACTCAGCAAGTACCTCCACCGCAATTGAGTGTTTTTCCTTCAAGCAACGTGGGAGCTTTCGGCGCAGCACAACAACAGCAGACGCAACCGCTGCAAACACAGTATACGGGCGCAGGATTCGGTGGCTACGGGCCTCAACCCGTGCAATCTTTTGCTCCCAGTGGTACTCAACAGCAGAACTTTGCCAGCCCCGTACAGATCCCACCCGCTCAGCTTCAGCCGCAATCCACAAATCCTTTCCGCCAGTCAATGATGACAACCGGAGGGCAGTTTGCAACACCAGCGACGCAAACTCAACAGAGCGTGAATCCATTTGCTCGAAGCACCATCCCCGAACCAATTCCTGAAGAACCAGTGCCGCAGCTACAGCAGTCCCAGCCAGGTCTATCTCCTTTCCCAACCGCCCAGCCCCAATACCAGACCCAGCCGCTACAGGCTCAGCACACCGGCACTAATCCGTTCGCGCGGAATCAATCACCCCCTCAGCAGCCTACGCCTCAGATGAACGCTCTTACGGTTCAGCCTACGGGTAGCACAAACCCCTTCAGGCAATCTGCGTTCGTGAACCAGCAGACCGGAACAGGATGGCAAAACGCACCGCAGGCAACCATGGGTGGACTAGAGCAGCTTCAAACCATTCCAGTATTTCCACGGCCAGGACAGATGCCTCAACAGCAACAACAACAGCAGCAGCAAGCATCGCCTTGGATCTAGTCCAACGTGCGCTTTGGATAACTGTATGTGATTATTAGCGCGGAGTTCTCGGACTGCGGTCCTCGGTCAAGGATTGATCGAGCTTTATTCGGCTCTTCATGCACTTCATCCTCGTGTTCATCTTGCGCCGAAAGTTGGCATATTACTTCGTCTTTTCTTGATAACCTAGCTTTCCTCTGCGCCCGAGCTTGAATACCCTAAATTGCCAACCTCCCGAGGTCCCAACCTCTCCTTTTGCTGCACGATCCGAACCTGTAATCGGTGCGAACAGAAGCGCAACAATGCGAAAGGTCTGTGATGCGCGGCGATCCCAGAATTGATTGGCATATTCTGTACAAATATTGACGCAGTGTCATGAGCTTGTGAATTGACGTATAAAGTCATGCTATATTCGTCTCTTTACGACCGATCTCCAGCTTTACGCTGATCAGGGAGACATAGAACCTGGATATGGATTCTCAATAAGCACATAACATTCCGACAAAGGGGAACATAAAATAACTCGTGTCGCCGCTCGCCTGGTAATAATTTGACTTCCGCCAGAATAGGATTACCAAGGTATCTAGGTAGTTGTCATTCCATTTACTGCCCCAGCGCGTCAATCGCCTTCCAATCCTAGCGGGCTGGGTGCCCGTGTGGAGTGCGTCATTGGCTCCACGTGCAACCAGAAAGCGGTTGAGCTCGGCCATAATTGTCTCAAGAAAACCTGGAATGACTACATCGACACTGCTCCCGGTTTGTCTTCCCGGGACAGTGTACAGTTCACATCGTATGTTTTGATTGCAATCAACCTTCAATCGCTTATCTGAAGCCCTTCTTCGGTGCTTACACCTCGGCGAGCGACAGAGAAGTCGCCTACGTTGGTTCTGCGCGGCATCGGAGCCATTGAGCGAGGCTACATTCAAGATGGAGTCTGTCAAGAAGTTTTTCGGCGATGCGCACTTGCAGGTAACTTTACCTACCGCCGTATTAGCACTCCGAAGCAGTGGCATGGATTCAGGCATCGTGATACGGAGATGGCTAACATCTGGAATAATGACAGGTTGTTGCTTTCAGCAGCACAGCAATCGCGTTGTATGGATATGATCAAGGTAAAGTAAATCCCCCATTCCTCGAATCGATCCAAGAACTCTGATTCCACGGTCCGCGGCGCGCGTGCCCAGCACCCAATCACTGACTTTCTGAACCCAGGAATGATGTCGTTGATCAATGTGAACAAGAACTACCTGGAAACTATGGGTATTGCCAAAGAAGACCCTCAGGTCGGAGTGATCGTCGCGGTCTATTATATCGGCTGCTCTATCGGCGCTGTGTTATTCAGTTGGTTAGCAGACCGCTTAGGCAGACGAGCTGGCTTGTTCGGATGCCTCGCAACTTGCGCTTTGGGAAATCTGATCTGTTTCATTGCTGGCCTGGGTTTCTCCCGAGGAGCTCTGCCGGTCATGTACGTGGGCAGAGTAATTATGGGTCTTGGCGTCGGTACGTCTCTCCCTGGCTGCTCCAATGAGAAAATCGCCAACATCTAACGTTGATTCACAGGCGGTGTGGATTCCGTGGTTCCAACGTATAGTTCCGAGCTCTCCGATGATGATGCACGTGGCAAGGCCATGGCCCAGGAGTTTCAAGCGAACATTTTTGGGTTGAATCTTGCCTTCGCAATCAACCTCGTGGCTGCTCGTGCACTCGGCAAGTCGAATCAATGGGCTTGGAGAATTCCAATCATCGCTATGCAGATTTTCCCGCTCAGTTTGTTAGCATTTGTCGGAGAACTGCCCGAAAGCCCTCGCTGGCTTGCAGGCAAGGGAAACCAAGAAGAAGCTACAAAGGCTCTCAAGAGGTTCCATGATGAGGAAACGGCCAAGAAGCGAAGCGAGGAGCTTGTCAAGGCTGCAGAGGATGATGAAGGTAACTCTGTCAGCTACAAGGATATGCTTACGCCGGGTCACATCCAGTTCCATCCAACAATGCTTACAGTCATGGGACAAATCAACCAGGCTCTCACGGGATATGGATGTAAGGACATACATGGTTGCAGAATGTGTGCTATACGATGCTGACTTGGACCAGGTCTCTCGGTTTACGGCCCTCAGATCTTTGAGCTTCTGGGCTACGGCACAAGCAAAGCGGAGTATCTCACTCAGGGCAATTACGTCTCTTACTTCCTTTTGATGACTTTCGCTTGGGTGTTGGTTGATGCCGTGGGCCGCCGCACCATCCTGCTCTATGGTTCTGGGGTTCTGATTTTGTCATTCCTACTTCTGACTGTCTTCGCTGGACTCGCTATGAATGCTGATGATCTTGGTATCCATCAAAACGCAGTCGCCATCCCGGGAATCGTCGTCTTGTTCATCGCCACTGGCGCATTCGGCATTGGTTGGCTGGTGCCCCCCTGGTTGATTCCCACGGAGATCTACCCTACAACCGCGCGTGCCAAGGGGACCGCGATTTCCGTCATCACTTGGGGCTTCGCCAATTTTGTGGTGACGTTAATGTCACCCATTCTTTTCAATAACTTGAAGTTTTATGTAGGAACCACTCATTACCGTCACTTGATGTACTTTTTCCACTGACCAGTTACACAGATCTTCCTCGTGTTCGCTGGCACAAACACCATCGCCGGCGTCTGGACTTACCTCTACTGCCCTGAGACTGGCGGAAGAAGCTTTGAGGAGAACCAAGAGTACTTTGAGGATGCTAAGGACGAGAAGAGCTGGCGTGTGCACAAGGTCGGCAAGGGCAAATTCAGATGGTTGCCGTACCCCAAGCCAGGTGGCGAAGAAGGAGAAACGCAACCTTTGCTGTGAGTCGCAATCCGATGATATGCAATAATTACATGATGCTGACTCTTTTCTATTCCTAGGCAACGTATTGCGGACCAGGTTTCATGAGCAAAGCTGTGGGCAAGAAAATGTGTTACTGTCGAAGATCTAGAGCCGAACGATAACAACATACTCCGAAGCACAAGCCTTGATTGCATGACAAAATCGAGAGGCTTTCAATGGCAGAAATATGCCGATCTTGCTTTGACCCATATGGATTATAATAATTTAGAAGCGACGGAGAATTTCCTATTCTAACGTCAATAGAATTTATTCCTCGCAAGTATTGAAAATGTAGCAAAATTGAGCAAGAAGCCGGAGATGGAAGCAGTCCTGTGAATGATACAACTCGATGATGGATCGTTGTCCTGACGCATCAGCTTGATCGAACAACAGCTCAGTGACGATATCTCGTGGAATATCTCGTACGTCAATTGATTCCAAAAATCACAGCTAACGTCAAACACCAGAGCGCGGTCCACCCCACGGCGTGGTCCACGAATTACGTGTCCATAACAACAACAACTTCAACACGCGATGGCACCATCAAAACGCGTCCAAAAGAGCTCAAACGAAGGGAGTGTACTGCTTGCAATATCAGCTTTCAGATCAGGTGACATAGGATCTGTAAATGCTGCTGCAAAAACCTACGGTGTCTCAAAATCAACGCTGCTTCGGAGATTGAAAGGAAGTCCTGCTCGAGAGGACTATATGCCACAGAATAGCAATCTCACTCCAATCGAGGAGGAGATCCTTCTTAATAGCATACTGAAGCAGGATGCCGAAGGGCTGTCGCCT